AATCTAGGGGTCGTGCAGTAATAACCTTGAATCCAAGGTAATCCTGCAGCAGAATATGGAAATTTTCACAGTTCGTTCCTCACATGGGTACTAGCAACTCTTACTCTATTTCCATTTTTCTTTTCAACCCCTCTTATATATACAAAAAAAAAATTTCCTTACTTTTTTGCTATGGAGCCATTTTGGAAAAATGACTAAGTCAAAATGGAAAAAATTTAAAGATGGCGGAAGAAGAAGGACATAAAAATGGAAGTGCTTGTGAGCGACATTGAAAATTCAAAAAACTGATTTTAAGCATTTTCGTCTTTATAAAGTAAAATTATTTGTTCAAAAGGTTTTTTGTTAATATTTAATATTGGATATGCTAAATATTGCTAAAATTAAAAAACAAATAAAAGAACTATAAATTTATTCAGCTTTCTTTTAAGAGGTGAAAAATGTGAATATATTTTTGTATTTACATAAAAATTAACGATTCCTTAACTTATTATTCGCATCTTAAGTAACTTAACTTTTATTTAGTTGAATTTTAAGGTTAAAATTTTTTCGATTAGCTAACTTCGAAAACCCAGGCTAAAGAAATTCTATACTTAGAACCACCTATAAAATAATTATTCCAATTAGTAAATTGCTTAATTGGCAAAGACTTAAGCTCTGGTTTTATAATTGATCATGCATTAAGCCTTAATGAAGCCTTGATGAACTAGGAAATAATAATACAAGGGGATAAGAAAAATCTTAATCAAATTAATAAAATTTAAAGATAAGAAATAAGGATATTATTTTATAAAGCCAAGCGTGCTATTGTTTACTTAATGTTCAAATTATTTCTAAAATAAAAATTTACTATTTTGAAGTCTCTATCATAGAGCATTTAATTTCGTCAAATAATTAATTTTGTTCATCCTTAAAATTTTCTTTAAAATTCATAATTTTATCGTAAACGATACCACTTAGTGAAGATATTTTTTAAATTTAATAATTAAATTAAGATATATCTATTTTTTAAAAGTTGTACTTTTTAATTTTTAACAATTCATATTTAAAAATAACAGATGCATAAAGTTCACCCAAAATCCTTTACCTCAAGATCTCCTATTCCTTCAGGAAATAGAGTTCGTCATATTTCTCCTAATAGTCACAAAAGTCCATCTCCCACAAGATCTCCAACACTTTCTCCAGTACAAAGATATACCAGTTCAACCCTTACAAAAGACTATTCCTCATATGTTCCTGTTCGTCAGGTAAAGAGACCTGTCTCAATTGAAAGATCTCAAACCACTCAATTATCTATGAGAGTTCTTACTGAATCCAATAAAGCTCTCACCCGAGCAGGAAGTAAGTTCAAAGAGCTTCAGGAAAAGCGTATGAGCTTAGAAAATGAAAGTAAAAAGCTTGAAGAAAAGATAAAAGAAATCAGGAAAAAGGTTGAAATTGAGTCAAAATCAATTAAAAAGCTCAATAATAAAAAACCAATCCCTCGCCCACATTGCAGTTTATTTGCTCAAAAAATCAAAAAAATCGTTATGAAAAAAACAAAATTTTTTCATGCTTTTGGATTTGAAAAAATCAAAAAAACTTATCAGTTTGAAATCAACAAAGAAAGGTCTGCTCGTAATCAATATAACAAAAAGTTATTAAAAGTGATTGCAAATGAATGGAAAAAAATAACAGAAAAAACTAGAAGATCGATTAGAAATAAGATGGGGATAGCAGAAAGACATTACCAGCTGCAACTTGTGATTACTGCTTATAATAAGTGGCAAGAATATGTTGAAATGAGAAAGCTGAATCCTGATGACAAGTCAAGAATTGACGAAATGGGGAGTCTTCTCCAATCTTTTTGCCATGATGCCTTACCTCTTGAGCATAGTTTTAGATTACCTGAATCTCCATTATCACTGATACCAAGCCCTATGAGACAAGATTCTTTATATTCGGCTCGGGCTGTATCTTCTCCTGAAACTCATGCAAGTAAGATGGGCATAACTCCTTTGAGCATAAATTTTTCTGATGTATTAGATGCTTCAAACCATAACAATATTTCCTATTCTAATTTTTCTCCTTTATTTGGATATACAGTATCTCAAGATTTTAACGATGTTTCTAAGCCAAGGTTAAAAGTAGCTAAAGAGACTGATAAGGAAAATTTAGGAATAATGGTATGGTTTATTTAGATAGGCGCCTAAAGATCTCACTGGTGAGCTATTAGAGATCGCTAAACTCCATCATGAAAGAAGCTTGCTTGTAATATTAATTCAGTATTATTATGGCATGAAGCCATTACACACATTCATGGATTTAAGATCTAACTCCCCCTCCGTGAGTGAACAAAAAAATTTTGTTCACTCATGGAGGGGGGGTTAATTTTTTTTTTTATATAGAAATTTTTTTTTTTCGAAATTTAAAAAAATCCTAAGTTGCAAAAAATTGGAAAGCAAATATTAATTTAATTTATAAAATTTATGTTTTAAAAGCAATTTGTTTAAAATTAAACAGAATTAGCTCTAGATTCATTATACTAATTATCACTTATATATCAAAATTTTTTTCCAAAAAAAAATTGTTCTATTTAAAAAAAATTTTTGTTCACACTCACGGGGCGGGTTTTTGGGCAAAAAATAGCGATTTTTCTAATGGTTTTGTTCACTCACGGAGGGGGAGTAAGAAAAGAGATTCTAAAAAGAAAGCTATTGAACACTATAATGGGAATCTCAAACTTAAAGGATTTTATTTAATTCTCACATATTATGTGCAATCGTTTGAAAGTCAAGAGCAGTAGAAAATTATTTTAAATTGAAAATATTTATTTTTAAATAATCCAGAAAAAATTTAGTAAACACCTTCATCTATTCCATCATAATATATTAAACTAATAGATATTATTTTATTTTTTCCCCAAATTCCTGATATCAAGTGGAAGTATTTGCTGAAACGGAGCTGTTGGTGGATACTGAATCCCTAACACTTCTGATTGCAAAATCCTTGAATCTGAGTCATCAAGTAAGAACTGAATATTCCATCTGATATCTTTTTCTTCTATGACCCTTCTCAGGGTTTTCAAAATAGTGCTGAGCATGTCTTCCCCTTTTAATTCAACTCTTCTCAGCTGAGATCTGACTCCTTGATAATGATGAAAAACCTTACTAAAATTCGATCTTTGGCTGTTATTCCACATATGAACTTCCTCAGGGATCTCTTCAATTTCTTTTCTTATGCTGATTGATTTCTGTTCTTCTTCATCTGAGCTTTTTTCATCTTTTTCGTCTTTGTCTTCTTCTTTTTCTTTCTTGACTTTTGGCTTTCTTTTTCTCACAGGAATCATTTCAATATCAACTTCATCAAGCTCATCGCTGAAAGTAATAAGTGCTTGGACTCTGCCAATTTCTCTTTCTATTAGAATAAGTTCTTCTAAGCCGCTTAGATACTCATCAGTTTCGTTGACTTCAAATCCAGAAATAATTATGATTGTATCTCTCAATGGGCGTGATTCAATTTCTTCTTTTATTAACTCTACACGTATTTTAGGGTCATAAACCCCTCTTCTCAGCTTTTCCCCAATATCGTCAAGTCTAGACTCTCCTTTTTGGAGAATTGTTTGCATTTCAATGTGGAAAAGCTGGTTTTTCCAGTAAAGCATGCTTAAAACTTCTGGTGGAAGCCAAGATTCTCTTATCAAAATAACTCTTCTTTCTAAATTAGATAATATTGTTGCTTTTATCTGAGGTAGAGTTTTTGATGAAGAATCAACCGCAAGGGAGCGTGGAATTCTATGGGGCATTAAATCACTGCCTTTAGAAATTTTTTCATGGACTTTTATTGTTTCAAGAATTTCTTTTCGGCTTTCTGCAGGAAGGACATCATCTGGGTTGACTTCATTTTTTTCTCTGTATCTTTTTTCACAAGCCTCAAATGTGCATTCAAGCTCGATGGTGAGTAATAATGGCAATTTCTCAATAAATGCGTTAGCTCTTTTTGCTACTTCATCTGATTTCATGCTTATTGCTGCTTCTTCTTCGATTTCTCCTTCTGGAGCTTGGAATTCTGGGAAAGTTTCATCCTTTCCAGCGAACATTTGGTCTGCAGGTGGCAAGCCATCAAAAACCAAAAATTTATTTGAAAATTTTGCTATCTCCCCCCTTCCTTGAGCGAACAAAGCCATTGAAAAAATCCCTTTTTTTATAGAAAAATTTTTTGTTAAAAAAGAATTGACATATAAGTGATAATTAGTATAATGAAAATCTCGAGCTAATTCTATTTAATTTAAAATAAATTTCAACTTAAAACATAAATTTTTTACAAATTCAATTAATTTTTACTTCTCAATTTTTACACACAAGTGTAATTTTTTACACTTTAAAAAAAAAATTAACCCCTCTCGTGAGCGAACAACATTTTTTGTTCGCTTATGGAGGGGTAAGTATTTCTGGACGCCACTAAGAAACTCAGAATAAGTTAAAGATTCTTTTGGCTCCTCTTCTGTTGATAGCTGCACTTTCGTTTCTTCAATAATAGTGTTGTAATTAACAAGAGGATAGCCCATCTTTTGCGAAATAAAATTACTTATCTCAGTTTTTCCACTTAGAGTTGGCCCGATTACTAAGATTACCCAGGATCTTGATTTTTCATGAGTTTCTTTCATAACCATATCAAAATAACTTTTATCGCTATCAGTCAAATTTGACCCTCTGCTTACTTTGTAAGTGTCAATAAAGTGCATTTTTCCCATGGAAAAAAGACAATGAGTGGCTTCATCATCTATTTTTGGAAATGGAGGTGAATATAAATAATATACAGCAGAAATATCGCAAACCATCCCTTCAAATTCCATTATTAAGCTTGCGTTTTTCAAAGCAAAATTATAAATCGCGAACTTGCTTACTCCATTGCCGCTAAAAAGCACATTTTTAAGAATGGAAATTAGCTCTCTATCATCTGAAGGCTCTTCAATTCCAACTGTATTAGAAAGTCCTCTTGCTTCTCTTCACAGCACTAATAAATGGCATGCATTTACAAGTTTATATCCTTTAGCTTCAATATATTTCAAAAATGGCTGACAGATTTTCCCTCTTATCATGATGACCTTTGGCTGGATAATCTTTGAAGCTTTATCTGCTATATAGTCAACTTCTTTATCATTGACTTGAATTTCTCCGTAATGGTCGCCTAAGTTTTTATAATAAGTTGAAATATCGTGGATTGCTGCTGAGAATTTTTCATAAATCGCGTTAAATTCAGGTGGGCATATATAGACAGAAGACTGCTTGCCAATAGCTAAAAGTCTTTGCTGGGCTACATCTTTTGAGCATTTCAAATAAATCACTCTATTAGGGTCTCCAAGGATTTTTGTAAACCTTTTGGCTTGGATGAGATTTTCAGGGAATCCTTCTATTACTACTCTATATTGGTTTCTGAGCTGCTGCAGCGTGCTTATCAATGTGTCTGCAATTTCATAATCATTCGTAAGAGTCACTGCATTTTTCCCTTTTCCTTTTCTTTTAATCTCATCCAAACTAATATAATGCAGCTGAAATCTAGATACCAGATATGAAGAAACTGTACTTTTCCCAGAAAACTTCGGCCCAATCACAAAATATACTTCAGGCCTCAAAGCTTTGATTGTCCTTTTTGTTACTTCTTCTATAGGTGCTAAACATTCAACCCTTCTGATCACATTAAAAGGATCATACAGAGAAATGACAGGCGCGCTTTCATTTTTATAAACCTGAAAACGATATCTGATGGTTTCAGCTTTGTCGTCAGCCCTTCCACTTGTTAAACCTCTTTCTATAAGTCTGTTAACTAGCACATCTTCTTGGTCTGTATCAAATAATAAAATGTAATCAATTGGTTGGGTTATTTGTTCAAGATAAACTGCTTGTTCGTTGCTTCGAGGAAAGCCGTCAATTAAGATAGTATTGGCTTTCATCTTCTGTAAAGCTTTGAGGAGAAGAGAGACAGTGAGTTCTTTTGGAACTAAATTTCCTGATTTAACTATTGCTTCAACTGCTTTGCCTTCTTGCGAGCCAGCTTTGATTTCAGCTCTCATAAGATCTCCAATTGACGTGTGATTGTAGCCGAGCTCTTTGACCATAATAGCACATTGGGTACCTTTGCCACTGCCTGGCCCACCAGCAACATAAATAATTCGAGGTTTTTGGTTTCGTAACTGTGACTCCATTTATATAAATGATTTACACAATATAAAATCTATTATGCTAACGCTCCCAAAAAGACGAAATCTTCGACTTTAAAATTCTGGGAACAAATCAGGGATATCAGCTGGCGGAAGAAGCTCATTTTGTTTTTCTTCCTCATATCTATCAAAATTAGATGAATCGATTTTCGAAGATATAGGAGGAATATAAACTGGCTCCAATCCTAATTTTTCAACCTGTCTTCAGCTGATATTCCTGAAAAATGAGTGTTTTTTAATATTGATTAGTTTTATCCTTTCTCTATAGTCCTTAATTAGAAGCTGTCCAACGAGATCCTTTAATTCTTCATCAAAGTTTTCAGGAAAAATAACTTCTTCTCGCAAAACTTTTTCGTACATAACGTAAGGATTACTATGATAGAAAGGAGTTTTACCAGTATAAAGCTCGTATAATAAAATCCCCAAAGTTCATCAGTCTAAGGAAAACTCATGTCCTGTTTGCCTTATCATTTCAGGCGCTAAATAATCAGGTGTGCCACACATAGTGTATGAAAATTCTCCATCTTTCAAATGCTTACTCCCCCCCTCCGTGAGTGAACAAAACCATTAGAAAAATCGCTATTTTTTGCCCAAAAACCCACCCTCCGTGAGTGAATAAAAATTTTTTTAATAGAAAATTTTTTTTATGGAAAAAAATTTTGATATATAAGTGATAATTAGCATAATGAAATCTAGTGCTAATTCTGTTTAATTTTAAACAAATTGCTTTTTAAAGCATAAATTTTATAAATTAAATTAATATTTGCGTTCCAATTTTTGCGAATTAGGATTTTTTTAAATTTCGAAAAATATTATTTATTATAAATTTTTTTAAAACAAAAAAATTAACGTGAGTGAACAAAATTTTTTTGTCCACTCACGGAGGGGGGGGAGTTAGCAAACCCAAAATCCACTAATTTGATATGCCCATTTGTAGCGAAAAGCACATTTTCAGGTTTCAAATCTCTGAAAATAACTGACCTACTATGCAAATGAGAAAAGGCTGACACAATTTCAGCTGCAAAAAACCTTATCTTATCGATATCAAAACTATGCTCAAGCTGAAGTAACCTATAAATTTCGCCTCCTTGCGCAAATTCAAGAACCATATATAGAAAAGTTTCATCTTGAAAAGTTCCCAATAGCCTTACAATAAATGGACATCTGAGTTGTTGGAGAATTTGTCTCTCATTTTTAACATGCCTCATATGCTTCTCACTTGCTGCGAATGATTTTTTAATCATCTTTATAACAACCATTTCATTTGAACTTATGTGTAGAGCAAGTCTTACTCTTGCGTAGGAGCCTGTTCCGATCGTCCGGAGTAATTGAAATTGGCTTAAAGATAATTTTGTGTTGTTTTCTTTAAGGCTTTCTGGAAAATTGGCGGTTCCTGAGGTAAGCTTTTCGCGTGGGGAAGGGGAGTAAATTCTGCGCATGTTTATCGGGAAATTTTTAAATAAATTTATTATGGATTTGGTATAAATATCATTTTTAGGCAGTTGAGGTTTTGAAACGTATTATATTTTGGGAAGATAGCTTAAAAATACAGCAGCATCGATATTAAATTTTCTTTGCTTTAATGTATTTTGAATCTATTTGCAAAAAGCATAAACAACAAATCCTTGTGCTTAGGACAATTTGAAAATAGTGTCCTTATGAAAATTAGCTGAAAGTGATAATTCTATAAATAAAATGGCATTCGGTTCGAGAGAAATTAGCTCTGCTATTTTTCTCTCCCTCATGGAATTTTATTATATAGGTTAGGTTTTTCACTCGAAGACTTCTGGACAGCAATAGCGGTTTAACTCTGGAGATAACCAGGGGAACCACTCCTCAGTCCACTCAAGATTTCGGGCTTTTACCTCTCAGCACATCCCCACGGGAGGATGACCCTTAGGCGGAACACGTGCAGGAGCTGAGTCGAGCGACAAGGGCGACGGCAACGCGCCGGGTGAGACGTGCAGCAAGGCCGGTGAAGCAGGAGTTGATAGAAGGCTTGGACGGGGTTGACCCGTGCCAAGATGGCTCGCCTACGTCATCAGTTTTGCCATAGGCCCTTTTGGGCTGCGGCACTAGACACCTTAAACACCAGATAATTAAGTAAGTAAGTAAGAAAGTGATAATTCTTGAGATATTGGATTTTATCCGCCTTTATTCGCCCTCAGTCATATTGCAGATCTATGTCCGAATCGTCGGGGAGCCCATTAACTGAACTGCCGGACAGCTCTGGACCGGATTGATGACTGTCCAGACTAGATAAATTTGGGCTACTTTTGCATATGACTGACATGAGTTGCCAGCCGAAAAATTAAAAAAAGGATTTTTTCTGGCAAACTTTCGGCCAATATGAAAGCTTCAAGTCCAACACAGCTCCTTCATTGCGCTCAGGAAATTGCCCCGAATGGCCTAGCTATGAGTAAGGCTTGGAAGAATCACTTTTTTCCAACTTCTCATCTCTATCTTCATAATGTAAAATCAAGCCTTAAGAGTAAACTTCGGCTATGGTATGAGCATCTCCAGAATTGCTTACTTAGCATTGCTATCCATTTCTAGGATGGTCAAACCTTCCTGTGAGGTCAGGCTTGACTGAGACGCCATATTTAATTATATCTGCTCTTATGAAAAACTAAAGAAAATTTTATTTAAAAATTTTTTCTCTATGAGCTGGCTTATTTAACACCAATATGGATGCTTGAAAAACTCGGATTATATTTTTATCAAAAATTAATTTTATAGCAATCATGCGGAAGTTAATCAATAATACCATTAAAAATAGTTTTGATCTATTCCTGTTTGCCAAGAATAGCCCACTAATGAACATTTTTTGGTTCGCCATTCTTAAATTTGGTTAGCCAGAAAATATGGCATGCCAATAAATTTGGCAAGCCAGCTATTGTCCGGCCAACCAAAAAATGCTCCTTAGTGGGGAATTCTTGGTAAATAAGTATATTATATAACAATATATTTGTTCATTAATCTTTATCGTTAAGTAAATCTTTCAATACTGACATCTTAAAAATGATTTTAATCTTTATTAGATAATGAAATTATATAATGAATTCAGACAAGAATCATGAAGACTTGGATATTCAAGTGCAAAGTGTTAATAATACATTTGAGTTCCCCTATCTTCCTCCGGACCTATACAGCAAGCAATTATGAGAGCTTTGGCCTGGAAACAATCGTTTTTTATTTAAGGGGAAATTTATGATAGGGCCTTCGTGTGATAATATTCATTTTTTTGGTACATTAATTGGTCTAATAGCAGTTCCCTCAAGCTTTTTTTTATTTATTTCGAGCTATCTATGAGAAAATGTCACTATAGTAATCCCAATTCTATCGATATACTGTTATGCCTTCACAATTTTCTTTTACTTTCTTACTTTGCTTACAGAGCCAGGCATAATTCCAAGAAAAAAAATTTATGAAGCATTGGGTGGGGTTCCCAAGGTTTTTACAGCTGATGTGATATTTATGGAAAATGGACCTTTATATAAGTTTTGCCAGACCTGTGAAATTTTTCGGCCACCTAGATCTCATCATTGTGCTAAGTGTGATAACTGCGTGGAGCTATTTGACCACCATTGTCCTTATCTAAACAATTGCATTGGTGCAAGAAATTATATTTATTTCGTTATTTTCGTTACGCATTTGGTGCTTTTAGGTCTAGTAGATCTTGCAGGATTTTTAGCTTTTTTGTTTTATAAGCCTGGAAGCTATGAGGAAAGGACATGTAATTTGTATATAGTTATAAATCAAGAAGAAATTATACTGATTATTGTTGTGATCCTAACAATTTTGCTACTTATTCTTACAATTTTAATAGGGATTCTATGTATTTTCCATTTTTCTCTATGCATTACAGGAGAAACCACAAAAGAAAGAATTAACAGGTCTAAAGGATCAAAAAGATGCCTACTTTGCCGATACAGGCACAGTAGGTTTGATTGAAAAACAGGATTAAAGTATGAACAAGTGATTCTTTTGAAAGCCAATTCTGTTGACATTGAAATCAGCGAAAGTGAGCAAAGCCCAGAATAATGTAAATATTATATTTAATTAGTAAGCTAGTGAGTCTAACAGCACTTTCTCTTTATTTCTTTTAGAACTGTGACAAATCCATAGCATATAAGTACAGGAATGATTAGCACGTAGGCTGGAGGTGTCAAAATCAATGACAGGATAAATATTATGATACACAGTGAAAAATTGCAACAGCAGGATATGCGATATTCCCAATTCCTATAGCAATTGCAAGAAACCCACCAGGCTGGATAAAGGAGGCCAATTAAAGGAAAGAGCAAAATTAGTCCAATCCAAAACATGCACATCCCTGCCCTTCGTCTATAAATTTTTCATAGAGGTCAATTTTGCCTTGTATTAGTTCCTGCTTGCAAATTCGGACACCCAAATGGGTTTAGCCTGCTAAAATGATTTCGCTTATATGCTCCTCTGCATAGCCAGCATCACTGATACCCACATACAGCGCAGGTCATATGATTGCACCCATCAACTTTCTCAATTTTCCTTCTACACTTAGGACAGAGTTGAATTTCTTTTCCTTTAGCCCAGATTTCATAGGCTTCATCAATAATTTTTTCACAATTTTTTTTGCCGTGCCAGATATTTCCACATTTAAAGCATACGTTTAGCCCACAGACAGGACAGACCAAATGAGGATTATCATTACTGCCTCTCATAAATCCTTCGCAGTTCGGAGTTTGGCACCATTTTACGCTTGGGTCTTTTAAGAGTTCTAGTCTCCATTTAAATTTTTTATACTTCTGAAAAAGTTCTTCTCCGACGATTATGCCTATCATTTCTTCTGTGAAAACTTTTTTGCACCCATCTCCCGGACAAGTAATATTTTCCACTTTTGATTCATTGATTTTTACCTTGAGATATTCAAAAATACAGTTTTTGCAAAAGGAATGGCTGCCGCATTCTGGATGGCTTCATTCCAAGTCTGTGTCATTATAGCAGATTGAGCAATATTCTTGATGGAAAGTTCATTTGCTAATCTGCTCTTGAAGATTGTCGCTTATTCTGGATTTAGATTCTTCTAGAGCATTCCTCGTGTGATTTAAATCATCTATGTGATCTGCGCGGAAATTAAGGTGCTCTGATTCAATTTCGTCACAGATTTCGCAGAGTTTATCGTTAACTCATTGAGCTACTTAGGAATTACGTATAAATGGATGCTCATAGCCATTCTCTCCTTTGAGTAAAAATGCAAGGGCATCATCAATGGATTTTGCTCCACCAAATGAGATTGCAGTTTCTATTTGTTTAGGTTTAAAGCCCATAGAGGAAAGCAGGCTAAAGTGAAGAATCGGCTTGGAAATTCAGGGTCAAAGATACACTAATAAATCATTAGAAATATAATATTATTTCGTTGTTAAAAGAAAAAGTTTCAGTATATATCTGATAAAACACCATATTACGCAAGTATAGTTCAAATAAAAGATTTGGCAAAAATTGGAAAAAAAATGAAAATTGTACATAATGTCTTTAACAGTAATTGGATTATCTTATGGGGATTTATAAATTTTGTAAAAGATTAGAATTAATATTATTATACATTTATACTTTATATTAGGATAAATTAGATTGATTATATCTAATTAAAATTCTGTATAAAAATGATATATTAAATAATTTGTGAAGGGTCAAATGTGATAAAAGTGCTATAAAAATTAGTTAGTTATTAAACGATTTAAATGTTAACTGCTCGAATTGTTAATTATCACTTTTAATAAAATTCAAAATTTCTTTAATTTGAAAAAGGATGTATTATTGAATGTTATATAAAGAAAGAACATAAAATACAAATTAAAGCTTAGATTGGAATATATCTTTTCATTTTAAATATTTGTTTGAAGTTTATAAACTTAATGCGAGTTAATATATATGTTGAAAAGTTCAATGCAGCTTTATGAAAGAAAATTTCATATGGTCTAAATTTGATAATAATTAAGAATAAAATAGACAGAGCAGTAGAAATGAATAAAAACATTATATTAGGCTATTAAAACAGTGTGTTTGCCAATGTTTAAAAAATGAAAGTTGAGCTTTAAGGCAGATAACTTAAATACGATAGAAATTATACAGAGAGCAGCAATGTAATAAATAATAAACGAAATTATTAAAGATAAATGGTGTTTACACAAAATCAATATATATAAAAAAAAATTAAAAAAACAAAATTTGACAAAATTAAAGTATTGATAAGCTAAACGGAAAAAAGGTAAATAATTAAGAAAACACGGTTAAAATTAAAATTGGCATATTAATTGAAATATAAACTATAAAAAATCTCAACTCAGGAATTTCCAAGCCTATTTTTTTTTCTCCATAAAAATATTAAGATAATTTTGGTGCTTTTAGGATATCAATAGAATTGATAGATAAATAAACAGCAGAAATTAGTAAATCTGTTTAACAATATATATTAGGAAAAGCTCCACTTAGATAATGAATGCGATTTAAATTTTAGTAAAAGTGCTATGATTGTTTAATAAGCTAATGTTTAACAAGGCTAAAAGGGGTTATTGAGATTTCCTTCAGAGCGCTTATTATATTATGCATCTTCTGATAACAAAAGATTAGGTTTAAGATTTTGTAAGTTAGTATTATTACAGAATTCTCGGTAATTCGACCGATGCGGAATATATTCTGCTGCATGGTTATTTAGACAAATAATCTGTCAAGATATATTTAGTATTCCAGAATTTTAACCTACTAACTTTGCCAAGTTTCTGTAAGAAATTAGTGCTGCTGGGTATTTCATATAGTACTTGGCTCCTTTAATGGTTGATTGCTATATTTACATTAGTTGCTCTTATCAATACTACACTTGTTATATTAGTATAAAATGCAATAATTAATACATTGGATTTAATACACTTTCCAATTGAAATTAATATACTTTGGGCCATATTTAGGCTTACTCATCCTTGCTATTTCATTCCATAACTAGTCTTCCAAGTATCTGCAAGATTTTACAAGCATTTCTAATTCTTAAATTTTCTATTGTAGAAGATGTGTATATTCAACCTAAAAACGTATATGCTTCGCTTATGCTATTTTTAGATAGGAAAATATATTTTAAAAGGCTTATTATCTTCTCGTAATTTAGATATTTATTTATTTTATGCAAAATAGACAAACTAAATAAATTTAAATAGGGGTCTTTATTTAATTAAATAAATTATGCCTGGCAGACCAAAATCTACAAGTTTTATTGTTGAAGAAGATGAATTACTGACTGACGAAGAAATATTAGCTGAAGACTGAAGACTAACTCAACTGATTGCTGAAACTACTAGAATTGAATCAACATTGCAATGATGTGCAAGGCATCGCCTAATTGCCAACCGAATGATATGTGAAAACTGTGATGATTTTGGTACTTTAAATAGACTCAGCAGAAGGCAAGATTTTTATGAATGAAGATGCAGTCATTGTAATCGCTCACATACAATTCGCAGTAAATCAATTTTTGAAAGCAGTAATCTTTCACTGCAGCAAATCCTGCTAATCATCTATTTTTGGTCCAATAACCATCTGCAACAAACTACTGTTCATGAACTTAATGTTTCTAATCACACTATAATCGAATGATTCAGTCTTTTAAGAGAACTTTGTGAAGAAAGCGTTACTCAATTTAATGAAGAACTTGGGGGAATTGATTATATGAACAATCCTATAACAGTTGAAATAGATGAGTCTTACTTCTTCCATAGAAAATATCATAGAGGGAGATTTACAGGAGGGCAATGAGTATTTGGGGCGATTGAGCGTGGTTCAAACAAATGCCTACTAAAACAAGTTCCAGATAGAACTCGTGAAACACTGGAAGAATTAATTAACAAGTGAATACTTCCTGGAACAAATATTATCAGTGACGGCTGACCAGCTTATGCAAGAATCGACGAAATTAACGGAGGAGTCTATAGCCATGAGATAGTTATCCATCAAGAATGTTTTGTTGATCCAGTTGACCCAAGCATCCACACTCAACACATTGAAGCCACTTGAACTCATGTGAAAAGAAAGCTCAAATATCAATTTGGAACGCAGCGAGAATTTTTTCCATCATATTTAGCAGAATATATGTGGCGCCACTCTATTTTGAATAGGAGTCCTTTTGAAAATATGCTTTTATGTATTTCTCAATACTATCCAATTTAGACAATTAAAATAATTAGAAACTTAAGCATATGTTTCTTTTAAGGTATTTATTGTGGTCTTATATAAGACTTATATTTTATTTTTTCTGAGTTTAATTTCTCTTATTAAATTAAAGTATTCAATTGCATAATTTAACTAGATTATAATTTTTAGGTGGATTCTTCAAAATTTGGTGAGGAAAAAATTAAATTTATTTGGCCTGAAGCTTCATATGATAATCTTATTTAATCAAAGTTATTTAATTCTAAATCTTCTCTTCTTGCATTTTATATGCCTAATTAATTTTGTTAATATTTGAATTTATTATATAAAATGCATTTCTATCAGGCCACAATTTTTATTCTATATATAATCGTGTTATTAATTAATTAATTAATTAAAAATCGTTCGCCTTGCGGCATGGGTCGAGGATTTGCACATCTACATGCTCATCGCCTACGGGGAGGTCCCGGCAGACATCCATCCACTCCGCCTCTGAGTGGGGTTGCACCTATTGAATCGGGCTTCTGGCTCCAAAGTCCTAAGGGCAAGCGCTCTGGGCCACAACTCCCAGTATCGTGTTGGGCACATGCCGTCTCTGGCCAGGTGAGGTCATCGCCATCTCCATGGGCTCAGCTAACCATGCCCTTTCCAAGCGCCTTCAGAGGAAAAACCCATGTCCCAAGGATTAGCTCCTGGGACACGAGCAAAACCCAGTTGATACACACCAAGGACTACCCTACTATTTCTCAGCTTGGTTTCCCTACCTGGGTGTTCCCTGCAGGTGTTGAGAAAATTGCGCCAAGAGGTCTGGTCGGCTGCACCACCATCATATTCATGTGTATTATATGATCGTGTTAGAAATTTGGTTTGCAGTATTAAGTTCAATACATTTATTATTACATTGATTTTATTTATATAAAATACAAATTTTTAAACTGTCATCATACTGAGTATTGATATTAGAACGTTACATCTGTATTTGGTGCGATTTGAGATATTAAAATAAATTTTCAGCTATATCTTCTATTATAAAATGCTCTTTATTCTCTGAAAACCGTTGCTAAAAAAAATAAATTTTTCCACTTGACAAACATTCTTAATCGTTTTTAGATTAAGATATTATCAGAGTTCTACTGTAAAACTAGATGCAAATAATATGCTTTACAATTTTTTCATATATTTATATAGCTAATAACTCTCAAATAATTTCCAAGCCTATTCTTTTTGGTTACAAATTTTTTAAATTTTTGATATTTCAATTACTTAAGTAAGGTATATTATTAAATTAAACATATAAATATATTCTTATTACAACAAAATAATATTATATTTCTAATGATTTATTAGTGTATCTTTGACCCTGAATTTCCAAGCCGATTCTTCACTTTAGCCGGAAAGCATATATACCAAATTCTCATATTCAGATGTCTCTCTATTTAATCTTGGAGTTTCCAGATCTTCTACCAGTATTACGTGGGATCCTTCTGTATCGATAAGACTGTTTCTTATGCCCTCCTCCATTTTAAATTCTACAGCTTATAAATGCAGAACGAATTTAAACTTATCTATTCACATTTAATAGCTGGCATGCTTATTTATATAGACTGGAAGTTGCTAATAAGTAGGAGAGATTAATTAGCGATGCTCTTCTTTTCCAAAACAATTTTACCAAAAATAAATTATGACTTACTAGAAGATATATTAATATTAAAATTGAATATAGATAGGATAAGTACTAAATCTTCATGCTCAACTCGGCATAATTCCTTGATAGGCTTCTTAAGCATGATTCGGCATCACTTACTGAATTCATAAAATAGTAAAATGCTTTATCGGCACCTTTAAACTTTAACTTGATTACATTTTTGAGTTTTTTATGGGACTTTATTTTTACCAAATTTTTGATTTTCAGCTGTTTTATAATATAAGGGTCTGCTTCCTTATCCACTTCATCGATTTCTCCGACAATTACACTTATATCAGTAACAATTAGACATAAAGAATCATTCAAAATTTTTTCTTGCTTTATATTGTATTCTTTGCATGCGAAAAATGATGTTAAAGGGTCAGACCTTAAGGCATCAATATCAATCATCCGAGGAGTTTTGCATTTATCGTCAGAAAAAGCCCGAACAACTCTTCCCATCATTAAATCAGTTAAAATATCGCTAATCCTTCTTTTATTTGGCGTGCAAAGCTGGCATATGCTTTTATCATGCCCTTCAATTGGCAGATTATTTTTAATAGCCAGTTCATGGCACCTTGAATATCCTCCATTGACGATGCTTACATATTGGAAGCCTTTTAAAAGAAAAGCTTGGAATAAATTTTGAACCATATTTTGCACAATATTTGGATCATCCTCTTCATCTTGGTTATCATCTTTGAGGTCAAAATTGGTTCCTTTTAGTTCTTTGCTTGCAAGCAAGCAAAAATGATAAATCCCTCTCATTTCTAAAAACTGGTCAGGAAAATCAATTATTATGTTGTGGTCGTCGTATGCTTCGGGAACCAAAATAATTGAGTTTGGGAAAACTCCTTGAAAATGCTCACTTTGAGTTCTTGCATCTATTATGATAAGTGGAACTTTTTTTTCTTTTGTCTTGCACCAGTCGCAGTCGTTATTTTTACAGCTACAGATTTTGTCATCTGGGAATTCTCTCATTAAAACTTCATGAGGCATAATATTCAAGCAAAATTGCATTTCAAGCTCTTCATTTATATAATTGATTTTATCCAAATTGAAAATATCATAACTTTTTAGTTTTATATGGAGGCTGAATGGCATTTTATTTTTTATTTCTCTTGCTTTTTGGATTATTTCTCTGATGTAGTTTGCATCGTTTAGCGGGAGATGCAAAATTGTTTGCGGTATTAAGCTTCCTTCGTTTGCTAATATAAAATTTTTAAAGTATCCTAATATAGCAACCCCAAGGTAAATTGTATGCAGTGGGTCATTTTGAATAATCAATTCTTCTCAAATCAAAAATAAAGCTTCTAGATTCCCGACTTTGCTTGAATATGCTGTGAGAAATCAAGAAGTTGCGTATATTTCTGGGAAAATTCCATTGTCATGGAAGAAAGTGCTTATTCGTGGCTCGTGATATCTTAGCAGAAGGCGGAGAATCATGAACATTGATTTCAATGGACGAAAGTCCTGCTTATTATTTACCTTATCTAAAAACATAGTGGGCAGCAAATGATCAATAAAACCTTCAAAGTAGTTATACACTTGGTTTAAAGGCAAATTATAGCGAACCATTAAGATAAAAGGTGCCAGTATTTCATTCATGCCTTGCTTATATGGGCAATTATGCTCTTTGCAATAAAACTTCAACAATATTTCAAGTTGCTCTCTTTCGATTTCAGTCATTTCTTCTGCTCGAGTTCTATCGACATCAGTTTTAAGTACTTTTTGGCTTTCCATTTCTAGCTGATCTAAGGAGCTGTATTTAGGTATTTGGACTGGGATTAAAATTCGCTGCTTGCGTTATACCTTTCAAAGGTCTTCGTTGAAGTTCATATTATTTAAATTTCAACAAAAATTATTCTCATTTACTTTGTCCATTGGTGATTTTAATGAGTCAATAATTGTGAATGATGATGTCATACGTTAAATTCAAGAAATTTTAATGTTCAAGTTTTAAAGAAAAGCTCTTTGGGAGAAATAGAGTGATAAAGATGGTAATAATAATTAAAATGTGATTATGATGAACCCCACAGACCTGATCTGATTATTGAGGAATTTAGTTCTGATTCTAGATTATTTATAACAACTTGCCTTATTTGTGCTTTATTTAGTTATAAAGCAATTATTTTATTATTTATATCTATAAAGATATAAGCAGCATCTTTAATATTAATATGAGCAAAGAATCTCTAGATATATAATGAGCTAATTATATTTTATCGTTTAACAAATGCGTAAAATTCTTATGCCGATTCTTTGCAAGGCTGATAACTAGAAAACTCATCCAAAGCATTATCTTAAATTTAGTGCAAAACTTTTCACAATAGCATTTCTTATAAATATGGCTGATTCCAAAGAGAAAATCACTCCTGAACTATCAGAAGAAGACCAAGCATTAAAAGATAAGCTCGATTTATTAGTTCAAAATTTACAAGACCTATCCTCAGCAGAAGCATCCCTAAAATCACTCGAAACAGAAGTCCAAACAGCAACAACTTCGATGACTTCTATTCCAAAGCCTCTGAAGTTTCTTAATCTTATCTTTAAGAGGTGCAGAAAAATCTTTTCGTTCTGAGTGTGATCAATATTTTTTTAAATAAAATATTTTTTTATGATTCTAAAAATCTAAATTTGCAAATTTGAAAAGATTCAATTTAATATATAAAATCTATGTTAAGAATCCAATTTATCTAGAATTTAATAGAATAGCTAAAGATCTCGCTATAAAATTGTTAATTATGCTAAAAAATCGTTTATTGGAGATAATTATATGCTAAAAATTTTATATTAAATATTTCTTTTGTTCCAGGTTTCCATTTTTTTTTTGCTCACTATTAAAGGGGGACGAGTTAAGCCTCATTATTCCACTATAAAAACTCTTTACTCAACTTTGTCAGCATCCCCCTTCAAAACCGAACTTGCCAACTTCCTCTCAATCCTCGCAGTCACAATGGGCACCCCAGAAGAACGTGAAAGTCTTCAATTCCTGCTTCAGGGTAACCAAGATGCCGCCACCAAATGGGGTCAAGAATACGTCAGAAACTTGTGTGGAGAAATCAGGGATGAATATCTCTTAAGGCTTCGAGGCGAACAAGACCGAGCTGATTTGCTGAGCATCGTCGATATCATTGCGCCTTTCTTAATCAAGCATAGTTCTGAATTCGAAGCCATCGACCTTTTATCTGAAGTCGACTGCTTGGAAAATTTGACTCAATATGTAGAGCTTGACAACTACAAAAGAATGTGTCAGTATATTGAAGGGATGGCTCTTTATGCAGCTGATCCTGACGAAATGTATAAAACTCTTCACGTTTGCTTCAAATGCTACTTAAAAGCTGGAAAATTCCCTGAAGCATTAAGAATTGCACTGAAAATCAACAGGCCAGAAATTATTAATGAAGCTATGGAATCTTGCACAGACCCGGTGGCTAAGAAGCAAATGTGCTATCAACTAGCTCGGCAAAGAGTGAATTTCCAGATTGAAGACGAAGACTTAGCCAAAATCATTTCAAACGAGTTCATGAATGAAGCCTTTATTAAGCTAGCTACAGATCTTGAAGTATTAGAACCAAAAGTCCCTGAAGATATTTATAAATCCCACTTAGAAGAACGAGGAAGAGGAGTTCAAGGAGGCCAACTGGATTCGCATAAACAAAACTTAGCCTCAACAATTGTTAATGCTTTTGTGAATGCTGGGTACTGTAACGATGCTCTTGTATTCGATGAAGAAAAGAAGTGGGTGTTCAGACACAAAGAGTGGGGCCTGATGACAGCTGCTGCCTCACTAGGACTTTTGCTACTATGGAACGTAGATGAGGGTATGACTAGGATCGACAAGTATCAGTACTCAAGGGAAGATTTTATTAGGTCAGGAGCTCTTATGGCATTTGGCACTGTTAACGCAGGCATTAAAAATGAGTGCGACCCTGCATTTGCCTTGCTAACTGAAGGGCTAGATGCCGCCAATGATAAACTCCGAGTAGGAATTATAGCTGGCTTATCTTTAGCATACGCAGGGTCAGGCAGAGAAGATGTTTTAGAAGTGCTAAGCCCAATTGTAATTGACACATCAGTATCTCTAGAGTCCTCTGCTCTCGCTGCATTAGGACTTGGCCTTGTTTTTGTAGGCACTTGCAATGAAGATGTTGCACAGGTAGTTCTCCAAACTCTTATGGAAAGAAGTGAAACTGAACTTTCCAGCCCTTATGCCCGCTTCTTTGCCTTAGGGATAGGACTAGTTTTCTTAGGACAGCAAGATAGAGTTCAGACAACAATGTCAATCATTGAAGACTTGGTAGCAGCTCCTATTAAAAAATACGCACTTCTTACAGTAGAAAGCTGCGCTTATGCTGGGTCTGGAAATGTGCTGAAAGTCCAAGAAATGCTGCAAGCTTGTGCAGAACATTTAGAAGAAAAAGAATGGCAGCATCAAATGGTAGCAGTTATTGGGTTTTCTTTAATAGCTATGGGAGAAAACGTAGGAATTGATATGGCACTTAGAGCTTTTGACCATTTATTGCAATATGGAGATCTGAATATTAAGCGTGCAACTCCTTTAGCTATTGCTTTATTGTGTATCAGCAATCCGAAGGTAAATGTCATTGATATTCTTTCAAAGCTGTCTCATGATGTTGATGCTCAGGTAGCCCAGGCTGCAATTTTCGCTATTGGAATGGTAGGGGCTGGAACAAATAACTCAAGACTTGCAGGAACTTTGAGACAGCTCGCAGGGTTTTACTCAAATGAAGACAATCAGCTTTTCATGGTAAGAATTGCTCAAGGGCTTCTACATATGGGCAAAGGATTGATGACTTTAGATCCATACCACTCAGAAAGATATTTATTATCCCCAGTCGCTTTAGGAGGAATTTTGACTGTTTTGCATACAATGCTCAACATTGACCAATTAGTCCATGGCCACGGCCAATACCTGCTTTTCTATTTAGCCTGTGCAATTTACCCAAGAATGCTTGTCACCCTTGACGAAAATCTCCAGCCAATTTCAGTGCAAGTCCGAGTCGGTCAAGCAGTTGACACCGTCGGCCAAGCAGGAAATCCTAGAACCATCACTGGCTTCCAAACCCACACAACTCCTGTCCTCCTTGCATATGGTGAGCGTGCCGAGCTAGCTACAGAAGAATACATTCCATATTCTGAGGTCCTAGAAAACTTCATCATCTTGAAGAAGAACCCTAATTTCGTACCTGAGTAAGATGATTATTCTAATTGAGCGAAATTAATTTTTAATCGTAAAAATGGGAGGCTGCTTTTCAGACAACAAGAAAGATAAGCCGCATCACAACTCACTGCCAAGGAAAGAAGAAAATAAAAAAGCGATCGGCGACCAAATCGGGATAAAAATCAATAATGACAGTAAGCTTTATGCCAGACATTCACAAGCATTATGAAATTTTAGAACTACTAGGAACAGGACATTTCGGATCAGTTAAAAGAGCACTGAGAAAAGGCACAAAGGATTCGCAAGAATACGCCATCAAGTGTATTGATAAGAACAAAATGGGGGAGCAGGTCCATCTTCTGCAAAGGGAACTTTCGTTATTGATGATGGTAAATCATCCCAATATTGTCAAGCTGTATGAAGTGTATGAAGATGATAAGTATATTTACATGGTCATGGAGCACTGCGCAGGAGGCGAACTTTTTGAGCAGCTCACGGAACGACAAAGGTATAATGAAGCTGAAGCGTCAAAAATCATTTATTGCATCATGAGTGCAGTTAGCCACTTGCATAGTCTCCAAATCTTCCATAGAGACTTGAAACCTGAAAATATCATGCTGAGTTCAAAAGACCCAGACGCTGAGATAAAAATTATTGACTTTGGACTGGCCAAAAAATTTGTCAGTGACGAAACTGGTCAAAATACAGTGGTTGGCAGTGCTTATTATGTAGCTCCGGAAGTTCTCAATAATAGATATGGGCCAGGGTGTGACGAGTGGAGTATTGGCGTCATCATGTATATGCTTCTACTTGGAAAAGCACCGTTTGATGGAGACTCAGATGCTTCAATTTACAAACAAATTGCACGTTGCAATTATTCGCAAGAGGGAGAAGACTGGGATCGGCTTTCTGACGAGGCCAAAGATCTACTTAAAAGACTTTTGGAACCCAAAGCCAACCTAAGAATCACTTCCAAAGAAGCATTAGGTCATCCATGGTTCGAGCTCAGAACCAATCCTTCCACTAAGAAAGTTCATAGAAAGGTCATGCAAAGACTAAGACAAAGAGGCAAAGCTAATCAGCTCATAAGAGAAACCATGCATGTGCTGATTCGGTACTTGAAAAACAAAGAAATCGATGAGCTAAATGAAATTTTCAGGCAGCTTGATACCGAACACACTGGCCGAATTACCGCAAAAGACCTGCAGGCAGGGCTGAGCCAAGTTGGAGTCAATCTTAGTGACGAAGATGTAGAAGGTAAATTATATTTAGACCTTATCAAAGGCTTAGACCAGACAGAAAATGGGACACTCAACTATTCAGACTTCCTGGCTGCTACTTTGGATAAGAAAGTTCTCCATAATAAAGATGCGCTATGGCTAGCTTTCAAGAGTTTCGACATTGATGACGAAGGCGCTATTACAAAGGATAAGCTGAAAATAGCTATGGAGAGAGCTGGGTGGAAGCTGACTGATGAAGACATCGCAAAAATGTTCAGCGAGATAGGACTAAGCATTAACGAGCCAATCAATTTCGAAGCCTTTTGCATGATTTTCGACAGTAATTATTATTTAGAACCAAACGAAATTGAAGACGCGTCTGTTCTTATGGCCGCAAATCCAAGAGTGGTTCCAGAAAACAGAGCTTAAAGATAATTACTTTCATATTTATAAGAAAGACTTTTTTAAATTAGTCAAGAGGGGCATAACTAAGCCTATTCTTTATGATCCAGACGCTGTCAACTGTCTTCTTGTTCTGAGCGCTGTACTGCTCATAGTATATATGCGTTTCATTATAAGCTTTGAATCTGCCATAGCCATAGTCATCGCTTAGATATCTCGCCCAGAATTGAGGAGTTTTGCTTGTTGGGTCGTTTCTTGCTCTTCTATTACCTGCATTTCCAGTGACTATATATATGGGGGCATTTGGATTATAATGCATGTTCTGGGTATCTAATTCACTTGGGATTGTTTCATTTTTGTAGATTGCTGCGTCTCTTTCATAGTTATGAACATGCGCTGTAAGGAAGAGGTCCACACCGTTTGTATAAGCAAGGTCTTCGAGATGGGATTGAAGCATAGGAGCATCAATTTGGCAATCAACATTCCTCACTCCCTCCCTTTAAATTAGAAAAAATCTTTGGTAAAAAACTGCCATTTTTGGTTACTTTAACCTCCATTTAAATTGAAACAAAATTTATTTTTCAATAAGAAAATTTTATTGATAAAAAAATAATTTTTATAAAATTAGTTTTGACCTAATTTAATAGGAATCATACAAGTAGAGCATTATTTATACATTTTCCATTATATAACTAGATTAATTTTTTTTATTTGATTCTTAATAAAATAAAATTAAAATTCAAAGTATTCCATTTAATTTTTATTTTTTTAAAAAAATTTTAAAAAAATAAAGATTACATTAGCATTAATTATAGATTAGGGCTTTTCCTCTTTTTACGTCTCACTGGAGACGAGTCTTCGTAGAAGGCTCTTTCAGCTGCTATCTTTGGTGAAAATTCTGACATACCCAGGAGGTTCGCTAGCTCTCCTCTAGACTTCAGCCTAGTTCTTAATGCTGTCTCGGAGCTTTGGAGTATGCAGGTTTGGGACTTGATGACTCCTACTTGATTGAATAAATTCCAGTTATGATAAACTCCATAGCTAGTATCGGTATCAACTATGCCTTTGTAGTAAGTACTAGTGAACTCAAGGGTAAAAAGCTTTATTTCCCAAATATCACGAGGAAGCCACAATTCTTCATTGCCAGACGAGAAAGGCAAAATCCAACTGATTCACAAATTTCAAGTATCCGTAGGCTCCATTTTCTGCTTGGTTTGGCTTCAGTCCGCAGCAAGGTCACCAAACTTGAAACAGGTCTGGGAGAAAAGGGTTGACAACCCCGCCATTTAATTGTATATTAAAGATTAAGATACTCATAAAAAATAAATCACTATTCAAAATATTGAAGTCAATTTTTTTAGTTTAAAAATATTTAAAAAGTATATTTTTAAAATAATATTAAAGATGAAGATACTGATTTTTAAAAATGAGTTTTGGCCTAATTTAATAGATAAAATGCAAGTAGAACGTTATTTAAATAGTTTTCACACTGAATCGATTAATTTTTTAATTACTTTCTTATAAAATAAATTAAAATTAAAACAGTGACTCAATTCATATTTTTTAAGATTTAAGATAAAAATTTAAATATAAATTGGAAAGGATTATTTGTTACAATTTAAAGGGTGGGAGTCAGGGTAGGTTGGAATTCGCCAGTCCACGGAACAATAAAGCGGGTGGTGGCCTAAGATGACAATCCAAGGTCTTAAGCTTCTGTTTTTATTTGCTTCCTTAAGGTCTTCTATAAGCCAGTTTGTCTGCGTCAAAACCTCATTAATAAATTTTTCTTTAAAATAAGCATAAGTGTTAAGAAAAATCATATGGAGAGGACCGATATTTAAGGAGTAGAAATAGCTGGAGTTTTTACTGGCTTCATTCCAAGGCATTATAAACCGATCTTTATAGTGAGTCAGATTTTTAAACTTTTCATGGTTGCCTGTGGTTGTCATATAAGGATAATTTGCAGCATAAGGCTCTATGTTGTTCATAAACAAATCTCCAACTCTTCCTTCTCTATCTTCCATATCATAAGCAAAATCTCCCAAATGTATCATAGCCAAATATTCGTTGTTTTTGAGCTCATCTTTAAGTGCGACTCTTGTATACTCAGCATATGGGCCAGTCCCTAAGTCTCCATACACAATAAAACTAGCCAAAGTAGTGTTGCCATCTTCGGGAGTTCTACCATTGAACTTAAATGTTTCGCTCCAAAATAGCCCAGAGCCTACATGATACTCATACTTGCAATCTGATTGAAGATGAGTCATTACAGCAGTGTGGATCATAGAATAACGATCAGTGAACCTTCCTACATTGATTTGTCTACTATACCCTTTGGCAGATTTTCAGCTGGTGCTTACTCCCCTAAAATTCGAACAAAGTACTAGTAAAATTCTATTTTTGGATGCATTAACCCCATTAAATTACAGCAAAATGTTATAGGTAAAAATACTGATTTTTATGTGAATAGTTTTGATATAATTTAATGGAAGGAGTGAAATTAGAATACGATTTATCATTTTAAGCACTAAAATGATAAATTTTTTAATTTAATTCTCCATAAATTAAATTTAAATACAAAATATTGCATTCAACTTTATATTTTTTGAACCGAATTTTTTGCTCCAATTTAATGGATGAGTTAGGGTTTGGTTGGATGAGCACTCGAATGCTCGGTACTCTACTTCTGTGTTCATTGGAAGCCAGGTAATTCAGCTAGCCCGCATTTCGTTTTTTTTTCGGTCCAGGATAAATGAACCTGCTCAGGATAAAACAAGCCTGCCTTTGCACAGAAAAATAAGGCACTTAAATAGATCAGAAATGCCATTTATAGCGAATCAGCTGGTGAAATGAAATAAAAATACAATTAATTAACAGATGATTACAAACAAAACAAAATTGAAATTAATTTATTTAATTGTTATAAGAGAGTTTATAGAATTTAAATAATAATAATAAAAATCTGCATATTTAAATAATTTATTATTATATTAAGTGCTAAAATTTGTATATTGTTATAGTAAGATAATTTAATAATCTCTTAAATTATCCAAATAAATGAAAGATAATGAAATTTATGAAACTTTAATATAAATACTTCGATTCAAAATGGCTCGATCTCCGTCTAGAAATGAAAAATTAGGCACTCCTGAAGACGAGCTTGAAGAACTTCAAAAGAGATTAACTTATTTAGAAGGCGAACGTAAAAAAGTAATCGAAAATCTCAACTTTACCAGAAAACAAAATGAAGAGACCATTCTTCAGCTCCAAAAAGAGCACAAAGAACTGCGCGCCAATCTTAAAGCGTCTGTAAAACAACCAACTTCTGCGGGAGCTTTACCTCAGTCTGATGAAACGGTTGAAGGAGTGAAAATGAGAAGGAGGCTTGACCAACTTAAAGGGTCAGCTACTGAAAAGCAAGGCCAGCTGAAAATTTTGCAAGATAAACTCAAAGAAATGAGCCAAGACCAAAAAGGGAGCATGCTTAATGAAGATGCGCCTCAGATGAGGCAAATAAGGATTCTAGAAAACCGATTACTCCTCCCTCTGTGAGCATACAAAAAAAATTTTGTTTGTTAAGCTAAATTTTTTTTTTTTAAATTTGCATATATAGCGTGCACCTTTATAGATATTTAAGTGCAATGACTTTTAAAAGATAAAATTGATTTAAAAAAAATCTTAAAAATCACAATTAAATTTATTTCATATTATATTTCCATTTGTCAGTTTTAAATTTGTTATTTCAAATAATTTAAAATGGTTAAAGAATTTTTCTTTAAGGTAAAATTTATGTTTTTAAAATGCAAGCTGTATAAAAACTTAGCAGAATTAGATATAGATTTTATTATATATTGCAATACTTTTCATGAAAAATTTTATATTTCTCCTCTCCTGATAAGGGGTTTTGGGTATTTTCCAATAATTTTGCTTGCTCACTGGCAGGGGAGTTAGATAAAGCTATGATCAAATATAATGAAGCTCAAAGCATCAGAAAAACTTATGAACAGATCGTAAAGCAATTAAAAGAAGAGAGAGTTGCGTACGATAACCAACTTGCCGCTATTGAAAGATCATTAAAAGGCAAAGAGCATGACTTTGAAGAACTTCTATTGCTAAGTCACGATGCAGAACACGCTAAAGAAACCTCAGAAGCCGAACTTTGCAGATTTGAAGCTCAAATCACTGTAGAGAGAATGACGAGAGAGAAAAACGTGGAAGAGAAAAAAGACGAAGTAACTCAAAGGATTGAAATGACTCAGAAACTTGAAATTGCTGAAAGAAAAAAAGCTGGAAAAGATGAGCAAGAGTCAAAGGGATTTATGAGCCGCCTTTCGGCAGGAATTGCAAATGAAGCATTCCATCACCAGCAAGCCAGAGAAGAAAAACAGAAAATAAAAGACTACGAAGACGCATTTCGAAGGATAAAAGAGTCCACAGGAGTTACTGACGTAAATGAAGTCATTCAAAAATTCATGACCCAAGAAGACACTGCTGCAAACTTAGAAAACCTCAGAAATGAGCACCAAAAGAAGTTAGAGCAGTTAAATAAGCAAAAACAAGACCTAAAAAGGCTTGTTGACTCTTTGAAGTACTCAGCAGTTAGCGAAACTGAAAGCAGAAAGCATTTTGATGACCTTGAAGAAGACGTAAGCAAAGCGTCTGTTAAATACGACAAAAATAAAGCAAAATTCCAAAGACTGATGAGCATCATCACAAATGTAAAGGCTGGAATCGAGCATATTTTCGAGCTTGTAGAAGGAGTGAAAATAGAAGGCCAAGCCAACATTCCAGTGACAGATGATAACTTAATAGAAGCTCTGGTGCAGATTAAGCACAAAATGATATCGATTTATGGCCAAGTCAAGTCTACTGACGTTTTCAAACTTTTTGAAAAAGAAGGAGGCTTGATTTCCAAGCTAACTGATACGGCACAAAGGAATGTGTCGGTTTTACAAGCAATTTATTCAAATCCACAATTAAGTAGCTCGAAAGGATTTTTGGAAAGAGGAAATGCAAATAACTGCAGAGTTAAAACTCAGGCAAGAGAAGAAGAGGAGCTTTCAGATGAAGGAATCGACGAAGAATTGGAAGATAAATTAGGAGATAAAGATAAAGCCAAAAGAGAACAGCTTATTCGAACGGAAAAATTGGGAAAGGGGTTAAAGGGGAAGAGAACACAAAGTGCAGCTTCCAGAAAGATGAGAAATATTGAATAAAGTGAAAAAATAAATAATCAGCATGCTCAAGAGTAGTTTTGATATTTAATAAAAATAATAATTAAGTCAAGTTTATGATCTATTTACTGCAAAAATTTTAAATAGTCCAAATGCTTTGAAGGATAAATTAAGCATTGTATCATAAATTATTTGCTTACAAATTTTTACCATATTAATAATTTGATATGGAAAAGGAATGAAAAGTCTTTGCATTCAGATTTTCAAAATGCCTAGATCATATTTCTCCAACTTCTCTCAATAAAAATAAATCCAAGCAAGAGTTGGCCAACATCTTCCCTATAAATATTTATAAAAAAGAAAAATTAAAAAGAGAAAATTCAGCTGCTCACATGAGATTAAAAATAAAAGAAAAAAAAGGAAAGATAAAGTTGAATGAAGAAAAAGCTGAAAAAATAAAGCAAGTTCAAAGCCAAAAACTAATAAATTCGTTAGAAAAAGCGCAAGAACTGCGAAAATTATTGATCCTAAAATATCGGCAAATGTCTGATAATTTACCAGAAAAGATCGAAGTGCACTCAAGAATTCTTTCTTGCAGCCACCAAAGGTCACTAAAAAGCATTTCACCTATGAAATCTGTTTTCTTTAAACTTAGCGGAAACCCTAAAAGGTCTAAAACTCCTGTCATAAATTCAAACTTAAGTTTTGATTTTTATCAAGGATCACCTTCTTTTAAGAAAAAGGTGGTGTTCAGCTAATATTAATAACAATTTTCTAATTATTCATTAACTGAACTGACTCCAGCCGCATATGAAACTGAGCTGCCTCTTGGGTTTGTAACGTTTTCGCTTTGAGCATAGCGCACAAACCTAGTCTGAAAATTCAATCCTGAATGCCTCATAGCGAATAAAGTAACTGCAATTGGATGTCGACCACATATAGTGTTATCTGTATCTTTAAGATACTGTTGAAATCCCTCCGGGTTTTGCTGCTCAATTAATCTCATTCCTTCTCTATCCATAGCTTCAATACTCTGGTGGATTTCTCCTTTACTTCTGTCATAAGGTGTAAACCCAAACCTGCTTCCCCAATGACAAAAATCTGAAGACACCACAAATAAAGTCGCAGGATCTCTCAAAAACGGTGCCAAAAGCTTCCCGTAATCTTCTTCAGCTTTATTTTTCAAATTTCCAACCATAATCGGTACAAGTCTGATGTCTTTATTTTCAAACACTTTTCTAATATAAGGCATATGCATTTCTAGTGAGTGCTCTTCTTCTTCAGCTTCTAAAGTTAGCCTTGCAAATTTTTGGGTGTTTGCTAATTCTGATACAGTCTCTTCGTCAATTGGGAGATTGCCTAATGGAGTCTCGTATACAGCTGAACATGGGTTCCTTCACACGACCACTATATCATAAACGACTATTTTTTTTGACCTATTTTTTTTTGAGCTATTTTTTTTGCCTATTTTTTTTGGCCTTTTTTTTTGGCTATTTTTTTTTGGCTTATTTTTTTTGTTGCCTAGCCTCATTCATGAAGCTGCTGAGAGGACTAAAACATTATTGAGAAACAGAGACTTTTCCTTATGCGATTAATATTGGGTAAATTAAGTGAAAAACTCCTAATTAAATCTAAATTCTCGAAATTTTAAAAGCAATGAATTAGTATTTATGGAGTAAGAAATCTGTTAAGGGTGCATTTTTTATTGGTTAAATCGTTTAAAACACATTAAAAATTATATTAAAACAACTGGTATGGAATTATGCCCAAATATTAGTAAAAAATAGTTAAAAAAATTGTCAAAAAAAAGGCCAAAAAAAATAGGCCAAAAAAAAAATAGGCAAAAAAATAATCGATAATCGTTATGAAATAGTCGTCGTGTGAAGATACGGCTGAACATGGCAAAGCACAGCCAGGAATGTACACGTGATGAGAAGGCCCGAGCAAAAATACACGATTGTAGGTTGATGGATTAATATGCTTGTATGCCCATGCTGCTGTAGGTCCTGAATATGCATACCCTGCATGAGGGCCGATTATTACTTTAGCCTGGGGCTGAGAAATTTCAGCTTGAGAAAGCCAATTATTGAGCTGAGTGTTTAATTGAGCAGTAGAGCCTACATACCAACTGCCAGCATGAGAAGCAGAGCGAATTCCTTCCATATTAAATATTAATTATTTAGGATTTGCAAAAATAATTTTCTTGAAATACTGAACTTAAGAACCACTTAAATAAGTGCACAGTAATGGCTTGAGCATTATATTTATTTGATTAAATATAAATAGCTTTTCTCAAATAATAGAATATTATGGAACAATCACTCAGCCGGAAAAGAGATGAAATGATCTCTTTATTGCCGTGAATAAGAAATCCTCCAGAGCTTCAAAGAAATCAACCACCAGTTAATATTGCTTCAAGTTCGTTTGCTATAAACCTAACAATGACACTTACAGGATTGCCTCCAGCTTACAAAAAAGAAAATACTCCATGATTTGAAGGCACTACATATCAAATAACCCCTTTCGGGATTCGCGAGTCGGCAAGATTTTGTCAAGATGGTAATGTTGTCTTTGGTAAAGCTGACCCATCTGGCAGGTTTTTCTGCGACGTAAACTTTCCTCAGGAAGACACAAAAATCGACCCTATTAGTTGCATAATTTTCAGTGTTCCAAATGGTTTTAGGCTATCAGAGAGACCTTATTATTATGTGAACTGAATTGATTTCGGCCGTATTCGAATATCTGAGCCAGGCTACTATTATATTGACTTCTCAAAAAGTGGAAATACTGGAGTAAAGCTATCTGAAGGAGACAAGATTCTACTTAAAAAAGGAATGATGATAAGATTTGCTAACAGCATTATTGTGGAAGTTTCTGATATATCCTGTATAGAAATAGATGATTTATCACAGCCATATCTTCCTGTAAATTCGTCTCCGGATGAAGTCCGAAACAATCAGCAATGAGTAAATCAGCCAACTTATACGGGAGAGGAAGGAGAAGAAGAAGAAAAAAAAGGCAGCACAATGACTGATTATACGATTTCGTTTACAAATCACACAGGACCTTTTGTAGGAGAAACATTTAAGTATCATTCTAATCCAAAAGCAGGAGTTGTATATGATAAACTTATCATTGGATGTGGTGGAAATGGTAAAGAGCCTGACGTGTTTTACCCAAGAGATACAGGAATTAGCAGGCATCATGCTACAGTATTTTTGGAAAATGGATCATGGTACCTCACAGATAATCAGTCAGTCAATTTAACTTATATTTTGGCCAAAAATGCTGAACAATATACGAATAAAGAGCCTTCTACACCTCAGCCGCTGTTTTTGCCAAAAGATCCACAGCATTCATATGAAAATACGAGTGTGCTAGGAATAGAAAACTATAAGTTTTTTTTCTCATTTTCTAGTTAAATTCTAAATTCAGTGAAAATATGACTTGATATTATCTAATTATATGATAACCAAAAATTATTTCAGATAGATAGTGTGCATAAATGATAAAAATTATTTTAGAATACAAAATTTAAAAATAATTAAAATCGAGGATAAATGATGATAAAATTCGATTATTTGCATTATCATTTTGACTATATAAAAAATATCATAATTATTTTAACGATTATTAAAAACTATTTATATTTATAATGGAGTCTGAAGCCTATTTCAGGCAGCCCTTTTTACAGCAAACTGACTCATATTTTACAGAAGAAACCTTTAATGAACTATAGCTTTTTCCCTTGAATAGCCCGATAGCGGGACGAAGCCAGCCCGTTATCGGGGCTATTCAATGGAAAGTGCTATAGATCCTAAAATTCCACCATGAAAAGATGCCAATTTCAGTGAGAGATTACTTCTAATATATTTATATTTTTCAATATATTTGCCAGTATTTTTACTGCTTTCTCTTCTGATCGGAGGATATATTATTTATATTCTATTTTATACTGTTCCATTGGTATTAGACACAGATGATAGGCCTGAACTATATTATTGGCATAGTGATTCTGAGAAGAGAAACGCAAAAATAAGGGGATGGTTATTTTTTTCCTTAATAACCTTTTTCCTTATATTATGCTTAATTAGCCATTTTATGGCTACAGTTACTGACTGTGGATCAATCCCACCGGGCAAAGAGTGGGATATCCCTAGCGGTGAAAGTTCAGATTCCAGTTCAAAAAACCCAGATCTTGTTGAAAAGCGTAGAGATGGTTCTTATAGGACCTGCACAAGATGCCAAAAACGCAAGCCAGATAGAACTCATCATTGCAAGCAGTGTGAAAGATGCAATTTAAAAATGGATCATCATTGCAACTGAATCGCCAACTGTGTAGGCTACTATAACTATAAGTATTTCTTTTTGACTGTGCTGCACGGATCTATTTTGTCTTTGATTTTTATAAGCACTTTTTGGGAAACACTGATAATAGTTCTAATGGACTCACAATCATCGATACCTTACTGCTTGTTTATTGAACTGACTTATTCATTGGTGCTGATGATTTCAGTTTGTGTTGTAAGTTTTTGCTGCTTTCATGTATGGCTTATTGCTAATAACTATACAACGATTGAGTACTGTGAAAAGAAAAGGGGTGGAATACCGGAATATTCAGTTTCACCATTTAATGGTGGAGTTTATCATAACTTTCAAGAAGCATTAGGCAAGAATCCTGCCTTTTGATTATTTCCAATAAAATATAGGAGTAATGAAGAGAAAGGGTTACATTTTGTAAGAAAAAATGAGCAGGCTTAATTCTAATATGTTAAATATCGGGATATTATGGTATTACTATAAATAAAAAATTAACTCTTATGATTTATGATGATTTTGAGCCTGCTATATATATCAATCTGAAAATGAAATGATTGCTTTATAGATAAAAGAATCAGATATATAAGATCTATGATAAATTATTAAATAAATATATTTTTAAGCAATTCATATTTTACTTTTCATATTTTTATTTTTTAATTAAATTATTTTAGCACAAAGTAATTGCATTTTAGCTTGTGGCAGCTTGCTGACTTAAAGTTCGAAAGTGCCCTTTTACAGAGTTTTCTCTTAAAAAGGGTAATATAATACCTCGGTTAATTTTGAATAAATTCTTTTGATTCGGAGCATTAGCAGTTTTTACTCTTTTTCTTGTTCTCGCAGAATTATATGAATCATTCATGAACATTGATTTATTAGCTTCATAATTAAAATATGGCGTCTTCGTCTGGGCATGGCCTCCCGCCCATGCAGCCTCGACTCATATTTTAATTATATCCGGCAAGGTTTTACCATTTCAGAGATGGACAGCAATGCTAGGTAAGCAATTCTGGTAGCTTTCAGAGCCTAGCCCTAGTCTAATCTCAGGGGTGGATTTTTCCTCGTGGGAAAGGAGGGTACAAGGTTGGAAAGGGGAAGCTCAGCAAAGTCCTCTGGACCATTCGGGCAACTCCCTAGCGTGAAACTGGGCGTTACGTCCAGGCTTTGTATTTTTCCTTTTTGCCGATAGCTGACCAGAAAAAATCCATTTTTTGGGTTTTTCGGAAAAGCAACCCATGTACAAGCAAGTAGCTCATTCATGAGCCGTCGAAGACCTGGACATTTGCCCTAGAAGCACCTTGGAGATCGAAGCGAGTCTGTCCCCAGCGGACTGGTGGGCCCGATGCGACGAAAGGCGAGTGATAAACCTGGGGTCGTAACCCCGTAGTGGACGTTAAGCGATATAAATTCCATAAGATAAGATAAGATTTATTAGCTTCACTTGATACAGATCTTTCTGCAAAAAAGCTCCTACCAGAAAGCTCAACCTGAGCTCTTTTTGTGTCTTCACTTATTAATGTCGCCGGAGGAGCTTCAAGAACTCTTTCAATATCAGCACTTACTTTAACATTTTTATAATAATCCTCCATATATCCATTATATTTATAAAAAGTTGGAGAAAGCTTATCCTGTGCAACGTGATAATCTAGTGCCATGTTCAGCTCTTTAACGTCTTTATCAGAAAGTTTAGCGTCTGGAGGCTTATTTCGGGTTTTTGGAAGCTGAATTTCTCTAACTAATATATCAGTAGCATAAGAAAACCATATTTTTCCTAGATCATCTTTCATAAACTCTGCTCTCATTTTCAAAATCTCTAAACTCGAGTGAAAATACAGGATCGCTGCTATCCGTCTGCAGATAATTTCACAGTAGGCTATAGGATTATCGTTCATGAGCTGCTCCTCATTCTCAACGTAGTCAATATATGCTTCAAAAGCAGGGTCAAATTTATCAGTTGTGAAATACTCTATGATAATCACATCTCCTAATCCACCTTTGCATCGAATTATTGTTTGTATGTAAACGAGTTTCTTTCATACAGCGCTTCCTAATCTTTCATACATTAAATTAAAGAACTCTCTTTCATTAACTCTCCCTTAAATTGGAAACAAACCATTGGCAAAAAATTGTTTTTTAATAGGAAAATTTTATCAATGAGTATTGTAATTGCCCGAGGATGGCGCCATCTTGCGCCATCCTCGGGCAATTACTATATTAAATTTTAAAATTAATTTTACCTAATTTAATAGACAATACACTGAATTAATTAATTTTTTTATTTAATTCTTCATAAAATTCAAACCATTGTGCTCAGTTTATATTTGTCTAAAAAAAATTAAAGATCAAAATACTAATTTTTATAACATTAGTTTACCCTAATTTAATAAAAAAACGTACAATAGAATTTTATTTAAGCAATTGATTATTTTTTTTATTTTTTTTTAAAAAAAAATTTCAAAGTATTTATATATTTTTTAAAAGTTTTAAAAATTTTTATGATAATAATTTAAATTGGAACAAAATTTTTGGTTCCAATTTAAAGAGGGGTTGGAGTAAAGAACTCTTAAAGGTCCATCTTCATCCAAAGGGTTATTATCAAGATGATCATTGTCCCTATCTTTGGCTGTATATCGAAGCAAGGCTATTTCTTTCCCGTAGATTTCTGCAGCTATTACCTTATTATTTTGACCATGAATTAAGGCTTTTCGCTCTCTAACTACCTTTGTAAACTTTTTCATTATTTCAGTTAGGCTTACATGGTCTAAATTTGTGTTAAATCTTCATGATCTTTCACCTTTTGGCTGAATTAAGTAAGCTATTCTTGCTTTTCTGAAAGCAACAATGTCAGGGGTGAAAATTCGGATATTTAGGCCTTGACTATGATTTCCTATTTCTTCTAACAGCCAAGTAAAGCTTTTCAAGATTCCTAATTTTTGCGCCCTTACAGATTTTCTATGTGCTGGGGTAACTGGCTTTTTCACCTTGTTTTTCGCTTGGATTTGGCAAACAGAGCACATGCAATAAAACAAAGGGACTGAAGAATTTCTAGCATTGTGGCTTGAGTGGCGATTTTCATTCTGCTGAGTGCTGTCGTTATTTGAACAAGTTTCTGAGCTGCATATATCTTGGCGACCTTTGTTTGCATAAATATCATCCATAGTGTTTGGTGTTTATTTTAATTATTTAAATGAAAAAAGCTGGACAAATAGTGAGGGTCTCTTCCATCTCAGATAATATTGACTCAGAACAGAAAGGAAAATATATTGAATATTGTATTGGGCAGGTAGAAAAAGAGCTAGATGGATTAGACTTGACAGAAGAGTAAATTTTATTATTAAGATTAAGATTACTTACTCCCCCCTCCGTAAGCGAACAAAACCATTGGAAAAACCCATCCTCCACGAGTGAACAAAAAATTTTTTTAATATATAAAAATTTGTTATGAAAAAAATTGATATATAAATGATAATTATTATAAGGAAATCTCTAGCTAATTTATTTAATTTAAACAGCTTATATATTAAATTTTTTGTTCACTCACGAGAGGTGGGATTTAGAATTTTACGGCGATACACTTCCGTAGGAGTAATGTCTGAACCTCCTTTTAAATTCCCAATTGATGATGTCGATAGTAATCTTGTCCAGCAAGTAGATAACCCCACCAAAGGACCAGAAAGACTTCACTGTTCGGGTTAACCTCGCTTCAGACTTAACTCCTGCGCATGTTCCCATTAAGGATCACCTCCTCGGATGAGTCAATCGCAAAGTTCCTATACATCCTAATACCCTTGGATCAAGGACTTACCCTATGCAATAAGCATTATGAATAAAGGTTCACCAGATAAACCGAACCCTATAAGAATAAAATTCGCAGAGGTTTATAGAGTAAATAATTTCCATATGTTGCCATTTTATTTTTACGAGTAAATTTTATACAGCGAAAAACTTGAAGTTCAAAGCCAAGTCTCAGAATTAAGAAGAAAGATAGAAGAGTGTAGCCAGCCAAAAGCAAACAATGAAGCTATACTGGATTATAAGAACGAAATAGAGAGATTAATAGAAGAAAACAACCGCATTAGGGCAGAACTCCAACAAATTGAAGACCAAGAAGAATCGTTTTACCAAAATAAATGGCTCAATTAACTGTCGGATAATTTAAATTTTTATATTTCGTAACTCAATTTGTCAAGCAATGATTTATTGACTTAAAGCACCTGGGTATTTTGTACAAGCATTTCATATAGGTAAACTTTTGGCAAGCAAAGACTTAATCGCTTCAGATCTCCACTTGCCAAAAACATAATTTGCTGAGCAATATAAAAACTTATATAATTTCAAAACATGCAAAGTAATCTTACATAATAAAGCATTTATCTCTTTATGAAGTTTCCTATAAAACTATTAAGCAATTTATATATAAATGGGAAGCTCTTACCAAAAGATTTTAGAGCAACTTGCACAATTAAACCTCTACACACTTTCTAAAGAATTTTTGCAAATATCAGGCACAAATATAAGGGTAATTCCGAAAGACCTGCCGACTCTGAAGAAATTTTTATGAAAATTGCATGGAATCGCTAAATTTAAGGTGTATAAGCTTATAACAGATTCAGTATGAGTAAAAATAGCCACCTTATACATAAATGAAATACAAGACTTAATTCGAGTAGTCATGCAACTCAAATCTCTAGACATGCTTCAAAAGTCAACTCCCTGTAGAGAGGTTGAGTGCTCAATTTGCCTAGAGATAAATGCTGATGTTATTTTGCAGTGCGGGCATGCATTTTGCGATAAAGATATCTCAGATTGGCAAAGCCGTGGCCATACTTGTCCTCTTTGCCGAGAGCAAATAGAATTACGAGAAGCTTATACAGATATGCAAGAGTCTCCAGAGGAAATTGAAAAAGAAATTAGAGAAAACTTGAAGGAATTAGTTAATCTTCTTCATTATAGCAAGCGCTAATTTGGGCTTTTATTGAGTGTAATAATCTTATTTTTATTAAAGTTGATTTGCTACATTTTTAATAATATAAATAAAGAATTCATGTCTTTTCTTTCTATATAGATAAAATGTTTAAATTCAAGTGATTAAAAGCAAAGTGACAATTTGAAAGTAATTTGCATGAAATTAAGTCTCGGTAGAGCAAATCATAAAACTAAAATAGCTTAAAAGAAAAAAATATTTAATATAATCTAAAGTATTCTATTAATTTATGGCTTCTTCTATTCTATTGTGCTGAATCGTGTCAGCCAGCTTAATTTTACAATTCTGGGAGATATATCCATATAGTTGACGCTTTTTGTCGAGCCCTGATCCAAGTTAGTTGCCGGAACTCTTATTCTCATTAATGATATGCTCTGCATCCTTGCCCTTTCAATTGCGCTACCAACTTCACTTTCCCTCAACTTTTTAAGATTCCTCACGCAATTTTTGCAAACTCTTTGCATATCAAGATAACCAAGTGAGTCTAGTTTCGCTAGATAAGGAGAGCATTTATTGCAAACAGATTTTCCACAGCTACTACAGCTGTGATATCGTCTAAAAATTCCAAAATGTCTCTTGCATGAATAGCAAAGTCTTGCAATTTCCAACGAAGGCCTTTTTGACACCAGAAGTGCAAATTTTCATTGAATAAACTGGGCAACAGAGTGCGTTCTGAGCTTCCATATGTATGAGTTCCCATTGATCTGGAGTCCTAAAACTATTTCATTCAAAAACGCATCTTCTGCTGCAATTTGCTGGTTTTGGTTCATTATTATTGAGTGTTCTAGCTTGTCATTAATATAACTACATAATTTGTTTTCATGGAGAACTAATGTGACAATATCGAATGCAATGTCTTTTTTAGTAGGATCATAGTCACTTGCAGATGATACATATCTATCAAAGTTTGCTCGGATTGTCTGAGATTTTGTTCAGTATATGTTCCTATTAGATTTTGCATTTTTATTTCCCATTTTTATATTTTCATTCTCACAGAAATTTTGAACTAAAAATATAAATTTTGGCATGTTCATAGATCTGATTATTTTTATTATTAAAAACTTGACAAACCCAAAATTGATTTCCCTTCCAATCTGATTTATAAATTATGTATCTAATAAATGTTAAATATAAGCCTCAAGAGCTAAAATTAATAAATAAAAATTGAGATAAGGCATTTAATTAGCTAAAGCAGGTATGAATCGAGATCAGTTTGTGTAAGTGATTTTAGTTGTCTTTGAAACCCATTATTAGGCCTTGCCATACTTCTTTTTGATTTTACTCAATTATATGCATCTTCAATATACATTAATATGGTGGATGCGATCACCCGACCTCTTGACTCAATTTCTGCAACACCTTCAGGGAACATCTAGGTGGAGGACTCAAGTTGAGAAATACCGGCAGAGGTTTTCTTCGTATCACAGGATATGATACCTGTTGCATAGAGTTTTTTCTCCTTACATAGGATTGGAAAGGGTGCAGTCGGTTATCATCCGAGATACCTACTCGAATTAGGGACTCTGAAGACAGCAGGTGCTGAGCGTGATACTGGGAGTTCTGCCCCAGTCTCAAGCCTTTAGAGACCATAAGCCCCGAAATCAAGCCAGGTTGGTAATTTGAACCAAGGTAGTCGGTGTCAGCCGGGATTCCGTATGGGGCAGCTGAGTGCAGAGGTGAAAATCCTCGGCCGAGTTTAGGCAATAGAACTAATTTAATTTAATACGCATCTTCGAACGGAAGTTTATGTTTAGCCATTAAATAGGCTACAATTATAGATGAACTTCTTGATATTCCAGCAGCACAATGTACAAATACCTTTCCTCCAGCCACCAGATTTGTATGTATAAATTTCAAAGCACTCGGAAGAATTCTTATCAAATTGCCATCAACTCTGTCCATAATTGGAGAATGGTGATAAACAATATTAGAAAACTGGGGGCAAATATCATTGCTTTCGAGCACTTGCACTATATGAGTAATTCCAAATTCTCTTAATATTGTTTGATCTTCTGCTGCGAAAATACTTCCTAAATAAAGATTTGGCTCTATTTCATCAATATCTTGATTCGTTTTTGTTCTATAAACTTCTACCATTTAAGAAGTATTTATAATACAAAAAAGTTCATCCCAGCTTAATAGCGAATAATGTAAAAGAAATAACTAGAAGTTTATAAAATTAAACATAATTTATATTCATTTATCAACTTTTCATCAGAATCGGCAAAAGAGTCCATTCATTTGAGCTTTAAACGTCGTTTTTGAACTTTGCTTTATTGAATATCATAAAAAGCCATTTAGTTATATTTTATTATTAGTTAATAAATAAATTATGGTGTAATGATGAATAAAATACTTTCGTTCTGCTGAACATTGAGGAAAATATTTTATCTGACAAAATTATATGCATTCCTTAATCAAAATTCTTACATCCTTCGTTAATGCTATCCTAATCTATGAAGCTAAATCAAGATCTAAAAATAAGGAAAATTTGAGACAGCTGATTTATTTGCAGTATCAATAGTTTAGTAAAATAAAGTATATTCTTAGCATCTGTTAATTCTTACTTACTTCTTTCAAAAAATCTGTTCCAGTTTAAAGGGTTAATTTTTTTTTAAAAAAAAGCATATTTTCTGATTAAATAAGTTATTTATTTTATCTAGTTTTTCGCCAAAAATGCTAACTTTGTTTAAATATTTAGTCTCATATGCAAATAGAACTAGTTATAAGTAATTTTATGATTTTTGAGAATTAAATCGGTTTCCAAAGCTACATATAGAAATTATTATAAATATTAATTTTTTCCATGTTGAAAGCGGAGATAGATTTAATGATATCTATTCATACTATTTACTAAACCAACATATTAAGTTATAATATTTGGATTCTTTTTGGGTAAATATTTCGGGTTATTCCATGGTCCTACATTACTATTTATGCACCCTCCTGGACAACTGCAAGTTCCTCCTAAGAAATCAGGCAAGTTTTCAGGAGGTGCTAGTTCAAACAGCTTATTTTGAAAATTTTTGCCTTCAATACTTATTTTGGACTGCGTTCTTTCATCAAGCCACGGGCGAACCACTTTTCATGCCAGATTAAACAACCCAGGAGTGTTAACAACAAACATTTTCCCTAGCATTTCTGGATAATAGTCTTGTGCAATTGATGAGGCCAATTTAATAAACTTATACACATTTTTGCTCATAAGTTTGGTCGTTGCACCTCCAAGATCCAAAATGGTGAGTGTTTGCTCCACAGTATGTCCAGCTAGATTAGCACATGAAGGAATTTTTTCATTTACTGTGCCTTCATATTCTCTTATATAATACTTGAGCATTCTTTCTTCAGTTGTGATTTCAAAGAGTTGCTTTATTTGAAGCATCCCTATTCTTTCAATATAGATCGGTCTTCCATGTCTATCTGTTTTGTGAAATCCATGAGGATACACTTCTTTTACTTGAGGAAGTTCATTGAACTCTCAGGACGCTATTTCATTTACTCCGTTATCTTCTCTTCATTTCAAATAATTTGTGAACATCAGCCTTGATTTTTCGTAATCGAATTTGCGAGCTCTTAAAAATCTGCCAAGAGTGTGATCACTGTATTTTGATCCAAATTCTCGCTTGAATCTTGCGAAAACTTCTCGCTCTTCGATGGTTAAAGTTTCTAGTAGTCCTAGCAATGGTGTTGTAAGCTGCTTAACTTCTTCTATCTGTTTAGGGGCATCATTGATGTCGATCGATGTTAAATGAGACTCAGAATGCCCGACACTGATGTCTATTGCTTCGACTTCAACTTCATCATGCGAAACTTTGATGTTGTTTTCTAATTTCAACTTTTTGTGAGTTCGTATTTCTACTTGATTTTCTTCAATTTCTTCGGGTTCTGAATGCTCATCTTTTTTTTCTGGTTCTTCTATCTCTTTAGCAGAGCTAATACTTTCTATATCAATTACTTCCACCTGATAGCTTTCTTTTTGTGACCCTATTTGAGAAGCAAATGATTTTTTTGCTTCTTCATTCATTCGCATTATTTTTTCCACTCTTCATAAGTTTTCTCCTTTTTTCTTTACTCCCATTTCTTCGTTCCCTATCAAAATAGTGAAACTTCATATATAAATTGGTGGATATAGCTTTTCTTGATATACCGGAAATTCTTCGAGCTTTGTAATTTGTTTTGTTGGGAAAAAAATTTTGAAATGGTGTTTAAATCTTTTATTTTCATTGTCCCGTTCACTTAAAATCTCTACAGTTGCCCCATCTACTATGCATATTGTCTCATTCAAACCTGTTGGCAACTCATATTGCTCATCTATCAGCTTTCATATCTTTCCGTCTTGCTTTATTGAATAAATTGAAGTGTTCCACCTCAATTTTTCGTTTTCATATATATGTCCGCCTATCAAATAGATTTTATTGCTATATACAAATGATCCAGGATTAAGCAGATTTTTAATACTTAGCCCTTCCTTTGAAAATTTGTCATCCAGAATTTCTCATGCTTCGAGAGTTCCATTTATCCTCATAAATGGAGCAGGAGTGTCAATACAATCACTGTTTGGTTTTGTCAAGTGTGATACTCCACCTATATAATAAAGCCAATTTTCAAATTCCAAAATCGTTCCCTTCTTTACTGATACAGGTACATCAGGGAAAAATTTGATTGTTTCAAAGAGTGGGTCAATTAAAAAGGCTTTAGATGTCAATGTTCCTGATTTTCGGCTTCCGCCAATAAGAAAAATTTGAGAGTTCAAGAGTAGACCTATTCCAGAATCTTGCTTTATTTTGGCTTTTCCTTTAAAGCTTGTCCTTTGAATTTCATTAGGGTTTAGAGTAATTAGAGATTTGCTTACTCTGTCTAATACTTTGAATTCGGGAAAACCAATATGTTCGATTTCATGATTCTTACTCTTCTTTGATTTCCCACAACAAACTCCCATTTTATAAACTTTTAAACTTATTCTTATCTAACAATATAGAACATAAAATAAAATAAAGCAGCATATATAAACGAATAATCGTGATATTTTAAATAAAAAATAAAACAATTACGTAAGATTTATTAACAACATAATTTATTCTTTTAGAACTTGCGAATCTGTTGATAGATCAAGCTTATGCATTGTTTTAGCATGAAATATGTCTGTATCGCTATGTCTCATAAAATTAAAACGCTCCTCATTTTCTTCTGTTACTGGAGGTGGCTTATTATTTTCATTCAGCTTTATATCAGGCTAGTACATTTTGATAAATTTTTTTACAGAAACAGTTTATCAAAATTTTTCCTCATCAGATATTTGCTCGAAAAGTGGTAAAAGTGTTGAGTAAATATTCTTAACTTCCCCCTTAGTTATCAGGAAGGGGGTCAGGTCGATCTATAATTGTGTTCCCACTAAAAACATCTTATCTTATCTTATATTATCTAGTGGCTACAGCCACCCAACGGTCCTTATGGACCATTTTCTTTCTTCTTCCCTTCCCAAAACATCGCTCCAAACCTCGCATCACCATGGCATTTTCCAAGTCCTTTCCCTTTTCCCACCGTGACACTTTTAGCAATCTTTCCTTCTTGCTTGATCTTCCGTTTGCAAGTCTTCCAATAGCACCACACCCTGTCCTTGAGTATCTCCAAGTGAAAACCTCTTAATTTTTGAGTTCTCTGTTGTCTTTATTGCTGGATTTTTTGCTATCTTCTTTTGCTGATTTTTCTATTGGCTTTCCTGTTGGGTTTCTGTTGGCTTTTTCTGTTGCATTTTCTGCTGGTTTTTCTGTTGGCTTCTCTCTTAGCTTTCTGTTTGGCTTTTCTGTTGGTCTATCTGTTGGCCTTTCGGCTGGTTTTTCTCCTAATTTTGCAAAGTCCTCTCTGTTGGGCTCTCTGTAGTTTTTGCATCTAATCCTTCATCCCTACTTTCCTTACCTCTATTTCTTGTGAACTCTGCCTTAATGATCCTGTGGTCAGGATCAGCTCATTCTCATCCAACACACTTCCTTCAAATCCTGCAATTCAGCTTCTCACCTTCTCAAACTCCTCCATCCCTAATTCATTCTCTCAATCGTTTTCGTTTTCAGCATCTCTTTCTTCATCTTCATCCGAATCCGATCCAAGAATTTCATCAACCTCAAATCAGAACTCGTCATCATAAAATAAACTGTCTCCATCAGAGCTTTCCCATAAATACGAATCTTCGCCACTGCTAAATCCTTGATCACCGATTAAAGCCGCTTTGTGGCTGAATTTTCCTTTTAAGAAATTTATGCTCCATCTCTATAAAATAAAAAGTAAAAACATCTTATCAGTTAGCCAAGGGGAGTGAGGAAAAATCCTCCAAATTTCTTGAGGAAATCTCACACCTGCACAAATTATAAAATAAAAATCATGCATCCTTATATGAGAATTATCTTTTGCCTCAGCTAGCTGTGAAAAATCAATCATTTTTAATGCTGTTAGCTGCGCTTTTTGTTGATTTTTTAAAAAAACTATAACTCTTTACTCCCTCTTTCTTTAAGCGACCAAAATCCACTTATTTTTGGAGCTAATCTTGCATTCTAAACATAATTTTTTAGAAATTGGTATGATCAAAAAAAATTAAATAAATATTTAAAAAAAGCAGAGGAGGAATTAGGAATTGTAAAATTGTCCTTAAAATCATAAGAACTTCTCCTGTAATTCCACCAATGTCCTCATCTATATCAGAATCCCACAAGCCAATTGAAATAGCAACAATACAAACAATAACAACAATAAGATCAAAAATATTTGATAAAGATTTCCAATAAGCATGACAATTCTGAATATACATTCTAACGCAGACTTCAAATGCTATAAGCACTGTAACTAAGCCTTCAAGCAGTCAAAATCACATATTGTCAGGGAATTGACCATGTGAAAGTAAAGTTCAGACTATGCCAATTGCACAGAGGATTATAACAATTATATATCCAACTCTTGTGTATTTAGAAAAGTATGCTCGGTTCATGCAAAGTTTACAATGATTTTGCCTGGTCTTTAAGAGCTGGTTTGTGGATAAAACATCGCTAGGGCTGTAGAGGCCAATATCTTTTCTTGTGCTCATTTATTAACTTATTATCAATTAAAAGCAGATTATAAATTGGAGAGCTAATTTAAGAAACATTAATAGATGATTACCCAATAAATTAATGCTGTCTTTTAACCTGAAATAAATTTTCAAATTGATATCTGGCTTTGAGAAAATTCAAATAAACTCGGAGATAATGAATCTTACCTGCCAATAAAAAAAATCAAATGTTGAGTTAATCATCAAATGATTAGTTGCCTATCAAAATTCCCATGTTCGTTAGATTTAACTGGCAATTATAATCCTGGATTATTTATTTATAGCATTAGTTACATATCTATCCATCTAACCCTTTTTCCATCTTTCCACTCTCCCTTCCTTCTTGTACCATCTGGTGTCATTATCCATCCTTCCCCATGCTGCTTTCCATTTTTCCAATACCCATCATACTTTCTTCCATCAACCCACAAGTAAATCCCATATCCATGCTTTTTATCATTCTGATATTCTCCCTCATATTTTCTCCCATCTTTCCATGCATAAACCCCTCTTCCATGCATAGTTCCGTTTAGTCAGTCTCCTTCATATTGTCTTCCATCATATCACGTATAAGTTCCTTTCCCATTAATTTTATTATCAATTCATTGCCCAGTATATTTCGACCCTTCTTTCCAGATGTAAGTCCCAAATCCATGCTTTTTGCCTGCTTTATAATATCCTTCATACTTGCTTCCATCAATCCAAGATTCCTTCCCATATCCATCTTGAATATCATCTTTTCATTCACCTTCATACATTGCGCCATTAGCTTGCTTGTAAGTTCCTTTCCCGTTAGCTTTATCATCTTTTCATTCTCCATCATATATATCTCCGTCTACATGCCAAAATTTTCCTTTGCCATGAGCTTTGTTATCTTTTCATTGGCCTTCATACCTGGCACCGTCTGGCCACGTTTGTATGCCATAACCGTCTCTGAATCCTCCTTTCCACTGGCCTACATATACAGCTCCGCTTTTAAATCTATAAGGAGGTCGATCTTCTCGTTCAGGAATTCCTGACTGTTTTGCTGATAGTGTTTCACGAGACTCTTCATCTGTAAAGTACTTTCCATTCATCCTTTGCTTTTTACGGAGATGAGCCACTAGTTTTCTGTCTTGATGGCCACGCCACATGGCTTGAATTTTTATGATCCTTGGAGTGTACTTCTTTAATTTCAACAATAAATCTGGAGGAATTTCAGATTTGGCTTTACTTTTATTTCTAGCAGTTGCAGTTGTTTGATTTTCTAGTATTTCAAGCTCAGTTTTAAGCTCGTTTTCTCTATTTGCACATGAGCATCCGGAGCAATTAATTCCCATTTACAAAATATAGCGGGTGGACCGAGAAATGAAATTTGAAATGTGATTGAAATTTGGCGATTTTATTAATAAGTCAGCTTAATTTTTATATTAAGCATATAGTTATTTTTTGAGACTTATTTAGCCAGGATATTTGCTAGAGTTAAATATTCGTGATAATAAAACTAAAATATAATATTAAAGCCTTCGAATAATGGAAAGTCTATTGGAAGGAAAAGGATTGCTGATTTGTAAAAAAAACCATAATTCTAAACATTCATGAGGTATCTTAATTACTTTTCTTATTATTTTCTCTAAAAGCTTATCATTTGTAAATCACAAATTATATGCTAAATTTGTAATTAGGAGAACAATTAAATATAATTATTAGCAAAATGACAAGCAAAGCGAAAAGAAATTCTGAAGAATTTGACCCAGGAACTGTTATTGAAGAAAAGGTATCAAAGCAAAACGGAGAGACATCAATCCGTCGGTTTATAAAAGGTAGATTTCTTGGGAAAGGTGGCTTTGCACGATGCTATGAGTTTACAACCCAAGAATCCCACAAGTTAACAGCAGTCAAAATTATCCCTAACTCCGGCTTGGCTAGCAAGCTATGTCATTAGAAAATCCCTATTTTTGAGAAAATTAATTCATCTTCATTAACTAGTAAGAAATGTTTTAATTAAACAATTTTCAAATATAATGGTTTGTTATATGATTTTTATAATTATGAAACATAAAATGGTATTTAGTTTGAGAAAAATTAGCTTTGTCATCTTCTCCCCCTCATGGAATTTTATTGTTTTACCTTAAGAACTTTTGCACGCCAATAGTGGTTTAACTTTTAGTCCCATAATAAGTCTAGGAGACCCATCCAACTCCATCCAGAGGCTTGGGCTTATCCACTTAGCACGCCTGAGGAGGTAATTTTATTCGGAACACGCAGGAGCTGTTACTGGCTGGCCTAAAAGGGCGTTATATCTCTGCAGCAGTCGGATTTTCTAAATATTAATTAGATAAGATAAGATTAATAATAAATAATAATAATAATTATAATTATAATTATAATTATAATTAAATATACATTTAATTCTATTAAAATTGATGAAATATTTATAAAGTTTGATTATTCCAATCTGAATAAAAAATTATTAATAAAATTAAAACAAGAATTCACACGAGGTCAATAAAAAATCTTGCTCGCCAGCCAATGGTGTAAGGCGTCTTTAGCTAAAGCAAGAGCCAAACAAAAGCTCATATCAGAAATAAAAATTCACCGATCCTTGCATCATCCCAATATAGTTGGTTTTGAGCACTTCTTCGAGGACTCTGAAAATGTGTATATTATGCTGGAGTTATGCACAAATCAAACTATGAATGAGCTTCTAAGAAGAAGAAAAAGGCTGACGGAGCTGGAAGTTCAATGCTATTTGGTTCAGATCATATCAGCTTTAAAATATCTCCACATGCACAAAGTAATCCATAGGGATTTGAAACTTGGAAACCTTTTCTTGTCAGATAAAATGGAAGTTAAAGTGGGAGATTTTGGCTTGGCAGCGAAATTGGAATTTGACGGAGAAAGGAAAAGGACTATTTGTGGAACTCCAAATTATATTGCACCAGAAGTTTTAGATGGGAAGCAAGGACATTCTTTTGAAGTTGATGTATGGGCATTAGGAGTAATCGCATATACCATGCTTGTAGGAAAGCCTCCTTTTGAGACTTCTGATGTAAAAACTACTTATAGAAGGATCAGGATGATTTCTTACAGTTTTCCTGATAATGTCCCTCTAAGTGAGCCAAGCAAAAATATGATATCACAAATTCTGGTATGCGACCCGAATAAAAGGCCCACGCTTGACGACCTTTTAAAGCATCCGTTTTTTAGCCAAGGGAATGGATTTCCAAAGCTACTACCTCCTTCAACCCTCGCATGCCCTCCTTCTGAGTCATATTTAAATCAATTTGAAATAAGTAGAAGATCTTCACCTACAAATCGCAGATTGAACGAAACTTGTCCAATAGATTCGATCAAAACACCTAGACAAGAATTCATTAACACTGATAGAATTCCAAGATTCAGAGAAGAAAATAAATTTACTTTTGCAAAGCCTAGAAACAGTGATAACGGTCCTGAAATCTATGTCAAAAAATGGGTCGATTATTCAACAAAATATGGGCTTGGCTATTTACTTTCAGATGGGGCCATAGGAGTATGCTTTAATGACTTTTCTCTTTAAGCAATTAAGAATCTAGACACCAGGCTACGACTTAACGCCGACTATAAATAGCTACTCCAGAGCTTCTGTCCTTTTTGCATGTGCCAGGCTCACAGGCCGCTGGTGTTGCCAGCTTAAACAGCTCAAGAGTGAGCGACTTTTAATTTATTAATGATAAAGGCTCCTTGGCTACTGCAGGATGGAAGCTGGAAACCTGAAAACCTTTCAATTCCCTTAGCCCTGGCCAAATGGTAGACATAGGGAGGTTCGAGGGAGGGGGGACTGGGTTTCTATTTCTACTTGACCACGCATCCCCTCCAAGTTGCCCTCGAGTTATTTCCGAGATAGAGTTCTAATCTAAAGCTAAGCTCTCAATCATAAAATGAAATAGCGGTGTCAATCAGTATATAGGCACTTTAGGAATGCCGCCATTATATGATCATGCATGCTTTAATGATAGCACAAAAATTATACTCCTGCCTGCTGGAAAACGGTTTAATTATGTAACTCGACAAGGCCCTGAAAGGCAAGATGTCATAACTTGTTATTCATTGGCTGATTATCCAGCTGCACTTCAGAAAAAACTTACTTTGCTCCAACACTTCAAAAGTTATTTGGACGACAATGTATCTTTAGATATTGAGCTTGAAGATGATGATGACACTTCAAGTCAGGTGTATATGAAGAAATGAATGAGAACTAGGCATGCAATTATGTTTAGACTATCAAATAAAATTATACAGGCGAATTTCCAAGACCACACAGAAGTGATATTAGCAACTGATGTAAAAACAGTTACTTATGTTGATAAAAAAGGAGAAAGAAATACTTATCCAATAGCTGTAGCAGAAGAAAGTAGTAACCAAGAAATGACGAAGAGGCTGAAATATACGAAAGACATCCTTAATAATATGGTAAATCCGTCAAGCAAGCCAACGGAGACTGCTTCACCACTGGAATAATCAACATAATGTTTTATCAATTAAAACATTTTTTAGAAATAAGTTTTTATACAATAATTATGAATTTAAATATATAGTGCCAGTTTGAAATATAAAGTTAAATTATATCCTCACTAAGTCAATATTAGTATATTATTGGAATAAATTCTAGAAGTGTATACTTAGTCCAATTGGAACAATCCTGTTCCAATTAAAGGGGGTTCTTTTTTCTAAAAAATAAAAAATATATAAATTGAAAGAAATATTTTTGAATTTCAATTTATTTTACGAAGACCTAATTTAAATAATTAATCGATTAAATGTGAGAAATTGCAAATAATATTTATCTTACAATTTCCCCATTAAATTAAGTCAAAAATAATTTTTAAAATTAGTTTTTTCGCTTATAAAATTTTCCTATTAAACACATTTAATCCAATTTAAAGAAGTTATATCATCTAAAAAATGAAAATTTTATCTATATTATATTTAGTTCCAGTTTAAATTGGAGAGTTAGCTAATTAGTTTTTTTTGTAGATTTCTTAAATTGCCATTATTTCATAATTTAAGATTAATTAAAGTCAGATAATGAGAACTTATTAATAATGGCAAAATGTCTCTAAATCGCTCAAATGTCCAATATTAAGATAATTTATTAAATTCTTCTTCTCTGAAATTTGATTAATGAAGTAAATAAATAATGCACAGAAAACTTTCCAAGAAATGGTGAGCTGAAGAAGTAAATGAAAAATATTCGATCTTACGATTCTTTGTTTACAGAAACATAAATATTTGCATATTTTTGCTCCTTATTTTTGCTTTATGTGCTCCTAACAGTCTTAATCTCCTTGTTCAAGCCTTGCCAATAATGATTTTTCAAATATTATTTTGCTTTCTAGTCAATTACTTTGATACAAAAGATGAAAATAAAAAGGCTTTATTCGCAATAATTTACTCACTCTCCCTTCCGTGAACGAACAGAACCATTGGAAAAATACCTCTTTTTGCCCAAAGACCCACCCTCCTTGAGTGAACAAAAAATTTTGTATGAAATATATAAGTGATAATTATTATAATTAAATCTGAGCTAATTTTGTTTAATTTGAAGCAACCTGCATTTTAAAACATAAATTTTAGAAATTAAATTAATATTTGCTTTCTAATTTTTGCGAATTGGAATGTTTTTAATTTCGTAATAAAAATTTACTATAAAATTTATATATAAAAATTAGGATGGGAAGTCAGAATCTTGCTGCATTGGCCTATTTTGACTCTCTTACAATCATCTTAAAGACCACGTTATACTATGCGAAATGTTTTATGCTATTCTTATGATGGCATTTGAAATCCCTTTAATACAGACTCATTGAGTTAGATATGCAGTCACAATTAAGCATGCATTTATGTGGCATTATATTAACTACTTCAATGGAAATATTACTTTCGATTATAGCATCACTCCTCACATCCCTACAGTCCTCTGTCTGTTTATGTATAACCACATGACTAATATGAGGTCTGAAATCTCTTATGAACGTTTTTTAAATAGAGAAGGAAAATCAAAAGTAAAAAGAAGACTAGCTTTCCCTCCTTCTTTAAATTTAAAATAAATATAGGCAAAATTTCCATTGTTGAATAAATTAACCCCATTTAAATGGATCAAATAATGTTTTCAATAGTAAAAAGGCTAATCTTTACATAAATTGATTCTCTATGAAAATTATTAAAAATCAAAATTATTGCATTTAATTTTATTTTAAAAATATTTATTAAATTTTTTTGTTATCTCCAAAAAAAAAATTAATGACCTTTAAATATGGTGGAGTAAGCATAATTGTAAATGCATTCCCAGATGGGATTTTTATTCTTTCAGAAAATCTTGAAATAGTTTATACAAATGATAATTTATTAAGTTTATTACATTGTGACGATCAACATTTGATGGAAGTTATTTCATCTATTACTTATTATGAAGGTAAGAAATACTCAAATTTTTCAAATTCAAATCTATTGATAGAAGACTTAAAAGAAATTTTTAACCAAAACATCAGCAATGGCTTTATGCTTGGGATATCATTATATGGGGGAAATAACTATGAGTGAAAAGGACAAAAAATAATTTGAGAAGACCAGCATGCAATTGCCATAATTGTAAGAGATGCAAATCATATTATACAGCTTGAGCAGTCAATTTCAGATAGTAAAGTAAAAACTGTTATATTAAGGTCTGTATCGCATGAATTGAGAACTCCTATTAATGCCATTGCTTTTCTTGTAGAAGAACTGCTTGAAAAAAAGAATGAGAATTGAACAGAAGGTGAAGAAGAAAAACTTAGAATTATTTCAATTTCCACAAAACTGCTCCTAACACTAGTTAATGATTTGCTTGATTATAGTAGAATGCTGGCAGGAGCTTTTTCAATCAGGAAATGTGAATTTAACTTGAGATCTGCAATAAAAAATGCATGAGAACTTATAAAATTGCAAGCTGTTAAGAAAAATTTAAAATTGACTCTAAGAATTGACCCTTCTCTTCCAGTTAATATATATAGTGATCAGCTGAGATTTAGCCAGGTACTTTTAAACCTTCTTTACTCCCCCCCCCCCCCTCCGTGAGCGAACAAAAAAATTTTTGTTCACTCACGGAGGGGGGTTAATTTTTTTTTTAAAAACACAATTTATATATATAAATTTTATAAAAAAATATTTTTTTCGAAATTTAAAAAAAATCCTAATTTGCAAAAATTGGGAAGCAAATATTAATTTAATTTGCAAAATTTATGTTTTAAAACGCAATTTGTTTAAAATTAAACAGAATTAGCTCTAGATTTCATTATACTAATTATCACTTATATAGCAAAATTTTTTCTATTAAAATTTTTTCTATTAAAAATATTTTTGTTCACTCACGGAGGGTGGGTTTTTGGTCAAAAAATGGCGATTTTTCTAATGGTTTTGTTCGCTCACGGAGGGGGGGGGGGAGTTAGCAATGCACTTAAATTTACCTTGCATGGCTCAATCGAAGTTACCTTCGTTCTGAGCTTAATGAATCAATTAAAAATTACTGTTCAAGATACTGGAATAGGTATTGATTCAGACAAAAAGAATAGATTATTCCAAGAATTTAGTTCAGATGGATTGCCAACCATCAATCCCCATGGTTGTGGTTTAGGCCTACATATATCAAACAAAATAGCCAAAGAACTAGGAGGAAGTTCTATTAAAGTAAAGTCTCAAGTTGGTCAAGGCTCTGCTTTTTCATTTGATATTGACATATTTGATCATAATTCAAGCTTGATTGCTGAATCCTTAGATTATGGCACTTATATGGATGAAAACCCTGATCTTGGGATTCCCTTCAGTTTGCCTTTGATATCACATAAATCTGAATCACATCAAGTTCTCATTGTTGATGATAACGATTTTAATAGGGTTATTTTAGCTTCACTTTTGATGAAAAATGGAATACCGACCTTGGAAGCATGCACTGGGAAGCAAGCTGTTGATTTAATTTTAAAGAACAGCACCAAGGAAAAGATTCCGATAAAAGTAATTGTTATGGATGGAGAAATGCCAGAAATGAATGGCTGAGACGCAACTAAAAAAATCCATGAAATGTATTTTAAAAAAGAAATAAAGTTTCTGCCGAGTATAATTGGATATACAGCCTATAACACAGACGAGGATATTTCAAACTGTTTTAAATGTGGCATGCAAGAGTGTCTGATAAAACCTTGTGCTGCAGATAAAATATTAGCAACAATAATAAAATTTTTATAAATAATTAAGTAACTAAATATTATTTTTATTTTTAAATAAGCATTTTATAATAAAAATGGCAATTAATATTATAAGTATTTAAGAATAGCCGATATTAGTATTTCTGAACTGCACGGCTTTATTAGGCATTCCTTCATCCCACATTCAATGCATCGCTTTATGTCTTCATCTGTGCTATAGGCCGTATAGCCTATTATACTAGGCATAAAGCTAATCTTTTCTTTTTCCTTCAAATCTAAAATGGTTTTTGTTGCTTCTCAGCCATCCAACTCAGGCATTTCTCCATCCATTATGATTACTCTATAAGGCTTTTTGATGCAATCTTGCTTAAAAACCATATTTATTGCTTCTTTGCCAGTGCACGCTTCTGATGTTTCAATTTTATTGCGAGCTAATAATGATGATAAGATAGCTCTGTTCATATCATTATCATCTACTATAAGAACCTGAGGATTATTACTTTTGATTGTCGAAAGGTTTATGCTCAAAAAATTTATTTCTTCGGAAACACAATTTTCAATATCAAAATATTCATATTTGATATTTATAGGATTTTCTGATATCGAAATAGTAAAATGAAAGGTAGACCCCACTCCTTTAGTGGAATCCACTTCAATGTAACTTCTCCCAAGTTCTCTAACAATCTTATTCGAAATGTGCAATCCAAGGCCACATCCTTGAGGATTAATAACAGGTAAAGAACAAGTATTAAATTCACTGAATAAGTGTTGGAGCTTCTCTTTATCAATTCCAATTCCTGAGTCTTGAACGATAACTTTTAAATTATTCTGCATATCAAGTATACATTAAATTATGATTAATCTTCCTCTCGCTTAAGGTCCAATACCAAATTACCTATCTAGGATTCTGAGTTTCCCAGTCCACCATCATGTCAGGCATGAGCGGCTTCGCCCCTGATGGTCATAGGCTTCGCGCATTCCGATTTTGGCGAGCATCCTTCCTGCTATCAGGCAAAGCTAACTTAGGGTCCACCAAGCACACTAAGGTCCCAGTCTCCGCTGCCTGGGGTTTGTGGGATCCTTCCGAAAAATTCAAATTCCATAACTCCTCTGAGCGAGCAAAACCATGGAAAAATAAATATATTTCGATATAAGTGATAATTAGTAGATTAAAATTAAATCTTTAGCTAATTCTGTTATCATTAACAGATTGTATTTTAAAATATAATTCTGCAAAACTAAATTAAATTTTTGTGAAATTCTAAAAAAAAATTTATATATTAAAAAAGTTAACTCCTCCGAAAGCGAGCAAGATTCTTTTTGTTCTCTCACCGAGAGGGGAGTGAGGGGCAGGAGTGCTGCTCTAAGAACTGAAGGCTCTTAAAGCCTGCCAGAGCCGGATAAATTCTCTTGGGAAAGTCAAACCTCATAATTATAAAATGAAAAAAGAGAATTTTCGATTCGAGTGAAACCACTTTATCATTATGCATATCAAGTAGACAAATAATTTCAATAAATCCACTTATTGTAAATTTCAGAGCATTGCTTAAAAGATTCAATAATACTTGGCTAAGCCGAAGTGGATCAGAATAGATGCATTTTGGAATTAAATTGTCAATTCTAATGATTAATGAAATATTCTTCTTTTTTGCTTGAATATTAATAAGCTCACATGATCTCTCGACTATGTCTTTTAGCTCGAACCATGATTTTTGAACAGAAAAAACTCCTGCAAGCATTCTTGAATAGTCAAGCAAGTCACTGACGAGCGTTAATAATAATCTTGCTGACACTGAAATCATCCTGATTTTATCTTTATATTTATCAGCAATATCTGGTTCTTGAATCAATTCCTCAGTCAACAGTGAAATCGCATTAATTGGTGTTCTCAATTCATGAGAAACAGTTCTCAATAAAACTGTTTTAAATTTATCATCTGCAATGGTCCTTTCAAGCTCTATAACATGGTTCGCGTTTCTTCCTGTTATCACTAAAGCAGGCTTATCTTCCCATAAGATTTTTGACCCTTTTCATTCAATACTTGTATTATTAAACATGGAAATTCCAAACATCATTTCTTGGTTAAAATCTAGAGAAAACATTATATTGATGTGATCAATTAAAAAATTTGACTGAGTAAGGCTGCTGTATTTTTTGCCTTCACAAAAGTTAATTAATGACAAAGAATCAATCAAATTGTTTTGGGTGCACTCTAATAATACGAGCATTTTCAAGTTCGCATATTCAATTTCATTATTACTAGAAACTACAAAAAATCCATCCGGAAAGGCATTGATTATCACCTCTAGCCTATTTTCAGCTTTTTCTTTAGCTTTTCTAAATAGATATTTCTCATGAGCCACTTTAGTTATATGGTGAGAAATAAAATTATATATAAGAACATGCAAAAACATCATAATATGGCCAAGCAAATCTTGACTATCAATAACATCACCAGTGAAGTATTTATAATAATGCCATAGTATCACATGTTTAGCTAAAATAAAATTCTGAATAATCTTGCTCTGAATAAAAGGGAGCTCAAAATATCCCATAAGCAGGCTTCCTAGCATTTCAAATAATATGGGGTTATTTGAGTTGATAATGAGAGAATAATATCATAACGCAGAGTCACATCATTCTGTATACACAACGGGAAGCCAATATTTTTTATGGGCATTTTTGCTTTCTATAAGGTACATAACAAAGATAAACGTATACTGAAGTATTATGTAAGGCAACGCATTGACAAAAATCATGATGTTTTGAGGTGTCATAACTAGATAAAGAGTCCAAAATATTGCAAAAGTGCTTTTGGACGAGGTCATGTATTTCTTGAAAATTGCAAATCGCTGATTAACTTCATCTTCCCACCAAAGGATATAAGAATTTTCTTCCATTTATGACTGCTTATTTTTATTACTTATATCTTTATAACAAAAAAATATTTGAAATGCATCTTATCATTATAGACACAATTAAGGATTCAATATAGGGCTTCTGCTTCGACCAAAAAAATAAATATGAAAAGGTTATATTAATATTACTGACTGCACCCTACTTATTGCGCATTTTCATTAAGCATAATTTTATATTATGATATTTTGATCCTATGAATGATAATTAATTTATTTTAATAAAATTAGTAAAGAAAAATATAAACTTGCAGATTTCTGACTAGAAGTATATAGTCGGAATATAAATAGAAATTCCAAAAATGACATAACTTTCATTGCCAATACAAATAATTTTTAATTACCTTTTTATGATATATACATTAAAAATGGTGTAAAGATATACATCCTGACCTCTTAACACCTGCAGTGGTAATTTCATTGGAAAGCCGGAGATTTGTGTGGAGAGAATACAGCATCCGGAAATGTGTATCTGGCCCGGTTTTATATGTTTTAAAGGAATGCAATTTCAGGCTGAGTCGATCAAATGCTTATATCCAGACCAAGGTTTTATCCCAAAGGGAGATGACGCGCTGATGTTAGAATGGGACGCTTAGTAAGGTTAGAGTATCCCACTTGGATAATCAAGCAAATCTCCTTCACGATATCAGATATTGTGTCCTGAGCTCTAGGCTCCATCTTGGCTGAAACACACAGCCAAAAAATTCGTTTCGAATTTTCTGGAAGGCAAACCACGTTGACTTACTGCATGGCGGCCTAGCATCCTGGCTCTCGGACAGTGAGCGCAAGCAATCATCTATTAGGAGAAACACAGTGAAAGGCCGTGCCCAGACTGGCAAGCAATCGTTTGAGCGTTATGTGAGGCAAGTATTAGTGTGCGCGCCTGCAAGAGATTTCTCTATAAGTAATTTTAATTTTGCGTTTGAGCATTTTATGAAAATGAAATTATTTTAAAAATAAATTTAACAAATAAATATGAAAGTATTAGTTTGTTTGGCTTTGTCTCTTTGCGCACTATCCTTTGCAGCAGAAAAACTTCGTCTCACAAGAGAGCAGTTGAAAGAATATGATGGTACCAATGGAAAGACTTATTTAGCATGCGGCGGGATAATATTTGATGTTTCTGAATCGCCAAGCTATGCCAAAGGAGGAGGATATAGCATGTTTGCAGGAAGAGATGCCTCAGTGTCTTTGGCCAAAATGAGCTTTGATAAAAAACTACTTGATATGACAGTAGAAGAGGCAGAGCTAACTGAAGGGCAAAAAGAATCAATTGAAGGATGGGTTGAATTCTATACAGAAAAATACCCAATTGTTGGGGAGTTAGTCACATCTCAACATAGAGAGGATATCTAATAAATTAGAAATTATGAAATAGAGTTCTTCTTAATGATATTAGGGTTAAAAGTATAAATTAAATTTTATTTGTTTTAAATTATGATAAAGAAAAGTTATAGCCTGAACCTCCTTTTGGCTCAGGCTATGCCACGTCTCTAAAGTTGGAAGAGGGGCTAGTTTTGCACATTTGAGGGTAAAACCAACTCTAGATGGCAAATCTCCAATATAGAGTGGATTTGTCATCGGAGGAGTTGGTTTTATCAACCAATGTGTAAAGCAAATCCCTTTCCGATGTCGGGAGATATCGTTATAAACCCGAGCGAAAAGGAGGGCTGAGCTATAGGTAAGAATTTTGTATAACTATTAAGTAAACTAACTTTTCAGCCACTCAATATGTATGACTAAATAATCAATCCTATTGTAAATAAATTTTTATAAATTTATTGAATCAAGCGGCAAATAAATTAATTTAAGTTTTCTATGATTTAGATTTTCTAGCATTTTTTGTTTAGCGTTAATTAATTTCATCATCTGAATTCATTTCTGTTGATCCCATGCAAGGCATATAAGGGTCTTCTTCATTTTCAGGTTGTTCAAGGCAACTTCGGAAGATTATCATAAAAAAGGGAACCAAAATCGTCATAAATCCTGAAATCGACCACATTTTCCAGCACTCTCTATCACCATTTTCCGGGCAATACGTATCAAGCAAAAACCCAGACATCAGGCCTGCAAGTATAACGCTCAATACTATTGGCGATGCAGCAACTGCTAAAAAAACTCCTTCTCTGCCTTTTGGAGTTATCTGCAATGTATAGTCTATTAATCTTGGGGAATAAATACTCTCTCCAATCGAAACAATCACAATAAACGCTATCACTGTTAGGTAGCTTCCACCAAAGAGAAGCGGTATAAAAGATAAAGATGAGATAAAGCCTCCAATCGCTAGCAATGTGTAATGGCTAAAATAATATACCAAAATTGTGCATGATGGTATTGAAATAATCATTATCAGCTTATTAATTGCCAATATATACCCAAAGTGAGCACCTTCTCCGATTTCTCTGTACATATAAATTGGCAGCACAATGAAAATATACATGTACACGGCTTTTATGATTACTAAAAGAAGGGCTAAGACGAAAAATCTTCAAAAGCTCTTTAGAACCATACACTCTTTAGTATGTTTCCAGCCATCCAGATTCCTTTGGCTTAAGTCGACTTCATTTTCTCCAGAGTCTTCATAGTCCAGCTGCCTTAACCTGAGACCTATTGTCGTTGCAATTACAAAGATGCATGCTCCTATAATAAAGATAATTTTAAAAGTCGCTTTTTCAGTCCCAAATAAGGTCAAAATGAAGTCTACAATAATTCCTGCCAGCCCTGATCCAGCAAAGAACGAAATAAATAAAAATGAATATCCTAAGCTTCTGGTCGTAGTTAAGGTATAGTACTTTACAGCTAATTTTACAGTGGGTATATTTAATGCAAAGGAAGTTGAGCAAAAAATAAATAAAACAAGGATTTCTACAACAGTGTTATTTGAAATGAAGAGTAAAATGAACATCATAAAACCTAAAAGATTTGATAAAAGTAAAGATCATTTTATCCCATACCGATCAATAAATTGGCCAAGACAAAGTGATGAAATTACTCCTGAGAGTCCAAAACTTGCAATTATATATCCTGCCACAATGTCGCTGAAGCCTAAAATTTTTGTAAAATAAAGAGATAGACTAACGACAATCATGCATAAAGCTCCATAGGCAAATAGTTCATATATATATAATAATCAAATATCTCTCGGGGACTGTGCAAGCTCTCTGAAGCTTCTTAAGAAAGTGTAAAAAGCCTCTTTTGTGCCCAGTTTTTGATTTATGAGAGGTGTTGATTCGGTATATGCTTCTATCGGTTTTTCCATTTACAACGTTCTTTAAGATTCAAATAAAAATCTGTTATTTTTATTCATTATGAGTTGATAATTGTTAATAATTGCTATTTTCAAAGATATTAAAAGATAGCTTTTAAATATTTTAGCGAAATAAATTTAACAATTCTAAAATATGTGCGTTCTGGATTTCTTGCATGAGAGACCAAGCATTTAAAACTAACAGGTGCAATACATCAGTTGATAGTAATTAAAAGTATTATGATGGATAAATATGATAATACTTATAGTATGAAATTTAAATTATACAATCGGCATTAATCACTTTTTTACAAACCTTGAGAGAAATTTTGCTTTTTTAGTGTTTCAGTTAAAAAAAATATGCAAACGATTTTATAAGCAAATTTCGCTGTAATTTCTATATAAATGCTATTATAAAGAGGAGAAGAAAAAGATGACTTCTTGAAAGATCTTGATAAACAACTTGAGTAAAAACAAGTTTCATAATGACCTTGCAGAAAGACAGAAATTTAATAAATAGAGAAATAGTATCAAGGCTTCAAGCAACAAATTTATATAAAATATGGATGAGAATAACGATTTGTAGCACAGGATATCTAGTCAAGCACTGAATCGACTCCCCATCCCTTCAAAAATAAATCTTGATAATAAAAATATAAGAGACATTCCAGTTTTTTTTTTCGTTTTTAGGCTTTCTAATCTACCACAGCCTTTAGTATATTATATTCCTATCTCTCACCGTTAAGATATAATGTTTATTAGAAAAAAAATAATTCTGATTAGCAAGCTTGGCTCTTAATTTTTATTAAAATTATATAAGATATATGTGCTTTGGATAGAAAATAAGCAATTAAGCGGATTAAATCTGATAATCAAATTATTAAGTGCTATCAATTCTAGATTATGTGTTTATGGCGCATAATTATCCTAGAATTGATTTATTTGTTCCTATCATTTTTTAAAGCCGAAAACTATTGGATTCATGCTTAAACTTAGACAATAAAATGAAATTCTGATTATTCCTCTATTAGTATGAAAATTTTTACCATATAAAATTTTTCATGCACTAGGGATAATTAATAAATAAGCATTTAATATATTAGCAAACATTCTAGAAATCTTGCTAGAATAGACTAGAAGTGAATATAAATGCGATATCTATGATAATTTTTTATTTTCAAAACGAAGTAGTTTGATTTTGAAGGGGTGGCTGATTTCATGAAAGCCCGACATCTGTTCTTATAATAATGAAATTTTTTCTCGATTGTGCTACCAAAGTAGCTCTTTAGAGTATCTGACAGATCAAAGTGATAGTTCAAAAGCCTGAATGACGGCCATCTAAAGATTTGGGCGTAGAGGTCATTTATACAGATGATCAACATCTAGCTAAAAATTTTAAAATGACGTCAGAGCCAACCTCCCTCTTAGTACTTGTAGCAAGACGGGTTTAGGGACCTTGTGGAAGGGAGAGCAGTGTGCAGCGAGAGTATCCGGCTGGGTTTTACTTAGTCCTGTGGAGCGTGATGTCGGGCTGAACAAACGCAGGCTCACATCCAGGACAAGGTTTTACCTCGAGGGACGATGAAACTTGGAAGTTTAAAAATTAGAGCCCAGCAAGGCCAGAATGAGTTTGCATGGCCAGTCGGATAATTTCCTTACTCCCCCCTATTTTTTTTTTTTTAAAAAAATTTATATTTAAATTTTTTGAACAATATTTTTTTCGAAATTTAAAAAAATCCTAATTCGCGCAAAAATGGAACGCAAATATAAATTTAATTTATAAAATTTTATGTTTTAAATAGCAATTTGTTTAAAATTAAACAGAAATTAGCTCTAAATTTCATTATATTAATTATCATTTATATATCAATTTTTTTTTTCATAAAAATTTTTTCTATTAAAATAATTTTTGTTCACTCACGGCGGGTGGGTTTTTGGGCAAAAAATAGCGATTTTTCTAATGGTTTTGTTCACTCACGGAGGGGGGGGAGCTAGCGATATATCAGAGCTAGCCCTCGCTAAAATTTTCATTTGGACCGATATGCCGACTAGAAATTTACTTTTTGAATTTTTTTGAAAGGGCAACTCCGTTGATGTGCAGAACGGTGGCCCAGAGTTTTGCCCCTGATAGCAAGTATATGCGCTTGCATCCACTAAGGCTTCGGAAACGGACAAGTAAGCAAGATAGTGGAGAGAAGCGAGGATCGTGAAAAGCCATCATTGCTGGCTGGCAGCTAACCTTAATAATCTAAATTAAGTTAAGATCAAGACCTTGCTGAGTTAGCCACAAGGCGAGCCTTGGTGAAATAGGCTTATAGGCAAAATTCCGAAATTTTGCAATATGGAGTAGAATACAATAAGATTAAGATGATGTTTTTGTATAATAATGCTTAAGCATTTTTAAATTCACTCTTGCTGCAAACGATCAATATTCAATTGATAAAATCTATTGTCTCTTTGAAAGCATTGGCTTGGTCTATTGGTTATGGCCTCTAGCCTTCGATATCGCTCAAGAATATCAAAATCTAACGAATATTTAAGTTTTTGTAAGCAAACAGGGCAAAGACTTCCAGGCTTTTTTGCTGATTCTTCTAAACTATTTGAGCCATTCATAATGCATTTATAGAAAATGCAATGCTTAACTCCAAACATATGGAAAATTTCATGAGTCATAGTCCGGCCAGCTCTGTATCAAAGAAATTCGCTGGCTTGATCATTTGGTGATTCCTCATCATAGAATCTAGCAAAAGAAAATACTCCGACTCTTCCAGATGCAAGCCCAAAAACATAGTTTCACGATTCTTTGTGATAAATATCTATATTTGTAATCCCTATAATACAGTGAGCATCTTTTGGGAGTACAAGTTTATTGATTATATGAATAGCATTATATTGTAGAGTTCCATCATTATATCTTGATTTAATTTTCATTTCTGCTAAAGGTTTCATTGGCAAAAAGACCACTCTTGCTCCTATAAAGAATGCTTCACAGTAGCTTTTGAGATAATCAGTCATTTCTCTTGGTATAGAATCAAGCGTTTGAACATAAATTTTATTTTTGCTGCTGATAGGCTTTCTCGATACTTTTTTGAAGTCTTCAAAAGTTTGCCCTTTTTCTTGATTGTGGTAAAGCCAATCTCCAAATTCAGGCTTTGGAAGAGGTTCAAATAAGCACTCTTCAAAAAATGATCGAAGCTGTATGGGAACTTTCCCAATTGCTCGCCTTCTCCTTTCTTCATTTACAAATTCACTTTCCATTATGATTTTCTGAATATATCTTATCAAAAATTAAACAAATCTATATTATTTTTAACTAAATTGCCGAGCTACTCTTGAAAGTGCAATTATCAATTGATATTGTCTAAAATTGCAAGCTACAAAATAGCAGCAAGCAAAGCAATCAAAACGACTATACACCAAATCATTATTCCATCAGCTGATTCTATAATTATTCTCAATGTTTTTATCAGCATCATCAAGCAATTAAGCATACCAACCAGGTTTGTCGTTTATTCTTTGAGTTTGCACCTGCTCCCTAAAGCATCTTCTAGCACATTTTACATTTTTAAACTCTGTTCAAGTGGACCTAAAATCTTTATTACTCAGATTTCTTGTATCTTTAGTTTCAAAGCTGCCGTCTCTTTTTAAATTATGCATAAGTAAGCTTAGACTGCTTTAGAATCCTGCCAAATTTTTCGTCAATTTAGTTAATCTCTTTTAAATTCGGTGGATTGAGATTTTCTTTATAGCGTGTACCCCTTTTCATCTTATATCTCCTATTTGCCAAATTTAAATTTTCCTTTTCAGAATATTTTAAAATCTCAAAACTAAATTTTTAAGGGTATTTTTCCTCAGCAACCAATAACTAGTCAGGCGCTATACCAATATCAGTGTTACTCAATTTATACCGAAAAGATTCTTGCTAATATGCTATAAATCTAAATTAATCCATCTATCTTAACTACCGATACTCGGAGGTCTCCTCTTAGCTTTGAGTTAAACCAAATATCGTATTAAAAACTTTCAGATTGGGATTTTTGTTGGTATAATAAAAAATTCAAACAACTCTCATTTTGATTATAATTATTATATTATACACTCAATAGAAGGTTGATTAAAATTTGGCATTATTTTCTAATTCTCATATAAAGTAAAATGACAGGAGGCAAATAACCCTTCCTCTCAGTGGCGAAGTCCTTATATATACCGGATACAGCTTTTGAGACTCAATTATGGCCCAGCTATGCTCAAATGCGGCAAAAATGAGAGACATGAGATTTTTTTCTGTTGAATCGAGTCTTGAACCTTAGGGCAATTGTATCTTTTATTCAGCAGCATCCAATCCAGTAGGAGTCTGTTATAGAGTAGAGTAACTTACTCATCAAGCGGCTTCGGTAATGTGCACGAATGGCAAAAACTGTTGGTTTTATTCTTTGGGTGGCTAGGGATAGAAGCTAGGCAAATTAGACATCTTTTAGTACTAGCGAGGGAGTCTCTCCAGTTTAAAATCTGAGAACAACCTGACCTGAGAACAGTCCAGGGTTGGCGTTAAAAAAATTGAAGTCCTTAGGCTGCTCAGCAAAGTCCTTTAGACTATTGGGCATGCCTCTACCAAGAAGCTGGGAGTTTCAGCCGACTGCAAGATGTTAGCACTTTGCAACCTCGCAGTGGGCCATTGCGGAACGGAGAGAACAGTGAAGTGGGGACTTTAAATACCTATCGATGATAATCTATTTTAATCTAAATTTCTGACTCTCCTGAGGAATGAGGAAGTATATCGCTGGAAAAATCTGACTCATCATAAGATGCTACTTGGATTTTTTCAAGCTTTGAATGAAGTTGCTGATATGGCACAGGATAGGATATTTTTTTGTTTGAATTTGGAGACTTCTCTTCAATTTTTGTGTTTTTCTCTAAATTTTTGGCTTCTCTAAGCTTCAATGGTTCGAGCCTTCTGATTTTTTCTTCCGATTTATTTAACAGCTTTGATTCTTTATCATGCTTTGGTGTTTTTGATGGAGTTTTAGAGAGACTAAAACTATTAGACCTGTTAATTCCATTATTTCCAATAGAATTTGGTGTCTTTGCGCGGCTTGGTGGCCTCCTAACAAATGAATTGCTTCTTGATTCTTTAAGTAACAGTTTTAGATGGGATTTTCTTGGGGATTCTTCTTTGTAGTTTTTATTATATAATGATTTCATATAGGATAACAAAGGAGAAGAGTCAGGCAGTAAAGCCCACGCTATCTTAATTGCTCTCTGCATTCAAACTTTAGATTCTAGCAAAAAATAATCTACAGAACCTTTATTGACTAAAAATCGCATTTCAACAGCGATGCAGAACTGCGCTGCAGCGATAATGAAAGCTTTTTCTAGCAGAATTTCTGTTGAAAGCTCAGTCTGTGAAGATCCTTGCCATTTTAAATCATCCATGAACAGCACCTGTATAGTCATGATGTCTCCTATATTATACTCATAAATTCACTCACAGCCTTCACAATTAATCTTATGTCTATTTATCTGATTGAAATCGTCACTGTCTAAAATTTTCAAAATTGGCAATGCTTTTGTGGATAAATAAAATATAAGTCGAGTATGCATGGCCGGAGGCCATGCCCAGACGAAGACGCCATATTTTATTTATATCCGGCAAGGTTTTACCAATCCAGAAATGGACGGCAATGCTAGGTAAGCAATTCTGGTAATGCACAGAGCCTAGCCCTTAGTCCAATTTCAAGGTTGGGTTTTACCTCAAGGGAAAGGAGGGTTTGGATTTGGAAAGGGCAAGCCCAGCAGAGTCTGCAGGTAATCCCCAGACCAATCGGGCAACTGCCTAGCGTGAAACCGGGCATTACGTCCCGGGATTCAGATTTTCCTTTTTGCCGAAAGGTCGAACAGAAATTCCATTTTTTGGGATTTTTGTGTGGCCAACCTTGTTACACATGCAGCAGCCGCAGAAGTCCATAGTCCGCCCACTCAACACACTGGACCGAAAGGGAGGAGGAGACGTCCAAGCAGAGTCTCACTTCAGAAGTGCCCTGGCATCAGGCGCTGAAGGAGAAGAAAGGTAGTGTCAGAGCTGAACACTTGCCCAGCGAATCATTGCTCCAATTCGAGCAAGGCGAAGCTGAAGACGGCGCAAAGCGGATGAACTGCCCGTACGGGAGAGTCCTTGGTGACTGCGTAACCAATATGGCAGACGCCTACCTATAAGTTTAAGTTTAAGTTTAAGGCAATGCTTTTGTGACCAGTTGATGATACCTTAAATAATGAGGGCTTTCAAACAATTTATACTGAGGCTGCTTTTGCACCCTTTTTCTCAAAGAAGAAGTCTCTATGAGCTTTTTATGCCTCTCCAAATGCTCCTTGCACAGTTTAAGGTTGATATTGATGACCTCTTGAATTTTCGTCAGAGCTTTCTTGGCATTTATTAAGGCTTCATCATGCTGCTCTAATTGTGAAAGAATTGCACAGAGCTGAAGGTGGATTTTGCAAGAATAATTTAATTTCATCAGTTTTTCATCAGTAGTTTGAAGTGAGTATTGGTGGGGGTAGTTTACATCGAGAAAGCTAGTGCAAACGGAAATGGAAGTCATCAGAGCTGAAGCACATTCTTGAAGTAAGCCTAGTCTAAATAAGTGATACTTTTGGTAGCATAAAGCACTATTATGAGAAGTTGCAACAATGAAGTCAGGGTCAACGTAGGCTTTTTGCATTGCAGCAGCGTTAAGGAGATCTTCATTATGAGAAAGAGCATCTAAAGCTTTTTCATAGTCTAGGTGCTTGATGAAATCAATTGATATGTCTAAGTAGGTACTCAAGAGACGTGGCAGCTCATCTAAACTGGTTTTTACTTTCAGAAATAACAGTCTCACTTTCACTATCCATTATAACATTACTATTCCTTTTATTCTATTTTATCTTAAATCCTTCTTTACCCAAAGAAAAAATCAAATCTTTTGCTTTCAGTTAAGCAATAATGTTTTCATCATTAGCTTTGCTTGCTTGCCAATTTAAAAAAAATACAAAATTATTCTCATTGCATAAGGTTGCATATCTTATATTAAATTTTATCATCTTTTCCAAATAAGGTTTATATAGAAATAGAAGAGTTTCAGCTTCAGAACAGCTATTTAAAATGCATTCGAATCAATTGTCAATATTATTGATACCATATAAAATGGCAGTTAGAAGTAGGAATGCGTTCTTATTCAGTGAGAGGTCCTAGATTTCTTGAGAGTCTCTGCTTAGAGAGAAATAACTGATCAAATTGAGTCTGATGCAGGTAGAGAGGTCCTAAAGAGACTTGGGGACTGAAAAAGTCTAATAGTCAATCTAGTCTTACCTACCGTTAATCAGAGATGTGTCGGCAAAAAGGGAACAGGACTTGCAAGCGGTTTCTTTAACTTAAAGTTAAATATTATTGAGACATTAAATTATTTTGTCTTTCTATAAAGCCTTTCAGATAAAGATCCATATCCTTGGCTATCCATCAAGCTCTGGGATAAGCTTGAGCTCTTTTTCGCATTCATCTCGGTGAGCATTTCATTCACTTTTGTCTGCAATTCAAATATTTGATTTGATACTACTTTTGAATTGGCTGGGGAATTTTCTCTTTGCATTTGCAAGGGCTCTTTCTCATCCTTCAGCTCTTTGATCTCCTTGATGGTCATCCAAATACTTTTGAATTCTTTGGAATGCTTATCTTTTATAGATTGAATGTCATTATTTATGCTTCTCAAAATCTTCTTTGCAGAACTAATTTCGTATTTGAGATCTTTCAATCGAAACTCTCCTAGTGGCATATCTCGCGTTGACATTAAGCCTAAGTTTTCCCTTATTGCAATCAAATCGCTTGGCGAATTTGACCCGGTTCCAAAGTAACTTGCTTTTCCTGCTAAATTAGACATTTTTGATCCACAGTTGATATTTGAAATGTTTTATAATTAAAACTGATCTATAAAAGTGATAATGATTTATTAATGTGATTAATAATAATTTTTACTAATAAATAAGTAAGCTGAAAATATTAATTTTCATTATTACTTTGATTAAATGCTGGTTAAACTATTTGGATTTTTTAAAATATGAGGCAATGGCATCTTGAGGACTTGACTTCTTCGCCGTTAGATTTCATTTTTTGAAGACTTCGGTAATATGCTTCGAGCTGTTCTTTAAAGCCATTATTAGGGCAGCATTCATAATGCTTTTTCTTTATGTAATCTAAGGCAAGTTTGCAGCTATAACCTCTTTTTGAAATTAAATAAGCAGCTGCAACCGCACAGCTTCTTGAAACTCCTTGATAACAGTGAATTAGAACTCTGCCATCATTTGCAAGCGCTTCATCTATGAAATTGTTGCACTCTTCGAAAAATTTCGTGATATCTGAGCTGGACTGGTCATAAGCGTCGATCTTTTTATACACAAAAGTCCCTTCAAAATGGGGTTCAAGCTCTTTCGCAGCAATAATAATATGCGTAATTCCGTTTTCTTTCAGAATCTCCTGTCTCAACGCAACCGCTTCATTTCCTAAGAAGATTCCGTCATCGATTTTGTCTATACAATACATTTTAAAATGCTAAAATATTATATCGAAGCTCCCTTTCTTAAAAATAAAAATCTCAAATTTCCACTTATACTTACTTTTCCAGTAATATTTTAGCTTTTTAATTAAAAAGCTCATACATCATTTTGAGATATTTAAAATATGAGTCAAGTAAAAAATAAATGTCCTGCTCAGCGCCTCTGTCTTTTATATTTTGGAACAAAAATAGCCCTGAAATCGTTCATAACATCTTATGCATTGCTCTTGACACCGATTTATTCTGCACTGGGAGCGAAACTGGAGAAATAATCATATGAAAATTGCATGATGACCAATACAAAGCTGACATAGTTTGCACAATTTCAAAAGAAATGGAATGCCGTGCCTTGGCTTTTGCAAGGCCTCCTTATCCTGAACTAGTAAGTTGTGAGAAATGGATTATATCGCTTCATTCTGATCATAAAATAAGAAATTGAGATTCTGAGGATGGGAGATGCATGAGCGCTTCACAAAGTTCGTTACTTCCAGACGCCACAAGGCTTGATAAACTGATAGTGATTCAAAACCGAATAGCTGCGATTTCAGGAGAAATCTGCGAAATTTTTCTGATTGATTTGTGAAGTATGTGCAAAGTCTGTTGTTTTGTTATGAAAAGTCCATTAGTATGAATTAAAATAGAATCAGACGGAAACTCGAGCCAGTTAATGGGGCTCAGCAATAGAAATGAGATATCGTTTTGAAGTATCCCAGATCTCAAAAATTTTTGCTTTGAAAAAACAGAAATTTTGAAAATTAACACTGATTCTTATTTTACGTTAGCCTTAGATGAAGCAGAAAGCGCGAAAAAATTTAGCTGCAGCAAAGATGGCTCACTTATTGCAGTTGTTTTTGAAAATAAATTAGAAATTTATCACTCATCTTGATTTAAAATTTTAGATAGAGACAAAGCTATATTAAATACTGCTGAAACCATTATTTTTGCTGAATTTTATGAAGAATTTTTATATATAGTGATAGAAAGTGACAAAATTATGAGATACCCAATTGAAAGAATACTTGATGAAATAGGCATAAATGATGGGGGAGAGGATTATATTCCAGCTTTATTGAAAGCAATAAGCATGGAAGATGGAAGGGTCTTTCATCTTGATGATATTGAACTTGTAGTAGCAAAGACTGGCACTCCGCTGTATAATGCACAAAGCCTTAATAACAAGTTGTTTTCCACATGGAAAAACTGCATTTTTTTGCATGATTTAAGTAAAATTAGAAATGAAGAGCTCCTACCATCAGAAACTATGAAATTTTCATTCAAAATGACAGATTTTGGGCATTTTGCAGATAAAAGGCTGCATCATTTATTTAAAATTGGAGAAACTATTGCTGTCTCTAACGTAGTGCTCTGCGATTCATGGCCTTATTTTGTAGTAGGGACTACTTCAGGAAAAATTTTCGTTTGCCCTTTTCACCCTTTGCAGCCGGTGCGAACTTATCTTTACCACAAAACAGAAATTACGTGCATTCACCTTGCCAAAGGAAAGCTAATTACTTGCAGTACTGATAATGTAATGTGTCTTTGAGAATTTTCTAATGAGGAGTATAATGATTTTCTTCTCCCTAGCCCAAGAAGACCAGAAGTTTCAGCTTTAAAGAGGACGTATTCAACTATTAATGGATCTCATGCAATTCTTGACAAATCCGAAGTAAATAAGCACGAGCCGCTTTCAGTAATTGATTTATATGGTAGCCCTGTTAAGTATGTGATTGGTGTTAGCTGTATCGAAGATACTGTAGAAAGTATCAATGAACAATTTTGGGAACATTCATGGAAAAACTGGGAAAAAACTTTGCTAGCACAGTGTGAAGATGGGTCTATTGTTTTGATTTCAATGATAACAAATAGTGTTATTTGCTACTTTCAAGCTTTGCATTCTAAAATTATCGAAGCTAAAGTTCATGTTCTTTTAGAATATTTGGTGGTTGCTTGTGAAGATGGTTATGTTTACGTTTATAATATGATTATCCAAGCACTTGAGCGAGTCATGTCAGGATTTGGATCTTGCATGCTTTTAAGAAAGCCACTTCGAAAAAGAATTGAAAGCGAGGTTGTAGATCAGCATGAAAATAATGACTTTCTAGTTGATGCGCTACAATTTAATTTAAGGCAGCAATTTATTCCATATTATAAGCCAGCGTTATATGTGGATAGTGTTATTATTGGCAGCTGTGAGTTTCCTGTGCTGCATTTAAATGGACAAGGGATTGCTCATGCCATCCGAAACATCGACAATCCAGGTGGATGCTTAGAGCACGTCCTCAGCTTGCTGACATGTTGGCATTCTACATGCAAATTTCACATGTCAGTAGTTTCAGAATTAAGAAATTGCTTTGAATTGATTGAGCCTGCAGTTAATGGATACTTAGGGATCGTTGGAATTGATAACTCTCTTTCATTTATATTACCTCAGCCAAAAGATAAATATGGTATTTCACCTTATTGCTCTGCAGCGCTGAATTTATCACTTTTTAACATTATTGAATCCCTTAAGCCCATTAAAAGAAAAGTTAAACAAAAGTTATACCAGCTTACGCACGCGAATTATTCTCCACATCTAGCTAATTATAAGTATCCGGATTTATCGGTTCTTGGGCTGATGGCAGTTTCTGGAAATAAAATAGCTGTCGCTCTTATGCAGACAAATCTACCCCTTATTCCAAAACGAAATAAAAAAAGAGTTTTCATTGCTGCCTCAAGCTTGCTAAATATAAAGCAGCCTGGGAGCCGTAAAAATAGTTTTCAAGACTCGTTTATATCAATCAATAAAGAGTCTTGTATCCCTTCAGGAACAATTCAAGCATTATCTTCTTTGCTTCTAGGCTACCTGTCATTGGAATCAAAACACATTAAAGACAAAGATGTCAATGGACTTGTAGTGTCCTTAAAGAGTATGCTGAAATCTGGGCAAAAAAATTATTTTATCTTGGCAGCTGATATAATTGGAAAATGCATGAAAGTTTTAAGAACAGTGTTAAATCTGAGCCAAGTCAAAGAGTTTATTTGCGAAATCTTGCTTTGCAGCTGCAGAGAGTCTGATTTAAATAAACTTTATTACAAATCACTTATATCCATTGCAATTTGAGACATGAACCTCTTTTTGGAATTCATTGCTGATGAAATTCTTGACACAGAAAAGCACAAATGCTACCCTCTTTCTTGCTTAATTGCATTGCAGGTGCTTATTAATAAAAAATATGAGGAAATCCCAGTTTACATGACTTATATCGTTGAGCTTGTGCTTAAAACGCTAGATCCTCATAATGTACAAATAAGAAAATTATGCATTGAAAAAGCAGGCGAAGTTTTGCAGCAGATGGTCTTGAAATTGCCAATGGTGGCTTTTTCTCAAGAAAAACAAAGATTAGCAGTAGGGACTTTAAGCAACCTGATAATAATTTATGACTTAAAAACAGCAACAAGATTAAAAATTCTCGAAGGTCATGATGGCCCTATTTGTGCAGTTCATTTTACTCCCCCCTTTAAAATGGAACAAAAAATCCTGTTTCAATTTAAAGGGTTAATTTTTTTTGAATTTTTCCTTATAAAAAATTTTTAAAATCTTAAAAAATATGGATTGAGGAAAACTGTTTAAATAGCATTTTATCTATTAAATTGGGTCAAAAATAATTATAAAAATTAGTATTTTTATCTATAAATTTTTACTACTGAAAAACAAATTTTGTTCAATTTAAAGGGGGCTACTGCTAAAAAATGCAATTTTTCGGGATTTTTTGTTTCAATTTAAAAGGGGGAGTTAGTAAATGCGGAACTCGGTTAGTCTCTTACTCCTCTGATGACCAATCACTTAGGATTTGAAAATTGGATGCAGGCTTTTTTGGAGGATTTATTAATTCCATGAATTTAAAGCCTTTTAAAACACTACAGCTGCCAGAAGTGCAGAGGGCAGGGAAAAAATATAGAGATATTCTAGACACTGTCAGTGTTATGTGAAGTATGAATTCTCGTGCAATACTCTTAATGAGGGAAGACGGGAAAGACTACTCTTATTTGATAGATTAGTATAAAAATATATAATTTTAATTTCATAATATAAAATTCAGCTGCGCTTTATTCAAATGTTCATCTAAATAAAGGCAAATATCAAATTATATATGCAACATAAATATTTATTTTTGAATAAATAAATATTACGATTGGCTTTTTATTACTTTCATTCTCATCAAAATATCTTGGCTGTCCTTGAATACTCTCTGAGTCAGCAAGGTCATATAGCGCATGTATTCACCATATTCATCTTTTGAATTGTACTCAACCAGTCCTCTTTGGAAAACCTCGTTGATCACTTCTCCGTAGTCAGGAATCACGTCAACGTACTGTGAAAGCTCTACTGCAATTCCTTGAGCTACTTCTAAAGATTGAAGAAGTCCCATATGTCTTTTTTCCATTTCCTGCTGCTTTTTCACTGGATCTTTAAATTTTCGAGCTCTCATAACTGCTTCGACATTTGGGCAGATTTGGGATAGAGCTTTTTTGAAATTGAGAAAGAGGTTTCTAGCATCGCTCAAGTATTGATGGGGACTAGGTTTGATTTTAATTGGTTCGTGAGCTTGATTTTTAAAGTAATTTTTGCAATTTCGCCTTTTATGCCATGATTAATTGCATACTAATTCACTTTTTGATGAAATTTCAAACATATTTTACAGCCAAAAATAATTAAATCGGAAAAAATTGAATTAGACATTAAGAAATCGACTATATGGAAAGCTATAAGGGTTGATTAAGTATAATAGTAAGCAGGATCCATTGGAGTGTCTTGCTGATAGCCATTGGGATCGTAAGCTGTCGGCATAGATTCGGGTACTCGCTCACCGCCTAGAGGAACTGGTGTGGGGTCTCCATTGTGATATGATTGGCTTGACGGATCGAACTGGGATCTAAAGGCTTCATCAGATTCTATCATTACTGAGATGTACTCATCTGGATTGCTCATATTCTTTTTTAAATGAAATTTATTAGCTTTAATTATTAGGGAAGATCAGAAAATTTAATCTTACTTGATTTTATTCTAATGAAGCTTTGCTGTAGAGCTAGGCTTCGATTTTTAAATAAATAGGATTTTTTAAAATATAATTAGGAATATCTAAAAATGGGATATTGGCTTTTAAGAAGATGATTGAATTTCCCAAAATTGTTCTATACTTATAACACATCTTAAAAAGGAATTTAGTTCTACATTTAATCCTCTTCTTAACTAGTGAACAAAATTTTGCATAGAGATCAATATAATTCATGTTTTAGGATGCATTTGACTAAATTTGATATAATGCATTGCACAATTAATTTCGAATGTAATTTTCGATGAATGTTTATTTTAAGCTTTAATGCCATTTAAAAGCTCAGTAAAAATGATTGAAATTTGTAAGTAAAAATACTATAAGTCTATATGCGATCATTTTTTTGCTTTTTACTTTAGGTAATGGAGAGAATTTGGTCGATTTTATTTAATATAACACATTCGCAGGTAATTTAAAGATTTCTGAGCATTTTCGGAGGCAATGAATTACTGCCTAAACTTGCAGGAGGAAAGCATGTAGCCGTTTATTTACTGTCTAGAAATGAAATTAAATATAATACTAATTGTTTTATTTGAAAATTGATATCATAGGCTCTTAGTTCCAAATTATTATGCCAAAATTAATTATTATTGCATTTAAATGTATTTCCTGATTGTGGAAATTAATTCATCTGGGTTACAAGGCTTCAACAAGCAATAACTCATCCCGCTTTGGTAGCTTAACTTAACTTAACTTATTAGATTCTGTGTTTAACGCCATTCACGGGGTAACCCCTCCCAGAGCTTCCCGCTGCTTCTTCGCCGCATAGGGCCCGCCGATCGTCTGGGGCCAATCAGCCTCGATCTCCAGTACGCGCCTCCGGAACAGTGTTGCCGACTAAGGCGGCTCATGACTGAGCTACTTCGCTTGAGGACATGGGTTGCCATTCCGAAAAAATCCATAAAAAATGGATTTTCTGGTAGGCTTTCGGCAAAAAGGAAAAACACGAAGCCTGGGACGTAACGCCCAGTTTCACGCTAGGGAGTTGCCCGATTGGACCTAACGGACTTGGCTGAGCTTCCCCTTTCCAACTTGCGTGCCTCCTTTCCCATGAGGAAAAAACATTCCCGAAAGTAGACTTGGGCTAGGCTCTGAGCACAACCAGAATTGCTTACCTAGCATTGCCGTCCGTTTCTGAAATGCAAAATCTTGCCGGATATAATAAAAATATGAGTCGAGTATACATGGCCGGGAGGCCATGCCCAGACGAAGACGCCATATTTTAATTATCCCCGCTTTGGTAGCACAAAGTAATTTCTTCTTCAGAGTTAAATGCTGTATACCCAATAATAACTGGAAGATAGCTGATTTCATATTCGAAATACATTCTGTTTATAAGATTTGATACATCCCATCCATTTAACTCAGGCATGCTTCCGTCCATGATAATCACTTTATATGGCCTATTGAGTTTGCTCATTTTTTCAACAAGCCTTATTGCTTCTTTTCCTGTGCAAGCCTCATCAAAAGAGATTTTATACTTTGACAGCAGATTCCCCAGCATGATTCTATTAATATCATTATCGTCTGCAATTAAAACAGAAGTGGGCTCCTTTTCTGTACACAGTGCTTGGAAATCTGGAGGAGATATTATAAAATTCTGCTCATCTGTGCTAAAACTTTTTCCAGATTCGTATTGATGAGGATCTAGTGAATTTTCTTCAAAAATATCAATTTCAAAGCTAAAAGAAGAGCCGACGTCGATTTGAGATTTTACTTTAACTGAGTCTCCACCTAGATCTTTAACAATTCTACTGGAAATATACAAGCCAAGCCCACATCCTTGAGGATTCAGAGTTTCATGCCTCTCTGTATTGAACTCTTTGAAAAGATCATTGATTTTGTTTTCAGAAATCCCGATTCCTGTGTCCTTAACTTTTATTTTTAATTTTCCCTTCATGCCCATTATACATATAACTTCAATTGATCCTTTTATTGTGAACTTTAAGGAGTTGCTGAGAAGGTTCAAAAGAGCTTGCTTCAGTCTGAGCGAATCTGAGAACACAAATTGCGGCAAGGATGGATCATATCTTAAAATAAGTGTTAGTCCTTTTTTCTCAGCTTGGAGTTTGATAAGTTGTATAGCATCATTTATGACTTCGTATAATCGGAACTTTGCCTTTTCGATGAAAAAAAATATCGTGTCATCTGGTATCTCTGCTCTCCCAAATATAAATCTTCTTTGACAAATATTGATTAAATACTTGCCTTTATCTAGTAATTTTATCCCAGCTATGGCAGGAAGCAAGAATCTAGGATATGCAGTGTGAGGCTCCTGTCGTTAGGGAAATTGAATATTAAAACGTATGTCATTAACATCAGCCAATGGAGACTGGGATCTTTAGCATGCCATATGTGATGGCGGTAAGTTCGAAATTCGGAAGGATAGCTATCGAATCCAGAAGGCCTAGAAGACCATTCAGCCTTGATTCCAACACCATTTTCGTGGGTAGGCTTTCTGAGGTAGGGATGGAAGCCTTGATAGATTATGTGGTATATGGTTTTAAGCATTATCTAACTCCCCTCTCCGTGACGAACAAAACCATTGGAAAAATCCCTTTTTTGCTCAAAAAAAACTCCACGAACAAATAAACAATTTATTATGAAAAAAAAATTGATATATATAAGTGGTAATTAGTATGATGAAATCTCTTGATAATTCTGTTTAATATATAAAATTGCCTTTTAAAATATAAATTTTACAAATTAAATAACTATTTGCTCAATTTTTGTTAAATGGAATTTTTTTAAAATTCGAAAAAAAATTTATATAGAAATTTTTTGAAAAAAAAATTAACTTTGAACAAAATTTTTTTTTCCGCTCCAGGGAGTAATTAAACAACTCTTTTTGATTGAAAAAGCCCCAGTTATCATCTTGGAATAGTCTAATAAATCATTAACAAGAGAAAGCAAGAGTTTAGAAGAAAGCGAAATCATATCCAATTTCAGCTTACAGAGCTCCCTTTCAATTGTGTTATTTTCACAAATCAAGCTGTCAGTCAAGAAGGTGATAGCATTAATTGGAGTTCTCAACTCATGAGAAACAGATCTTAAAAGCACATTCTTTAGAGTGTTATCAGAAATTGTTTGCTCTAGCTGAATCATATGGTTCACATCCCTTATGCTCAGCAGTACGCACTCTGACCCTTCAAACATCAATTTCCTTCCTTTCCACTCTAGATTGTTTCCTTGCCTTTGACATATCCCAAGCATAACTTCTTCACCAGCAGGTAAAACGTGAATAAGATGGACATCATCCATCAATTTATTTGAACTAGTTAAGCTTGAATATTTTTTCCCATTGCAGTATTCAATTTTTGAGAGCTCATTTATTATCTCGCATGGCCTGCATCCTAACAGCCTGGTTGTATGGATGTTAGTGTATAAAACAGAGCTCTCAGAAAATACCAGGATTCCATCAGTGTGCAAGTTCAGTAATAATCCTAGCCGTTCTTCAGCGATTTCCAGGTTTCGTCTATACGTAAATCGGTTTAAGGATTTTTCTTTGAGATAGTATGAATTCAAGTTATAAAGAAATAAGGTAAGGAATGCAATTAAATGAGGCATGTGGTCAACTGAAAACTCCTGTTCACCAGTCACTGATTTCAAATAATACCACAGGAAAATATGCTTGAAAATTATAAGGGTTTTAAAAAATCCTTTCCTGACAAATGGCAATTCAAAGCTGTTTATAAAGATAAGAGAAATCATTTCAAATAGCATACTGTGAGCTCTTCATTCATAATTCCCCATCGTTCAAAACACGAAACCTGCATACTCTGAATAAAGAATTGAGTAAAGGCATTTGTAAGTTACACTTTTTGTGCCGATAAGCCAAGTCCCAAAGCTGCCAATAGAATGAATAATAAGGTAAGGGAGGTGAATTGGTAAGAACTCAAAAAATGAATCAAAAAACACATTTAAGAAAACCAGCAAGCTCACCCCGATCACCCAGAGTGAATACATGAACTTTTTGAGAAGCTGGTATTTTTCGTTAACTTCATCTTCCCATCATAGGTCTTCCACCTTTTCCATAAAATTAATAATTATTACTATTAAATGTATCTGGGTCTTTGGGGCAGGCAAAGGTTGTAGAAGGAGTCTTGCCTAAAAATATCAGCACTTTTCCAAGCGCACCATCCTTTGTCCAGGATAGTTTTCGGGACATCTGCTCCTGTGTAGTGAGGATCGAGAATTAAAAAGCGGGTGTCGCCAGTGTCTTCGTTATAATCTACACCTAGAAGGGTGTAAGCTAAAACACCTCCTCCTATCATTACAGGGCTTCCTTCATCAGTAAAATGCGCTGCAAGTTCCCTTCCTTTTGAGGAGAATTCAGCTCCAGAATGCATTATTTTTCCTTGGGGACATTTGCTCTTGAAGCCATTTTTGGTGTCAATTAGTTGAAATTTTTCTAGTCAGTCACTTTGGTCAAAAAATAGCAGGCAAATGCCTGACGAAAAACAACTTTTGAACAAATGTATCTAGGATATGTCTGTTGAGGAAAAATCACGACCAAAAAATATCATTAACCTCCAGATGCTAAGTTCATGATTTTGCAGGTAATCCCACAGTAAAGATCAAGAATGAGCATGACTTCAAATGCTCCGATCCACTCTTTGCTGCCTATAAATTCTTTTGGCTTGTCTCCAGCCTCTTCAAGTATTTTTTGAATCTGATAATGTGATGGGATTTCTTTTGAAATAAACTTTTGCTCACGGATCCACGAAATCAAGGTCTGCAAGCTTCTATAGGCGCAGCCCCAGCCTCTATCATCGAATCCATCCTGAGAGTAATGAAAATAAGAATAGTGGCCTCTCACACAATACTTTGTGCCGACATCTTTTGAAGTCCTTTTAAGCAGAGGAAGATGAATATCCCTAAGTCCTTGAGGCTCAGTTATTGTACAGTAGCTTCTAACCAGAGGCCAGTCTAGGGGAAACCTAAGCAGCTCATGAATTCTTCTCCTTTGAGCTAGGAGTTCTTCGCCTTCTTCTTCCCATTCATTAAATAAGTAGACGACGTTAAAAGGGTGGCTGCAATAGTCATTGTAAAAGCAGTAGCAAGAAGCGGACTTTGTCGGATTTTCTTTCAAGCAGTTTATGATATACATTGCAATTTCTTTTAGCTTGTCAAGATGAATTTCAAGAGCATCCACCAAACTTTTAGATTCCTTGAATGCGCTGCATCAGGAAATGTCAAGAGAATAAGACCTCGTCTGCGGCAAAATTTCTAACAATGGAGCATTTCCATCGCCTTCTTCTGTCAATTTATAAAGGATTTGTACAGGATTTAAGCTTTGGCCTTTTATTCCGAGCGAATTTCAAGTCGGCTCATTTGAAAGCTCCACATATTGGCTTCCAAACTGAAATAAGACTGTTCGGTTGATATAAGAAAAACAATTCGGCTGTGTTAAACTAAAGACTGGCAAGACAGAATGAGAAAACAAGACTGTGAATTGAGGAGCTTCTCTTGCAGAAATGTCTTTCTGTGATAAAAGTGGCCCTTCAACTATGTAGCTTATGCAAATTTCATTCTGCTTAACAATGTACATCGCAGGATTCATATTCAGGTCTCGGCTTATCTTCAAATAGTCAGCCATCTGGTCAGAAGAGTAAAATTGGCCCAGAACATCAAGACCTCCAGGAATCAATGCTTTGGCTTCTTCAATTGGAATTAAAGGAATCATGTTGATGGCGTGAAAATCAGTCCCAATCAGCCAGTATTGTGTGCTAGGGGGCGATGCAAGCATAAGCTGCAGCAAGCCACTTTCAACGCTTACCATTTCTCTAAATACTATAATCTATGAATCTTAAACAGATAAGCTAAACTTTAAATGATTAATCCTAAAAATATAATGAATCCTAAACGCAATCTGGCGTTATTAAGCCATGATACCTCTCCATTTCTTGCTTCCTACCATCATAAACCCATTCGAAATTGGTTGTTTTCAAAATGCTATCAAAATCAGCCCCATAGAGTCTTGCATATTCCAAATCAATTTGGTCGCTGACGAATTTCTTGTTGATTTTTTCTTTTTCTTTTGAGGTGGCTGCAATAGAAGGTGTTAAGTTCAACTCAATGAACCACAGCTTAAAGTCTTCGTCTAATAAGAAATCTAAGCCATATATCTCGAACACTCCTGGGTGTCTCAGTAGATGGTCTAGGTTCATTCTTACTATATGGAACATTGCCCATTTTATGTATTTCTTAACATAATCGTTCATCCAGTTCTTATCAACATGTCCGCTGTTCACCATAAACCTGTTAAAATGATCAAAGTCCCAGCCTTGATCTTCCATGAACTGGTTGTAATCATCCTGAGTCATATTTTTAGACTTTAAGTAGTCTTCTGTGATATGAGTGTTTGTTAAATAAACTGCTGGGTTTGAGGAGTCTTCATCATAGTCTGCCATAGATACTCTTATTCTCTCTGATGAGTGAAAAACTTTTTAATGCGAATGATAACTATAACAAATTTTTATAATCCCTTGCATAAATTTCATTTTGCTTATTTATGGTAAATTGATTTTAAAATGCCAAAAAAATTTTAAATACCATAGACTCAGTTTTATATATAATGGCATGTCAAAATTTTTTTGACATTTTAAAATCAATTTACCATAAATAAGCAAAATAAAATATTACCAATACATTATAGTAAATTCTGCTGAATTTTAAACTTTACAAATTATATAATTCTTTACTTTTCAATTTTGCGAATTGGAGACTGTTTATTTCAAGAAAATAAAATTCAAAAAAATTAGCTGCTAGTGAATGAGAAAAATTTTTTGATCGCTCACAGTGGAAGAGTTAAAAAGCCATCGTGATATAAAATCATGAGAGGATCTGTGCTGGCTATAAACATATAAGCTCTGAAATCGAATTTTTTGCCGTTTATGAGAAAAGGATTAGGAATATATTTCTGCGCAAGGTATTTATCGTTCTTGTTTTCACACCCTTGAGGTTTGGAGTATAGCTCTAATAATTCTTTAGCGATCTGTGCATCAACTACTTGCAGTCCGCTTCCATTGTGACTGTACCTAGACTTCTTATAGATCCACTTGATTTTATCAGGATTTTTATCCTTTTTTAAAGATTCCACAAACTCTTCACATTGTTCTTTCTCAAAAAGCACTAAAGTGTGGGGCATGACTTCCCATGGGTTGAAGCATTTTTCTCTTCCTTCATAATATTTTCCATATTCCCTCATGGTCAAAGCAGTCAAATCCTTGAAATTCAAATACGCATTTCCAGGGATATGGTTGTAAAGCTGCCCAGGACAGAGAAATTGAGACCCAATTTTGAAGTTTCTGTGCCAGCTGCTAGTTAATTGGAAAAACATCGTGATATCAGGCCTCAAATCGTCCTTTTCAGGAGCATCCTTTATTCCTGCCCAATGATTCGTTAAAACAGTTCTTGATTTCTCTTCCACCACTTTGTGTACAAACATAGACTTGGAGTAGTCACAATAAACTACCCTATTTTCTCGAGGTGGCAGCCCATCAGCTTTAAAGGGAAGTGGGTACTTGTCTTGGAATTCCTTGACTTTGGTGCAGTAGTTCATGTCTTTTTTCAAGTTTTGAAAAGTTCCAGTGAAATTGCTAGTAGACTCATACTCATCCCATTGTGGAGATAAGAATACTGGCCATGGCTTCTTATCTTCAAACAATGGGGCAAGAGTTTGCTGGTACACTATTGGGGTCTCTGACGTTGCTCCAGCACTATGGAAAAATAGTAGAAACGCTACGTTGATGAGAAGTATGATCCCAATTACTTTTCTCAAGTCCACCATTTATATTATAAAACAGATAGCTAAACTATTATAAAGCATTATCTTTTCATATAAGTTAAATGCTTTTTAGCACCTTCTGAAAATGAAATACAGTCGTTTGATACTAAATCTGTGACCAAAAAACTGCATTTTTAAGGCGTCATATTCTTGACTTATTTAATAATTATTATGGGAAAGAGAAGTGATAGTGAATCTCGCAGCAAGCACAACAAACACCGGCATCGTCATAGGAGGAGTGAAGTCTTTGCTAACCCACTACCTCGAAGACAAAGAATCTCTAATTTTGACAGACCTCCACAACCTATCGAGATCCAAAGAGCTTTGATTGCATATGAAACAGAGCAAAAGCCCCTACCAATTGATCTGGTATCTACAAGACATGCAAGAAGAATTTATATTGGAAACATCTCAAAGGACACACAAGAAAAAAAATTGAGGGATCGCATAAGCAAAATTTTGATTGATTATGGAGGAATTATTAGGCCAGGTGACCCAATCACTTGTTCCTTTTATCTGCCTCAATTTAGTTGCATGTATCTTGAGTTCCGTTCTCTCGAAGAAACAGAGGCAGCGTTAACACTAGATGGCTTAGAGCACGATAATCGAAGACTTGTAATTAGACGTCCTGCTGATTTCTATAATAAAGATATTAAGGTTGATGTGGTTGTCCCAAGGGTGAATTTAAATAAAGTCGGACTGATATCACCTTTTGTTGACGATGAAATGAACAAAATTCTGATTGGCGGTCTCAATAAAGATTTGCATGAAGAGCACATTAAAGAAATAATGCAAGCATTTGGCCCATTGAAGGCTTTTTGTCTTATGAAAGAGCCAGAGGAGCTTCAGTCGCTAGGCTATGCATTTTGTGAGTATGTAAACCAGTCTGAGGCTGAGCGTGCCAGCTTGGCTCTAAATGGAAAGGAGCTGAGAGGGAAAACTCTGCTTGTAAGAAAAGTGATTAGTAATCAATATGAGCAAGAATTAGTTGAAACATCGTTACTCCCCCTCAGTGAGCAAACAAAAACATTGGAAAAATCCATATTTTTGGTTAAAAGCCCACCCTCTGTGAGCGAATAAAAAATTTTCGATATATAAGTAATAGTTAATATAATGAAATCTCTAGCTAATTTTGACAAATTACTTTTAAACATAAATTTTACAAATCAATTCAATGTCTTTAAAATTATTTTGAATTGGGATGTTTTAAAAATTAACAAATTTTTTTGGTCGCTAATGAATGAGGGAGAGTTAGGAATCTATAGAGGTGAAGGTCCTGATTTTTCACTAATTACTCAGTACCCAGGAGGGTGCATTCAGCCTAATTTTGAAACTATTATGTTTAGAAACAGACCCATAAGTGTAGCTGAATTTATAAGGGCAAAGCAAACCATTGAAGTTTTGCAGCACAGAGCCAAAGAAGTTGCTCAAGAAAGAGCCAAACGTGAACGAGATTTGATGGCTTCTGGTGTTGGGCCTCCTGGATTAGAATATGATCATAGATCATACGAAGACATATCTGGGCTCGGGGGATTACCATGCATAACAGGAAATCTTTTCCCCTCTTTGAATTATTTAATCCACCCAGAAGGATCTACAAATATAGTCTGCATTGAAGGAATGGCTGATTCTGCAGGACACATGGAAGACTCAGAACTGACAAAGCTTTATGATGACGTTATGAGTGAAGTCTCAAAATACGGGACTGTAATTTCTCTCATTATCCCTCGACAATCAGAAGGGTACTCTGAGCGTTGCATTGGAAAAGTATATGTGGAATACATAGACGTCAGCTCTGCAGTAAGAGCATCCAGCTTGATAGGACAGAGGCAATGGAAAGGAAACTCACTAAAAGCTTATTTCTTCGATGCGGTCAAATTTATGCGCAATGAACTTCATTAAACTAAACTTCAATATTATTTGTGCTAAATTAAATGTCCTCACTCCCCCCCCCTCCGTGAGTGAACAAAAATATTAGAAAAATCGCTATTTTTTGCCAAAAAACCCACCCTCCGTGAGTGAACAAAATTTTTTTTAATAGAAAAAATTTTTATGGAAAAAAATTTTGATATATAAATGATAATTAGTATAATGAAATCTAGAGCTAATTTCTGTTTAATTTCAAACGAATTGCTTTTTAAAATATAAATTTTATAAATTAAATTAATTTTTGCTTTCCAATTTTTGCGAATTAGATTTTTTTAAATTTCGAAAACAATATTTTTTATAAAATTTATATCAGGACCCCCCCTCATTTGTCGAATTTTCTAGTCTTTTTTTTATAAGAAATTTTTTTTTTCAGGACCTCATTTGTCCTAAAATCTAGTCAAAAATGATTTATCCAATTTTCTAGTCTTTTTTGCATTTTTTCGAATGCCCTAAATTCTAGTTTTTTACTTTAAAAAAACTAGAAAATGAGACAATTGAGGTCCTGAAAATTTTTTTTCTCTATCAAAATTTTGACTAGAAAATTGGACAATTGAGGTCCTAAAAAATTTTTTTTTTCCTATAAAAAAAAAACTAGAAAAAATGGGCAAATGATAAAAGACTAGATAATTGGACAAATGAGGGGGGGGGGGGTCCTTATAAATTTTTTAAAAAAAATAAATTAACCCCCCTCCGTGAGTGAACAAAATTGTTTTGTTCACTCACGGAGGGGGGGGAGTCAGTAAATTTATAAACGCTATCAACAAGTTATTAATACACGTTAGAGTCCAAAGCTGATGAATTAAGTGACCGATTAGAGTTTCTAGAAGTCCCGTCACTGTTTATCGCTGATGAATTAAGAGATGCTGTTCCTCGACGCGATGAAGAATTGAATCCAATATTGAAGCTAAAAGAACTGTTTGGGAAAGGCTTGATGTCTTTTTTCATTGAGTACCCATCACGCGAGCTATCAGACCTCCTTGAAACATCAGTTTTTGCTTTTCTTATCTCATGTGATGCCTGCCCATTGAATTTTTGTAGAAGCGCGTCTCTTTCTCTGCTGATTTTTTCATATTCTCTGTTGAGGTTTTTAATTTCGTTATCTCTTAATTTGATGAAATTTTGCATTCCAAGGATTTGGTCTTTTACTTCTTCCATTTCAGTTTTTACGTTTGCTTGACCAATTTTATATCTAACTATTTGGTTTTCTATGCCAACTTTCTCGTCTTGAAGCTTTTGGTACTGTTCGGATTCCTTTATTCTCGAAAGCTCATCTGATTTCAGTTTAAGTGCTTCGTCTCTTTCGTGAATTGAATTCGAAATTTGCTGATTAAGCTGCATAAGTTCTTTTTGCAGCTTTTTGATGTTGTTTGTGAACGATTCTTCCTGGTTTTTATATGAAACTAATTGAGAATGAATTCTTATTAGTTGATCTTGAAGAAGATCGCTAAGTTAGCAATACCTTTCAATGTTGGAGCTGGATAAATCATCAAGATTTGAGGCAGCATCTTGATTAGAAAAATAGTTTAAAGCTGCTTCTTGAATAGATTCTTCGAAACTGGAATCAGACATTATTTTAAGGCTCTTTATATTCAGAATAAAATGCAATAACTGGCATATCAGCAATTTTACTTAACTAGCATGGTGCAAAATTTGCAATTTCTTAAACTAATTCTCCCCCCTCCGTGAGTGAACAAAATTCTTTTGTTCACTCACGGAGGGGGGTTAATTTTTTTTTTTAAAAAAAAAATTTATATATAAATTTTTATAGAAAAATTATTTTTCAAAAATTTAAAAAAATCCTAATTTGCGAAAATTGGGAAGCAAATATTAATTTAATTTAAAAATTTATGTTTTTAAAACACAATTTGTTTAAAATTAAAATTAAACAGAATTAGCTCTAGATTTCATTATACTAATTATCACTTATATATAAAAATTTTTTTCATTAAAATTTTTTTTTTCACTCACGGAGGGTAGGTTTTTGGGCAAAAAATAGCGATTTTTTTCTAATGGTTTTGTTAAACTCACGGAGGGGGGGAATAAGAAATTACAATTAATATATTTGAAATAAAATTTAAAAATGATTCCTCCAGACAAAATTGTTATTAACTTCCCTAAGCCAAAGGATTCTGGGGTGGAGTCTTTACAAGTAGATCCATTTCCTATTGTTGCTTCAGGCAAATTAAGTCTGATTCACAAAGCTTTCGAAGAATCAACCACTACAGAGATCACCAATTTTATTAATGCAAGAGATAATGGAGGACGCACACTTTTACATTACAGCTCATATTTGGATCTTCAAAATCTATCTTTATATCTTTTGTCCTATGGAGCTAACCCTTTCACTGTTGATAATGATGGCCAGAACTGCTTTCATTCAATCGCATATAAAGGCAATATAAATGTTGCCTTGCTTATTTTGAACTATAAGCGGCATGAACTCAAGAAAACCCTTTTCGAAACACTGATCCGAATGAAAAACACTTTTGGGATGAGCACTGTGAATCTGCAAAACACAGTCAATACAATGCTAACTGCCAGTTATGAAGCAGATCTCAAAATTCTAGAAAGCAAAACTTTTTTTAACGTGGAGCTCGAAAGACACCTTGCAGAATATTTTACAGGGATTTGTGATATTTATCGTTATATCTTATCACAATACGACACTAATCAAAGAAACCCTCTTCATTATGCAGCACTTTCAAAATTTTCGTGGTGCTCTAAGACTCTTGAAACCTTTATTAATAGCAAAGGTATAGAAGGTCATGATAAATTTTTATACCCAATTAGAGTGAATATAAGCATTTCTACTCTCTGCAGTGTCCTATTTTCAAATAGTAAGCAGGATGAAGGTTAATAAATAAGGATTTTTTTTCATTCAGAAAGTATAGATACTTTTGATAAAATCCAAGAGCTAGAATGGAGGCCAGAGAGGAAAATCGACCCTAAGCGCTATATGAATGTTATTGATGAAGTAAAAAGAATTTTGCCACCCCAAGTTTTTCAGCAGAGCTATAATAAATTCCAAAGCGATTTTAAAGCAATTGTAAAGACAGCGATCAACACACAAGATAGGAATGGGCATACGCCTTTGCATATTGCTGCTTATAGCGGTGACTGTAATATTGTTAAGGTCTTGATTAAGAAAGGGGCAGATAAAAGCTTGCTTGATATTGATGGGAAGACAGCACTATTCCTGTCAAGCACTAAGCTTGTGATGAAATATTTATCATCTTTGGAGGAAACTGCTATTCAAGGAAATACCAATGCGTTCATGCACTTAATCAGGTCAGGATATGATGTTAATATCTCCAACACAGAATTTCTAGTGAGCTCTGTGCACAAAGCAGTCTCTAAAGAAAAGCCAGTCCTAGAGGCTGTTCTGCAATGCCAAGCAGATCCAAACATTCACGAGTGAAACATGTATACACCTTTGCATTATGCTTGCATCGAAGGAAGTTTAGAAAATGCTGAAACCCTCATAAGCAACAACTATGATGTCAACGCTATTTCTCAAAACTATTATACCCCTCTTCATTTAGCTGCCAAGCATGATCATCCTTCTTTGATCAATCTTCTGTTAGAAAGAGGAGCAAAAATAAACGCGAAAGATGAAAATAAGCGAACGCCTCTGATGATTGCTGCTAAATACGGGTCTCTTAGTAGCGTTAAAGCGCTGCTGAATAATGCTGATTTATATGAAGTGGATATAAGAAAATGAACTTGCCTTCATTATGCTTGCTTTCATAAGCAAGTCAGAGTGGTTTCTGAGTTGGTGGCTGGTCCAGCACAAATAGGACCTCGGGACCCCCACCCCCCCCCCCCCCCCCCCCACCCCCCCCCCCCCCCCACCCCCCCCCCACCCCCCACCCCCACCCCCACCCCCACCCCCCCCCCCCACCCCCACCCCACCCCCACCCCCCCCCACCCCCCACCCCCACCCCCACCCCCACCCCCACCCCCACCCCCACCCCCACCCCCACCCCCACCCCCACCCCATATACATAGCTTTTTGTAGAATATTTAATAGTTTTAAGCCTAAGTGAAGGAACTAAAGTTTTATACTCTAAGCTATAGCTCATACCCCTTTATAGATCCCTTTATCGAGCAAAGTGTACTTGACTATTGAAAGACCAAAACAGACTCTCTCAAAGAGATGAGCTCAATCTCTATATCAGAAAGTTCTAAAAAGTGGCATGCCAAAAAATAGTGGCAAGTGTGAAAAAAGTTGGTAAGCAAATACGATTAGACTTAAGATAATTAATTATTCATCTCTTTCGTTAAATTGATTTAATAAAATAATATCTACATGTAGATTTGACTATGGATTATCTTTGGATTTACATAAGTCAATATTCTACTGGAGTTTTGATTGATATGCTTACTGGAGTTATAGCACTTGGAGATCTATGCAACCGTTTACTCAAGAAGTTCCTCCTTTGCATTCTCAATTTAAAAGTTCAGGTGCAATTTCTTCCATACTTGACTCTATCTTTATAATCGCTTAAATTGAAACAAAATTCAATTTTATAATAAAAAATTTTATAGATAAAAATCATAATTTTTATGTAAAAAGTTTCGGTATAAGTTAAATGTTTCTTCTTAACTAAAATTAAAAATTTAGTTATATCTTGCTCTTTTTTAAAGAAAAGAACATAAAGAGCTTTTTATTTAAATACATTTATTATCTTTAATTGCTATATTTTTAAAAATTTAATTTTATTTTTAAAAATTTTTCAACAAAAAATATAATTTATTGCATTTATTTCTTATCATGCATATGATGTTATTTGAATTTATTATTTTAGAAACCAAATATACGTTTCAAAACGCAGATTTTAGTGCGCCAAATTAATAATTTAAATTTTATATGAAAATAGTGTGTATAACTGCCATAAGAAATTAAGCCAAGGGATTATATTTTTTATTTTAAATAATTTTGATAAAAATTTAATGCGAATTCTTTACAAAAATTGAAAATTTACTTTATTTCTTCTTTATTTTAGCAAAAGAGTATAAATAGCCACTTAATTAAACAAAATTAACACTTTGATCGATAAATTTTCTAGAAATTTATTAATCTAATTCGACACATTTTTTAATTTTTTTATAAGAATTTTATATTGATTTTGTTTATATAAATTTTATATTGATTTGTTTTATAAAAATTTTCTTAAACCCTTCTTTTAAATTGGAACAAATATTTGGTCCAATTTAAAGGGAGGGAGTTAAATCAAAATCCTACTGGAGTTTTTGCACGATATGCTTACTGGAGTTATAACGCTTGGAGATCTATACAACCGTTTACTCGGGAAGTTCCCCCTTTGCATTTTCACTTTTGACAATTTATTTCATAATGGACTCCATCTTTATAATCACTTAAGTCAGGATCCTACTCGAGTTTTTGATTGATATGCTTACTGGGGTTATAGCACTTGAAGATCTATACAACCGTTTACTCGGGAAGTTCCCCACTTGCATTTTTAAACTCATTTCTATAAATTTTATCTCAAGCACTTTTTACATAAACAAATAACCAAAAATATTAAATCTATTAAAATTTATATGTAGCATTTATTATTATAATTATCATTAATTAAGGCCTGAAAAATAAGATTTTTAATTATTAATCAATTCCAGTCTAATTGGGTATGTTAAGTTTTAAATTATTTTATTAATAAAGCCATTTTAAAAATTTGCGTGTTTGCTACCAACTTTTTTCACACTTGCCACTATTTTTTGGCATGCCACTTTTTAGAACTTTCTGATATAGAGATTGAGCTCATCTCTTTGAGAGAGTCTGTTTTGGTCTTTCAATAGTCAAGTACACTTTGCTCGATAAAGGGATCTATAAAGGGGTATGAGCTATAGTTTAGAGTATAAAACTTTAGTTCCTTCACTTAGGCTTAAACTATTAAATATTCTACAAAAAGCTATGTATATGGGGTGGGGGTGGGGGTCCCGAGGTCCGATTTGTGCTAGACCAGGTGGCATGGGATATTGACCATGGGAAATTAGTCCAAATGAAAAATACGCAAAATAAGCTTGCAATTGAGATAACATCTGATGTTGCGACAAGGGACGCTTTTAACACCATGTGAACAGCTGCTGCAACTGGAGATCTTGATATGGCAAGAAGATTGCTCAGAAGAGGTGATGACCCTTTTAAGCCATCAGCTCATGACTATGGCACTCCGCTTATTTTCGCTGTCAAAGCTTTTGAGAAATTCAGGCTAAAAAAAGAAAAGGAAAATAGGCAAATAAAAGATGTCGGAAAGTTGGCTTTGCAAAAAAATAAAAGCTCAAAAGAGATTGAGGATTTTAAGAGAAAGCAAATTTTAATGATTAAATTTTTATTAGATTTAGGAGCAAGAACTGAAGAGCAGGATAGATCGGGGAAGTCTGCTTTAGATTATACAAACGATGAAAAATTGAAAGAAGTACTCACAAGAGTTGCTGGCATAGAAGGAAGCCAAACAAATAATGTCATTAGAACTGATAACTATAAGGCTGGACCAACAGTTGGCGATCAAGGATATGGTCATAATCTTACTTCAAAATATGACACACAAGATAAAAATCCTTTGAGACCTACCACAGGGCAAGATTATCAAGATAAAAATATAAAGAAGCCAGTTTCCATACTTGAAGAAAAAAGTTCTCTCAGTGTGCCTACATATGAACCCTATAGCAAAAGTACTCCAAAACAAGAAGAGAAATCAAATTTTGATAAATTAACTAAAGCTGCACATGATGAGTATGATGATGATTTCGAAAAGGAGGATGACAGTAAGCCAAAAACGCACCATGCTCTCGCTGATTCATCACAAAAGTACCAAAGTGATCTCCATCACGCAAAATCTCCGACCTATGAAGATCCTTCAAAAAGGAACGTTAGGCAAGATAACTTTTCATCATCTTCTACGAACTCTTACCAAGACCCTTTTTCTAGGGCAAGGAATACTACAAATGAAACTCCTACAACTGGAAATAAATCAGAATTCCCTTCCTTTAAGAAATCTATCTTGACAGATAAAGATAGTGACTTTTAAAAATGGCTCGATTAATTTTAAACTTATTATTTTAGCATATGCGAACGTTATTAATTAGTAGTTAAGCAGCTTTCAATTTTATTTATAAACATATTAGTTATATAAGCATAGATATGAATTTCTTGATGAATTAGTGAATTGAAGACTTTTAACTAAAGAATAATTTTACCTTCAATTCAGAAATATAGCACATAATTATTAGGAGGCATTTAATATGAATAAATATCAAAAAATTTGGCTTTTCTAGACTAAATAACACTAGAAGAAATTGATTTATATATGGAATATTTATCCTAACTATATAATATTTGCTCTTAATTATTTGTAAATAAATTAACTAGAAATATTTGAAAATGACTATTTCAAATATAAATTCAGTAAAATTAAACTTTATCTCAAAAAATCAATCAATTTATTTATAAAAATAGTCATTATCTATTTCATCATTTTGAACGTTAAGCAGGCTTAATCCCATATTAATCAAATAATATGTTTGATTATCGTTTAAACGGATATCATGGAGAAAAAACACCATGCCTGACCATTTTATAAAATTTCATTTCTCTCTAACTCCCCCCCCCCTCCGTGAGTGAACAAAACCATTAGAAAAATCGCCATTTTTTGCCAAAAAAAACCACCCTCCGTGAGTGAACAAAAATTTTTTTTAATAGAAAAAAATTTTTTATGGAAAAAAATTTTTGATATATAAATGATAATTAATATAATGAATCTAGAGCTAATTCTGTTTAATTTTAAATGAATTGCATTTTAAAACATAAATTTTATAAATTAAATTAATATTTGCTTTCAAATTTTTGCAAATTAGGATTTTTTTAAATTTCAAAAAAAAAATCTTTAGAAAATTTATATATAAATTTTTTTTAAAAAAAAAAAATTAACCCCCTCCGTGAGTGAACAAAATTTTTTGTTCACTCACGGAGGGGGGGGGGAGAGTAAGATTTATAATATACAAATTCTTATAGTTTCAATAAACCTTTTTGACGATTATTTTTTTTAATATTTCAGAAATTCGGTTTTTTCATGACGCACATATAATAATTAAAAATGGGCTGCACTGATAGTAGAGCTGGGCTAAGCAAAGAAGAAAGCGCTATTGTGGAAATGGAGGAAGAACTTCAATATCACTTGAACACTTGCAAAGCCATTGACTTTTATATTCGCAAGTACTCATTCAATGGCGAAATCAATCCTGAACAATGGAGAGATATAGTGAATCACTTGAACCTGAAGGTAGAAAATACTGCTCAAAACCCCAAGGCTGTGGACTTTTATTCCTCATTTAAAGGCAGAGAAGGAAGGCTACCTTTAAAACCTATGTTAGTTCTTGGAGTTTTACTTGGAGAAGGGTCTTCTGAAGAGAAAGCACGACTATTATTTGAGGCTCAAGACGTTAGAAAACTCTAACTCCCCCACTCCGTGAGTGAACAAAACCATTAGAAAAATCGCCAAAAACCTCCGTGAGTGAGCAAAAAATTTTTTATGGAAAAAATTGATATATATAAATGATAATTAGTATAATGAAATCTAGAGCTAATTCTGTTAAATTTTAAACGGATTGCTTTTTAAAACATAAATTTTATAAATTAAATTAATATTTGCTTTCCAATTTTGTGAATTAGGATTTTTTTTAAATTTCGAAAAAAAAATATTTTTTATAAAATTTATATATTAATTTTTTTAAAAAAAAAAAAATTAACCCCCTCTGCGAGTGAACAAAATTTTTTTGTTCACTCTAAAAACCTTCTAAAAGCCGATATACACGAATTAGTTGATTTAATGGTTGACATTGCTGTTGAAAAGCTTCCGACCTTAATAGTAACTAATCCACAAATCAGTGAAGAAGAAATTAGAAATTATGTGAGCCAGCTTAATCAGCATATTGATAAAGCTAAAGCCATCATCTCCAAAAAGTTCATTGGTGAAGAAACTAAATCTGAAGAAACGACAGTTACTTTGGCCTCTTTTTTAAAAAACTTCGCAGATGATGCAAACAAAAACTTTTTAACTCCTAATGGTTTGAGAGTGTTCATTTGGAGACTAAAGCCACTTGAATTTAAGAGCAGCAAAGCTCATGAAGAAACAAAGAATGAAACTGAGAAGAAAGAGAAAAAAGAGAAAAAAGAGAAAAAAGAAAAAAGCTCTTCATCATCGTCGTCAAGCAGCTCTTCTGATGAAGAAAAGAAAAAGAAAAAAGCTGAAGAGATTGAGAAGCCAGCTGAAGCCCCTCAAACAGGAGAAGTAGCAGCTTAATTTAACTTAAGATATATACTTTCATTTAGACTGAAGTAATGTGCCATTTCGTAGTGACATACAATAAAGTTAGGCACTAGTACCTATATTAACAGAAAAAGCAGAGAGTTAAAATTAAAATAAATAAGTATGTGAAAATATATAATTCTAAAAAACACACGTTGAGTTTAAAAACTTACCAAATTTAAAGTTTATAACAATATGGATGGAGAACGAGACTATGATTATATGTTCAAAGTAATTATTATTGGTGAAAGCGGCACTGGCAAGTCTTGTTTGCTTCATTATTTGATCGAGAATCGTTTCAAAAGGAATCCGAATCACACAGTCGGTGTAGAGTTTGGTTGCAAAAGATTGTCAATAGGTGATATAGAAATTGCCCGAGGATGGCGCTATTTTGCGCCATCCTCGGGTAATTCAAAAAACAGGCCCCACACAGGAATTGAACCCACGTGTGGGGCCATTTTTGGTACGCCGAAGTCAATATTCTCCACATACCAAAAAATGGTCCCACACGTGGGTTCAATTCCCGCGTGGGGCCATTTTTGAATTGCCCGAGGATGGCGCAAAATAGCGCCATCCTCGGGCAATTTCTATAAACAAATTAAGCTGCAAATATGGGACACAGCAGGCCAAGAAAGGTTCCGAAGCGTAACGAAAAGCTATTACAGAGGCGCAGCTGCTGCACTTGTTGTTTACGATATCACAAACTCAGAAAGCTTTCAGAAGCTTCCTTCTTGGATCAATGACGTTCGAACATTATCAAGACCCAATATTTCACTTATTGTTGTTGGAAATAAATGCGATTTAAAAAGCTCCAGGGCTGTAAGTGTTGTAGATGCGTCTTGCTTTTGTCAAGAACAGGAAGTTCCGCTTATAGAAACGAGTGCTGCTACAGGTGAAAATGTTGAAGAAGCTTTTATGAAACTTGCAAAATCAGTGCTGACAAAGCTTGATAACAAGCAACTTGATCATGTGCAAGGAATTCAGCCAGGGCCAGGGAGGCTTTCAGCAGTTCACGATAGGTCTTGTAGTTGTTAATCTTACCAAAAGTTATTAATCTTGATAATTTGGATTATTAGAATAAGAGAATTATTATGGATATCTACGAAAACTTTGAAGGAGAAAGAGAAGAAAGAAAGATCATAAGGCATACATACCATTATGCATATTTAGCTGCTTCATTAGTAATGATCACATTAATTATCATAGATTTGGCACTTCATGAATGATTTACTTATTGTCTCTGAAATTTTGGATTAGTTTATGCAAGCAGCTGGACTGGGCGAAAATTATGAGACGGTGCAAGCTCAATATCTGATGTAAAAGATGATGCTTGCGGCTCTTATAAATTATATGTTGAATCAAGCTGTCCAGGATTTTGCGAACATATAGATAATTTTATAGGCGCTGGAGGAACAATGCTTGCATTTGGAATAGCAGCAATTCTATTTAATCTTATTGCTATGGGACTTGTTATATGACGAATGAGGCATCCAAGTTTTAGATTTGAAATAGCTACACTGTTTTTTATAATGCCAACACTTCAGTATTTTTTAGCGTTTATTATATTTTATGGGGTTGCTGAAATACCAGAATTAGAAGAGGTTCATAAGATAGGGAATATTAATCCTCATGAATATGGAATGGCTGGAGGAATGATTCTTGCAATTGTTATCATTATTTTGCAATTTTCATTGATGATTTACTCACTGATGGTAACACGAAAAGCATTTTAAATGGTTTACAAAAATAAATAATAAGTAAATATATATTTAATCATTCTAAATTATATGAAAAGCAGCTTAACTATCTTTATCATAAGTCTAACATCTTCAAGAACCACTATATAAGTTAATTATTTGTTTAAAATATTGACAATTACTTCGCATTTGGTTTATTTCACTGCTTTATAGTCTAATAACTGGAACTGCGTATATTATCATCTCTGATGACCATTTTTCAACACCTCTCATATGGATTTTAGCGTTCTTAGCTTAGTTTCTTATAAGTAAAAATACTAACTATGAATTTGGTATGCAAATACTTTCACACACTAAATAAATGCCTACTAACTCCCCCCCTCCGTGAGTGAACAAAACCATTAGAAAAATCGCTATTTTTTGCCCAAAAAACCCACCCGCCGTGAGTGAACAAAATTTTTTATGGAAAAAAAATTTGATATATAAATGATAATTAATAATGAAATTTAGAGCTAATTCTGTTTAATTTTAAACGAATTGCTTTTTAAAAACATAAATTTTATAAATTAAATTAATATTTGCTTTCCAATTTTTGTGAATTAGGATTTTTTTTAAATTTGAAAAAAAAATTTTTTTATAAAATTTATATATAAAATTTTTTTAAAAAAAAAAATTAACCCCCTCTGCGAGTGAACAAAATTTTTTTGTTCACTCACGGAGGCGGGGGGAGTAAGACATATTTATAAATCCAAGGAAATGGACACTAGCTATAGAATTGATGATGCTTATCTCCTTCCTCCAGAAGTTCGAGAAGTGCTAGATAGGAAATATAGAATATTCCAGCGAATAACAGGGAACTTCCCAGTATCTCTAGGAAAAGATGTCAGTAAAAAAGAAAGAGAAGAAATGCACAACTCCAGCAGCACCTTAACTTATGGAGAAGTCGAATTTATCTCAATTGGGGAAATTTTTGAAACAATAAAAGCAAGATATGGGACAATACCGTCCGGTGGAGTTTTCTATGACCTTGGATCTGGGACTGGGAAAGGTGTTATTGCTGGAGCAATGCTTCATAATTTTAACAGGTGTGTCGGAATTGAAATACTTGAAGGACTATATAATGTTTCAGTCCAGCAAAAGCAAGAGTATGACAACGTGTTTCCAGAAGAAGTCAAGAATAGCCCTGATTTATTCAGTAATAAGCCTGAGGTTGAGTTTTATAAAAATGATATGTTTGTTCAAGGCTGGTCAGATGCAACTGTGATTTTTGCAAATTCAACGTGCTTTGATCTCCAAATGATGGGAAATATTGCAGATGCTCCTGTCGCACCTGGGACTTGGGCTTTGACATTGACCAAAAACTTCAACTCTCCAAAGTGGAGGATTTTTGAAAGCATTAGAAAAGTAATGAGCTGGGGTGAAGCAACTGTCTATATACAGCAAAGATTGCCATTAGAATAAAATCGTAGTTAAGTAGGGATTAATTCAATTAAGATGTCGCCTTGTTTTATATGGATTAATTATTTTTTCTAGAGTGATATTTTATCTTAAATACAACTAATAAAATCATTGAGCTAATATATATAGACAATGCTTATTTCGATACTTTCCGAATTAGTTAATTCCTGAATATAATGAAGAATATTTAAGGTTTACGTTACATACAAACTCTAGATGAATTTATTATTTTTGAAAAGAATATAATATGATTGCATTAATTAGAGTATTTAAGGTTCTAACACTAAAGGAATAGAGCCAAATGGTGATGTCGCGAGCATTTCCGATCCAAATTGCTGGACCATCCAAATAAACCGCCTGCCACCCTGGCCAGCACTGATCACCCAGCGCGATGCCTTGCCCTTGCCTGACTAAGCTCCTGTGAGTGCTCCGCATAAGGTCATCCTCCTCGAATGTTTTGACAGATAAAACTTTGAGCCTCTTGGTTGCACTGAGGAGCAGTTCCTCTGACTGTCCCTAAAGCTAAATCACTGTTGTTATGAAGAAGTTCTCGAGAGAAAAAAAACCCAAACTCCATAAATAAAATCCCTTGAGAGAGAGAAAAAATATCAGAGCTCATTTCTCTAGAACCTAATGCCATTTTATTTATGAATAGAATAGAATATCAAAATTTCTGAAGCTTTGATAAAGTATCAAAATGATCTTATCTTAAAGCATTTCAATTATGCTTTTTTTTGGTTAAAACAGTAGAAAAGTTTTCCACCAGCTTTTACTTGATTAAGCCGATATATTTTACGTATTTTTTTTTTACCAATCGAAATCCGAACTTAAATCAAGAAAATATTTCATAAAATTTATTAGACTAATAATTATAATAATTAGACCGAAAAACTAAGTTTTGTGTGGATAGATCTCTCGCCATTTTATCCAGTTCCATAGATTGCTGTATAAATAATTCCTAAATAAACCAATAAATGTCTGAAGGTCAAGATCATAATTCTGGTGCACTTGTCAGGCCAGAAGATTTGCATTGTATTAAGTGTTTATAGCGTTGAATATCAAAACCCAAAAATAGGGCTTGAGCTAAAATTAGTGATAATGTAGCCATCTCAGATCAAAACAAACAGATAATCCTAAATCTTTCCACATATTCATTGACAAGTGTCTCTCTGGGTAGTCAAGAATGACACTCTCCTTCCAATAATGCCAGGACGTAAACCTGGCATTGAGCTTGAAAACGTTCCCGATTTCCAAGAAATCCACTTCTGGAGTAGCTGGGACATCTTTCCTACTCCAGTTTCTTTCCTATGGGATAAAACCTGGTCTGGATTAGAGAATACCGAGGGCTTCCCCGATATTGGGATTCACCACTCCAGCGCGCATACATTCCAAGCCCGATCCTCTCTTCCACAAGATCCCTGGCTCTTCCAATGAGCTCACAGGCTACATATAGCGCCTTTCTTAAAATGGCGCGCAATGAGCCATCTTAAGAAAGGCGCTATATGCTAAGAGGGAAGTTGGCTCATCATGCCATTTTAGCATATATAACAGGTCAGAAGTCACTTCTTTTTTTCATGAAGCAACCAACACTATATGCTACGTGGCTGCATGTCCAAATACTAAAAAATGTATAGTGCTTGATCCTGTAATGGACTATGATCCTATAGGCCACAGAACTTCTACAGAGCATTCAGACACTGTAATAAAGTTCATTAAAGATAACAATCTTGAACCAGTTTATATAATTGATACCCATGTGCATGCTGATCATTTAACTGGCTCATTGATTTTAAAGGAACAATTCCCTGATGTTCAAATTTGTATTGGATTTAATGTAACTGTTGTTCAAGAAGTATTATCAAGAATGCTGAATTTAAGGGACCTAAAAAAAGATGGATCTCAATTCGACCATTTATTTGCAGATAATGAAGAAGTTCAGGTCGGAGAATTGCGCGTTAGAGCTATACATACGCCTGGACACACTCCAGCATGCATGACTTATATTGTTGGAGATGCTGTTTTCACTGGAGACACAATTTTCATGCACGATTTCGGAACTGCAAGATGTGATTTCCCAGGAGGATCAGCTGAAACTTTATATGAGTCTGTCAAAAAAATATATATGTTGCCTGATAACTATAGAGTCTTTGTTGGGCATGATTATGGTACTGATTCAAGAGAAGTGGCTTGGGAATCATCAATAGGACTTGAAAAGAACGATAACTTGCACTTGAATTCTCAAACAGCTAAAGAAAAATTTGTAGAATGGAGAACTGGAAGAGACAGAACTCTGGCTTTGCCTAGGCTTATAATGCAATCACTCCAGGTTAATTTAAGAGCGGGTCGCTTTCCTGCCCCAGAAAGCAATGGAATTTCCTACTTTAAACTACCTATTAATCCAAGGTTCTAATTATCATCATACTAAAATATTCTAAATTAAACGGTCTTTAACTAATTTTTAAACATCGGAATAAATTATTTAAAGTATGTAGCACATTTATTATGTTTCTTTCATTTAAATGCTCTATTATTTGGCACAGCCAACTATTAGAACGCTTTACTCAATTGAGAAGCATTATGAAAATATTGATTAGGAAAAACTTGCATGCTAGTGATTTGGCGTGCCAAAATGATCCGATGCCACGCATAGACGAATCCATTTGGCAAACCAAAAATATTTTTCCGATTAGAATGTCTGCTGCTTTTCACACGTGAATGAGAAACTATAGGCTATTTAAGGAAGCTTAATATACACTTTATGTGAACTCATAGGAATCATTGACCACTGAATCTACAGGCAAGTCATCTTCTTCCATCCCAAAGAAGAAATGCAATATTCCTGAGCATCCTTCAGAAATAATTGTATTATTGTGGTGTTCTAGCTTAATTAGCTTATCAAAGCACCCTGACTCTTCAAATAAAGCGGATACTGGATTGATTCCTTCAGAACTTTCTCCACATCTCAGCAAATGCTCGCTAATTAAAAGCAAATTTGTGAGATATAAAAGATCAAGGGCTTCAAAGCCAATAGCCATAATGGAAAAAATATCAAAGCTTACAAGCTTGAGCTTTATATTGCTGGTTCCTGTTTTGACGATATTTAGAAAAACTACACTTGCTTCTCTTTTTACCTCGAGATTCGGATTGATTAATGATTGTAAGGCAAATTGAATAATTTTGTGGTTTACAAGAGTCTCGCATTGAGCTTGAGTCCCTGCTGCAATATTGCTTAAAGTTCAACAAAAATCTTTGAGGATATTATGATCATCATAGTCTGTTACAACAGAAAGCTTGTCCAGTATGCTTTGGTTTAGTAAGAATTGAGTTTGTGATGAGGTTCCTGAGGGGTGATGCGGGTTGGCTGTCAACGAGCCGACAACCACTTAAAAAAAAGGTGGTTATCTGCACTTTGTGCGGCTTGGCTGCCAAAAAACCTATAAAAATTTCAAAAAATGTTTGCGGCTTATCTGCAAACCGTTGTTTTCAGCTAACCCGTCTTGTATTTTTAATATAAAAAATTTACGACATACAACCCTTCAAAAATTAAGTGCTTAGCTGACATTGAGTGCTGCTTAGCTGCGGAAAAAAAAAAGTGCGTGCGGCTTGTATGTCAAAAACGCACCCTTTTTTTTTGGCATTCGGGTTAGCTGCAAATTATAAAAAATTGTATTTTTTAATAATGAATATTGAAGATACTAAGTATATTTACTGCTACTCAATTAAAATACGATTTCTAATGGATTTGAAAATACATTGAACACTCTATCCCTTATCAGAATATTTATAAAAAATAGTCAGCTAACCCGCAGGTTAAAACATAAATGAATTTAGCAATATTAAACCTCCGATGCTTTTATAGAAAATAGCAGCTAAGCCGCACACAACTGTGCAGCTAACCACCTAAATTTTTTGTGGTTGTCTTTTATATAATTTTCAATAGCGCAAATTCGTGGCGGGATATATGCAAACTGTTATTTTTTAATGCATATGCTAAGATTTTTATGTTAAATTTCGACAGACAAGCCGCTAAAGTTTGCAGATAACAACCTTTTTTTTAAGTTGTTAGCTGCGAGTTAGAACAGCTTAAATTTGGCATGCAGTTAACCGCTTAAAAAAAAAGTTGTTATCTGCAACTTTAGCGGCTTAGCTGTCAAAAACATATTAAAAAATTGATATATTCATTAAAAAACAAACGGTTTGCAGATATCCCTCCATGAAGATTTTTATATTGAAAAATAAACGACTGATAACCACTAAAAAATTAGGTGGTTAGCTGCAAGGGGTGCGGCTTAGCTGTCGTCCCTATTAAAAAAAGATAATTTTATTGTCCCTGTTTTTTGTAGGCGGGTTAGCTGTTAACTAGCTTAATGTGCTTTTTTTGTACGCGATAAGATGCGCTGGAACTCTAACTACAAGTAGAGTTGAAGGAAATGCACGTAAAGCTAAAAAAATTATAAAAAGCATTAAAAAAAGCAGCAATTTTAAGATATTTATTATTTTTAAAAGTATTGTAAGTACTGAAGATGAAAAGACTACTCTATAAGAATATAAACATACTAAAAAACTGCCTTTAGAATTAATACAATGAGAGCATTAAGTTAGCTATATACTGGATACTGCGTGAATTATTATAAAAATTTTCTCTATGGAATTAAGTCTAAATATAAACGATGATGATAAATGAAGGGTTTGGACTCAGCTTTCTGATAAAATAAAAGAAGAATATATATTAAAAAATACGATTAAGTGCTAATTCAAAAAGTATGAAAGATATAGAATCATATGCTGTCATCTTCTATTTATCTCTAAAATTACTGAAATAAATATAATCGAATTCATCATAAAACATACAGGAAGAAGATGGCTATTGCATGCACAATCGGAGGAAATAATGTTTTTATTGAAAATCGTTCAAGACATTGCGAATTACCGTTAATTAGAAATAAATAGTTCATGATGAAAGAAGAAGATAATTAAATTGTCATTATTTTCATATTTTATTTACAAATCCTGCATTAGAGTATCCTATATAGCATTGTACTAGAACATCCTGAACTAGCACATCGAGCACTAGGCCATCCTGAATTAAACCATGTACTAACTGATCCTTATTTAGCATATCTTACATAAGCGAATCCTGTAATATGCTTTGTACTATCTGCACTTGCGCAGCCAGATCTAGTGCAACCTTTTATTATGCCTTGTATTAGTCCATCCTGAAAAAGCATATCCTGAACCAGCACTGACTGTAGCACACCTTGTATAAGCAAATTTTGACTGCATTAGTTAATTCTGTATCACATTAGCTATAGCGCTCTCTTATCGCGTACAAAAAAAGCACATTAAGCTAGTTAACAGCTAACCCGCCTACAAAAAACAGGGACAATAAAATTATCTTTTTTTAATAGGGACGACAGCTAAGCCGCACCCCTTGCAGCTAACCACCTAATTTTTTAGTGGTTATCAGTCGTTTATTTTTCAATATAAAAATCTTCATGGAGGGATATCTGCAAACCGTTGTTTTTTAATGAATATATCAATTTTTTAATATGTTTTTGACAGCTAAGCCGCTAAAGTTGCAGATAACAACTTTTTTTTTAAGCGGTTAACTGCATGCCAAATTTAAGCTGTTCTAACTCGCAGCTAACAACTTAAAAAAAAGGGTTGTTATCTGCAACTTTAGCGGCTTGTCTGTCGAAATTTAACATAAAAATCTTAGCATATGCATTAAAAAATAACAGTTTGCATATATCCCGCCACGAATTTGCGCTATTGAAAATTATATAAAAGACAACCACAAAAAATTTAGGTGGTTAGCTGCACAGTTGTGCGGCTTAGCTGCTATTTTCTATAAAAGCATCGGAGGTTTAATATTGCTAAATTCACTTATGTTTTAACCTGCGGGTTAGCTGACTATTTTTTATAAATATTCTGATAAGGGATAGAGTGTTCAATGTATTTTCAAATCCATTAGAAATCGTATTTTAATTGAGTAGCAGTAAATATACTTTAGTATCTTCAATATTCATTATTAAAAAATACAATTTTTTATAATTTGCAGCTAACCCGAATGCCAAAAAAAAAGGGTGCGTTTTTGACATACAAGCCGCACGCACTTTTTTTTTCCGCAGCTAAGCAGCACTCAATGTCAGCTAAGCACTTAATTTTTGAAGGGTTGTATGTCGTAAATTTTTTATATTAAAAAATACACAAGACGGGTTAGCTGAAAACAACGGTTTGCAGATAAGCCGCAAACATTTTTTGAAATTTTTATAGGTTTTTTGGCAGCCAAGCCGCACAAAGTGCAGATAACCACCTTTTTTTTTAAGTGTGGTTGTCGGCTCGTTGACAGCCAACCCGCATCACCCGTTCCTGAGCAAATCATTCCTAATAATTTAATGCTGACTCCTAAAATATTTTGATTCTTCTCTTCGAGCCCAGCTAAAACGTAAGGTATGAGTCCAGAATCAATGATTAACTGGATTTTTTCATTGCTGCTTGTCGAAATGCGAGCAATCACTGTTAAACACTCGAAGGTGATCTGCTCATCTTTCACTTCGAGCATTATTTTAATGCCACTTATTGCAGTCTGCAACATTATTGAGTCAAATAAATTGACGCTTTTAGACAAATTGTTCAAGCACCAGGAAACGAGTCTTAGTAAAGAAACTCTAATTGATCCAGCTCCTAAAATCATGTCATAGAGCACCTCCATTATTCCTCATTTGAGCATAATTTGCCGATATTTTTCACAATCTCCTGCTAAATTCGCAAAAGACCAGATAATATGCTCATTAACTTCGACAGTCTTATAAGAGATTGCTGAAATTAAAGTTTCAACCCCCTTTGCCTTGATAAATCTTTCTGCGTACTCATGTGTGCCTGCCAGAAGATTGCATAGGCATCAAGAAGATTCATAAATAATGTGCTCATGATATCTTAGATTTACGAACTTTAAAAGCAACTCGATAAACCCCATGCTAACAATTATATCAAATGGTGAATCGTCTGACGACATTATAGTCCTTAAAATAGTCATAATTTCTAAGATAGTCTCATAAGATGTTTCTGTGTCAAGTATCTCATGGATAATCATCAATTTTGATTCAAAAGTGGCTTCTGAAGATTCCAATGCAGGATATCGAGAAATAATATATTGAGGAAGCTTAAATTCTTTTGATGCTCTAGATTCTTCTGGTTGAGTAATATTAGCTCGTCTTTTAGAAGTATGAGATTTTCGCTTATCTCTTCGCATCTTTACAGCAAAGTCATTGTGCTTTCTCTGAATTTCATCTTGATTAATTGACATAAGAAACGTATTGTTTCTTTGCTCAATTTTTGACATTTCACTTAATTATTATTTATATTTAAATTGACTCTGAATTCTTTGTTCTAATATTCTTATTCCAACAAATATATAATAATTATTATATTATTTGAAATGAAATTTTTTATATCTAGCAGAATATTTTTTTTGTTGAGCTTTTTATTGGAAAGAGCTAGAAAAATGAAATAGGAAAATCTAATATCTCGCAAATAATTAATTGTTTATTAAATAGCCACAATTATAATTAATTATTTTCTAAAATTTTTTAATAAGATGGAGTAGTAATACTTTTTATTTTGAATGCAAGTTTGGATCAAGCCAGAATTTGCTAATGCATTCTAAACCCAATAAAACTTAACTTTGGATTTTTAGAAATGTAATAGCCATAATCTAATAATATGTTGAGACTTCTCAAAAGACCTTTTACAGTGATATCGAAAGTCACTCCAGACCTAGGACCGTCTCAAGGGCCCACCCCAAAAACATACACTGTCTACGATCATACATATGACGCAATTGTTGTTGGTGCAGGAGGTGCTGGTCTTCGAGCAGCATTTGGTCTTGCATCACTAGGATATAAAACAGCATGTCTCTCAAAGCTATTCCCCACAAGATCTCACACTGTTGCAGCTCAAGGAGGAATCAATGCCGCATTAGGAAATATGACAAAAGATGACTGGAGATGGCATTTCTATGATACTGTTAAAGGTAGTGATTGGCTAGGGGACCAGAACGCCATCCATTATATGTGTAAAGAGGCTATTGAAGCAGTATATGAGTTAGAAAGCTATGGAATGCCTTTTAGCCGCACTGAAGAAGGAAAAATCTACCAGAGAGCTTTTGGAGGCCAAAGTCTCGAATTCGGGAAAGGAGGCCAAGCTTATAGGTGTGCAGCAGTAGCTGATAGAACTGGGCATTCCATGCTTCATACTTTGTTTGGAAGAGCCCTCGGATATAATTGTATGTTCTTTGTAGAGTACTTTGCACTGGATTTGATTATGGTTGATGGAGTCTGTAGGGGAGTCATGGCAATGAGCATGGCAGATGGGTCAATTCATAGAATGAGAGCTAACCAAACTATTCTTGCAACCGGAGGATATGGAAGAGCTTTTCAATCTTGCACCTCTGCTCATACTTGCACTGGTGACGGGCATGGACTTGTTGCAAGAGCAGGATTACCGCTTGAGGATATGGAATTCGTTCAATTCCATCCAACTGGGATTTATGGAGCTGGATGCTTGATCACTGAAGGTTGCAGAGGTGAAGGTGGAATTCTTATCCCTATCAGCTAGCAAAATTTTTTGCTCTCTCATTTGAGTGCTTATTTTTTTCTCTTTAATTTAAAAATAATACAAATTGGACATTAATTAATTTACAAAATTAAAATTAATTATAATAGTTATCACTAATATAGCAAAATCAATTTTATAAAAATTATTTACTTGCGGATAATGGTTTGCTAAAACCATGATTTTTTCCATTTTTACTTGTGAATGGAGAAGGGGGTGCGAAGCTAGAAACTCAGAAGGAGAAAGATTTATGGAAAGATATGCACCAACCGCTAAAGATTTAGCGTCAAGAGATGTTGTGAGTAGAGCTATGACATTAGAAATATTCCAAGGAAGAGGAGTTGGTCCTAAGAAAGATCATGTTCATCTATATTTAAGCCATTTGCCTCCTGAGATCTTACACTCTCGACTTCCAGGTATCAGTGAAAGTGCTAAAATTTTTGCAGGAGTTGATGTAACCAAAGAACCTATTCCTGTCGTCCCAACTGTCCACTATAATATGGGAGGTATTCCAACTGATTGGAAAACTCATGTAATTACCCTTGATAAAGATGGGAAAGATAAAATTGTCCCAGGCCTTCTTGCTGCTGGAGAAGCTGCTTGTGCCTCAGTTCATGGAGCCAACCGTCTTGGAGCAAATTCTTTACTCGACATTGTAATTTTTGGAAGAGCAGCCTCGTTAACCTTAATTCTTAGTTAAGATAATAAGAAAAGCCCCCATTGATATCACATAAGGGTATTCATCTCCACCTTGTATCATTGGGCCATCTACCGCCTTTCCAGGGGATTAACCCCTCTCCGCCCGAGGCTCGAACAGAGATTAGAGTAGGATCAGCCACAATACGGTACGTCAATAGAGTTCAGCTTCCAGAAAATTTGAAAAGGAATTTCTGGTCACCTGTCAGCCAAGATGGAAACTCGTAACCCATGATGCAACGCCTGGTATTATGCTAGGGAATAGTTCCGATTGACAATGAAGAGCCTCACTAGTGTTGCTGGAAGGCCCCCCTACAAATCTGGGTCCCATCTCCCTCTGAGCTAAAACGTTGACCTAGAATAAGCTACAGTTGGCCTAATCTGACATTGTGCTCCACCAAGCCAAGTAAGCCTGACCGGATACTCATTATCGAGCATAATCCTCACTTCCACAAAGTCCCTGGGTTACCCCATTTACAGGTGTTAAGAGAACGGGCTTGCCAGGCCATTTTAATGTATATACAGCCTCGTTAACCACTAAAGAAGAATTTCAGCCAGGCCAAACCCAGCCTGATCTCCCTCCCAACGCAGGCGAAGAGTCAATTGAAAAAATTGAGCGCCTAAGAACAGCTTCAGGCGCATTAAGCACTGCACAAATTCGAGACAAAATGCAAAGCACAATGCAGCTTCACGCAGCTGTCTTCAGAATTGAAGAAACCCTAAAGCAAGGCTGTGAAAAAATGACTGATATCTGCAAAATGTTCAAAGATGTGAAAACCACAGATAGAGACCTGACTTGGAACTCTGATCTTATCGAAACTCTGGAGCTTGAAAATCTGCTTACTTGTGCCAAGCAGACGATTATCTGTGCTGAAAACCGCAAAGAAAGTAGAGGAGCTCATGCAAGAGATGATTTCAAGGATAGGAATGATAAAGAATGGATGAAACATACACTTTCATGGCAACAGAAGGTAGATGATGATGTTGCAATTAAGTACAGACCTGTTATAACTGACACTTTGGACGCAAAAGAAATGCATACAATCCCACCTGCAAAGAGAGTTTATTAAGATTAAGGAAATTAATCGTATTCTTATTTAAATTGGTGAAAGTGATTCAATAGACTTTTAGGTTTTATATCCGTTATTTATTTTGTGTGATGGAAAGTTACTTTATAAGAAAGTGATACAATTTATATTGTGTTATGATTAATTAAGATTCATAGAGATGAATGATGCTAAAGTTTAGTTCTAATAAGATTTTATTTTCAAGAGATTACACTGCTATGCAATTAAAATTTAATGAATAGCTCAAAGCAAGCTTTTTCCCTACTCAGAAGATAAAGAAAAGTCTAGTATTAAGGGTAACGAACTTCAATATGCCTATAAACTTGCCTATAGAACCAGTTTTAGCTATCTAAGACTGCAAACTGCATATCATATCTAAGAAATAATTAAAATTATTAAAAATTAATCAAATTTCTATTTCTTCTTCGAGGTGAGCTCACAAGAACTTTGATTAGATTAGTTAAAAACGTATAAAAATGGATTTAAGCCTTGCTATAGGTACTAACCTTTTCTTAGGAATCAGCGCATCTATGATTCTTTCCAAGCCAGATCAAAGTAAAATAATCTATGGCACGCTTATCGGCATAAATTTTGCTCTATTTACAATGAAGCTTTGGGAACCGAGCTCTGAGTATATTTTTTTGACTCCCCATCTCCTTGAACTAATTTCACAACTGCTAATTTTGGTGACTTTACCTTTGTGCTTTGCCCAGAATCATTCCTGACATCAACTTATTTTCTATTTAAGTGTTTTGACATCAGGGATTGGTAGCATGATTGGATACTCACTGGCAATTAAACATGGGTTTCTACCTATTTTAGCATCAGTGCTGGATAAAATTGCCTTAGGCTTGACTTTTATAGGCCTTTGTGTGATAAATGTGATCGTTGCGTATGGATTTTCTCAAATTTCAAATTTACTTATATATCCTTTTTATGAAAATATTATGGAGCAGCATTCTCTAGAGAGTGCTTTGATTTCGATCAATAACAACATCAAGAATATTTCATATCAATATACATACAGAGGCCTTAATCCTCCTAAACAAGTTAAACTCGCATTAAACGTTCTCAATATTGAAAAAGAAGATATTGAAGGGAAAATTGTGAAGTCTTGCAAAAGAGATTTAAAATGGTGGCTGGAGAGTTCAATATCTGTATTTTGTGGATGCCTAGGGATTGTCCTTTCTTTAGCTATTATTTCTGGTCTTCTGGTGGTCTTGATTGAGCAAACAATTTTATCAGAATGCAAATGGTCTTGTGGCTTTGCAGCATTTACAAGAACTAATCTTAATCTTAATTAATATTAGAAGGCGTCTGCCGTTTTGATTGCGCAGTCACCAAGGACCCCTTTTTCGGGGTTCACCTGCTTTGCAGCGTAGTCCAAGCAGCCATAAAGACTGCCAAGAGGACATACGTCTACTCCTTCCCACAGCGTGCTGCGGCTTAAGTGTTAAGTGGGCGGGCTATGGACTTCTGCGGCTTGCTGCTTGAGTTGACGAGAGTTGGCTCTCCGAAATTCCAAAAAAAATGGAATTTCTGGTCACCTTTCGGCAAAAAGGGAAATTCCAAGTCCTGGGACGTTATGCCCAGTTTCACGCTAGGTAGTTGCCCGAATGGTCTAGGCGTTGCCTGTAGACTCTGCTGGTCTTACCCTTTCCAAACTTAGACTCCCTTTCCTCTCGGGGATAAAATCCTTTCTGGTGGTTGGACATGCTCCAGGCTCTGCTCTGCAGAATTGCTTACCATGGCTTTGTTGCCCATTTTCTGAATGGCAAAACCTTTGCCGGATATAATTAAAATATGAGTAGAGTATGTATGGCCGGGAGGCCATACCCAGACGAAGACGCCCATATTTTAATTTTACAAGAACTAATCAACTTTTATCAGAAGTTACAGAAGCGTTACCGATGGTTTATATGCTATGTGCATTAGTTTATCTTTTTAATCTTTGTGCTGGCATACGAAGCATTTTTCCATTAGTTGGGCCATCAGTAACTACTTCAAACGATTTGATTGCTATCGTTTTGATATTGTCTCTCGCGAACTATACTTCTCCTTTGTTTTTGCATCAACTATTTCCGCTTATATCTAAATCCGAGACTCTACCTTTGGTATCATACTTTTCGCACTGGGCATTATGCTCTATTGCATTTCTGCTTTCTATGTATTGGAATTGCTTTAAGTGCAAAGATAGGTCCAAATTGTAAATGAATGATCGTCAGCTAATTAGTTAAATAATTATACCATTTATAGAGCGAGCACAGTTATAGATCGACCTTGCCTTCCCACTCAATATTCTCCCCCCTTGGCAGTTTAAGTTTAGATAAAGCATGGTAAATTAATTTGACTCCCTCAAATTTATAATGATGAGTTTGTCATTTTCTTTTTCCTGTTTCATTTAAAATGAAAGCGTCAGAAGGGTGGGGGAAGGGGAGTGGAAAGCCAGGTCAAGCCATAGCTGCTCGCGAAGTATATTCTTGAAAATAAGACTCCCTGATATAAATATAAATTTATCATTGATACTTTTTATCCATTTTAAAAATAAATTCACAAAATTAAATCCGAAAAAAGGTTAAATCATTTATATATATGATATTAAGATTACCCAATTTTTTAAGGTAATTTACTTTAATTTGAATTAAATTGTATTAAATAGAGATAATTTTAGTAATTAATCTGAGAGTGATATCCTAGTAAAAGCATCGAGCTAAGGGTAGTAATGATTATTTAAATCTTAGGCTGAGGATCTTCATTAAGTTCAACATAACCTTGAGTCGTCATCTTTCCCTCTCTTTCTTGAGTTTTTTGGGCAAAAATGACTTTATTCCCTTCTTTCCACATTTCAGTAAGTAAAGTTTCGCCTGGAAACACATGCCTGGTAAACCTCACTGCAATGCTTTTAAATTTGGTCACGTCATAATCACAGAACTCCTTCAAAACAGCTTTACCTGCAATTCCAAATGAGCATAGCCCATGCAAAATTGGTCTATCAAACCCACCCATTGCAGCCATGTTTGGATCAATATGCAAAGGATTTGTATCTCCAGAAAGTCTATAAAGAATTGCTTGATTAGGTGTCGTTACATCACTTGCGACTTTACATGGAGGCCTTTGAGGCACATTAGGGAGGCTGTCTTGCAATTTTCCTTTATCACCAAACCCTCCAATTCCTCTAATGAACATTTTGGAAGTATTTCTGCATATGATTGACCCACTTTCGTCTTTGACATCGCTAGAAAAAGTGACAAGTGCACCTTTTATTTTGTCTGCAATATCAGCTATTTCACTAGTCATCGTCACTCTTTGCCTTTGAGGAAATGGCTTGAAAAACTCAAGTTTTTGTTCACCATGAAGAAGCATCATTGGATTGAAGTTAGGCATTCCTGGACAAGAAACAAGGCCTTCAAAAACTGCGCCAATGCTTCCAATTGTTGCGCCAAAGGTAGGAAGAACTTTGAAATTCTCAGCATTTTCGTAGGTAAATGAAAGCTCTTTAGTATCCATTGGATCTCTTGACATTCCAACGCCCAATGCGTAGAGAATAATATCTCTTTCAACCCAGGATTGAGTTTGTGTGCCTCCAATCTTGAACCCTCTCACTAAATCAGGAACGACTTTTGCTGGCTTCATTTATCCAACTAAATATGTCATCACCAGGGCTATTTCAATCTGAAAGTAATTATTTTTATTTGCTAATCATTAAATTTGTTCGTAAAGCTCTTTCAAGAATAATTATCAAGATAATCAATTTTTTATGATCAGATTAGTGACATAGCGTTATCTACTTAATTGATATTTATCGGATATAAATTGATAGCAAATTTACAGAAAAAGGTATTTTCCTTGTAATCAAATCATTTTTTGCATTTAAATAATTTTTCTGAGCATTTATATATAATAAATATACTCCACTAAAAATGAATCATTTATTTGATTAATAAAAATTATATAAATTGATTATGAAAATTTTAAGCATAATAAAACCTAAATTTTTGAAAAATAAAAAGCTACTCGCAATTTCTATCACCAGGTATAATAAAAAGATACTCACATGGGAATTAAAGATTGGTTCAATTTGAATAAAAAAGAGGAAAGTAAAACTTTGCAAGAAGAAGGCAGAAGCTATTCTAGCTCAACTAGAATTTATTGCCTACCTGACGAAGAAGGAATAACAAAATGCAAGAAAATCACTACAATCAGATCTCGATCTGGATCAGAACCTCCATCAGAAGAAATTATCGAAGAAGAAATACCTTATGATGAGAATTTCATGGATGGGCCTGAATTTGATGAAATAAGCCAACTAGAAGAATGTTTTAGAAAGCTTCTTGATCCTTTTAGCCATCTTGGCAGATATAGTGAATTTTTTGATAAAGAAAAACATAGCCATGATGGATTATTTAGACATTTTAGAAATCCTCAAAGATTTAATGAGAATCTTGATGAATTTTATCGTGATTATTACAAAGATGAAAGCAAATCCATTTATGATGCATAAAATTATTAGTATATCCTTTCAATTTTCTAATTTCTTAAAATTTCTTATATTAAATAATTAATTCTGAAAAATATTTGCTTTTTGTGTATTTTGCCTATCTTTTCATAATTTAATCTTTGAAATCATCAGACCCAAAAAATTGTTCTTTATTTTTTCATTATTTTAACTTTAGAAGATATCTCATTTTAAATGGAAACAAGCATAAGAGACGACCTGGAAAGATTTTATCATGAACAGTAATTTATATTCAGTGAAAGCTATTTGTCTAAAGAAAGCCACACTCCAAAATTCGAAAATAAGCGACTGAAACAAAGTTTAAGCCCCAAAGAAGTTGAGTTTAAAAATCAAATTCCCAACCCCGAATCTGAAAATCTTTCCTTAAAGCAAAGGCTAAAAGAGCTTGAGTTTAAATATGCTGAAGCTCTTCAGACAACCACAATGCTAGAAAAAGACCTAAAGAGAGCCATCATAGAGAACGAAAAACTCAAAAGAGAAAAAGCTTATCTTGGGAATTTACTTGAAAAGTTAGATGATAAAAGAAACGCATCAGCGCAACCTAACGACTATCATGATGAGTTCAAAACTTACAAAGACAAAGCAAATCAGCATATTGCAAATTTAATCGAAAAATGTGAGAGGCTCCAAGAAGAAGTTTTGCTTTATCAATCCAGAGATCAGCAATCTCAAACTTATAAAAGAAAGTTTGAAACACTTGAAGAGGCTCTAAATAAGGTCACGCTTGAAAAAGATAAGAGAATAGCCGTTTTGGAGCACAAAATTAAAAAGCTGAGACACCAACGACATATAGAGCATCACCACATGAATTCAAAAGGAGATATATCTGTGATTAGCCATAGACACAGATCGAAAACTCCAGTTCCACCATCAAGAAGCGCCTCTCCATTGCTCAATTCGCAAAATGGAAGGTCTTTTACTCCTGGAATCGATGACTTAAACACAAAAATTATTAGTTTAGAACAGTCGCAGACTGAATATAGGAGGAAATTGAGGACATTCTTACAAGACTCGTCAATTCCAAAAGACGAAATTGAAAAGTTGACCAAAATTCTTCAACAAAACGATGACAAATTATATGAAACTAAAAAGGTCCAAAAACAAATGCTCAGAAGTAGTATGCGAGCATTGTAACTTAATTATTTAATTTCGTTATATAGATGTTACAACAAAATTATCTTAAGTTACGCGTGCTTTTGCTTGAGTTAAGCTTAATTCCAGCTCTGCTCTTATTTCTTGGCAGAGATTGAAGCCCTGGCCTGCTTTCTGACCTTGCCAAAGATCTGACAGTTCCAGCTACAGTAGAAATATGGCTGATTACAGAGCCTGGCCTCGAACTTCCATAAGCTTCTCTTGCTTCTTTCATTTTGTCATGCGATCTCAATAAATCAACGCTGCTTGCATTCCTTTTCCTCGATAATGGCTTTTCTCTGCTTACTCCCTCTCCAGAGTGAGCGAGAAAAATCTTTGAATAATCTATATTTTTGGATAAAAATGTGAACAAAAATGTTTTTAAATTGTTGATAATCTATTCTATTGAATGTAAAACGATTGCATATTAAAACATAAATTTTAAAAATTAAATTAATTTTCGCTTTCCAATTTTTGCAGATTCGGATATTTTCAAAAATACGAAAAAAATTTTAGTATAAATTTTTTTAAAAAAAATTGACCCTATTCTATAAGCGAACAAAATTTTTTTTGTTGCTAACGGATAGGAGGAGTCAGCATTTTCACCAACTTTTCTTCATATGAGCTGACACAATTAAAATGGCGAGCCACCCGACCCGTCCTTCTCCTGTACCCTCAGGGACTACGGGTTTAAGAAGTAAACGGGGCCTGGATATTGTGTCCAGGGTGGGTTTTTTACCTTGGTCGGGACACCACGACAAGGTTTTTTACCTCTCACAAAGACAAGAAGACCAGAGCCGATGTATCAGGAGTCAAACTTCAGGATTAGAAGGGAAGTGAGGAAGATCTTATGTGGGGACCTTCGGGGACCTGAAGGAGACTCCGGGAGGCTACTTTTCTCCCTCCCCGGAAAGGACGGCGCCGGGTCACTAGACCCCTGATCAAGGAGCACCTGGGTGAGTCTCCCTGTTAGATAGCGACGTCACCATTTTTTGGTGACGTCGACAGAAAATGGAGTGAGCTACAGAGCCGGTGCATAGGGCGCGAGCCTGAAGCTGGCAGCGCTGGGTAGAGGCTGAAATAAACCTCCGTGACCCGCTTGCTAATTAATCTAATCTAATCTAATCATATGGGCTGTGACTGTGGGCTCTAGGCTCAAAAACTGGCTTTTTCTTAATTTTTCGATGAGCTGGCTCATTAGGAAGTGGTGGCAACATCATTTTGTTGCTTTCAGAATCATGCAGTGCTGGCGGGTTTCTCCAAGGCACAGTTGCAATTGAAAATGAAGGGCGCTGATCATCGATAAAAGCAGGAAGTTCTTCGTCTTCGGGCATGCTTTGTTTGTAAGAGGGAGGACCAGCAAAATGCATATCTCCAGCTTCTCCATGATAGGGAGATGATGGATTTTCTGCAGAAGCATTTTGGCGATAATTAGGAGGCCCTCCAAAATTAGGATTTCCTAGATCAGGATGAAGTGGTGATGACGGGTCATCTAGAGGTGATTTTTGCTTATAATTAGGAGGTCCGCCAAAATGTAAGTAATCAATTTCAGGTCTCTGAGGAGACGAAGGAGCTACAGGAGGCTGAAAGTTTCATTTTTGGTTTGTAAATTTAAATGTCGCATCTTCTGTTACGCGTGGAGTTTCAAAATGTGGAAATTCATCAGTTTCTGAATCTTTTTCACTAACAAGATCTCCAAATATCAAGCATATTGAAGCCAATGCTTTTCTTTTTTCAATTACTTCTTTAGATAGTTTTTTATATTTTTCTTGAAGAATTGGCTGCAAATTATCAAAACGATTGCATTTATCAGCAGCTCTTCTGGTATCATCAAAATTAAATTGATAGCTTGTATCAGCAGTTGTTGGAATTCTCCCAGGATCATGGTCTATCACAACTTCTTGTTCGTCGCTAAAAATTTTTGACTGATATTTCATGCCTCCATAATCTTCTGCGCTTCCTGTTCCATATGCAAATTTATTTACTTTTTCAGGAGGCTCTTCTTCGACTTCTTTTTCTTCTTCATTATGAGTTTCTTCCTCAGTTTTCTTTATTTCTTCTTCTGTTCTCTTTATTTCTTCATCTGTAGTCTTTATTTCTTCTTCTGTTTTCTTTGTTTCTTCTTCAGTTTCTTCTATTTTTTCAAGATTTGTATTTTCTTTATTTTCATTTAGATTTTCTGGAGAAATATGAGGCTCAATTATTTCAACAGAAGGCACAACTATCTCTTCCGCCACTTCAAATAGACTGACAAGAGTATTTGCTGGGTTTTCAACTTTATCTTCACGATTACTATCAGGAGGTATAGTAATTGCCCGAGGATGGCACTATCTTGCGCCATCCTCGGGCAATTCAAAAATGGCCCCACACACGGGAATCGAACCCACGTGTGGGGCCATTTTTGGTATGTGGAGAACATCGACTTCCACGTACCAAAAATGGCCCCACACATGGGTTCAATTCCCGTGTGGGGCCATTTTTTAAATTGCCCGAGGATGGCGCTATCTTGCGCCATCCTCGGGCAATTACAATATAGCTTCTAAAGTGATCAAGTTAACTGGGTCTTCATCTTCGCAAACAATACTAAAATCCTGAAACTCGATCTGGAAGCTTTGATCGATTGACATATTACTTGTATCCATAGAAATGCTTCTAACTGGAGTTTGGCAAGAATTAAGTGGCACTTTTGAGTTGTCTAAATCATCAAAGTAGGTTTGATCTTGAGATATATCTAGCAATCTTAAAGGGTCTTCTTTCAAGACTGGCCTTCTGCGATATCTTTTGATATCCTTAGCCGTCAAGCTATATACAGTGTGAGGAATTTCTTGATAGCATGTCATTTTGAACATACTTAAAATCAGCCAGCAAATAAACCTCATTAAATAGCTTATTCCAATCCCTATTAGGAACTGCAAATAAACGACTTGCAAGTCTGCAGTTTTTATCGATCTTGCAAGCCAAATACTTCACACTGTAATTCCAGTTAAAATTAAGCATAAAAAAATACTGAATCAGTCATAAGAAAAATTTCTTGTTAAGGCCGAGCTTGATGGTTCGATATATTGAAGATCAGAAGTTCTCTGAAACGCTTTAAAAAATATAGGTAAATAAATAAAATACAAAATAAGCATAACTGACGTGCAGCCAAACCCAATTAAAATTGCATATGCAATATTAAATTTTTCAAAGTCACAATAATCTGTAATAATTTCGTTACTATTTCAAAGAATTAACAGCTCAATTGAAAGGAAAAGAAAATGCGAACTTCTTGGAATTTCTACTTGGATTTGCTTGTAAAATGCAATACCTATTGGAGGAAAAAGGTTTTTAAAAAGCGTTCACTTCTTGGGGATTTTGCACAGTTTAGGATAAGTAAAAGCAGATTCAAACAGATGATAAGAAAATACGTCGCGCAGCAATTTTACATGCAGTGCTGATAAATACGCTGAGATGAAGGAAAAAATAATAGCAATCGCAATTGCAATTCTCACGTAGTCCCATTCTTCCATTTTAGTTTCATAATTCCATTTAAGGCCATTTCAAGAAGTAGCTATTGGTCGAAGCAGGAGATTGAATTAAATTAAAGAAAAATATTTTTACTCGTTTTTGCTTCTACTCTTTTTCTTTGAAAGTTTATGAAGTCCGACGCTCAGTTCATCCTTTTGGCGTTTCATTGATTTCTTATCATTAATGGGCTTTTCTTCTTTTTCTTCCTCTTCTTGCTCAGCTAATAAGTTATAAGACGGCCTCACCTCGTCTTCCATGTTCTTCAGCTGTATACTTTGGTTGGTATTTGTTACATTTTTCTTCATATAATGCTGCCAATTATCTACATTTTTTCTAGCTTGGCCATATTGTCCTTGCTTTGCTAGTTTTGCCGTTTGCACTTTGACATTTCTTGCAAGTATTTCATAGTCTGCTTCTTTCATGACTTCTTCTTTGTTTTCAGTCACTTCGACCATTTGAGTGTCAACAAGCACACACCTCATTCCGTTCATCTTCCTATGTTCAACGGCCACTTGAAAAGGAATTTTCTCAATGATTTCAGTATTTTTTTTCACAGTATACTCAAATGTGAAAAGGGTTTCATCTGTCACGCTTCCGAGATTTTTGACTAAACGAGTGCCATAAACATTTTGGGGATCTTGGTTACGAAACTCAAGGCCCTTATGAAGGTTCACTGTCACTGTCACATTGAAAGCCAAAATTTGTTGTGCTAAAATATTCGCAAAGTCATTTGATAAGTTTTGAGGGTCAACTTTTGTAAGATTACCTCCTGTTTCTTCTACAATAGAACTTAAGCAGTCTAATCTGCATTCTTCTCCTGCGATAGAAATCACTGATATTCCTACACCACTTCCTTTTGCAAGCTCAGAGATCTTAGAGTAGAATGATTCAGCGACTTCGATTTCTGCTTCAGTCTCTAAACTCCCAAGACCGACATTTGCTATTCCATCGGTGCAAATTATTACTTTTGATCCTTGCCCGCCCTGACATGCTAAACAGACAGAAGCTAGTAGGGCAGGACCAAGAGCAGTTGGCCCTGTTTCTTCAAGAGATAAAAGCCTCTGGCATAACTGATCTCTGCTTTCACCAATGCTTTGTGAAAACAGCTCAATATGCTTGTGGCTCATTAAGTCTACAATATTGTCGTAATTTGAAAGCCTATCCCCTGTAATGCAGATTTGTGATCCTCCGTCACCGATCACATTAACTTCGCCATTAAAAGTGACTATTCCAATCTTTCTGTGAGGGGTTCCTCTTTGCAGCTCAGTTAGTTGATATTCAATTGCAGCTTGCAAGCATTCCAGTCTAGACACATAAGTGATGTTTTTGTTTTCCTTAGGCATGTACTGTGGTCCCTCATTTCTTCCAATTTGCTTTCTCAATTCTTCGAGTTTATTAGTTTTCAGTTGTATATGCCCCATGACTGGCTGAGTAACACACATCGATCCAGAAATGTCAATGCAAAAAATGATGGTTGAACTATCATCTGGTCCTTGGATGCCTTCAGCAACCTGTTGAGGAGACTCTATTACATAAACCAGCTTGCTTTGAGTTGGAACTTCTTCTTGCTCAACATGGATTCTATTCTCAAAGCTACAGAACTCACAAATTCAAACTTGCTCTTCAGATTCTTCTAAAGGTAATAGCTTACTAAATGAGTTGAACAGCGCATTGCAGTTGTGACAAAAAATTGGCTCGCCAGTCGCAAAATCGTTAACTTTTCCAAGTTCTTCCATACAGATCTCTATTATATTTGCATCAAGTCCAGGAACCTCTTTATCCTCTTCAATAGGCGGAGGCAATGGTTTTTTCTTGACGGGAACTGGAGCTTTTGGAGGGTCTTTTTTCACTATTTTAACTGATTTTCCTTTCAAGCTATTATTTATTGATGAGCCAGGAATACTTGGTTTTTCAGGTAAAGGCATCTTTTTTGGGCCTGATTTTTGTTGTGGTTTGGGCAAGACAATTTTATTAGATGTGGGCTTTGCTGTAGACATTGGCATAGCCTGAATTTTTTTCTGTGGAAACTTGATTTCTTCTTCTGCAGGTTTATTTAATTTGGTTTCTCCTTCTGCAGATTTATCTAATTTGATTTCTTCATTATCAATCATCCCTGTTTCTTCAAGAGCTGCTTCTTCGATAACAGAAAGTTCTTCTTTCTTTGCACTTTGCTTTTCTTCTTCTAATGAGTTTTTTGCAATCTCACGGCTTACATATACTTTTTTGGTCGCTAATTTCATCATCAGAACTTATTAATATGGATCCTAACTAATTCTAATTTCCTGCGTTAAAAGATTAATTTAAGTCTTCGATAGTTTTCTGTAACAATTATTTTATTTATCTTATAATAGCAGGCTATCGCCCTCTATGATTATTGAATAAAGAATCGGTTTCAAATGGTATCCCATTATTATTTTTTTAAGGCAGAATTTAAGAACTTTAATAAAAGAAAATAGCTTTGCAATATATATTTTTGTTAAATATTTTCATTCTTTCATATATAGTTAAGTATTAGAGAGTATATAATCCTGCAAGAAAAGGATATATTAATCTAACATATATAGAAATCTGATTTTCAGCCAAAAAGTTAATGCTTGAAGGAGAGATCGCATTACCCTGCAAAAGTAGTATAAAATGATATAAGTATATGAACAAAAAAGGGATTATTCTCTTTGCTACTTATCTAGGACTTTTCGCAAATGCTGTAGTATATACAATTATCATACCTTTCGGGAGCAAGATGGTCTCTGCCTTTGGAATGGCCAATGACAGAGATTCAACAGGCACTTGGGTTGGGATCTTGACATTTGTCTTAATGTTTGGAAGAACAATTGCTTCTCCTTTTTGAGGGATAATTTGCGACAAATGGGGAAGAAAACCAGTTATGATAGTTGGAACTCTCTCAAATGTCATACTTTCTATAGCATTTGGATTTTCAAGTAGCTTTATATGAGCATTGCTGGTTAGATTTTTTCTGGGAATTATGACTCCGTTGACTATGGTTGTTAAAACCTTGCTTTCGGAGCTGTGTCCTGGAGAATCAAATGCAATTGCTTGACAGATTGTTATGTGGCAAATGGGATTAATTGGAGGCAATATAATTGGAGGACTGTTGGAAGATCCAAAATCATCAGGATTAATTAAAAGTGGAATTTTCGCAGATTATCCTTTTCTATTGCCAAACTTTTTTGCAGCTATAATGTCTGCTGTTGCATTAGTGCTTCTTATCCCTTTCTTAGAAGAAACTCTTCAGAAAAATAATGATGATGAATTATCTTTAAGTCAAGGCCGCTCATACTGAAAAATTGTGACAGATCCATTGGTCAAGAGACTAGTGTCCGTCTATTTTATTTTATCAGGAAACTTGACAGCTTTTCAAGAACTTATTTCTTTGTGATGCTGAGCGAGCATTTCTAAAGGTGGCTTTGAAATGAATCCAAGTGAAATCGGTATGATCTTAGCCATAAGTTCAGCCATTTTATTACTTTTCCAAAAATGCAGTTATAACTGGCTTGTTGAGCGCTCAGGACTTGTATCGATCTGTTCATATTCATTACTTTTTTCATCTCCATTCTTGATGATTATGCCTATTGCAAGCGTTTTCAATGAATATCTTTGATTAAAGTGAATTTCTCTTACGTGTGTATGCATGGCTTGATACTTTATTACTTTCATATCAAATACTTCAATTATGACTATATCTAACAACTCTGTTATATCTAAAGAGAGAGGAAGGATGAATGGCATTTTTATGTCAATGGGCTCACTTGCAAGATCAGTTTCACCTTTGTTTTTTGGCTTTTTATTTGCAAAATCCATTGAAATTGATTGGATTTTCCCTTTCGACTATGCTTTATCATTTTATTTAATGGCAATTTTTTCAAGCATTGGATGAATAATTTGTAAACAGCTTCCGAAAACATTGAATTATCCTCTTGAAACTGTTAACTCTGATAAAGCATATACAGAATTAGCAAGATTAAATGAAAATTAATCACATTAATATCTTATTTTGAATAGTGTCTTAAAGATTTCTAGGTTTTTCTTAACAGCAACAAAGGTTCCTGGTCTGCCTTCAACTTGGCAAGAAAGATCTCCTAAAGAATGTTCTAGATTTTTAAACACACTGTTTATATTGGAGAAGCTCTCCTGGAGAAGCAAATTTTCCATCATATTTGCTATTAATTTGCTGTATTCCATCATAATATCTGCTTCATACTCTGTAAATGAAGTCCCGTCGGTTTTATCTATGATCTCTATCACTGCTTTTGGCAAACCTTCTGTTTCTTTGCCGTTTAAAGGAACTGCTGACTCTCGCTATAGAGCAAAGCCATTAGAAAAATCCTTATTTTAAAAAAAAAAAAACTCCCTGAACGATCGAGAACAATTTTAGTGCATAATAATAACTATTATAATGAAATCTCTTGCTAATCTATTGAATTTTAAACAATTTTGCAATCTGAAATTTTATGAATTATATTAATTTTTTATGAATTTTTCGTATTAATTTTCATTTTAGAAATTTTAAAATAAAATTATTTTTCTCAAGCAAAAAAATTATTTTTGTTGAGGAAATAAGATATTCTGTGGGAAAGTGCCGCATGGATCATCAATTTCTTTGACAAATCTTTTGTCAGAAATGACATCGTTACAAATTACTGGCATTTTTACATTTGCTGTGTAGCCTGCAATTCCTCGTTGGCTTGGAAATATATCTGCAGCCCTTAAAAGCCTATTTGAAGCCTTTCTATATAGTTTCCTATTGTTATTGTCGCATAAAAGTACAGTGGCTCTTGATGTGTGCATCATTTTTGGAAGATTTTCTTCCAGAACTTGTATGAAATCAGTAATCGCAACTTGTTTAATCAGTTCAGAGCATGAGCTAAGTGTTGTAATCAATGAGGTTTTTTCTTTTCCAAGCTCATTTTTTGCTTGCCATTTTGATATGAACATTGAGAAGAGCAGCAAAAGGTTGCTAAATTCTCGCTCGTGAGAAATTTCAGCAGTTTTTCTGACTGCTAATAAGATTCCAAGATTTTTGTCGCTTTCATCTACTATCATTCCTGCTTGGAATGATCTCACTCGCATGCCTATTGTTGGCTCAATTCTAGCGTCAAACTCAGGCTGGCCTTCAATTGCTGACTTTGTCCTTTGGTTATGTGAAATCAAGCTTAAAATTGTATTTTTTACAGCCATTTCACATTTCACTCCATTTGAATAAGTGTAAAATTTTGTGCGCTGAGGGTTTATATTGAATAAAAATACCCCATCAGCATCTATATACTTTTTAGACTCCTCTGATAATAATTTAAGTCCCTATCTATTTCTTACGCTATCATAATTTGTTGCTTTAGTTGCCATTTCTACAAGTTCTTCCAAAGTCCTATGAAATTTCAAAAGTTTCGGTTTTTCAGTGGGAGATTTTATTTCCCTTTGCTTTATTTTCGGTGAAAAATTGGGGTTGCTCAAATACTTTGTAAGGTCGTTCTAAATATATTCTACACTGAGTTTATTTTGAGTTTCGATTGAAACCAGCATATTAGCAAGCTCTTTGTTTTCTTCTCTCAGCTTTTCAGATGCTGACCTAAGCCCTGCGATTTCTTCGTCTTTAAGATAGAGTTGCCTTGACATCACTTGGAGAATTGCATCATCATAGCTATTTCCTATATGTGACTCATTTAAAGTGTTTATCAAACTCGTCAAACTATCTGCTGTGACTGTAAGTTCTTTGAGCTTTGATATGATAAAACCGTTTAAAGAAGCGAGGACATTGGGCACTTTCAAAATTTCAAGAATAAGTTCTCTATGTTTTTTCAGTCATACAACGGATTCGTGCTTATATTTTATTTCTGAGAGAAGATTTTTATATCCTGGAGACATATCATTTGATGCCCCAACAAAAACTTCAGAAGGCTCAGTTTTTACGTTGTTGCTGAAACGTGCGGTTTGATTTTTCCTGTCATCAAAACTTTTGAGTTGCTCAGAAAGCGAATAATCACTTTGGTTTCTTGATGTTTTGCTTATAGATTTCTCCGACTTTCGAGTCACTATATGGCAATTACATCTATATGCAGCTAATGGCAAAGGCTTTTGCCTTAAAACTCTAGAGGTAGAAGAACTTCGTAGATCCATTTATTAAATTAGATGTTACAATATCTAACTCTCTTCTCTGTGGCCAGTTTATTATTGGAAATCGTAAAATTTTAGAGCATTAGCTTCCTGTGTGAACGAATAAAGATTATTTTAATAAATATTTTGATATATAGGTAAAAATTATAATAAAAAATATCTAGATAAATCAATTAAAAATAAGCAGGTGAAAGTATATTTTATTTTCAATTTTATGCAAAAAAGCTTAATCTTTCATGAGTAAACAAAAAGATGTGATTTAGTTATAAAAGGATAGTAAGAGAGCGTTTACTTTCTTCGCTTTCTGTACAGACAGAGTCACTTTCTGAGCTAGAAGAGCTGAAGGATTCAGGCTGCACATTTTCTAGCTTTAGATTAGGGATAAAATCTGGCTTAGGAACTGGCTTTAAAGGTCCTGAAACTATTAATTCTTCTTCAGACTCATTTTCAGGTTTTTCTTGATCACTCTGCTTTTCAATTTTTCTTTTCTTTACGACATCTTTTTCATAGACTTCTTCAACCGGATACCCTCGTTTTTTCATAGCCATTATCAATTTTAGCAGTTTCTTCTCTTTTGATCGAAAACTTTTTATTTCTGCTTTCATTTGTTTGCAGATCTCAACAAAATTCTTGTTTTCTGCGATAAGATATTTTCAGGTGCTTTCATCTTTTGGTACTCCTTCTACATTAGTATTGGAGATAATAAAGAGTTTTTCTTGAAGATCTGTATACCTTATCTCATTTTCATCAAGTGATCTGCTTAGTTCAGCGTTTTCTTTTGCCAATTTCTCCACCTTTCTATATACAACTTTTCTTTCTTCCATTAATTGCTTGATTTTCTCATTTGCTTCATCAATTTCTTGCTGAAGTGGCGTTGTTGAAAGGCCAGCCTTAAGGCTATAGGAAACCCATTCTTCATACGCCGCTTTGATTTTCCCTAAAATATTTGCATAAGACTTATTCCTCTCTATAACTTCTGCAAATATTTTTTGATAAATCCCAAATTTGTCAATAGACATAACGCAGATCGAGTCTCTTTGAGAAACCAGCTTTAAATTCTCGATTAATTTATTTTCCAATTCTTGAGCTCCAGCACAGCTTATGCCAGTCTGATTAGCAGGCCGCTGCGAATCCTGTGTAGGAGCTGTTAGAGAGGTAAATGACGTATTGAATGAAACATTTACGCTGCCGTGATTTCTTGTTCTTAAAATTTGAGGCTGGTAAGGCTCAATGAAACTTTGAGATTGCTGGTGAGGTAAATTTGCATGAGAAACTGATTTGTTGCTTCTCGAATTTTTGAACTTTAACTGAAGCGAAGAATTGGATGCATTTTTCTTTATCTGAGGAGAACCCACACGAGTTTTGGTGGAGCTCCTGTCGTTTTTATTCAAAGCTGATGATGACCTGGCCCGGGATAAAGAGGTGTTTTTTCTGTAGGGAGAATCATAGTGGACGCTTGCAAGTTTATGATGCTTGGATGAGTGCTCAATGTGGGGCTTGATTATTATTGGAACTTGCTGATTTGATACAGAAGAAGCTGAATGGCGGTTTTTGGATTTATGGATCTGGAATGGCAGTAAGTCTGCTTGAGCTAGATCTGGCAATCGCTTATGTCTAGACATAAATTTAATGTAAATTACAATATAACTATTTAACAATATAAATTCCTCTATCTTGAAATAAACACGTATTAATAAATGTTTTTTTCATTAATCCTTGGAAACTTATTAGCCACTTCTGGCTTAAATTTAAACCTTGATGATGTGAATGCACCTGAAATATCAGAATTATCTTATCAAGCAGCTGAAGATATTTTGTATGACTACTCTCCTCAGACAACAGATCTGTCTCTTTTAATTTATTTTCTTGAATATTCTGCAAACAATAGTAATCCAGATGCTTTAAGAGAACTCGGAGAAATTTGACTATTTGGACTTCCAATTGCTCCTGAAAATCCAAGCCGTGACAAATTTGTTGATGAAAAAGGGATATTTAATAGGAATGTTAGCAAAGCAATAGATTATTTTCAAAAAGCTTTTTTACTCGGAGACGCAGATTCAGCGTTTTATCTTGCCTTCTTATTGCAGCAGACTTTGTTGATTTCTGACTTTGATGAGTTTTTCACAGAAGTTCAAGATGTCCCTTCAATGATAGATAGCCTTTATACTGCAGGCTTATTAAGAGATTCTTATCTTATACAGAAATCATTGCTATCTGCTTATAAACAATGTATAAGTTCATATGAAATCACTACTCCAAGCTTATTAAACTCAAATATCTCTCACCCATTCTATTCAGCTCCTCTGTTCAACAAAATTGATTGTGGAGGAAGCTGCGAAGATTACGGAATCTATGCTATGGATGCTGCTGAAGAAGCTCTTGAATATATCAAAGAAAATGGAAGAGAAGAACTGACTATGGGAAGGCTGGATCTTGAGCTTAAAAATATGTATGGTGAAGAAACTGAGAAAGCATTACTTTTGGCAACAATCAGTATAAAGGAATCAGAACACTCGCGCGGGTATCTAAATCTAGCTGAAAATTATATGTTTGGGAATCCTCAAATTGGAATTGAAAAAGACTATGAAAAAGCCATTGAGCTCTACCGCACTGCAGCTTTTTCAGGTATAGTCCGTTCCCGGCTATAGATTGGGCAATGCCCAATCTTTGCCGGGACACTCGAGGAGTTATCTGCGTCAATTTTGGGTGACGAGTCAACTCCCTGAGTTGGCAAATAGCCACCATATAGTGATTTGCCAACTCGGGGAGTTGACTCGTCACCTCGAAGTGACGCAGACAACCCCCCGAGTTTCCTGGCAAAGATCGGGCATAGCCCGATCTATAGCCGGGAACGGGCTATAACGTGGATGCATATGATGTACTAGGTATTATTTATTCTCAAGGAATCCATACTGAAAAAGATATAGAAACAGGCTGGGGTTACCTTGAAAAAGCAAAAGCACTAGGTTCTTCTCAAGCTTATAGCGCCCTTGGATACTTATATTTCAATGGAGATGGTGTGCCAGCTGACAGAGAAAAAGCTCTAGACTATATAATGACGGCAGCTGAAAAAGGTAACCCTGAAGCGATGAATAATTTAGGAGTGCTTTATGCCAAAGGAGATGGAATCAATCAAGACTATTTTAAGGCGGCTCAAATGTTTTCAGCAGGATCAGCAATTTGGCATGCACCATCAGTCTTCAATTTAGGACTAATGGAATTCAAAGGACTTGGAACCAAAAAAAATTGTAGAATGGCTTTAGACTTATTTGAGAAGGTTATTGAAAGAGGAGATCTGGCAAAAATTATATTAAACGCATATTCATTTTATCGCAATGGGGACATAGAAGGAGCTTATTTGTCTTACATGTTAGGGGCGGCTCTTGGGTTTGAAAATGCTCAGCTCAGCGTCGGCTATATGTGGGAAAAAGGAATGGTCAACTTTAAGTGCAAATACGATAGAGATTATTGCGCGATGAGCTACTATGCAAAGGCTGCTCAAATGCATCAATCTGAGTGGGCGTTTTATAAGTTAGGAGATAGGCTTTACTATAATAGCAGGGATGAGTCAGACTATGCAGAGGCCTTCAAGTACTATTCAGATGCGAAAACCATACCTGAAGCCATTTTTTCAAGAGGATATATGCATGAGTTTGGAATTGGAGTTGAGAGAAATGAAACAAAGGCTGAAGAGATATATGATGAAATCATCAAAAAATCCAAAAATGGGCAATATGAGCGAGACTCATATTACCCAGCACAGATCGCGTTGTACTCGGTAAAGCTAAAGAAGTTAGTATCCCAAGTTCCATTTCTTAATAGCCTCGTTGAAATGATCAATAGTATAATCAATTAGTTTGGAATCTACAGATTTAAGTTTTTTTGCACTCTCCCATTAATAAGCATAAGATATCTCATAGTCATTTTGCGGGACTCAGGCTGGATATTAGACAAGCAACCATTATAAAGCCAGAGCCTCTCCTCTATGAGGTTTGCCTTAGTCTTTTAAATGTTAAAACTCTGCATAAATTGTAAAGAGTATTATTTAGAACTCGAAGAATTAACTTTATTCTTATTTAAAAGCTCTGACTTCTCTAGGTGTTAAACCATCAACTTTCAAATCTTCAGTTCTACATAAATCTTACAGGTTACACCAGAAATCTTCCACTCTTTGTCTGTGTTCAGGATTTTCAGGGTCCAATTCAAGCCTGTCATGATACTCAAAGCTTGGGTGATCAATCATCTAAATAATTTTTACTTCTTGTGGGATTCCTTTACCTCTCCACATAAACACGCCCATGACTTCTAAGTTCGGCTCATCTCCATAGACTCCGAAAGTTCCGAAACAATATCTGCGCAAAGCTTCCATTCTCTGCAAAAATCCGTCAACAGTGTTGCAAGTGATGTAAATTTTTTCGCATTCTCCTTCTAGCTTCTGATATCGTAGCCACCAAAGACTCCAACCATTTTTGTCATAAGTACGCCAAAATTCTTCCATCACACTTCTTCTATCCTTTGTGTTGGAGTATAGTTTCTTGAATGAATCGAGTATAAAAGGAGAATCTGGAAGAAGATCTAGAGGGTTCTTTGCTTTTGGTTTTGGCTCACTTTCTTCGTCAATGACTTCCTTTTTAACCTCCTCCTTTTTCTTTTCTTCCTTTGGCTTTTGTTCTGCTTTCGGTTTTGCTTCAGCCTTTGGCTTTGGCTGTGCTTCCTTCTTTGGTTGTGCTTCTTTCTTTGGCTCTTGCTTTTTCTTTTCAGCTTGAGGTTTCTTTGCTTTAGCTTCTTGCAGTTGAAGCTGAGTCTTACAGAGCTTGGCGTTCCCCCAAACTGCTTTAAAGTGTGGGAGCTCAGAAACTTTTGTAAACAATTCTACCACAGATTTGATGCTTTTGCGTTGGTTTTCATCGATTACTGCTCTAAATGGGTAAACAAGGGCAGAAACTAGAGATATATCAGCAATGCTAAGTTCGTCACCACAAAGATACTTGTGTCGCTTAAGCAGCTTATCGATGGCTTTTAAGTGTTTGGTTGCTTCTCTAGCTGATTTATCGATAAGTTGTTGATCGATAGGTGCCAATCCAAAATAAGGGTAAACCCAGTTGCACAAGGCTGGCTCAATTTGGGTTTGAATGATTTCTAGCCATGAATCGATCTCTGCCAAAATTTCTGGGGAGCCTGAATATAAGGCAGATTGGGTGGTCTGGCAAATATAAATCATGATGGCGTTAGAGTCTGTTAAATAAGTCGCGCTATCGATTTCAAGAACAGGAACTGCCTTGAATGGTGACTTTGCCAGGAATTCTTTAGATTTTAAGTCTTTTAAGCTGAATTCTGGGACTTCTACTCCAAATCCGCTAAGTTCAGCGGTTAATAAAACCTTGTTTCCTCTGAAATGACCTTTAGGGAACCACAGCTTCTAATTATGATTTACCATTGTGATATGATCTGATTATAACCATGATTATGCCCTTATGATTCAACGTCATAAATATGTCACCTGAGGTTAATAAATCTCAATTTCAAAACTAAAATCAAAATCCAAACAAATTTCTATAAAATTTAGACCTATTTCGACTGAACTAGATAGCTGTTTTGCTAAGAAGCATTAGATATGAAAACCATATAATTTAGATTTTTTTAAAAAAGAAATCCAAGAAATTAAGCAGCATTGCAATAAAGAATTAAGCTGTAAATTAAATGTATTGTAAGATTTAGAAATATAATAAAAATGCTTTTGAATACTCCATTTAAGCTTCCTGAAAGGTTCCTAATCCCTGTGCTAGATGCTATTTCTGATCACAAGCTCCCACACACAGTCAACGTCCCTGCTCTTTACAAACAAAAAATTGAGGTGACAGAAGACATGTATCCAGAAAGGCCCAAATCGAGATCTCAACTGTATCTCCGGCTCAATCCTATGATTCAAAAGCCTTGGATAGGTGGATTCCCTATCGGAAAAATAGTAGAAGAAAAAGAAAACCAAGCCTACAAATTTATCGCTAAAAAATACAATGTGGACATTTACAAACTGGAATACAACCCACCAATCCATCTTACTTTTAAATGAAGTGAGTATGGCGGAGAAGAGCAAGCACATGCAGAAGCCCTTGCAGCACAAAAAAAATTTACAGAACTCTACAAAGCATCTAGAAACCAATATAGGGTTTCTTACTGTGAGCTGACTGATGCATTCTTCTTGCAGGTAAGGATCAATCATATTTTCCCAAACATCTTATTTGAGTGCGATATTGATGATGCAAGAGCAATATTTGAGCATGATTGGTATCTCGTTCAGAACGAATTTAAAAACAAGTTTGATGATGTGAAATATAGGTACAGACTTGTCCAGAAAGACGAAAAGATGAAGAAAGGAAAAAGCATTACGAAATTCCTTTTCCCAGCAGACAAATTCAGAGAATATGAGGACAATAACGTATTCAACTGCAGGAAGTATAATTTGGTAGGGCCTAAATAAAACCTTATTAATATTACTTAACAGCTAGTTTAAACTTTTGATAGAGGTCATCGATTTTTTCAATCAGAGATAGTGATTCGAACTCTGGGTCAACTGTGATCGGGCCTTTCTCAATTTCAATTTTTGAGATTTTTGACTCCAGATCTTCTATTATTTCAGTTAGACCTTCTGGCGTACTTAGCTTGGCAGCAAGCTGCTTTCTCTCTTCGATATCTTGAGAGGTGAGCACTTCACCAGGCCACTCATTTAGATTCAAAGAAAGAAAGGCTTGGCTAAAAGGCTTCCATTCCTCATAGCTCACTATTGGCGCCTTAACCTTTTTCTTTGGCATTGGGATCTCGGCTTTTTGCGCTGGCTGTCTTTTGGCAGGAATCTCAATTTTTTCCTTTTCCTCAGATTTATCTTTAGCTGGAGGAGGCAAAGTAGGTGTCGCATCCTTTTTCATTGCTTCTTTCTTTGCTTTGATTTCTTCAAGCGTCAGAATTCTTGCTGTGCCCTCTACAGGCTTTGCAGGTTTTTGAGCTTTGTTATCATCTTTTGATTTTAAGAGAATAGTTTTTGACTTTTCTTCTGGTGCTTTTGCTTTTTCTTCAGTAGTTGGAGAAAAAACTGCTTTTATAGGTCGTTCTTCAGAGACTAATCTGGGTTCAGGTTCTGATGATTTTCTTAAAATAGAAGTGCCAGGGACAGACTTTTCTTTAGCTTCTGTGTGTATTACAGAAGGAATTTGAGGCAAAATCAGACTATCAATTACTTTAGGAGGTTCTTCTTGGTCAATTGAGCCTTCTGAATGAATTTGAGGAAAAACCAGTTCTGAAAAGTCTTGTGATGCTTTGTGAGTGCTCATATCTTGGACATTCACTGATGTATCAATTGAAGGGAGATCAAAATAAATATCAACTGATTCCTGAGTTTTTTCTTCTCTAATTTCCCCTATCTCTTTTTCCACATTTTCTTCCAAATCCATAGGCTGATTTTCTTGATTTCCAGGCTCTTCGCCTTCTTCAAGCTCAGGAGGTGCTTCATTCCCTTTGACTTTTTTGACACCTTTGTCGCTATTATCAATTATTTTTCTTTTCTGAGGGAGTTCTTCAACTGGACTTGTAATGATGGCCACTTCTTTTTCAGGAGCCGAGTTTTCACCTTTTAATTCTTCTTGGCGTTGCTTAAGTTTCATTTCTTTCTCTTTCTTTATTTGGTCGATTGATTTTACTGGAACTTTGAACCCTTGAGGCTCTGTTTTCTTTGTAGTAGGAAGGGGTATATTTTCTGGCTTCTTTTCTGGAGGCTTTTGGGGTGCTTTTTTCTTCTTTTCTGCGTTTTTCTTATTAGCAGGCTGTTGGCTCGCTGTTTTAGCTGGAATTTGAGGTTTTTTGTTTAAAGTTTCTTTAACCACTTTTGCTTCTTCTGATTTACTTTCTAAGTTCATTTGGGGGATTTCAGGTTGCTCAACTTGCTGTGGCTTTGACTCAATTATTGGAGATCGGGGAGGAGTAATGGACTTCATTGGGCTTTTTGGAGTTGGAGATTGTGGAGGATTAACTATAGGAGATTTCGGGGCTTGCAGTTCTCCTTCAGCATCGTTTTTAGGCTCGTTATGTGTTTCTTCAGGAACTTGAGTACTCAAAGGATTTGGCTTCATAATGTGAAGGTAAGGGCATTTATCTCCTTTATAGCATCCTTTATTGTTGAAATGAATACAAGGAATATTAATTTTCTTGATATTGTGCTTATATTTGCAATCTGGCCTCATACACATTGCTCCATACCTACACTCTTGCTCCTGTAGCATTTTATTTATAATTATTTAATTATTCTTAAGTACCAATCAACGCTTTAAACTTTTCACTTATCCATCACTTGATGAGTCTGACTCTGAAGAGCTGGCGACATCTTCTACCGTACAGTTTAGATGGCCAACTTTCTTGCATACATAACATCTTGCATTACTAAATTCACTGGATTTTGAGAGAGGATAAGACCTTTTGATGCAATTTGCAGCTTTATGCCCCCTTGTCTGGCAAAGACTGCATAGAGTGCCATCATAGGTGGATTTTGAAATTGATTTCCAAGGACAATTTCTAAAAAAGTGTCCAGGCTGATTACAATTATCACAAAGCCTGAACTTGCATTCGTGGTTTTGATTAAAAGCTTCACAGCATTGAAAGCATTTTCGGTTCTCTGTATTTTTCTGAATTTTTTTGTTATCTTTTGCTTCTTCAATTTCAATATCAGTTTCTGCTGTGTTTGGCGCTTCATCTGTGCTATTCATTTTTTCAGCCTCTTTATCTGCCAATTTGATATTCATTTGAGGATAATTACATTTTTGCTCGAAGCCTTCTTTTGATTCTTCCAATAAACATTGATTTTCATTTGGGCTGTTTCCATTCTCTGATTCATTAGAGATTTGGCAATTTGGAATATCTTGCTGGTAGCCCTTGGTCAAATATTGATTATGATTTGACTGACCTTCCTTGAGCACTTTATGGGTGTCATTTTTGCTAACTCAACCCCTCCGTGAGCGAACAAAAAAATTTTTTTTCACATATGAAGGGAGTTAATTTTGTTTTTGAAATTAAAAAAATCCAAAATTTAAAAGCAAATATTATTTTAATTTGTAATATGTATGTTTTATAATTCAAGCTGTTTAAAATTAAACAGAATCAGATAGAAATTTCATTATAACAATTATCACTTATATATCAAATTTTTGTTTCCTCATGGAAGGGCTTTACTCAAAAAATATGGATTTTTTCAATAGTTTGTTCGTTAAGGGAGGGGAAGTAAGAAGATTTTGCATTCTTTCCAACATACTTTTCTGAGGTGGCGAAAGTCCTTTCAACAAATACAATTTTATGAGCTAAGGTTAAATTTACAGTTTCTCTATAAATAGCTGGCCTTGGATCAAGTTCACTCATATTGCATTACAAACATCTTTTCTTAAGAGGATTAAATACTTAGAATATTTCATTCACTAACTGATTTAAATAAGTTTAATAGCTTTTTCCTTAGTCTAAAAGTAGGCAATTATTTTCAATTTACGATTACTAGATCCAGCTTCACTCAATTTTCAAAATATTTAATGAGCCTTTTACTCCACTGCAATTTCCATTCCAACAAAATATTTGAATTAATCTCTTGCTACTAATCAACTTATATTAATAATCAATAGCATATGAGTGGGCCTGCATTAGGAGTTCCAAAATCTGTATTCAATACAATCGCTCCTCTCGCAAACTCTTCAATTGGAAGAGTAAGGTTATCAGTTGGGACTTCTCCTATCACTGGACTAATGCAAGATCGATACCAACAATTAATGCATGAATTTAACGAAATTGATAAAGACGGTGACAAGCAGCTAACCTTCAACGAAATTTTTGAATTTTTATCCAAGCGGCAAGGCTCTGATTTTGATGAAAACTTATGCTACGAACTGTTTGCCAAAATGGACAAAAATAATGACTCAATTGTCACAACCCAAGAATTTTTATGGTCCTATGTAGATGCTGAGGATATTATTATGAAGAGGATCAAAGAATTGAAAAAGCAAATCCAGGATAAAGCTAAGCAAATGGAAGAATGCAAGAAAAAGATGGTCCAAGCAAGGGCAGTTGAGCAGATGAACCAGCATGGAATTATGATAGGAAGTATTCTTACTGTAAATGTGATAGCTGGGCAAGATCTAATACCAATGGACACTAACGGAGCATCAGACCCTTATGTGATTTTAGAATGCGATGGGTCGTCAGCACAGACAAGATACATTGAAGCAGAACTGAACCCTAAGTGGGACGAAGAGTTTACATTTAATATCCAGCGGCCTGATTCTGAGCTCAAAATCACCGTTATGGATCACGATACTATTGGTAAAGATGACTTTGAAGGAGAAGTTACAATTCCATTAAGTTTGCTAAAGGATCAGATGAAGCACGACCAATTTTTCCAGCTTCATGATAAAAACCCAAAAGACAAATGGCAGGGAAGGGTGCATTTAGGACTTCAGTGAATTTGGAGCAAAGCGAGGTATCTAGAAGACTTAGTAAATCAATGGACTGAGCATATTGCCATGGATAAGGAAGAAATAGCAAGTCTTGAAGAGCAACTTGAAAAACTTAGAAAGCCCTTTGGAAATTTACTGAATGCGAATGACTGAATCATGTCTCCAGGCGAAAGCAGACCACAATCTCCAAATATTGAAGCAGTAATTGGAGGAAAAGTTACAGAACAGGTAGATAAAATAACTGGCGGGCTGATAGGGAAAATTGCAGAGCAAAGTCATGCAGTAATCATAGCAGTTTCTATCTATTTGCTTATAAGTATATGGGTTTCATTTATTAGGCCTGATTTTTTGAATTTAACGATTGGACTTGCAGCTGCTTATTATTGGCTAGTTTTTGAAGAAAGTTCAGATAGATATAGAAAGCTGGGAATTGCAGTGGCTGCATCAGAATTTTTCGATTTAATGTGGCTCTGGACACACTCCCATTGGCCGTCATCTGAAGACCCCGACTCCAGTATGAAGCATTGGGCCGTTTACTTGACTTGGCTTGAAATTTTGGTAAAGATTCCTCTATGTCTCATATTCTTCAAGAAATCATTATAGACCAAAGAACTAATTTAAATAATTCTTCAATTAAACCCTTAAATTGCACGCTCCTCTTCGCATTTTCTCCATCACCTAGCATTTATGCTACATACGCATTTATTGCTAAAATCAATAATAGCGGATCCAAATGAGCAGGAACAAAATGAAATAGCCAAAAAAATGAAAAAAGCAAAAAATATGAAAGGAGACATAAGTATCTATATCTCCATTTTTAGCATTCTGTTCAAATTATATTTAATTGACATTTTAATTCGTGTTAACTTTGAAGTTCCATTGAGAGGCCATAATTTATCTTGATAGTCAGAAGTTGGAATTATGGTAAAAAACCTTGAAAAGAAATGCGAACCAGCTCAAAAACAATCAATTGCAAAACGAAACAATAAAGGACTCATAGATGCCAAGCTCAAAGCTGTAGGGATTTCTTGCTTCAAAGAAGGAAATAATCCTTACTGCAAAGTATGTAAAGATAGTGGAAGTTTGATGATGTGCGGGCATTGCTCGAGGTCGGGTAGACATGGAATTACCATATGGTGGTATTTTCATAACATTTCGTGTCCTATAAAAATAATTATAGAATTCTAAAAAAGTAGGAAAAACCACAAATGGATTTTTTTGAGTATAAAAGCGCATGAAAATGCCAAACAGTAAAACCTCACTTATAAGCCAGCATGAAAATACCAATGATGAAAAATTTATAATATTAAAGCTGAATAGTATAGAATAGGGCAAATGCAAAATGCAATGAATCCCCTATCTTACAAGAGGACAGGGAAATCAAAACTATCACATATTTATGTATAACTTTCAATAAATAGAGATATTTGTATAGTAATCACTATCTTATTTTCATATAGTAAATAGGCTAGCAGATAACTTCTAAGAATACTTTTATTCATTATAAAAATGTATATAGCCCATATCCTATATAGATTTCTTTTATCAAACAAAATGTAATGGATTGTTGAACGATCAAGATAGACTCTTTCAAAGGGATTAGCTGAATCCCTATACTAGGAATTGTTAAAATGTAATATGTCAAAAAATGGTTGACAAGTGTCGAAAAAGTTGACAAATAAACGTGCACATTTCGAAAGAGTTGATAAGGTTTACTAGATATCAGACAGCTATTTGCGGATGGATCCACTTTAAATTTTAGGAGACATAGCTATTAATACTTTGATCAAAGATAATAGATCTTAATATCAACCTTTTATAAATAGATATTATAAATAAAGAATATTATAAAAAAAATGCAAATTATTTCGCACATATAACTAAAAATGATAAATATAAGAGAGCAAGTTATCATCTATTTTCATATAAATCTGTAGAGTTATGAAAATCTGTTTAATTTATCATTTTAATGCAATTTTAAAGTCAAAATTATTAACCTTTTAAATTATAAATTAAAAAAAAAGTTTAAAAAATATTAATTTAAGAAGCATGGATCTGATTTAATAAGAGTATCTGTTAAAAGCGCTTTATTTTACTCTGGTCTTTTCAAACTAGATCACTTTCTATAAAAATCCCTTGGCATGAGTTAAAGTTATAGTTGATTTTTTAATTTTTTTCCATAGTTGTAATTTTTAGACTATTCAAAAAATTACTATTGGTATTTTCATGCAGATTTTACCGCTAATTTTTTTTATGCGAATTTTTTATTTTATTTTCATGATTTAATTATTATACAACTACAATATATTTTTGCATCTGTTGCATTTTTATGCATAAATTTATATTTAAATTGACAAGTTTATCTGTAACTTTCATTATTCTGTTGTTTGAATGCTTTATTTTAATCATTTATATCGCACATTGAAATTTTACGTTGGTTTTTTACTGCAATTTGAAGAAGTGATCAGCAAAAAAGAATATTTTCCAACGCAAAATATAGTTTCTGTGTCTGCTATAGAAATTTAATTGGATTTTATAAAGAAGAGATTATTTAATCTTTTAATCTGTTCTATATTACTTTTGCTCTATTCTATACTATTCAGCTTTGATATCATAATTTTTATCATCATTGGTATTTTCATGCTGATTTATAGGTCAGGCTTTACTTTTTGGCTTTTTTTTTTTTTACTAAAAAAAAATCCATGATTTTTCCCACTTTTTTTAAAATTCAACAATCATTTTTATAGGGCACGAAATGTCATGAAAATACCACCATATGGTATTTCCATGTCTGTCAGACCTCGAGGTCTTATCAAATAATCAATTAATCAATTTAACTAGCTTCTAGTTGGACCCCTAGTTGCGAAGCACCAGAAATGCATTTTTATCCATCTTGCCGCTACTCTCAAGCTCATGTCAGGCCTTGCAGTTTGGTTCGCTCCTCCTTACACCCGTAAAGTCGTTTGGAAATCAGAAACACGGGAAACACTAGCAGCTTGGCGTGTTGCCTAACTCTATCCGACTTTCATTTCACCACCTATACGGCCTAAATTCCTGCCTTTTATACCAGCAAAGGAAAGAGGTAAAACTCGATACACAAGACGCGAAGTATAAAATTCCTCGCCATTTTCTTCTCTTGTGCAAATAGTCCGCGTGTAAAAACCTAACACTATAATAATAGAAGTTGGGTAGGGAAAAGGAACTCGCGGAGCGAATTACCTTTTCATCAGAAACCATTTTATTATTTTGCTCGAGGTCTTATCACTTGCATTGCGCCAATATGCTGGAGTCAGATATTCCAGCAGGGACTTGGTTTTGTCAGTATTGCGTCCAATACGTGGAGAAGAGGCTCAAAGATGATTACCTGAAATTGGAAAAAAGTGAGAGGCATCATAAAGAATCAAAAATAAAGCATTTTGCGGGAAAAGTGAATGATGAGCAAAAAGATATAACAGTGAGATGATTTGAGAAGAAGTATCCTGAATATGTTAAACAAGGGAAAATACAGTATCCAATTGCCGATGAACTAATTCTAAAAGAATGTGAACTTTCTCAAGCTCCTGTGCCAGTGCCGCTTCCGCTGCCTAACCCTTTGAGTTTTCCTTCAGAGGACATCGGAGACTTGTTTTTCGTAGTTGATTTTTTTTACAATTTTGGGAAAATGATGAAAGTGTCTCCGTTTACTATAGAGCAGCTTTATTATGCGTTGAATGCGACTGTGGAGACAGCGCTTATTAAAGAGCTGCATATGGCTCTTATTAAGCTTCTTATTGGGCATGTTTTGTCAAGAGAAAATGCTTATGAAGTTTTAAATGAAGACAGCAAATTTTTATATTCAGCTGCACAGCTATCAGAACTTTTTGAGATTACAGAATTTTTGCCTTATTCTTGGCTTACTCTCTTGGATGAGATAATCCAACTCCCAATATTCAAAGACTATGCCGAAGATTCAATAGTTTTGAAAAAAGACGAGTCATATCTAGAGCTGAATTATTTTAGTTGTAGTTTCAAAATGCGACTAGGAATTTTAATTTTGTTGATCAATTGCTTATTTGATGTAAAAGAATTGCATGATGAGCTTTCAAGAAGATTGGAAGAAAAAGGAGACTTAGCCAAAGAAAAAGCCAAATTGAATTTGGAAATTAAAGAGATTGAGTTAAAGCTCCCAGAAATCAAAGGCCTTGCAGCCACAAGAAAAGCATCAAGCATGACTGAAAAGATACAAAAGAAGCAAAATAAAATTGAAGAAATAAATAAGAAGCTTGAAACAATTCATCTTAGAACGTCCCCAATTGGCTTGGACAGAGATTATAATGAGTACTACTTTTTCAAATGGGACCTCAAAAAATTATACGTTAGGATGAATAGTCCAATAGCTCAGCATCCTCCAGAGAAAACTGATGAATCAGGAGTCTGGTATGCTTTTACCCGTTTCAGCAGCCTTGACTTGCTGCTTCAAGCTCTATGTCCCAAGGGCATCAGAGAAAATAAATTAATTGAAGGAATCAAATGGGCCAAAGACAGACTTAAACTTCTACCTGGAGACGATTCATCAACATCAAGTGAAATGCAGATTGATGAGTCAAGTCATGGATCTAAAGGAGGAATTGAAATTTATGTGAATAAAGAAAGCTCATTTAAAGATGGGGAATCCACAATTGATGCCTTCCGAGATATGCTCTTGAAAATTGAAAAAAAGTTTACAAAATACCTGAAAAAAGGAAATAAATTATGGGAAGGGTATGAAAGAACTGAGGACTGGAAGCGGGAAGTGATGAAGGCAGAAGAGCCATCGGCCTTGGCAAATCTACTTCTTGAACATTCTCAGAAATCTGCTTCACCTTTAAAGCTGGCATCTTCAAGCGATCAAAGCGGAGACTCTGATGAAGAACGTGTATATACTCAAAAGTATCGTAAAGTGAGTATAGAGATTGCCCTTGGATTGGTAGTACTATGTTAGCAGCTAATAATTATTTATAGCTCTATTTATTAATGGCCAATAAAAGTAATTTTTCTATATTAAAATATGGCAAGATCTTGGAGATTACTGTCAATTATGGGAAAACCTAACCCAATCTATTACTACTTTTGGGCAACTAGCTCTTGTAATAGGAATTTATCAAGAAGTTTTGAATCAATACATGGCTAAGAAGAATGAATCAGGTAAACATGAAAATGAGCCAAAGAAAAAGGTCAGGGAAGAAGAAAAAAGAGTTCTAAGATCCGAAGTAAAAAAGATCCCGATTGAGATCAGCAGCAGTTCTTCCTCTTCTTCTTCTTCGGACGATGATTTAAAGCATGAAGATAACTGCTATTTTTGCGATGATGGTGGAAAATTAATTTGCTGTGAAACCTGCCCAAAAGTTGTGCATCCTAAATGCATAGGACTCAAAAAAGTGCCAAAAGAAGACTGGTACTGCGATGAGTGTAAGTACAAACAGCAAAATGCTCCTCAAACTAGACTGAGATCAAGGCTTAGAAAAAACGAGTAAAAGTACCATTGAATAAATGATTATTATTTATTGCTTAAACTGGTTAGGTTTGCATATCTATTTAACAGTAAATCTTCTCTTGCATATCTAAATTCATTCTCTAGACCAACTATACGATACCATAAGAAAATAATTATAAGTAAGAGAACTAAAATGATAGTCCATAAATGCCAAGTTTTATTTTCTTTTATAATAGTGACAGGCTTTTCATGCTTCATAACAATTTCTTCAGCAAATTTTGATGGCTTTCCTGATGATTCTTGAATTATTTTCATTGCTATTGGCAGTCACAGTGTGTTAATTGCTTTTCTCGACTGCTCTAAAGACGTTTTTTCTATTTTACCTCTAAAAATAGTCTTTTTTACGAAATCGACCCCAAACCTTATGTCTACAGTGCAAGTGGGATCTCCAGTTATTATCCACCTCATGCAACACCTGAAATAATTCCCATACGGAACATCACGGTTTCATAAAACGACATCCAATATAAGTTCATCTTTAGACAAGAAGTAAATTTTATATTCTTCTTTGGTTTCGCTTTTGGCAGGCATCATTGGAATCCTATCATGAAGAGGATGGATATATGAAACATTCCTTGTTGACGTGTGGTTCCATCCATCTCCTGGGATTCCTGAAAATACACCTGGAGGAGGTTTGCTCCATTTTCCTACTTTTAGGTTTGTATCGCCTGCAACTGAATGATATTTCAGCCGGAATTCTTCAGCATCATCCGCAAGGAAAAGCTGGAAAAACTTGACAACAGAAATATCGAATTTAACTGGTGCATCAGTCAAAGAATATTTAAAAACTGAGCTTGGAATCATATCATCACTTATATTTATATTTTTCTCAAGTGCATTAGATTTTTCTTTCATAATGAAGTCAGAAATATCATGAGTTTTATTTCTTGCTTGGTTTCTAAAAGTTTGGTAGCTTACTGGGTTATCGATAGGGTTTTGCGCTGAAAAATCATTTTCGCAACCTAAACTTCTATTTCTTTTTTTATCGCATTCTTCAAAATACTCAAGAGAAAATTTTAATGGATGAGAGTATAAATTTGACTCTTCGTATAAAGAAATTCTAATTCCTGAACTCCATACTAGCCGTTCAAGCTTGGGATACTCACAGAGCATCTTCTCTAAATCTTCTATGGAAACTTCATCGCTGTCGTTATTAAAAATACTTTGAAATACTTTATCAAGAAACTTTGACTCAGATTTTACTAACTCTCCCCCCTCCGTGAGCGAACAAAATCATTAGAAAACTCTCTATTTTTTGCCCAAAAACCCGCCCTCCGTGAGCGAATAAAAAATTTTTTTAATAGAAAAAATTTGATATATAAGTGATAATTAGTATAATGAAATTTCAAGCTAATTCTGTTTAATTTTGAACAAATTGCGTTTTAATACATAAATTTTACAAATTAAATTAATATTTGCTTTCTAATTATTATAGAAGTGGGATTATTTTAAATTTCGAAAAAAAAACTTTTTTATAAAATTCATATATAAATTTTTTTAAAAAAAAAATTAACCCAGCGAACAAATTTTTTTGTTTCGCTCACAGAGGGGGGAGCAGCAAGGACTCAATATACTCTTTTAGTTCTATAGAGGATAAATAGTTTTCGCTATTTATAGAAGTTGGTATTTTATTAAGAGATAAGTCAATCATTTGTTTGAGCACTTTACAGGTTTCATCTTTGTAAAGAACTCCATCAGCAGATTTATCAATATGCTCAAAAAGGATTAAAAGCTTATCTTTAGCGCTTCCTGATCCTAGCAAAACTGCGCAAAGCTCAATATCATTTGAATTATAGAAGCCTTCTTCATTAGAAAGCGACTGAAAAAGTTTATAAGTTGGGGAACAGTTATTATATATCTCATCAAAATTTAGGCCAAGCTGGTATATTGATCTTTTAAGCATGGGAAGGGTGATCAGGCCGTTCTTACTGTTCGTTTTAAATGTATATTTAAGCTCCTTTGCAGATCTTTGAAATATTGCAAGCTCCCTTTCCTGCTTCTTAATAGCTTTTTCTTCTAAGTCACCTCCTCCGTGAGCGAACAAAACCATAGAAAAATCCCTATTTTTTGCCCAAAAACTGAGCGAACAAAAATTTTTTAATAGAAAAAAAAAATTGATATATATAAGTAATAGTTAGTATAATGAATTCTCAAGCTAATTCTGTTTAATTTTAAAAATATTGCGTTCTAAAACATAAATCTTACAAATTAAATTAATATTTACCTTCAATTTCTGTGAAGTGGGATTTTTTATAATTTCAAACAAAAAATATAACCCCTCCGTGAGCGAATAAGATTTTTCGTTCGCTCACGAAGGGGGAGAAGGAAGGGAATTTCAATTCTGGAAAGAAGTCGTGGATTTATTTGTGTTGCCTCACAACAGCCCATATTATTTATTTAAATACAATAAAATATGTTTGAATTGAATAAGGACGGAAAAGTAACTATCATCAGTTTTACGAAATAATTTTATCAAAATAATTTACATTTTTGGTTTTATTTATTAAAGACTTGGTTTCTGTAAAACAAAATCTTACATCAAAATTCTTATAAGATTAGCTAATTTTTGCAGAGATTATTGTCTAATTACTAATAAGTTTATTCCAGCAATTTTTTCACATAGATTTAAGAATATTTGCTTTTTTTAGTAATATACGAGAGCCATCTCCAATGAAGGTCAATGATGGAAGGAATGGTCATAAGATGACAAGGAACAAATAATATTTTAGATATGAATTAATAATCGAACAATTGTGTATTTTAATAACACTTATTATTAATAGCTATGATATAAATTTCGAGAGAGTAATAAATCAAAAACACCATGTCGGAAAATCCTCATCAAAGAAAATTCAGATCAAGAACGATTACAATGGCGCCGATATGCACTTCTCCTGATATATTAAATAGACGCATAAAGCGAGCGTAAAATTCACTTACTCCCCCCCCCCTCCGTGAGCGAACAAAAAAATTTTGTTCGCTCACGGAGGGGGGTTAATTTTTTTTTTAAAAAAAATTTATATATAAATATTTTTTTCGAAATTTAAAAAAATCCTAATTTGCAAAAATTGGGAAGCAAATATTAATTTAATTTGCAAAATTTATATTTTAAAACGCAATTTGTTTAAAATTAAACAGAATTAGCTCTAGATTTCATTATACTAATTATCACTTATATATCAAAATTTTTTTCCATTAAAATTTTTTCTATTAAAAAATTTTTGTTCACTCACGAGGGTGGGTTTTTGGTCAAAAAAATGGCGATTTTTCTAATGGTTTTGTTCGCTCACGGAGGGGGGGGGGGAGTTAGACTATCAATTGGAAAAGAAATGGTTGCAAAGAGCGAAACTCCAAGCCCTACAAAAGTATATGAGACTGATTCAGGAAGGCTCATTGATTTAGGAGAGCTCTTTAATCCTCCTCGAAGCGCAGATCATGATGAAGAAAGAATTTCTTTTAACGACGACTCTGTCAGAAGATATTATGATCTGTTAGGAGATAATGACTCTTTGTATTGTCTGGAATCTCCTCAAAAAGTCGAAATGCAAGAGGCTGAGCCTGAGCTTTCTGTTATTAGTTCTTCGCTAATCAGCGAAGATGATCTAATTAGGGAAGATGATCTAATTAGGCAAGAAGATCATACTTTTGTTATGCTTAAAAAACCTCAAATTAGCTTGCTTTTTGATGAAAAATTAGAAACTACTGGGGAAATATCTGGCAGAACTCTGGAACTTTCTGAAAGTGAAATTAGTGCATCTGAGAAAGCGATAAGTCCAGTTACAATGAAAAACGAAAAGGAATTAAGAAATAAAGGAAAGGTGGGAAGTACAAAGAGAATAGAAAATCAAAGATTAGATAGGCTGAGAAGGCCAAACAAATCTTCAAAATCAGTAGTTTCCCAATCATTTTCTAAAGCGTCTGATTCTTCAAAGCCATTGGGCTCTTATGCTATATCAATGAGAACATCTCAATCTTCGAGTTATGAATCAGAAGATATAATAAAGCCTGAGCCTGTTCCAATTGATAAAGTAACAGTGATAAGCAATTTATCCATTTCTTATGAAGAAGAAAAGGAGCACTCAAGAGTTTATTCTGCTAAAGAAGACTCTGAAATCATAGTTGAAGAAGTTTCAAATGAGGACCTCAAAGTAGAAACCCAAAAACAAAATAACGAGGAAAGAAAGGGGAAATTTACAAGGGTTGTTAATTATTATCAATCTCATGCTAAAAATGACTCCGAGCATTCGACTGATCAAAACGGCATCTTAATTGCATCAGATGAGAACCAGCAAGAAGAGAAAAGTTCTGATTCTAAAAGAAAAACTAAAATAAAAAGGAAAATAAAAGTTTTAAAGAGCGAAAATCAAGAGTTGCTTCAACATATAGAAGAATTAAAACAAAAAAACGAAGAATTAGAATCAAAACTTAATATCTTGCTATCTGATGAAAAATATTCGATTTTTGGAAATAATAAAATGAAATTCATAAAAGATCTTGATAAGCTGCTTAAAGAAAAGTAATTTTTATTCAGAAAACAAATGGAGAGCAAACTCAAAGAAAAAGACAACGACATCATATCTCTACGAAATCTAAATGAGAAATTATTAAAAGAAAAGGTTGAATGAATGAGTTCAATTGAAGAATTTGAAAAGATAAAGGCTAATGTTAAGCATTATGAAGAAATAACCCAATTGAAACCGAATTCTTTGCAAGAATTAAAAAATTATAAAAAAAATGATATAGAGTTAAGGAAGAAATTAGAAGAGATATCAAAAGAGAATGAAAATCTTAAAAAAGTTAATGAAGCGCTTGAAAGGGCTAAACATATGCTATTAAAAGAAAAAAAAAGCAAAAATGATGAGCAAGAATACCTACTAAATTTAATTAATAGCTATAAAGACCAACGAGACTCTGCACTTGAAAAAATTAGAGAATTGGAAAAGGTGAATGAAAGTAAAGATATCCGGTGCCAAGATTTGATTAATAAATGCAAAGGATTTCAACAGGAATTAAAACTTAAAGAAAAGTCTCCAAGTAGATCCCCAAAAAAGAATTCGTATGCTGAGCAAATTGGTGAACTTAAAAAAACTCTTTACTCAAAATTATCTTCTGCAAATTTTAGGAGTACTGTATCTTTATATAGGGTTTTACCCTGATTAGCCCAATAAGGGTAAAAACCCTATAATAAATAATTTATACTTAATAATGAAAATGTGTTATCAAATAACTTAATTAATTGTGAATAAATTCTATAATATAATCTTGGAATTCATTTTCTTTATTAAAATCATCCTGAAATATTTTAATTATAAATGGAAAATATACATAATGAGCCAGCTCTCGTCAATAAAATGCTAGTCATCTCAGCAGTGGTTGCATTCAGTGCTTCTTTCTTTAAAAAGGCATGAAAATGAGAGAATAAAGTAGCATTTCAGTACTGAAAACCTTACGAAACATTAGAGCTAGCTGCAAGATGTGCTGGGCTTAGTACAATTATAATATTTCTACAAGTATTTGCTATAATGATGTACAGATTATTCTCATCTGCTTCTGATACAATTAAATGCCATGAAAATGCTTTCCTAGTAACATTCAAATATATTTTACAAAATTTATTAGTTGAAAATTTTATTTTTGTCGTCAATTTGCTCTCAGCAGCTGCAAATGGGCTTGGCAATGAAAGAATTGTTATTGTTTTTTTAGTTTTTGTCGCTACGCAAATATTATTCTGGTTTGGATACTTAATAATTTCTTTTTTAAAAATTCAGCACCTATTTGATCCAAATTTGATATCTATTCTTAGTTTTATGAACAATGCAATCCTATTTGCCTTTAATATGAAACCTCTAATTAATATCGATTTCCAATTTTAATTACATAATCGATTTCTATTTTTTTTCCTAAAGAATTAATAGCATTTCAAATTCTTCGTAGCATTCTGTAACTAAATTTTCATTAATATAAGAATACAACGCTTCTTGTTTTAGTCTTAATATTCTTTTCTGCTTTAGCTCAAGCATTTTTGCAATAATTTTTATCAATTCATCTTCACCTTCAAGCAAAAACACATCCATAATTCTCACCGCAAACTTTATTGGCACTCGATATGAACAAATTGTAATAAAATATCTGGAAAATACAGTAAAATCAACACCCTCATTATGAAAATGTTTAAAAATCATTGGAAGCTCAGTTTGTATTCGTGATGATAATTTTTTAATTAATTCCAATAATCCAGGAGTATGAATTTCATATATTCTTCTTCAGTTTTTTTTATCCATAAGCCCCACAAATCCTCAAAACGCCAATTCTTCAGAATGCATATACATTAAAAGTATCCCTGCAATAAACCCCATCCCTTGGCAGTATCCTATTTCAGAGTCAAACTGTGAATATGCTTTAAGAATGTTCAAAAGGCCTTGCTGGCCATATCCATCTTCAAAAGCAAACATTTCATGCTCAGGGAAAGTTCGGTGTATATCTTTCCTGATTTGGAGCTCAATTTCTAAATTATCTTGAGAGAAGAGCCTAAAATATGTAAATTGGTCTGATCGCTCTATATATTTATTCGCTTTTGAAAGGAATGCTCAAACGTCTCCTCTTATGCATTCAGGAATTCCACGAGATAAATTGCACTTTAATTCATATCTGTTAATGTGTGAGATGTCATTGCTATTTATGATTTCAATTCAATCAGAAATCTGATAAACTTTAAATTGTATTTGGTCACTGGAAATTATGTTATTTTTCGATTGCAGGGAATTTAATGAGTCTATCATAATCAATTATCTCATTCCAGAAGTTCATATTATCTTAAGAAATTATAAGCTTGGAATTATTTATCCAATTCGATATTGAGAGCTGCATTATATTAGCTGCCCATTATAAAATTACAAGATTATATCATTAGGAATATTAATAACTTCCAATTTTAAATGCTCCATAAATCCATTTTGCTTTGTTTTCATCTCTGAACTTGTGCTCATGAAGAGGAGTAGAAAGGGAGTTAAACCCAGGTGGCTTTTCAGCAGGACTGGCAGAAAAAACTCTATTGAAATCAGTTCTTGCAACTCATTTTTCTTTATCTTTTATTTTTTCTTTTAATTTCCTTTTTTCTGGCTCAATAAATGGCGTTCCATCATTTCTTATTGTCGCTCCTAAATTAGGAAAACTTGATGTCCTTGTTTTTGCAAAAGTCTCTGTCTCTGCTGCTTTAAACTCTTTGTTATATCTGCAGTAAGGTGTAGGTGAAACAATCATTTTTACAAGAGGCTTTTCATAATACTCAAAATCATTTCTTGTCAATGTTAGATTTTTGCCATTCATGATAATTCCTCTCTTAGGCATGTTATCTGGTTCCTTCACACGACGACTATTTCATAACGACTATTTTTTTTTGGCCTATTTTTTTTTGGCCTATTTTTTTTGGCCTATTTTTTTTTGGCCTATTTTTTTTTCACCTATTTTTTTTTGGCCTATTTGTTTGGCCTATTTTTTTTTGGCCTATTTTTTTTGGCCTATTTTTTTTTGGCCTATTTTTTTTGGCCTATTTTTTTTGGCCTATTTTTTTTTGGCCTATTTTTTTTGGCCTATTTTTTTTGGCCTATTTTTTTTGGCCTATTTTTTTTGCCTAGCCTCATTCATGAAGCTGCTGAGAGGACTAAAACCTTATTGAGAAACAGAGGCCTTTCCTTACGCGATTAATATTGAGTAAATTAAGTGAAAAACTCCTAATTAAATCTAAAATTCTCGAAATTTTAAAAGCAATGAATTAGTATTCATGGAGTAAGAAATCTGTTAAGGGTGCATTTTCCGATGGTCAAATCGTCTAAAACACATTAAAAATTAGATTAAAACAATTAGTATGGAATTATGCCCAAATATTAGTAAAAAATAGTTAAAAAATTGTCAAAAAAAAAGCCAAAAAAAATAGGCTAAAAAAAAATAGGCCAAAAAAAAAAATAGGCCAAAAAAACATAGGCCAAAAAAAAATAGGCCAAAAAAAAATAGGCCAAAAAAAATAGGTGAAAAAAAAATAGGCCAAAAAAAAATAGGCCAAAAAAAAATAGTCGTTATGAAATAGTCGTCGTGTGAAGATACGATGTTATCTACTTCGTAGCCAGGGTGTAAAAATGATCTGATTTCTTTTTTACTTTTTCAGGCTGTGGGCAAAGATTCAATAAAATCGTTTCCGAGAGTGTTGATATATTCTGATTGGATTGGCTTAATAACTCTTTCATCGAGTATTGGATTTTCTCGTGTTGTGGCTGATTCTTTTTTGGTAAACGCAACCTTTTTGTTCGTATTTTTTCGCTTTAAGGAATGATGGCTAAATATGCTGCCTTCAGAGGAGTCCTCTGCTTCTGAGTTCTCATCAATGGAACTTCTAGGTCTAAGCCCAGGGGTTGGGCTTGCAAGTTTAATTGCCTCTGAAGTGGTGGCGTTAATTTTCACAGTTAAAGGCTCTCCATCTCTCAAAGAGAATGCAAATCCAGAATGTTTTGCTTCATTTGCTTTTAAACCAGTGTCAGAACTAACAGATCCCATGCTTGAGCCTACGCCTAGGCCAGATTTTGTTACAATTGAAAGCGGAATGTCCAACTTTGCAGTTTCATTTTGGAATCTGGACATCATATAAACTACAAAGTTTTTTACGACTGTAAAAGTAGCAGGATACTTACTCCCCCCCCCTCCGTGAGTGAACAAAAAAATTTTGTTCGCTCACGGAGGGGGGTTAATTTTTTTTTTTTTTAAAAAATTTATATAAAAAATATTTTTTTTCAAAATTTAAAAAAATCCTAATTCGCAAAAATTGGAAAGCAAATATTAATTTAATTTATAAAATTTTATGTTTTAAAAAAGCAATTCGTTCAAAATTAAATAGAATTAGCTCTAGATTTCATTATACTAATTATCATTTATATATCAAAAATTTTTTTCATAAAAAATTTTTTCTATTAAAAAAATTTTTGTTCACTCGCGGAGGGTGGGGGTTTTGGGGAAAAAAATAGCGATTTTTCTAATGGTTTTGTTCACTCACGGAGGGGGGGGGGTTAGGGTTAGGATGAAATTGCACACCAACTGCATTACGATGCACGATGATTTGAGGCCCTCGATCACTTTCTGCAAAAACTGTGTACACATTTCCTTTTAAAGTCGCATTAACTGGATGCACATCTCATTTATTCAGGCTTGGGACTAAATATTCGTTGAATCCTAACCCTTTAACAAGCCAATGCTGAACATACTGTTTAAAAATTCTGCATTTGGTTTCATTCGATTTTCCAATATAAACGTCATTTGGCGAGTCAAAGGCTTTTGCTCAGTACTGATGCGATTTAATCATTGCTTTGCTAACTTTTTCGTTTTCTTGAGCAGCTTTATGATTGTGGATTCCTGCATTTGAAACCGGATAAAACTCACCTCTGTGAGGGTCAAAGCAATAAATATCGCCTGTTGAGCTATCTAAAAACGCATCCCCAAAAGTCAGCCTATTCAAACTTTCTTTTGGGATTTTATTTATTTCAGCCAAAGAACTTCCTCTGCCTTTTCCATTGATGACTCTATCAATGTTATAATTCGTTGCGCATAAATATACAAGCATTTGCATCGCAAATGTGCATGCAAACATTATCTTGTTTGTTTTTTTACACATTCTGACTAAAGTTAAAAATTTTCTTGCTTTGCGGAGCCAAGGCAGCATATTTGCTTCCCCATCAATGAATATTAAATCGAGATGGTCGAAAAGCTTTTCTGCGTCTCTGCTATGATACCCTGTATTGAGCTCATAAAGATAAGTGTCTATTGATTCATAATTAACCTCAATAAATTCTATATCAGCGACATTATACATTTTCTGATGAGTAAATGCCTCCCTTACCAATGATTTGAAAATTGTTCATGAGCGTCGACTTTCAGGACTATCCGCAAAACCGTCTACTATTAAAACTCTCATTTATAAAAAATATTTTTTTAATGATTAAGTCATTAAAAAAACTTACGTATAGAATAATTATGATGCTTTTTCAATCAGATCGTCTGGAACTTCAACTCCAAGTGGAGCCATCATTTTAAGAAATTCACCAAAATCTATAACATTATTTTTATCTTCATCGTATTCTCTGAAAATTTCTTCAATATGCCTTAGATCGAAGTCTTCTTGTAGGGCTTCTTTTAATTCTTCTAAATCGATAAGGCCATCTTTATTTGTGTCAATTTTTTGAAATAAGACTCGAAACTTTTTTGCAGTTCTAAGTCCAAGCTTGTCTTTAAAATGCTTGGGTTTGTCAAAACTCTCGTTTGCAGGCACATCTTTGATAACCCATGTGAGCATTCTCTTTATTTGGAATATCCCAACGCCTACACATACGATTTTCAATAATTCTTTAAAGTCTATTTTAGTCATGTGCGTCTTACTGCAATATGCTTCAAGCTTATTTGCAATTTCTATGTGCTTTATCCTTCTAAACTCAGAAATCAAAGAATAAATAGAAACATGGTCTTTCAGATGTAAATCCAATGAATTAAAAACTTTGTACATCCATATGACGAATTCTTTGGTATAAGTTTGTATATTATCAGTAACTATAAAAAGTGGCTTACTTGATAAAGGTTTTTTATTCATTCTTTTTTTTGGAGGACTTTTCATAAATGACACTGAAATTCTTCTAGGAGTTGAATTTTGTATTTTGAGAGGAAGTTCCGATTTTCGAAAAATTCTAAGTCTCTTTGGTGTCAAATCAGGGGTTCTACAAGGAGGAGTTATTGCAAAAGAAGGAGCTTCAGATCTTGATCGCTTAACTGTGAGTTCTTTAGGTAAGACCAAGGATGGCTGATTGATTTCAAACAACTCTTTTGCTTCAGAATGAAGTCTTACTCAATTTGCAAATCCTAATAGAAAAATTACTCTTCCAAATCAATTGTGTCTTCATTTTCGTTAAAAGTATCTTTGAATATCAAACTTGCAATTTGTTCAACGATGCCAGAGCTGATAAAAGAGCTTTTCGTAATTGCAGCATACCCTCTGAAAAATGATTTGATTAGGACAATGGCTTCATCGATTGAAAAGCAACCATTCCCATCAAAGTCGAAAATTCGCATTGTTAATTGAACTTTTTCTTTTCAGTCAATTGAAGCATAAATTATAAGAGCAGAAACAAATTCCAAAATATTCACTTTGGATTTGTGCCCAAATAGACGAAAAATTTCTCCATCCAGTCCTTCTGCAGAAGTCTGCTTAAATACATGCTTTGCGACGGGAACAGCAAGATAGAGTCCATTGGCCTGATTATAATTGAGATATCTATTGTACAATTTTAAAATTTCTTGTTTTGTTCCTGAATAGAAAATACATTTGGTAAGAGTCAGTGCTGTGAACTCAACTGGCTTATCAAAGCTAAACTTTACTTTTTGGTTCTCTTTACTCAGCTTTTCTCCCATTTTGATTTGCCTATTTTCTAGAGAAGATTGATTTTTGCCAATTTTTCTACTAATTTCATCGATATAAAATATTCTTATTGCAAATAATAATTCTTTAATAATTAATTTTATTTGTCTTTGACGATGATTAGTCCCAAACCACAATTCCTCCGACAGAGTCAACGCTTACAAATTGAGACCCTCTTGGCTTCCAAGATACAGCGATCACAGGATTTGAATGCTCATTTTTTAATATTGTGTCAGCTTTGCCTGAATTAATATCCCAAATAAAAACCCAGCCATTATGCCCACCAGCAACAATATATCTACTATCTGAGCTCCAGCATATTTTTGAGAATTTCCCACTATTTTGATAATCAGGGTGAGACAATGTTACTAATTTCTCAAACATTCTTAAATCTAAGATAGAGATTGTGTTGTCTTTGCTGCTTGTTGCAGCATAGTGACCATTCCAACAGATTGCAGTGTGCGTTGTTGGCAAATCATGTAAAGGCAGATCTTGAATATTTTCCCCAGTTCGGCTTGCCCATATTCTTACTTATACTCTTTAAATTAGAACAAAAATTCTGCTCCAATTTGAAGAGGGTTTGATTTTGTTTTTTGGGAAAAAAATTAATATCCTGAATAAATTATAAATTGATGCAATATTTTTGAAATTTAATTTAATTTATTTTTATAAATAATCAAATTAAAATATTAATCTAATTAGCGTTTAAAGGGTTTAAATAGTATTCTTCTTAAGTCCTTCTATTACAAAAGGTCAAAACTATTCACATAAAAATTAGCATTTTTATCTATAAAAATTTTCTATTAAAAAAAAATTGTTCCAATTTAAAAAGGAAAAGTTAATATGCCAAAAATGGAAATTTTACTATATTTTGTTTCAGTTTAAAGGGGAGTTAGATGTCCATCATTATGAGCAGATGCCATTATGCTATCTTCATGACTTAGACAAACTCCAAGACAGCTTGAAAAGACAGTAATTGTTTTGCTGCAGTATCCTTTAGCTACATCCCAAATTCTCATAGTTCGATCTTCGCTACCAGTAACTGCTGATAATTTATTATTGAAAAATATCGAAGAGCATACTTTTCCTGCATGACCTGTTAGCGTGTGTTTGACTCTTGCAGTTGCATAGTTCCAAATATATGCATTGTTATCTGTAGATCCTGCCATAATTAATTCGGTTCCTGGGGAGATCGATGCATCTAGTGCTCCTCTAGGCATGCCTCGCAGGCACATTTTTTCTTGTCCTTTTGTTGGATCCCATAATTTGACGAAATTATCGCTTCCAGCTGTGACTATTAGGTTTCCTCCATCATTATAAGAAACCGCACTAATTTCTCCTCCATGACCCATAATTTTGTGTAAAGTTCTTACAGGTACACTCACAGGTCTTACCAGCTCTCTCCCAGAGCTTGTTTCGAAGCTTAAGTCCACATCAGGTCCAGGCTTAAAAGTTTCAAGTGCTTTTTCTCTCCTAAGGATACTTTCGTAATATTCATTTAGCTCATTCATCTGAGTGATTTGGTCTTCTTTCAGCTTGAGCATCCTCTCCAATAACTGTTGATTTTCATGTTTTAATTTTAGGACTTCTTGTATCTGCTCATCTAATTTGTGCTTTAAGTCGTCATTTTCATTAAAAAGAAGTTCGTTTGCAGATTTCAGCTGCTTTGTTGCTAAATCTTTCTCTTTGATATCTTCTTCACATTCCTCGATTCTCGTTCTTAATGCTTCTAGTTCTCTGTTAGTTAAATCTAAAGTTGAGCCTAGTTTTTCTTTTTCTTCTTTTAGGATCAGGACTGAAGAAACATTTTCATGCTTGTTTTTGTAAGAATCCATCAGTTCTGCCTTAAGTTTGTTGACGTTTTCTTTAAGTTCTTCGATTATTAAAGGATCTCTACTTTAACAGTACGCTGTTGTTTTCTTTATGACTAAATTTTCTCGCTCCAAAGTAGTTTTTTGAGTGTATGTTTCTCGATATTGCTTTTGGAGATTAATATCTATGTAGAATTTACATGCTGGGATGATGTGCTGAAAGGGGGTGGTTTGGGTGCAATTTCTTTCATGAAGTCTTGTTATGATGGTGTCTCGCCAGGATTCTTCCATATAAATTAATATGAATTTAGAAGTACATTTTATCTTAACTTAAATTAATTAGGTACAGTTCGCTTAAAATTTATTTCTACATCTCTACCAGGATTCCGGATTTTATTCGGGATACCCTGCCATCCAAGTAACTTTAATTGCTTGGTCTCGATAGGCTAGTCCCTTGACTTTAGGTGTTCGGGTTTTGACAGCTGTTCTTCTAGCTGTCAAGCTTCTAATTTGTGTCTGCCAGCATGTTAAAAGTCCCAGTTTTACTTAGGGGAGTTGGTGGCACACTTCAAGAAAATTCCATTCCCTCTATGCTCTATGATAGCCATCCAAAGTTGCGCACCTTGGGCTGAAATTTCATCAACTTTCATTGGGCGAAGCCAAACCTTATTATAATAAAATTGGCCTTTCGAGAAATTTCTGCCCAATAGAACAAGAATTTGGATTACATATTTTGATTATGAATATGCATTTTATCATATATCAGAATAATTTTTCTTTTAAGAATATTATCTTCCTCTAGAATAGTTATTAGATGAAATCAATAGAAATATTAAGTTCACTGGAAATTCGAATTTACTTTCGCAAAAGTTGTTAGGAAACTATCATATTAATCATTATTGATTAAACAAAATTAGAAATATGAATTAATCAAAACTTGCTTATTAATTAAAGAGCTCTGATAATTCAAATTGATTAAAACTGTATTTAACTTTAGTCTACTAATAATATTGGCCTCGCAAAATATATTTAAATAATTAATGAAGCCAAGCGTTTTAGAGCAATCTTCAAAAACCCAAGAAATTTCTTTCAAAAAGAAATGCCAGCTTCAATACTCCAAAATAAAGGCAAGATCATTTTTAATCCGAGATCTTTACAAAGAGCGAAACCTTCAAGAGAAGCTGAATGGCGAAATGAGTGAGAAAAAGCATCGAGAAGAAATTATCAAAAGATCTATGATGAGGTTCAACAATAGTCCTTTTGCAGTGAATTATATCGCTCAGCAAGAAATTTCAGAGCATGAAAGGATGATGTATGATAAATTTGGATATAGGAGAAAACGATCTAAACGTTGCCATAGCAAATCTAATTCATCAAGAGAGAGAAAAAGTGATTTTGATAGATTTAAAAAATCAATTAGGGTTGACACTACAGATGATGACAAAAGATCAGACAATACTTCGCCTTTAGAGCCCTTATCAAAATTTGGAGATGGATTTTCTGGGAAGAATAAAAATCTGAGTGTTTCACTTGAATCAGGTGCGAAGAAGAAGGTATGGAGCAAACCTGGGTCAAAAGAAGAACAGTCTCCTGCAAGGGATACCATAAATAGATTATTGAGCAAACTATCAGATTAAATTATATATAAAGACTTTTAATCCGTCTTTACGACTAAATCAATAAAACACATTCACTGAATATTACAAAGAAATTTAATATTTATTTTTTTCACAATTTTTTATCAAATTCTTTAATAAATATTTAATGAGAGATACTCCTATTAGTAAGGGTAGAGAACTTATTTTTAAAAACCATTGGTATAAAGTCTTAAACTTAATTGGGTGCTTTATATAAGGAAAACAACAATTTTAGATCAAAAAGTCATATCTAATAATTAAGTAATTGATAATTAATTCGCGCTTTAAAATATATTTGGCTTCATAATATTGAAAAATTCTTCTTGGCTGATTTGCCCATCACTATCCTTATCGAATTCATCAATCATCGCTTTCAATTCTTCATCAGATAGATGCTCTCCCAGTTCTCTTGCAACTCTTCTTAAGTTTTTGAGTGTTATGTATCCAGTTCCATCGTCGTCAAATAATCGAAATGCTTTCAAAACTTCTTCTTTACTCCCCCGCTCCGTGAGTGAACAAAACCATTGGAAAAATCCCTATGTTTTGCCCAAACGCCCACCCCCCTTGAGTGAACAAAAATGTTTTTAATAGAATAATTTTTTTTATGAAAAGAAATTAATATATAAGTGATAATTAGTATAACGAAATTTCGATCAAATTCTGTTTAATTGTAAACAAAATTGCGTTTTAAAATCTAAATTTTTATAAATTAAATTAATATTTGCTTCCCAATTTTTGCAAATTAGGATTTTTTTAAATTTTTTTAAAAAACAATGAACCCCCCTCCGTCAGCGACAAAATTTTTTTGTTCGGGGGGGAAATAGGATCTCTATCACCAATCTTCTGGGTCATGATATCTAAGAAATCCTGATAGTCAATTCTGCCAGAATTCTCTTTATCATATTGCCTCATTAGATCAATAACTTCAAGCTTTTTAACATCGAAGCCCAGAGCGCGCATTGCTACTTTAAGTTCATGATAGTCAATGCTACCAGTTTTATCAGTGTCAAAGAGATCAAAAGCTTCTTTTATTTCTTGCTTTTGCTCTTCCGATAGCTCAAAGCGTCCTCTTCTCCTTGGCTTTGGTTTATTTGAAAGGTTGTATTCTGGCTTTTTGAACATATTTGAAATAAATTAATATGAATTAAATTATTATTTAATGTATCAAATCACTTACAGTCAAGTAGAGATGGAATTGCATTTTAGAGATGAATCGATTTCTATATTTGCCTCAAGAATGGAACATTTATTCATGTCCAGAAATAGATCCTTCAAATTTGATTATAGCTTTTCTTAAACGGCTTAATTTACAAGTGGGTTTATATTAACCAGTAATGCAATAAAATTACTCTATCTGAAAATCTTCAGATGGACCACAAGATATTTTGGGTAGTTAATATAGCCATCTCTAATATCATGTATGATAGAGGCGCTTTGAACAATAAATTGGGTCCAGCTAGATTCTGATGAAAATAATGATTGTATCTTCAGTTTTTTGATTGTTATTTAATCGGACTATACATTTTGAAGTAAAAGTAATCCCACGAACTATCTAGATGAAGCAGACTACAAATGCAAATTAGAATATCAATCAGATAATTATGCAGCATGATGGCAGTATGCTTGAGGATTTAAAAAGAGTTTCTGTGATTTATATTTTAATAGAAATCATAGTGGTTGTCTCCCGGCTTGGCCTAAGGAGCAGCCCTTATTGCATTTATTATGAAATATGGCTGTTTTTTATTCACTTTTGCATTTAGTACGCGAAAAGCCAAGAGAAATGCAGAGATGAGTTTGCCATCAAAATCCCTAATTCAGCTTTGCAAATAGTTGAGTATATCTATCCTTCAAGAATTCTTGAGAAAAGCTACGAAGGAGAAGTCCTTATCAAGAAGATAATTTCTTGATAGAACTGGATTAGATGAATATTCAGATTTAAGTAAATAAGTTTGAAATTTAATACAAAGGCTAAATAAATTAATCAACAAAATGCTTACTCCCCCCCTCCGTGAGTGAACAAAACCATTAGAAAATCCCTATTTTTTGCCCAAAAACCCACCCTCTATGAGTGAACAAAAATTTTTTAAGGAAAAAAAAATTGATATATAAGTGATAACTAGTATAATGAAATCTAGAGTTAATTCTGTTTAATTTAAACGAATTGCTTTTTAAAACATAAATTTTATAAATTAAATTAATATTTGCTTTCCAATTTTTGCGAATTAAGATTTTTTTAAATTTCGAAAAAAAAATATTTTCTATAAAATTATATATAAATTTTTTTAAAAAAAAAATTAACCCCCTCTGTGAGTGAACAAAATTTTTTTGTTCACTCACGGGGGGGGAGTTAGACGAAATTTCCTATAACAGAAATTCATTTTAATTCTTCTATATTTTTTCTTTTAAGCAAACCAAATAAGTTGGCTATTAAATCGCTTGCTTTCACTATATTAAAAATTCCTTTCATGGGCCTTTATTTTTTCATATAATAGAGCATTTAACCAGAAATAATTTATAGTTTCTAAAATGAATATTGTGAAGCTAACTCCCCCCCCCCTTTAAATTGAAACAAAAAATTTTGTTTCAATTTAAAGGGGGGTTAAGAAATTTTTTTTTATAAAAAAATTTTATATATAAAAATTTTTTCAGAGATAAAATTTTATAATTTTCATGAAAAATTAATTCATAAATTTCTCAATCTCAAAGTGTAAACTTGCTGAAATGGTATTCTTCTAACTCTCCCCCATAGCAATTGGACAAAATAGAGTTTAATTTCTAAATCTTATATGTTTGAAGCATATTAAATAGGGTGTTAACGTATTTACATATAAAATAATGATTTTTACCTATAAAATTTTCTATTATAAATAAAATTTTGTTTCAATTTAAAGGGGGGGTAATTTCCCAAAAAAGTAGGAATTTTACCTATATTTTGTTTCAATTTAAAGGGGGGGGAGTAAGAGTTTGCAATTTCGATCACAAAATCTGTTGGGCAATATTTGTATTCCTACAACTATTTATTATCGCTTGCATGGTTGGCAGCCTTGGCACAAAGAGCTGGGTGAAACTTGATATATCAGATGGGTTAGGAGAAGACTTTCAATCTTTTGAAGGAAGCATTATGGAAGTAACCCATTATAATGGAGACGATATTGAAGTATCTTATAAAGATGCAGCAGACTACTATTGTGATCCCAACCCAAACGTTATGCCAAATCTTTATAACGCCTGGTGCGATATGTTTGACAATTTGCGCAGAGGCTTCGGAGTTTTCGCAGTATTTGAGATCATTTCAATAGGTTGCCTGGTTGCTTGGGGAGCAGTCTTGATTGGATTTGTGTTTAGTGTTAATTGCCTTCCATGCTCATTTTGCTGTTCTGCATGCTCATGAATAGCGCATTTTATTGCGTTTTTTAGCTGGCTGGCAGTATCAAATGGAGATTATGATGGGAATTGCAACGACATTGCTGAAAGCTTTGATGATGGCGATTATAAGAGTGATCTTAAGCCTCCACGACTTTGCATTAGAGATGGACCAATTTTAGCAACTTTTTTAGCTGTATTTTTACCGATAGTAGTTATTGCTTATATACCTATCGGCTGCATCGCTTATCGAAACAAAAGACAACAAGACCGAGAAGGCGAAAAACAAGAGTTTGCACTAGAAATACCAAATTCATTGCAAATTCAAAATGGAGGGCAAACTCCAATTATAGTTCAAGGTTACCCAGTGATTCAGGCAGGAGTTCCATATGGCTCATCTTTGCAAGAGCCTATCCAAAATGGAATTCCGTATCCTTTGAATGGTTTCAACATGCAACCTACTCCGCCAGGTCAAAACAGCTATCCAACATTCCAAAAAACTCTTGACTAATTCATATTTATTATATCTAGATAATTAATTCTAAATGTGATTTGTTAGTGATGATGATCGAACATATGCTAGCTTGAAGTATTGCTAAAATATTGTATAGCAAATTATAATAATTTATTACTCGTATAAATGAAATATCATTAAATAGAGTACAATATTGTAAAATACGATCAATTGCAAGTGAAGAATTTAGAGTAAGTGAGGAAACGATAAGTAAATGACTCGTGCATTAAAAGAGTTGAGTGTGGTTTTCAAATTTATAAAAGTTTTATAGGCACTTAACAAAATAACAAAGATAGATGAGGTAAGAAAAATTTAATGACATCAAGCAATTAAAACTTTTTAAACATCTATCCGGGTCAAACTTCAAGGCATCTGAGAGAAAAGCAGCATATAATCAATTGATGTTCATATAAAAGCTAAAGAAAGAAAGCAGATGTTTGATGAATAAGGGACAAACTTATTTTATAGCACTATCGAGCTTGAAGAATGTGAAATATATAATAATAAATCTTATCTTTTTCAATTAGTTCTCTTGCAATTTTATAATCCCATGGGCTTTATTATAGCGTAATTAAGCTTTGCCTTATGCCTTCATTAAGTTTAGTCGTGCTTTTGGCATATAATATTTTAAGGGGTCTACTCTTTACTATATAAATTAGCGTTATATAAGATTGAATGCGAGGCCACTATTCAAAATTTAGAATAAAGGCCATGCATAACTAAATCACTTGCAGAAAAAAGATAATAAATTAAAAATCATGCAATAAGAAGCTTATGAGATATAAATATATTTAATATAATTTTTCTATTTGCGATTTTTAATGATTTGGAATAGAAATTTATTAAGAAGCATGATAATTGTTGAGACAATTTATCTAACTCCCCCCCTTTAAATTGGAACAAAATATAGGTAAAATTTACACTTTTTTGGTAAATTAACCCCCCTTTAAATGGAACAAAATTTAATTTTATAATAAACAATTTTATATATATATAATCATAATTTTTATGTAAAAAGTTTTGATATAATTTTTAAATGCTTCTTCTTAACTAAAATTAAAAATTTAGTTGTATCCTGCTCTTGTTTAAAGAATAGAGTATAAAGAGCATCTTATTTAAATAAATTTATTATCCTTAATTGTAAATTTTTAAAAAAATTTAATTTTTTTTGTTTTTAAAATAATTTCAAAAAAAATTTATTTTTTTTGATAAAAATGATATTTTTTATTTAAATCGCTTTGATATAAATTCAATACGAATTCTTTACAAAAATTCAAAATTTACTTATCTCTTGCTTTATTTTAAAGAATAGAGTATAAATAGCATCTTATTTAAACAAAATTAGCACTTTGATTAATAAATTTTCTAAAATTTTTTTTTTTTTAAATTTTTTTTTATCAAAAATAATAATAATTTTTGCGTAAATAGTTTTGATACCAATTAATAGTGGCGTATTAATTAATAATAAAATTTTAGTTATATCTTGCTTTGTTTTAAAGGATAAAGAGTAAATAGCATTTTATTAAACAAATTTATTAATCTAATTCGATAAATTTTTGAAATTTTTTTTTTTTAAATTTTATATAAATTTTTTTAAAAAAAAATTTTTCTTAACCCCTTTAAATTGGAACAAAATTTTTAGTTTCTAATTTAAAGGGGGGGAGTAAGTATCAGACTGAAATAAATATTTTAAAACTATTAAATAGAATGTTGTTAAATATTTAATAAGGATATATATATAAAGTTTCATTTTAATGCTTCTATATTTTCACCAAATTTGTAAAGTATCTGAAATCAGTTTCTAATGTGCTGTTACTCCTCTTCTATCTGATAGGCTTCGACCTTGAAAAGTTTGATTAATTGTGGAGAATAAAGGATCATGAAAAAGCATTATATATAAAATAAGATATACAATTTTTATTCATTATATCATCATCATTATCATCATTAATTATAGCATTGCCTTCGCAATGTTGAAGCTCTTATGAGCTTTTTTTATTCTTTTCTTCCAAATTTTCTCAACTTCACAGTGACTTGCATCTTCATCCATATCTGCTTGTTGATCTGCTTCTGTGCCTATATGCTTCTTCCTCATCATCTCCTTTACTGATTTCTTCATTTCACTTTCTCTATCCATTCCTTCACCTATTTCTTCAGTAACTTCTTTCTGTTGCCTCTTCAGCTATTTCTTTAGCTACATCTTTTTCAGTTTCTCCAATAAATTTTTCAATTGGCTCATCGTCAAATGCTTTAACCTCAGCCTCACATTTTCCCTCAGGAGCTATTTGCTTCGAGTTTCATTCTCAGCACAATGAAAGTCCCTTTCATAGAGTATTTGATATAAATTCGTATTTTGATTTATCGATACTGGAATTTCTCTTTGTTTAAAGATGATTGTAATCATCATCTCTCTGTCATCTAAGATTTCGCCTTGCTGTCTAAGTCCCCATTAATAAACCTTTTCAGCTAATCCGCTTTCTTCTCCATCCTCTTTCTCAATTTCTTCATCTTCCCAATCCTCACACCCAAATTCGTCTTCATCAAAAAATTTTTTTCATCACCAAGCACTTCATCAGAGTTCTTGGTCTCAGGATAACATGTCATTTTTGGAATCAATACTGTCTGATCGATCTCTGATACTGCACAATTTCTGATTATATAACCAGAACAGCTTTTTCTCAGGTGAATAGGTCCGACCTATTTCTTCCATGCTAAATAAAAAAAGTTTATTGATTATATCAACTATAAATATATTTTCTAAAATTCTATATGAAAATCGCTCGGATGAGGTTAATTTTAAAAATAATTTTATATAAAATTATTTTGGGGAGTTATTAATTCGCTATATTTCAGTTATACTGCTTATTATTGCCAATACCATTTGCTTTCAAAGAATGATTAACAAATTAAGCAAAAATTAATTCAAGATGAAATTGACTGTTCTAGAGCTAAAAATTTGAAATAAAGATCACCGAATATTTTGAGCAGTATTTGCAGGTCTGCAGCTTGTTATTATAGCTTGCATACTTTTCAGTTTAATAACAGATAGTTGGGTAGAGCTTGATTTGTCTAAAAATCAAGGAAATGACTTCAATTCTTTCAAAGGTGCTATTTTAAGACTAACTGAATATGATGGACAAGATACTGATTCATCTTATCAAGACAAGGAAGATTACTATTGCAAATTTAACCAGAGTGGCATAGCAAATCCTTATAAAGCTTGATGCGATATGTTTCATCATTTAAATGGATCAGGCTCAACTTTTATACTTTTTGATATTCTTTCAATTGCTGCTCTTGTAGCATGGGCAATTGTTCTCATTGCTTTTGCTTATAGCGTGAATTGCTTTTTTTGTTCATTTGTATGTTCTACGTGCTCTTGTATTGGACATTATATTGCCTTCTTCGTCTGGTTAATTAACGCAAAAGGTGTTTATGATGGTGACTGTAACGAGATTGCTCAACACTACAATAACGGTCACTCCACTCGTAGTCTTGAATCGCCAAATCTCTGCATGAGAAATGGACCAGGGATGGCAACCTTTTTATTAATTTTTATACCTATAGTGGTTATTGCTTTTTTTCCCTTTGGAATTGTAGCATACAGAAATAAAAGGCGAAAAGACAGAGAAGGAGAGCATGGAGAATTTGAACTTCAGATACCACCTATACTTCCAAATCAAGGAGAGCAAATTCCTGGCTTATTCCCAAGTTACACACAGGCGAATCAGCCTGAAGCATCTTTTGGACCATTGCCGCAAATACTTATACCGAATGAAATTCGCATTGCAGACTTAAGTAGGCCACCCGCTCAATCTGACTATTCTAATTATCCAAATCTTCAAAAAAATATCCAATAATTTATAATTTCTATTAATTATACCAACTTGCTCTTTTCTTTGTGTGAATATAGCTAATGCATTCTTTTGACTTGCCCCCCAAAGTCTATGAAATACAAATAATATTTAAATGCTGACTTTTAGTAAAAATATAATAATTATTTAGCTTCAATAATCAAGAGACCAATTTTTCATTTCAAAAGATGATATCAAAAATTGTACTTTCCTATATTAACTATTTAATTCTAAATGATAATTAAATTTAAATTGAATATTTCTCTTAAAGGATCTATATATTGAAGCTATTGAATCTATGAATTTGCAGGAAGGACTATAATAGTGTACAGCAATTATTCTAACGCCTTATTGCTTTGCGAAGCAATTGCCAAAAATATTGCATAGCCAATTATAAGCAAAGCAAAACAAATAAGTGTATATGCGAAACCTAAATAGCTTATAAGTAATCCTCCTAAAACAGGCCCCGCAATATTTCCAACTGCATAGCTTGAATTAAAAGTTGCGTAAATTTGCTCATAGTTAGATGATTCCACTTTTCTTACTGTGTCTGCGAGCTCGGGTAGGACTGGAACCATCACTAGCGAAGATGCTGCACCAATTAGAGCCATACAAAATGTTTCAAGCAATATTGAGTCTGGTAGGCAAACAAGAGGCAGCAAAACACCTAAAAAGAGCATTCCAACTATAATTATTGGCCTTCTTCCTGAACGATCTGATATTTTCCCAGCAAGCGGTGAGATAGTGCCAAATGAGAGCACTGAAAGTGCTAATATAAGCCCCATTTGTAGAGGGTTGATAGCGAATTTTGAATATAAAATCAGGGGAATCATTGGCTCAAGCATTGTTAAACTTCCAGATCCAATTATAATTACTCCAATAATCTCTATAAATTCCCCTCTAAATAAACTTAATTTCCCTGAAGTGTTTTCTTTTTTTTTCTCCGTATCTTTTAGAAATACAAATACAGCCACAGCCTGAATGAAGGTAATTGCAGATCCTATAATGAATGGGAATGAATACCCTCCAAGATGATACAATATTCCTCCTAAAGGAGGGCCTATAAGCATCCCCAATCCACTTCATCCTGTAATTTCTCCTAAAACCTCACCAAGTTTATGGGAAGGCGAAATGTCAGTGATCAATGCTAGAGCTGGAGTAAAGTTCGCCGCTGCAGCAACACCTTGAAGTATTCTTGAGAAAATGAGCATCCAAATTGAATCAGAAAAAGCAAAAAGCAGAGTTGCAAAACTTAGGGTGAAACTTCCCAATACAATTATTTTTACTCTTCCAAAGATTTCCTATGTTAATTTTACAGAAAGCTTACTCTTCCACTCCATCCTTGATTAATGACTCGCTGTTTATTAAGGATGAGGGGTAAAAATAATTTCTGAAAAAAATATTTAAATAAATAAAATAAATATTTTATTGTCAACCTTTTAAGTTTTAACAAAATATCAAAAAATTTCTTACTTTAAACCTCTTTAATTTATTTTATTAGAAAAATTTGATAGTTGAAATTTTGAAAAAATAGTTTAGACCTAACTTTAAGTATATATTATTTAGATGGTTTTCACGCTGAATCGATTATTAAGCTTAAAAATGGCATGGAGAACCTTTCTGCCATCTAAATACTAGTAGCCAGACTGGTCTGAGGACTTGCAGAAGGAAGAGCAGCGTGCAGCCTGGTTTTATTGGTTTAGCGGAGCGCACTGTTGGGCTGCCGATCGCATTACATCTAGAGCAAGGTTTTATCTTGAGGGACGATGGACTTAGAAGTTGGAAAGGGATAGCGCAGAAAGCCCAAGGGTGTTCTGTTCAATTTCGCAGCGCGATGCCAGATCCATCATTTTTGTTAAGTATTTCATTTTGGCGGATAGCTTACCAGAAAATTCACTTTTGAATTTCGGAAGGGGCAACCCTGTGGTGTACCGCACAGTGATCCAGAGTCTTTACCTCCAGATTGCGAGTGCAAGTCCTCTTTCGGAGGGAGCAACACATGCCTTAAGATTGCAAGAGAGGGAGCGAAGCAAGGATGTGAAATCTGGCATAGCTATCCAAGAACTAATCTATAAGAATTTAAGTAAGAATCAATTAAATTTTTAATTAATTTTTTAAAAATATTTAATATAAAATTTTTAAACTAATCCCAATTAAATTGGAACAGAATTTTGCTCCAATTTAAAGGGATGGACAGTAGCACACAACTAACGGATTATTAAATTTCTTTTTAACTTCAAACAGTTAAGTTCATAAATTATTATCAATGTTAGCTAATTTATTTATTTATTATATAAAAATTGCGATTTATGAAATTATTTATCTGATAAGGGTTAATTTATATAGTTTAGATAGAATCGTTTAATAATATTATGGGAAAGCTAGCAAAAATTGGGGATGAAAATAATATAGATGCTGCATAGGCTCCAAAAATTAAACCAATTCATGTAGGAGATGCATCAAGCTCTGATGCGTATGATGGTAAAATCAAAACTGCCAACCCATAAAGAAGCTGCCCATTTACCATAAGTCAAATAATAAGCAGTTTTGGAAGAAAGGGGATCATTTGTGTATTCTGTGTAAATCCAACTGTATATGTTCTATTACGGGTTTCAGGGAGAGCTAATGAAAATATAGTTGCTGACTACCCCTCGAGTGCGAACAAAAAAATTTTGATTGTTCACACGAGGGAGTTTTTTTTTGAATTTTTAAGCAAATATTTTTTTTTCTAACTTGCAAAAATGGAAAACAAAAAATTATTTTTAGTTTTAAAATGCAAAATGTTTAAATTCAACAGTATATATCAAAAATTTTTTCATCAAATTTTTATATTAAAAAATTTCTCGCTTCAGAGAGGGATTTTCCAACGCTTTTGTTACTCACAGAAGGAGGAGTGAGCATAAACTTTCAATTAAATGGAAAAATCAGCTCCAGCATATAAATTCATCTTTAAATAGCACATAAATTCTTGTGAGAGATTTTAATAACGATGAAATAAATGAAATTCCTCAGTAGCTGTAAAGCATTCATGATCTTGGGAGTCCTTTTAGTTCTTCTATAAATACTACGCATCCGCTTAAAAATCATGCTAAAGATTCAGTAATTGCATAATATACGGTAATTCCCCCTGCATGCTTATTTGTAATTAATGCTGCAAGTTGAATGATAGGATAAATTGAAAGGAATAAACATAGGGTTAGGATAAATTTTGAATTTTTTGTGAGTTTACTGTATTTTGGAGTTGGAAATTGAGCTACTAAAGGACAAAACCGAGAAATTGCCATAATGATAAAAATAGTTGCTGGCACTGAAGTGAGAACAAGATTTTCTAAACATAAAGAATATAATGCTGTCTTGTCTGAAAGGATTTCTCCGCTGTCATCTTCAATTGGTTCTTTTCTGCATATGGCAAATAAATTCTTTTCCATAAATTAAATAAAATTAAAGAGGGAAAACTTTTCGAGGTGCCAATAGAAAATAAAAATAGATAGCTTCAATTTAATTAAAATAAACCAGAGATGTTTTTAACCTAGAGAAGGTTTTATTAAAATTTTGCTAGATCTTTAAGAACAGAAAATAATTTAATTTCACTAATTGCGGACAGGATTTACCCCTCTATAGCTGAAATTGGGATAAGGAACTATTTCATAATAAATTTTTAATTCTATATCTTTATAATTTAATTGCAGCAATTTAGATTTCAATTGAATTAATATTATTTAAGCTGAAAAATGCTTTCTTGCATTCATATCCAGAGATTATTAGTCTAAATAACTGCCTATTTTGCACTAAATTAATCTTAATTAACATATTTATCTAACAACAGTTTCGATTCTAGTAAAAAATAACTCTTAATCAAAGCAGTTACATTAAGATTAGATTGACTTAGATTATAGCGGGTCTCTGGAGATTATCTTGCCCCTCGCAGCCTCAGGTCAGTTTCAGGCTCGATGTGGTCCTGAGCATAGGTGTCATATACCCTTTTCTTATTGATGTCAGCAGTCTCTTGGGAAGACTCACCCAAACATGCTTGAATTTAGCCATGGAATAAAAGACTATGCACATTGCCCCCTTCTGGACTACCTTGTTTTTATTAGGCTATGATTGCTTCAGAAGTAAGAATCGACATTATGCCTTTAGTTTTTTTCGTCTGCGTCTCCGAGACAATGGAAAAAGCAAGTCATGGAGTCCTAATGAGGCAAAAACTCGCCCAGGCTCAACTAAAAGTATGGAGTCCACTAATCTGAGGCTGGAATTAACTTGCTAGTCACTCCAAACCTATGCTTAACTCGCCATCTTTTAAAAAGTGTTGCATTAAGAAGAATAATAATTTATTATAAGTATGGCCAGCTCATTCCTATCAGATGTGCTTACAACATCTAAACTAACTCCTCAGTCAATAGAGATTTCCCAGCAAACAATCAACAATGCAACCTCAAAAATCATTTCAAATGACTTCATAAAGAAAACCTTCTCATCAAGGACTAACCAGTCTCAGAAATTCAGTATAAAACAGCTGATCGATAAAAGTCTTCTGAAACTTAATTCCGCTGACGTCGAGCTTAATCTGAGAAAAGCAAAACTTAGAGAGGCTAAAAGACTTAAAAAGCAGCTTGAAGCCAAACTTTCCACAATTGCTGAATCCATTGAAGGACTCAACCCATTCGAAGATATGGAGCAAAACCCTAACATCCTCTTTGAGAGCAGCAAGACCTTTAGAAAAATCCTTATTTTTTGGAAAATTGAACACTTGCATATAAAAATATTTATTATATTATTTTTATATATAATTATTAATTGATATAGCCCGATCCAAAATGGCGCTCAAAAACTATATAACGTTATCTCTCACAAATTTTTATTAAATTTTTTAAAAATCTGAAAATATTTTTTAAATACCCAAAAAAAATATGCCCTTTAAAAGCAAATAAATCTTTCTCTCGAAAGGGGAGTAAGCTAAACCTTCAAAACTCTAGAGTAAGACAAGAATTCTTTAATGTCGAAAAGAAAAAAAGTGAAGAAAACACTAAAGTCGTTCACAATTACTTCCTAGAGCAGCAAAAGCGAGCCAAAAAAATAAAAAAGCATATACAAGAACTAGAAAAAATGATCGATGAAGATAAAAAAGCAAAACAAGTGCAAGAAGAAGAAATAAAAAGAAAAAAAGAAGAACAGTACCAAAGCGAACTTGAAAGGATGCAGCAAAAAAAGCTGCAAAGGCAAAGAGAGCTTGAAGAAATTCAAAAGCGAAAGCAAGAATTCGAAGAAATCAAAAAGCAAAAGCCACTTTTTGTGAAAATAGAAGAAAAATTCAAGAGTGATATTGAAATGCCTGAATTAGAAAAAAGAAAAGCAGAACTTGCTAAAAAAAGAATGCTATATCAGCCGATAAGGCAAGATCAGCTATCAGAGCATGCTAAATGGTATGAATCCTTAAAGCAAGAACAAGCTCAAAAGACTGAGAAAGAAATAACGGCGAAAAAGCTTGACTTCAAGGTAAGATCCAACTCAAACTTATCAACGACTTGGAGTGTCAAAATTATTGAGCAAGAAAAGCAGCAAAAAGAAGCCCAAAATTTGGCTAACTTAGAAAGGCTTAAAATGATAGAGAAAAAGACGAGATATGCCGAGATCGTCAAAGAAATGTTTTCACCAACAATTGATAAATTTAAGCAGCAAGAGTTGCAGGAGAGAATTGATAAAATTAAAAATCCAATACCAAAAAGAGCAGCAAAAACTCTAGAAAACACAGTTGAAGAAAATCGGCCAGAGCCTGAAAAGAAAAAAAAGCCATTCAAAAAGGCTAAGAAAGTTAGCACCCCTCCTGCAGAACCTGAAAAAGAAGTCAAAGTCGTTGATTATTTGGGAGAGAGAAGAAAGCAAAGAGAAGAGTACGAAAAAGAGCATCCTCAAGAAGATTTAGACTTAAACTTCAATTGGGAAAATGAATTGCAAGATGCTCCGGTTCAAGAAAAAATAAAGAAAATCAAGCAAAAAGAGCTGCTTATCGAGAAGAAAATCAAAGCTGATTTATCAAATCCGACGAGTGTTAAAGCACTTCAACAAAGTGCAAGCGTTGACAATTTCCTAATTGGGTCAATTAAGGCCAAGCTTCAAGTTCTTGACACCATGGCTGAATAGCTTAGCTTTATAAGTATTATTCATAATTCCAACTAATCTAAAGGAGTTTTTTTATAGTTTTTTAAGATGTCTTACTTGCAAAAATACAGAGAGTTCGGGATTATCGGAAGAGGAAACTTTGGTAAAAAATATTCAGGAAGTGCTCATTTAGTTCAAAGCCTTCAAGATAGCCAGCAATATGTCGCTAAAAAGATTGTCCTGGGAGGAATGAGTGACAAAGAAATAAGAGGGGCTCACCAGGAAGCAGAGCTTCTTAGAAGATTGAATCATCCAAACATAGTGAAGTATAAAGAAAGCTTCTGTGAAGAAGGCCTGCTTATAATTGTTATGGAATACTGCAAAATCGGAGATCTTGGGTATCATATCAAACAAAAAGTGAAGCAGAGAGAAACGTTTACCGAAACTGAAATCATGAACTGGTTTGTTCAAATGTGTATGGCTCTGCAATATATACATTCTCAAGGAATTCTGCATCGAGATATCAAATCATCCAATATATATCTTACTGGAAATAATACTGTAAAGCTAGGAGATTTTGGAATTTCTAGAGTCTTGCAAGGGTCTGAGGCTGCCCAGACAGTGGTAGGGACTCCATACTATATGAGTCCTGAAGTGTGCGAAAATAAGCCTTATAGCTATAAAAGTGATACATGGTCACTTGGATGCGTTTTATATGAACTTTGTACCCTTAAGCATGCATTTTCTGCTGATAATTTACTTGGGTTAGTATTTAAAATAGTGACAGAGAGGGCAGAACCAATTCCCTCATATTATTCCCCTCAATTGCGATCAATAGTACAGTAATCCTCAAATAGAAATTTACTTGTCAAAGATTCTTCTCAAAGAATTTCCATAAGCGAGCTCTTGAGAACCCCATATGTTTTATCGTTCATGCAAAACTTTGTGGATACAAATGGACAAAGCTTAACGACTGTCAGATCGTTAAGCATAAGAAAGACCGCAGTCCAGGTACAAGAACCTCCGAGTCCCGCCAGCCCTGATGAGACGCCGAAGCAAAGGTTGGCACGAATAAAAAGGGAAAAGGCGGAACAAGAAGCAGAAAAGCTTAAACAAGCTGCCAGAGAAGCTTATATGACGAATCAAATGTAAGATAAATTTAGAACAAAACAAAGAAAGCAGGATATGCTGTATTCTTCGCCAAGCCAGCGACAACAAAACCAAGCTGTAATTAAACAAGCGATGGCTCCTCCTCGAGACTTGAGTGGAAGTGGCTCAACAATTGCATCATTAATGTTTACTAACCAAAAATCATACGAAAGGGCTGAAGATTTATCAGAGCTGACTGAAGAATTTAATTTAACTCGGTCTCAAGACTTGAACACAGAAGAAAACTATAGAAACTATTTGAAATATGCCCAGCCTACCGAAGATACAATGACATACTCTGACACATTTGAAGCCTCAGCTTATACTAATGTCTTTGGCACCAAAAATAATCCTCATGATGACAGGCCAATTCGGGCATCAGGACAATATAACTTGAATTTCGTTGACGATGGAAACCCTGAAATTGCAGAAAACAACCCAGAAGAGCTCACACAAGTCATTAGTATGTATAGGAACCAAATGAATAATGGCGGAAGACTGGAATTTATAGAGGAAGCTTCAAGAGAATCAAGCTCAGGCTTGTCTCCTACTAAAATTGTCGTTGATAAAAGAGATTCGATGAGAAAACAATGTGTAGACTGTATGGGAGAGAAACTATTTAATGAAATATATCAGTTTTTGAGGAGACAAAGACAGCTGGAAACTCCAGATGATATCATTTTAGAAGAAGTAAAAAAACGATGGGGAAGAACAGCTACGAATTATTGCTTTTTAGTAGATCAGCTTATTTTTGTGGAGCTATTTTAGTAATTTTAAACCATTTTAATGAATTTCACTAAATTAACATATAAATTTCTGATATAATGACACAAAATTTAAAAAGCACAGGCATCGAAAGGTTTTGCTATAAAATTCAAGTCCATTTCTTGAAAATTTTACACTTAGACGCCAGCTTAATACAAATAGTTGCCGAATACAAAGATACAAAATTTGAAACACTCCCTAGGTATTATGATATTTTCCAAGGAAGAGCAATCATTGAGCAACCATTAACTTTTATTATCAATAAGCAAGAACCTGAAAACGGCTGAATCAATTTTTTTATTGTTGAAAAGCAAGCAAAACTCCCTGTAAAATTAGGAAAATGCGAATTGAAGTTACCAGAAAAAATCACCAACCAAGAAACATTTCGGAGATTAGAAATCCCGATTGAGGAATGCAGCGATAAATCAGCCAAGCTAAGCATCACGACTTGCGTGCAGATGCTTTCACATACGCATAGCTCGAGCTTTTCATCTGAAGATTATTCAAAGAAAATAGATGAAATAAACTTATTAGTATCAGATATTGTTATAGAAGACGATTATTTGGTAAAAAGAGAATATTTCAGGCCAAAAGAAATTGTAACTTCTGATAATAAGAAGGCAGATGAGCCAGCTCATGTACCGAAGATAAATGAAAAAGAAAATCTTCCTGAATTTGAAAAAAGTTTAGAAAGAATTGAGGTGGTAAAGCCTATAGAAAGTAATTTTATTCTTGTTGGAGACTCGCCATTACTTTCTCCAAAAAAAGCACTTGGGAGTCGAAATCTTGCATGAAAATCAAAAAAAGTAGAAATAGGGTTAAATAGAAGCCAAAATTACTCACCAATCCAAGCCAAGCTTGAGAGAAGATTAAGAGGATACTCAGATGACGATATAAAGTATAAATACCAAGGTGACTCAGAAAGCTCAAGTTCGGATGAAGAGCCGATTGATATTACAAATGTATTGACGAATACTAGAATGCCAAAGCGTACAATGTCTGAAACAAAACCAAACACAAACACAAAAGAGGAGGAGATTGAAATAAAAGAGATCCAAGCAGAATTAAGAGGAAAAGCCAGACTTGGATATTGCTCTAAGTGTATCCATTTGTTCATACTGTTGATATCTCTCAATTTAAATAAAAGTATCTGTATATTCAATACAATTCGAAAATATTATAATTTAACTGTATAAATTAAGGCATGATATTTATAATTGATGGCTCAAAATATCAAAATCTAATAAATCATTCCTAAAGGTCAAAAACATCTACGCTCCAAAAATAGAATAGAATCTTAAATTAATTTAAAACTATTTTTGATTCTGGTCATTCATAAACAACTTTAAATAGTGAAGACTGTGCACAATGGGTATCGTCATCTAAATTGCACATTATTATCTTAACTTATTAGGTTCTGTGTTTAACGCCATTCACGGGGTAACCCCTCCCAGAGCTTCCCGCTGCTTCTTCGTCGCATAGGGCCCGCCGACCGTCTGGGGCCAGTCAGCCTCGATCTCCAGTACGCGCCTCCGGAGCAGTGTTGCCGACTAAGGCGGTGCACATTATTATCAGATGCTTTGAGTTTTGGTCAATTTTAAATTTTCGTTTTTGGAGGATTAATTAATTAAAATCAAACACTCTATTCCCGCTTTTTCTGCGACTTCCACAGCGCTGATCCTGTTTTCTTCTCAATTTTAGGATTTTGCTTTCTCAGGCATGTGAATGTTACAATGATTCCCAAAATAATTGAAATAGCGGCGACATACGAAAGATTGAATAAGGATTCATCCATTATTAGCCTCTAAATTATAAATTAGTTATCTTATCTTTTTTGTAAAAAAGCACTGTAATAAGCCAAAATGATGAACATTAAATTATGTTGATTTATCAAAAGCTTGCCTTGGGTTTTCCTTGTTGAGGAATATTCGGAGTGAGATTTAAAAACTCTGCCCCTCCTTCATATCCTGGAGTTGGCACAAGAGGAGTATGAGAGCTACTGTTAGGATTTGAAAGCGGAGGCAACAGATTATCGTAAAAGTTCAGATGGCGGACTTCAATAGGAGGGAATATGAGTGGCATGACAGGAATATGATCATTACTGATATTTCTGGCTTCAGATTTATAATCATAGCTAAGTTCTTTTGCTTCAGACTGATAAGGTAAAGAAGACTTAAGAATATCATCAACATAAAAATTTAGTTCCAGAGTCATATAATCTTTGGAAATCGCCATACTTTCTCCTAAGCTTGCATAAACTGAATTAAGCTCATTCAGTGACACATTCATATTTTTTTGGTTTTTTGTGTACCACTCTGAGAAATTTTCTTCAAATCTTAGTATTTTTGTTTTCAAGTACTCCCTTAAATGTCTCACATCGTCGTTCATGTGCAATTTAGCAGTAAAAGCAGTAATAACTAGTAAATAGTGTAGTGCTGAATTAATTTGAGGTCAAACGAAGCGTTCAATATAAATTGCTCACATTGCAACTTCGATTTCATTTAAATTCATTTCTTGGTAAGCTCCAATGAGGAGCCTGAAGAGTGGCTGGATTCTGAATTCATATGGAATATTTTTTGACATAGAAATCCTGCGTATTATCAGTTGACTTTTTTGAGAAATTCCATACTGCATAAACTCATAATGCTCTTCTTCATATTTATCTATAAGTTGCTGGTCAAACATTCCGCCAAAGTCGCTGCTTTTAACACTTTCTGATTCTGAATCACTGAGATCTTTATTTTGCTTTGAAATTGGGGCCAAAGTATTATTTGATAACTCTCTGCAAAAATTACACCAGATATTTTATATAAATATACTAATAAATTATAATATAGTAAAGTATTTTTAATGACTTAGTATATAATAAAAAATAATTAAAATTTTATTTGATTGATACTCCTTAATTTATGACAGAGTAAGGGAAAACATTTTATGTTAATTAATTGGCATGCTTAATTTTAATTACAAAAATCTGAAATTAAATGTTATACGAGTCACCAAGTGGTGTCGAGTTTTGTTGTGGCGAAGTAGATTTGCTGCCATTATCAATTTCATTAGCTTTTTTCTTTCTAAATAGTGATTTAATGCTTGGAGTTAGAAAAGACATAAGAGACGTCTTTTTTCTTTTTAACTCTTGCCTTGCATCAGAAACTGGCAGATTTTTCTTCAGTTTCTCGAACCTATTCATTTTGAGATAATTAACACGAATTTGTTCATAGCTCGCAGTTCTGTCAAAGTTTCTTCCTGTGGATCGAAAGATAAACCTGAATAATTTACATTCATTGGTAAACCTTCTCCTCACTCCCCCATTTAATGTTTAGTAAAATCTATATAGATATGCTATAGAATTTATTGCTAATTGCAGCAATTATATATTAAGTATGAATATCTTATTTTAAACTCAAATATTAATACTTCTTCAAAGAAAAAACCTTTCCAAAGTGAAAAATTTTAAATAGGAAATTAAAAATTTATTATCATTTTTATAATCCCAATTTAAAAAATTAACATTTTCTTATGGAAGAGATAGCATCTTTGAAATAACAGAAATTTCATTCAAACAAGAATTCTTGTTTGAAATTATATTTTGCTCTTTTATTGTTATATAAATTGCCAATAAAAATAGTTCTACAATGGACAAGGACTTTTCTTTGGCTGAAATTTCAATTTTTATTTTGATAACTTTGAAAGTGATCAATTCTAAATGGAAATTACTTTTTGTCAATGGTAAAGAGGTTGGAATCTTGCATTGCAAACTTCCAAGCCAGCTTAAAGTAATGCATAAATCATATCTAACAATATCATTTGGGGTTGAAAAATCATAAGTTCGAATTTCTGTCATAACTGAAAAACAATTTGTTGGTTCGTCTATTTCCAATTTATTTTTTTTGGCAAATTCATTATAGATTTTAAATGTTGACCCGCCGTTGCCAATAAGAATCCCATAAATGAATTTGCCAGAAATTCTGACCCACGTTTGTCTGCTTAAGTATTCAAAATATTCATTCCTTAGTCTGATTTGGACTTCTTTTTTAGTTGGTTTATTATAATGATATTTCCAGACTTTGGTGCCTATTTTAAGCCTTTCCATAGAATTAGGTAAGGCAAATTCTATATCTTTGGCATTGCTCGTTTTTAATTCTCTTTTTTCTGATTGGAATTTTTCAATTAATATATTTTCATTTGCTGACTTAAGGAGAATGTCATGGTATGAGTCTTCTTTTGTAGGCTCTTTGACAACTCGCATTGAATATTTTGCGGATCTTGAAGGGGTGCCCACAAAATGCATTGAGATATGCTGGGGATTATTTTCCGATTCTTCTGGAGAAACTTCATTTAGCAGATTGCCTTTTTCATCTAGTAGCCCATTGCTATTAAGCTTTAAAAAGTTATTTCTTTGCTCTTCTTCAGTATTCATAGTCCCTGGAAGCTCATCAGAATTATTTGTCAAATGTGAGGTCCTTGAACTCGAATTCTTTTTATTAGGGGTTGCATCCTTACTTTTTCAAAACATTGTGAATATAGGCAAAATATCTGCTTTTTCTTCTTTTGGGATAGTGAATTCTTCCATCTTCAATTATTTTAATATATTTTCGATAATACTTCTGTTCCTATTTTAATAGATTTTCATTAACTTTTTGTGAAAGAATTAATTATTATTTTAAATATTATAGAAATCAATTACACCTTTTATTAAGAAGATATAGAGATAAAGTAAGGAAGTGAGCTTTATATAGTCAATATTTTTTATCGAATTTAATATTCGAAATTTAACCTTACTCCCCCCTCGAAGTTCGACCAAGATTTTTTTTGGTCGAACTTCGAGGGGGGTTAAGAAAAATTGTTTTAAAAAAAAATTTATATAGAATTTATTTTATATAATTTAGTAGTTAAAAAACAAAAATATTTATCATATTCTTCTGTATGGTTGAGAGGGTGTAAGGGTTAGAAAAAAATAGTGCAAGATGGTTTTGTAACGCTTTTTTAGAACTTGAATACAAAAATCGCAAGCCCACCCCCACATAGTTTAAAATTTTTGAAAAATTGCTTATTTTCATATAGGTCTTGGTCGAACTTTGAGGGGGGTTAATTTTCCAAAAAAATAGGAATTTCCCTATATCTTGGTCGAACTTCGAGGGGGGGGGGGAGTTAGAATAATTTTAAGAAAAATTACCACTTACAAAATCGTTTATAATCTTTATTAATTTTTTCTCGGGGGTACCTTTATAATTATAAAATGACTGAAGGAATAGCGCCAGCTACTTACACAAAGCTCAGAGCATGTCTTAGATGCAAGCTCATTAAATCAGAAGATCAGTGGCTTAAGGATGGATGCGAAAACTGTGAACAGTTGGAGATCAAAAATGATTCTGAAAGGATGATCGACTGCACAACTTCGAGGTTCGAAGGGATTATATCCATGATAAATCCCGCACAATCTTGGGTAGGGAGATGAAACAGGCTTTCCAATAAAATCCCAGGCTGTTATGCATTAGATGTCCAAGGAGTCTTGCCAGAAGATGTACCTGAAGAAGATGAAGAAAAGGATTAGTAATAACATTTAATCAACGAGATTTTTTCAATTTCTTTAAAAATTAAACTTTCAAGACTTCAGCCGTAAAAGATTTTTCAGTAGAAAAATCGCGCAATTATTTAATTAGCTTTTTATAGCATGGATTTATTGACAAGTGAAAGTCGCTTCGCGTGGGACGCTGTTCTCTTCGGAGAATGCTTTTTTGAGGCCTTTGGGGTTGTATTTCGAACTCTAATTTCACTGTTATTTCTTCTTGATCTCAATCTATTTAGTGTGACAGGTCTTGAGTAGCCTTCATCTTTGGTATCCCTCACAATTGAAAACTGGACAGAATTCCTTTGCTTAAAAAGCCTTCCTTTTGAAGCCTGTGCGGTTGGTGTGAAATAAAGCAGCTCAACCCTTCCTGAATCTGCTGGGGTGTTATTAATTTTTTCTAATTTTTCGTCGATTGTTTTATCTGACTCACCCTGGTTAATCTTTTTTTTAAAAATCTATAAATAAATTTATAGTTAATTTTTTTTTTCAAATTTAAAAAATCCTAATTCGAAATAATTTTAAAGCAAATATTAATTTAATTTTTATAGTTTTAATTTAAAATCCAAGCAAGCTGTTTAAAATTAAAAAGAATTAGCTAGAGATTTCATCATAATAATTAATACCTATATATCAAAATAATTTTTCATAAAAAATTTGTGTTCACTCACAGAGACACAGAGAGTGGGTTATTACCCAAAAAAAGGATTTTCCAATGATTTCGTTCGCTCACGGAGGGGGGAAGTAAGTAGTTATCTTCAGGACGTTCTGTGGTCCTCCAATCAAATGAGCTTTGTATTTGGCCTTTACTTGCCCCCTTTTCAATAAATCTAACTGTATCTAATTTATTTTCTGGAGAAATTTCTAAAACATCACTTATGTCTACGTCATTTAAATCTGCCTTATCGTAGTGAATAAGTTTGAAAACGATTTCTTCTCTTTTAGTTATAGGAATATCCGTATCTGCAAATATTTCATTAATATCAGTTTTACCTTCTTTTATCATATATTGATAATATTACTTATTCGGCTTGCTTGCAAAAAATATTTCGTTTTTTTTTATGCCGCTTTATGGATCATTAGCCAACGAAATGAATTTAGTTTTCTAAGCCAAGAAGCAATATCACTTATAAATTATACCATTTTGTCAAGCTTGACAAGCAGCATTTCAGCAGTTCTCGCAGTTATATCTCCTTTTTCTTTAAGATATTGAATTTTATTCTTCAACTGAAAGACGGTGAATTTATCAAAAGCGCTACTTTGAGAATCTCCAGGAGAATCTTCGCATGTAAAGGTAAAATATTCTGGTAGTTCTTGAGCTAGTGGAGTAGCAACCCGAGATCCGAGCAATTCTGGGCTCACAATTTCATAGTATTTCTTGTTTGCTTCAGTTAAAATCATAAGCATATCTTTAACAACTGAATTCATGGTATTAACAAGCATTTGTATATTTGCATTTAATTCTTCGTTTGTATCGCATGCTAAATTTCTTTTGGGTATAACTTGTTTTTCAAATTTCGCATAGAGGCTTTCGTTGGGGTTTATCCTTGGGTAATCAACAAACTCATCTATGAGTTCCATCGAAATGAAGGGCTTCATAACTCTTCTTAAATCAAGATCAATGGATTTAAGATATTCCACATAGCTATCCCTACACCTTTCTCTGAATTCCTTTATTACTTGGCCTATCCTTTTGATATTAGAGTTAATAAGTTTCCCATCCCTTTTAATTCTTTCCTTCATGCTCGCCAGCTGTTTCTTTAAGCTTGCTCCTATTTTCTGAAGCTTTTTAAATTCGTCGAACTGTATTTCAATCTTCTGTAAAGAGTCTGACATCAATAAATTATACTCAAAAATGCTTTTGGAAATCTTAGACATTTCTTGGAATTTTGAGACATCAATAAGGACTTTATCAGGAAAATTCTAATTAGAGATTACGTCTGGAGAATTTGATTCTGCAAAGCTAATTAATTTGATCAGTTTTTTCTGGTATTCAGAAGATTTATGATTAATGCGCTTCATCGTGTCTATAACATTAAGAGTAGTCACCATATTAATGATTTGGGCCAGAAGAAAAGTGGTAAAATAACTCAAAATTAAATAAGGAAATTATGGATTAGAGTTTATCTCATTCAGGTTATAAAAATCGAAGCCATTTTTTCAGCTCTCTGAGTCTAGGTCATATTGAAGAACATTCATAGATTGATTTACAATAAAATATTCAGAGTTGATAAGAATGGGATTTTGCGAAAACCTTAAAGGTACTGCATTTGTCAAAGCTCCTAATTTAATTATTATCTCTTCTTCTGGAGAAAAAAGATAATAATCTTTATTATTTTTACCCCCAAATAAAAGAATCCCTCTACCTGTTTCAAAAGCACCTAAATATTGTGTGTGTATTGGCAAAGAAAGGCTAATGCTATACCAGTCTCCAGAATATATGCAATATTTGTCAATTTTTGATGAGTATTCAAGCCCGTCAAAACCTCCAAACAAGAAAATATAGAGATTTGCTCAATTTGCTGTGGACATCCCAGATCTACCTGGTAATGGACAATTTTCGATATATGTCCAGGTATCAGTTTCATAAGAGTATCTTTCTGAGTCAGTTGTATATCCTTCTTTATTAACTCCTCCAAAAGTATAGATAAAGTCTTCAATGAGTATTGATGCAAAATAATATCGGCATGTTTGCATTGGTGCTTTTCGGATGATTGTATAAGAGCTAGTATTAAATTCTCAGTGCTGATCAGCACAAATTATTCTTGGAAATGATTTATTGAAAGTAAAACAAACTGAATGAGATGGAATTAAAAGATTTTCAAGTCTGCCTGGAAGTAATGAATATGTGTATCACATGATATAATTTTTGGATATGCACATAATGCTGGGAGATAAAGAGTTTCAAAGATTTTCTTTCTCTTTAATTAATATGTTTAGCTCTCCTGGAGATTCTAGTAGATTTTTATATGAAAGCATTGTTTTTACCAATCTATCATTATGAAAAAGGTTCAGATTTGATACTGGTTTTGAGTATTTTATTTGTCTAGCAACTTGTCATAGAAGTTTAGAAAGGCTGCTTGGAGCCTCGAGCGAAAATTTGGTTCCATCGAAATTTATGTTAAAAAACACTCCTGTGTTTTCCATATAAATGCATTTCCATAGAAGTCTGCTTATTATATTAAGTTTAAATCAAAAAATCACCTTGCTTTAAAATTGCTGCATCATTTCATATTTGTCAATTTCTACATCTACTTTTAGAAAATAGTTATCAAATAATTTTCCATAAATTAAATAATCCCTATACATGCTTAATAGCACCGTATTCCGATACTTTGAATGTGTCCAAAATATCAAAAAATCAAAGTTTCTCCCTCTAGATGAGAAAATTACAAAGACATATAACAACGAATCATTTACACTAGATCGACAAAATTCTGAAGACAAATCGTGCTATTTAGCTCAAAATCAAGAAGGGAAGGATTACAATATTCAAATTATCAAGTGCTCTGCTTCAAGTCTTATGCTATATGAGTCAAGGCTCCAAGAACTATGACCATTGGTTGAGCATTTGCCTGGAATTACTAAAAAATATGCAATTGATGAAGAAAATTTCGTCCTCATTTGAGAAGTTCGGCGATTTCTGTCTTTAGAAGACTGAAATTCGCACAAAACAAATAGCAGTATTCCAAGAGATTTAAGAAATAAAGCCATTATTTATCCTGAAGTGATCATTAGGGCTGTTCAAGATTTAATAAGTCAGATTGCGACTGCACAACGGCTGGGGATCACAATTAAAAATATTTCTCCGGAAAATATTTATATGGACCTTAATGAGTCTCCTATAAGGCCAGCTTTAATTTTGGATGAAGGGGTTGGTATTGATGTAAAGATCGACGTTATAAATGAGAGATCTTTGAAGTATCAATTTCCTTTAGATCCAGCAATTTATCCATTTGCACAAACTGAAATTATTGATTTCTGAGGGTTAGGGGTATGCTTGTATTCAGCTTTAACTCAAAAAATATCATCTCAAATACCGGAATTTGTAGCAATGGAAGAAGAAGTTAGATCTGATACAATTTTAAGTGAAAATTATGTACCTGGATTATCAGAGCTTATTGCTGAGTTTATATCAGAGAACTGTAATAATGTTTCTGCAGAGGACAGACTATTTTCTCCGCTCATGAGAAGCTGGCTTCATATGTTTAAAAATACAAATTCTTTGATTTCTTTTGAAGATTTAGAGCCAAAAGCTGTTTTGTCAGGTTTATATTGTAAAGATGGAAATATCATAGAAACTACTTTACTCTCCCTTTCATGATCGAAAAAAAATCTTTTTGTCGCATATGGAAGAAGTCAAATTTTTAAATAAATACGAATTTGAAACTAAAAAGGTATATTTAATAGATAAATTTATATTTTATATGGTATACTGCTTCAAATTGATTAATAGTTGATAAAATAATCATTATTTATCTATCAAAATATTTTATAAAAAAAATTGTTATTATTAAAAAATTTTTGCTTTTCTTGAAGGGATAATTTCCAAAAAGATGAATTTTTCAAATAGCTGTAATCTCTCATAGAGGGGGTTAGAAATTTTGCTTCTTAAAGACGTACGCATTGAAAGACTTCTAAGCAAAGAGACTGTAATAAGAAAGTTCATTGAAACTTTAGCAAATTATAAGCAATACAAAGGAAAACCAGAACTTTTAACAAACGCATATAGCTCGATGTGTATTTTAATGAAAAAGTACCCTTGGATAAAGCATGAAGCAGGAAAGTTGAAACTATATCATTTATTGGATAATAAAGAAAATCTTGCTTTCCCTGATGTAAGGAAAAAGATTATTAATTTCATACAAAAGTTATGCAAAAATAATACTCTTACAGGTCTAATAACCATAAAGCATAATAAAGTATTGAAAGAATTGATTTATACACAATATTCAGAAGAATCATCTGAACTTCTGAGTTTTCTGCCTCTATGTGGGAAATCAGGCGTAAAAAATATGCAAATGCATAAAGATTACAAGGTTTACCCTAAAAGATCTGAGCTGTTATTAGCAATTTCTAATATTCCTATATTTTTTAAAAGGCAAAGACCAGAAGTTTTACTCCGACTGATAATCTCCATAATGCAGGATTCCAAAGAAAAAGAAGATGCTGAGTTCAATTATTGTTTCCAATATGCCCTAGAAGCAATTTTTGCAATCCTTTATGGTGGATCTCATTTTCATAAGAAAAACAACAACATAAAATGCTGCAAACTTGTAAACCTTCACCACAGCTACAATGTTTTCCCATTATTTGTAAAATGCTTAACCTGCAGCGAATATTTATGTATATCATGTGGAATGTCTCATAAAGATGAAGGCCATGCTTTCAAGTTTGTGCTTTATTCTTTGACCCAAAATATAACTTGTCAATGCCACCAGCCACACAATAAAGTTGATTTGCCACTAATTCCTACTGAGTTCAATCAAAAGCATATTGAGCTGTTCATGACTGGGGGGAAATTTAAAAATGATACATTTTATACTGAGGATAATAGCGATAAAATGACAATAACAAGCTCTAATGAAATAATAGTTTTTAACGATGATGACCAGCCTATGCCTGTTTTATATTTTGAAGTGGAAATTAAATGCGCTGGAAAAAGCGAAAATATTTCGATTGGCATAGACGAGACTGATGTCGTATATAAAGGAAATAATGGAAACATAATGCTTGGGGATGAAATAATTGATAAAGGCCCGCGGTTTGGATCTAAAGATACAATAGGCATTGGAATCACCTCTGGGTATATAATTTATTTTACTTATAATGGGTATAATTTGCATACATACATTGAATGCAAACCTATTAGGGCAGTAAGGCCTCTTGTGATCATAAAGGGAAAAGGTATTCGTGCTCAGGTGAAATTTGATAATTTTCTATTTAGCTCTCAAACCTACCAAGTGATTTCAGATCAGATGCAATGCGATTTAAGACACAACATAGAGAGTTGGGCCAGATTTTACAGTTTGATATTGAAGGAAAAACTAAATGCTGATCAAAATTTGGAAAAAATAAAAAACATATTGAAAGATTTCAGCAAGAGTATGCAAATTATTCATCCTCCTTTGGAAAGTTACAGGAAGATTAGTGAAACCACTTCATGCAATAAAAATTGTATTTTGCTGTAACTTTAAATACTAACTATAAATATTTTAAGAGAAATTGGTGCAGGTTCTTAGCTTCAAGGCCATTGCCACATTATAAGCAAACTAAATTAAGAATGAGAATTATTGGAGTAACATTGATTTTCTTATAGTTTGTTTTATAAAGAAATAATTTAAAGCGATGAGGTTTATATTTCTAGCCTAAATAATTATCGTCTCACTCTATTAAATTGCATAAATTAGGTTTTAACTCATATAAGTATTCATAATTGTAAAGATGTGGAGACCATAATGATCTATCAACTAACAAATTGACAGTTGTCTGTGGGCTCATTTCTATCGCGAAAGGTCATAATTGACTTTAATCAATTACTTCCTCCCGCTAAATTTTTATTATGAGGTCAATAATTTATATCAATATGAATTGGACTAGATAATCCTTTTTATTAATAAAAGATTACAATTTAATTCAAAATTAACTTTTCTGAGCATTCTTTTTATCAGCTTCCTCTTCTTCATATGTAAAAGCAAAGCGGTCGTCGTAAGAAATTTTTGTTTGACGATAGTTATTTAACCTCAAAAATGACGGTGCTGATACAAACTCCATCCCAGTGTTAATGCTTTCAACATAAAACACATTCTGATGATTTTGCAGGACTTCCATCATTTTATCAAGTCTTGTACAAATAAACGCTAAAACTCGGCTCAAGTTTTTTTCGTTAACTTCCATTGCAGATCTTTCTCCTTCTGATAGCTGAAAAACAACCCTACTCAGCACATTAATAGAAGAATTCACCAATTCTTGGAGCTTATGCAAGTTATTTTCACTTCTAACAATTTCCTCAATTTTTTTTTCTAATTCTTCATTAGCTTTATTGGCTTCTTCTATACTAATGTTAATATAAGCATCATCTCTGAATTTTCAAAAGTCAACTTCTTTTATAAGCTCTTCTCTTTCTTCTTGAAGAGCTTCTATCTGATTTTGCAGCTGCCCCACTGTGCTTATCAAATTTTCTTTTTTTTCTAGCAAATATTTGTAATAAGGAAGCATATCTTGAATCGTTGCAATATTTGTTACCCTTTGAATTGCTTTAAATTTATATTCACAATTTTCTTGAATCTTTTCAACTTTCATAGCTTCATCTTGTATTATATGTTCTTCTTTAAGTTCTCCTATTCTCCTTTCAAATCTCAACAGCTGTACAGCGTTATTTTGTTGCCTTTCTATAGTAACATTTCGATTATGCTCAAAAGAAATGCATTTTTTTATTTTTTGGATATAGCACATGCACCTTAATAGATCTCTATACCCCAGCAGAATATCGACCAGAAAAAATATGGTGCAGGGCACCTGCCTTAAACAGTATAAGTCTGATTAGGCACCTTAAAACCATAAACGAAGATCTGCCATTTTCGTTTTTACTTTTCAAAAAAGATGACAAGTACAAATTAATTTTGGAATTAAAATTGATGGCCAATAATGATCTAAAATATTTCAGGGGCTATAATCCTCAAAAACTTTGAGTTCTGATTGCATTTTTTTTTCCATTTCTATTTTTTCTTTCTCAGTTTCTTGGGTAATAGCTTCGATTTGCTTATTTATTTCGCCAAATTTCGATACATATCTTGCTAATTCTTTTTCCATGTTTTTGCATTCTCTATTCAGCTGTTTAAGTTTGATATTGTTTACATTGACTGGGTGAGCCATTACTATAGCGTTTTCTTGGCGACAGGCCAGCATGAATTTTAATGTATCTTGATAGTAAACTTCATTATTCAACCCTTGTACAAAATCATGATACTCTTCTCTTCTAAAATTGTACACATCCAGCAAATTATTTGTCTCATTTTCCTCATCTTCCAGCAGCTGCAATTTTTCTTCAAGTTTTTTCAGCTTTTCTTGCCTTTGTACTACTTCACTGTGTATTTCATTATATTGCTGCTTTTTCAAAACGACCTGCTTTCCAAGCTCACTCATATAAAGTCTTATATGTTTTGATCTCTCAAGGTCTTTTATGTTATTTATAAACGTTGAAATATCTCTACTTTGTTGAAATTCGCTGCTTATAAATTACTTTTCAACTTTTTGCTTTATGTTATCGATTGCATCTTGAAGATGAGTCATTGGCTGAATTTGAGGAGATGTATAATTCCCTATGTAAATTTTACGAGACAAAAAGCTTTTTCAAGAGCTTGACCTTGTCCGAGGAGGCAGATCTTTTGGTTCTTTTGTGTAGGAATAAAAACTTGTATTTTTCTGATTTATGGAAAAACTTAAATTTCTCTTTTTGTGAAGCAAGGGCAAGTTTGGGGTTGGATCTCTGTCAACATCTGGAGCTAAAACTTCGGTGAAGTTGAAAATGTTTGAGGTAGAGATCTCTCGGGTTGATGGAGTTTGCGTTTCTATCTCCATTGATAAGTTTCTGATTTAACATTACGCCATATGAAATTAGGATTATTGAATTTTTTGAAAAGGACAAATACAGGAAAAACAGAATTTTGAGCTTTGGGATATTGAAAGTGACTTTGAGAGTAGATATTTTATTTGAATAAAGAAATTAAATGGAGAAAGACCAAATTGAAGAATATGCGTTCAACTTAGCCGCCTCACTAATAAAAAAAGCAATTATTGGAGATAATGCCAAAGAAAATCCAAATGATAAGGTAATAAAGCGACCTCATTCGAGGAATCACAAAAAAAGAAAACATTCGAACAAAATAAATACTCAACTCAGCATCCAAGACATTAATAAATCATCTGTTGAAATTCAAACAGAAACTGCAGCAGTTTCTCTAGAAGACGAGCTTCAAAAGAAAGATCAAATAATTTTTGAATTACAGCGTGAGCTCGAAGCAACCAAAAAGCAGCTGAATGAGCTGAAATCATTATCATCAACCCAAGAAAACAAGATCCCTTCCCACGATTCTGCTCAAAACTTGTCAAACGTAAAAGAAAGGCTTGGAAGTCTCTATGACTTTCAAACCAGTTTCAGCCCAGAAAATATAATTAAAACTCCTGAAAATTTTGAGGTAAAAAATTTGCTATTGAAAACTGATGCCCAGATTTCGCCTGACTTTAACAAATGCTCAATATTTACAGATGGCTTAAAAATGAACCTAAGTGGATATTCAGAGCTTATTGATGACGGAAAAAATGATAAAATTCTTGAAGAAAAACTGGCTGAGATAACTGAATTTTTGGATAAAAGTAAAAAAGAATTTGAGACTTTAAATGCGGCTACTGGGGTTTCAGAACATCAAAATAACCAAGAAGTGCCCAAATCACCAAAGACTTGTGAAGATACTGCATCAAACACTGTGCATAGAAAATCAAGTTTGCCTTGGGCAAACACTGAAAAAACAAGCTCATCATTAGAACACTCTTTGAAAAATTTACACAAGCGGCCAAAAACAGTTGAAAGAAGTTATCGACCTCCAACCCGTGATATTACTCCTCGAATAAGGCCTAGCCAGCCTCCGCCCATATCAAAAAGACCAAAAACCCATGAGCATTCTCTTCAAAAAGAATCCCCTTCGGATTCTATTTATGAACAAAAATCACTTCAAGGTTCAAGACCAACTACATACTCAGCGTATAAAGAGCAAAGATCTTTTTCAATTGCGCTTGAATCAAAAGAAAGAAAAAGAAGGCCAAGAGTGAGAAGAATCAATTTAATTGATGAAATTTTATTTAACCATGACCAAGATAAAGAGTCATGGGATCAAATTTTAACCAGATTTAAGGAAGATCCTGACCTTTTTAGCAAAGTGTTGAAATATGATAATCCTCCAAAGGAAAAAATAAATTCAATTGAAAATTCTCCATATAAACCACTTAGAAGCGACAGGTCAAGTAAATCGAAAATTTCTTCAAGAAATCATAAGCCAATAAAGGTAAAATCAGCTTTATGGGCACAGCAGCAGCCTGATTCTTCGAAAGATTTAATAATCCCGCCTAAGCAGAGAAAAGAAGTTTATAGCTATGCCCATAGAAGCTATAAGCCTGCAAATATAGAAGTGGACTGAAGCAAATCAGCTCTTGACAATTTAGCTTGCAAAGGAATTTTATATCTTTTTAAAATAAATAGATGCTTACTCCCCCCCCCCCCCCGTGAGCGAACAAAACCATTAGAAAAAATCGCCATTTTTTGACCAAAAACCCACCCTCCGTGAGTGAACAAAAATTTTTTTAATAGAAAAAATTTTTAATGGAAAAAAATTTTGATATATAAGTGATAATTAGTATAATGAAATCTAGAGCTAATTCTGTTTAATTTTAAACAAATTGCGTTTTAAAACATAAATTTTGCAAAATTAAATTAATATTTGCTTCCCAATTTTTGCAAATTAGGATTTTTTTAAATTTCGAAAAAAAATATTTTTTATAAAAATTTATATATAAATTTTTTTTTAAAAAAAAAATTAACCCCCCTCCGTGAGCGAACAAAATTTTTTTGTTCGCTCACGGAGGGGGGGGGGGAGTTAGGACTGATAATAGTATTAAATTATTTATCAGTTAAAAATCTTTTGAAAATGGCATAGAGTTTAATACAGAAAAAGATTTAAATTTTCTTACTGGAACTGAAATTGACAAGATTTTAAAAAATATTAATCATTTAACTCCTGAAGAAAAATCAAGCCTCCAATATCGCGGCCTCTGCACTTTAGAAAAGCTGCGTACTGAGCTTCTTCTCCCTGATCATTACAGTGCTACCTCAAATGCTGAAAACCTCTCAGAAATGCTTCGAAAGTGCAGCAAACTGATCAGAGCTCGTGCTTTGACCTTAAAAGTTCTTTCCCTCCTTCACAAGCGTGAAGATTATTTATTAAACCTAATGGCTCTCGAAGAATCAAATCCAGACGTGAACTCCAACTACAAAAGCCTATCCTCAATAAGCGAAGAATTAATTCAAGCCCTCAATTTTTGGAAACAGCTAGGACTTCCGTTTTCAACATTCATTTACCTAGGAGAGGACTACTCTACAAAAGTGTACGAAGACAATTCAAATATCAGGAGCTTATTCCCTGGTTTAAATGTAGAAGACTAAGCTGAATTTAAAGATTAATGTTTAGCTTTCTGCTTCTTCTGACTGCCAAAGGGTCAAGTTGTCTCTTAAAAGTTGGAGGATCATGGTTGCGTCTTTGTAAGCTGCCTCGTCAGTTAAGGTATCTAAGCTAGGGATTGCGTCGTCAAAGGCTTGCTTGGCCATTGCACAGGCTTCGGATGGGTTTTGTAGGATCTCGTACTTGAATACCGAGAAGTTCAAGGCAAGTCCGAGCTTGGTTGGGTGGGTTGGGTCCAGGCCAGTTTCTGCAAGTGTCATTGCTTGCTGATAGCACTCAAGTGCATTCTTCGAGCTTTCATCTCTAGCTTGTCCAAGAGTGAACTCGCAGATGTACCTATAGTAATCGCCTTTCATTTTGAGGTAGAAAACTCTGCTTTCGTCGTCAGCTGATTGTGGAAGCAAGTCAGTGTCGATTAGTCTAAGAATTTCTCTGCAAAAGCTTCTTAGCTCATTTTCAACTCTAAGTTTGTAGTCGCCAGCTCTTTGCTTGTTTTCATCATTTCCACGTTTGGTTTCCTTTTGCTCAATGGAATTTAGAATTCTCCATGAGGTTCTTCTGTTTCCTACAAGATTTTTGTAGGCAGCTGAGAGGAGGTTTCTATCTTCAGTGGACAGCGCGGCTCTGTCTTTTTGAACGTAAGCTCTGATGAATTCTACCATTTCTTCGTATCGCTCTGCGTGTTCAGCAAGTTTTGCAAGCTGAAGAAGTTCACCCTTTGAGAGGCTTGAGAGATCATCAATTTTGCCCATAATTATTATAAAGAAATGGATTATGTTGATTGCCATAAGCCCAAAGGGTAAATTATGCAATATGAAATTAATCCATCGTTAACATTCTAGAAAATTAGCTGGCGGCTATGTGAAAAATAAATATTGGATGTTGGATAGTGCTTTTTAGTTATAGTGAGTGAAACCGCTTTGGTGTGATATTTGTTGGTAAAAAATGTTTTTCATGCAAAGAATAGAAGATGAGTTCGACAGCTTATAGTTTAAATTGAGCATTGCAGTTCCATAATTGATTATATTATTTCCTCTCCATATGATGGTTTCATTAACTTAAAGAAAAAACACACTGTATTAGATTATGCATCATTTATATACATAATTAGAACTCTAATTAATTGCCTAACTCCCCCCCCCTCCGTGAGTGAACAAAAAAATTTTGTTCACTCACGGAGGGGGGTTAATTTTTTTTTTTTAAAAAAATTTTTATATATAAATTTTCTAAAAAATATTTTTTTTCGAAATTTAAAAAAATCCTAATTCGCAAAAATTGGAAAGCAAATATTAATTTAATTTATAAAATTTATGTTTTAAAAAGCAATTCGTTTAAAATTAAACAGAATTAGCTCTAGATTTCATTATAATAATTATCATTTATATATCAAATTTTTGTATTAAAATATTTTTGTTCACTCACGGAGGGTGGGTTTTTGGGCAAAAAATAGCGATTTTTCTAATGGTTTTGTTCACTCACAGAGGGGGGGGGAGTAAGTAAGATGAAATTTTCTTATTTCTATTCCTTATAAAAAATTAGAAGCTTTATACTTTTGTTGCTTATTTATTATTTGATATTAAATTTAGATTAATACTACAAAGCACTATGATTTTTAATAGAAATACTCTTAATTTCTTACAGAATTTTCATATAACTAATAAATATGAGTGTTCCAGCTATCATAAACAACGAAGTTTCTCATAATTCAGGACTCCAATCATCCTTTTTCATTTACATTAAGCTCGATGCTACTTACTACATAGCAGGTGAAAAATTAACTGGAGAAATACTTCTGAACTTGCCAGAAAAAAGTTCTCCTTCAAAAATCCAATTAAATGCAACTGGTCTCGAATTAGCAAAAATAACCAAGTCAAACGGGCAAGTTTCTGAATCCAAAAACGACGTTTTCCACATGACAACTACCCTAGTCCAATGAGATAATTATTCCCCTTCAGGCCAATTTGTATTTCCCTTTTCTTTTAAGTTGCCACATTATGCACCTTCAAGCTTTGATTTTGACGATACCAATAGTGATGGACACAGAATACAAGCAAAAATTGAATACAAAATAGAAGCTTCATTTGAAATGGAAGGACAAAAATCGTTAACAGACCAAAGAATCATGACCATTTTTAATAGGAATACGCGTGTATCAAGGCAGTATTCTGTCAATTCCACTAAACCTCTAGTATCTTGCTTCTGTATCAAAAGGGGAGCCTCTGCTATTAATTTGTGCTACCAAGGCACTGACCATTCTCAAATTGGGAAAACTTCGAAGTTTCGTTTGGGAATTGACCATAAATCAACACAAGCACCTATAATCAGCATTGTAGGGCAACTATTATTTGAATTAACCGTACAAATTCCCGGGGATAAAACATATAATTATACAAGTCTCGTATGCAGAAATGCGCCAAATTTGCACTCACTGCCACATATTGATTCCACACCTAAAGAGATGGAATACGAAGCAAATCTAGCGAACCTGGAGTTTGGAAATAATGTGTCAACTAATGAGACTGGATTGATACAAGCAATGTACAAGGCGCAAGTGTTTGTGCTGTACGATGTTGGGTGTAGAACCAAAAGATCTGAAGCATCGCTCACAGTTCATGTCAACCCAAAGGTTATTGAAGAAAGGAAAATAGAGCTGCCTACAAGCTGGGAGCCAAAGGAGTCGTCTATATCAAATTTGATTTTGGAAGCCTGCAATGGACTGCCAATTGGGTCTGCTCAGCAGAATTCGTGCATGCCAAAACACCCGATGAATTAAGAGGTCTTGATTAATAACAGTATTATCAAAATTAAGGATATAAATGTAACTAATATTAATATATATCGTATAATCTTTACATATATCATCATTTAATCCATTTCAATCATTTTCTGTGCAATAATCCTTGAGCGTTCTCGGTAGTACTCAGAGAAGTGCTGATCGTATTCTTCAGAGTTCAGTTTGTTGAACAATGCTCTTTTATCCTGCAAGCTAGTATAAACTGGCTTGTATGAGTCCCGTCCATAAGCTTTGTCATAAGAATCATATTTCTTGGCGGATCCATTGAAAGTGTAGTCAATATTTGTTTTTTCGACTGGAGTTGTTGAATTAAATTGCTCATCAAGTCTTCCAGGACTAGAGTATCTAGAATATGGATTTTGGTAGCTTACTTGTGAAGCAACTATTTCGTTGTTTTTCAATTTTTCAATGCTTCTTGGACACTCATCTCCGTCAATGTGTACAATTTTTACAAGATCTTTGGAGAAAGCAACCCTTTGTTTTTTAGGTGACGGTCCACTTCTCATGCAAGAAGATGGCCTTTCTTTGATTTCTGAGTTGCATTGTCTAACTCCTAAAGGCTGTCTTGCTTTGACTTCTGAGTTACATTTCCTTGCTTCGTTATTATCAGCTTCCCATGCTCTCATCGGAGATTGATTTCTTTTTTCATTAGTCTCAACTCTACTTTTTAACTGTTGATTTTCGTTTGTTAGCACAGTGATTTTTGAGTTTTTCAAGACTAATTCATCTTTCAATTTGTCGTTTTCCTTTTGGAGAGAGTCAACTTTACCTAAAAGCTCTTCTTTGTTTTGTTCAAGAGTTTTTATCATTCTCATGAGATATTTGTTGTTATTTTCTAATTCTTTTAGACGATCATTACTTGTTTCTCCATATCGAGCCGCACTTGCAGGTCTTTCATACTGTTTTATAGTGGCTTCCAGTGTTCGTGACCTTAATGATCCCAACTGTGGGTCTAACTGTGAACTTGATAAATCTTCAACAATATGATGTGGGGATTTAGTAAAAAATTCTCGCTGACGTTCTTCGATGTTGCATATATTTTGTTTAATTTCGTCGAATTTGTGCTTCAGCATCATAATAGAGTTTGAGGTATCTGATCTTTTCATTTATTACTCTGTTTTAAAGATTACAGTTTAAAAGGAGAAATTATGTCAAATTGTTGAGTAGAGGGATCATTAGTAAAATAGTTTTGAGAAGTTTGATATAGAATTAAATGGATGTTGGTAATTATATTTATTTTGTTATCTCTGTTTTCAGAGTTTATACCTTAAAAATTAAAGACTCGATTGAGGTTAATCTAGATTTGAAAGAAAATGACTTTGCTATAAAAAATTTCCCTAACCCTTAAGAAATAGATATGATATTTATCTACTCTTTTCAATTTAAAGCAAAACATCGGTAAAATTTGCTTTTTTTGGGTTCTTTTTTTTAACCCCCTTTAAATTGGAACAAATTTGTTTTTCAATTGATGATGAAAATATTAATTTCTATAAATTAGTTTTGACCTAATTTAATTATAGCTCATACACCTTAATAGATCTCTATACCCCAGCAGAATACCGACCAGAAAAAATATGGCACAGGGCACCTGCCTTATACAGTATAAGTCTGATTAGGCACCTTAAAACCATAAACGGAGATTTGTCATTTTCGTTTTTACTTTTCAAAAAAGCTGACAAGTACAAATTAATTTTGGAAATTAAAATGGATGGCCAATAATGATCTAAAATATTTTAGGGGCTATAGCAAAATGCATGTAGAATGTTTATTCAAACAGTTTTTACACTGAATTTATTAATGTTTTATTATTTATTCGATTATGAGAAAAAGAGAGAAATGCTGCTCATGCAGCGATAGATAGATTAATAATAATATTAATGTTTTATTCAACTCTTCATAAAAATAAATTAAAATTCAAAGTATTGTGCTTAATTTATGTTTTTCAAAAAAAAATAAAGATAAAATACAAATTTTATAAATTAGTTTTAGAGAAAAAGTGCAAGTAGAAATCTATTTAAACAGCTTTACATTGAATCAATTTATATTTTATTTAATTCTTTGTAAAAAAATATATTAAAATTCAAATTACTGTGCTCGATTTATATTTTTTAGAGAAAAACCACTAATACCATTTGTAATTTTATACTAAAACCTCTTAATAATAAAACGATTTTGCTATTATTGGCAGGAGAACTCCTCCCCTTTAAATTGAAACAAAAAATCCTGTTCCAATTTAAAGGGGGATTATTTTTTTTCAAAAATGTTATATTTTATTATGATAATTATTTTTATAGAAGAAACCCCAAATAATTCCAAATATAATTAATATTTGTAATTATTGTGAGAGCTAGTATCTTGATATTATCCTTAACTTGATTAAACTGCTCAATTATATGGATTATAATTTTCATAAAAACTGCTTACGATTCTTTGATTTCTACGCTTGGATAATTGACAGCAAAAGATATGGGTTATCTACAATAATCGATCGCTATGCTATGTCAAGTAACAACCGACCAGAAAAAATGGTTCAGAACACTTACTTGCATTATGCGTTTTGATCATTATTATGTGTCTAAAAACCATAAACAGAGGTTTATCATTTTTGTTTTGTCTTCGAAAAATGGCAAGTCCAATTTATTTTAAAAATTAAAATAAATGATCAATAATAATCTATTAGAGTATAGGAGTATATTCAGTCTTATTATTACGGTTATCGTCCACTTTTTTGGCCAACTTGTTTCTCTAAAATTATTCGGGCTTTCAGAATTTCTTCAGCATAAGTCCAATAGTCTAAATATTTAATTTTCATCTCTAATTCGTAAATATTTAAACATCTTGCCCTAATTGATTTTTAAAGATCATATTTAAACATAAATATACTTAGGATAGAGCAAAAATGATTATTTGAACTATGTTTTTAAATATTAAGCCTTCATGTGTCAAATATTTCTAATCCATAAAAAAGGGCTCGAATTTACCCAAACTATATTTTTAGTAGGGGCTTAACTTCATGATAATTATTATTTTTCTTATACTTAAATTTCCAAATAAAAATTATAAACTAAATGAAATCTAATCTAGCAAGGCTTATTTGCATGGGTTTCGCAAAAGAAAAAGCAATAGACGCTCTAAGCTACCATAATGATTTCAAACGAGCTCTTGATAAATTATTATCAAACTATGAAGCAGCTAGTTCTCTTCCTAAGCCAAAGCCTCAACTCCAACAGCAAGAACGTACTGAGCCAGAACCAACTAGGCTTGACAATCCTGATATGAAAGAAGCTCTCAAAACTTACGATTTGAAAGCCTTCTGCTGAAATATTCAAATTTATTTTGCCAGTTTTCCCTATAGCCTCATAGATCTTCAAGAAAAGTACTTTCATTCTTTACTCTATGCAAAACTGTGCGATTTATTCCAAAACTGTGAAGCTGAAGAGTCTACAAGTGGCGGCCGAATTGACATAACAGTTAAAACAGATCGTTTTGTTTGTTTAATAGAAATAAAGCTTGGAAAATCTGCATATGACGCTCTCTATCAAATTGAAGGCAGAAACTATGCACTTAAGTTTCACCAGCAGCAAAAAGATATTGTCTGCATTGGCCTGAATTTCGATAAACTTTCAAAAAATTTGTCTGAGGGCGTAATGTGTGTTTATGATGAGAATGGAAGACCAATTGGGGATATACAGTCTTTTAAGGTGGTATTGACAGAAGAACAGAAAAGCTATTATATGAGGAAGAAAAAGCAAGAGAACTTCAAAAATAAAATGAAAAGGACAAAGCAAGATATAGACAGAATTGTAGATATCGAGGAGTAAGTGGAGATAAGCTGCTGAGAATGTGCTTGATAATTAATTTAGCAGATATATTATTATGTATAATTATATAGAGTCTTAGATAAGCATGTATTGATACTCCATTAATACTTTTTCAAACTGATGTAGTTCTCATTCTTTATTTGATAAAGAATTACGCTTAAAATATATGCAGTGGAACTAATAAAAATAATCCGAATATAGATCTTGTCAATCTATAATTTGTAGTGCTATTTACAATTAATACAGCATCAATATGAAACATGAAAATACTGACCACATAGAGACTCCAGTCTCTATGAACCAAGACCAAAGCATTGATTACAAAAGCGTAATACTTCCTGATAATGCTTGGCTAAACTGGCCCAGCTATTCCTCTGTTGATCCAAACTCAAATTTATTCGACCTCAACCATAACTTTGCTTCCAATCTAGAAGCTGACTCCCAGTCTTCCTCTTTTGCTAGAAAACTCAAAAAAAAGCGAGGAAGAAGGCCACTGCGTCCTTATGATCCAATTAAGAAAAAAACTGAAGAAAAAGATAAATATTGGCTTCGTGCTTTTCGAAGTTATATGAAATTTAACTATCCAAACATTGAGTCATCTTTAACTGACGAGGAGAAAACTTTTTGGCTAGACCACCTAGGAGGAAATGGAAAGCCTGATAAAGGGAATAAGTTTCTATCGTATGGGAAAAAATATAAAGATTATCTTTTTTCTCACCAGTTTTTTGTTGAGCAATTTCAAACCTGGTTTAATAATTATGGCCAGTGTGAGCTGGTCAAAAAATGCAAGCCAGATTCCGATTTGTGGTTTGTGTATTATGATTATGCAGCTCAGGAACTTTATAATTATACACCTCATAGAGAAAAAGTGGTATCTCAGCAGGCGAATGAAATCGTAAATGGAGAAAAAAGCCAAGGAGAAATTATGGAGGAAATGATGAGGTTCTATATGGCTATGGGATGGATGCCTATGTAAACTGATTATTCTAATCTTAATCTTAATCTTAATCTTAATCTTAATTATCTATAGCGCTTTACGTCCACTATCCGCCACGGCTTTGTTCCAACTCAGCTCCTGCGCGCGTTCCGCCTAAGGGTCCACCTCCTCGGGTGTACTGAGGGGTAAAGACCTGAGGCTCTTGATCGCACTGAGGAGCAGTTCCTTTGGTTATCCCCAAAGTTAAACCGCTGTTGCTGTGCAGAAGTTCTCGAGGTAAAACCCAACCCCATAAATAAAATTGCTTGAGTTAGAAAAAATTAGCGGAGCTAATTTCGCGAAAGGCATTTTATTTATTGATTATTCTAATCAGAAAAATAATTAGGAAGCCCAGATTTGGAATTTGAAAAGAAAAAAAATTATTTTAATTTAAAATAATTTATACTCCAAATAAATTAGTTCTTTTATTGATGTTTAGATAGAAAAAATGCAATTAATATTAAAAATTTACGATATGAATCATGATAAAAACAATTATTTTATTTATAGTTCTCATACAATAATTTTTTACTGTTTATAGGAGATAATAATAATAAGTTATGGCTATCGCCCAACTTGTTACTCTAAAATTATTTCAAGTTTTCAGAATTTCTTCAGTGTAAGTCCTAAAATTCCTATTAAGTTCACCAATTTCACCCCAATATTTATAAGTAGTAAATTATATTTCAATATATAATAATTTCATTCTAAACTATTTATATTTTAATAATATAAATTTATTAATTTGAGAGGTCTTGCTCGTTTTAAAGGCTTGCAATTAAATATCCTCATACTCTAAATACAGCAGATTTATGTAAAGCTACTGCTTGTTTTTAATCCTTCATTACCACTTATTGATTTTTCCTGAAATGTTACTTCTTTTCGATGCCTATTAATTACTTCTCTCAGCTCTTTTGATGTAATTTTTGGGAATTTCATATCTATTTTCTTAAATCACTTTTTGGTTGGAGGCAAAGTATAAGGCTTGTTGAATGTTGAATTTTGATCTTTACTTCTCCTTCTTATTGGAGTGCAAATAATCCTTGCCTTACAAACACTATCATTTATTACTCCTTGATTATTGATCTATATTAATTTTACAAGGTTTTGCTTAACCAACGTTTTAAACCTCTGAGGGGATGCAAAAAAGTGTCCTAAATTTGGATCTTTTAGACCATTATATTCTGGAAGTTTTGTCATGTGCAAAGGCCCATCCAGTTGAAATGGTCGTTTTCTAGGTTTTTCCATGTTTTCTTATTAGAAATATTAAAAAGTTAGGTTTGCGAAAATCTCTTCAAATAAAAAATTTAAAACCATAAGAAAATTATCTAACAATTAATCATTAAACTAATAACAAAATTCACTATCTTGATCTGTTCAGCCTTTTCCCTATGTCTTCAGACTCATAATCACTCTCATAGTTTGAGCTATCATTTGGATTTTCCTCATAGTCTTCTTCTTCCTGCTCCTCCTCATACTCACTACTTCCTGAGCTCTTGTATACAACACTTGAGCGCTCAGTCTTTTGTTCTTCTTCCTCTTCATACTCTTCTTGGTAATCGGATTGATATTCTCCCTCTTCTTCATTATCTATTTCTCTTGCTATTTTGCTGACTACTCCTAGCTTATTCGCAGGTTTTTCCTCAGGCGAAAACTCTTCAAGCTTTTTTAAATCAGCATCGCTTTCTTTTTTAAAGCTATGCAAAGAAGGGTTTTTATTCATTTCAGCCGCTGACATGCTTGCAAAAGGAGAGTTTTCGCTGAGACCTGGAGAAGATTTGTGATATTCTTGCTTTTCTGGAAGTTCATCACTATATTCATAATTCCCTGAAGACTCAAGCATTGAAATTTTTTTGACATGGCCGCCTTCTGCAGAATTTGATGATGATGAGGATCGGCTTGATTTTTTGCTATTTGGTGATACTCGCGAATCTCTTTGCGCTGGAACTCCATAGTGCACCAAAATTTCTTCCAGCTCATCAATGCTTATGCAATCACGTTCATTTTCTTCTTCATATTGAAGTGCTTCAATAATTAGCAAAACGTGCTCATGGTCTATTTCTTGGATTTTTAAAGAAATAAGTCCTCTCAAAAGTTGATCAGGAGAAATCAAGCCTTTTTTGTCACATTCAAAGACTTCTTTTACAGTCTTTTTAACCTTATTAAGAGCTTTTGAAATCTGTCCAAGATAATGTCTGACAATTTTTGCCCTCTCTTCGTCAGACATATCTTCATCACCTTCTGAACCTTCTTCATTTTCTTCAGCTACTGAGCCATAAGCTTTAATAAAATGGCGATACGGTACTGAATTCAATTCATAATTGTGTGAGTAAAATAAAAGAGTCATATAATTAAAGGTTCGAGGAGGGAACTTGATATCAAGATCGCTTAGAGCTTCTTTGAATTGGTCTATTGTAATCATTCCTTCATTGTTATCATCATGAATTTTGCAAGCTTCTTTTAGTGTTATTTTATTTTTACTGATTATTTGAGAAAGCTGCTTGTCGAAGCTTTCTTCGTCTTCTGAGGTAAATATTTCTCAGTCGCCGATATACTTTAAAAGCCTTGATAAAATGTCTTTTGGAGAGTTCTTTGCACTTTTAGCAGCACTTTCAGGGATAGATTGAAGATTTTCAGGCTCAATTAAAAATCTTGCAAGCGGTTCTGCTTCATTTTTGTTTGTAAAATTGAAGGGCTGCTTGGCAAGCAGAAGCAAGAGATCTTGCTTTGATATTGCAAGATCTTTATTTGTATTTTCAAATAATGCATGTCCGAGGTTATTTTTGGGCAGCCTGTGGAGTTGCATTCTTAATGCAATATGGTTTAAAAACATTTTTACCTGTTCTAGCTTTATGCAAGGAATTTGGACCTCTTTTTGGACAGGATTAGGAGGATTTGTTTTTGTTGGAGATGGAGGCTTAGCTATTTCTTTAGTCGCAGGAGTTTGACTTTTGCTTTCGGGTTGAGAATTTGAGCTTGTATTTACTTTAGGAGGTTCAGATCTTTTTGCAGGATTATTTTGATTTTCGATTTCATCTTCACTGATTGGGCTTACAGGCTCGTTTGTGTATTCATACTTATTATAGAGCTCAATAAGGCTTCTTAATGAAACTGGTTCTTGCGTTTTTCCTGTAGCCTGGCTAATTGCTTCATAAATGATTTTTTTCTTTATTGGTATCTTACGCTTTTTAAGTTCAGAAATAATGCTATTTACTTCAATATTTCCATTAGCTACGCCGTTAAATGAATCTAGAAGTCTTTCTATCGTACTCCTTTCCTTTGCAACTACTTCATGTAAAATTCTCAAAAATTTATTAGGATTTTTCAATTTCGGGTGCGCAAAAACCTTCTCTTCTTCACTAAATACTGGCTTTGGAGATCCTGCTTTTATAATTTCAGCCCTCTGTGGTGTTTTTTCTTCAGCTCTATAATGATTATTTCCTCGATTTTCTGAAGTCATTAGCTTTTTTTGTGTGTCTTCATACATCTTCTTGAATTTTTCCACTTCATTTTTGAGTTCAGCTTCTTTTTTATTAGAATTCTCCAATTTTACCTTGAGTTTATGCACTTCATCTTTTAGCTTCGCCCCAGTTTCTGTTTTTCTATTTTTATTGTTTTTTTTCTGAGACTTTTCCAATTCCATTACCCTTTCTCTTCACCTTGATAGCTCCTGTTTATTTTCATCAAGTGCTATAAGTAGCTCTTGATTTTCCTTTTTTACATTATTTAATAAAATTGACTGCTGTTTGAATTTTTCTTCCAAAATTGAAGCTTCTTGTAAACTTTGTGGCGAGTCTTTTTGCCTCATTAGTTCTTCTAAATGATGCCTTAATCTTGTGCACTCATCAATATAAGCTTGGATTTCAATTTCCATTTCAGCTCCTTTTGTGGATTTGATATTTTGCTTTAAAGTGGCGTTTTCTTCATATTTTGTTTGTAGATCTGCTTTTAGCTCTTTTATTGTTTGTTTTAAGCTTGATATAAGGTGGCCTTGCTTATTCTGCATAGGCATTTTTTCTCCTGGATTTCGCAGATCATCAATAATATCTTCTTTTCTTGCAAGTTCACGCTCAAGTTGATTTATTTTGGTTTTTAGCTTTACCATTTCATCAGTAAGGCTATTCATCTTGAGCTTAAGGGCCATGTTGTCCTCATAAAGCCTTTCCTTATCAATTTGAACTACTCTTGGACGCAGTTTCGCTAGGAATGTAAGATCTTGATCGTTTTTTGTTTTTATTAACGGCTTTTGAGGAGGAACAGGTTTGGTTGTTGTAGGATAGCTTGATTTGCGCTTAGAGCTGATAGACTGAAAATCATTTATTTTTGCGCTTTGAGGGCGATTTTGCTGCTGCTTGATTTGTCGTCTTTCGAATAATCGGTCTTCGTAATCTTTCATAGAGTCATCGTCGTTGCGGATTGAAGGAGGAGACTTGGGATCAAATTTCCTAAATGAAGGTTACATCTGAGGGTAAGACATAATCTTTCTATTTAATTTAGATTAAAAAGCATTTTTGTGTCTTTTATTTTATAAATTTGAGAAGGTTTGATTAGACTATTATATTGCATTGGCCCATTATTACAGGGCGTGCTTTGTTAAGTCCTGGTCCTATAATACTTTAATCTTTAAATTATTCATATATTATCCCAAAAACCTGCAAATTTTTTAATAAGAAGATTAATATTTGAATTTGTGATAAAGACTTAAACTTCTAGCACATACATCACCATTTTATCATTATAATTGGATTTAATTTAATTAGTTAAAAAAACTTACTTCTCTCTTGATAATTCTGAAAAATAATACTTTATATTAAGAAATTTTAATATTTTCTTAATGTTTTCTTAATGTTTTATAAATATTGTTAAATAATCTAATATAAGTGATAAATATTCAATAATTCTTTCATTATTTATTAATTCAAATCATTTGCAATAAATTTTAAATCTTTCATTGCAAAATAAACAATTATAATTACCGATTTGCAATTAATAAAAATAGCTTTAATCGAAATAATTGTCATATGATTAAATTAATGTCGCAATTAAATTATTTTAGATGTTATGATTGCCAATTAAAAAACTTATGAGGCAAATTAGCATTTTATCATAATCAGTTATGAGTTTCATTGCAATCGAGTGCAAAGTTGCATCAGTTTGCTGATTAGTTTATTGAGTTTTGATGAAGCATGAATCGCTATCATTATATGAGCCAGATGATGATGTGGAGGAATATAGAGTTTCAGCTTGTATATCTTTAAGATTCAAGCTCGGAATTGATTCGGGCTTAGCCTTATACTTTAGCCTTTCTGACACAAGCTGCTCATTTTCTGTATCATCAGGATACTCTTCAGATTCAATCTGATTCTGATTCTGCTCCTGCTTCTTTTTCTTCTTTTTATGATGAGCAACTTCTTGATCATAAATTTCTTCTACTGGGTATCCTCTTTTCTTCATTGCTAAAACCAATTTTAGCAGTTTTTTCTCTTTATACGCATAATTTTTCAGCTCATTTCTCATATTCTCACAAACGCTTGCATAGTTCTGATTTTCTGCAACTAAAAATTTTCAAGTTTCATCATCTTTAGGCAGTTGATCAATTTTTATATCTGCAATTTTAAATATTTTTTCTTGCAGTTCTGCGTATCTTTCTTCCTGTTCTTCCAAACTTTTACTTAGTTCATAATTTTCTTTTGACAATTTTTCAATTTTTCTGTCCATGGTTTTTTTATCTTCATTCTGCAACTGGCATTTTTTGCTTAATTCAGAGAGCTCGAATTTTAGATTTTGTGAGGTTTCTTTATAATCACTTGTTGCTGAAATCATTCAATCTTCATAAGCATGCTGGATTTTTAGCAATAGGGGCCCAAATAACGTGTCTTTTTCAATGATTTCTGCAAACATTTTGCTATAGATGTCAAAAACTTCTTTTTGCATTTTTGGAGAATTAGACTTGCCAGACTGGTCTCTTAATTGCTTACTCCCCCCATCTTTGACCGAACGATTGACTGAAAAAATTCCTAAAAATTGGGGAAATTAACCCCCATCCTTGATCGAACGATTTTCATATCATGCAAACTTTTATATATATAAAAATATATTAGCCATCAAAAGCTTGTGAAGATGTACCTAATGAAGTTGTTTTCAGAGACTTTGAGACGACAGAAAGCTACGAATCACCATTCGAAGTGATTTAGTTATCAACCAAGGCTTAAAAAACTTAATAATCTAGAAAATAGAGATTCTTTAAAATTTTTAAAAACAAATTTTAATTTAATAAGAAACAAATTAAAATTTATACAGTTTAAAGAGGTAACCAAAAAATCAAAATATTAAAAATTTGTATTCTTATGTAAAAATAATTATTAAATACTCTTAACCCTCTTATTTAAAAGTAAATAAAATAATATATATATATATTTTTTTATTTTATATAAATTTTTTTTTAACCCCCATCCTTGATCGAACGATGGCGAGCCGTTCGATCGAGGATGGGGGGTTAGTAAGTTTGAATTCTAAGCTTTGAACTTCTCTATTCTGCCTTGCATATTCTAAAAGGGGGTCCTTAGAGTCTATTCTTTGATCGTTTAAATTTATGCAGTTTGCTGCGGAAAGATTCATATCTGTTGATGAGTGTTTTTCTTTGCTTTTTTTCTTCCAGTCCTCATAAAAACTCAGGTTTGTAAACGAAGCTTCTTGTGAATTTTCATTTCGAGGCACCTTAATGTTAGTTTTTATTAAAGAGGATAAATTGTGGGAGCTCAAGGTCGAAGCTGACTTTAGCCTAGACTTTTCTTTTGGTTTGGGAAGATTTGATATGGAGTAGGCTTTTGAAATAGATTGATTCTGAGCATAAGGAGATTCTCTATTGAGAGATTGATGCTTATTTGTAAGGATGTTGCAAAATTTAATTTTTGGCTGATGGGGATTGCTTGATGATGAATTTCGAGAATTTGGATTAGATAAGGAATGTCTATGGTGAATGCCGCTAAAAAAGCTTTGATTCTGAGGATCAATTGTTAAGTTTTCTAATGGTTTTTTTAATCTTGACATAAATTTGATATATATTAGTTAACAAGAATTTTCCAATTCATTTAAATTTAAATTAATCAAATGAATTTCCCAATTAACCGAAATTTTGATTGCGGCTTTATCATAAGTGAATTTTTTTATTATAAACTCCAAAGTTTATTATATTGACTCATAAAAGTTAATTAAAGTGCTATTTAATCTATCTTAATCTCATTGTATATAACTTCATAATGCTTCTAAGTTTTGAATTTCTATCACATACCTCACACAGCCTGGCTAAAATTTTGCTTAGATCAGATGACCCTGTCGGTAATTTTTTGCATAATTCTTCCAGTCAAATCATGATATCCGGAAATTCTTTTTCTTGCTCAACACAGCTAACAAGAAGATAAAACAAATTTAAAACTGTATCACTTGATAAGTAATCTCTGGCCATTAAAGGTCTAGGATCCATCAAAGCCAAAACCTTAAATAAATAATTGGTATTATTTTCTTGTATAAGCCTAGTGATTGCTTTATCAAAATCTTTTTCATTCAAATATTTTTCTATTTCTTGCTTAAGCTTACTCACATAAGTATCTACCTTAGGAATTTCGATAGTGCTTGTGACAGCCGCTGAAGCTTTTTCAACCATCACAATTTCAAGTTCTTCAACTCTTTTTAGCTGCTTAAAAGCAACTTTTCCTAGCTTTTTTGATAAAGTGTTTAGTCCTTCAATAGTGTTTTTCATATGAGTATTTAGTGACTGAGATTTTGCCTCTTCTCTAGCATTTCTTTCAGAGCTTTGTCTTAAGGTTTCTTGGAGCAGGAAAAACATGTTTTTAAAGTTCTCGCCTATGTCTCTTTCAAAAATTGGAATTAAAACAGTGCGAAATTCATTGCCAAAAGCCTGGAAAATATACGACTGCAAAGCAGTTTTTATAGCGTTTAGTTGGTCTTGGCCTTTGTTTTCATAATTTGCTTGAAGATGCTTGGAAATCACCTGAGAAAGTGTTTGCTCAGATAAGGTTTTTTCAAGTCTCCTCATGAGGTCGTCAAATCTTTTATTCAAGCAGCTGATAATAGGAGTGACCATATCTTTGGCAGGAATTTGTTTAGGTGGCTCAGGAGGTTTAAATTCAGCGACTTCTGCTAATGGCTTTGTTTTTGTGTTTTTTTTAGCAGGAGTTCTATTACTTTTCTTTTCTTTTCTCTTTTGTGAAGCTGATTTCTGAGCATCATCTACTTTATTTTCACTAATTGTTTTAGCTTCTTCTTTATTTTCTAAAGGTTCTAATTCTTTTTCTTCTAAATCAGACTCAGGCGATAATACAAATGGATATTTATAAATTTCGTCTTCATGCCGAATTATAATGTCTATTGCGCGTCTCGAAATATCTTTGCATTGGATTTCTAATTGCTGTTGAGGTGATTTTAGGCTGATATCAATGGTCTCATCATATTTTTGGGATAAAATTGATTCTTTGGTGAACAAAGAAACTTGGGTGGATTGAAAGTCACTTAAAAGAGCGACCTCACTAATAGGGTCATATAAGAAGGCAGTTTTGGAATATGTTATAGGCTCAAATGAAGGTGAGCGAGAGTAAAATGTGATTCCAATTGAGGAGTAAACTGCAATTGTATCTCTATCGATGAAAATGATATCTATTGCATCATCTATGGATTGAGATGAAAGTGCTTGTTCTGTGTTGCTCTCTAGATCGCAAATTTTTAAAATTCCATCATTTCCAATATAGCCGATTTCTATGCTAGGGCCTGGACTTAAGTCAAAGGCAATTATATCTTTTTTGTCAAAAGAAGTTGACTTAAAAGTTTGATCAACTCTAGTTCATATTTCTAAGCATACCCCTTCAATGTTAATTGCCAAAATGCCAGGAACTCTTGGGTGCCATTTAATGTTTTTGGTGCTTTGGGATTTCCCTATATCTAATATCTCCTTAGAAGATTCGATATCGATGATATGAAATCCATCATTTTCTGTAAGTGCAACCAAAAAATTGCCAGCTTTCGCAATCAATAGGTTTTTTATTTTATTTGGCAGACTGACAACTCTTGTTTGTTTTTCATCTGAGTCACTCTTGTAGATGATGATCAAATCATTATTATCTGAGTAGCAAATATATTGAGAGTTGACTGCAAGACACTCAGAAGGTAACAATTTCATGAAAAAAGTTGAAGAAACTGCTTCTGAGAGATCAGGATCGATAATTTCTTCTAAATTCGAGATTTCAAGAGCTTTTCCAGCATCACCTGACTGCTCCATATTATTATAAGCAATTGCCAACTCAATGATTTCAGAATGTGCAGTTGAAGAAATCGATGAAATTGATAAAGGACTCTTTCTAGGAAATTTAAAAGCAGCTTCGAATTTAAATCTGCTTGCCAAACATAAAATCACCCATGTAGTGGTTTGTGGAAATGGCCTTGAAAAATATTTTCCAGCAAATTTCAGCTATTGCCAAATAAACATAGAAGATGTAATCGACGCAGACATTGCGACACATTTCCCTGAAACAAGTAATTTTATTGATACCGCTCTAAAAAATAAAGGAAGGGTTTTCGTACACTGCGTCATGGGAATCTCAAGAAGTCCAACGATTATAATTGCATATTTGATGAAACACCGCAAAATGAAGCTGCATAAAGCAATTCAAAAAGTCAAGAAAAAACGCTTCGTTGTTAACCCAAACATAGGATTTTTGTTGCAGCTTAAACAGTTTGAGAAGACAATTGAGACTGATGAAACGGGATGCGAATGTAAATGCAATATAATATAGATTAATTATTGTTTTTCGCTCAAAGCGTGGCACAAATCTTAAATGTAAAAATAACTATTGAAAGAATTTTGCATAATTTTCCATTAATTTGAATTTTAAATATAAAGCAGTATTTAAAATTATTCTTTATTACGATTTCTAATATATAGAATAAGAAAATCATATTTATAAGCTAAAATGAATAAATTTAGCACAAAAAAGCAGATTGGACATTAAAAAGTAGTTTCATTTTCACTTATCAAACTAAAACATCGAGAATTTGGATTCAACTATTAAAATTGATTAATTCTGTATATTTTCTTATTCCCTCACTAATTCTCCATATCATCACCACCTACATATTTCCAGATTATATAACCTAATTTTAGTTTAATCATAAAAAACCTTAACATACGATCTATGTATCAGTTCGTTCTCATCATAAAAGCAAGTTTCAATAATAACGTTCCCAGATAAGACTTCAGCTGGTAGCATCTCTTCTGGAGGAGCTGCATCAATAACTTGCTCCCAATTATTTTCACTTCCAGGAATGACAAACCCAAATTCAAAACTCCATTCTTCCAATAATTCACCAGCAAGCTTTACCTTTTGAACCAGCCTGAACTTCTGAATTGCCTGTTTTGATGAAAAGTTGATTTCTCTTGACACAGCTCGGCATTGCAAAATCGATTTGGGGACATGGGCCTCTACTAGTGAATTCAGATCCCAAGAATTTTGCTGCTCCCACAGGATAGTTCCTGTCTCATAGTCCTTCATTTTGATCCAGTTGATAGAAAATCCTTCTGCAACTGAATTCATTATATATTAATGGAAATCTTTTGCGGTAATATAAATGATGTTTCGCCCATACTTGATCGGGATTACTGGAGGCTCCGCAAGTGGGAAAACATCATTGAGCAATAGAATTCAAGAAGCCTTGGCCCTTGACTGTACACTAATAAACTCAGACTATTTTTATAAAGACTTAACTCCTTTGCAGCTGCAAAAAGTATCTGACTCCCCCCCCCCCTCCGTGAGTGAACAAAAAAATTTTGTTCACTCACGGAGGGGGGTTAATTTTTTTTTTTAAAAAAAATTTTATATATAAATTCTATAAAAATATTTTTTTTTTTCGAAATTCGCAAAAAAAATTGGAAAGCAAATATTAATTTTAATTTATAAAATTTATGTTTTAAAAAGCAATTCGTTTAAAATTAAATAGAATTAGCTCTAGATTTCATTATACTAATTATCATTTATATATCAAAAAAATTTTTTTCATAAAAAATGTTTTCTATTAAAAAAATTTTTGTTTCACTCACGGAGGGTGGGTTTTTGGGCAAAAAATAGCGATTTTTCTAATGGTTTTGTTCACTCACGGAGGGGGGGGGAGTGAGTACAATTTTGACCACCCTGATGCTTTCGATTTTGTGGAAATGCATCATACTATTTGGAATCTCATGAATGGAGAAGAGGTAAATGTTCCAATATATGATTATGCTCATTATTGCAGATCTAATTCGTTTATACTTGCAAAGCCAGCCCAGTTTATTATTTTGGAAGGGATTATGGCATTGTATGATACAAAGATAAGGGAAATGATGAATCTGAAAATTTTTGTTCATACTGACTCTGATGAGTGTTTAGCGAGAAGAATTTTGAGAGACACTGAGATGAGAGGGAGAGATATTAAGTCTGTTATTAATCAGTATAGAAAATTTGTAAAGCCAGCGTTCGATGATTTTATTTTTCCTATGATGAAGTTTGCTGATATCATTATTCCTAGAGGGGCTGAAAATAAAACTGCTTTTGATATCATAATACAAAATTTAATGAGTAAGAAAAATAAATAAAGGCAAATGATAATGATTTTGGATTTATTATAAAATTCAGAAATTTTATACTAAATTAATAAAATCGGTATAGATATAAATGAATAAGATTCACTATGATCTATGAAATTTTATTGCCTTATTTCTTTTTAAAGTAAATAATTGAACAGTTTTTGAAGCAAATGATAAGAGCGGGGAAGTTGAAAAAGAAATTACAAATAAAATAGCGCTGTGGACTAACTGCAAAGCAATTTTGAGTATTATCATAATAAATAGCTATTATCAAATTTGAAAAATTCTCAAAAAATTAAAATATTTTCTTTATTTTATTATCCATAATCTATTGGAATTGCCATGCTGAACGTTCCAATGTCACCAAGCCTTTCTGGCATTAGTCCAAAATTATCACAAAGTGCAGCCTCCATTCGTCCTTCAGTAGGTGTATCCCCCATAAATGCTGTGCTCCAAGATAGGCATGACCAACTTTTAGCAGAGTTTGCAGAAGTGGATACTAATAAAGATCAAGAATTAACCTTTGATGAAGTTTATAATTTCCTCAAGAAAAAAAGTGGAGGAGAATATGATAGGGAAATCTGCATGGGACTCTTTTCTAAGATGGATAAAGACCAAGATGCAGTTGTCACCATCGAAGAATTCATATGATCATACGTTGAGACTGAAAACAACATTAAACGCCGCACAACTGAGCTAAAAAGACAAATTGCTGACAATATCAAGCAAGTTGACGATTACAATAGAAAACTAATCACAGCCAAAGCAACTGAAAAGCTTGGCAAAAATGGAATCATGGAAGGAAGCGTTCTTACAGTCTACGTAATTGAAGCCACTATTAAATCCCAACAAGTCCTCGACCCTTTCATCGAGCTTAGCTGCGAGCAGCAAATAATTGAAACAAAGTTTGCATCAAAAACCCTAACTCCTACCTTTAACGAAGTCTTTACTTTTCAAATTTTAGAAGGGAGCGATGATCTTTATATATCAGTCAAAAACCATTCAAATTTTGGAAACCACAAATTAATAGGAGAGTCCACATATTCACTGAATTTATTAAGAGATCAGATGAAGCATGACGTTTATGTTGATATCAAAGACCCTAAAGGCACACCCATTGGAAAAGTGCATTTAGGCTTACTATGGGTCTATAGCAAAGTGAAATATTACGAAGCAATTTTGACTCAATGGAACGAAAATGTACAACTTGATAAAGCTGAACTTGCGCATTTAGAAGACCAGCTAGACAAACTCCATCAGCCTTTTGGCGGGCTTCTTATAGATGCAGAATTAGTCGGATCTAAAACAGCTGGAGTTGAAAAAGCAGTATCAAAAAAGATTGAAAATGTAGTGCATGGCATATTAGGGAAAGATCTTGATTGGCATTGGAGTAGTTATATAGTGACCTTAATATATCTTTTGCTCTCAGTAATGCTAATGGGATACAGACCCGACTTCATTAATGTGAGGTTTATTTAGGTCTCTGTCGCTCTTGGGTGTTTTGTATATCATGTTACAAAAAATGATACTGATTTGAGTTATATGAAATTGTCGTTTGCAATACTTTTTGCTGCGGTTTATGATTTGCTATGGTTTTTGTTTTTCTCAAAAGTAATTCATATTTAGGCTTGGTCTCAAAGTGAAAATTTCATAGAAAAAGAAGGGGAAATTAGGTTTTGGGGTGAAGCTCTAACGTTTATCTGCTTCATTTTTAAGATTGCCTGCTTTGCAGTATTTTTCAGACTAGGTGCCAGGACTAAATAAACTATTTAATCTCAATAATTTTAAGAATCTTACCAAAATTCTCATTATTTTGCTTTGATCTTAAGTGAATAGAAAATTGAAAAAATGACAAGTGATAATGATAAGTTCTGGCGAGTCAAGCTATATACTCTTGGAGGCAATGGAGAATGAAATGACAGTGGAACAGGCAGGATCAATATATTAGGAAGACTTTTATCTGTTGAAAGTGAAGGAGACCCTGATATCAATCTCATGAGTTTTGAAATTGGCGACGAAGTTTATAAAAGGCAGGGAAATACCATCATAACCTGAATGGATAATGAAAACCATAATTTCGCTTTGAGTTTCCAAGATCCTGCAGGAGCTCAGAAGGTGATAGAAGCCATCTGCAAAATTCAAAGTAGAGATCCCAAGGACATAAAATTTGAAGATGATAATGATGAAGATATTGTCACTTTGCCAGTACCCAAAATTGATAACCTGGACAGCATTAGAGAAATATTAGAAAATTCAGTAAATAAAGATAAAATTTCAAAAGCGGTTTTGTTTTCGGATTTTTTAGAGAAACTTCAAAAAGTTTATAAGTTTTTAGAAGAAGAAAATAATGAAGAAAAGCTCTATGAAATATTTTTTTGCTACAAAGCATTAGGTAAGATCTATTTAGTACAATTGAACTCTCGTGAGATTTTAGACATCATGCTAAGTGATGAATATTATTTGGATTTTTTTGGGGCTTTAGAGCATGACCCCTCAATATTAGGAAAAAGCTTTAAGTTAAGAGAAATTTTAGAAAATCAGGTAAAATACCAAAATGTGCTAGAAATCGAAGATAAAGAGTTTTTAGCAAAAATTCATCATGCGTACAGGCTACAATTTTTAAAAGATACGGCTTTGTCAAGATGCCTAGATGAGTCCTCATTTCAATCTCTATTATGCTATCAGCTATATTCCTGGCGAGAATTAGTAGCTGGGTACCTTGAATCTCAGGATATCAGAAAATCATTGTTTGATAAAATTCAAGCCCTAAACGAAGGAGCTATTAATTTCTTTTGCGAACTAACTCAACGATCAAAAAAGACCTTGCTAGCTAACAAGGTGATACAAACATTTTTTTGGATTTAAAATTTCAAATTGTAAATAATGGCTAATTTAATTATAATTCGCTAAAGATTTCATTAATTTAATTATTAATTATTAATCGAAAAAAGGGATATATAATGGTTTTTCTCGATAGCTCGGAGGGGTAAGCAGCATAGCCAAAACATGCACCCAGCAGATGAAAATGAAAATAGACTTTTATGAAGAAATCCATAAGGATGGAATTATGCTGCTACTTTACAACGCCCAAAAAGAAGCAAAAAATAACGATGAGCTAAAAGAAAAAATATTAGAGTTAATAGGCGAAATGTATACAAATATGCTGGAAGTTGCACCAAATATCGTGAAAAGTTATTTGATTTCTGGAGAGCAAAAAGAAAGAGAATTTGAAATTTTAAAAGCGATTTGTTCAGGATTTTTGAATTCGAAAAATATAGGAGTTCAACAAGAGGTATCGAAATTTATTAAGGCATTGCTGGAACCAACAATAGAAGATAAAATATTTTTAGACATATGCGAAATATTTTACAATGAGCTTCTCAATAGATTTGCTGGGAAAATGTGCAGCCCTAATCTAGACCGTGAAGAAATCCGTATGTGTATATGTGAAATTTTAGGAATTTTTACCCATTGTGTCGAAAAGCATCAAGAAAGAATCCGAACTTATCTCACAATGAATGAAATTTTGCAAAAAGCTTTAGATCTTTTGCAACTTCATGATAAGCCCATTTCTCTTGCCGTTTTAAAACTTTTCAGAGAAGTTATCAAGAGAAACGACCCATATTTGACTCGATATGTTGTATCTCACTCATATTTTCAACTAATTTTCGAAGAATTTATCCACAACGGCCCGAAAGAAAACATGATTTTTTCCTCAATTTTGGCAATTTTTGAAGAAATTAAAGCTGCGAAAAATAAAGTTATTATAGAGCACATCGTGCAAAGATATGTGCCTCTGCTAAAAGACACTGACCTTTCTCGCTATTTAGAACAAATTGTGAATATACACGCACAACAGAAGGAAGCTGAAACTGAATAGTAAGATCTAAGCATAGTTCATATAAAAATTGAAATTCAAGAGAAGTCTCCGCAAAAGAAGATGAAGAATATTTTGATAAGAGCTCAGATGAAGACGTGATAACGCCAATCAAAAGAAGCCCTGAAATCTTGGAGTTGAAGCAGATGAATAAGCTTAAGATGGAATGTGGGGAAATAGAAACATGCATCAGAGGAGAAATGGAGAATAATGAGAATGGGACAGCGGAGACAAATGGGTGTAAAAAGCAGGAGAAAAATGGTGCGGAGGGCAGCCATGCTCATTTAGAATAGAGACGATGCGGGAAATATCATAAGATCATGTTTCTCGGATTTATATTTCATATATAATATTGGTTTCCAAACCTCATTAGATCTTTGATTATCGTTGAAATATTTATTTTGCTTTTATACTTTCAGCTCACTACTATATATAATAGCTTTATTCTCTTATTTATTAATCCAAAGCAAGCTTTCCAACCACTTCACATCTCTTTAGCATCATAAAATATTTTTCCCAGTTTTGTAATCTTCCTTCCTCTTCTTCACTCAATTTTTCATGTTTTGCATTAATATATTTCCCATCAATTTCTTCTTTTGCAAAAAGCATTGTTGCATCTCTCCCAACTAAAAATTCATATTTGCCGCCAGGTGAAAATTTAGGGAGGTTCGTCACATTAAATACCTTATCATTACATCCAATATAGATAAGATTTTCTCTTCCATCAAATTTGCTGAGCTGAATGAGAGTGAAAGAATTTCCTGACAGCTTTGATGATAAGATTTTGGGGAAACGCTTTAAATAAAATATCAAAAAGCTAAGTAAAATAAACACTAGTATGTTGGAACTTCATTCCATTGTATTTGTATTAATTGCAAAAAGACATTTTAATTATGAATATTGAGATTTCTAAAATTAGTTAATTTCTATGTTATAGATATCGAATGAAATCTTTGATTTCTGCTCATATTCAAGTGTGAAGACTCGCTGACTTAATCAATACGCATTATTTTATAGATTTATGTCTCTGTTTTTTCAGTCCAAGCTTTAACTTTTCATAGATCAGCCAAATAATCCCAAAAGAGCATGATCTTTCTATCACTCTTACTCCTAATCCTCGAGTAAATCCTCTTAAGCCTTCTTCTTTTCATATTTCGATAAGTCCATTATAGAGTCCGTTTACTTTATGTCCTCCGACATAGGCAAATTGCAATCTTGTCTTCATTATATCGAATGGCTGTGTCAATAAACAAGCAGTAAATCCGGCCAAAACTCCAGATGTAAAAGTATTAAATGAGTATTTTTTACCCATTCCAGTTAGATAAAATATCATTGCTGAGTATTGCTCATAAAAAGCATAAGCTAGAGCAGAATATGGTAAATCTCTTTATTCCCCAGCCAAAAGCAAATTCTTGTATACTCCGCAGGCCGTTTTGACACAAAATTTTTAAATAGTAATTTTATATGAATAGAAAGGCCAAAAATTTGCATTTTTCATTTTTATCTGAAAATCCTCCAATAATAAGTTATTTTCGATCTTTTCATAAAAAATTGACTATTTGAAAATTTTGTGTAAAAAACCCAATGAATAAGCAAGAATTTGCTTAGCACTGAGGGTGTTAGTAAACTTGAGGAAAATCCTTTATAGAAACCTCGAGTTCCTTCTTCCTTATATATTTTTGCAAAAGCATCACTAACAGATGTATATTGATTAAACTGAGGAGCTTCCATACGTAGTTTTATTATACTCAATGGTGATAAAGTTATGATAACCACTAACCTTGCTAATACTGCCGATTCGCTATCATGTAAAAATCTCCCTTTAATAGACTGGTGCGGCTTAAGAATTTTATTGAACATTTGGTCCAGCACAAATAGGACCCCCACCCCCCCCACCCCTCCCCACCCCCACCCCCACCCCCACCCCCACCCCCACCCCCACCCCCACCCCCACCCCCACCCCCACCCATATACATAACTTTATGTAGAATATTTTAATGGTTTAAGCCCAAGTGAAGGAACTAAAGTTTTATACTCTAAACTATAGCTCATACCCCTTTATATATTCCTTTATCGAGCAAAGTGTACTTGAATATTGAAAGACCAAAACAGACTCTCTCAAAGAGATGAGCTCAACCTCTATATCAGAAAGTTCTAAAAAGTGGCATGCCAAAAAATAATGGCAAGTGTGAAAAAAAGTTGGTAAGCAAATACGATTAGACTTAAGATAATTAATTATTCATCTCTTTCGTTAAATTGATTTAAGATTTTTAAGATTTAAGATTACGATAACCCTTTGCCGACCCCCACTTAGCTTAGGATCTAGCAATACAAGCCCATCCTCCCTGAATTCCATCACTGGCTAACAGCTCTGAACAACGGTAGGTGGAATTGGCCTAACCGTCGAACCGTTACAGTAGCCTATGACCCAGATGTGTCTCTCTTCCTTCCTTGAATGTGTTTCAAGCACGAGCAGAACTGCCGAAGCAGTTCCAGCGCCAATTTCCTTCAGAAAGTTTGAACTTCCCTCACTAGGATGACCTTACTCCCCCCCCCTCCGTGAGCGAACAAAAAAATTTTGTTCGCTCACGGAGGGGGGTTAATTTTTTTTTTTTAAAAAAAATTTATATATAAATTTTATAAAAAATATTTTTTTTTTCGAAATTTAAAAAAATCCTAATTTGCAAAAATTGGGAAGCAAATATTAATTTAATTTGCAAAAAATTTATGTTTTAAAACGCAATTTGTTTAAAATTAAACAGAATTAGCTCTAGATTTCATTATACTAATTATCACTTATATATCAAAAATTTTTTTCCATTAAAATTTTTTCTATTAAAAAAATTTTTGTTCACTCACGGAGGGTGGGTTTTTGGTCAAAAAATGGCGATTTTTCTAATGGTTTTGTTCGCTCACGGAGGGGGGGGGGGGGGGAGTTAGGGGACAACAAGGACCCTAATTCATGCGCTCCATTTTTAATTGTGATATCTTGTTCTTTTTTAAAGAAAAGAACATAAAGAGCATCTTATTTAAATACATTTATTATCCTTAATTGCTATATTTTTAAAAATTTAATTTTTTTTTAAAAATTTTTCAACAAAAATATAATTTATTGCATTTATTTCTTATCATGCATATGATGTCATTTGAATTTATTATGTGGAAACCAAATATACGTTTCAAAACGCAGATTTTAGTGCGCCAAATTAATAATTTAAATTTCATATGAAAATAGTGCGTATAAACTGCCATAAGAAATTAAGCCAAGGGATTATATTTTTTATTTAAATAATTTTGATAAAAATTTAATGCGAATTCTTTACAAAAATTGAAAATTTACTTTATTTCTTGCTTTATTTTAGCAAAAGAGTATAAATAGCCACTTAATTAAACAAAATTAATACTTTGATCGATAAATTTTCTAGAAAGTTATTAATCTAATTCGACACATGTTTTAATTTTTTTTTATAAGAATTTTATATTGAATTTTTCATAAAAAATTTTCTTAACCCTTCTTTTAAATTGGAACAAATATTTGTTTCCCAATTTAAAGGGAGGGAGTTAAATCAAAATCCTACTGGAGTTTTTTGCACGATATGCTTACTGGAGTTATAACTCTTGGAGATCTATACAACCGTTTACTCGGGAAGTTCCCCGTTTGCATTTTCACTTTTGACAATTTCTTTCATAATGGACTCCACCTTTATAATCACTTAAGTCAGGATCCTACTAGAGTTTGTGATTGATATGCTTACTGGAGTTATAGCACTTGAAGACCTATACAACCGTTTACTCGGGAAGTTCCCTATTTGCATTTTTAAACTCATTTCTATAAATTTATCTCAAGCACTTTTTACATGAACAAATAATAAAAAATATTAAATCTATTAAAATTTATATGTAGCATTTATTAGTATAATTATCATTAATTAATAAGGCCTGAAAAATAAGATTTTTAGTTATTAATCAATTCCAGTCTATTTAAATCATTTTATTAATAAAGCCATTTTAAAAATTTGCGTGTTTGCTTACCAACTTTTTTCACACTTGCCATTATTTTTTGGCATGCACTTTTTAGAACTTTCTGATATAGAGGTTGAGCTCATCTCTTTGAGAGAGTCTGTTTTGGTCTTTCAATATTCAAGTACACTTTGCTCGATAAAGGAATATATAAAGGGGTATGAGCTATAGTTTAGAGTATAAAACTTTAGTTTCTTCACTTGGGCTTAAACCATTAATATATTCTACATAAAGTTATGTATTTGGGGTGTGGGGGTGGGGTGGGGGGGTGGGGGTCCTATTTGTGCTTGACCAAACATTTCCAGCAGTGTAAAGTTAATTCCTCCAGAAATGGATGCTCGATAAACTGCAGGTCGCACACCTCTCCAAAATCCTTTCGGTCCATAAGTAGTGTTAACAAATTTAATAGCTTCTTGAATAGAAATTTGCTTGGTTTGAGTAAGAATCCCGGTCTTAATTACATCTAATGGCTGTACCATAAATGAAGTAATTACTGAAGCAAGAGAGCCTGCAATTGCATGAATTAGATCAGCCATTTTATTAATAAATTCAAATAATGATATTTTTCTAAATTTTGCAATTTTTTTATTTGCAAGAAACCTATATAATATCTGAAAAGCAATCTTAGTTAATTTTAATTCTATGGGTCTAATAGGTAAAATCTGTCTTTTTGATAAATTTTTGCTTTCACGAAAGAAAGCTTGAATAATAATTAATGGAAAATTCTTATTATGCCACATATCTTTTTTGTTAATATAATCCAAATTTCTGAAAAAATAATCTGCACATTAAATCAAAAGTATGGAACCCAATCCTGAAGTTGTTGCCACACTCATAAGCTTAGGATACTCTCAAGCACAAGTTTTACAAGCTCTTCAAATTAGTGAAAACAACGCGGAAACAGCTTTAGAGCTTTTAAGTTCAGGATGCATAGAAGAACCAGCCCAATTGACAGATAATAAAATTCAACCAAAAGAAAACAACCTTTTCAGTAATATTTTTAACGAAGAAAGATACAAGATGGTTGCTTTAGTAAGAACCGATCTAGGGATGGGGATAGGAAAAATTGCAGCACAAGTAGCCCATGCATGCGTTCATGCATATAGAACTGCAGAACCGCGATTAATAGAACGTTGGGACCACTCAGGCGATGCTAAAATCGTCTTAAAGGTAGACAGCTTAGAAGAACTATTAGAATACTCAGAAAAAGCCAAGGCTGCTGGGATTAACACAGCCATCATCAAAGATGCTGGCAGAACTCAAGTTGAGCCCGGCACAACCACTGTGTGTGCAATAGGACCAGAGTCTGTATCTAAAATTGATGCAGTCACAGGAAAGCTAAGACTTCTCTAATTTTGAATTTAAAAATAAAATTCGTATTTCATTGCTTAATTAGCTTATCTCCTATTATTATAATCTAATTTCTCTCTAATTTATAATAGAAATGGATTCATCAACAAGCCTTCTAGCAAACTCAATCTTAGCCAGTTTTCAAGCAGCAAAAAGCATAGACTCAACAGAGCAGCAGATTTTTCAGCAAATGATTAACGGAAGCGATCCTAGTCTAGTTCAAATTTTGAACAGATACAACTCTGACGCAGAGCTTGGGACAATCGAACTTGAAATTTTCCAGCTTATTAAGCGCAAGCATAAGCCTCAAAAAGTTGTAATTCCAGCAAAAAGTATCAATGATGAAATGACGTCGCCTTTAGGCAACTATCTTCTAGAAAGAAAAAAGCGCAACAGTCTAGATAAAGGTGTGTCACTATCGATTGGCGAGCCTATTTTGATTCAAATACAAGAAGTTCATGAGCATCAAGTTGAAGACAATTAAATCAAATTTAAATGTCAATGTTTATATATACTTTTCCAAAATAATTTATAAGTAGCCAATTTCATGTATGCTAATATATCTTTTTAAAATTTTTGCTCTTTATTTTCATAATAATTATTTTAAATTTGTCTATGAACTCTGTAATTCCAAGTGATCAAGTAGATTTTTTAATTGATGAGCTTACTGAAGCAAAAGAAAGAGAAGAATTCAACTCTATTTCGAGCAAGTTTAATGAAATTTTTATATCGAGATATAAAGCAAAATATCCTTATCCTTCAGGGAGGTTTCCATTTGGAAGTGCGGGGCCAGCACCTGCTATGGATAATTATAATAAAGTCCTTCCACCTCCACCTCCTCCAGCTCAATACAATATTCCAAGGTCGATGTCTCCAATGCGTTCTCAATTTTCACACTCCCCCTCTGTGAGTAAACAAAACCATTGGAAAATCCCTTTTTTTTTGGTAAAAACCAACCATTCGTAAGCAACAAAAAAACTTTTATATGTGTTTGATAATAGCATAGCTATCATGCAATCTGTTGTATTTTAAAGCATAAATTTTACAAATTAAAAATTTTTGCTGATCTTACAAATTGATATCTTTTTAAAATTTCGAATTAAAAAAAAATTTAGCAAACAAGTTTTTTTGTTCGCTCACAGAGGGGAAGGCAGCCTTACGCAGATCCATATGCTAATCAAATTCAAAATCCACCTATAAGGCAATCTTATGCAGATCCCTATCTTGCTCAAGCGCAAAATCTTCCTATGAGACAGTCTTATTCAGATTCTTATGCTTTTCAGTCACAAGGCCTCCCTCTACGACAACAATCCCAATCTATCTACGGTTATCAGGCAGCTATGAATGAAAAAATTCAGTCATATTACCAAGATAGAAATTCTCAATTTTATGAAAGTTATAACCCATATAACAATCCTCCTATGGATTTTGGCATGAGAAATCAACAAATTTCAACACCTCAGCCAATATATGACTATTCTCCAAATATAACTAAAGAAATGCACCCAAAAGCGATTGATCCAAACTATAAATCTAATCAACGGAAAGTCGATCCACTGGATTTTTCAAGCTGGACAAGTATTCGTAGACAAAAAGAAGCAGAATTAGCTAGTTTCCATAAATAATAAACTAACTTTATTACTTAAAGATCGTTTAAATAATCAAAAATTTCTTCATTTTAATGAAATTGCTTGATAATTATCATTTGATACAATAGTTCCAATTATTTTAAATACATCTGCACATTTTCGAGCTTATTGAAGATTTTATTCATAGTTTTAAGACTTTTCCTTGAAGTGGTGATATCATGAACTAAGCTCGACTGAGAGTTTGCTCTGATAAACTTTTTGAATCCTTCTAAATTCACAAATGATATGCTATTATGAACAGTCCTTGATTGAGATGTTTTTCGTTCTGAAATAACACTGCTTCTCAGTACAGAATTGCTTCTTGATGGCTGCTTTTCATAAGTTGATGTAGATCTATGATGAGAGATAATTGGAATCTTGGCAAGTGATGGCTTTCTTGATTTAGAGAACGGTTCTTTTAAGCGAAGCTTAGGAACAGATGAAATCCTCGTAACAACAGGTGGAACTCATAGCCTAGTTCTTGATATTGAAGAGTGATTATTCTTTATAAGACCAATTTTTGGAACGAAAATTAAATCTGCCATGTAGTGTATATTTATTATTTTCTGTAGTTATTTTAACTCAAATAATATATTTATTCTTTTAGAAGGATATTTTCATGATTTTCACCATTAATCCTTTATACTAGAAATCCAATTAATTTATTTGTTTTTGCCTTAAATATCCTATAAACTGTTTAGTTTCATTGTAATATTCAAACAATCCATTTAATTTAGAAAAATTTGTAACTAATTCACCAATAAATATGAAGCCTGAAGACCGTGAATATTTAACTCAAAAAGTCAACCCTATAATGGAAGTCTTTGTGGAGTACGCTCTCCAAGACATTCCACCTGATCTTTATCAATATATGCTAAATTACTTAAAACGCATCTCTCTTTCAGATTCAGAGCGAGCAGAGCTTGAGAGATTAAAACTTGTCCTAGCTCAGGTTCAAGAAGGCAAAAAATCTGACGAAGAAGTCAGCACTGATGAAAACGAAGAATCAGAAGATGAAGCTCCTGAAATTGTTATTGTAAACCGATCTTTCCAACACAGAACGTCCGTTTCTGCCGAGGCATATGGAGCTTGGAATAAAAAAGGAAATTTCGTCCCTCGAGTCATCAACAAAACTGATGAGCAGAAGTCAAAAATCATGGCAAAGCTTAGTGTCTCCTTTATTTTTTCACATTTACTCTTCCTTGAGTTTGAACCAAGAATTTTAAATTAGGTCTATTTTTTGGAAATAAAAAATTAGTAAAAATTTTTGAAAATTAAAAAATATAAATTGAATACGATATTTTTTAATTTATGAAGAATTAATTAAAAATATTAATCAATGCAACGCTTAAATCATATAAATAGTATTCTACTTGCACTCCTAAATTAAATTAAGTAAAAATTATTTATATAAAAATTAGTATTTTTGCCTATAAAATTTCCTCTGAAAAAAAAAAATTTCGATTCAATTTAAAGGGCTAATTTCCAAAAATGAAAATTTTATCTATATTTTGCTTCAATTTAAAGAGGACGAGTTAGAAGAAAAAGATAAAAAAGTGGTAATTGATGCAATGGAAAGCAAAAGTGTCCGAAACGGGGAATTTGTAATCAGGCAAGGAGAAGATGGAGATTTATTATATATTGTTGAATCTGGCAAGCTTGAATGCACCAAAGTTATTATATTTTTATACAAGAATATCTTTAAATTACAAAAGATAAATACCCATATTTATTTTATAAATATGGAAACTTAATTATAAAAATATAAATTGTTTATTTATCGCATAATAATGGAAATGAGACATTTTTGAAATTCTACGAAACCGGGGGTGTGTTTGGAGAATTAGCATTGCTTTATAATGCCCCAAGAGCTGCAACCATTAAAGCTGTAGTCGACAGTGAGCTTTGGGCTTTAGACAGAAGCACTTTTGTAAACATTGTAAAAGAAGCAGCAGTTAAAAGAAGAGAGCGTTTTGAAATTCTGTTATCAAGAGTAAAAATATTGGAGTCAATGGATACTTATGAAAAAGTCCAAATTGCAGATGCATTGACTAGCGCTACCTATGCCTCAGGGGAATATATAATAAGAGAAGGAGAATGGGGTGATTTATTCTATATGATAGAAGAAGGCACAGCTGTAGCTACCAAAACTCTACATCCTGGAATGCCACCTGAGGAAGTTATGCGGTATCAAGCTGGCGACTATTTCGGGGAGCTCGCTCTGTTAAAAGATGACGCAAGAGCAGCTAATGTTATAGCTACTTCAGATATTAAATGTGTTACCCTTGATAGGCATGCATTTAAGAGACTATTAGGACCATTGGAAGAAATTTTGAGAAGGAACTTTGAAGTATATGAAAGCGTTATAAATGGTTTAAGTAAGAAATAATAGTAACAGGTTAAGTACGATCAGTCATTATTATATCTGAATCAATCGTTGGAGCTGATTTATGAAGGGATTGAGAAATTTGCAAATTTTTTGGGGTCGAATTTTTTGTATCACTTGAATTCATCATTGGGATTAATTCGTCATGAGTATTTTGTGGGTTTTTAAATGTGCTATTCTTGTTGCAAGTGCCATTTTCCTCTTCTTCATAAAATATTATCTGTGGTTGAATAGCTTTTTTCTTACTCCCCCCCATCCTTGATCGAACGATTGACTGTAAAAATTGCTAAAAAATTTGGGAAATTAACCCCCATCCTTTATCGAACGATTTTCATATCATGCAAATATTTATATATATAAAAATATATTAGTTATCAAAAGCTTGGGAAGATGTACATAATGAAGTTGTTTTCAAAGACTTTGAGACGACAGAAAGCTTCGGAGTCAACTATCCGAAGTGATTTAGTTATTAACCTAGGCTTAAAAACCCAATAATCTAATAAAATAGAGATTCTTTTAAATTTTTAAAAAACAAAATTAATTTAATGAGGAACAAATTAAAATTTATTCAGTTTAAAGGGGTAGCTAATAAATCAAAATATTAAAAATTGGTATATTTTTATGAAATTAATTCAATTTTTTGCTGTAAAAAATAATTATGAAATACTCTTAACACCCTTATTTAAAAGTAAATAAAATAAAATATATATATATATGTATATTTTTTATTTTATATATAAATTTTTTTTTACCAAAAAAATTTTTTTTAACCCCATCCTTGATCGAACGATAGCGAGTCGTTCGATCAAGGATGGGGGGGGAGTTAGCATTTTTCTTTGCTTTTTTTCGTTGCCTAATTCAATCATAAGTTGTCAGTTTTTTAAATTTTAGAAATATGTGGAAAATTATCAAATAGCCAACAAGTAATAAAAAAATGGAATTTAAAATTATATCCAAAATAATAAAAAATATATCAGCATTTTCAATATCCTCATCAATGTCAAGTCCCTTATTTTTTCATTTATCAATAATTAAAATTTCAAAAATGAGCAAAATCACGAGATTGGCTTCTAAAAGCAGAATCAATCTAATGAATTGCTTATAATTGCTTTTCCCTATACAATTATTAAGCCATTTGCAGTGGTGATCAAAGTTATCTTATCTTATATTATCTACATACAGCGTTCCGGCTTCGACAGGGGTGATCAAAGTTATCAACACATCTGTCACAACTTCCGCAATGTTTCGATGTTTCTGTGACATAGCATTTGCAAATTGTGCACATGAAATTTACTGCTGTAGGTGATTTATCCACATTTTGAATATACATAAAATGGCGGACGGCGACCGACCCACCCTCTCAGTGGTGGTTACCCATGTATATCCGGGCATGGTTTTTGGAGCCAGGAGTTAGCCCAACAACGTCTGGGACCTCGAAGCGAGAGGCCTAAGCGCAAAAGCCGCTGTTTTTGCGACCAGACCCATGGGCAGTTACTCGTGACTTCTTTTTGCCAGCAGCGCTCAGCCCAGTGAGTGCCCGAAATGAAGCAGGGCGACTTACCTGCCTAAGCTGCTTTTGTGGCTCGCCCCGAATGGCGAAAGCTGTTGAGTTCTTTCTCGGGATGACCGGAAAGAGGGGAAGGCGAGTTAGACAACTAAACGGGGGTCTCTCCAGTTTAAAAGGTGCCCTTCAATGGGCAGATCTGGCGGACGACGCGGCAGTGTTGGCGTAAACTTAGGCGACGATCCAAGTTGGAAATGGAGGTGGTCAGCAAAGCCGGTATATAAGACGGCCCTTGACAATGCCTCTACCGAGAAACCGGGGGTTTCGGCCCGGGCTTGGTGAACGCTCTGTCACCATACGGGAAACCGTGGAATGCTTCCTCGGACGTAGTGGGGACCTTAAATACCTACGTTAATCTAATCTAATCCACATTTTGAAATGGAATATTTATACTTGGGTCAGATTTTGTAAGGAAAATTCCTTGTGCAATGACGATTATAAAACTTGTATAATAAATAATCAAAAAAATAACTAATTCATATGTGGATAGCAAAAAAGAAATATAGAAATTTCCCATAGATGGCGCTGTTTGCCCTTGATTTGCCCATGAGGAAAATTTTTTGGTTTGACCAAACCATATGGTACTGGTCGAACCAAAAAATTTTCCCCAGTGGGCAATTTAAGGGCAAACAGCGCCTTTTATGGGAAATTTCTATACATAAAATTCCTATAAGAGCATGAAATATCATAATTACTCAGCTTGCAACTTGAAGAGCATGAAACGGAGTGCGAAAACCATTTTTCTTTTTCATTTATATTAATTATGGGAGACAAGCCTTTTTATATAGGAGAATCCCTTATGTACTCACCTGTACTTTTAGCAGAAACCGCTAGTCAAGCAATAGGGGCTGTTGCAAGAATTATGCAAATGAGCACAGCTATATCTTTATCGGTAGAAATCATACAAAATGATCAGAATTTGCAGATCTCTTGTATCACAATTCATGCATGAAATGGACCTGTATATATTTTTGACTTGCTATCTGGAGGTGTTGCTATGGTAAATGGGCCTAGAGGGCTAAGAGCTTTATTAGAATGCCCAACAATAATGAAGATCGTTTTTAATTGCCAAGATATTGCACAATGGCTTTGAAAATCTTTTAAAATCAGGCTTGGCTTTGCTGCTGATGCTGCCATTGCGTATAAAATGTTTGAAAATATTGAAGATTCAGAGAAACTCAATGCTAATGAATTTTCCAAAAAAATTGAGAATACGGAAATCCCATTTTGGGAAAATATAAAAGAAGAAATAACTGTAAAAAATAATAAAGATTTTTGGAAACAAAGACCATTATTATATCATATGCATTCTTATTTATCAGGATATGTGATACTTCTTATCAAGGGCTGGGATGATGTAAGAGGCTATTTAAATGATGAACAAGTATATCAAATTTTTCAAAATACCCAACAGATGTTAGCAAAAATATACCCAGCTTTGAAAAATGAAGGCTATGAGAGGACTGAAAACTACTCGAAATTTGAATTTAAATCAAATTTGAATAATTTTACTTTGGATAGAATCAGTGTAGAGTATGTACTGAATAAAATTCTAAATCAGCCAGGGACTGAGCCTTTGAAGTAATTATTTAATAAATTTCATAATTCTAATCGCATTGTTGTTTATAGCATTTTATTAAGTTAATGGAAAAAGTTCCAGAGCAAAGATTAGGACTGCAAAGCTTTGCAGGAAAAGAATTTCTTGCAGATGTAACACTATCTGTTGGTGATGCGAACTATAAAGCACACAAAATTGTTTTAGCTGCTGCGAGTGAATACTTTTACAGGACTTTCCAAGATCCATCTAAAAACGCCATCCAAGTTCCAGAGCCAATAGAACCGAAAACAGCAATTATGAGACCAAAAGATGTTTTTCCAACAATACTAAAATACATTTACTCTAATCAATCTACTCAATGCTTTGGGCCTGACAATTTAAATGCAACGACTGGATTTACAATATTCTCAATGGCTCATATTTTGGAAATCCAATCACTTGTAGAGTATACTGGACATTTTATAGCTGATTCGCTACTAAACGCAGAGAACGGTGCTGATATTCTTTATGAAGGAATTAAATATGATAGTAAAAGTTTATGCCTTATTAAGATAAGATGGTCAATTAGCAAATAGTATTGATGCATATAGCCCAAGCCTTATTATGCCTTAAGTTGTGTTGGCGACTCCTGGTGTCTCCAAGAGATTGGACGAGCAAACTCCCTGGGTGGCAAATCCACCTGGCATTGGAGATTTGCCACCCAAAGAGTTAGTTTGTCAATTCTGGCTGACTTCGGGAGTCGTCAGTGCAACCCAATGCATAATATGGCTCCGGGTATAAGCAAATAACAAGCTCGAAATGATATAAATAAGGCATAATATCAGCTTCATTAGAAAAAATTATCCAAAACTTTGAGCTCATTTCAAGAAAACCAAGTGGAATTGAATCTCTTACTAATTTACCTTGCGAATATGTAAAACTTATATGCCAAAGCAATGAACTAAACGTAAAATCTGAAGGAATTGTATATGCATTTATTTGCAGTTATCTCATGAAAAGGGAAAATTTAGAGGTAAAAGAAGAAATCAAAAAGGAAGAAGAAAAGAGCAAAGCAAAAGAAGAAGGAAAAAAGGAAGAAAGCAAAAAGAAAGAAGCGGAGGAAGAAAAGCAGCCACAAGCTAAAATAGAAGATGTAAAAGAAATTGCAAAAAATAAACTCGAAATCAAAAAATTGACTGATCAAGACAAATTAGAATTATTGGAAAAAATTAGATGGCCATTTCTCACTCACGCAGAACTTCTGCAAGCTGCAACAAATCAATTAATTGCGGTTGGAAAAGATTTAGTGCTGGAAGGGTTATCAGTGCAACTATCAGCCCATGAAAAAGGAACTGTAAAGCCTTATTCCTACAGAGTAAGCAGAAATCCAAGAAAATCCTATAAAGACCTTGAAAAGCCAGAAACAAAAGAAAAAGTTGTTGATGAATTAAATGACATAGATTTGAGGAATCCTCAAGATGAAGATGAAAAGCAAGATATACCTCAAGCTCAAACTCAAAAAGAAGAGCCTTGAAACTGGCCAACTCAGCTTTTGCGGCAAAGCCTTCCTACTTTTAATCCTAAATTTTCTCCCCCAAAGCCTCCACAAAAATTTGCTCAAAGCTTCAGGCTACCTAATGAGAAAAATAAACTCGAGAATCCTACAGAATTCGTATACTCCTATGATTTTGATGAAAATGGAGCTATTTACTTCTTAGCTACCAATGGAAAATCAACTGCATGGGCAAATCCTCATATTTCTGGCCAAGTACAAGTTTTTGCTTCAAGCATTGGATATGGCAGATTAGAAGACTTTGTAGGAAGATAAGCCATAATAATAAAATGGCTACATTCAGGAATGACTTTCTCCAGAAAACCTTTCTTCCTCGCGAATTTTACTATTATGGGTTCAGTTAATCAGGTGGACCTTCATCCACAATACCAAACATGGCTTATCCAATAGAGTAAGACATTCAAGCCCACAAATTTTAGGACATACAGGAGTTTACTGCTTGACGCACCCAAGGAGTGTGACCCTTAGGTGGAACACATACAGGAGTCAAGTTATAGGTGAGGCAGCGAGTCCCGTGTATTTCTGGCCACTAAGGCTAATTGTTGTTTTGGGATATCCTCACCATTTTGGGAGACGTCGGCACTTTTGACAATAAAATTAATCTACAAAAGGATGGGCTCGCACATACCTAAATCATCCTGCTAAAGAAGCTGGCATGCTAAACACTAGGTAATTAATTTAATGTAGGAAGATCAGTCACAAATTTAAGGACTTTGAATGAAATCGGCTCATTTTTCGGGATTGATTTTGGGCCAGGGAAGCTGCTCATGCCGACATCATATACAATTAGAAATAGAAACTCCTCGAGCCATGTGTGCTTGAACTGGCAACTGGAAGGGTCAGTTAATAAGACAGATTGGACTGTGTTGGATAGGAGAATTCATTATTCAGGAGATATTCAGTATGATTCAAATTTAGAAGGAGAGAGACAAGCTTTAAAGCAGCGTGGTGCTACTTCGACATGGGGAATTGAGCTAAATGCAAATGATTTGAAGATAAAAGGATACAGGTGCTTTAGGATTGTGCAGATCGATAGAAATTCTTCAGGGTCTTACAATTTAGCATTGTCCGGGTTCGAAATTTATGGCTATGCTTCCGGTAAATGGATTTAATGAATAATCATTAATTTTAGCAAAAGAATGCTTTTTAATTTATAATTCTTAAAATGATAATTACATAAACCATAAATTCCTCAGCTTATCCTTAAGTTATTACGTTTTAAATTTAAGAAAATCCTTCGTCATATGACAGTAGTCTAATAACAGCGTCAAGCTGTTCCATCAATTCTTGAGATTTTTCAGTTGTGTCAATATTTCTTATTATATCCCATACCATGCTTTCATGAACCCTTCTTATATTTTCCATTAATGGATCTTCATTTGCATCTTGCATTAAATCAATCAAATATCCTAATAAATCGAATAGCACCTCATCTTGATCTGAGCTCCAAGCGATTAATTGCACAAGTTTAACGGCCCCTTGTTCATTTAAAAATGCTTCTTGTGCCTCTTTTCTTCCTCGGTAAATTTTATCACAAATATCTGCAGAAATATGCCTGAGCTCAGGCTTTGAGCATAGAAACCACCTTACCAGTGCTTTAAATATGCTTAATTTTAATAGTTTTGAAATAGCCTCTTCACTCGCGACATCTACAAAATAGAAGAGAAGCAAAAGTGAATTTTCTCTCAAATCATCGGTGCCCATCTTAATACTTGTAAGCAAAGTTGGTAGGACTTCTTCAATATAGGGTGCGATTACCTTCGGATCGCTTTTGCATTCCTTGCATAAATATGCAATAGCCAAGCTTCCAACAGTTTTTGGTTTTTCTGCTCAGCTGATATAAATTTTGGCTTCTGTGATTTCTGTTCTATTTGAAATCATTTTCACAATTTCACTTCATTTTTTGTCACTCTTATAGCCTTCAAGCTGGGCTCTTAGATATTTTTCATCATCAGGCTCAGTAATATTCTCTGTTGACATTGAGAGATCTGAATGCTCTTTGATTATCATAGTTTCTTGATCTTTCATATTATCCAAATCATAATCGCGCTTCAGGATTAATCTTCTCTGTTTTTTTCTTTGAAAATGTCCTGACTCTCTTTCCTAGTTATAATTTACCTCACGGTCTTGACAGCAACCCATTTTAAAAATTATATTCCATATTAGATTAGAAATATAGCACATTTACTAAAGCTGCATATATGAAAAATATGCATATTCGTATTTCAGTAATTATCTCTCATATTTTTTGATATAAAAAATATACTAATATCCTTATCAATTCAGTTGTGAAATAAGCACTAAAGAATTGAGTTTTGTCTTTCTAAAAATTTTTTAAAGACTAGGAGCAGTTTTAATTAAAATTGGAATCAGAGAATGCTATATTAAAAAATTCTGCTGTGATTCTTAACTTAAATTATACAGTTTTACCCTCTCACCATAAACAGCTATTGCTGTTTTTGGTGTTGCTGAGGGAGTATAAATTATTATAGGGTCGCTTCCAGCCAGCCATATTGCTTCTCATACCCCTTGCTGGTTTTTTACGTTCTTTGCTTCGCTTTACCCTCTTATTTGCTAGTCCGATTCCAGGGCCTAAAAGCATGTATGTTTTCCTCTGGACGAGGGTTTACACTAGTAACCCAGAGGTAAAGACTCTGATCACCGTGTAGTAGGTCTACAAGGCTGCCCTTTCTAAAATTAAAAAATAAATTTCTTGTCAGCTTATCGGCCTGAATGAAACTTGTAACCCAAAAATCAGTTCCTAGGAAATTCCCGACTGGCCAAGCGAGCTCCTTCAGGCTAGCTGGGCTATCCCTTCAAACTTCCAAGTTTCATCGTCCTTCCAAGGTAAAACCTTGCCCTGGATATGAGCCCTGTAGTCAGTTAGCCCGACATTGTGCTCCACCAGACCAAGTAAAACCGGGCCAGACAAACTAACCCATGCTGCTCTCCTTTTAAAAGTTCCCCATACTCTCGTCTGTCTGCAGTTATTAAGAGGATAGGTTAGTTCACCACGCCATATTCAAGTCTTCTGCACGATTCAATTTGATGTTGCTATTGTTATTATTAAAATCCCTGATATGTAGAATTATCATATTTTACATTTAATAATGCATTTATCCCATAAATATTCTTTTAATATATGTTTCATGAAGATCTTATCCTTATTTAACGTTTGAACCTAAAATGGTAATAAAATGATTGTCGAGATAAGCGTTTCTCTCCTTGGAACTGCATTGACTTTTCCTGCCTTTATCCAAGAATACAACGATATTGGAGAAAGCGACAAGTGGTATTCATATATCAAGCTTCTCCCCCACTTTTTACTAATTCTCGCATGTGGGTTCAGATTTGGAATCAAATTCATGAAAATTTTCCAAATTCCTTGCATTTCATTATCAGCTGTGACATGGGCAAGCTTGTATTATTTATTCTTATTCAATCTTACTGCAAGCACCACTGCTGTTTGCGAAAAATATACAGATGCTTGCGCAGAAGACCTTGATGGCCTTTCATTGTGCCTAAACAACCCAGTCAAAGGATGGGAAGGAATAATGTATTTAATTGGACTTTCAATGATGGTGATTGGAAGCACGCTACTAACGAAAGAAATTGGTTTTCAATTATATGAAGGAAGAAAATCCAAAGTTGAATCGTAATTGAATAATTTTTAAAATTATCATAAATTTCTTATTGAGGCAATCTTTTTTGCTCAAAAAACAGTAATATTTTATTCTTTTTTTATACTGCATAATAGGGCTCAATAGATTTATAGCCCATAACCTCAGTTAGATCGCCCTGGACTACAGAAAGGCAAACTGGTAGAATGGCTTGGGAAAAAATAATTGCCAAGTCAATTCCATCAGTTGGCAAGTGCCCTTATAATTTTCTCTTGCAAAGGGTGGAGTTGATTTGGCATGTGTTTTGCCAAAGCTAACTCACCAGTTTGTCGTTCTGTAGTCAGGGAGATCTAAATGAGGCCTAGGCTGTACTTCTAATGTTTAGTATTAATTATAAAGGAATCTGTAAGATTTTTAGATAAAATAATGAGGTTTTTAAGCTTCTGGCTTAAATGGACTTTGAGTTGAGAGGAGATAAATTCATTAAGTTGGTATTTTGGAGTTAGGAAAAAAAATTTATAATGCTTTGCATTAATTTTTTAAAGGTTTTGACCGAAAAAAAAAAGGGATTTCATATGCGAAAATCATAAAATTTCATGTGAATCTTCTTTTTGGCTCGCCAGAACCATTAAGAAATTAAAGCAGCAGATATATTAATTTAAATTAAACTTGAGAGAGAAAAATGAGAAGAAATTTTTGTAATACTTTAATGTCGAAAGCTTTGTGAAAAATAAACAAAATTATTTATTTTAAATTTTTAATGATTTTGGCATTTTAAAATAATTTAATTTTGATTAAAAAGTAACTTATTTTAACTCCCCATCTTTAAATTGGTATAAAAATCCTATTCGAATTTTAGAAGGGGTTAATTAAATTTTTTTTCTATAAAAATATCAGTGGAACGCAAAATTTTAATTTTTTTATGAAGAATAGATTCTAAAAATAATTTATTCAGTGCGAGTGCGGTTTAAATAAGCACTTTTTATTAAATTAGATCAAAGCTTGTTATATAAAAATTATTATTTTCACTTATAAAATTTAATATTTAAAATTTAAAATTTTGTTCCAATTTAAAGGATGGATGGATGTATCAAAAAATGGAATTTGACTGATATTTTGTTCTAATTTAAAGAGGGGAGTTAGTGAAAATTTATTAGAAATGAGTTTTAAAGTGAAGGAGAAAAAAAGTTGTTTGTACATTTTAAAAAAATTCTTTAAACTTATAAGACTTGAAAATATTATAAGAGAGTCAAGTTTATATTTGTTTTAACTTTGCAAAAGACTCTCGCTTATTAGCTCTATCTAAATTCTTAGTTTTGTTGATATCTTGCAATTCATTCAATAAAATTCTATTTTATTTTCTTTTTTTATTCCATAAACTTTTCTATCTAAATATCCTCGCCAAAGATTCACCAAGTACAATTATTTAAATTTAAAGACAGCTTATAATCTATTTTATTATCTACTGAACTTTATACTGTTTTGAGCTCAATCTTGAACCATATTGAGATTCAAATAATTGACCCAAGCTGCTGTATAAGGATGCCAGCATTGTAGGGCATTTCCGTAATTTACAATTGGATAGCTAAATATGACATTAGGACTGTAAGTTTGATTATGTACATCAATATTTTGGACATATGGTACTGGGGCAGCAATGATGTTTGTAACTGTCGCTGCTGTTTCATCAGTTACTAACTTGGCGATGTCTGGAATTTCATTTTCATCTTTCAGCTCCTCTTCATGTGATGACTCGGATCTTGACTCATAAAGGCTTTCATTTTCTGAATTCTCTTCATCTTCCTTGTAGCCTTTATTTCTTGGCGGAGCCTTTTCGCTAAAAATTAATTCGACTGTTTCAGTGTCTTTCAGGATACTTTTGAGAGGTCCTGTAAGTTTTAGGCTTTTTGGCCTTTTCCTGTTGAACTTCCTCAAGTTTCTTCTAATGGTGCTATAAAACCGATTTTTAATTGAATTATCTGTACGACCTGGCAAGTATTTGGCTATCTCAGACCAGCTATTTCCAAATCTTTTTTGAAGGTCTAATATCAGTTTGTCTTCTTTTGGGGTCCAGGGCTCCTTTTTGATTGAAGGGTCGAGATGATTATGCCATCGTTCTCTGCACTGCTTTCCAGTTCTGTTTTTGATTCCGTAATGCTTTTTGAGAAGAGCAGAGACCTGACACCATTTGTGGATGCCCATACCAAGGACTAGCTCCTTGATTGCCTCATCTTCCTAAATAAAAGTTACTTCTTTTGTTCATGTTCGCCTATCATTCGATGACATTTATATATTTATAGCCATCTATATAATTTATGTCTTAGGATGCATTTGACTAAATTTAATATAGAGCATTGCACTAATTATCCCACAGGTGGAAAAATTATTCCACATATGTAATAAAAATCCACATATAGTTTCCGATCAAAATAGCCCCCATATGGATTTTGATTCAACAGATGGAGCATTAGCCAGGTAAAATTTATTAGTTAGTTAGGAAAAAGTTTGAAACTAAACTATCATCTAATTATTTAAATCCCCTGCTTTAAATTGGATCATAAAATCCTACTCCAATTGAAAGGGGTTATTTTTTTATAAAAGAATTTATATTTTCTCTATAAAAACTTTTTAAAATTTTAAATCTGAAAAAAAAAAAATTGAGCACACAGTAGTTTGAATTTAATTTATTTTATATAAAACTTATATTAAAAATTCGTAAATTTTTTATATATAATTTTTATTTAATTTTTAAAGAAATATAAATTGAGCGAAATAGCTTGAATTTTAATTTATTTTTATGAAGAATTATATAAAAAGATAAATCGATTCAGTGTAAAAATTGTTTAAACAGTATTCTACTTGCACTTATCTGTTAAATTAGGCCAAAAAATTGTTTTTTCATCATTAATTTTTTTTAAAAAAAAGGTTTTTAAAATTTTTGAAAAACTATAAATTGAGCACAATACTTTGAATTTTAATTTATTTTTATGATGAATTAAATAAAATATTAATTGATTCAGTGTGAGAACTGCTTAAATAGTATTCTCTTTGCATCTTGTCTATTAAATTAGATCAAACTAATTTTATAATAAAAAGTACTTCATCAATAAAATTTTCTATTGAAAAACAAATTTAAAGGGCAAATTTTACCGAAGTTTTGTTGCAATTTAAAAGGAGAAGTAAGGAATTTTTACTCAATTTAATTACTTCAGCCATTTTTGGATGGATAATTGAGTCATCGCCTTTTAATTATCTTTGAAACTTCGATAGTTTAATTAGGTATACTGCCGTAATGGCTATAAATTTTAATTATACCAACTTCGGATGGAGAAAATTTTTACTGGTCCTAATTTGAAAAAAATTTTGCGCATCTATTTTAAGACTGACTTCGTCATATTTTTGATAATAATATTTATGATTATTTCATGATTATCGATACGCATCTAATTTATTACTAACTCCCGAAAAATTTTTGTAACAGCTTTAATTTATTTTTAATCCTATTATCCTTCCTAGAAAAATAAATCTTTAATCCACAAGATCAAATTCATTTCCTTCATATATCTCGCTATTCGGAATTCATCTCAACTATCTTATCTAAATCTCGCTAAAACTTGATAAATATGAAGTTACTATTCGTTTTATTTAGTGTAGCCTTTTGCACATTAAAGCTGGATTCAAGCCAATTTATTCAAACTTCAGAATCAAGCTTTGATCAATTCGATGGGACTATGACAGTTAGCGAAGACACTTATGATGTTGAATGCGACTGTTCTGAGCTGGGAATGGTCGAAATAGAAGAAGCGAAATGCCATCCCAGCAAAATCAAACTAACTCAAGACAGAGAAGGAACTGGCTCCACCTATGAAGAAATCAACGAAAAGCTCTCAGGCTATGGCAATTTTTCGTATGCCCGCATTACTCACAGTGCTTTTCGATGTCTAGATGGAAGAATTGTTGATGATATTTTAGGAACTCCTGGAGGCGATGCAGGAGAATTTGTGTTAGGGCTGCTTGTGTATCAAGATTTAGCTGGAGTGAGTTACACTCAAGAAGATATTGATGAGTATTTTGAAAAATGGTTAAAATGCATGGATCCGGACCAGTTTTATATGTGCACAGATCAGGCTGCCATTGATCATGTAATGAAAGAGCTTGCTATTGATGAACTTGACGGCTCCATGTCAAATGACCGCGGAAATTTGATAGTGCGACATCTCATAGGGGAAACTTTGTTCGAATCATTTTTGATAGTGAGACATTTGACCGAAAAAAACCGTCAAATTTCGGCCAAATCGATACACTATTTAAAAATTTTCGATCAAAAGTACTTCGGTAAAATGGACACTATCAAAAAGGCAAAGTCATTTGACCTGCACCCGAACTTGACATATATAATCCTGACCCAGAAATCCAAGATAAGCTGCTAGACGCACTGGTGGATCCAAATAATATAGGTGATACACATTTAAAGCTGCTGGTGGAGTCGCCTCATCTATATTCGATACAAAATGACGCAGTGAAATATTTTATTAGGTCTTTTTATCAGACATTGTGGGACACAGAAAGTCCGCTCTACGAATTGCTTTATTTGGATATATTGGAAGGATCACATGCCGAAACAGCCTTTCTGGAAATTAAAACAAATGAACAGTGCTTACTAGATCAAGTCGCACCTTTGGTAGCCCCCATGGAAAGTGAAGATGATACGATGTCAGTGCTTATCAACCACTTAGATTCTGTCAATATTAGAAGAGGACAAACTGCTGAATTTTTCGTTAATAAAGTCGCCCAAAATACCACAAGTAAGCTTACTGTGAAAACAATGTACAGCAGACTCAAACATCATGGGATGCTCTTTCTAGATGTCACTGGTGAGCATATTGCTAAAGACCTACCGTTTTATACAGCAAGCTTCGTTTAATTATATGAAATAATCTTGAGAATTAGCTAAATTAATCAGATCTTTGAAAATTAATTAATTTTCCCTTTATTTGAAAGTTCTAAGCATGAAATGTTAATTTATCTTAAAGAAGCTCCTGAATTTGCTAGCAACAAAACTATCTCTTGATGCCCAGCACGTTGAGCCATCCTCAATAAAGAATCTCCAAGCACAGTAGTAACTGTTATATCCGCTCCATGTTCCAGCAACAAGCTAACAATTTCTTTATTTCCTTTTTTCACAGCTATCTGCAGAGCTGTTAGTCCTTGCTTATTTTTGTGTTCTAAATCAACTTTATCTCTCCCAGCTTGTAAAAGCATACAAATAGAATCATGCTTTTCCAGTTCTGCTCCTAGCGTCAAAGGAGTTTCCCCGTCATCAGAAACAGCGTTTACATTGCATCTTGATGATAGAAAATGCAGGATTTTAATAGCGCCTGATTTTACGGCTTCATGGATTAAAAAAGTGCCTGATTCCTCGAAATGGCGATCAATTGATAAACCATTAGAGATAAGTGATTGGAAAAATGATAAATTGTCCATTTGGATATGCTGGAGGACGTCTTGGCTGTATTCAGATGTAGTTGTGGAAGGACGAGTTGAAGGACTTGAAGGGATGTGTTTTGGAGATTCTGCTGAAAGCTTGGATTCTAGCTCTTTGTTGCGGCGAAGAAGGACTTCAATAGTTTCATTCAAAGACTGATTGATATCTTCTAGCTCATTTACACGCTCTTGCAGTTGCTTAATGATTTTATCCTTCTTGTCCATAATTAATCTAATATCTAAAAATATTCTTAATCATCTTATTGCTCTTGAAACTAGAAAACCCACATATTTTTAAGCTTATAAAGCTAAAACTCTCAATCAAAATTTCTAATAATTTCAATAAGTAATTTAATTAAAAAGTTATATCTGCCATTTACTTGCATAATCTGATCTAATTTGTAATCATCTAATAAAGAATGTAGTTTATTTAAATATTTGAAAGATGGTGAACTTATTTCTCGTGCAATTCTGTTGCGTTTTACCTATAAATTCTTCCTTTTAACTATTTTAAAAAATCATTATTTTATTTCGCAATTATATGTGCTTTTCTTAACTAATTCTAACCACCTAACAAAAAATAAAAATGCAAGGAAGTTATTCATGTCCTTTCGATTATCAGGAATTCGAATCTCGTAGCGAGCTTGAAGCCCACATTGAGCGTCGGCATGTGTGCTACCAGGCTGACGATCCTGAAGCAGATAATGGGCGTAATGACCGAACTTCCTCCAGTTCTAGTTTTTTGAGCTTCGGCGATGAAGGAGCACCGCTTCCTTCAGCTCAGTCTAAAAGAAACCTTTCATCAATTTTGACTGATGTAAAAATACCAGAAAATCCTTTGAGCGACATTGGCTCATTGACAGAAAAAAGAATTTTACAGATCTCGAAATCTCCGAATCTCGGGGCGCTAAAAGAGCTTAAACTTAATGGAAAAGGACTAAGCCAGTTTGAAACGAACGATCATATCAACTTATCAAGGCTTTTTAACTTGAAGATTCTAGATCTTTCTGATAATTATATTACAAGCTTGCGTGGAGTGGGTCAGTGCACCAACCTAAGATACTTGAATGTCAATAATAACAGTATCGAAGATTTATCTCCATTACAAGCGTTAATTAGACTCAGTACATTTAAAGCGGCACATAATAAAATAAAGGATATCTCGCCACTTAGAATATGCAAAAGAATTGTGTGTCTAAAAGTGAGCAATAACCAAATTTTCAGTTTCGAAAATACTTTAGAAGTTTTAAAAGGATTCCCAAAGTTAACTCATCTTTCAATTTTTATGAATCCTTGCATGGTTAAGACAAAAGACTCCAAAGACAAATTGCTCTATCACCTCTGGCTAGAAAAATTAGACTCGGTTCATGTCAATAATGAAGATCGTCAGCAGGCAACTCAAAAAGTCCCAATAAGCCTAAGAAGAGGAAGCCATATTAAGTTAATGGAAGAAAATTCAGACCTTCCGAGAATGGCAATTTCAGAATTGCATCATAGAGACACAAAAGAAAAAAATGCAGAATTAGAAACTCAAATTAACGCATTAAAAGAAGAGAATGCAAAATTAAGAGAAGAACTAGGAAATGTCTGACAATTACTTGGCACAATTATAAAAAGCCGAGATGAAAGTGGACAAGGAAAACTTTTACTTTCAGAGTTTAAAAAATTGAAATTACTAGAAAATATTAAAGAAGAGGAAGAAGATTATTAACGGTTCAGTTAATTAGTTCACTATATATTTATAGCTATAACAGATATATTTATTAAATTGTTTAATTCTAGATGTGAAAGGAGAGATTTAAAAATTAAATTAATAAAAATCTTAAAAATAGAGGAAGGTGAGTAAAAAAATTAGATAATGGCTATAATCCTACCAGCATTTTATAAAAAATATTAATAATTAATCCAAAATTATGAAGCATCGAAGATCGTCATCATCAATGTGCGCCTCAGTGATTAATTTTGAAAAAAGTGATCCGCAGCTTTCTCAAATGAATCAAGAAATAAAAAAATTAACTTCAGATCTAATCCAAGCTAAAGATAGAAATCGGAAATTAAAAATTGAGCAAGAGTGCAAAGAAAAATTAACTCCAAGGGCAAAATCAAGAGCAAATTCTCAAGCTTCTATAAGCCCAAGTATGACGCCAAAAACTTATTACTCATCTTCTGAAACTCCAAGGTTTGTTAGTAGAAAAATTAATGAGCTAAAAGAGAAAAACCAAAAATTATGACTTTTATTAAGAGAATCTGAAGAAAATAGGGACCAACTTAGACAGCACTATGAGGCAATTTCTTCTATTAATATTAAAGAAGAAATAAAAGACTTAGAAAATGACTTAAAAAAGAAGAATCAAGAAACTGAAAATTTAAAAGAAAAGCTTGAAAATATGAAGAATGTTAAGGAAAGCATAAAATATTTAGATGAGTTAAAAGAGACAATCAATATGCTCAAAAGTGAAAGATGTATAGAAAGTGATTTGATAAAAGAGTTAGAATGAAAAATAGAAAATAATACAGAGAATAGAGTTGATGATTTCAGCGGGCAAATTTCGGAAAAAATCCAGACACTAAAAGAAAAAGAAAAAGAGAGGATTAGGTGATCATTTAAATTTAAGAAGGCTAAACTTGTGCTTTTCAAACTTAAAGATGAGTTGCAGAGAAAACAATCAAAATCTTTATTAGTAGATCACAATAATTCAGAATTTCCGATAAAAGAACTCCTTAATAAATATAAAAAAGAAATAGAAAGCAGGAGACTTGCAAATGGATTTAAAAACAAAGTGCACTTTAGAACTAGTTCAAATATAATACCAACTTTTTATTCATAAAGCAGCTGACATATTTTAGATATAATAGTCTAACAGAATGCATCTGATTAATGGCTTTGAATATAAATAAAATATTAACAATATTAAGCAATAAGACTTTTCAAAAAATATATCTTAATTTTTGGAGTTGAAGCTTTAACAATAAAGAGGCATTGTCCATTTTAGTTTTATAAATAATTAAACTGCGAATAATTATAATACTCCAGAGTCTCTCGGTGTAAAATGCTCCCATGAAGAAATTAACGGATCTTCTCTTGATAATTGTCTGATAATTGGCTTTGAGGGCGGATCAATTATTTGGTTGATTAAAGGCAAGTAAGGAATATAATTTATTTTGGAATGGTTCTGAGATTTCGTAGGCTCTGTGGAAGGGGTTTTTGGCTTGTGTCGATTAGGAATACTAATTGTTATAGTTCTAGATTTTTGAGGATATCTTTGCTTTCATCTAACTCCCTCATCTTCGTGAGTGAAAACAAAACTATTAGAAAAATCCCCATTTATTGAGTAATAGCCCACCCTCAAAGAGAATAAAGATTTTATGAAAAAAAATATTTCGATATGTAAGTGATAATTATTATAACGAAATCTCTTGCAAATTCTGTATTGTTTTAAAACATAGATTTAAAAATTAAAATTAATATTTGTTTTAAAATTATTTCAAATATGGTGTTTTCTTACAGGAGAGGAGTAAGAGGAGAAGGAATCGGATCATATTCAAGAACGTTAAAAATTTTTGATATAAAAAATTATTCATTAATAAATATTTTTAGAATAAATTCATATTCAAATGGCATAATTTGCTTTTTCGGTACGATTTTTAATGTAATGTTAGGCATCTCGGTCGAGGTACTTTTTTTTCTCTGCAAAATATTCTCAGGCGAGCATCTTGCAGAATTAGAATTGCTCATTACTTTGCATAACTTTTCATTAAGCTCAAAAAATTTCATATCATAGCTCTTATTGACTTCTCTTTTATTTTTACTTGTCATGCTCCGCAATGTTCTTGTTTTTAGCGTTTCACTGAATGTTAGCCTTTTTGAGTTCTTGTCATAAATTATAAAAGAATTAGCTTTCATTTAATTATGGGGAAAATTATAAAGCTCTATTAGTTTTATAATTGGTGATATAGGACTGCTGAGTTCTTCTTTCTGCTGATGGAGTTCTTCTCCTTTTTTCAACTGAAGTGTTGCGTGGAATCCTTTTGTGGGATTGTGAAAGGTTATTTTTAGTTGCAATTAAAGGAGAAATACTTCGCTGGCGATCAGTTGCGGAAACTTCTGCGTCCATCGGAGAATGGGATCTTGAAGAATTCTTATGGGGATTTACACGAACTTCATAGGAGAGAAGCTTTTTATTTTCAGATTGGATGTCCTTTATTTTTCTTTGAAGCTCTATGGATTCCAAGCATTTTTCTTCAAATTTCAGCTTATAAAACTCAGCTATGGACAGCTCTGGGTTATACTGTCCAGACCTATACTTCTCTAAAGCTTTTTTCGCTTCATTTTTTTGTCGAAGAATTTCTTTGTTTTCTCATTCTTGCTCTTTAATTTGTTCGCGAAGCTTTTTAATCTCGATTTCCAAACTTTTATTTTTTGCGACAATTTTTAAAGCTTTTTCTGATTCCGGACTGCTCACATCTTCAGACTCTGGCTCTTTTAAAATTTCGCCTTGGTCTAATGTATCTTGCAATACAATCGCTTTTTTTGCTAACTCCCCCTCCGTGACCTAGCAAAACTATCGGAAAAGTTACTATTTTTGGGGTAAAAACCCACCCTGGCAAGCGAATTATTATAATGAAATCTCTTGCTAATTCTTTGTTTTAAAATATTTCGAAAAATAATTTACTATAAAATTTATATATGAGTTTAAAAAACCCCCTTCAGAGCGAATAAAATTTTTATCTGCTCACGGAGGGGGGAGTAAAGAAACTTCCTCATCTAGGGTGGCTAATTCTTTCATAAGTATCTCTTTTTCTTTATCTAATTCATCTGCACCTCTGTCTAGCAATTTTTTATTATCTTCTATTTTTTGTTTTGTGCTATCAATATATAATTTCAGTTGGCTTTCGATTTTGAAGTGCTCTCTCACTTCAGCTTCTAATTTTTGGAGTGCCTTTTGGTAGTTCTTAGTTGTTTCAAAATTTTCATTCTCTTTGAAAGTTTTTAAACTCCTCTTGAGCACTAACAATTCTTTAATTGCTTCTGTTACATGAGCCATAGCTTCTAAGGGATGGATTTCTTTTACCTCTCCAACACTCATCATGCTTTCGTCGCTGTCATCTTGCTAATTATCAGTTACCATATCAAACAGTCCTTGGTGCAGCTTTAAGCAGAGCTTTTGCACTTTTCTTTCTAATTTTCCAAGCCTTACAAAATTCATTATGAGAGTTTATAATATTTTATACAACCAAGGGTTGCTGTGTAAATTTTAAGATTTCAATAAAAATATATGGCAAGCCGTCTAAGCCGAATCTACGGAACTGAAGAAGATAAAGTCAACTGTCCTTTCTATTTCAAAATTGGCGCGTGCAGGCATGGCGACCGCTGCACCCGTCTTCATAACAAGCCTCTTTGCTCCCAAACTATCCTTATGCCTCACATGTATGAGAATCCAGCAGTCGCTTTGGCTATGTTTGAAGGCACAAAAGTGCCAGAAAAAGCTATTCGAGAGTCTATAAGGCATTTCGAAGATTTTTACGAAGAAGTTTGATTTGAGCTGTCAAATTATGGAGAATTATTAGAACTCAGCGTATGTGACAACATGGGAGATCATCTTATCGGCAATGTCTATGCGAAATTTGCCTCAGAAGAAGAAGCAGAAATTGCTGCGAGAAATCTGAATGGTAGATATTACGCTGGCAGGGTGATTTCAACAGAATTTTCGCCTGTGACTGATTTTAAAGAATCCAGATGTCGCCAATATGATGAAGGAAACTGTGATAGAGGCGGGTACTGCAATTTTATGCATTTAAAACATATATCAAGGTCCTTTAAAAAAAGCCTCCAACATCAGATGTATTACGAGCACCCAGAGTATAAAGAAAGAAGAATACAAAGGCTTAAAGAAGAAAAAAAGAGAAAGCATGACAAAGAAAGCCCTGATGGCAGACGACATAGAAGCAGGACACCTGAAAAGTTGCCTCCAGTTAGGACAAGTGAAGAGCGTAGAGCCATGATTGAAGCGTGGAACAGAGAAGCTAATAGATAATAATGGTAAAAATAGTTAATGGACAAATAGTGCCTGATGATGCTCCTGGCAGTAGAAATAATACGAGCTCTAGGCAGCAAAGTGCTAGTGCATTTGGAAGAGGAAACTCTCAATTGTTTCCGAGCACAAATGGAAGACTAGGGAGCTTGTCACAGAATATTCAGTTGGGAGGATATGAGATGGAAATGATATGACCTTTGGTTATTGTGGGAACTGGGGTTATGTTTGGGATTAAGTGGGGTCTAATTCTAGCTGGACTGCTGTGACTTTATAATAAAAATTCACAAGATGCGAGTTTAAGCAATCAAAACGCACCTCCATCTGAACAAAGCAGCTCTGGAAGTAGCAGGGACAACTCTAGAAATAGCAGTAATAAAAGCCAAACTGGGTTCAAAGGAATCCGAGATGTGAGAGGAGATGGTATGAATTAAATCGAAATTTAATATCAAAATTTTATAATTTCACTTATTTAAAATCCTTAATCGAATCACTTGAGTTTGATTATGCATCACATTTATAATTCACTAGTTTAAAATTTCTTCTTAATTTCTCATTATCAATTATTTAATAAATTGATTAATCTTCTTATTAATTAAGAAGCTTGGGTTATCCGCCAATTTATACCGTTTGATTTTTTTTCTATCTCGCTAATTTTTTTCTTTTCTTCTTCTTTCACTATATTTTTTGCGGAATTTAATATAGTCCAATCAAAAATAAAATCATTCTGATAGCTTTCTTTTAATGATAATTCTTTAAACAAGTGCTTTAAATATGAGTAGTCTGGCCTATCTTCAAATCTTAGCCCACGACAGTAATTCAAAAAAATAAAAAACTCGTTAGGCAGCCCTTTACACATAGTTTCAATGCTTGTCGACATTTTACTTATCATTATTTTTTCGTATTTTTCTTTTTTTGTTAAAGCTTGAAGGCCTTGCCAAGGCAGAGTTCCTTGTAAAAAATAAACAAAAACGTATCCTAATCCTTCTAAATCATCTCTTCTTGATTGTTCAATACCAAGATGAGTATTTAAAGATGCGTACCTTGCAGTACCTGTAAGATTTTTTCCTTCTTTATATGGAATATGCTGCTGTGTCCGAGGATCTCGATATCTCTTAGCTAATCCAAAATCAATCAAATAAGCTTGATTAGCTTTTCTTCCGAGCCCAATCAAAAAATTATCTGGCTTGATATCTCGATGTAAAAAATTTTTCGCATGGACAAACTCAATTCGAGATATCATTTGCTCAGCTAAAATTAAGACTGTTTTGAGCGAAAATCTTCGATTGCAGAAGGAAAAAAGATCTTCTAGTGAAGGTCCCAAAAGATCCATCACCAATACGTTGTATTCGCCTTCAATCCCAAACCAATAGATTGTTGGAATGCCTATTCCTCCTTGCAATATTCTGTATATTTTTGATTCAAATAAGAGCTGAGGATGCCTTGATCGAATGTTTTCTAATTTAATTGCGACTTCCTCATGAGTTTGGGTATTGCATCCTAAATAAATATCGCCAAATGACCCTTTCCCTATTTTTCGACCTAAAATATATTTTCCACCAACCCTTAGTTCTGCCATTTTATAATTATTTTGAGCTCAGAATTTAATGTGAATTAAATATCAAGGCTTTTAAATAATATATATCCATATTCTGCCATAAAAACTAATTTTTTAAGCTTTATTAATAATTATTATGGCTTATCAGAATTTAGCTATATTCTGGAAATATGAATCTTAAATGCTTCACCACCTATAAAATAAAGTAATGCAAAATGCTCCTGAATATTTTAGCTTGAGATCCTTATACGTAAAAATGCTATGATCCTTCGATTGCTACATTTCTTCTACTTTTTAAGATAGGTATTCTAAGCTTATAAACTATTCTTCTTATTTTAAATTAATTATTTGTTAGTGATATTATTCTTTCTTGTTTAATTATTTATATAGTAATTATAAAATTAGGATTAATAATGACCCAACTTCGAAAAAATTATTAATCTGAATATTTAAAATTTTTTCTTCTTTAAATATTAATTTACCTAAAAATTAATTTTAATAGTAAAAATTATAGAATAAATAATGTCGGAAGAACCAATTAAAGATCATGTGTATTGGATAAATGAAGGTAATAGACGATATGAAGAAGAAATGTTTAGCCCGGACATGTGTTTTAGCTCGAAATTCTTAAATTTTCTGCAGAAAAAATGGCTAGCTTGATCAACTTCTCTTGAGAAAAACAACTCTTTAAATGGCAGAAATTAAGCAGCAAGTGGCTTAGTTATGAAATTTGACCTAAACTGGACAAGCCAACTCGATTTTCCATTGGAAATTATTAGGAAACTCTTGCTGAAACCATGCTCAGGCTATAGAAGAAGCTGTTGCACACTATAATGAAGCAATAAAAATAAAACCTGATGTTGCCTTAGCTTATAATAATAAAAGTAATGCTCTTAACAGCTTAGGCAGATATGAGGAGGCCATTGAATCTTGCAATGAAGCAATAAGAATCAAACCCGATTATTCTGAAGCTTTTTCGACTAAAGGCAACGCTCTTAGAGACTTAGGCAGAAAACTTGAAGCAATAAAATGCTATAACGAATCTATAAAATTTAATCCCGATTATGTTACATACTGTAGCAAAGGTAACGTTCTCTATGATTTAGTAAAGTACGAAGAAGCAATAATCTGCTATAATGAAGCTATATTACTTATGCTGGTCTCTGGTAAATAAATAGCTAAGGAGGGTATTGGCTAGGTGAACTTTAGTTGGCTTTGCCAAGTCAGATGTGAATTTAAGTAACCAAAAGATGCTCCTTGTAAATGCTATTCATCCTAAATGTTATAAACCTAATAGCGCTTCAGTCTACTATAATAAAGGAAATGCTCTTTATAACTTAGGAAGTAAAGTTGAAGCAATCAAATGCTACGATGAAGCTATAAAATTTGAACCTAATAATTATTCCGCTTACTTTAATAAAGGAAATGCTCTAAGTGACCTATGCAGATATGAAGAGGCATTAATTTGCTGCGATAAAGTATTAGCATTTAGACAGAATAATGCAGACGCTTACTTTAATAAAGGAAATATACTTGATAGCTTAGGAAGAAAAATTGAGGCGATTGATAGTTATAGCAAATCAATAGAAATTGCTCCTAATTATGCTGCATACTGTAAAAAAGGAAACAATCTTTATGAGTTAGATAAAAAACTCGAGGCCATAGATTGCTATAGTAAAGCTATCCAACTGGAGCCTAATAACCCTATCCCATACTATAATAAAGGAAATGCACTTAAAGATTTATGCAAATATGAGGAAGCAATAGAATGCTACAATAAAGCGATAAACCTCAAACATGGTAATGCTAATACTTACCTGAATAAAGGAAATGCTCTAAATAGTTTAGATAAAAAACTCGAGGCCATAGATTGTTATAGTAAAGCAATCCAACTGGAGCCTAATAACCCTATCCCATACTATAATAAAGGAAATGCATTTAATGATTCATGCAAATATGAGGAAGCAATAGAATGCTACAATAAAGCAATAGACCTTAAAGATGATAATGCTAATGCTTACCTAAATAAAGGAAATGCTCTAAGCAGTTTAGATAGGAAACTTGAGGCAATAGATTGCTATAGTAAAGCTATCCAGCTGGAGCCTAATAACCCTATCCCATACTCAAGTAAGGGAAATGCTCTCAATTTTCTATGCAAATATGAGGAAGCATTAGAGTGCTGCAATAAAGCGATAGAACTTAACCCTGATTATATTAATGCTCACTGTAATAAAGGGTTTGCTCTTAGTAATCTAGAAAGAAAACTTGAGGCCATCGATTGCTATGATAAAACAATTAAGCTCGAACCTAATAATCCTATGTCTTACTACAATAAAGGATATGCTCTTGATTGTTTAAACAAATACGAAGAAGCACTAGATTGTTATAATAAAGCAATAGCACTAAAGCATGATTACGTCTCCGCCTATTGTAATAAAGGTAATATTCTTTGCGAGTTAGATAGGAAACTTGAAGCAATAGAGTGCTATGATAAAATAATAGAACTTGAGCCCAAAAACTATGACGCTTACTATAATAAAGGAAAAACTCTTAATGATCTATCTAGACATGAGAAAGCAATAGAGTGTTATAATAAAGCAATCGAGATCAAGCCTGATTATTCTAGTGCCTACTGTAATAAAGGCTATTCACTAAGTCATTTAGGGAAGAAAGAGGAGGCAATAGAGTGCTATAACAAGGCCATTAGCATTAATCCTGAAGACTCCGGGTCTTACTGCAACAAAGCAGTCTCTCTTTACGACTTAGGTAAAAAGCAAGAAGCAATCGAAAATCTTACGACTGCAATCACGATTGATCCAGCTAATCCTTTATACTATTGTGATCGAGCTAAAGTTTTTAATAGCTTGAATCAAGAAGCGGAAGCCTTACAAGATTTCAATATAGCTTATAATTTGATGAAAGAGGTGCACATAAATCGCAGGAATAAAAAACTTTCCAATGAAAATATTGACTGGATTAACAAAACATTAGATCAAGACCGCATTGAATTACTTAAAAAACTTACAACTTTGCAGGAAAGCGCTATTGAATTTAAGGAGGAATTCGAGAAGCTCAAAGATGAGGTTTCTGAAAATCCAGATTTAAAAAGAGAAATTGATGAACAGTATAAAATAATTAAAGCCCAACATTCGCAAATTGTTGAAAGAGCAGTGGACTGCTTAAATTCAAATAATAATAATGAGTCGAACTCAGAAATACAAAATTTAACAAATGATATGAATAAATTTAAAATATCTACTGAAGAAGAAATTAGTTATCTCAGATCTTTGATCCAGAAAGTAGATCAAGAAAAAGTTAATCGGGAAGAAGTAGAGCCTTATGCTTTGAAAGTCTGCTCTGAGATTGAAAGAAGCCCTAATGTACTTAAAAAATATTATGAAGCCTTATATAACAGGCTACATAATTCTCTAAAGGAGGCTGAAATCATCTGCAATAGTGGGAATCTTGCCATAGATACACAAAATTATAAAATTTCAGCCTTTTCCCAAGCATTACAATTAACTCCAATGATAGGAAGCATGCTTAGCAACGTTTTTTCTAAAGCTGCAGAAGTAATATCAGCGCATTATATCAAAAAGCATGCTGTAAAGCTAATAAATACTTTAGGCTTAAATCCTGATGCGCGAGAAAATGTTATTAAAAGAACAGCAGAAACTTCTACTTTACGAAATAGAATCAAAATTTGCGATGTCGAGCATAATCCTGAGGTAAATCTTTGGATAAATAAAGGATTGATTGCTAAATGCAAAGACTTTTTTATGGTAAATATAGAAGATAACCTCTATCAAAGCAATCATCAAATTTTAGGCTGCATTGATGCTTTAAAAATATTATACACAATCCAGCACAATGAATTTGCAAAAGATTTATCTTCAGAGGAAACTGTTAGTATTCTGGTTTTAACATCTGCTTCCTATGATTTCTCTAAAGCAAGAACCATTACTGAACAAAAGAAAAAGCGATCTTGTGCTTGTAATGCTTTCTTAATAAAGAATTTAGAATATAAGCATTTCCTGCTAAACAAGCCAGGCTTACTTAAACACTTGAGCATTAGTACAAATTTGCCATACTATAAAGTAATTAATTATAGTATTGAGCTAGAGCAGCTTGGGCACAATGTGTATGAACTTGATATTGAGACATTAGCGAACTTAATGATAAGTCTTGAATAACTTTTGATAAAAATGTTGATAATAATAACTCTTAAATTTATTGATATTTTGAACATGTTAATTAATAAATCTTTGATTGATATTAGTTAAAGCAGCATTTGCAGAACGTCAAAAGTAAATTTTGTTAAAATATAATGTTTTCTTGTTTTGCCAAATTAGAAAATTCATAGTTTAGCGAAAGTAATTTAGATATTTATATTTGATGATTCGAATTTCATAGGTAATGGCTATAGAAAGCAATAAAATTAAGGAATACGATTAGTTGCGAAATCAATATCCGAAATTGATATAATACTGCATAAAGATAATACTCTTAATAAGACGTCATAGTTTTGACTTTTGGATTAATATTCTTAATTAAGCTTAGAGTAAATAAGAAAGAAACTTTATGAGCAAGAAGTAGCCCGTTCAATATTATATCAATATGAAAGCAAATGACCACTCAAAATAGTCAAAAATTAGTTTAACCCTAAAGGCTCCATTTTTATTTCAAAGTCTTGAGATTAATTCACCATTTTAATAGATTTTATAGAACATTAGAATACTTAGAGTTACCACTAAAAACGTAACTTAATTTAATGGGAATCTATTATATTTTAATAATTATAGAACAATCAAGGCATATGGGTCAAAACAACTCTAAAGATCATGAACATTGGAAACTTAAGGGCAATGGCTTTTTGGAACAAGGTGACCCCCAAAAAAGCACTAGACTGCTACGAAAAAGCATTAAAACTTAAGCCTGACTATGCCAGCGCCCTCAATAATAAAGGCAACGCTCTGCACAAGCTCAGTAAATCACCTGAAGCATTAAAATATTATGATGAGGCCATAAGACTGGAACCTGACTGTGCAATTTATTACCATAATAAAGGGAACACTCTCAATGATATGGGCAGAGAACTAGAAGCAATAGAGTTTAGTAATAAAGCCTTGAAACTTAAGCCTGATTTTCCACATGCTTATATTGCTAAGTCTTCTGCATTTATCAAATTAAAAAAATATCTTGAGGCATTAGAATGCGCCAATGAAGCTGTCAAGCTAAAGCCTGATCTCGGAGAAGCTCACTTTATGAAGGGAAATGCGCTTTTCGGGCTTGAAAGACTGCCTGAAGCAGTTGAATGCTATAATGAAGCAGTCAAACTAAAGCCTGATACTAGTAGAGCTTATTATATGAAAGCTGTAATTTTAGATTCTTTTGGGAAAAAACTTGAAGCAATTGAATGCTTTGATGAAGCAGTCAAATATAATCCTAATGATTTAGATGCGCACTATTATAAGGGCACTATTCTGACTGACTTATCCAGACATGAAGAAGCAATGAGTTGCTATGATAAAGTAATTATGCTTAAGCGGGATCATATTGATGCATGGAATAGAAAACTTTTTTCACTCAGACAGTTAGGCAGGCGTATGGATGCAATAAATTTAGCTATAACTATGACACTACAGGGACTTGGCAATCCACTATTGGAAGAACAAAGAAGAGAAGAAATGGCGAATTTCAACAGGTGCTATAATACAGCGATAGTAGCGCAGGCAAACCGTCTTATCAATAATATGCAGAGAGGAACTAACAGAGAAAATATAGTCAATGTTAGCGAAACAATAAATCAAGACCATGACCAACTACAGCAGGCATTTATTGGGCTGAAAAAAAGTGCTGCTAAATTTAAAGATGAGTTCGAGAAACTTAAAGCTGCTGCAGAAACCAATCAAGAGTATCAGGAAGAGGTTAATGAAAAATCTGAAGCAGTTGAAAAGCGGTGTTCCAAAATTTCACAAAAAGTAAATAACATTCTATGCCAAGAAAACAATGAATCAAATGAAGAAGGGAGGCAAGAAATTCAACAACTCATTGAAGATATAGAAAAATTTAAAAAAAGGACAGAAAAAAAAATTAGCCATTTAAAGTCTTCTATGGGTATAGTGGAGGAGCAAAATACAAGCGAGGTGGAAACAGGCTCAAATGAAATTAAAAATATACCTGAAATAGAAATTGGTCCATCGAAAATGAGAAAATATTGTGGAGCTCTACATGAAAGACTCTTTAGTGCCCTTAAAGAGGCTGAAATTATTAGTTCTGATGAAAATTATGACTCAAATTCTCAAAACTCTAATCATAAAGCACTTTCCCAAGCAATAGAATTAGCCCCTATTCTCGCCAACGTGCTCAAAAGTGTTTATTCCTTTGAAGCTGACATCCCAAACATCAATAATATTAAAAAGCACGCAATAAAGCTTATCAACACTCTCGGCTTAAATCCAAGCGCACGAGAAAGCGTGATTAAACAAACAGTAGAAACTGCTGCCTTAAATAATAGGGATAAAATCAACGCCATAGAAGACGACCCTGAAATAGAATATTGATTAAATTATGGAATTGCTGCTAAGTGTAGAAGTTTTTTTACAATAAAAGAGGTGAATACGTTTTATCAAAATAAACCTGAAATATTAGGCTGCATTGATGCTATGAAGATAATTTATGCAATTGAATGCGATAAAGTTCCAAGAGACTTACTTCCAGATGAAACAATAAAACAGCTTGCTTTGGTTCCTGGGTCTTATAAATTCTCCAAAGCTAAAAGTGCAAGCTCAAATTCAAGCAAGAATGCATGCTGCACAACTTTTTAGCTTTTAATTTCTTAATTACTTAAAATTTCTTTATTAATATCTATTTTAAAGTTGCTCTAGAATGCCATTTATATTAAGCACATGCTTGCTTAATAGTGAGTATTAAATTTCAGCATCTTTAATTCAGTTAGAAGTTGTAATAAGGGATCAGAAAGAATTTAAAATTTACTCTTATTGCCTTTTATCAATTAAATGCATAAAGTTTTTTGTTCCTTTTACTTTTGATTGCTTTATTATAATTCCTGCATTATCTCCAATTCAATCTACAAATTTTTTTATCTCGCAAAGCATATGTTTAAACACCTCATTTACATTAATATCGTCTTTTGCACTAGTTTCAAAAAATCTAGCATTGATTCCATTAGCGAATTCTTCACCCATGGATTTTTCTATGACCTTATCATTTCTATCACACTTATTTCCTACAATAACTTTTGTTAAACATTTATGAGGGTACTCATTTATTAAATCATTTCAAAATTTCAGATTTTTAAAGGACTCTTCAGAAGTGCAATCATAAACTAAAATTATTCCTACTGCATGTGTTAAGTATGCTTTATTGAGAGGGTGTCAGCGAGAATCTGCTTCCCAGATTTGAAGATTAAAGATTTGCTTGTCTAGTTCAATTGTTTTTATTCGAAAATCTACCAAAATTGAAGTGCATCCTTCATTAAATACTTGATCAACATATCTTGTCAGCAATGAGCTTTTACCTCCCCTCTGTCTCCAAACAAAACTAGCTTAAAAAGATAATCACACTCATTAGGAGTGGAAACCATTTATAACTTTTTATAAATTTTGGAGATAAATTAGAGAATTTCGCCATCATCAGTGTTTTTTATTATATTAGCATTATATAAAAATTAAAATTAAGCTAAAGAATTATTAAAAATTGTTGATTGATAATTATACTTACTGTCTACCGACAATTTAGAAGGTTTGTAGAGTTCTGCTGCGCGCTAACAGAATTACCTTCAATTTGGTCAGCTACAGACTAAATGTATATCAGATTTAATATCTATGGAAATTAGCTATTAATAATAAAAGAAATATTAAATTTCAACTTATAGCTAATGATCCATAAGAAATCAGCCATGTTGTAGGCGAATTTATAAATAATGGACAACCTCTTGGGCTCATCTCCAGTTTCCAGCAATAAAAAGAAGTCTTTCATAATTGCTGCTTCTCTTATTGGTACTCTTTGTGTTATTGGCACAATTCTTTTGTTTACCAAATCATCTTACCAATCTCCAGTTCTTATCCAAATGCAGCTTGAAGAAGAAGAATTCAAACTTTTCATATCAAATTACAATAAAGTTTATACTGCCAATGAATACTTAAAAAGACTTCAAGTTTTCAGAGATAACCTCATCTTTATCAGAATGCAAAATCAAATAGAAAATGATTGGGTGCTTGGAGTAAACCAATTCACTGACTTACTACTTTTCTTAAGCAATTTAATTATTTTAGGATTATTTTTTTTACTATTATTAAATTTTTTTTTAAATTTAATATAGAAAAGAATCAAAGAGTTAACCAGAGACGAATTTAAAGCTATGTATACTCCAAATAAATTTATTCGTAGTGAAAGGAGGCAAGAACAAGAATTTTCAAGCGTTCAAGCTCTTCCTACTTTTGTAGATTGGAGACAACAAGGTGCTGTAACCCCGGTCAAAAATCAAGGAGCCTGCGGAAGTTGCTGGGCATTTTCGACCACAGGAGCAGTTGAAGGGCTTTGGAAAATCTCAGGAAATTCACTGGTTTCACTTTCTGAACAGGAACTTATGGACTGCTCTGTGTCTTTTGGGAATAATGGATGCAATGGTGGACTTATGGATTATGCTTTTGAGTTCATCATGAAGAATGGAATCACTCTTGAATCAAATTATCTATTATTATAGTGAATACGCCAAAGTATGTTAAATAAACCATTTTTATATAAATATCATGAAAAAAGATATCCCTATGCCGGGGTACAAGGCACTTGCAACACTACAGCTGAGCAATTAATTGCAGCAAACATCACCAACTACGTAAATGTCCAAACCGAAAACCCAACTGCTCTTCAAAGCGCAGTTGCCCAACAACCAGTTTCAGTTGCTGTTGAAGCTAACCAATACGTCTGGCAATACTATAAAGGAGGCATTATCAGCAAAAACTGTGGCACAGAGCTAGACCATGGAGTCCTAGTTGTGGGCTACAACACTACCAATTCTCCACCTTATTGGATCGTCAAAAACTCTTGGGGAGCAGGCTGGGGAGAAAACGGCTATGTGAGAATCCAAATCTCAGCTGCAAAAGGCATATGCGGGATCAATATTGAACCATCTTATCCAACCCTTTAAATCTAACTATTTAGGTTAATTTCGCCTAATAAAAATGTCTTCTCTAGGAAATATCCAAGTCAAGCTTTCAGATGGAAGGGATCTCACTGAGCTCTTCCAATTCTTAATTGAAGAAAATGCCCGCATGGAAGAAGAATATGGAGAACCTATCGATATCCTTGATGATGACCTTGAACGAAACTTAGAATACTTACCAGAACATTTCCGCGAACTTTGTCGTGATATTTTCACAGTAAAAAGTAAAGACTCAGTCTATAAATTTGACGAGCCTGACCTGCCTTGTAACGTCGAATTTTCGCCTGATCAAGAGCTTGTAGGTGCCACATTTTTGAAGCTGATTGAAAAAATCACTGATGAAGGGACAACTGAGCTTTCTAATATAGTCTTTTATACGTTTCCTATTTACTCGTCTCCTAAAGAACTTTTGGAAGCATTAATATGGAGACATAGTGTACCGAGTCCTCCTCTTATGTCAGCTAGTGAGTTAAAAGCTTTCCAGACAAAAAAAGTTCGGAGCATCCAGAGTAAAGTAGCGAGTTTATTGAAAAAGTGAATAAAATTATGGCCTATGCATTTTAAAGAACAAAAAGGAATTAAAGCAATGCTGCAGAGGTTTTTGGAAGATTTAAGGGATTCTACAACGGATCCATTTACTAAAACGAATTGTAAACCAATTTTACAGTCTTTGGCAAGTTTAGATGAAGAAGAAAAAGAAAATAAATGCACTTTTGGAGACTTAAGAGAGCCTCCTCCGCCTCAACTTCCAAAAGAAATCGACTTCAAAATGGAGCCACTTTTGTTATGAAGCCCAACAGAAATTGCAAGACAGTTATCATTGATAGAAAGTGACATGCTAAAAGCAGTAGGAATTGGTGAACTTTTATCAAGAAACTGGGAAAAAAATGATAGAGAAACATTAGCACCAAATGTTTTAGCAATTTCTAAAAGGTTTTCAGGCTGCAGAGGACTGATTTTGAATGCAATTATTTCGCAATCTGATATGAATAATCGAGTGAAAATTATTAAAAAGCTTTTAGAAGTGGCAACTGAGTGTTTAACTGCAATTTTTAACTTTGAAAGCCCTTTTATTATCAATTCAGCCTTAAAAAGCGACACCATAAGAGCTCTGGACGCTACTTGTAAAGAAGTTAAAAAAAGTGCAACTCATAGAGGGATGTGGCAAAGACTTGAAGAAATTTATGACTCGAATTTCACTGCAGTAAGACAAGAAATGGTAACAAATCCCTGCAAGGTGCCTTGCTTTTTAGCATTGAGGCAGGAATTAAATCAAAATGATATAAGAAGAAAGGATAGGCTTGAATCTGGATTAATAAATGTTCTCAAACATAAATCAACTGCAGACGTATTAGAAAGAATAACTAACTATCAGCAGCAGTTATTGGTGTTCCATCCAATAAAAATTTTATATCAATATTTAAAGGCCCAAGATTTCCAATGTGATGAGGACGCATTATTTAGACAAGCAAAGATACTTGAGCCTGTAACTAACTAATAGCCTAATAATAATACTTTTATATAAATTGTGGCTTCCATAATTTTTCCTTTAGTGATTTAATTAAAATATAAGAAGCATATGAAAGTTAAAATATTTAGATATGGTGTGCCATATCTAGCTTCTCACTTTGCATTTTAAAGCAGAAGTATCTATTTGCGATACCACAATGCCAGGAGAATTCAAACTAACTGAAGACTTTGAGTTGGAATTTCTTCTGCGATTTTCCAATCTAATTTGCTTCATTTTTCTTCCCAAACTTTCTATTGATTTTTCTCCTTTTTCTCCAGCTGTTGCTATCCTTCTATGGCTAATCTTATTTTTATACAAATTTTTCCTAGGGGATTCAAAGCTTTCATTATTTTCGCCTATAAAAAAGCTAGAAGATACTGATCCTTTTTGCCTCTGAAAAGACTGGAATTCCTTTTGTAGAAACCCTATTTCTTGCTTAATTTCTTCACATTTATTAACTTGCTTTTGATGCTCTTTAATAAAATTCAAGCAAAGATTGTCATTGATTCTATCATGGCATACACAGTAAATAGAGTTGCATTTATTGCACTTACTCCCCCCCCCCCCCTCCGTGAGCGAACAAAAAAAATTTTGTTCGCTCACGGAGGGGGGTTAATTTTTTTTTTAAAAAAAATTTATATATAATTTTATAAAAAATATTTTTTTTCGAAATTTAAAAAAATCCTAATTTGCAAAAATTGGGAAGCAAATATTAATTTAATTTGCAAAATTTATGTTTTAAAACGCAATTTGTTTAAAATTAAACAGAATTAGCTCTAGATTTCATTATACTAATTATCACTTATATATCAAAATTTTTTTCCATTAAAATTTTTTCTATTAAAAAAATTTTTGTTCACTCACGGAGGGTGGGTTTTTGGTCAAAAAATGGCGATTTTTCTAATGGTTTTGTTCGCTCACGGAGGGGGGGGGGGGGGTTAGCAGACTTTTTTTCTTTGCCAATATTTGAGGCAAAATATTTATATTGCAGTCCTAATACTGATTTATCAGAGCAAGATTTACGTCGCTGGTGGCTTAAAGAGGTTTTTGGGCGCTCTTTGTCAATTTTTAATTTAGGAAGGTCGCTTATATTTTGATAAGCATCAGCAAGGCTTTTATATTCTAATAGCTCTTTAGAAAGTTGAACCTTTGGGTATGCTGATGGCTTCAAAGGAGAGTTATGCTCACTTGAAGCCAAACTTTGAGAAGCCTCACTAGTTGAAGCATTATATAAAAATGATTTTTGCTTGGGAAGGTTTCCGGAACTTTGATAAACCTTCATCAAATTTTTATACTCAATGCGAGATTCTGTTGATGGTGAAGGGGATGGCTTTTCTTCTATGAAATATTTTTTAGATATTTTTTGCTCAATTTTTCTTAAATTGAGGGATAGTGATACACAATTAAGTGGGTTTCCCATATCTTCACTTGGTTTTAATTTTATTATTTCTATGCCTTTGCTTTTTGGACTCTCTTCTGTTTTTTCATAAGAGCATGCTTCATTTGTTTGAATGCAAACATCGTTTGTGGTGCTTTCTTGGTATGGCAAAACAAATATGTTTTGATTAGAAAGGATGCTGTTTATAACGTTGTATTTCTTAATTTTGGGTTTCTCGAGATGAGAAATAGAAATTTTGGACCTTTTCATGGATAATAATTTAAATGGGAGATAATTTGCTGACTTTATTTTTCTTTAAACTAAATTAGGGAATTATTTTAATTTATACTTAAATATAGATGATCTTTTAAAAGCCTAATATTCTACAAATAATCAAAAAATATAAAATCGAATTGCTTTGAATTCTTAACAACAGTGAGCTAAAGCATATCTATTTCTAAATAAATTGGCAATCATATAACAAAAGGCAATTTTGTAGTTTATATAGCTGATTCTTTGCTCAGCTCTTTACGCAATTAGGCCTTTAAAGCACTAACAAAATTCAATTAAGCTAATCATATAATGGAAATTAAAATAACGGTCTCTTCTCAATCCAATAAGCATTTTTCTATCTATTTTATCTTTAAATTGTTGTATATCAGCAATAATAAATTGAAATAATTGATTCGATCTAAATCTCCTTTTTAGAGAAGCAAACTTAGTTAATCTTAATAATATTTTGATGTGAATCTATGCTAGGTCAAATTGGAATTCATAAGGTGATTACTTTCAACATCTCTTGCAGGAGATTTTTATATTTTTTATTCACTTAGTAACCTCTCTGAGTTTATTGAACAATAAAAGACCTCTATATTAAATTATCTCTGCAAGAAATATAATAATAGGTAGGCTGCAAATAATAAAGGTTTGGTCTGTGAGGCTAAGATAATTTTCTAAGAAAGCCTTAAAAAATTATACAGATATTTTTTATATAAAGTTCCTTATGGAAACAATCTTACATACAAATTCAAGTTTTGTAATTATAAAAGTATCCTCTATTATATGTGAGAAAAGATTTTCCTATTTGATTGAACCAAATTGAATGAAACACGTACGAGGGGGATAGAGGACAAGAGCTCTAAAGGTTTTAAATATAAAAATGCATTCAAGTAAGTTCTCACTATTTATACTGCTATAGCAATGACTTTTATCTGTAAAAAACCCATTTAAAGGCAATATGACAAACTAGCAAATCAAGATGCTCTCAAGAATGATTTTCAAGAAGATAATATGGACAGAATCCATGGGTATACATTGATGAATTTGCAGTCAAACAAGAAAATAACTAAAATTAATCTGACATTTTAGATCTATTATCTTATCATTTATGCGCTTCCATAGTTCTGTTATTCTTAGTATGCCTGCTTTTTAAATTTTAAAAAAAAATTCTATTTAAATAAAGTATTCAACTGATTATTTCCCCTATAGATAGCTTAAGATGAAAAGCAATATCATTTATAATAACAGAACAATTTCATCTTATAAAAAGTTTGAGACGTGAGGGTTTATTCAAAATAAAAAATTGGCTACAATCGCCTGATTTTATAATTATTAATGTCATTACGCCCAGGCTCGATTATTAACATTTCTCATGCAGCTGATGAAAGTGGTTATTCGAAAGGCCAATCAATGAAAGACTGGTTCAAGGAAGAAAGATGGAAAAGGGTTTATGACTGGATTTTTGAAATTGAAAAAGAACTAGAAAACATTGAAAATTCAAAATATGCGAAAAATCAATTGGGTCGTATTAGAGAGCTGTTATCGTCAATTCAACGTCGAAATGAGCTTAAACAAGCAACAGCATCTGATTTCTACATTGAAGATTTGAAAAGGTTTAATAGAGCTTGGGATCGAAATAGCATTAGAGTTTCTGGTGAAAAATCAATAGAAGAAATGCAGCAGGAAAGTGAAAAGCTGAAAGAAGATTTAGAAAGACTGGAAAGAATGGATCATACGTTGAGAATTTAAGGAAGGTATATAATTTATGCAGATTTCATTAATTGCAAGTTTCTATTAGTTAGACTATTTTATTTTAATCCCAAATAGAATAACGATTTGCTAGATCTGAAAACTTCAATCATTATAAATTGGATAAATATTCTTTAACTCCCCCCCCCCCCTCCGTGAGCGAACAAAACCATTAGAAAAATCGCCATTTTTTGACCAAAAACCCACCCTCCGTGAGTGAACAAAAATTTTTTTTAATAGAAAAAATTTTAATGGAAAAAAAATTTTGATATATAAGTGATAATTAGTATAATGAAATCTAGAGCTAATTCTGTTTAATTTTAAACAAATTGCGTTTTAAAACATAAATTTTGCAAATTAAATTAATATTTGCTTCCCAATTTTTGCAAATTAGGATTTTTTTAAATTTCGAAAAAAATATTTTTTTTATAAAATTTATATATAAATTTTTTTTTTAAAAAAAAAAATTAAACCCCCCTCCGTGAGCGAACAAAATTTTTTTGTTCGCTCACGGAGGGGGGGGGGGGAGTAAGAAAAATAGGATTTATAAATAATCAATTTTTGCTTATAGGCATGTAAAATATCTTATTTAAAACAGTTTTATATGATTTTGCATAGTTAAAACTTTAAAATTCGTTGCTTTTCATTTATTTATATTCAGTTTAAATGCAATATATATGCTTTCAATTAAAATTCACTTAATAACAGTTTTAATTTCATTTTGACGAAAAGATCAAAAATACCTTTATAAGCTTGAAGCTTGCAGCGTTTTCAGTGCTCCTGATAGTGTAAGTAGCACGACTGCGGTGTAACGCTGGAGGTGGAAGTTCGATTCTTCCTCGGGAGACCTTTTTATATTAGCATTATTTTTAATTATTTGGTTCATTATCTATTTCTTGCCTTTTCTTGATGCTATTTAGTCTAGCAAATTCTTCTAATAACTCACTACAGCTTACATCGGTTGCTAACTCCCAATCCTTTCGTGATACAAAACTTGATTTAACGATTTTTCACATTGCAAGTTTTTATTAAAAATTATATTTTAACACGCACCCTAATATAAATCTTTAGCAAAAGAAAAGCTAAAAAAAACAAGATTAAATTTAAAAATTTCATCTTATATCTCTATTTATCAATTTTAATTTTTAACATGTCAAAAGTATTTTATTTTCATAGTGTTTTTTCTCAGAAGTCAGGCGCTATATGTCTTATCCTATATTTTTTTTTTTCAAGTGTTTTTTTTTTTTATATCCGCTCTTTAATTGAACAAAGATTAACTGCTAGATTTAGGATAGGAATAGTAAGGCGTTTCTTAATATATAAAAATTCAATTTATTTGGGTTTTTTGCTTGAACTTTAACAGAATTTGTGTTTTTATATAGTTGTGGAGCTATTTCATTGGGCAATTTGCTATCAAAATTTACACATTGGTATCCTAAATCAATATTGCAGCCTTTGCATTTTCACCTCCACTGCTTTTCAATGCCATTTTCTCTGCGAACTCCTATGATATCTCCAGGAGCCATATATCGCTGAAATACCATTGATTGAGATGCTGGAATTATTAGTGAAAAATCGGTCCTACGTCTAGGTAGTTCTATGAGAGGAACTGAGCTTACAAATGCATGATCTCCACAGAGTGAGCAATAATAGCTTATAAATGGCTTTTCATTAGCTAAGGTAGAATCTTCTGAAGTGTAATTTTTTAATTTAATTCTACCTATAGGCTCTTCAACAATGTCATATTCACGATCTTGAGCTTGCTGCTTGATTTTGGCAAGAGTTATAGGATCAATTTCTCTTTGGCCGGAGGTTGGCATAATGTTGTTGTCAACCATTTTAAATTTATTAGTTTGCTTTATTTAGAAGAGAATTTAATAATAAATATTTTTTTTAAGTCTAAATACAAAACCTACTCAATTATAAATTCATTAGCCCAATCACTTTCCACATGTTTTGCTTGTGGTAAATCATTCGCTATAACTATATCATACTCATCTTTAAATATCATGGGGTTAAACTGCTTTAATTTTTCAATTAAATCCCATCTTCTTAAGCATGTGAAGCTTGTAAGTAAATAATTTCATATTTGAACTGCATTAGGGTTTAAGGATAACGCACATAAATAAAATCGAGCTGCTGTGTTCATTTCATCTATATTTGCATAGGCAATACCTAAATTAGCCCAAGCTCTCACATAGCTTGGTCTGATTTCCAAAGCTTTTTGATAAGCTTGTATCGCTAAATGGCTATCTCCTTGATTCGCCAGGGTAGCACCTAATCTATTTCATATATAATAATCATCAGGTTTTAGCTGAAGAGCTCTTGAAAATGCACTTGCAGCAATTTCATAATCCTTTGTCATAAAATTCAGAGCTCCTAGTACTTGATAAATATCTGCATCATTTGGGTTTAAATTCCTAGCCTGCTCAAATGCATTTTTAATTTGTTCCCTCGGAGATTCCCCAACTGCTTGAATATTATGATACTCAGGATGATTCGATAGCCATGTGTGTAAATGAGAAATAGCCATGTCTTCACTTTTTTCATTAATTAAGCTCATTCCTAAAGATAATAAAATATCCAGATTATAAGGATCGATTTCATAGCCTTTTTCCAATGCAGCAATTGCACGAAAATCTTCATCGTTTTCAGCGTTTAGCTGGCCTAGTAATTTTCATATATCTGAGCTGTTAGGGTCTCTCATAATCACAGCTTCTAAAGCTAAAATTGCATGGTTTATTTGATTATTTGCTAAATAATCCATAGCAATTTCATAGGGATTTTCAGCTTGGAGGTAAGGATTAAACTCATCGAAAACGTAATTAGGAGTTTTGGGGAGCTCTTGAGGCCACATTTGTTGCCACATCCTGACAAATTGTTCTAAGGCTTCAGGAGTTGGGTTACTAAAATTGGTAGTCCATGGATTTGCATTTGGGTCATGCTCAACCCAAGCTTGCTCAAAAATATCTTGATCTTGTCATGCTTCTTCAAACTGCTGCTCATGAGGAATTTCTTCAGCAATTTTTTGCTGGACTTCAGCTTCTTCTCATGCATCTTGAAAATGCTCGTGCTCGGTGTTATTGAATTCAGAATCCAATGCTGCTATTTCTGGACCTGTAAGAAGTGTAGAAACTGCATTCATTAGAGGATTCTGAACTGAGCCATCTGCTGCACAGGCAGTTTGATTAAAAAGCTCTTTTGACAGATCCATTATAAGATTTTATGACACGAAATAAATAAGTCTTTATATTTATCGTTTAGCTGATTAAATTTCTGGTGGAACGACTCCATCTACCCCTCCACCTCCTTCTGCATTCTGTACTACAGGGTCTTGTGCTTGTTCTTGCTCTTGCTCTTGCTCTTTTTCTTGTTCTTGCTCTTGTTCCTGCTCTTGTTCCCCTTCCATTTCTCCTTCTTTTTCTACTTCCTCTCCTTGCTCTTCTTCCTTTTCAATTTCGCCATGCTCGCTTTCATTTTCTGGCATTTCTTTTTCTTCTTCAAGTTGAGCCTCTTCTTGCTGTGGGACTTCTTGAGGTTCTATCTCTTTGAAGCTTTGTTTCTTTTCGACCATTTCAGGCGGTTTTTGCTTTTGTGGGACAGGGGTAAAGTCTTGTTCAGCTTCTCTGCGTTCTGGGGATTTTTCTGGGGACTTTTCTTCTCCTATTTCAATGCCAACTTTGGCAAAAAATTCTTCTTCTAGCTTACGAAGGGCTTCATTTTGTTTTTCCCTGGCTTTTTCAAATGAAGTCTCTTCTTTTTTAGGCTTTTTGCCTTCTTGCTGCCTTTTGGCTTGTTTAAGATTTTTTTCTCTTGTAAACTCACGTTCAAAAGTCTGTTTTATTGAAATTTTTTCGTTTGACTGAGGCTCATATAAGCTTTCGCAAAGCTCTATAAGTGTGACTGTTCCTTCAGAGTCTCCAACTGCTACAAGTGACCCAAATTTCCCTGCATTTGGTTGATTTTGTACAGTCACCACCGTCAGCATCGAGTCTCCAACTTTATGGGAAAATGCAATTTCATTCTGCCTGTAATGGTAATCCCATATTTGCAGCCACCCATCCATTTGGGTTAAGAAAAACACTCCAGGCCTTGTAGGGCTCCAGCATCCATCAGTTAAATAAGTATCATGATACTTAGTTGTCATAATGGGTGTATTGATTTCCTCGCTCCAAATTTTAGCTGACCAGTCTCCTACAGTCAAAAAACATTTGGCTTCTTCTGGATTTCTTTGAATTGAATAAATAGGTCCATGATGTTTTCCTCCTTCAATACCATACCTATGGCTGATTTCTACAGCTTTTTGTGGTTTTTTGTTTGCTAAAACTACAACACCTTGTTCGGTGCCTGCTAGGTACTTGGTAGCTCCTGCTTCTGGGTTGTATTCTAAGCAAGTTCCACCTAGAATGCTTTCTTGCTTAGTTTCTGAGTTTTGGATTCCATCAGTTAAATATGCAGAGTCAGTAGGATCTTTGTCCTTTCGGAAATCCCACCACATTAAGCGGCCATCAGTAGAAATACTGACAAATTCGTTGCCAGATTTCCCATGCAGCCAATAAATATCATACACAGGGTCATGATGGGATTTTTCTATAGCTGTTTGCCAAGATGGGGTATTGGTTTTTTCCCTCACATCCCAAACCCCGATGGTCCCGTTATACCCTCCACCTACTAAGAAATCTGTATACTTATTGTTAAAAGCAATAGTTACAAGTGGAGTGGAGCCTTGGATTGTTTTAAAGGCTGTATTAGGTGCCGCCATATCCCATATGTAAGACTGGGTTGACAATTTTTCTGGCATTTGCTGGAACCTTAATATAGAGTAAGCTACAGCAATTTTATTGCCAGGGCCTTCAGGGTTCCAAGCAATTTTGCTGACACTTCGCTTTGTGTCATTAGGGTCTTTAAAAAGCATAAGTGTTTTGGTTGACAAAGTTTCTGTTGAATGGTCTACTTGCTCGCCTAAAAAATATTCTTCAAACATGTCAATTTGGTTGTTTTGCTTGATGGCACGATCAGTTAAAGTCGCGAGCTCTTTAACTGCCGCTGCCAGAAGTGGGTCTTTAAGCTGCCTTGTGCGCCATTTTGTGGTGTCGTGCTCTTCGGAGTAGTCGATTTCGCGCGGCCAGCCTCCTTCGATGTGTTTCATATTACGGGTTGCGGTGACCACCCTTTCAGTGTTTACATCATGTGTGGAAAGAGGAGGAATGTTGTCGAGGATTATGTGAGTTGGGTTTTTCTCGACGTATTGCTTTTGCAGAGCTGGAGTACTTAAGGTGCCTCCTAAGGGCTTTAGCTCAGAATCTTCGAATACGGGTGGTCTTTCGAATTCTCGTCGCTTCTTCTTGTAACTATAAGGTTCTACCATAATTTTTATATAAATTGAAGCGGTTTCTTGAGAAGATTATGGACGGATGGTTGGATTATAAAGGAAATAGCGTTAAGAGACTTTTATAGCTAGAGTTATAGAATTATGAACTTTAAACTTAAATTTTGATATATTTAAAGATAAGCTATAATAGAAATATTTCGCAAACAAAGCTAATTATTAAAAGTTTATAAATTAGATAATTAAATTAAGAAATTGAATCAATTCATCTATTCCATAAAAATAACTAAAAATGTTTAATTGACTTACGTATATCTAAAGAGTAAAAAACAAAGTCATTGATGCTTAAATATTCGTGCATTTATGCATATAAAAGGGCTCTCTGAAGTTTTAAATTTGAAATTGCAATTATTTCATTTGCAAAATAAAATAATAAGCATAAGTAAAAAATTAGTCATTCTAAACGAAAAGCTATAAATTATTCATCGAATGATTCATGTTTAATGTAAAAATAAGCAGTAAAGAATAATTGAAAGCTCATTATATTTTATTTATAATTAACTAAAATTTATAAGAAAAAACAAGTTATAGCAATAAATCTTTAAAATAACAAGTGAATACTTCTGTATACGGTATTATATTTCACTGAATTTTATTAAATTAAAAACATGGCCTTAATTAAGCATATACAATTATGGGTATCTACTGAGATGGCACCTCTGTTGGCTTTGCATTTTTAGGTGGCTTCCTAATATCGATTTCTACAATAATCAACTTATTTGCTATGGGAAGAATCACCGGCCTTAGTGGAATTCTTTTTACTATTTCAACATGGAATAAGAAAGAAGGCTTGATATGAAAAATCAGCTTTATGATAGGGTTAATAGGAATTATAATGATGTTTAGACTGGGAACTGACAAAGAAGTTAGTGGCCAAAAGGTTTTCGATGGCGAAGACGCTGGTGACGATTTAGACGCAGCTGGATGAATTCTTGGTGGACTATTTATAGGAGTTGGAACAAAATGGGGAAACGGCTGCACGAGTGGGCACGCTGTATGTGGAGTTCCTAGACTAGCCCCTAGATCTATTATAGCTACTTGCATATTTTTGTCTTTTGGACTTGCAACAGCTACTTTAAGACATTATAAGCCATTCTTAAATGATACACTCGATGTAAGTACTGGTACTTATGATACTTATAGACTTGTAAGCGGGTGGATTTATTTAGCAGCTTTTATTGGATTTTTAGTGCTTGCTGCTATTACTGCTTTATCAGCAGCGACTACCAAAATAAAGAAATTAGACTTATGAATTTCATGCCTTACAGGGGCTATATTTGGCTTAGGATTATTATTGTCTGGAATGTGCAGAAGGACAAAAATCTTAGCGTTTTTAACACTAGCTGATGGATGGGACCCAAGCTTAATCTTTGTTATGGCATCCGCTGTAGGAGTCAATTTATTTGCATTTAATTGGATATTAAAACAGCAAAAACCTATATGCAGCGAGAAATTCAACGTAACGACAAATAGGGAAATAGATTATGGAATTATTATTGGGCCTGCACTGTTTGGAATAGGCTGGGGACTTACAGGGTTTTGTCCAGGCCCTGCCATGGCTAATTTAGTTCTTTTACCTCAAGCAGCATTAGAGCTTTTATTTATTATAATTGGGCAGGTTTTTATAGATTTTGTATTAAAGAAATGGAAAGCGAGAAAAGAAAAGCTTCTAACTCCCCCCCCCCTCCGTGAGCGAACAAAACCATTAGAAAAATCGCCATTTTTTGACCAAAAACCCCACCCTCCGTGAGTGAACAAAAATTTTTTTAATAGAAAAAATTTTAATGGAAAAAAAATTTTGATATATAAGTGATAATTAGTATAATGAAATCTAGAGCTAATTCTGTTTAATTTTAAACAAATTGCGTTTTAAAACATAAATTTTGCAAATTAAATTAATATTTGCTTCCCAATTTTTGCAAATTAGGATTGTTTTAAATTTCGAAAAAAAATATTTTTTATAAAATTTATATATAAATTTTTTTTAAAAAAAAAAAATTAACCCCCCTCCGTGAGCGAACAAAATTTTTTTGTTCGCTCACGGAGGGGGGGGGGAGTAAGTAAAGACGACGTAGATTTGGGAAGCACAAGTAAGCCTCAAGCCTAAATTAAAGTGATTTTAATATTTCGTCTTAAATCAGCGATTTTCCAAAATATAAAATTCAATTTTTATAATATCATATTACATTACACATATATCCATATAAAGCATGATTAAATTAAGGAAACAAGAAAAAGTGTTTTTACTTATTGCTTTTAATACTGATAATCTTTAAAATTAAAACTTCTGAGTCTTTCAATTTCAGAGGGAATAAAAAATCAATAAGTATCTTCTATCAGTCTAAGTCAACATTAAATATGCCCAGACTTGACTCTAGAGCAGCTAAAAAGCCTACAAAACCTTCCACCACAACTCGTCGTTCACAGTCTTCAGTTCGCAATATCGGCCCAAAGCGAAAATCCTTTCTTCCAAGTCTTGGCAAAGTGAACCCATTAAACGTTTCACAACAGCAAGAATTATTTTTTCAAAATTCCTGTTTAACTAACCCAATCCTCTCATATTCCTATCCAAACCAAAAATCTGAATATCTCAGCAAGTTTCAACCATCATCCACATATTTGCAACAAGCAATCCATATATTGGAATCTTGCTTGGCTGAGTTTGGCAGTGAATCAAATTATTTTAGATCTGATGGAGGAGAACTACTTGACCAAGGACAAACAATTAATGCGATACAAACTTATGTTAGTGAGCTAGGCCTAACAGGTATTGTAGATATTGTTTTTTCCGAGCAAGCTATAGCTCCAGCTGCCTGCTCCTATAACTCAAAAACAAAAAAAGGTCAAGTAACGATATCTTTGCCAATTATTTATAGGAAAAATAGAATTGGTGGAGCTATGGACCATGAGATCGGGACTCATTTAATCAGGACTTTGAATGAAACCAAACAAGTTTGGTATAAAAAAAGAGATAAATTTAATTTGAAGCCATTTTTAGAAACAGAGGAAGGACTTGCTACGCTGCATACAGTTATAAGGCTAGCAATGAATAGAAATAAGAAGCCTTATTTATGAAGATCAGCTTTGCATTATTACACAAGTTACCAATCTTCACAAATGAACTTTGTCGATTTATTCTCGCACATGGAAAGATACATTGATGATCCTGGACAACGGTTTAAAGAAGTTTTAAGAGTAAAACGAGGCCTTGAAGATACTTCACAAATAGGAGGCTGCTATAAAGACCAAGTTTACTTATCAGGAGCAATAAAAATTTTACAAAAACGCCAAGAAATAAATTTTGATGATTTCTATATGGGAAAGCTTTCCCTTGATGATTATTTTAGGGACGATATAAGGGACAAAATAACTAAAGAAAAAACCGTCCTTCCCACATTTTTGAAGGATAAAGAAGAATATATGAGAGCTTTAGACTATATTGCACAAATAAATGGGCTAGATTAGAAAATCTAGCCTGCTAGAAATTATCTTATATTTTTTAACAATCTGGTAAAATATTTTAAAAAAAATTAAAAAGTCTGCCAAATGGAGCTTTAAAAAAACGAATATTGGATTAAAATGCTGATAATTATAAAAATTATGGGCTGCGAATCATCAAGAGAACATTATACAAAAGAAGAAACCTTAATTACTAATGCAGAAGCTAGCCTAGGTTTCTCTAATTGCAGTGCAGATATAGTCGACCTTTGAATCCGAAAATATTCCTCTGACGGGACTATCAACACTGAGCAAATGAAAGACATTTTCCAAGGCTGCGAAATCAGCATGAAAAGGCCTCTAGAAAGCTCCAAACTCCTGAATTGTTTCAGAAGAAAAGACAACACATACACACTTAAGCCTTTTTTAATTTTCGGAATCCTATTGAGCACTGATCTCCACAACAAAAAATCAAGTCTTCTATTTGAAGTTTTCGACGAGCATTACGAAAATTCCTTAAAAGAAGCAGCAATCCACCAATTAATTGACTATATGCTGAACATTTCTATCAACCTTTTACCTTTGAGCATATTGGACCAAGACTTGCCTGATGCGAAAATAAATAAAGTTTTGCTATACAGTAAATATCTGAAAAGCTTCCAAGAAATTGCAAAAGAATCATTAATTAGAATGCTAGTAAGAGACGAAGTAAAAGACGATGGGACGCTGACAAAGGTTCATTTTATCGAAAGCTTTGATGTTGGAGAGCTGCATCATTTGCTGACGCCTCATGGGATAAGATTGTATGTAAAGAAAATTGCTGAAACGACTTCAAAAAGCGTGGTGCTCTTAAATAAAAGATATATTCGGCAGCTTTCGGATTCGTTTTTTGAAAACGGAACAGAGGAAAATTAATTGCACAATAATTTAGTTATAATTTACACAAGTGCTTTGCATGCTTTAAATTTTCTAAATTCTGATAGTATTTACTTACTCCCCCCCCCCTCCGTGAGCGAACAAAACCATTAGAAAAATCGCCATTTTTTGACCAAAAACCCACCCTCCGTGAGTGAACAAAAATTTTTTTTAATAGAAAAAATTTTAATGGAAAAAAATTTTGATATATAAGTGATAATTAGTATAATGAAATCTAGAGCTAATTCTGTTTAATTTTAAACAAATTGCGTTTTAAAAACATAAATTTTGCAAATTAAATTAATATTTGCTTCCCAATTTTTGCAAATTAGGATTTTTTTAAATTTCGAAAAAATATTTTTTTTATAAATTTATATATAAATTTTTTTTTAAAAAAAAAATTAACCCCCCTCCGTGAGCGAACAAAATTTTTTTGTTCGCTCACGGAGGGGGGGGGGGGAGTTAATAGAATTTTGACGCCCTTAATGGTGAATTCAAAAAAAAAAAGAATTCGCCTATATGACAAACAAATAAAATTAAACTCATGTTTAAAAAATTTGCAAATTCTGATATAAATTAAGCAATTGCTGTTCAGGTAAATAATAAATTTATTAAGGGCTATAATTACTATAAGTCTAATTTTAGATATATTAAAGAGAGATAATTGACTAATTTATTGTTGATTTGGTATTGCAAGACTCATTCCAATATAAAACGTTTTTGATTCTTTTCTTGTTAAGTCAATCTCATTTTGAGCTCTAAAATATACGCACAAATAAGTTATCCCACCGATTAAAAATGTCGAAAAAGTAAAAATAATTGACCAAAACCACCATGTATTCCAGCTAGACCTTGTTGAATCTGGCCCATCCCCTTTTTTAGTTTTATCTCTTTTCTTCTGAGCTATTTTTAGCCTGGCTTCCACACTATTTCAGGACTCCAACCCATAAATATTAAGTCCCATAAGTTGGAACTTCATAGAATTTATAGACGTGCTATTAGTATGATAGATGTATCCTTGAGGGTTTTGCCGAATTTCATAAACACTGAGTGGGGTGATTTCTTGTGAATAAGCCATTAGATTGTGATATAGCCATAAATAACCATTAAAATCACTATAAAGCTGTAATCTTCCTCCAAAGTTAGGGGTATAATTTGGAGAATTCGGCAGAGAAATGTCTTTATAAATGGCACTCAAAGCAGTTTCAGAATAGTTGAAAATCCTTACTCCCCCCCCCCCCTCCGTGAGCGAACAAAAAAATTTTGTTCGCTCACGGAGGGGGGTTAATTTTTTTTTTTAAAAAAAATTTATATATAAATTTTATAAAAAAAATATTTTTTTCGAAATTTAAAAAAATCCTAATTTGCAAAAATTGGGAAGCAAATATTAATTTAATTTGCAAAATTTATGTTTTAAAAAGCAATTTGTTTAAAATTAAACAGAATTAGCTCTAGATTTCATTATACTAATTATCACTTATATATCAAAATTTTTTTCCATTAAAAATTTTTTCTATTAAAAAAATTTTTGTTCACTCACGGAGGGTGGGTTTTTTGGTCAAAAAATGGCGATTTTTCTAATGGTTTTGTTCGCTCACGGAGGGGGGGGGGGGAGTTAATAAAATAATTCCTTCTGTCCTAATTACAGGGAACGAAATAAAGGTTGATTTTGGGGTTAAATGTGTGCGGAAGCCTGATGGAGTAGATGCTAGACTATACATCGGCGGGAAATGGTTTTTTATTTTATAGGAATTTGTCAGAGAAATTAAATAAACATCAGCATTTGACATAATAGTAATTATAGACTTCTTATTGGCCAATAAAATCATTGAGCATAATTCTGAAGAAATAGTGTTCAGAATATTATCGCTTGGCATATAAATATCAAAAATTTTATAATTCCCTTGAGTTGAATTCGGAGTATTTACCAGACGAATTATCCCGTTTTGAGAATCCCCTATAAGAAGATAAGTGTTATTGATGAAGCCAATATTTATTGGGTTAAATGTATTTATTGATAATGATTGCGAAGTAATTGTTGCATACTGAGACAGGGAAAAAGTATTATTTGAAGATGATGTAATATTGAAAATTGTTAAAACTGTTCCACAATAATGATAAAGTTTTAGATTGCCATCATTGTCGCTTGAGGATTCCAGCATAGACGTTTTATAAGGAATTGATATTGTATAAGAATTATAAAAATCATTTAAATTCAGCAACGACAAAACAAATAAAGTATTATTTGCCCCATCTATTAAATTGCATCCTGCTGCAAATAAAAAGGAATTATTTGGGATTTCGCATAAAATATCGCAAGCAACAGTTTTTCCATGGTTTAATTCTGATAAATTATACATTTGCTGCTCCAATAAAGTAACTAATTGAATTTCTACTAGCATGTTTGGAATTGATATAAGCTGCATATCACTTGTAATAATAAAATCATAAACTTCTGTATCATTATAAATTGCTCCAATATCCCTTGTTTTGCTTTCTATACAAAATATATTTTGGCTGTTTGGATCACAAGTATCACTAGAAAAAATTAGCTGCTCTTGATCATTTGACAAAATATATCCAAAGTCAATATCATTTCCTATAAATGCATTTAAAGGCAAGCTTCCTGCATAATTACTATTTGTGACGTCTACTATTCCTTGATAATTTGTGAGGTTATTTTCTAACTCCCCCCCCCGTGAGTCAACAAAACCATTAGAAAAATCCCTATTTTTTGCCCAAAAACCACCCTCTGTGAGTGAACAAAAAATTTTTTTAATAAGAAAAAATTTTTATAGAACAAAATTTTGATATATAAATGATTAAGATTAAGATTAAGATTACGCTGGGTATTTAAGGTCCCTACTACGTCCGAGGTCGCATGCCACGGTTTCCCGTGTGGTGGCAGAGCGTTCACCAAGCCCGGGCCGAAACCCCCGGTTTCTCGGTAGAGGTATTGTCAAGGGCCGTCTTATACCGGCTTTGCTGACCACCTCCATTTCCAACTTGGATCGTCGCCTAAGTTTACGCCAACTCCGCTTCGTCGTCCGCCAGATCTGCCCATTGAAGGGCACCTTTTCAACTGGAGAGACCCCCGTCTCGATGTCTAACTCGCCTCCCCTCTTTTCCGGTCATCCCGAGAAAGAACTCAACAGCTTTCGCCATTCGGGGCGAGCCACTAAAGCAGCTTAGGCAGGTAATTCACCCTGCCTCATTTCGGCACTCACTGGGCTGAGCGCTGCTGGCAAAAAGAAGTCACGAATAACTGCCCATGGGTCTGGTCGCAAAAAACAGCGGTTCTCGCGCTTAGGCCTCTCGCTTCGAGGTCCCGGACGTTGTTGGGCTAATTCCTGGCTCCAAAAACCATGCCCGGATATACATGGGTAACCACCACTGGGAGGGTGGGTCGGTCGCCATACGCCATTTTATGTATATGATATATAAATGATAATTAGTATAATGAAATCTAGAGCTAATTCTGTTTAATTTCAAACGAATTGCTTTTTAAAACATAAATTTTATAAATAAAATTAATATTTTCTTTCCAATTTTTGCGAATTAGGATTTTTTTAAATTTCGAAAAAAAATATTTTTTTATAAAATTTTTATATAAATTTTATTAAAAAAAAAAAATTAACCCCCCCTCCGTGAGTGAACAAAATTTTTTTGTTCACTCACGGAGGGGGGGGAGTAAGTATCTATATTTTTCATTTTGATCCAAAAAATTCCCAATATTGCAAAACTGCACAGTAATTTTATTGGTAGCGTTAGAATTCGACCCAATAGTTGTGAGCTGTAACGTTTCTGTAAAAGCAGAGCTAAAATTGTACTCTTCAAACTGAATCCCAAATCTTCCTCATTCAGTGATCACATTGCTTCCGTTAGGAAAATAGTCAATAGGAAAATAAGGCAGTCAGTTATCATCACTAACTTGTCCTAAATAATACTCACTCCCCCCCCCCCCTCCGTGAGCGAACAAAACCATTAGAAAAATCGCCATTTTTTGACCAAAAACCCACCCTCCGTGAGTGAACAAAAATTTTTTTTTAATAGAAAAATTTTTAATGGAAAAAAATTTTGATATATAAGTGATAATTAGTATAATGAAATCTAGAGCTAATTCTGTTTAATTTAAAACAAATTGCGTTTTAAAACATAAATTTTGCAAATTAAATTAATATTTGCTTCCCAATTTTTGCAAATTAGGATTTTTTTAAATTTCGAAAAAAATATTTTTTATAAAATTTATATATAAATTTTTTTTTAAAAAAAAAAAATTAACCCCCCTCCGTGAGCGAACAAAATTTTTTTGTTCGCTCACGGAGGGGGGGGGGGGAGTCAGTAAAAAAGTCTCCATTAAAATAATACAAATATGATATATTAAATTGGTCTTCAGATGTAACTGCGATTGAGCCAACAATTTTTGAAGGCAAAGTTGTATATAAAGAGCAGTAATTTTCAGCATGAACATCATAAATTAAAACTTGTACATTATCAATGCTGCTACACATAACAGCTAAATAATGGTAAGATGCGTCAAAGTCGCTTGGAACACAGCCAAAACTGGGAAATTTTCTATATTTCAATAAATTCGCAGTGGAAATTTGAATAATGACAGGATTTACACTTTTTGAAAAAATATAAAGAAATTCATTTGTTGCAATCATTTCGACATCTGTGAAAAAAATGCCTTGGTAAATCCCATTCATCGTAGGACTATAATTTTGGGTTGTAACATTATCTATAGTAAAACATATTAATCCTTCAAAAAAATCATATACATAGAGCATCGTTCCTGATAGAGGGTCGATTGCAAAATCCACAGGCATAAAACTGATATTTCCTTCTATTGTATCCTGATTGATAGGATTATATTGGATTAATTCAAATGTATTATTGCTGCTTATTTCTATTTTAAAAACTTGAATTTCATTTCCCCTTAACGAAAATAGTAAATCATTTATGATTTGAAGCTTGCTGCTAGGAATGGAATCTGAAAATTCTATGCTAAAAATCAAATAAGGCTCTTCATATACCGTTATATTATACGCTTCCCATAGCACATTGGTTTCATTATTGGCATACTGAGTGCTTTCTATGAATATATGTAATTCCATGTTATTCTGAGCTTGATGAATTGCTGCTATCTGCTGAGTAAATCCTTCTTTGGGCTCTATATTGATATTCATCGAAATGAAAGAAGTAGCATCGCTTATTCAAGTATGCAAAACTCCATTGCAAATCGTTATAACAAAAGAAATGGAAGAACTGAAAGGAAATCACAATACAAATGGATCTAGACAATTATTATCTCCTAAGATACCGTACTCATATGCGATTTGGATCTTTGGGGGTATTGATATCGTTGTATTATAGTTTTGAGGGTTATCATTTTTTCCTGATAATTCTAATTGATAACTCACATTATGCCCTATCGCATAGTTTGATATTGGGATATAAATATAGGCAGAGCCATCAATAGGATTCGTTAAATATTCAGAAATATTCTGTAGAGCAATAAAACCTTGATTTTTATATTTGCCTCTTCAAGGGAAAATATTTAAATTTTCACTTAAAATAGCTTGTACAGCAAAATTAAAAGCGATAGGATATTGGCTATATTCATCATTTGAAGCATTTAAAGTTGCTTTATAAGTGTAAGGAATAATTAGTCCTGGGTCAAATAGTAAAGTCGGATTTTCCATCACTTGAAAAATTCTTAAGCTTGAGCCTGGGTTTGCAATTAAATAATAATTATCATTTTGATATATAACAGAGAATGCTGGATAAGGATTATTGTTTAGGTCATCTCCATAAAGATTCCATGTCCACTCGTCAAGTAATACAGAAGAATTTTGATATTGGGAGCGCGAGTACACTCTAAAAGTGGTTGTATATGAATTAGCTTTATTGACTATTTGGCTGATAAAATACCCCATTGTGAATATCTGATTAGAGACTACGCCTACACTTGAAAATAAACTTGATGCCTCATTGGGGTGCTGGAAAATGAAATAAGTTTGAGGAGAGCTTAAATCAGGAAGGTAATAAACAATTGGGCCAGATGAGGTTGTCACAGTTAAATAATTATTTTGAGATACGCATGAGATTATATTTCCATATTGCAGTGGATGAATAAAAATGTTTGTGACTTGGATTGTAGAGGAATTTTTGATTAAATATGCCAGGAGATCAAATATAAAAATTCCTTTATTATAATCACACAAATAAGCGAGGTTATTAAATGTCGCTAATCCTGTGAAATTCACAGAAGGCTGATTTAAGTTCGCTTGCGAAATGCTTCTAGAAAAAGAAGGAGCTATTTTAAAATCAAGATCAAACTGATAAATATTAACAACGTCAGAATTCACCATAAAAATCCACATAAAATTTCCCACATAATAAAAATTTATTGAGTCAGCTAATTCTTTATATGTATAACTAAACGCATTCCCAATTTGCGTTATATTTTTTATATCAGTAGCATTAACCATTCTCATCATATATTTAGTATTCCCCACAACTTTTTCTGCAGTTGCTATATAAACATCATTAAAATGCTCAATTATATCAATACATAAAATATTTACCTGGCTTTGAATGGTATAGGTATTTGTTTCAAAAACCTCAGCAATATTACTATAATCCCACGCTATTATAGTAGATCCTTCTAGACTGTATATAATAGAGTATCTAGGATCAAGGGCTAAGCTTCCATATTGGGCTTGCTGAGGAACAGTAAAAGTCTTTTCAATTCATTGAATTGGAACTAATCTTTGCTTAATTGTCGGCTGAACACCATTAGTGATATTAAAAATACCTGAAATTGCAAAGGTTATATTTTGGCCCGAGATAAATTCATTTAAGTTTATAGTCAGCGAGTCTTCTACAGCTAAGCGAAAACTATCAAGAGTATTGAGCTGGGTTATTGTGAGTTTTTGTGAAAAAATTACCAAAGCTTTGAATAGCAGAATAAGTTTTGCAGGAGAATTTAATCTAAGCATAAATTTAAATAATTATTTAAAAATATAATAAAGAAGCATAGCATTTTTATTCGTGCTATCAGCTAATTAATTTCTTATTAAGTAAAATCTTTAATTTTTTTGCTTTAGCATAAACTCATCCTTTTGGATCGCCTGTTAGTGCTTTAGATCATAGCGATCTGTTTCTTTTCTTTTCATAGCTATCAGTTGTGAGAGAAACATAAGTTGATGTGTCTAACCTATTCAGTATATAATTTATCTCTGATTCTTCAGGTAATGCTTCAATTGTGTCTAATTCTAAATTTTCATTGGCTATATTTGAAATTTCATCAGAATCTTCCTCAAGTTTAGTTTCAGCTGTAACTAAACTTTTTACTCTATCGATATCTTCTTGATATTTTTGTTTTCTCTTATTTGAAATTTTAATTACTTCGTCTTCAATCTCTGGAAATTCTTGCAGCATCTTTGAAAATTCTAGCTTACTAAGCAAAAAGATTTCTGCTATTTTAGAGACTACAATAACTCCAAATCATCTGGGAATATTTTCTAAAATTTCGATTTCTCCAAAATAAGTTCCTTGTGATAAACTTCTAAAAGAAGTACCATTTTTTATTATATAATTAATCCTCCCTTGACTTAAAAAGTACATTTCATCAGCTGAATCTCACATTTTATAGATGATTTCTTTTGCTTTGAAATTTATCAAGCTGAGTTTTGGAGCTATATAAGAAATAAAACTGTTAGGTCTGGATTGGAAAAACTCAATGTTTTGTATAAGTCGTTTATAAATATGATGATTTAACTCGCGGATTAGCTTAGGAGCCAAATCTCTCAATAAAATCCCTGGGTAAGCTCAGTTTTGTAAATTTTTTGTATAATATTCTTTCATGTAGCTTTTAGCTTTTGCTTTAGATCCTTTAGGAAGATTAATAAGAGTGCACAGCTCTGAAAAACATGCTAATTTAATATTTAGGCCTGAATAATTATTTTCATGCTGTTTTATGATCGAAATAAGTGATCCAATTGTAAAAGCTCAAAATCCTGCTCCAAAAGTAATGACAAACATGGCATATATTTTTTCAGTATTTGTCAATGGGACAAAGTCCCCATATCCTACTGTTGTTAAAGTTACAAAAGTCCAATAAAGCGAAATTAAATACTTTTTATAAATTTTTTCATGTGAAATGCTATATCGGTTGAGCCAATTTCGATGGTCCATTTTTTCAATCATGCCCAAAAAATATCATCCGCATGCAATCGTGTGAATAAAAAGAATAATACAGCATATGAATTTTGCGAAATTTCATAAGGGAGAGTAGTTATATTTCTTTTTTAGTTCCCTGGGTTTAATAATTCTTATTACTTTCATCAATATAGGAATTCTAAAAGATTGGCTATTAGTGATATTTATAATATATAGGATTGATCAAGGGATGCAATTTATAAAATCAAATAAAAACCAAGTACTTAAATAATGGGCTGCAATTGTTGACTTTTTAACAATCAGATTTTTGTACGACTTGTAATATCCACTATTAAAATTAATAAAAATATCTATCATAAATATTAGATCAATAGAAAAATCAATTGAAAATCATGTTCAAGCATCTTCATAAATAAAAGCTATTGAAATAGGTATAATAAGTATCCATATAATTATTAGCAAAAAAATAATTCATGACCATATTTTCAAAAATTTTCCTGTCGGCAAAAATAATAATTTCAAAGCTGAATAAGAGTTAAAGTCAGAAATTTCTTCATTTAATTTTAAATTTTGAGGATCAAAACCAAATATAATCCGATCTCGAGACATATTTCTAAGTCTCATAACAGAAAAAGCAATGCGTCTAGCTCTTTTTCATAAATAATCAATTCTTTCTTTTGGGATTTTTCTTCTTTTCTCAGAAATTTTATTATAATTTAAAAAGTTTTTGATTTGCTATTTGTCAGAAAACCATTTTAAAATTTAGATTGATGGACTATATTATTTATAAATTGCATAAGAGCTTGAATCATATATTCATTTAATTTACAAGGAATCATTCTACACATAGAAATTATTTTAATTATCAGAACTTATTAATAGAAAGCATTAAATATTAAAAAATTTAAATAACCTTCTATTTTTTCTCCAAACTCATTTTGGTTATCTCGACAAATTTGTTATAAAATTTTACTTATTTATTAAAATATAGCATAATTTTCATATCGGTTCCACAAAAAAATTGTAATTTTTCTCTTAAATTTATATACCTCTTTAAATGTCTCATTTTCCCTGTATTTAAACCTGCGCAATAAAAATCTAATGGAAGGGTACTTGCTAAAGTGGACAAACTACATTTTTGGCTGGCAGCGCCGATATTTTATTCTCTATAATGGCGTTCTTCATTACTGCAAAGACAAAGGTTCCCCTCAAAGAGGAATAATCCATCTTGAAATAGCTCACATTCATAAGCATCCTTTAAAACCCTGTCGATTTTTCATAGACACTGGATGCACCCAAGTTCATTTAAAAGCATACACCCCAGGAGAAGCTGCTGACTGAATTCGCGCTTTAAAATTAAATCAAACTGATGTCAAGAAGCGGACAATGAGTGAAGACCCAAGAGCAAGCGTAAACACAGTTGAAAACTCCCCAAACCAAGTTATTCATGGAAAAATAGGCGAGATGTGAAGTGTTCACGCACAAATGCAAGCGACTATAGACTTAATTCCTAGTTCCCTAATAAAAACTACCCCGGGAATAGAAAAGATTGTTTCTCTATGTGAAGAGATGAAGATTTTGGCGACTGAAGTGCTGCAGTATATTGATACTGATGAAGATTTTAATAGAAAAAGCATGTGAATTACACAAAAAAAAATCAAAGAAAAAGATATTTCTAATATCATATAAAAGGCTAATAAATTTAATTTTTTATTATAAATGTCAATAAATTCATAGATTTTTTAAAGAATAATAGAAGGAAAACAGTATAATTCAATCGGCTCGGACAATGAAATTCAGTCTGATAATTCAATAGAATTCATGAAAGATGAAAGGAAAAAAGTGATGGCAGGTTATCCTAATGAAGACGAAAGCTACTGTTTTGAAGATGCACAAAGCCATATTTCTGAGGACAAAATAGAGGAATTTAAACAAATAGAAGTTATGATGCCAATAGAAAGGCCGATAACATCAAGCATTGCGGTACATAGAGACAGACTTCCCCACCTACGTGACCCTAATGAAAAAATTAATATTTGGAAAGTTGTTAAAGAATCCATCGGGAAAGAGCTCAGCAAAATATCTGTTCCTGTGTATTTTAATGAGCCTTTAAGCTTTATTCAAAGGTGGGCTGAAGATTTAACGTATAATGAAATTTTGCTTCGAGCTGCTGATCATCCAGATCCTAGGTTTAGACTTGCTTTAGTATCAAGCTTTGCTGTCACTTCTTATACGACAAGTGAGTGGCGCACTATGAAACCTTTCAACCCATTATTAGGAGAAACCTTTGAATATGAACAAGACGGCTTTAGATTATTATTGGAACAAGTAAGTCACCATCCTCCCATTTCTGCTTTGCACTGTGAGCATGAAAAGTATGTGTTTTGGGCCAGCGTCCAAGTAAAAACTTCTTTTAAAGGGACGCACCTATTAGTAGAGCCACAAGCTAACTATCATTTAATATTGAAACCCTATAATGACCATTTTGTCTGAAATAAACCCCAAACTCGTGTTCATAACATTATTTTTGGGAAAATTTGGGTCGAGCATAATGGAATTGTTGATGTAAAAAACACAGAAACTGGAGATTTTGCTAAAATTAACTGAAGAAGGACAGGGTGGTTTTCGAAAAAAGCTACAGAAGTCGAAGGAAATATTTATGATGCATATGGAAAGGAGCATTACAAGCTAGAAGGAACATGGAATGGAGGGATGGATGTTGTGAATAATCAAACTGGAGAAATAGTTGAAGCATGGAGAGCTTATCCATTCCCTAAAGATTTTGAATGGTGCTATTTTTTCAGTGATTTTACTTTACAGCTAAATCAAGTACCAGAACTAGTGCCTGGAATTCCAACTACAGATTCAAGATATAGACCAGATCAAAGAGCATTGGAAAATGGAGACTTAAAATTAGCAAATTCAGAAAAACATAGGTTAGAAGAAAAGCAAAGAGCAGCAAGGAAGATTCTTGAGGATAATCATGACACTTATTTCCCAAGATGGTTTACATTAGAAAACGACGAATGGAAATATATAGGAGGATATTGGGAATGCAAAGAGCAAGGATATTATCCAAATATTCCTGATATATACTAATCTTATCACTCTAAATATGCATATAGCAAATCTCCTATTTTAATGAAAAAGTTCCCATAATTCAATTTAACATAAATATTATAATAAAATTTCTTTATGTTTTAATTCAAAAATATCAATTTTAAGACCCATCGCAAAATTATTTGCTATTCCATTATAACTGATATTATCAATTACATAAAAAGACTGGGAATTTCCTTTTAAAACAAAAATGATAAAACCAAAAAATCCGACCCGTAATAGTTTGAATTCCCGTCACAAAGGATTCACTCGACAAGAATGAAATTTGATAATAAGACGAAATGACTTTGATAATGTTTCTAAACTACGGCTAAGAAATAGTCTAATTAGTGGAATTCCGGAAGAGCTAAGAGGAGATATTTGAGCATTTCTAACTAGAGCAAGCCAGCTATTACAGCAGTTTTCAAATGGTGTTTATAGCAGGCTAATAGAAAACATTGACCCGTCAGTATCTAATATAATTCAAAAAGATCTTCATCGAACATTCCCTGAACATCTTTTATTTCGAGAAAAAGGTGGAATAGGCCAACAAAAATTATGCAATATTTTATATGCTTATGCGAACTATGACCCTGATATCGGGTATTGCCAAGGAATGGGATTTATTGTCGGATGCTTAATCATTCATATAAATCAAGAAGAATTAGCTTTTTGAGCTTTCGTTCAAATCATGTTTGAGTATAATTGAAGATTGATGTTTAAGTAAAAATCATATAGACAAGGGACACCAAAGCTGATTAATATGATAAATAACACCACAAAAACCATAAAATCAAGATTTCCTGATCTATCAAAACATATTGATGAAAATGATTTAACGCTCGTTTCTTGCTTTGCGCAGTATATGATTACGATTTTTTTATATGACACACCATTTGACATTTCTGTTAGAATTTTTGATTTATTTTTGCTTGAGGGGGAAAAACTGATGCATAGGCTGCTGTCAAAGATGCTAGAATTAAAACGAGAAAAGATTTTAGAGCTGCAAGGAGTCGAGCTCTATCAGTTTTTAAGAGGAAGGATGGTAAAAGAATGTTTCGAGGAATATCACTTGTCGACGTTATTTTCAGCTTTTAGAAATGATCAGGAATTCGAACTTAGTGAGCTCGATTAGATAATAAAGAGATTGGTTGGATTTAAAAAATTTTATCGAAATTTCTGAATATGAATAAAAATTTATTTAAAAATATTTATAAGTGTAGTGATGAAAAATAAAATTTTATTTTAAATCAATTATTTCTTGTTTTTTTTGTTGCAAATTTAACCTCAAATCCATAATTCCATAATTTAAATTCCGATATTTAAAATATGGCCCTCAAATCAAGCAGAAATCAAGAAGACGGTGAAACTCCTGGGGTAGTAGAGGAAAAAGTTGTAAAAGTAAATGGAGATATTGCAATTAGAAGGTATAATAAAGGCCGCTTTCTTGGAAAAGGTGGCTTTGCAAGATGCTATGAGTTTACTAGTCTTGATACTCGAAAGGTGGCTGCAGCCAAAGTAGTTCCAAAAGCTTCTTTAGCTAACCCCTATTTTTAAATTGGAACAAAATATTAATAAAATATCCATTCTTTTGTTACTTTGAATTGGAGCAAATTTTTTGAAAGAAAAAAAACTTTATTGCTAATTTTTATAAAATTAGTTTTGCCCTAATTTAATGTAAAAGTGCATGAAGAATATTATTAAACAGTTTTCACATTGAATAAATTAATGTTTTGAATCAATTCTTCATAAAATAAATTAAAACTTCAAAAATATGCATTCATTTTACATTCTTTTATTTTAAAAATATTTTATAGCGAAAAATTTAATATAAATTTGATTTGAATTTTTCTTCCATTTTAAATGGGGGAATAAGGCTAGAGCGAAGCAGAAACTGATGTCAGAAATAAAAATTCATCGTTCACTGCATCATCCAAACATTGTCGGTTTTGAGCATTTCTTTGAGGACAATGAAAATGTTTATATTTTGCTTGAGCTGTGCACAAATCAAACAATGAACGAACTTTTAAGGCGCAGAAAACGCTTAACTGAGCTAGAAGTGCAATGCTATACAATGCAGATTATTTCAGGTTTGAAATATCTGCACACTCACCATATAATTCACAGGGATCTGAAGCTAGGAAATTTTTTCCTATCTGACAAAATGGAAGTTAAAATTGGAGATCTTGGTCTTGCAACCAGGCTCGAGCATGATGGAGAAAGAAAAAGGACAATTTGTGGGACACCGAATTACATTGCTCCGGAAGTATTAGATGGTAAGCAAGGGCATTCTTATGAAGTTGATATATGGAGCTTGGGTGTAGTCATGTATACACTTTTGGTCGGAAAGCCACCATTTGAAACTTCTGACGTAAAAACGACTTATAGGAGAATCCGCATGAATGCATATTCCTTCCCTGATCACGTTCCCCTTAGTGAGCAAAGTAAAAGTCTTATAACCCGCATACTTGTCACTGACCCCTCTAAACGTCCATCGCTTGATGAAATTATTGAGCATGAATTTTTCCATCAAGGGAATGTAATTCCTAACTCCTTGAGCTAAATTATGTTTAATTTTAAACAGCTTGCATTCTAGAGAATCTTGCTATAAAATTTATATATAATTTTTAAAAAAAAAACTAGCGAATAAAAAAATTTTGTTTACTCACAGAGAGGTGGAGTAAGCTTCTTCCTCCATCAACCTTAGCATGTCCTCCCTCGTCATCATTTCTTCGTCAATTTCAGCCCAGTGCGTCTAATCCTCAATTGACGTCTACTCAGAGACTAACAGAAACTGCCCCTGCCATTTCTAAGCAATCATCTAGGAATTCTCGTCAAGAATTAGTCAACACTGAAAGAGTTTCTCGCGCTAAAGAAGAAACAAAACAGTTACCTATCCCTAATTCTTCACAAGGAAATACAGAACTGCCAGAAATTTGGGTGAAAAAATGGGTTGATTATTCATCAAAATACGGTCTAGGGTATTTATTAAGCAATGGGGCTACAGGAGTGTTTTTCAATGATGCTACTAAAGTGATGCTAGGGCCTGCTGGGCATAGATTTAATTATATGGAAAGAAAAGGACCTGAAAAGCAAGATGTTGTTACTAGTCACACATTAACTGACTATCCGAAAGAATTGCAAAAAAAAGTGACGCTTTTACAACATTTCAGAAGCTATTTAGAAGGTGATATAAAGCTGGAGACAGGAATTGAAGACGAAAATACTATGAGAAATCCTGTTTATGTAAAAAAATGGATGAGGACTCGGCATGCAATTATGTTCAGATTGTCTAATAAAATTGTCCAAGTAAACTTCCAAGACCATACAGAAATCATTCTGAGCAGTGAAACCAGGGTAGTCACTTATGTCAATAAAAAAGGTGAAAGAATGACTTACCCATTGGCAACTGCCCAAGAAAGCACTAATCATGAAATGACTAAAAGGTTGAAATACACTAAAGATATTTTGACTCATATGCTGAATGCCCCCAACAAGCCTGACGAAGAGCAGCCTATTGATTAATTTTGCTAATCTTGGTTTCTTTATTAATTTTCAAAAAGTTATTCTAATATTTATTTAGCTTCTTCATTAAGCTTCCTTTGAGTATCAACTGGATCTCCGGACTTGATGAACTTAAAACCCATTTTTATGAGGAGAATATACCAATAGATATGCAGCACAAGCAAAACGTGGACCATTGCTGACAAAATTCCTAAGCCATAAACTTCATGGGCAACTGGGTTGCCGTAGTAGCTTCCTACTCTCATTAAGTCAAATGGGAAAATGTAAAGTCTCATATAAGCCCATGTAATCATAATGCCTATATATGTCACAAAAGTAATATATTTATGCCTCGTATCCATCAGAGTTCTTGTCAAACATACAAAGAGGTCAGATAAGTCATGAGTATATAGGACGAGATGCGATACAACAACACAGTTCATCATATATGCTGATGTTACCAACCATACAGTCATCGAATGATGCAAAAGCATTTCCATAAAATCATTTCTCGGCTTGCTGAAAATATGAACTATAAATGATTGGGCATGATACCCGAGCTGTATCAAAATGTACTGCCTGATGTAAGGAAAAGTTTCATAGCTTTGGAATGGAAAATCTCTCCACATTTCATCAACACTCCCATGCCCACCAAGTGAAGGTGAAAGCCAATAAGAGTCCTTACTCCCCCCCCCCTCCGTGAGCGAACAAAAAAATTTTGTTCGCTCACGGAGGGGGGTTAATTTTTTTTTTTAAAAAAAAATTTATATATAAATTTTATAAAAAAAATATTTTTTTCGAAATTTAAAAAAAAATCCTAATTTGCAAAAATTGGGAAGCAAATATTAATTTAATTTGCAAAATTTATGTTTTAAAACGCAATTTGTTTAAAATTAAACAGAATTAGCTCTAGATTTCATTATACTAATTATCACTTATATATCAAAATTTTTTTTCCATTAAAATTTTTTCTATTAAAAAAAATTTTTGTTCACTCACGGAGGGTGGGTTTTTGGTCAAAAAATAGCGATTTTTCTAATGGTTTTGTTCGCTCACGGAGGGGGGGGGGGGGGAGTTAGCAACCCAATAGCCAAATACAAAAGCAAAAGTAAAATAAAGCGTCTTAAATAAAGATTCAATTAGTTTTTCACTTCTTACAATCCTTTCTTTTCCTGTGTATTTAGGAGCAATAATTCGTTCAGAAAAAGATTTCAATAAAAATTTCATCGAAAAGAGGATGCATATAAGGATCACACAGGTATAACAAGCTAGCCATAAATCCTCGTATTGTGGCCAGTTGTAATTCGGGTTCTGAGCAATTCTCATCTGCACGACTGCATCGAAATCCTTTAAGAACGGAGCAAGAAATGGGAAAAACAGCAAAAAGATGAGAAAGAAAATCAGCTGCATTTTGCTTTTTCCAATGATGGATAAAATGATCTCAGTGATTGGAAACCGCTTAGGCATGGTCTCGTTATCTCCAAGCTGTTTTTCGGCCATAATTTTATAAGTCAGATTCCATTGATCAAAAAAGAATTTGTAATACAAACAGGAGTTTTTGACGGATATTAGATGAGAATTGCTAAAAATATAATCGATGGATGTGAAGAACAGTAGAGAATAAAGAATATAAGGCCTGATGATATGATGTCACTGAATATGGTGATGAGAAATTATGGAAGTCGAGATTTACAAAACATGAGGATTTTATAAGGATTTTTATAAAATTAAAGCAGATAAAGATTGTGTAAATTTTCATAGACAAATAATTAGGTATATTCATAATGTTTTATAATGAATTAATGTAAATAAATATTGATAAATATTTCTAGAACCATTTCAGTATTGCAAATTTGCTTTAATAATCAATAAGAAGCTATTGGCTGAATTTAGCTGGAATCTCGATTTTATTAAAATTATGATAATAATTATTAATTTGTGAATTCTGATCTTTAACTAACCCCATGCTTCGACTATCGCATAATTAACAATCAATTCTCCTCCAACTTTGAAACAAGAAAATAAATCCCCAATAAATAGCATCCTAATCTTAATTAAAGGGTGGCTTCTGTCTATTGGTAGTGCAACCACCAACTGCCCATAAGGGTTTATCAAATTTTCGCCACTTTTGTCCAAGCTGGATTTGGATTGGAATGATTCTCCTAGCAGAAAAGGATCGAAACCATTTTGCTCCTCCTTCGGCCCCTGACACTATGGGATATCCGAAGTCTTTGCTTTTCTTATTGTACCTTCTCCTTGCTACTCAGTTCATTGTTGAGTGAGCGGACAAATGACTTCTGTGGCAGCTTGGTTTTCGTGCAATTTGAAAGCACAAATATCTTAAAAAATGGAACTTCTGCTGACTTTCGGCAAAAGGGAAAAGTTCAAATCCCGGAGTGTAGATCTAGGTTTCACGTTAAGGATTTACCAGATTAGTCGATTTATTATCTGCTGGCTTGCTGCGCTTCCCCTTTCTTACTATGTACCTCTCCTTCCACTCGAGTTAAAATCTAAATCTGAAACCGGACTTGAGTTATGCTCTGAAACGACATGAAATTGCTTGCCTAGCATACTGTCAATTTTTGATTGGCAAAACCTTGTCGGATATACTTTAAATATGGTGTCTCAGCCAGGACATGACCTCCAGTCATACCCTGGCTAAGAAAGCATTCAATTAATAGCATCAGGAGGTGGTGAAAACGACGAGTTTATATACAGGAATATATCTTTCGCTTTAATCTGATTCCTCAAAAAAGTAATTATTGTATTAAATTGTTCTAAGCCTGAGACTTTAAATTTGCTCTTTTTTAGGATAGGAGCATTTCCTACAGGCTTCACATGAACTGTTATTTTGTCATCTCGGTCAATACCTGGAGATTTTATAGGAGATTCAGCTGCTGGAGTAGTTAGAGGCTCTTCTTCCATCTTATTTATGCGGAATATAAATTTTCTGAAATTATTAACAAATTAAGCGATTCTGTAGCTAATTTAGCTATATTTTTTGGTAATTTCTATAATATACAAGATTAATTTTTAGCTTAATTATGAAGGTAAATCTATGTTTTTAATTATTTTTTAGTTTTGTTTTTTTCAAACTGCTCATAGATGTTATCGAATTCTGGAGTTCTAGCTAACTGAAGCACAACTTTATAGACTTTTCTAGGTTTTCCATCAAAATCCTTTTCGTCAACACAAGAAGTCTCAAACTTTGTAAGAGTTGCATAACCTAAGGAAACCAATCTTAATCTTAATCTTAATTACTCTATATATTTAACGTCCATACCAGGTTGCTAAACTATATCTGCCTCCAGCTCCGCTCGGGGGAAATTTTACGCCATTTTCCTCTGGCCCGCCAAGGTGTGGCTACCTCGGACTTTGCTCACCAATGAGGCCGCCAGTCTTGAAGTTAGGGCTTCGACTACTCTTCTTAGAGCTCAGGCCCTAACTTGGGTTCAATCAGCACCCTAAATCTCCCAGTCCACCGTCTGGGGTAAGCGATATCCTTCTTGAAAATTCCATTCCCTAAAGCCAGGAGTCTGGGAGGAAAAACCATCTGGCTCTTGCTTCTCTGATAGAGCTGGAATAATTTCACCAAGGGAAACCTCATAATTAAAATATGCAAGAGATATATTTTCACTTGGGAGACCAGAAATTTGCGCGATGTCATATTTTGATTATCTAAGGACACCAGTCTGTCAGATGCTTTTACTGCGTTCACAATTGATCCACCAATTGCATGGAATGAAACACTTCCTTTAGCTTTGAGCTTTTCTTTTCCTTCAAAGATATAAGTTCCAGGGTTATTTCTTACGCTTACTTTGATGATGCTTTCTTCAGACTCCATTTACCACTTATTATAACCATTAGGAAGAGGAATAAAGCTGCTTATATATTTTCGAAGAATCAAAATAGACTTGGGTAAAACCTTACTCCCTTTATTCGCTCACGGAGGTTTAATTATTATTCTAAAATTTATATAAAAATTTTATGGTAATTGTTTTAGCTATTTAGAATGCAGGTAGTTTAAAAACAGAATTAGCTAGAGATTTCATTATAGCAATTTAACTTTTATATCAAAATTGTTTTTATAAAAAAAAATTTATATATTAAAAACTTTTTGTTCGATCACGAAGGATAGGCTTTTATAGGGATTTTCCCAATAGTTCTATTTTCTCACAAAGTGGGGAGCTAGATAATTAATTTGCATTTAATTCACGCTAATTTATCAGTTTCTCTTTGTTGAGAGAATCTTTGACATGGTAAAACAAGTAAATACTGTAGATGGAAGAATATTTACCAACATTTTAAAATAAGAATAGCCAAAAATCATAATTTAGCAATTATCATTTCATAATTTAACGATTTTAATGAAATTTGCAAAATAAATTAGTTATTGTATTTTAAATACAAAAAAAGGAAAATATATAAACTTTAACAATTCTCAAAGCAATAATAAGAAAATGGCTCCAAGGATTAAATTTTTTTAATGTTAGCGAATGGGTGGAGTTTAAGGATATTTCATTTTTGTCAAACACCCCAATTAATATTGGAATAAAATGGAATAGCAAGCCTTAAATTTTATCACTAAATTGCCCCATATAGCAATATTTATTCAAAATTCTAATTGGGGGCTTATAATTTTAATGCCTTCAGCTGCTCACTCCTCCTTTAAACTGAAATGAAATATATCTAAAATTCGATTTTCAGGTGAATTAATCCCATTTAATTGGATTATTTTTATAATTAAAATTTTATATAAGTCAAAAAAAAATAATTTATATCTATAGTTTAACTCAATTTAATGAAGGAAGTGCAAATAGAATGCTATTTAAACAGATTTTGCGCTGAATCGATTAATATTTTAAATTAATTCTTCCAAGTTTGATTTAAATTCAAAAATACATTCAATTTATAATACGTTTTAATTTATTTTCAGAAAATTTAAATCCTTTTAAATGTAATAGCTTTTTATTCCAATTTAAAATTGGGGGAGTCAAAAGAAAAAGCGAGACCAAGTCGCACTGTCATTTTTACAAAACTCACAGAACTTGTACGAATATCTAAAAAACGAAAATGTGCACTTAAGAGTCCTAGTTATAGACTGAATGAAGCATTACAGATCAAATGAGACCGAAGCCCTTGGGTCAATTTTATCCTTTCTCTTGCAGTCCTGTGGCCTCAATAAAGACACAATCACATTAGACGACCTTGAGAAAAACGAGATGGAAGCCCTCGTTTCCCGTGTCAACGACCTAGCAAAAGAAAACGAAGAATATCCCTTAGTCTCTAAAAACAAAGTCCTCAAAAACTTCTACAGTAATTTTCAATTTTTTTGGGTCCATCTTGTATCAGAAGCAAATGATGACCTTTATGATGGATCACTTTTGACCTTTTTAATCAGCTGAATGTCAAGTTTAACATTCAGTAAGCTTAGATCGCTTCGGCATACTTCAACTGCTGGAATTTTATCAATGGGCCAAGCTTTGATTGACGTTTTGGTTAGAGAAGTCCATGATGCTGAAAAAGTGAAAACTTTTATATCAACTGAGCTGAATAAAGGAAGCGATAAAGAGCGTGTAGAAAAGCTAAGAGAGCAAGAAAAAGAAGCTGATGAAAGGGTGAAAATTATTAGTGAGGCCTTGGATTCGATTTTTAAAGATGTGGTTACTTTTAGATGCAAGGATGTTATGATGGAAATCAGAGCTCTTTGTATACAAAGTATGGGATACTGGGCTGATAAATATGGAACTCGATATCTAAACCAAGGAATTTTAGATACTATGGGAATGATGCTCTACGACAAAGCTCCAGAAGTCAGAGAAAATGTCTTAAATTTCTTATCAAAAGCATGCATTGAAACAAATTTAGTCAAATTAAAAGACTTTATTGCTAAAAATAAGCTGAGACTTGTAGAGATGTGCCATGATATAGAAACAAAATGCTGCGTGGAAGCTATAAAAGTATGCACTCTACTTGTGAAAGCTGAAAAACTTACAAAAGAAGAACAAGATATGGTTTCATTTTTATTATGGGCGGATGCAGAAGAGGTAAGAAATGCTGTCAGTGATTTTGTAGGAGCCTCTGCATTTGGTGGGCAGTTGCCCAAAGACTCTACTTCTACTGGAGGTCTTGGGCTTGAGCAAGGGAGAAATTTATCAGCTGAAAAAGCTTTGTTGAGTATTATAGCTCATTACCTTAGCTTATATAGAGGCTCACTGCAATTACCGAAGCCTTGTCTCCTTACCCGCTTCCCCGCTTGCTCGCCAGTTCGCTAATTCGAGCTTCACGACATCGAGAAGGTTGGCTCTGCGAGAGGGCCTGCACGTGCTACCCAGTAGTCGGAAGAGTTTTTTCACTATATCGCGCGTAAACATATATGCCCACCATTGAAAATAGTTGAATTTTCCGGCCAACAGTCAGGAAAAATGAAAGATGAAAAGCTCAGGACGCAACAACTAGTATCATGCTGGGAAATATTTGAATTGACGAAGAGAATTACTTCTGGAACTGCAGGATACCTTTCCATTTACTAATGAGGACAAAACTTATCACTGTCTTGAACTTTGGATGGCCATCTCAGCACTACCGCTGTGCTTTTTCCAAGAAAACCTTGCTGGATACAGAGATCTTACGCCAACCTCCCTTCCTCGAGGTCTCCAGCACCCTGAGAGTATCAGCTACAGGAGTTAAGAGGGTGGGTCGATCCGCCAAGCTACTTTAATATATGCTGAGTATTATAGCATTCTTTAGAGATTTCGGAGAAAAGCAAATGTATAGGGTTGATTTACTTGTAAAAGCATTTTGAAATAGAACTTGCGTTCTGAGAGATTGGGAAGCTATTTGTGAGCTCCTTAGAAGAGGTGACCCATCAAGACCTGGCACATCCCCACTTGAAATACATGATAGAGAAATCCTTATTAATATGCTTATTTCTGCATTAAAGCATCTCCAGCACTGCCCTGATAAGAAGCAAAGAAATTCTATGATCGCGCTGTCTACAACGATAATTTCCCATCTTCCTTATTTGTTGAATTTTTATAGAAATGATCCTATGGTGACAAAGGAATTAGTGAAAATTCCTAACTTCCTTGAGCTATCGTCGCTTGCTTCTAAAGATTTGAAAGAGCCTTTTACACTGCTCATAAATACTTTAAAGCAGCTTTTAATGCAAAGTTCTGATGGAGAAATCATAATGAAAGCTGGACAATGCTTACTCTGCTCCCAATTAAAATTAACTCACTATGCAAAAATATTTAAAAAAATTTCTTTTCAAATTTGTTATGGAAGATCATGAGAAATAGATACATTTTAGGCAAGATTTATTTTCTGCATCTTGGAAAATATTAAATAATTATTAATAATTATAAATATGCAAAGGAGATTTAGGAAAATTCGCAAGAGAAGCACATCCATTGCAGAAAGAAGCAAGATCAGAAATGACAAAGCTAGTTGATGATTGCAGTCAGGGATTGAAAAAAGAATTTATCAATTGGGTATTGGATGGAGAAGAAGGAGTTCTAGAGACATGGCTATGAAGAACAGAATCGCTTATTGCAGTTACTGATTTACTAGATGATTTAGGAAACGACCGCTTTGAAGACTTTTTAACCGTTATTTCTCATTACACAACTCTCCTATATAAAATTTTAAAAAATTATTTTAAATAAAATAAAAATTTCTACTTGCTTAAATAATAAAAATTATTATAATTTTTTATAAAAACAATTTTAATTTTTTATATTTTAGCCTAGCATGAAGGTAAATGACAGCCAAAAAAATGTTCAACTCACCTTGCGTTGCTTACTCCCTCTCTCATGAACGAGCAAAACTATTGGAAAAATCCCAAAATTTGAGTAAAAAGCCCACCCATCATGAGCAATAAAAAATTTGATTATAAGTGATATTAGTATTATGAAATCTCATGATAATTCTGTTTAATTTTAATTATCTTCATTTTAAAAAATATTTTTACAAATTTAATTAATATTTGCTTTGCAATTTTTGCGAATTTGAATTCCATAAACAAAAATTTACTATAACTTATATATAAAAAAAATTAACATTTTTGTTAGGGGGAGTTAGAAATTGTATATTACTGGAATCTTTGGCATTTAAACAGGATCACAAATCATCCTGTTGGTATCGAAGAATACAATGCCAAAAGAAAGGAAATAATAGAACATTTTGGAGCTCTGCTAGCTAAACAAGATGCTGATCCAGAACTCAGGAAATACACTTTTAAATATTTATGTGAGACTTTAATGGTGATTTCTGGGCAAAAAGCTGCAGATACTCCTATACATTATGAAGTCAGCAATGATTTATGGGAAACCCTTGAAGAGTACATGGCACTTGTTCCATTAGAAATTGAAACTTCTATGGTCTCTGTTCCTCCTCGTGCATTCTTTAAAAGAGGTGCAAAAATAGAAACAAGCAAGGAAGACGCAGACTCTCACACACAAATGGTCTGTCTGCACATAGCAAGACTAATCTGTATGTGTCCTACTATAACTTCATCACAACTGCCTAGTAGTTTTTTTGCGCATTATGGGCATTCTGCATTAAGAGCTATTTCCACCATAGTAAAGCATGCATTAAATTCATTTAAAGCCAAAGAAACTTCCCAAGGAACAAATAATCAAGAAGGAATTTTATTCAATATTATGCTGGAATCACTGATAAAATGCTTAGGAAATGGTGATGAAGATGATATCACAAAAATGAAAGAGCTTGCAAGAAAATTTGTAAATGCTTTAGGAGCTGGACCAATGAGACCAAAGCAAGCTGATAAATTTCTTTCATTTTTGCTAGATGGGATTAGTTTTGCTTTCTCTGATAAAGCAAATTTCCCTATATTAGATGGGTTATCAATTTTTGTCAGTAAAAATTATTTATCACCATCACAAATTAGAGAATTGTACGAAAGGATTTCAAAAGATGCAGAAAAAATAGAAGAAAAAATAAAAGAACACGAAACTGATGTAGAAAATTTAATGTTTCCTGTAAAACAATTTTTATATACACTCAGTAAAATTGTAGGAGTTTCGAGGCCACCACCAGTGCAGTCTACAGATAGAGCTAGAAAAATGCTTGTAAGGAGAAGAGATGAAGTTTTAAATAAAGATACGGACAAATCGAAAAGATGCATTAAAAAATCATCAGTGCCGAATGAAAATAATGATGATGAAATTTATATTCCTCCAAAAATTGAAGAAACTGAAGACTCATTGATTGTTTCTACAGAAAACTCTCAAAAGCATTCAAATGGATTTGTGGCTGGGACTGATGAAGATGGAGAAGCTGTATTAGAAATCGGGAACAATTTGGAGAAGAAGCAAAAAACTAAGAGAACTCAGCCAAGGAAAAAACCTCAAGAAGAACCTGCAAGAAATGTGCCTTATGTTGCTGTAAAGAAATCAGCAAAACCTCCATCCCCACCTCAGGCTCCATCACAGGCTCTTAAAGCTGTCAAAAAATCGGCAAAACCCCCATCGCCCACCCAAGAATTACCAAGAGCAGTAAAAAAATCAGCAAAGCCTCCATCTCCTAATGTTGCCATGCCTAAAGCTATAAAAAAGTCTGCAAATCCTCAAACACCCCCAGATCATACTATTATTAATAGTATAAATATAAGCTTATATCATTTAAATAAAAAATAGCTATATCAAGCATAGATTAGAGTAAAGAATCCCCTAAAAATATGGATTTTGACGGGACTGATAACAGTGATACAAATCAATACTCGGACTCTTCTGTCAATAACAAAGCAATCCAAGATTCTGATCATACTGAAACTGATAGCTCAGGAGAGGAACAGCCAGAAACTACTATGGAGGAATCAGAAGAAATGCTTACAATAAATACAGTTTTTCCTAAAAAAAGAAAATCAAGAATAGTGGATGAAGATGGAGAAATTGAGGATAAAAATATTGCAATAAGAAGCAAGAGACCAGCAAGAAATTGATAAATTATAAATAACTTTATGACTTATATGAAAATTTTATTTTGGAACCTAATTTAATTTATAAGGACAATTTTAATGAAACTTATAGGTTTTTATTGAATTATGTGGGCATTTAGCATTCAAAATTCAATATGCAATTGCTTTTGCTGCGTGATAGCAGTGAAAAGCCTACTTCTATGTACAAAACTAGATTTTGCTAATAAGTATTGAGCGATAAATGCTTTAAAAATTATATAATCTAATATTAATACTACGGTTTTTATCGATTATTGAATGGATACAAATAATACAACTTGTGATTATAATTAGTTTTTCAAAATTTTAAATATATAATATAAATCTGTTTCAAATAGTATTAATTCAAATTAAATTAAGAATAAGCTGCTCATTTAAGATATCAGTACCTTTATAATTTATTTAAAACTTTTATATATAAAATATTTAATATTCAGTATTGAATTCGCTTATTATTTCTATAGTCCTATAAATTTTATTTTTTATTCTCTTTTTAAATTTGAATTTTCCTTAAAAAAACGAAAATAAATTAGATTCGAATTCAATATAGTTCATCATATTTAAAAGAAAACTTCGATTGCTAAGTAAATGGATAACATCAATATCGACTTTTTGAATTTCGAACCTACATTCCATCAGTTTGCAGACAACAGCAAAATTGATGAAAATTATTTTCTTGACACAAGCTTCATACCAAACTCAGACAAATTCCTCGAGTTTCCCCTAAAACCAACGTTAGATTTAAGCCTTGACGAAAGCTTAAACAAGTTCTTACTCCCCATAACAAACCATTGAAAAAATCCCTATTTTTTTGCCCCAAGAGCCCAGCCTCTGTGAGTAACAAAAAAATTTTTATATAAGGGATAATTAGTATAATGAAATCTCTAGCTAATTCTGTTTAATTTTAAACAAATTGCATTTTAAAAACATAAATTTTAGAAAATAAATAAATATTTGATTTCCAATTTTTGAGAATTAGGAATTTTTTTAAATCTCGAAAAAAAATGTACTAAAAATTATATATAAATTTCTAAAGAAAAATAACCCTCTCTGTGAGAGAACAAAATTTTTTTGTTCGTTGATGCAGTTAGAACAAAAGCCTCAGACTCCAGATCCCGTTTCTTACACTTCGAATAGAAAAAGAGGCAGGAAGCCCATAAGGCCTAATGATCCAATCAAAAAGAAAACAGAAGAAAAAGACAAATATTGGCTGAGGAGCTTTCGTTCTTATATAGCAGATGAGTATTCTAACTTCAAAGATAAGCTTAATTCTGAAGAAAATTCATTCTGGATTATCTATTTATCCTCCAAAGGTAAGCCAGATAAAGGAAATAAATTTTTATAGTATTTTGTTATAAGATAGTAATAAAGTAGAATAATGAGAAATCTTAATCAGTTTTCTTATTCTATGGCTAATTAGAAATAATAGCATATCTTATGGTCGCCGATATAAAAATTATTTGTTCTCCCAACCGTCATTTGTTAAATATTTCCAAGAGTGATTCACAAATTTCGCCTCACAAGAGTTATCAAGAAAATGCAAGCCGGGGACAGACCTTTGGTTCGTATTTTACGATTATGGGGCCAATGATCTATACAATTATGTCCCTCACGAGAGCGTACGTAAGGAGAGTTCTTCATCATATGATATGAATTATGATCAAGCCGAAAATCAATTAGACTTCGTGGACAATGAAGCATTTATTGAATCACTATTCGATCAGATGTAAATAGTTTCTAATTCTTTACACCATGTAAATAAATTATTACCAGCTTCAAAATATAAGACAGTAATAGTTTTGGGTACTGTATATATTTGCTATTGGATTAAGGAAGGCTATTTTCAGGACTATTTGGGCAACACTCTTTAGAGATTATTTAATTGCGTGATCCAGAATTCTTCTATGTCTAAAGTGAATTTAAGAGACCTATAGAACTTTACATCGAATCATGGGTGAGTATTAATCAAAAGAGTTTTGTATAGGAATTTTTCATCGCTTTCAGCCGCGATTCTTATTTTAAGCTAATATTATCAGTAAATTTGAATTCCATCAATTCAAGAGATTCTATGGCATGTTGGTAAGTATTTAATTTAATAATTTCCAATTTTTAGCTAAATTTTATAATTATATAAATCCCCAAGCTCATCAGTCTTCTTTACTTCTATTTTTGCTGATTTTCTTCAGCTTCCTTTAAAAGAGTTTCTAAGTATCTTAATGTTAAAGCACTTGGGCATTTTTGGCCACGCAGTGTACTAATAAGGGTTAAAATTGCTTCTCTCCTTGTACTCTCTAGCAAATTACTTAAGAATTCTTGTGCTTCTTGTAGCTCATCTTCAGTGATGTCCATTTTATATTTATATTTTTTTGAAATTTTTTGATTATGTATCAACAAATTAAATTCTTATCGATGTTCTTATTTAAACATTATAAAGATCCAATGTTGGAAAGAGCTTTCTAATTTAGTGTTAAATGGAGAAAAATGGCTTTAGACATCTTTAGAGAAAATACTCTAAATATTAAAATATAAAACTCACTTAAAATATTTTTACTTAGATATATGCCAAGGAGATACTTCTATTAATCGTTCAAATCAATCAATTTATCTGCCCAAAACAATGAAAAAACAGAAGGCAACTACAGAAAATATAAAATGCCATATTTAGGTGCTGTCTTTTAATATTAAGATTGATTTTGGGAATAATCAACTTAATTCAAACAATAAAATTTCATTAATTAATTAATTAATTAAAAGGCAACCCACCTAAAAAATTACAAATACTCAAGGTGTTGAAAAAGAAAAGAAAATACCCCTCTCTCCTGGCGCAGTAGCCTTTTTTAAATAAATCATATTTCTTCATTAAGCTAAAACAATATTTTACTATCTTAATAATTAAATCTAATACACAATTTGAGAAATAATCATTATAATTATTGTTTTTAACATTGGAAATATATTTATTACTAAGAAAAATATAATAAATGAAATATATAATTAAAGCTTAGAGAAATCAACCAAATCATCAAATGCACTTTTTGGTTTTTCATTGAATTCTTGAGTCTGTCCATAGGCTGATGGAAGATTATGCTTTATTTGGGAATTTTGGCTAGGGTTAGTAGAAGAAATCATCGTGGTTGGCTGCGGAGCATTATAATTCATCCCAGTCTGTGGCTTTGGTTGAGTATTATAAGCAGGAGCATTAAAGCTTGGTTGTGAAGGAGTGAAATTTAACGACGCAAATGGGTCGATTAAAGAAGATGCAGAAGGCTGCATTGGATTAGGAGCTGATAGTATTGGCTGAGATATATTAGGAACATAAGGCAATGGCTGAGGCGGAGAAGTTATATATGGACTTGGCTGAGAAACATTATAAAATGCATTTGGTTGCGGTGGAATTGAAGTAGCTGGTTGTGGAGGAGTAGAAATACTTGGATTTTGGTTAAAAAATAGCTGGTTAGACAAATCAAATGCACCTGATGGAATAGTAGCTGGCTGATTTATAGGAGGAGGAATATTGATGGGCTCTCCAAACAAATCTGCTTTCTGTTGAGGAAATATAGGCTGAGAAGATACAAAGAAATCAGCCTTCATAGCCGGCTGAGGAGAGCTAAAAAGATCTCCAGAAAGCTGAGACTGACTATTTTCTTGTAACAAAGACTCTGAGCCCATCGCTTGATATCCGAGCAATCCTTCGTTCTGAGGCTGAAATAAATCTTCTCCAAGCAGATCCTGGCTTTGTTTTGCAACCACTGGTGCTGGTCTTTTCCCACTTTTTAAGTCTTCGTATCTTTTTAGTGCGTTATCAACGTCATCTTTAATCCCAATGCAATATGCAGTCATTTCTTCGTCTTCTAAATTCGTTATCAGCTTAATCAATTTAGAATTCATGGCACGCAAAGTAGCGACTAATTCAGTTAAGGTGTCATTTTTTGCTACATTTTCATGAGGGCTGGCAGCATCAATCATTTCATTTACAATTGTGGTGTTTTCTTTTACGATTTCGAGGTCTTTTTTGAGTTTTTCTACCTTACTTTGTGGAAGATTTCTTGATGAAGAAGATGATGGTGCTGAAGAATGTGGCTGAGGCTGAGACTGAGGTTGAGACTGAGGCTGCTTTTGCTGAAAATACAAAGCCTGGCCTTGCGGTTTGATAGATGTAGGAGCCGATATCATCGGACCAGTAGAAACTGATGGGCTTTCTTCAGGAATGTCATTCTGGAATTGAACCCCTCCGGCTTTTAAAGATGCATAGAGCTGCATGAACCCAGGCAAGATGTCTTGGCAGTCTCTAAATTTTAACGCCCACGCATTCACTAAATTTTTCAATTTTTCTTTGACTTGTGGATCTGAATCTTTATTTTTTATCATCACTGCAAAAGTGTTCAAAAAGTCTTTGCTGCCGACTTGAGTATGAAAAGGAAGCGATGAGTTGTTGACCATGAATTCCAAAAGCTCAAGTGTGAGCATTAAAACTTTTGCATTTCTACTAACTTCCCCTCAATTAGCGAACAAATTTTTTTGTTTTCTCACAGAGGTTTTTTTTGAAATTTAGAAAATCCCAATTTTAAAATAATGTAAAGAAAAAGTTAATTTTATTTGAACAGAATTAGTTAAAGATTATATTATGCTAATTATCACCTCATATCAAAATTTTTTATGGAGGGAGCTTTTTTTATCAAAAAATGAGATTTACTAATGGTTTTCTTCGCTTATGGAGATGATGGAGTAAGTAATCTCCTTTTAATGTGCTTAATTGCTTCTTTTGGCCTATATAACACATTACATATCAGGACGTGAGTTTACTCTATCAGTCACAGAGACATTTAGCTGTAAGTCTGGCCTTAATAAGGTTTCGCTTGTCGCTTCATCTATTAATGACTGCAAGGTTCCTTGTTTACTCATAAAATATTATAACTTTAATAGTAAATCCATGTTTTCTGCGGCTGTCAGAGGATTCAGAAGCTCATCTATCTTACTATCGAAAAAAGATTTTTATAAGATTTTAGGTGTACCTCGTAAAGCCACCCAAGCACAAATAAAGCAAGCTTATTTTAGCCTTGCTAAAAAGCAGCACCCAGATATAAATAAATCCCATGGCTCGCATTCTAAATTTTCAGATATAAACAACGCATATGAAACTCTAGGCGACAGAAAAAAAAGAAGAGATTATGACAATGGTCAAACTGAAGAACCAAAAGTTTACCAAGAAAAAAAGAAAAGAAAGAATTCTCAAAAATATCAAGATTCTTTTGAAGATGATTTATTTTATGATTTCAACCCCGGCTATATGAATGATGTATTTATTGATATTGATGAATTCGATTTTGAAGAAATTTTTACCTTTGATAAAAAAAGAAAATCAAATATCAAAAAAAAAGGAGACGATATATGGATTGATCTTGATATTAGCTTCTTAGATGCTGTACATGGAACTGATAAAGTAATTAAAATCCAAAGGCAAAGTGTTTGCAATAAATGCCAAGGCGGAAGGATTGCTGAAGAGAGGGGAATTTTTGAATGTTATGAATGTATGGGGTTAGGAGTGATTCATTATCAGAATGGAATGAACCTATTCGAGCAGGAGTGTCCAAAATGCAATGGGACTGGACAATATGTTAACTCCCCCCCTCCATGAGTGAATAAAAATTTTTTTCACTCACGGAGATGGTTAATTTTTTTTTTTTAAAAAAATTTATATATAAATTTAAATAGAAAATTTTTTTTAGAAATTTAAAAAAATCCGAATTCGCAAATATTAATTTAATTTATAAAATTTATGTTTTAAAACGCAATTTGTTTAAAATTAAACAGAATTAGCTCTAGATTTCATTATACTAATTATAACTTATATATCAATTTTTTTTTTCCATAAAAAATTTTTCTATTAAAAAGATTTTGTTCACTCATGGAGGGTGGGTTTTTGAGCAAAAAATAGGGATTTTTCTAATGGTTTTGTTCACTTACGGAGGGGGGAGCAAGAATAAATGTAAATCATGCAATGGGAAGCGGGTTAATCAAACACAGAGTATTGATAAAATATCGATACCAAAAGGAGTAGGAACAGGGCAGACTATTAAGATACCTAAAAAAGGGAATTTCAATAGTTATGGGAACAATCCAGGTGATTTGTTTGTGAGGCTTACTGTGGGGAGTCATCCAACATTTAAAAGATCTGGATATGATATTATTTCTGATGTTGATATCACAATATCTCAAGCAGTTTTAGGATCTATAATAGAAGTCGACACATTGTATGGAAAATTAAATGTAGAAGTTGCCAAAGGAACGAATACTGGTGACAGGTCACAAATTTTGAACTACGGTATATCACATATGTATCCTTCTGCAAAAAACCAGCGAGGGAGCCATTATGTGAAGTTTAATGTGGTTGTTCCAAAAATATAGAAATTGCCCGAGGATGGCGCTATTTTGCGCCATCCTCGGGCAATTCAAAAAACCGGCTCCACACGGGAATTGAACCCATGTGTGGGGCCATTTTTGGTATGTGTAAAACATCGACTTACACGCACCAAAAATGGCCCCACACGTGGGTTCGATTCCCGTGTGGGGCCATTTTTTGAATTGCCTGAGGATGGCGCAAGATAGCGCCATCCTCGGGAAATTTTCTATATGCACACCAGCACAAAAAGAAATATTTAAGAAGCTTTCTGATTTGAAGCTATAGTACACTTAACAACATTTTAGAAAATCTTGTAAATTAAATATTATTGGTTTTTCTTACAGCTTTTGACTTAGGCTTTTTTTCGGTGAGACTTGCAAGTTTTTGTGATAAAGTTTGAACCATGGAATCTGCATTTTTGAGAGCTTTGCCATATCGTCCCATAATTTGATTTATACTATCATCAAAATCATCTTTCATCATAGCTTGCTTTCTTATTGTTTCTGCTTTAAAATGATGAATTTTTGATCTCAGCCCTTTTAATGCAGTATAATACTTTGAAACTAGCTCTCCAGCTTTATTTTTCCAACTTATCGCTTCATTTTCAAAACTTTTGCATCTTTTTTCATAATAGTTTTTAACGCCTTCTATATAGAGGTTTCCTCTATATAGCGCTAAAAGCGCAGACATTTTCCCAGGAGCTTTCCAAGTTCGTCGGACCAAATCGCTTTTTGGTCCGACCAAGGCATTGATTTGGTGCAACCTACCGATAAATTCCGATCAGAATTTATCGGCCTTACAGCGCCAAACATAGGAAACTTCTATATGTTCTGATGTCGAGTCAGATAATTTAAGCTGCCTTAAATTTTCGAGTTCTGACAATTCATTTTCCAATTGAATTTTCTTGTCTTCCAGCTGATTTGGGTTTTTTTCATTCATTGCTTTTTCTAATTCATATTTCAATTTCTGATTTTTATTATCCAAATTTTCAATTTCTTCTCGATAACTTAATTCTATTTCTTTTCTTATTTTTTGCTTGATATTTTCTGTGTCTTTTAATAGTAAATTATAATCATTTTCGATTTTTTCTCGTTTTCGCTTTTCATCTTCTAAATTGAATTTAATTGTAGTTGCTTCAAATTCTTTTTCTTTACTAGATAACCTTTCCTGCTCTAAAGCAATAATTTTCTGCTCCAGCTGTGCAATGAATCCTTCTCTTTCCCGAATTCTAGTGTGAAGGTTTAATAATTGCTGATCCTTCTCTTTGATTTCTCTCTCTTTATACTGAATTTGGCAATTCAAATGGTCAACCCTTTCTTTTACTGAGTTTAGTTCTTTTTCTATCTCTTGTGGCTTTGCAATTTTATAATACTCAATTTCTTCTCGAGCTTTTGCCAAGCTGTTTAAATGTGCTTTAATTTCTTTTTCACTCTGTTGTACTAAAGCTTGATACTGTTTTTTCATGACTTCTTCATTTAGTTTATATTGATGCACAGAAGTCTGTAAATCCAATAATTCTTGTTCTAGCTGTTCAACACTTCTATGTCTTTGCTTATATTTGATTTCCTTTATCCTATCATTATCTTGGACCATTTTTTCAAATTCCGCCGCTTTTTTAGTGAACATTTCAATTCCTTTGCTTCTTTCAGCTTCTAACTCTCTGTTGTGCTCTATTGCGAGTTCTTGCAAGATTTTGTTGTGCTCTCTTTTTGATATATAATTGTCATTTGATTCGAAAAATTCCCCGGGATAAGTGATTCTTGATTTTTCTTCTTTAATTGGAGAAATGCTTAGTTTTACTTGAGTCTTTGCACTTCTTGGGTTATCAAAAGTAATAAACTCATTGGGAGTGAAACATATATTTTCATCAACTGGAAAACTTTGAGGCTGTGGAGTTGTTTGCTTGGATCTTTTGGTTTTTCACTCTTCTAATTCTTTTTGAGCGTTTAAAAAATCTTCTTCAGCCTAATTTTTGTTTACTTTTTTTAAAATTTCTTTCCTTCGCTCCTTTTCAGCTTCGTTAGTATAAAATCGTGAAAAATTCCCTATTTCTCGATCCATATTCTAATTCTTATGAAAATCTGCTTTATATTTGCTTTTAAAATTGCTTTTGTTAGTAACGGATAATAATTTTATATCCTAGGCATGTCATAAAATAAAGATGTTCTGCTGTTTACCCACAGGAATTCCCGAGCACCCTAACGCTTACTGTGATAAGTTATTCAACATCATAAAGATATTAGGCATAATGCAAATTTGCTTACTCCTTATATTGATTGAACGAAATTTTTTATATATTGCAATATATGTAATAAATAAATAAAAATAAAAAATAATATATCGTATTTTATATTTATAATTTTTTTCAAAGATTGAATGATACTGATAGCTTAATAAATGATGGGAGTAGTTAGGGATTCTCAATATTTTCGTAGATATTTGGTCTGGAATAATCATGCTTATGGGAGCTTTATTACTATTTATGATTGTATGGACTATGAACTGGTGTTATCAAGCATGAAGCTGCTCCCCAACTCCCCGCTCCCACACCCCTCAATGCCAAAATACCTATATTTATAATACAAGATATAAGAGATATTGCAGTATTTTCGCAAATATACTATTACAGTGCTATTTATAGAATGTTTACATATATATTAAATACTTTATTTCATTCTCTAGTATTTATAAAATTTTTTATTGCTAGCAAGCTTGGCTCATATTTTTGTATTAAATTTAAATGAGATATATCGCTTCTTATATATAAAATAAGCTATCTAACTCCTCCCTCTCTCCGTGAGCGAACAAAACCATTAGAAAAATCCCTATTTTTTGCCCAAAAACCCACCCTCCGTGAGTGAACAAAAATTTTTTTTAATAGAAAAATTTTTTATGAAAAAAATTTTTGATATATAAATGATAATTAGTATAATGAAATCTCGAACTAATTCTGTTTAATTTTAAACAAATTGCTTTTTAAAACATAAATTTTATAAATTAAATTAATATTTGCTTCCCAATTTTTGCGAATTAGGATTTTTTTAAATTTCTAAAAAAAAATATTTTCTATAAAATTTATATATAAAAAAACAATTAACCCTCCGTGAGTGAACAAAATTTTTTTTTCACTCACGGAGGGGGGAGTAAGCAGCTTAAATTTGTTAAAGCGCATTAATTTAGCGCTATCGATGCTAGATTATGCATATGTCTATGATGGATAATTATAATTGAATTGATTTATTTTTACCTATCAATTTTAAGAAAATTCATGCATCAAATGTGAGATAAAGCGTATTTCTCTATTAAATTCTTATTTTTAGTCTAAAAAGGTTTGTATTTACTAGAGATATGATATAATTATTTAATATATATGTGTAAGCATACTATAAATCGCGTTATATAGGTTTAAGAACGAAAATAATGCAATATCTATTAAATCTTGCACTATAAAGACTAGGTATTTTGGCATTGAGGGCTGGGTTTCATGCTTGATCACTGATGTACTTGTATATTCTATATCGTTTTATGCATAATGGATTTAATTACAAGCGTTATGTTTACAGGCGATTATTTGGCTGATGAAAAAGAGGTTGATGATACTTATGGGGTTTTAGTTATTATTATGCTGATTAAGGTGCCTTTTTATATTGTCTCTATTTATTATGCATTTTTGGCTTATAGAGAACTTAAAGGTTTATTTATAGAAGCAATTGAAAGAGGACCAATGGTGCCACCTGGTTATGGTTATGGATATGGAGCAGCTTATGGAGCAGGATCATCAAACCCTCCGCCACCGCCACCTGAGCAGCCACGACAACAGCCTTTTACAGGGCCAGGATATAGACTTGGTTAAATAATCAATTTATTTAAATTATATTTTCTCTGTTATTTTATTTTCTCTATATGGCAATGCATATTTATATGAGAGTAAATCAGAAACTGAACTTTGCCTATGGTCAATTGTTTTTCTATGCGAATCGAATGGGTCACAAACTCCAGCTTGGTCAAAAACTCGGCTTTTATTTTGCTCAGCGCTGCATAAAAATTACAATAAATTTTTCTTAAATCCAAGCTCTGAGGAAGGAAGAGAATTTCTCATATTGAAATAGGATAAATAAAAATTTTCTAGTTAAAAAATGGATAAGCCCTTATTATATAGGAGAAATAAGATGTTGAAGTTGACGAAAATTGGACTCTGAGGTGCACTCCCTACTGATGAAGCTGAAAGCAGGGCCTCTATCCCTTTTGAAGTAGGCCTTCAGGCTTGGGCCCTTGCTGAAGAGGGAAATTTTTTGCTTAACTCGAAGCCCTGCAAGATTTGCTAGACAGTCTTTATCCACCTTATGGTCTTCTCTACAGATGGTGACTCTGATCTGGTAAGCTGATCCCTTGGAACAGCTTCTTCAGATCGGAAATCCAAAATGACGACATTTGGAGCCAAGATGGGGAAAGGCTAGAGGATTTGCCTGCTTATGGCGAGAAAAGCATTTTAATTTAATTAAATTATTTTTTATATAGATAAATATACTATTTATAAATAAAATATGTATAAATTGCCTTATTCAATTGAAATACTCAGTTATAAACGATGGTCTTGGGTCAATAATCCTAATGCAAGGTTTTTCTTTATTTCCAAAACATTGGTCAGTCTGTAAAACTGGATTCTTTACAGGAGCAGCAGGTTTTAAGCGAATGCAAGCCCTCTCAGGTATAGGAAATGCTCTTCCTTGAGCGAAAATTCGCTTGGTCGGCTTAAAGTTAATAAGATCTTGCGAACTTATAAAATTATATGAGCTGCCTGTAGTAGATCTAACTAATCCTTTTCCTTTTGGTCTTTCATTCAGCCATCGACTTGAGTCCATATATCCAGGGACTTTTGCCCTCATTGATTTGGGAGTTGTAGTGAAATCATCTAACTGTAAAATAGGGTTTTTGCGAGATTCTGAGTAGTTGCGCGCTGATTGTGGCCTTCTATAAGAGTCTTTATAGGAATTTTTGCCGAGATTCTCGAATGGAATTTTGATGCTAGTCATGTTTAGTTTTTCTATAACTTGAAATAAAATAATCCTATCTTCTCTACAAAAATTTTTCTTAATTTTATTTTTGAAAATATAAATTAAATTATAGACATACTATATTTATATTGAAAAGAATTAAGATAATTAATAGATATTAACTAAATCACAACTAAAAATGATAGACTTACTGGCAAAATAGCCATGCTATTTCCTTTATAATAAAATGCAAAAAAATCCAAGGATGATTTTTGTGGGAAATTTGCCGGACGGAGCTGACTATAATGCTTTAAACGAAGCATTTATTCCTTTTGGCGAGATAAAAAATATTGACATCCCAGCTGATCCTATAACAAAAGCATCAAGAGGTTTCGCATTTATTGAATATGAAGAAGAGGAAGATGCAGATCATGCGATTTTTAACAAACACAACTCTCTGATGGGAGAAAACAGTTTAGTAGTCGAGCATGCTAGACCTATGAGATCAAAAGAGTTCCTTAACAAGCCAATTTGGGCAGATAGCGACTATCATGAAAAATACGCTACAGCACCAGATTCTCAATAATTTTAATTCTTGCTATAATAAAAATCTTCCTTTTTCTTACAGTTTTACCAAAAATCCCAAGTTTTTCGATAGTCTGCAATTATTAGCATACCGATTATGAAAAAACTACTGGGATTTATAGCTCAAATAATTTTAGAATAAATGGCTCTTAAGTCTGTCTTAGAAATAGTAATCCAATTGGACACTTACAAAAATATAGATCTCTATCAGCAAGGCTTATATCAATTGCAGATTTCTTGTTATTACATGAAAAACGATAGGAGAGTATATGCTGTTCCAATTTCTTTATCAAACATAAAGACAAAAGATATCAACCCGATTAAATTAAACCCTCACGATATTCTTCCTGGATCTTTGAATGAAAATAAAAAAACAGTGAAATCTCGAGTTTTTTTAATTCGATATAGTGAAGAAAAAGTCAAGCTAAACGAAATTTCAACATTTCAGCTATATATGAAGTTACCAAAAAACAAGTCTGAGCAGGGATTAATCATACAATTGGATTTACTATTCAAAGAAATCCCAGGAAAAAAGCCTATTCTTGACAATCTCGTCCAATTGGCAAGAGAGGGAAACTTTCAAACTGTAAAAACTTGCCGATATAATATTTCAAATCCTTTAAAAGGAATCCATGAGTATTTTCCTGGGCTTTTTAACTCTGAGTATTTTTCAAATGTAGATGGTATTATTCATGCTGTTTTTTATGATTATAAACTAACTGAAGACGAATCCAGCGATTTTATGAATTTTCTGTTCAAAGATAAAAAAGGAAAAATTAAAGCATTTATTGGTGGAGGAGAAATCGATAGAAAATATGATGAATATGTAACTAATTTAGTAGAAGTTCATGAAGGGATACGAATTTTGATTGAAAAAATAAAAACTGAATACGAGTTTTTGAATATTGAAGTGCCTCAACCTTTAAAGCTGCCGCTATTAAGTGAAAATTTAGATGAAAATGAGGGAAGTTTTGCAGAAAAATTAAATAGCCATGATCCATATGTAATCAGTGTAAGCTTGTTAAGAGAAATAAAACTAATAGCTGGCTGCATTTATCAGGCATTTATGGTCTTAAGAGAAATTATAATAAAAAATTCAAGAAAATCTTTGAAATTTTTTAAATTTTTCTACGAAGAAAAAATAATGGAAAGATGTGCAGAATTTTGCATAAAAGAAGAAGGAAGAAATTGAAATCAGATTTGATATAACAATGAAGCAAAAAAAGAGCATACAGCTTCATCCATAAAAATAAGAGAAAATCCATATTTTAGTAATTTAGAGCCATTAACTATTCAAGATACTGCCTTTTTTAGTAATATTGCAACCCATCCGATTTTATATGAGCAAGTTTGTTATCCTGATAGCTTATCCTCTAATATGTTTTCTGAGAAAGTCTATAGAAAATCACTTACTCCCCCCGCTCCGTGAGCGAACAAAAAAATCTTGTTCGCTCACTGAGGTGGGTTAATTATTTTTTTAAAAAATTTATATATAAATTTTGATAGAAATTTTTTTTTTCAAAAAATCCTACTTCGCAAAAATTGGGAAAGCAAATATTAATTTAATTTATTAAATTTTATGTTTTAAAACGCAATTTGTTTAAATTAAACAGAATTAGTTCGAGATTTCATTATACTAATTATCACTATATATCAAAATCTTTTTCAATAAAAAATTGTTCTATTAAAAAAATTTTTGTTCACTCACGGAGGGTGGGTTTTTGGGCAAAAAATAGCGATTTTTCTAATGGTTTTGTTCGCTTACGGAGGGGTGGGAGTTAAAAAACTCCCCATTCGAAAAATTGAAGATCTACATATAATTGTACTGGTCCATGGATTTCAAGGGAATTCCAATGATTTAAAAATCCTAAAGAATTATATTTCACTTGTATATACAAAATGTTTCTTTTTAGAATCGAATTTAAATGAAACAAAAACTGATGGCGACATCAAAGAAATGGGATTTAGACTGGCTAAAGAACTTGTGGGGTACCTCTCAGAATGATGTCCTGACGAAGCTCCAAGGATTTCATTTATAGGGCACAGCTTAGGAGGGCTAATTATTCGTGCAGCTTTACCATATTTAGATGCCTTATCAGATAAAATGCAACTTTATTTATCATTATCTACCCCGCATTTGGGGCTAATGAATTCAAGTAAGCTTTTAGATGCTGGAATATGATTTTTAAAATTCATTAAAAGGGTTTTATCATTGAAACAGCTTTGTTTGCAAGACTATCATATACAAGAAGGGACCTTTATTTACCAGCTATCGCTATCTGAAGGATTGGAATGATTTAAATATGTAGTTCTTATCAGCTCAGCTCAGGATGAATATGCACCATTTGAATCAGCAAGGATCGAGGTGCCTGGAATATATGCTAAAGAATTGAGTAGCGGAAGCATTTATGCAAAAATGGTAGAAAATATATTGAGGAGGCTATCTAATAGCTTTATATTGAAATTAGATGTAAATTTTAAGCTTGAACAATCATTAGATACTATTATTGGAAGAAGTGCTCATATGCAACTATTAGAAAATCATGAGTTTTTAAGGATGCTGGTTTATCGCTATCCACAATTTTTTGAATAATAAATTAATAGTTAAATAGAAAATTCTTCAGTTGACTTTTTGGGTGATGGAGAGTTGCTGATTCTTTCGCTTTTCACGCCATAAATTGAAATAAATGCTTGTTTTTCTGCAGCTCGAACTAAGTTTTCCCTTAATTCTTCTGGGGAGCCTTGCTCATCTTTTAATATACCTCCAGCCCATTTTCCTAACTCCCCCCCCCCCTCCGTGAGCGAACAAAACCATTAGAAAAATCGCCATTTTTTGACCAAAAACCCACCCTCCGTGAGTGAACAAAAATTTTTTTAATAGAAAAAATTTTAATGGAAAAAAAAATTTGATATATAAGTGATAATTAGTATAATGAAATCTAGAGCTAATTCTGTTTAATTTTAAACAAATTGCGTTTTAAAAACATAAATTTTGCAAATTAAATTAATATTTGCTTCCCAATTTTTGCAAATTAGGATTTTTTTAAATTTCGAAAAAAATATTTTTTATAAAATTTATATATAAAATTTTTTTTAAAAAAAAAAATTAACCCCCCTCCGTGAGTGAACAAAATTTTTTTGTTCGCTCACGGAGGGGGGGGGGGAGTAAAAAAAAACTTCTTCATTCTGGGACTTGTCCCTAAATTCCTCATATGGAATTTTTCTAATTCTACTTCTGTATAAGCTTCAATAAACTCGTCAATTGGTAAAAATCCTCCCCCAACTTTTACACTTAATTTACCTCTTTCAAATTTAATAAGAGCTCTTCTCGTTCCATAGTAATAATTCCCAGATGTTTCTCTTATAAATGGCAATTGTATTATTTGGTCTCTTGAATTGAGATATTCTGCAAGTGCTTCATCAATTTCATCACCTTTAACAGGAAAATAAACTGGATTACTTTGCTTAACTTCAGCTACAACAAGTCTCATAGATTTTAACTCATAATTTTTTTCTTCAAGGATTAATTGTAAACTTTTATAAATCCTATGCTCCTTTAAAAATGACTGTGAAAGCGCAAACATAAAATCAGAAAAATGGGAAAGCTCTTCTGTGAGAGCATCCTTGACTTCTAAATTTTGTTCATAATTTTTTAATAGAGTATCAAAGTGATGGTCAATGCTAGCCTTTTTATTGTAGATTTCTTCAAGCTGGTCAATATAAATTTTAAGTTTATGCAAGTTTTGGTTTAAAGTAGAGATTATAGCGTTATAATCCTCTATTTTTTTGTTGTAAGAGAGTTGGGAATTTGAATATTTTTTAATATCAGACTCGATTTTCTGGTGAAGCATCAAGCAGTTGCTGTTTATTTCTTCTTTTTGTAGTTTTAATGAGTTTATTGAAGAATTTAATTTTTCTAATGCTTGCACATGAGATGATGATAGTTTGTCATATAAAATTTTCACAGAATTTTGCTCATTTTCTATCCCAATAAAGCCTTCTAGTCTTTTAATTTCATTTAGGAGTCTTTCTTGATCTCTTTTAGCTGCATTTAATTCCTTTTTGGATTTTTCTAAATTTTCTCCTATTTCTTCTTTTTCTACTATCAGCTTGTTGCTTTCATTCATTAATTCTTCAAGATTATGGCTAAACTCTCTCACATTTTGGTTTAATTTATTCTCAATATCAACCCTTTGTTTTTCATAATAATTTAGCTCAATTTTTAAATTTTCTATATTTTCCTTTTCAATTCCTGAAATGTTTTCGATTTTACTTTCTTTCAATTTTTCAATCTCAATCTTCAATAATTTTTTTCTATTATTCAGTTCTTCCGACTTATTTTTATGAACAATAATTGCTTTTTGCATTTTATCAATATCCTCTTTTAATGCTTTTTCGATTTCATTTAAGTCTTCTACTTCTGCAGCGATTTGTTCATGAGTTTCTTTCATTGAATTATCTAGTAATTCAATAGCTTTATCTTTTGCCTCTAGAAGCTCTTTCATTGCTGTTGTCTCAAAAGCTTGAATATCAAATAAATTTCTTTTTGCAATGAGTCCAATAATAGCTAAAACCAGTGACTGTGGATTTTTCCCAGATATTTTTTCAAGGAAAATATAGCAGTTGCCCGATGATCGCGCTCAATGCGCCATCATCGGGCAACGCCAAACAAGGGTCCACACGTGAAATGGGTTCCACGTGTGGAGTCCTTTTTGGCTCGTGGAAATGAGGATTCTCCACGTGTGTTAAAAAGGGCTCCACACGTGTAATCCATTTCCACTGTGGACCCTTGTCTAATGTTGCCCGATGATGGCGCATTGAGCGCCATCATCGGGCAACAGCTATATCACGCTTGCTAGGGATTTCTATATAAGTTTCTTCTTCATCAGCGAATGATGAAAATGATGATTTTGTTGTTTGCTTGTAAGGAGATTTTGAAGGTGAACGAGTACCGGATCGAGAGCTACCTCGAACGGGGGATTTTGTAGGACTTTTTGAGCCTAATGATGTAGCTTCTTCAAGAATTCTTGCAAATGAAGGCCCAAGCTCAGCCCTTAGTTTGTCTAAAATATTTGAAGCAAATTTATAATAATATTCTGATTGTTTTATTTGTCCTAAATATGAGTTTTCACTTCCACTTATTTTTCCATCAACATTCAATAAAGGTGGTCTCGGTTTTTTTTTTGACTGGTTCAGATTTTTCCTTATTAAATATCCTCTTGCTGCAGATTTAATGCATAAATCTTCAACAACTGGTGCAGCTCTTTCAGGAACTTTTTTCCTTTGTAAATATCCACGGCAAACTGATTGTATTAAAATGGGGCTTTTTTCTTCATTTTCTTCTAGATTTTGATCTGCAATTCCTTCAGATTCTGCTACTTCTTTATTTTCTTCAGTTGGCTTATTCTCATTATGTGATAAATATGGCTCAGAAACAGATTGCAACAAATCTGAGCTTTTTAGCGAGCTTTCTCCTTCTTCTGTTTTTTCTGTTTGTTTTTGATCAGCTGTTACTTGGACCTCTTCAGCAGGATTTTCTTCAGTTTTTGGCTGGGTTTTTTTGCGTGATAAGTATGACCGAAACACAGACTGCAATAAAACTGGGCTTTTTGGGGAACTTTCTCCTTGAGGTTCTTCTGCAGTTATACTTTTTCTTTCTACATATCCACGAGCTGCAGATTGTATAAGAATATGAGAATCTTCAGTTTTTTTCTTTTCTTCATTAAACCATTTTCTAGCTATATAACCTCTTGAAGCACTTTTAATAAACATCGCCTCCTCATCTTTTTCTTGATTTTTAACTTCTATTTCTCCAGCATTCTCCACTTCTTTTGACTGTAAAACAATTTCCTCAACAATTTTTTTATTTTCCACTTCTCTTGGTTTGGAATCATATATTACTGCTCCTAGCCTAACTCTTGCAATTCCTTGCTTAACATCTTTAGGGAGCTTAATTCTAACAATTTCAATAGGAATTTCAACTTTTATTAACTGTTCTGCTTCTTTGGTAAAATTGTCTTTAAATAGCTGTCCTAAGCTAAAGCTCAAACTTCCTAATGCTAAATTTTCACTTTGAATAACAATATGTATTTGAATATCTCCTGAAAGAGAAGCTAATTGAACTTCTATAGAATTTTGATACATCAAAGTGCTGGCCTTTCCATTTACATTCACGCGTATAGTTGTCTTCATAGGATCTGAAGCCCAAGGTAGATAAACTTCTCGAAATTCAATAATCAACAATTTTGAATCCATTTTAACGATAATTATTTATATGAATTTTTTACTGACTCCCCCCGCTCCGTGAGCGAACAAAACCATTAGAAAAATTCTTACTTTTTGCCCAAAAACCTACCCCTCTGTGAGCGAACAAAAATTTTTTTAATACAAAAATTTTGATATATAAGTGATAATTATTATAATGAAATCTCTAGCTAATTCTGTTTAATTTTAAACAAATTGCGTTTAAAACATAAATTTTACAAATTAATTTAATATTTGCTTTCCAATTTTTGTAAATTTGGAAATTTTTTTTCTATAATTTACGCACAAATTTTTTTAAAACAAAAATTAACTCCTCTCCGTGAGCGAACAAAAAATCTTGTTCGCTCACGGAGGGGGAGCGAGTCTTTAATTTATTTCATGATTAAAAAAATCAAGCATTGAAGACTGTTTATAATTTATGATAAAACTGCCTTGAAATTAAAGCAGCAGGCTATATTTAACATTAGATAGGCTTAAAAAATTTAAAAATAATTTTTTTGACATTAATTTTTACAACAAATAAGAATTATATGTTGGCAAAAATTGTTTACTTATTACAAAAAGAAAAATTGATTAGATACTTTTTGTATAGAGAATTCTACAAAGGAGAGCTTTTTATCAGTTTTATCATCATATTTTCAAATTCCACGATATCTACTTCTCCATCGCCATCTAAATCGACTTCTGAAATCATGTCTTTCCATACCATATCACTTACTGCAAGATCAGTACCTAAAAACATTTTGAGTTCTTTAGCACTAATTTTTCCATTTCCATCTGCGTCAAAAGCAGTAAAGGCAGATTTTAGATTTTCTTTACTAATTAAAGTTTCTAAGGCAGTCGCAGCCATCATAAATTCAGAATAATCAATAAATCCTGAATTATTCGCATCAACTTTTGCCATGATTTGCTCGACTTGGTGAATTGCAGCTGATCTCCCAAGAGTTTTTGAGTAAGCTTCTAATAGCTCATCTTTACTTATTTTGCCATCTCCATTAATATCAAGAGACCGAAACATCTCAGTTAGCTGCTTTGATTCTTCTCTGCTTATTAATTGAGAGGAAATAAAGGAAAGGACTGCATATTGCAACTTTTCTTCAGCTCTGAAAGATTTCAGCACATCTAGTGATGTAAGTTCTTGGGTCTCTGTAAGGTCTGATTTATCAGTAAATCTGCAAATTCATTCGTCCTGAACTGCTTCACTTGCAGAAATTCTAGTTTGTGGGTCAAAATCCAACATTTTGCTGATTAAAAGTTTGGCTTGTGGGGAAATTACATCCCACTCGCTTCCTTTCATAGAAAATTCGCCTTTTTCAACTCTTCTTATAATATCTCTGTCATTTCGGCCATAAAATGGAGGTTTGCCACATAATAATATATATAAAATTACCCCACAACTTCAAATGTCACACTTTTCATTATAATCTTTCCTTAAAACTTCTGGAGCTATATAGTAAGCTGTTCCATATTTTTGAGTCAAATTTTTGCATGGCTCAAAAATCGCTGAAGTCCCAAAATCAATTACTTTTAAATTGGCGTCGTTTGCTTGAGTTTCCAAAAGCAAATTTTCAGGTTTAAGGTCTCTATGGACGATATTATTGGCATGACAATACAAAACTGCGCTTAATAGTTGACTCATAAAATGTGCTGCTATTTTTTCAGAAAGCATTTTACTCTTAATAATGTAGTCAAAAAGCTCGCCACCTTTTACATGTTCAGTCACTAAATGATAATGCTCCTCATCTTCATAAAATTCATAAAGTTTTATACATTTTTAAGATAAATTTTACATTTTTTTTAACTCCCCCCCCCATCCTTGATCGAACGATTGACTGTAAAAATTCCTAAAAATTGGGGAAATTAACCCCCATCCTTGATCGAACGATTTTCAAATCATGCAAATTTTTATATATATAAAAAAATATTAGTTATCAAATGCTTTGGAAGATGTGCCTAATGAAGTTGTTTTCAGAGCTTTGAGACGACAGAAAGCTGCGAAATCAACCATCCGAAGTGATTTAGACATCAACATAGGCTTAAAAGCTCAATAATCTAATAAAATAGAGATTCTTTAAAATTTTAAAAAAATATTTAATTTAAATTAAAATTTATACAGTTTAAAAGGGTAACTAATAAATCAAATATTAAAAATTGGTATTTTTATGAAATTAATTCAAATTTTTTGCTGTAAAAATAATTATTAAATATACTCTTAACCCTCTTATTTAAAGTAAATAAAAAAAATCTATATATATCTTTTTCATTTTTATATATAAAATTTTTTTTTAACCCCTATCCTTGATCGAACGATGGCGAGTCGTTCGATCAAGGATGGGGGGGGAGTAAGGAAAATTATATTTTTTCCTTTAACTTATTTGCGCTTATAGTATATACAATATTTGGGTGGTCAGCTTTTCTCAAAATTTCAATTTCACTTACTCCCCCCTCCGTGAGTGAACAGAACCATTAGAAAAATCGCTATTTTTTGCCCAAAAAACCACCCTCCATGAGTGAAACAAAAGTTTTTTTTAATAGAAAAATTTTTTATGGAAAAAAGTTTTAATATATAAATGATAATTAGTATAATGAAATATAGAGCTAATTCTGTTTAATTTTAAACAAATTGATTTTTAAAATATAAATTTTGCAAATTGAATTTAATATTTGCTTTCCAATTTTTGCGAATTAGGATTTTTTTAAATTTCGAAAACAATATTTTTTATAAAATTTATATATAAATTTTTATTTTTAAAAAAAATTAACCCCCCTCCGTGAGTGAACAAAATTTGTTTTGTTCACTCACGGAGGGGGGGGAGTATGAATTTTTTTCTCTCTGCATCATCGTTTATTATAGAGCTTTTATGGATTGTTTTAATTGCTCGTTTTTGGCCTGTAGCAATATGTGTAGCTAAACGGACGAAGCCAAATGCACCTTTTCCAAGCTGTTCTTCCATTTTATAGTGGTCCTTTATAGAACCTTTGCCTTTTCATACAAAATTGGATGCCTCGATTTTTAATTCTTCTTTTTTCAAGACACGATTTTTAGACGATGTGTGCTCAATTTGGGTAGGTAAACTTTCTGGTTTGATTTTCTTTTTACTCGCAACACAGCCCATTTTTTATTGAGAAAAACGGTTTAGGCTTAAAATTATGATATAATTATTTTGGTGATAAGATTTCTTTATGGACTATTATTTAAAAAAATGGTTAATTTATTGAGATTATATAAGTTTCGCCTTTTTTATTTCTTTTTGTTCTTACTCCCCCCCCCCCTCCCGTGAGCGAACAAAACCATTAGAAAAATCGCCATTTTTTGACCAAAAACCCACCCTCCGTGAGTGAACAAAAAATTTTTTTAATAGAAAAAATTTTAATGGAAAAAAATTTTGATATATAAGTGATAATTAGTATAATGAAATCTAGAGCTAATTCTGTTTAATTTTAAACAAATTGCGTTTTAAAACATAAATTTTGCAAATTAAATTAATATTTGCTTCCCAATTTTTGCAAATTAGGATTTTTTTAAATTTCGAAAAAAATATTTTTTATAAAATTTATATATAAATTTTTTTTAAAAAAAAAAATTAACCCCCCTCCGTGAGCGAACAAAATTTTTTTGTTCGCTCACGGAGGGGGGGGGGGGGAGTTAGCTATTATTTATTAAGTGAAATTTTAAGAAAATTGGATTTTTAAGTGAAAATGGCAATTTCGCGAAAATATAATCATATCTAAAAAGATTCAAATATAAATGCAAGAATTACTATTTAAGTAATTTAACTTAAAAGATAGAATTAATAAAATTTACTTTATCTAAATTATTATCCTTTTCAGGGAGATTTGGCTAAATCAAAAAATTAATAGATTGCCTATATGTATTTTTATTAATTATTTTTGGTATTCTTTTTTTAATAAAAATTTTTATTCAAATATGGTTTTTCCATAGGTCTGCTATATATAAGAAAGTTACCATCTATAAGAATATTTAAGCCTTTATAAGAAGAAGCTATTTAAACTTAAACATCGAAAAGAATCTATCCAATTCCTCTACAAATTTTATAGGTGAGTCTTCATGAATCCAGTGCCCTACATAATTAATTATCCTATGCTTAATTTTTCCTTGGTGCCAAGCATAGGTCATTTGATCATCCAATCTATCAGAATTGCTCATAATAAGTAATTTCGGTGCATCAACTGCTAAGCAAGCTCCATTCATGCCACTGAACCACCCTTCTCAAAATTTCCTAGTTTTCAATAGATCAACTTTTCATTCTCATTTTCCATTTATTTCAATTAATTGTGAAGGTATCGATATTCTTGCACTCTCAACATTTTTTAATACTTGAGATTCCAATGACCACAATACAGCATCTTTTATTAAATCAAACGACTTAGGCATTCTATTAATCCTTGCTTCATTATTTGAAAAAGCTTCAAAAGCTCTTCCTTCGACCATATCAATAAGAATTATCCCAGAAACTTTATATCCTTGGGCTTGATATAATAACGCTGCTTTCGAAGCAATAGCACCACCCATGCTGTGGCCTATAATTATGATTTTTGAATCAGGGTTCTGCTGTCGAATATAATTAAGTACAGATAAAGCTTCATTTACCAATGAGTCTACATCTAACTTTTCTTCATCAGTTTTCCTATTTATCCCATGACAGCCGAAATCAAAAGAAAAAAAGTGGTAATTTTCACGCAATAGCTTGGCTATTATAGCAAATGTCATTGAGGATCCTCCAGCACCATGAAGTGCTACAATAACTAGCCCTGAAGCACCAGAACTTACTATCGGAATCTCACCGAATCATTCTAATCTATCATAAAACTGTTGTCAAAGCAATGGCTCAAGAGATTGACTGTCTTGAACTAGAGAATAAACATTTTCAAGTGGAATTATTGTGTCTTTACTTTCTTCTTCTTCACCATCAGATGAGCTCATATTATTAAAATTTCTTACATTTTCTATTTAAAGCTTATTACTCAACTGGTTCATTATTATTCATTACTATATTATCTACATCATCGGCATGCCGATCTCCAAACAGCAGCTGTGCTGGATCTGCATCTTCTCGTTCGTTCAGAACGCTTCTAATAGTTTCTCATTTTTCTTTTTCTTCATCAGTCATCACTTCTTGACAATCTAAGCACCTATCGCTTAAATCCATATCTGAAGTGCATTGACAAAGCTTTTGGAAAGTAAAAATGACTTCAAAGTCATTGCTCACTTTGGTGCTTTTCACAAAAATGTCAGGATCAAGGTCAATTTTTTTGAAAATCAAAGCTTCATCATTTGGTATAAAAGCAGTGTTGAAGGAGAGACGGCATATTTTATAGGACCCTCATAAACTTCAATGCATTAGTTTGCAAAGAACATCTCCTTGGAGGCATAGACCATTATTAATGACTGCAAGATCGTGGATCTCGATATTTTCTCATGAGTCTTGAAGAGCAACTTGGTTGACTCTGTTCTCTTCTTTATTTATATAAATTAAACCATGTTTTTGATAAATTTCGATATAAGGCCTTGAAGAATTCCCGTTAAAATGTGGAGCAGTTTTCATCTGAACTCTCGTTAATCGGGTAACTAAAGGACTTTTTATTTCCCCTTTAAAAATTTTATCAAAATAATGAATATATCGTTGTTGAGAAGGATGAGTGACCCCACCTCCACTTGTAAATCTTTTTCTCTTATAATATATCAAAGCTTGATTTGGGTCTGGAATTCTTCCAGAAAATATTAAGTAGCAGCAAATTAACGTGCCAGTTCTTCCTTTCCCAGCCTTGCAGTGAATAACAACTACGTTGTTTATATTGAAACTTAATCATGTATGAATATCTCTGCATGCTTTAAATAAAAGCTCTATAGGAGGCGGATAGTGATCAAGCCAAGCAAACTCTTTTACACTATCAGAAAATTTTGAATAATCATATGAAATTCCGCTTAAATTTAGAATTCGATATTTACCCCCATGTCTTTCATTGAGATATTTTGAAACAGAACTAAGAGAATTCCGATAAAGCTTATGGACGCCTTCTCCTGGAATTGACATTGCGACGATTCTTGGGGTTATATAAGTTAAGTCAAGATTGAAGCCTTTTTCTTTTAGCCTTTTCTTTTTGCCTGATACAAGCGACCTGAGCAAGTCCATAATCCTATTTATAATTTATGTTGAAAAAATATTATGCAAATAGTAGCTAAAAAAAGATTATTTTCTTATATTAAAAAATACATTAAAATGGTGACATGTGCTAGCCTGCCCTCTTGGCGCAGCATTAACATTAGCATTAATTACTTATATGAGAAGTCCATTGTAATTCTTGAAGGACTGTCTTTTTCCTGTAGCTGTCAAAGAAAGCCACTTTAGCGCCCGACAGACTCCAAAGAGTTGATATCTTTATTAGCAGATTTTTGAACTTTACCACCTAAGTGTGGAATTTTTTTCCCGCGTGTGAAAAGGTGATTTCACGTGTGGAGCCCTTTTGATTTCACATGTGGAATCCTCTTTTCACACACGGAAAAAATTTCCACACTTAGATGATAAAGTTCAAAAATCTGCAAATAACGATATATGGAATCAAGCTACTCCAATCGCCCGTAGTAGGAAGCAGAAATCCATAAGCACTCAAGACTGAAGCCGCAAGGCAAGGTGGAGACAGAAGGTACCGGAAGGACACTCGTATGAAGGATAGACCCTCTGGGCTGGAGTCGAAAAGCGGTAGAACCTCCCGTACGGGAGGTCTTTAGTGATTGCTTCACCAATATATATAGCGCCTGACTTTTAATAATCCTAATTCTTATACTAAAAAATCAAAAATCAAAAAGCAAAATAAGGAATAATAAAATGTAAAGAGCTGCATATACTTGAAAATATCTGCAAAAGATCAAAAAAGGCTTTAAAAAAGTACCCAAAAATATTTATTACTTCTCAAAAGGGCATATCTCATTAATTTTATCAGAGCATTACCGATTTTTTGTTTTTCGTTATAAATTTTTCAAATTTCTATAAGAAAAACTGGACTCTTGCATTATTTTTGCTAAAGATTAGGCTGAGTTTGATTGAATAAAACTGCAAAGCATCAGCTTTATTTTTCCCTGATTTCTGTTACACCTAAAATTATTATATTAACAAAAATATTTTGAAATGAGCGGATTTCTAAAATTATTTATTTTAGAAAGCATTAAAGCTTAAGAAATTGCAGGTCCTTCTTAAAAGACGGTTTCTAAGGTTTTTCAATAATTGCTAAAATTTGTTTATTCATAAAAAAAGTTGTGAAGACCTCTACTTTTTCTCTTAGTTTGTTTTTGATTCGCAAATTATTATTGACCGAAAGTCTAAATATCCAAAGCATTGATATAAAGAAATTGCTTTTATTTGCATTATTGCCAATTATTGATATTAAATAATTTCAGGTTCTATTAACTTCTAAACTGAAAAAAATTTAGAATCAAAGCAGAAGAATAGAAATTTTCAGATTAGAGACAAATTCATAATAAAAATGAAGCATTTTTGATAGTGTCAAAAATTGATGGACTGAGAAAGATATTTTAAAAATCTTTCAAGCTATAAACCTATCAAAACTTTTTTTAAAAATTGCTGATGGGTAAGTTTCTAATTTAATCTATTGATATTTAATAAACAAATTCTGTAAGCAGAAAGAACGGCTATTCATAGAAATCTATTTTTTTACTAGAATAAAAAAATATGACAGAACAAAGCCGTGCAAGCATAGAAAGCAGTGGAATTTTATCAATAGGATGCCGAGAAAGCCAGAACATAGACAATTCAGGCTGCTATGAAAACGAGCTAACATTTTATAGTGAGCAGTCATCATGCATAAGCATAAAAGATATTCCTCTAGATAAGTCTAGCATCAGTAGATATGATAACATTTCTCAGTATCGTTGCTTGAAATGCCCTTGCATAATATTTTAACTTTTTTTATCGGATAATCAGTATCATATTAAATATTTGATTCAAACTTACTAGCCATTTTAAGAAATAAAAAGTTTTAAACTTATTTTGTTATTGATCAATATTTAATCTCAACAAAAACTATTATATTTGATCTAAAATCTAAATAAGTAAAAAATTCTAAAATTTCTATTTCTTTTAAATCAAAAATTAATCCAATCCTTCATATTAAAATTCTAGTTTATAAATGGGTTTATTCTGACTTGGTGCAAGCAGTGCCTTTTTTGCTAAATCCATCCTCCCGTCTTTAATCGAGCTGATTGCAATCGTTCGACAAAGGATGGATTATAACAAAATTATATATAATTTTTAATAAATTTAAAAGAAAAATGTATCATGCGCTAGATATTAAAGATAGAGTATGTAATATATTTGCTTAGGTGCTATAAATTGCATCAGAACTGTATAGAAATAAATAAACTATAATATCTCTAATAGTCTTTATGATCAAAGATAGGTAGTTAGATTGGGATGGGGTTTCATTCTTGACTATGTGAAAATCGTTCGATCAATAATTGATATATTTTTTCCAATCTTAGGAATTTCAATGGAATTGTTCGATAAATGATCTGGAAAGTAAGCTTTTATATAACAAAGCGATTCGGAAGCCTTATCTTTACAGTAAATTCTAACTCCCCCCCCCCCCCCGTGAGCGAACAAAACCATTAGAAAAATCGCCATTTTTTGACCAAAAACCCACCCTCCGTGAGTGAACAAAAATATTTTTAATAGAAAAAAAATTTTGCTATATAAGTGATAATTAGTATAATGAAATCTAGAGCTAATTCTGTTTAATTTTAAACAAATTGCGTTTTAAAACATAAATTTTGCAAATTAAATTAGTATTTGCTTCCCAATTTTTGCAAATTAGGATTTTTTTTTTAAAATTTCGAAAAAAATATTTTTTTATAAAATTTATATATAAATTGTTTTTTAAAAAAAAAAAATTAACCCCCCCTCCGTGAGTGAACAAAATTTTTTTGTTCGCTCACGGAGGGGGGGGGGGGGAGTAAGCAGAAGCATACCATTATCCAACCATAATGCTAATGGGAGGAGTAACAATGGTTTACTATGATTGGTATAGAAGATTAGCATTGGAATATATTTGCGAGCTAGAGGATCTCAATGACAGGCAGGTTGAATCATTAACATTAACATTAATTAGTATTATAGAGGCTCGTCGTATTGGCGCGGGTTTCCCCAGCTCTACCTTCACCCTTCATGCTTCACCCGGTTGCTCACCACCGGTCGATCACGACCTTTAAGATGTTGCTCCTACTGGACGAGGATGTGCACTCACTACCCGTAGTTGGATGAGTTACGTCACCCAGTAGTATAGCAATTGCCCGAGGATGGCGCTATCTTGCGCCATCCTCGGGCAATTCCTATACGTCAACAAAATTTGAAAAACAAATTTTCTGGTAGGACTGTCGGCTAAGATGGAAATCCAAAACCTGGGACATAACGCCCAGTTTCACGCTAGGGAGTTGCCCGATTGATCAGGAGGTACAGGCAGGTTGAATCAAGGAGCAAGATGATAGCAGATCCTTTATTAAAGCCTTATGATGCGTTAAAATCTCATTAATCAATCTGGTTAATCTATTTGCATCTAATAATCAAATTAATTGCTATCACTTCTTTCATATACTCTTTATGCATTGTTTTAGTTTGCAAGACTATTGATAAATCTGAATTTCTCTTTGCTTATTGTATAATTTATGAATAATAGCTAGAGAGATGCTTAATATGCATAGCTATTCGCTTTTATTTTAGAATTGGAATTAAATTATTTTTGTTTTACTTTAATCTTCTCTTTTAATTCAACAACTCTCCAATGATTCCTAAATAATCATATGAGCTTTCTCTGACTCCTCTATTTTAAAATTCGAATAAAAATCCTTTTCCGATTTATAGCCGACCCCTGATTTGGATCGGGTTTGACTGACGTCGGGATACGGTCAGATGGGGAGTTTACGAACCAAACTTTGCTAATAAATAAACCCCTCAGATGGCAAATCAAATTGCTATTGGAGATTTATCACTGGGGAGTTGACTTTACCAGTAATTTTCTCAATCTGACATCTCCTGACATCAGTCAAACCCGATCTAAAGCAGTGATCGGTTTATAGAGGGTGTAATTGAATTTATCAAATTGTAAAAAATTGCTTTTCCTATAGATCATAAAAACGATTTGAACTGCATGTCAAGGAGAGAATTGTGTTGTAATGCCAAGAATCCAGCTTATTTTGAGACATATCATAGCACTATCGCAGCTAATAAATATCTTCGAACGCCCTAAAGTTCATTTTAAATTAAAATTATTTTTTAGGATTATTGTGCCAATAGAAAAGTTAATTAATTGTCCAAATCGATCATATTAACTGCATTTCATAATATAGTTTTTCAATATGTTTTCTATTATGCTGCTTACATTTAAATTTTCTTGGATCAAATCAATATCCATATTTAACTTCTGAAATCTTACTACTTCTAACATATGAAACTTAACTTTATCATCTCAGCAAATGTAAATTGATGAGTGTATTGCGAATTAAAAACAATATTTATTATAAGTTTCTTGTATAAGTTATTATTTTCATTTGTCTTGTGAGCACCTGCATCATCTAAAATATAATACAATTTTCTCTAATTTTTTTTATTTTCTAAAAGTAATCTAATCAAGGAGATAAGCTTCACTAAAAGCATCACTCATAAAAATGCTGCAATTGTAATTATAAGAAAATCATAATCTCATCTTGAATATATATTGAATTTTTCATTAAAACATTTTATTTATCCCTTAGCTAACTATTTAATAAACTATAGCCTTATATTTAGAGGTCTAGGTCTCATGAACTCATCAATGATTTCATCCGTTACTTCAGCTCTTTTTCTTTGATGTTCTGCAACAAGATTTTGCAATAGAGTAATTAAATCTTTTTTCACTTCGCTAGTCAGCATTTCTCCGCTTCCATATTTTACTCTAATTTCTTCAAGTCTTTCATCATCTTCCATGAAGAAAGACAAGTACTGGAACGGTACATCTACGCTCAAATTAGCTCCTTTTTCTCTATGTTCTTTTAATGACCTCCCACCACCTGAAAAAGCATAGCTTTTAATCTTCTTTTCAATCATATCAGGGGTATCGGTCAAATAAATAGCTGAGTTCTCATCACTTGCGCTCATTTTAGTATTCAACCCTTGCAATGCTGGGAAAAATTTCGCATGGAGAACCGCTGGCTTTAAATACTGAATTCTTGGCGCGACATCTCTGGTCATTCTGAAATAAGGATCCTGGTCTATTGCTTCTGGAATCAAGCAAGGGATGTCAGTCCTAGTCCCAAAAAGATGAGGGAAAGAGTTAGAAAAGGCTGGGACTGCCTGCAGAGGCGGATAAGCAAATTTCCCTACATTATCGCTGCCATCAAAGCCAAAGCACCCAAAAATTTGATTAAGAGTGATATGTTTTTGCATTTTTATGAAGTTTGGATAAAGCTGCTTTATATAGTCAGTGTCTTTGAAAATAAAAGTCTTATTATACCATATTAAATTTCTTATACGTAAATTTTTTTTTCAAAAAAAATAGTAAAAATTCAATAAAATGCAGAATAATATCAAAGCCACATGCAATGATGTCACGGATGTTTTCCCTTGCAAATCCTTGGACGTCATCAAAGCTTAGCTCAGGTCGGTAAAGGTATTTTTCATCATCAGTAATTTGTATGCAGATTGGGACATCAAACACGTCTTGGAGCCATTTATTGAAGATGAAAGGAATCAAGTGGCCTAGATGAAGAGCGGCTGAGCTTGGCCCTCTGCCAGTGTATAGATACCAGGGTTTTCCTTCTCTTGCACGAGTTAAAATCATATCAAGATCTCTATGGGCAAAATAAATCCCTCTTCTTAGCAAGTGGTGAGCTTTGCGGCCTGTGATAGCTTCGAATTGAGCAACATGCTCAGGAACTACATATTGACATCCAAACTGTGCTACCAGTTTGTCATAGTCAACTCCTGTGTCACCAGCACTTATATTGAAAGGAGTCACAATGTCTTCTTTCTTTTCTGAAGTTTCAGTGCCTTCGCTTACTTGGTGAGCCTCGCTTTCCACTTTTGGCTCGGAAATTTCCTTTCCTTCTTCCATTTATATATGTTACTATTATTCACCATCAGGAATATGTTTATTCATATATGCAATTTTAGCATTATTATAACGAGTTTACTATTGTGAAGAAGTTTTTATTACATTTAGCATACCCCAAATATTTTCAATGTCCTCTAATAATTTCATAACTTTTTCATGAGATTTTTTACAGTCAGAAGACTTTTTCCCAATTCCTAGTAAAGGCGAAAAATGAGGTGCCGATTGTATAGCAGAGACAGCTTGCTGGTCGAGTCCATAGTATTTATGAGCTAATTCCTGCTGAATTTCTTGTTCATAGAGTGACCTATAGTCTTTTATTTCTTTTGAAAATTTTTCTATTTCTTCTTTGAGGTCTTTTACTTGCTGCTTTGTGGGTTCTTCATAGAAAACTTCAACGTTTAATAGAGATGTTTGTGATTTTAAAGACTCTAAATGGTTTTCTCAGTACTGAATGGTTTGGTCTAGGTCGATCAAAGCATTTTTGCTGCTTGAGGAATATTTTTGTGGAAAAGTAGGAGGGAATATTTTTAATTCTTGACTGAAAATATCTTGAAGATTCTCTGTTATGTAATTTAAGCATAATTCAGAGTTTTTTAAAGTAGAAACTGGGTCAGCTGAGCTAAATTTCACAAGCTCAACTAAGTTTATCAATAAAGAAATCGATGAATCATGCCCACATTGTCCTTGGATTACTTCGAGAGATTGAGCTCCTAAGCCAATTTGTAAATAAGCATAATGCAGACGGTGATACTGATTTTCTGACAATAAGTTCAAGTCTGAGTCTGAAAGAATACCAGGCTCATATTTTTCTATGAGCCATTCTTGTATGTGCAGTCTCGCTTCGCCTGGAATCAGGAAAATTGTCATTTCTCTTTCAATTTCATCTATAGAGCTGCATGAATCACTTGATAAAGGATATCCAATTGCTACAAGATTTTCATAAAGCTTCAAAAATTTAGAATTATCCATTATGATATTTTATTAATATTTTATTTCCTCATTATTTTTTAACGAACCTATGCAAGTATTTTTTATCCTAAATAATATGGTTTTAATTTATCTCCAGGAAATTTTTATTCTATCTTCTTATACTCCTCTTTAACTTTTTTGAATTTCTTCATCTAAAATTAATCATCTAAATCTTTGAGCAAAAATTATTATCCAAATTTGTTAAAATGAGCAGACCAGAAGAACCAAAAGTAACAAGACTTCGAACATTCTCATCTACTCAAAAACGGAGACCAAGCAAGAAGAATTCTTTGATTTCTCTGAGCACAAAATCAAAAAACAATTCCATTTCATTTCAATTTAATACCCCAAAGGCTCCAAGCACTTCTAAAAACCCTTCTTCAAAGCGAAAGATCGAAATTTTTTTCCCTGATAATAACAATTCATTTAACTCCAGCTTGTCTTCAACGAATAAATCTCTCAATTCAAGCAGAAAAATAAGCAGGGCAAGTTTTAGTAGGGATGATTCAATGCAAGTAAAACCGAGCCCAAGAACGCTTAAGCTACGGAAAAAGATTGACCCAGATGAAGTTCTAAAACAGTCAAAATTACCGTTACCTCCTCAGGAGGCATTAAAGCAGTTCGGAAATTTTATGAATAAGTATGAGCAAGAAGAAATTTTAGAATTCGAACAAATTTATTACATTGGATTTAAATCAAGCAAGACTAAGCCTGATATAAATGCGAACAATTATGGCTATGATGATGAAAGATCTGACTATAAACTAGTTGTTGGTGACCATGTAGCTTATAGATTTGAAATAAAACAGATTTTAGGGAAAGGGTCGTTTGGGCAAGTATGCAAGTGTTTAGATCATAAAACCAACCAAGAAGTTGCGCTGAAAATTATCAGAAATGAGAAAAGGTTCCATAGGCAAGGAAAAGTAGAAATAAAAATATTACACCATATTAAGTACCACGACAAAGAAGATGCCCATTGTGTTCATATGCAGAATTATTTTGTTTTTCGTTCTCATATTTGTTTAACATTTGAGCTGCTTAGCATTAATTTATATGAACTTTTGCGCAGCAACGGCTCAAATGGGTTTTCTTTGTCTTTGGTCAGAAGGTTTGCTATACAGCTGTTAGCTTCATTAGCATTTCTATCAGAGCATAAAATAATCCATTGCGACCTCAAGCCAGAAAATATTTTATTAAAAAACCCTACAAAATCTGGCATAAAAATAATTGATTTTGGCTCTTCTTGTTTTGAGCATGAAAAACTGTACACTTATATACAAAGTCGCTTCTACAGAGCCCCAGAAATAATTCTTGGGCTTCCCTATTCTATGGCAATTGATATGTGATCTTTAGGCTGTATCTTATCAGAACTCCACTCAGGGTATCCTCTCTTTGCAGGTGAAACTGAGCACGAGCAATTGCTCTGCATCATGGAAATCAAAGGAATCCCTCCAGTAGCCTTACTAAAAAAAGCTACTAAGACTGAGCTATTTTTTGATAGCGAATTAAACCCAAAAATAATTGCAAATAGTAGAGGGAAAAAGAGATATCCTGGGACTCGAAGTTTACAAGAAAAATCAATGTCAAGCGATAAGAAATTTTTGAATTTTATTGAGCGTAAAATTTAGTTAGGGTGCATTGATTGGAATCCAGATACTAGAATGACTCCTCAGGAGGCTGCGTTCCATCCATGGATACAAGAAGGATTTGAAGGACTTCGAACGCTGAGAAGCTCAACTGGTTCGAGGGGGGATGGATATTAATGTGTGATATATGATAATATTTCAATAATAAAATTTCAAATCTTTGTAATTATCTATTCTAAATTTATTAATCTTACTCCTCGCTTTAAATTAGAAATAAAATAGAATTGGTAAAAATTGCATTTTTTGGGTATTTTAACACTCTTTAAATTGGAACAAAATTTATTTTTCAATAGGAAAATTTTATTGATGAAAGTACTCATTTTTATAAAATGTTTTGCGATTAGAATGTTATTTAAATAATTCTCACACTGAATCGATTTTTTTATAAATAAATTAATTTTCAAGTAATCTATTAATTTATTTTTTTTAAATTTTAAAAATCTTTTTAAAAAAAGTTAATGTTGGAAAACTAATTTTTATAAAATTAATTAGTCTTGATCTAATTTATTAGATAAAATGCAATAGAAGTATTAATTATTGATAAAATGGAAGAGGTGCGCGGGACAATGTTTGCATTCATTGTTGACTTCTTACGAAGATATGAAAACTCATTTGAGCACAGTAACTCTCAAATGATCTTACGGATCATCCAGAAAAAGCCGATCACTCTTACAGATGGATTTTACAGCATTGAATCAGAAGGTCTTGACGAAATAGCTACCAATACCATCATTCGTGTCAAAAAATGGGCTGTTATAGCTTCAATGAATAATCTAAAACTCAAAGTAATTGACTATGAAATACTAGGGACCGAACCAATGTCTGAGTTCCAAATCAAGCCGCTAAAATCAAGACAGGAAATCAAATCATTAATGGTACCAGCATTTCGTGTACAAATGAAAGGGAAGATAAGGGAAAGGTCAATGCAAGAAATTGTTCAGCTTGCAAGAGAGTTTGATGAATAAATTATAATTAATAAAAACAATTATCATTATTTGGCTGTAATTATTTAGCGTTTCACCCTTCTGTCGTGTGAAGAAATGTAATAATCAGGCCTAAATTTTTTTTGGGCTCTTATTTCTGCTATGAATATCAATATTCTGAGAACATAAATTATCATTAACATTCTTTTTACTGCCATAAAACCTATTAATTTTTCATGTAAAAATCAATAAGTCACCATGGGGTGCAGTGTAGGTTGTACAAATAATCGGAATAAATCAAAAGAAATAACAAGTGTTCATGATTTAATTATAAAGCCAAGCACTTTTGTAAAAATCAACTCTAAAGAGTTTTATGAAGTTTATGCATTGGGCAGATTTCTTGGGGCAGGGGCATTTGCGGAAGTGTATTTTTGTAGGCATATTTTGAGTAATGCTCAGAGGGCAGTAAAAATTTTTGATAAAAATAAGCTTTCTCCAGGAGATAAAGATCTTCTGCTCCAAGAAATCGAGGTCTTAAAATTATTGGACCATCCTAGTATTGTAAGTGTATATGAATTTTTTGAAGACCTTGACCAGTTCTATATAGTGATGGAACATTGCAAAGGCGGCGAGCTTTTTCACGAAATTGTAGAGCATAAAATTTTTACCGAAAAACAAACAGCAATTATTCTCAAACAATTATTATCAGCAGTCAGCTACTTGCATAGTCTGAATATTGTACATAGAGATTTAAAGCCAGAAAACATCGTTTTCGAGGAAAGTTTGGACGATTTAAGTGTAAAAATAATTGATTTTGGAACTGCGATCAAAATAAAGCCTGATGAAAGGCTATCAGAGTCCCTTGGGACTTTATATTATACAGCTCCTGAAGTTTTTGATAAAAATTATAATGAAAAATGCGACCTTTGGAGCATTGGAGTCATCATGTATGTCCTTTTTTCAAGCAGTTTCCCTTTTAGAGGACAAACTAATGCAGATACTATTAATTTAATTAAAAAAGGAGAATACAGCTTGAGCATTGGGAGGTGAAATCACGCATCGGAGGGCGCAAAAGATTTAGTCAGGCATTTACTAGTCCCGGAAAAAGACAGATATTCAGCATCAGAAGCGTTTTCTCATAGTTTCATAAATGTAAATACAAGATCAGAGTCGCAAGATTCACTGAAAATCAGCTTGGTATTAGATAATCTATGCTCTTATCATTATGAAAATAAGCTTGCAGAAGCTATTTGGACTTATATTACATCTCAGCTGATATCCAGCAAACAAAAAAAAGAATTAGCTGAAGTGTTTAAGATTTTAGATACAAATGGTGATGGCAAACTGAGCAAAGAGGAGCTTATTGAGTCTTTCAAAAACCAAGTCATAAATACTGATATAAACATTGATATAAATCAAGTTATTTCAAATGTGGATTCAGACCACAGTGGCTTTGTTGACTATAATGAGTTCTTAAGATCTGCTTATGAAGTGAAAGAAATCTCTAACGCGAACAGCCTGAAAATTGCTTTTAATATGTTCGATTTGGATATACACAAAATGGCCGGAGACGAGCGACCCGTCCTTCCGTGGCGGGTGTCCTTATGTATACCGGACGTGGTTTTTGGATGCGGAGAGCTACTCAAGGGAAGAGTTAGCCTCGAGGCGAGAGGCCCAGCCCAATTTCCGCTGATTTTGGGACTTGACCCGGGCAGCAGTTTTTCGCATTCTTTTTGCCAGTAGCGCCGAGGCCCAGACTCGGTGTCCGATAGAGGCAGGGTGAATTACCTGCCTAAGCTACTTGTGGCTTAGCCCCGAATCCCGCAAGGGGTTGAGTTCTTTCTTGGAGATGATCCGGGAAAGAGGGGAGGCGAAGCTCGACTACAGATCTCAAGGGCGCAAGTCTCTCCAGTTCAAAGGGTCCCGATCAAAAGGGGCGATCTGGCGTAGGAGAGGGCAGTGTTGGCGTCAACTTGGGCGACACAACAAGTTGGAAATGGAGGTGATCAGCAAAGACAGTATGACTCTGTCCTTTGACCTTTACCTCTACCGAAAAACCGGGGATTTCGGCCCGGGCTTGCTGTGGGTACGCTCTGTCACCCTGCGAGTGCGTTCGCACTCGCGGCATGCAATCCACGAAGTAGGGACTATAAATACCCATCTTAAATCTAATCTAATCTAATATGTTCGATTTGGACGGAGATGGGCTGATTTTGGCGTCAGAGCTGAAAGAAGTGTTGCAAGGAGAGATGAAGGTAAGTGATACAGTCTGAAAAGAAATGATTGATGAGGTTGATATTAATAAAGATGGAGCCATTGACTTTCATGAGTTCGAATTATTGATAATTCAATTAAGCAGACAGGCGAGTGAGATCGTAGTTAATGAACAGAAGGGTAAATAATTAAAATGTGCAAAGAGTGTTAATTTTTTACTATTCATGTATTAATTATCGAGAAAAGCTTAATATGTATTTTTATTAATTTTTTATGGATTAATAGTCAAGCTGTGATGGTATCTGAATTTGTAATTATGTTAAGATGGAATCTTTAGAAAACAAGAAAAGTTTGAAAAGAAAAAAAAGAATGAGCATTGATGAGCTAAAAACAGAAATTTCTTTATCAAATAGCTTTCATCCTTCTGAAACAGCTGAAACATTCAAAGCAAAATCTGATAATTTATCCAACAGTTTTGAAACAGAGCCAAACTCAGCCATCGACGTCATATCAGGCCACAGTTGCAATATCTCTCCAGATAGATCTCCTTTATTAGACTTTCCTAAAATATCAGCTAGAATAAAAGATCACAGCAACCCAAAATTTTCTGAGATTGTTGATAAAATAAAAAACCCAACTGAATTTGAAATTTTATGGGTTCAGTGATCAAGGAATCTTGCTTGAAGAAATATAAAAGAGTTTATTTTATGGATAAATCGAGATTATAAAAGGTCAATAAATGATAAAAGTAAAGGAAAATATGCAAGGAGTGCTAAAAGAGAAGATAGAAAGGACAGGCTATGGTATAGAGAAAAAACACAAAATATTGGCAGTTATGTAATAGAAAATAATGAAGCAAGTATCATTAATCCAAATTCAACAGAAAGCTGCTGAAAAGATCTTTTGTTTGACTCTGAAAATACAGATTTAAAAGTTTCATTACCTGTCTTAGACAACTATTTCGAGTCAGATTTCTTGATTTTTGATATTTTACTATTAGGATTCGGCATCTCTTTAAAAGGAATCACACCGAGAGCAACTGCCCTCAAATTAAAACTAGATTCCTTAAAAATTGCCTTATCATCTAATTTAGCGCTTCAAGATCGACATAAGGTTTTGCTACAGCTTATCCCCTTGCTGCTTATTAATTGCCAGTTTTCAGAAGCTGAAATTAAAATAGATTCAGCGCAGCAAATTTCTGACTCCCCAGAGTTAGACTTATGGAGAGGCTGGCTATCATTGATAGACTACGAAAAATCCAAGAAAAAGCCAAAAATTATTCAAAATTTTTCAAATTTATTCGTTGAAGGACCTATGAAAATTTTAAGCGAAATTGGGAGCATCTTAAATATTTTTTATTTTTCCTGATTTGGATATAGTAGAAGCATTAGTGCTTTAAAGCAGCTTAGAATTGGCAAATACGAGGAACTTGTTTCTGCATTTATTATGTATAAAACTGGTGACTCAAGCCTAGAGAATACTGCTGTTGAGAAGTTTAATTTATGCTTACAAGTTGGTGAGGACATAGGAATGCTGGCATTTTTAATACTATATAGACACTATAAGAATTATGACAAGTACAAAGCAATCGTAGCCATGTGCAATTTGCTAAAATCTTTTCCTTTATCTGAAGACTCATTATCAATTGTTACTTCATGCTATATTAAAACTTCAGGAAAGCTCAGGCAGCTAAAAGAAATGCCACCATCAGCCACAAATATTTTAAGCTATTATCAATATGCAAGAACCTCTATAAAATACTCTCTGAATTTGCCTATACACTTAGTGAGAAACTGCATTGAGACAGTTGTGAAATATTTAGAAAGATTCAAGCTGAATAATTATCTGTTTTATGCCTTGGTAACTTTTATGTAGTTTTGAAAATTTCAGCTTTACCGAGTTAACGGAATACATTTCACAGCATCCTCAATAGCAAAATATGCGTTAAAATATGAGAAAAAAGATACAGCAAAAGAAGGGTCCATAAATAAATTTCTGAAAAAATTGCAGTTTATTAAACAATGCATTGAGGCAATTTATAAAGGGTCTAGGGATATCAGCATTGTAAGAAAGATAGAAGAATTCGACGAATATATTGGAAAAGCATTAGCAATTTTGGTTGAAGTAAGAGTTATAGCGCCTTTCTTAAGATGGCGCGCAATGTGCCATCACTGGGCCATGTCGGGAGAGGGTTCTCCACGAGGAATGATTCCACGTGTGGAACCCTCTTTTTCCACGAGCCAAAAAGAGGGTTCCACACGTGGAGCCATTCCTCGTGGAGAACCCTCTCCCGACATGGCCCGGTGATGGCGCATTGCGCGCCATCTTAAGAAAGGCGCTATATTTAGAAGCCTCAAAGCTTGGCTTTGCATCAGTCTTTATTGGTCTCAAAATATCGATTTGAAGGATATTTTATTAATTGAATGAGAGTTTTCAAGCTAAATAAATTCAGAGAGAAGCAGGTCAAATCTAGTGGAAGCCAAGATGATAAAGATTTAATTGACAATTTCCACCCTCTTTATTACATATCTCAACTGAAACAAAATTATTCAATTGTAAAAGCAAGCCATAGCTCATGCTTATCTTTGAAACCATCTTCTCTGTGAAATCTCTGTGGGAAATATTATGGACCAATAGGAATTTCTGATTCGATTGACATAATGGAAGCAAAAACCTATTTAAGAACCTGTATCTCTAAGGCCATAAAAGTCCTCAAAAAAGGTATCGAAAGGCCAAACCCCAGCCCTCTGCTATACTATTTTTTAGGAAAATACCAACTGGAACGACTGAAATTAAAGGATGAAAGAAAACAAACAAAATTAACTGAAATTTCAGGCTTCCTTAAATCATTTTCTCCAATCCCAAGCACATCTGACTTATATAAAGTCAAAGTTCTATACCACCAAGCTGAACTTTATTACTTTTACAGGGACTTAGAAGAAGCATTTAAATACTATGAAGCTGCAGAGAAGGAAGCAGCCAAATATAACTGTATAGAGTATCTCAACAAAGAAAATCACATAATCAACAAAAATGTCTTTAATGTAAAATAAGGTTTATAACTTTTTTCTCTTAAAAAGTTAAGATTTATTATGGGAAAAGTATATACTCTTCACATTTTCTAATTAATTATTTCGTTCAAATGGATTTTCATTCACCATTGAGAAGTAACGATTATGGCCAGGAGTACTGCTGCCGTCTGCTCCTTTGGCTCCACCTCCTCTGATTGTTTTTCTGATATTTCTAGCTGGGCCATTTCCAATTGTAGGTCTAACTGATTTTCTTTCTTCGAGTTCTTCACTCACGTTTTTCAATTGAAAATCAAGCTGCTCAAATCTTTGCCTTTCGCTTTTTATCTGGTCCTCAAGTGCCTTTGCTTTTTCTGTCAGCCTTTGATTTTTCCTATCACTGACTTTTTTCTCCACAGTCCATTTAGATTTTTCTGATACCAATTGATGGTACATTAAAGTCAGCTGCTCCAAATTCCTCTCCAATATGTCGCTCTTTTTCTTTAACGTCCTTTCTCCTTCTGATAGTGTGCTTTCTAGAGCTTTATAGTTATGTTTTGCGTCATCAAGTTCGTCTTCCAGCTTAGCGATGGTTTCTACTCTGATTTGGAGTTCTCTGATAAGTTTTCTTTTTTCATCGTTTCATTTGTCTCTTTCCTTTTTAAGAGCTTCTTCTTTAAACTGCTCAATGTTTTGGGCTTGCTTCGGCAAGGCGCTATAGGCTCGCTTTTGTAAGGCCTCAATTTCTTGTTCTAGACGATGGTTTTCTTCTTGAGTTTCCTGGAGACGAGATTGTAGTGCTGTAAGCTGATCGTTTGAGATTGTCGGCTTACTCATTTTTAGGTCAATTTTTAGCTGGTTTATTTCGACATCCTTACTGGTTAGGGCTTGTTCGAGCTCAAGCTGATGGTTGTTAAAACCGTCTACGATGGATTCCAACGACTCCTTAGTGACAACTAGTTTTTCAATTAAATCATCTTTTTCTTTTATTGATTCTTCCATTTCTTCGATTCTTGCACCTAATTCATTGTACATCTTCAATAAGTTTTCATATTCTATCCTTGCCTCTTCAATCTCATCAATAAATTTATCGTTGTCCTGCTTCATTTTCGCTTTGATTGCGATTTCTTCAGACAATTTAGTCCTTGTATCCTCTAGTTCAGCAATAACTTCAAGATATTCAGCATTAGTCGCTTTTTCTTCTTCTACCTCTTCATCTGATGATTTTTCTTCTTCCAGTGAAAGATTGATATTTGGCAGAGGAATATTATTTTTTTCCAGTGCTTTTTCAAGCATCCTTATTGTTCTTTCCCTCTTAATGATTTCTTCTTTTGCTTTAGCTAGCATTAATTTCAGCTCTGCTACTGTATACTCTCTGTTAATTTTTGGCTTGTTTTTAATTGATTTTGCTCTGATCCCGAACCTAAGGGTGCTTATGGTTTCTGCTTCATTGTATGGAGAAGGTGAGCAGGTCACAATAAGTGCTGTTTTGGAGTTTCCTCCTAAAGAGTCTTGTAACACCCTTGTGAGCTTAGAATCTCTGTAGGGAATATGTGTTGATTTCCCATCTGTTAGTGATGTAATGACCAGCCCCAACATTGTGAGAGATTTATTGATATTTTTAGCCTCTTCTAGCCTCTTGCCAGCTGCCCCCGTTTTTCCTACTTTTTCACTTCCAGCCAAATCTACCAGATACAGCTTCCCAACTTTTGTGGAGAAATCTTGTGAGTTTGTCTGTGTAACAGTCAATATAAAGATCGCATGAGATCTTGAGCTCCCTGCATTCATATTAGTTGCCCCTACTTCTCTGTTCGCTGTCCCAATTTTCATCAGTTCATACACATCGTCTTGATTATAAACTGACTTTTCAGTCAAGTCTGCAATATAAACTCCTCTAGCTCTGTCTTCATGCACCTTTAAATTATTTTTTGTAGGATCTAATAAGTCCTTTATTTTTTCTAAATAAATTTCGCAGTAGCTGACTTTCACTTGGAATTCAATGTGTTCATCAGCATTTTCAATTTGATAAAACACTGTTGACACCATGCGAGGAATGATCCCCATCATAGTGGGATCCTCTAAATCTGGGCCAGTCATTGTGAATGTTTTCCCTGAAGATGTCTGCCCGTAAGCGAAAACCGTGCCATTGAAGCCTTGCATGACTGCCTCTACAATAGGCCTGGCTGCAATTTCATATACAGTTACTTGAGCAGCCCTGGGACTGAAAACATAATCAAAGTTAAATTTTAATGGTTCTCCAGATTCCATATGCTGATTCACTACAACAGTCTTATTGTCTGAAGGGAACTCTATATTCATATTGTCTGACATCTGTTTCTCTTTTTCATTAAGCGGTCTAAATCTGCAGAGGACGCGCACATTTCCTGCTCCTGGGTCATCTTCTTGATCTTCCATATTATCTATTTAGATTTAAAATTCCACCTTTTAATATATCGTAATATTTTCAAGAAATAAAGGAAAATATCTACAGAGAGGATTTTGATTATTTAATAGGAAGCTATGCAATAGGAATAACAATTTATTGATATCTGGATATCTCTACTGAAAAACTATTTATTCGTGATTGGAGCTCTGGAATTGTCTTGATAAGCTTTAGCTGACTAACAAGAGAAGTTTTGGCAAATTCCTGGCATTTTTTCAAGTATCTTCTTCCTTTGAATATGCTTTCTGCAGCATGCATGAGGTCGCTGGCTTTAAGAATTTGGATAGATTCTTGCTTTCTTTTCATAGTGTCCCCTTGCTCTTTTAGTTCCTTTAATGCTTTTAATTGAACTTGGATTTTCTCCCCAAGAGACTTTTGTATTTCTTCTATACTTTTCAAGAAAATAAAATGGTGACTTATCCGATTCGTCCTTCTCCCATACCCTTGGGTTTTTTTGGTTTAAGAGGGCAGCATGCCTAAAAATTGTGTCCTTTTTGTCCCTGCTAGGAACACCAACGCAGGGTGTTTACCCCGCACAATAGACAAGGAAACCAGAGGGTAATGTAGTCAGAAGGAGGATCCGGGATCGTGTCCTATCTCCCATCCCCAGATAGATCATGCCGACCGCTAGAAGTTGTCCAAGGAAGTATCTGGGTGCATCTCTCCAAGAGATGGCGACGTCACCATTTTTTTGGTGACGTCGAAGAAAATGAGCGTAAGTGCAAACTGATGCCTAGGGCGAAGAGCCTGAAGGCGGAGAGGGGATGTAAATAAACCCCAAATACCCATTCTAGCTTTAATCTTATCTAATCTATCCTTTTCAGCTGCCCATCCAGGAGCTCTGTTCTTTGCTTCCCCTCCCCAAAATCATTCCTAAAATCAATGATGCTCCTGATGAGCCCAGCATCCACTGAAACCAAGCCTTGGATGGCTTCTTGATGCTTATTATTTACCATTCCATATTCATCCAAAACCTTTTTTTGCTCTTTTAATTCTTCATAATAAACCCTCTTAACTTAACTCATTAACAGAGAGACTCTCGCCCTAATTTTTACGCAATCTTAATTATGATTAATCTATACACATTTAACGTCCACTACAAGGTTGCTCCACCACATTTTCCTCCAACACCATCAGAGAGGGAATTTCACGCCATTTACCTGGGCCCGCCCACCAAAGGTGTAGCTAATCCGACTGTGATCTCCAAAAAAGGTCGCCAGTTTTTAAGTTAGGGCTTCGGCGGCTCTTTTTAAGCTCAGGCCCTTACTTGGGTGCGAACGGCTCCCTAAAGGTCCCAGTCTCATTGCCTGGGGTAAGTGATGCCCTTCTGGAAAATTCCATTCCTTAAGGGAAGGAGTCCGGGAGGAAAAACCACCAGGCTCTTGCTTCTTTGACATAGTTTGGATAATATCGCCAGGGAAACCAAACCTCTAATTAAAATATGAAAGAGATGATTTTTTTGTCAGGAGACCAGAAAATTCGATTGACGCTGCTTTAATTAAAATTTTACGCAATCGCCGAGGATCTCCGATATGGGAAATTCAGCCTCTTTGCGACCGTGTCTTCAACCAAGGGATGGCAGTTCTACTCCTTGCCTTCGATTTCAGTAATGAGTGGAGAATCTTCGGATTTGCGAGGCCTACCTTGAGGCTTTTGGGCGTGGAGCAAGGTTTATCTACGCAAAAATTTCAAAAAATAGAATTTTTGTCCGATATTTGGTAAAGGGAAAGCATGCAGCCCCAAGGGCGTAACTCCTTACTTCACGCTGATGAAGAACCCGATAGATCTAGGAATTGCCTGAAGACATGCTGGGCGACCCCCCTTTCCAACACCATTCCACCCTTTCCCTTGAATTTATATCCATCCTTGAAAGCGGACTTGAGCTAGGATCTGAAACTTCAAAAATTGCTTACCTAGCATTACTGTCAATTTCTGGGATGACAAAATCCTGCCGGGTATAATAAAATGTGCGCTTGAAGGAAGTCGGTGCAGCCCATCGCGAAGTGCCAAGACGCCATATATTTATTTATTCATAACAAACCCTCAAGTTTTGTTTTTCTTCATTTCCAGACTCATTCAAAGGTAAAATTGACGCTCTATCAAAATTATCATAATGCTCAGCTGCCTTTATACTCAAATCAAATTCAAGTCTGTCTAAATTGCTATTCAGGTTTTTAATTCTCTGTTCAAAATTGATGATTTTACTCTCTTTTTGAGCTCTTTTTGGGACTTTGTCTGAAAGGGATGAAAATTCTTTTCATGCAGGTAGCTGTCTTGAAATAGCTTGCTTGAATTCATTAATCCCAGATTCGAGCTTTGCCAATCTGGACTCTACATTTGCATGCTCGAAATTTAGGGATCGAGATAATGTCGCACCTATAGGCTCTTTTAAGCTTGAATTGATTTTTTGTGCTATAAGATTTTGTTCCCTTCTAGACTCACCTAAACAATTTGAATTACACGCTTGATGATTTAAAACATCAATACACTTGCAAGAGCTACAATCCTTGCTCTTCCTCTGCCAATTATTAACTACTCGGGTTGAGCTGAAATCCATTTTGAATTATTTCCGATTCTTTACAATTATAAATTTCGCGAAAATTATATATCAGATTCAATCACTAATAAATGCCGTAGAATTTTTTCCTTGTTGAAATGTACATCTTCACTATCAGACTCACACTCGAAAACGTCTAAATCTCCTTTGAATTTCAGTTTCCTCGATTTTTCAATTCTTTCTTTCACTTTTTTCTTCCAGGCTTCTTCTTCATCTTTTGAGCCAAATGGCTGTAGTAGCCTTAAATGGGCAGTCCACTTGTTTTTTTCTGTTTCGTAAGATTTTATAATCTCTTTTTCTTTCTGGCACATTAAAAGCCCAGCTCGAGTTTCATAAACGTTATAATCTGTCAAAGTTGAATTTGGGGTCTCATGCACTGTTTTTTCCCTTAATCTTGTAGTCTTTCCTTTTTTAATTAAAATTCTCAGCTTCCTTGTATAGTCATCTACATCTTTTGCTCGGCTTGGAGGGACTTTATTTGGCACATAAAAATGATGCTTCGAAAATTTTTCGACTTCGTTATAATGATTATGCTTCCCAAAAGGCAGTTTAGGCAGATTAATAATCTGTTTGCCTTCGTTAATAAGGTTATGATGTCCATTCAGTTGGTCATTCATGCTTAATGCTTTTCTGTGGGTCTGGATAAATTTCCCTTCGTTTAGGCTCCCTTCTCCTCTGAGTGCGAGTTTTTCTAGGAGACTAATTTTGTTAGATGGACTTCTTACATTATAAAGTGCTTTATTAAGCTTGAATATTTTTGAATTGACTTCTCTGTTTAGAACAGATTTTGACCTGTATTCAGGTATAGGGGATTCATTCTTGATTCTGGAATAAAATGATAAAGGACTATGCCTAGGCATAAAATGATTAATAATGCAGGATATAAAAAAGGTATTGTTAGTTAAGACTCCAACTGTGAGTCAAGACCCGGATGACTTAAAAGACATCGAAATTCAAGCTGATATGGAAAAGACAAAATATCAATGAATTGAAAATAAGGCTGTCAATAAATTCTCAACAAAAAAAAGATCGTTTTTGAGGAAGAGAACGGAGATATGTAAAACTGAGACAGAAAGCAGTGAGATGAAAAGAATTTTGACTAAATTTCCTCCTAACTTCCCCCGAACAAAACCATTGAAAAATCCCTATTTTTTGAGTAAAAACCCACACTCTATCAGTGAACAAAGATTTTTTTAATATAAAAATTATTTAACGATGACCCCCCCCTCAATCTTCATGTCTATTGCAACAAAAATGCAATTTTTTAATATAAAATTTTATATAAAAAAAAATAATAATTTTCATGTCTCTTACAACAAATTATATATATAGCGCTTTCCCGAGGATGGCGCGGAATGGCGCCATCCTCGGGAAAGTCAAACTAAGCATCCACACGGGAACTGGGAGTTCCACGTGTGGATGCCATTTTTGACATGTGGGATCCAAACTTCCACATGCCAAAATGGCATCCACACGTGGAACTCCCAGTTCCCTTGTGGATGCCTTCCTGGCTTTCCCGAGGATGGCGCCATTCCGCGCCATCCTCGGGAAAGCGCTATAAAAAAAATAATAATTTTTATGTCTCTTGCAACAAATTATATATATTAAAATGGCGATACGTGTCAGCCTGCCCTCTTGGCGCAGCATTCCAGATCTTATGGCTAATGCGAACTGGGACGGACCCCAAGCCGAGAATCAGACGCAGGCTCAAGAAGTGTATATCCAGGCAGGTTTTGGCTGCTTTCCTGTGGTTGGAAATAGATGCGCTCAAACAACGTCCTTTTGATCCGAGGACCCATGGGCATTCCTCTACCGAGAAACTGGGGTTTTTGCCCAGGCCACAGGGGAACAGTCTTTTTCCAGTAGCTGTAGAAGGAAGGTACTTTGACCCCCGATAGACTCTAAGGAGCGATCCTTGGAATCAAGCTACTCCAATTGCCCGTAGCAGGGATGCAGAAATCCATAAGCCGCCCACTCAAGACTGAAGCCGCAAGGCAAGGAGGAGACAGAAGGTACCGGAAGGGCACTCGTAAGAGGAATAGACCCTCTGGGATGGAATCGAAAAGCGGTAGAATCTTCTGCACGGGAGGTCTTTGGTGACTGTGTCACCAATATGGCTAGCGCCTGTCTGTAATAATCCTAATCCTCTTGCAGCAAATTTTAGATGCGCATCTTAAATTTTTCTGTACTTTTTAGCTAGATAAGTTTAATAAAATGGCGATCAATGACAATAGCCGTCCAAATCTCGATGAGAAGGTCATTGACACGCCTACAGCAGCGCTGTTTTATGGGGTTTTTGAGAAACTCACCTAGAGAAAAATGCATTAATTCTTTTTTATAAAAATGTTGTGTTGCAGTAGGCATGAAAATTTTTTCGAAAAATTTTTGTTGCAGTAGACATGAAGATTGAGGGGGGGGTCATCGTTATAAAAAAATATTTTGATATATAAATGATAATTATTATAAGGAAATCCAAATCTGTTTTATTTATAAAATGTATTTATAATAAAAAAAAAATTAACCTCTGCGTGAGCGAAAAACAGATAATTTAATTAATTGATTACAGCTACAACTGAGCAAGAAAAATCTGTCACCGCGAAGTTAAGAGTAAGCCCAACAGGATCAATATAAATAAAATATTTTCACCTGAAATGTTTAGGATCAATGGCAGTAGCTTATCACCTGTCAATTTAAGAGAAGCTGGGTGAGAGCTTGATAAAGCAATTTTTAAGGGAGCAGGTTCACAAAAAGAAACGAAAAAGTTAAAGCAGAAAATAAAGCAAAATTATAGGTGTAACAGGTTTTCTAGCAATGTTTTTTTGCTAGAGGATGAAATGACTTACCCAAGATGGAAACCAGAAACACAGAGTTTCTTACTGTTCCCTTTGGCTAGAGAGCAGATTGCTTACTTGCTAAATCTCTATGAAAGAATGTTAATTTTTAAAAAACAAATTATATATAAGCATTTTTCGATTTAAATTCAAATTTTTTATTATGCCACGCATAATAAATATTTGAAAGAAAATCTAATTTAATTTATAAATTTATGTTTTAGGATGTATGCGGTGTTAAATTTAATATATTGAATTATAATCATTATTAATTATATACCAATTAATATTTAATTTATAAGTAAATTGTAGCTTTTAACGAAGAGTTCTAATTTCTCAAAAGCTGGGATTTTTTCATGATTTTGCTTGCTAGCCAAGGGCGATCTAGTTACAAATGAGCCAGTTTTTACCCCTCCTATAAGGAGAACCAAAGAAACCCTTCCCCTTTTGCACGATTCCAATTGAAATCGATGTGAGTCCAGAATTCGGGTCCATGAGCGTCTTGTCACTCCTTCACAGCTGAAGACTATTACTGACTTATTTAAAAGGCCGAAAACTTCTCACAAGTTGTATCTAACAGAAAACAAGCATCATTTGTAATTTATATTGTATTAGCTGCATTAACACCATTTTATTTTTAATCATTTATATATATTTATTTTAATATACCAAATATCCTTACATTTTTATTTGTATATTTAATTTCAAAATTTGAATTACATAACTAAGCCAAAAGGCTATAAGGTGAAGAAAATAACCCAATCGAACTTCCAAAATTCCAACTGGTGACTGACCTGCGATAGTCTTTCTGAACCAAATACAGTTCATAATCAAGGACGCTTGGAGCCAGTGTTTCTTCACATTGAAGGTTGATGTCGTTTTCACACTTCCCTTCAAGACGCAACTTTTTCTTATAATCCCAGCCCCACTTATAAACCTGTGCTTCTGAAAGTCCAGCTTGTTTGGCAAGCTCAACTACTTGTTCTTTGGTCCAATTTGTGTTCATATCGAAGTGGGCTTTGAGAATGTTGACTTGGTAGTCAGATTTCCGATTTCTTTTCCTTCGAATTTTTTTGGCGCAACTTTCATGAATGGGAGATAGTAAATAATAAGTCTAGTGGGTTAAACATGCATATACTAAGAATTTTTTTATATTTTTTAATGCGCCTCATGAATTGGCGATTCCTCGGTTGACATTTCGCTTTCTTCTTTGGTTTCCACACAATTAAAATGGCGAGCCATCCGACCCGTCCTTCTCCTGTACCCTCAGGGACTACGGGGTTAAGAAGTAAACGGGGCCTGGATATTGTGTCCAGGGTGGTTTTTTTTTACCTTGGTCGGGACACCACGACAAGGTTTTTTTGCCTCTCTCACAAAGACGAGAAGACCAGAGCCGCAGAATCAGGAGTCACACTTCAGGACTAGAAGGAAGTGAGGAAGCTTGTAGTGGAGCTTGAGGACCTGAAGAAGACTCCGGAAGGCTACTTTTCCCCCTCCCCAGAAAGGACGGCGCCGGTCACTAGACCCTGATCAAAGGAGTACCTGGGTGAGTCTCCCTGTCAGATGACGACGTCACCATTTTTTGGTGACGTCGACAGAAAATGGAGTGAGCAACAGAGCCGGTGCTTAGGGCGCAAGCCTGAAGCTGGCAGCGCTGGGTAGAGGCTGAAATAAACCTCCGTGACCCGCTAAAACTAATTAATCTAATTAATCTAATCTTTGGTTTCCATGCACTGAGAATCCAAATCATCTGATTGATACTTGGACGAAAAATTGTGCTTTTTGTTTTCAAAAATCCTTAAGCGGGTCTTCATATTCGTAAAGTGCGTAATAAATAATGTATAATGAAGCTTATTTAAGCATGGAAATGATATTAAATTGGAAGAAGAAATTCAGTTCCATCAGAATTTGCTTATATTAAGGATATTCAATACAGGGAGGCGTCCTTTTTAGATTTGTTATTATTCTGTATGATAAAGAATAAAGAATATTCTATTTTTATTTATATTGATTTATTAAATCCATTGCTCAGAAATATAAATTTAGTTATTTTGAAATTTAGCTACAACTTTAGCGGATTTTGCTGATACACAAACCATCTAAGTCCATGCGAATTTCTCCTTCAGTCATCTCATCTGAATGAATTGCATACCTCTGACCACTGACTTGGAGCGACCCGCTATCTTTATTGCTTATTTCTCCCTTTAAGAAAGGTATTTTTTCTCTCTTAATTGAAGATTAAATTTTTTTTTATTTTTATATTAAAATTGTGCATAAAAAACTTTTTGAAATCTAAATTGCAATATTTGAAAAATCTGACTTAACTTAAATTTATGGACTAAAATTTAATAGAATTAACTAGAGATCTGTTTATAATGATTTACTTAATTATATTTAAAAAATAATTTATACAAAAAATTTTATTGTAATTTTTTTCTAGCTCTTAAAGAGAGCTAATTTTCCCAAAAGGGATTTTTCCAATGATTAAAGCCCGCTCTTAATGGCGAAAGAGTTAGCATGAGCTCCTTGAAGACCGTGAAATCAGTGAAGCTCAGGAGCATTTCAAACAGTGGGCCATCAATTTCTTCCTGTCTGTTCCTCAGCATCCTTCCAAAATGGTTCATATCCACATCCAGATGTGTTTCAATGTATTTTTCAATCGTCCTGAGATATTCTTGGAAAATATCCATATAGATCAACTTGTTCTCTTCCTCGTCTGTAAATTCTGAGCTGTACTTCTTCATGAAACCTTGCTGAATGGAGGTGAACTCATCTGAAACCACGATGTCTTCTAGCTTCCCAATTGTCAAATCAAATAAGTCGTCTTCCATGCAAGTTCCTGAAGCAGAAATTTCGAATTCATCTTCAGACATCCCATTAAAAGAGTCATTTTCTAGCTCCCACTCCATAAAATTAACTATCCGTTTTGTTCATTTTTATTTACTCCCCCCCCCCCTCCGTGAGCGAACAAAAAAAATTTTGTTCACTCACGGAGGGGGGTTAATTTTTTTTTTTTAAAAAAAATTTATATATAAATTTTATAAAAAATATTTTTTTCGAAATTTAAAAAAATCCTAATTTGCAAAAATTGGGAAGCAAATATTAATTTAATTTGCAAAATTTATGTTTTAAAACGCAATTTGTTTAAAATTAAACAGAATTAGCTCTAGATTTCATTATACTAATTATCACTTATATATCAAAATTTTTTTCCATTAAAATTTTTTCTATTAAAAAAATTTTTGCTCGCTCACGGAGGGTGGGTTTTTGGTCAAAAAATGGTGATTTTTCTAATGGTTTTGTTCGCTCACGGAGGGGGGGGGGGGGGAGTTAGTGAATATATTTTTTAAAATTAATTTTTTGTTAGAGGATATAAAAGATCATAAGCAAAGAAAATAAAAAAAAATCAAAGAAAGACATCAAATATTTTATATAAAAGCATTAAAAAATCTTAATAAGCATTTTTAAGTATAAATTATATAATTTTGTGTGAAAATTTACTATTTTTTTTTCCGAATTTCAAAAAAATATTATAAAATTCTTACACTATTTTAAGTAAAGAAAAAATAACATCAAAATTCGAGAAAAAAATGATGATTGTGTTCATTATTAAATAGGGCGGGGTAAGTGTTCTTCACCACCTTCCTCCACTTCAATGTCTTCTTCGATTTCATATTCTTGAGGATCCATTTCTAGATATACTTGTTTGTGAGAACAGTACTTTAATACTTGAAACGATAAAACTTTATTGAATAGGAATTAGATTTGAATATGACTCTCCCATATTATTTATCGAACAAAACAATTCGAAAATACCTAATTTTTTGGAAAATTTTACCTCTTTAGTTAAAATTTATGATAAAGAAATGGCAAATTATATATTAAATAACTCGAATTATTTAAATATAATTTTATAATTCTATTCGATTTTGCATTTCAAGCATTAAAACTTGGATTTTTAAAATAGGAAAACAATTCATTTAAAATTTTATAACATAAATTAAACTCTTCATTATGGAGAAAAATACACTGCTAGCTTACCAAACGGAAAGTAAGTCAGCTAATATTTAGTTTGTCTATGAGGTTTATATTGAAATTATATACTTCTTATTTAAAGTATTGAAAAAGTGTTATGTACTATAAAATCAACCATTTGCCATTAGAGTTTTTAAATTTGCTGTCTAACCTGTTCCAGTTGTTCTTGAAGCTTTTGATTTCTATCTGCTAGCTGCTGACCCCACTGCTTTTCAGACTCCAGTTTGGCTCGAAACCACACCAGCTCTTCTGTTAGCTTGTCAATTTCAGTCTCATACTCACGCTTCATTTTTTCAATTTCCCTTTGAAACTCAATTTCCAATCTAGATGCCGAGCCAGTTGCAGTTCTCACATTCATATCAGGGGTGACTGGGATTTTTGCGGCTTCAAAGTTTGCCCTAGCCTCCTGCTTAAGCTCTTCCACTTTTTGTTTCAGAGCTTTATTTTCCTGTAAAACCTTGCTAAATTTTTGTTCCAGCAGTGAATATTGTGTTTGTACAGTATCTCTTTCTAGCCTTACCTGGCTTAAAAGTTCCACATCTTGCATCCATGACGATTTTACTTTGACGAGCTCATTTTCAAGTGAAGCAATCGTTATATCTGCTTTTGAGAGCATTCTTTCTCCATCCTGGTCTCTCTTCTCAAGCTGCTCTTTAAGGCTGTCAGCCCTTTCTGAAGTGTCGATTAAAAGTTTTTTTAAGGATTCGTGGACTTCTTCTTTTGTTATTTGTTCTTCTTTTAGTGCATCATAAAGCCTCTGAAGCCTTCCTATTTCAGCTTTTAGAGTCTCTATTTCAGTTGATGACTGAGAAGAGACTTGATAATGAGTTGTATGCAAAGAATCGTAAGCGTTTTTAAGGCTGAAATGCTGCTTTTGTAAAGCATCCAGCTCTGATTTGGCTCGCTTTATGCTTGATTCACTTTCTGTTTTAAGCTTGGAAAGCTGCTCGCTAAGGGATTTTTCTTTAGTTTGGAGATCATCTATGACTATATGGGCGCGTGAAAGCTCTTCTTCAAGTTTATTTACTGTAGACTCTAATGTAACTTTTTCACGACCTTGAATCAGTAGATTTTTTATTTCGTCAATTGCACCTTGGGCATCTTTTAAAACAAATCCAAAATGCTCTTGACGATTACTGAAATCATTGGTGGTTTCATTTAAACTTTGCTCAATCATCTCAATTTGGTCTTCTTCTTTATGGATATCTTGGGCTAGCTGCTCTTGTCTGCATATGAATTACTCAACTTCATTATTTTCAACTTTTTCTTGGAATTTTTCAAGAAGGAGAGTGATTTCTTCAAGCTGAATGTCAACTTCTCTTTGGAAACTTAAAAAGCCTTCGTTGTCACTGATGCTTGTTTTAAAACCTTTTGGGGCTGCTTTCCAAGGCTGACTTGTGCCAAATTTAGCTTGACCCATATGTTCATGTAGAGATAGAATTTCTTGATATGCTTGATTTGAAGAGGAATTTACAGGGACTAATTAAAAATTACTTCCTTGTTTAGGATCATTAATGAACATGAGTTTCTTTTCGATGATTTTCCAAAGATTTTCATCCAATAGAGCAGCTCCATCTAGCTCTGTTTCCATAATTATTTTTAATTAAAATATAAAATTTTATTGAGTTATAAATAAAATAATATCAACAGATTTTTAGCCTACTTTATATACTTAAAAGGTGAATTACTAGCTTTTATTAAAGCGCTAGAGTCTGCTATAAAGGACTTGCAATCATTATTATATTAAATTCCGTAAAATCTAGCATTATTAAGATGGCAGAATGCTTCAACATTGATCCTCACTATAAGGTAATTAAAACTCAGGGACCAAAAATAATGCAGAGCTATTTGAAGAAACTAAAGCATGAGAAGAAAGTCGTATGGTTCCTTTCAAAATTCACAAAACGATGGTTTGTGCTCGATTTAATTCATGGAGTTTTTTATTACACCCAGAGTCACTCCAATGCTATACCAGAAAAATCATATAAAATAGCTGAAATAGTTGGTTTTGAGCCAAACCCGAAGACTAAAGACAAATGTGACTTTAATTATCCTTTGGAAATGGTTACAACTGATAGGGTATTTATATTATATGCAGAAAACAAAAAAGTACATGATGATTGATGCAAAGTATTAAGATCGCTATTTGTACCAGTTGATCCGGATTTAAGAAGAAAATGTGACTATGTTAAATCTCGAACTTGAAAGAAAAGTCTTTCCTATTCTGGACCAGTTGAAACGTCTCAGGTGAAACCTGCAGTTTCATTATACAGCCGTGCTCCTTCGTTTTCTATTGAAGGGGCAGGAGTATTTGAAAGCAATGGAGGCATAATAAAGTTAGAAAATGAGCAGCCTGACAAAATCCCTGAAACTTTTGAGATATAATCAATTAATTGAATTAATTTAAAATCATTTTGCATTTTTATTAATTAATTTTATTAACCAGTCCGTAATCCTCTTCTGCTGGCTCAAATTCATCCAAAATGTATAGAAGAAGTAGTTACACCTATTAACCTAACTGAGGAAAACTTAAATCAGACTCCAAAAAAAATTTTTTTTGAGGAGGAACCTTCTTTTGAGTGCTTTAAAATTGACAGAAGCTCTAATCAAGATTTATCTGTGTACACTTCACTTGATAGGCCTATTGCTTCATATCCTGGGGAAATAAATGCAGATACGCCAAGAGTTTTCGAAAGATCATGGATTAGCAACACAAGTTCAATTAATAACGCTATATCAAATAATCAAGAAGTACAAAAAACTTTCTATGATGAGGAAAAAGAAAGAATAGATCCCGATTTTTCTCAAGATATGGCCATTTTGCAAGATAGCTCTGAAGACAAGAGAGATAAGGATTCTGTGCTTAAATCTAAAGAAAAAGAGAATAAAAATAATGAGGAAGATAACAAATTATTAATAGCAGAATTTTGCGAAAAAGACCTCGGGAAGTCTGAATTGTCTGAGAAACCTATTGAAGAAGCTTCTAAAGCAATTTTCAAAGCCTCTGCAATAGAAGAGCCAGTATTGTATCCTAGCTCAAAAGCTAATAAATTTATATTTCCGGAAAAGTCTGATGCAGAAAATGAAGTCTCCAATACAATTGCGAAAGAAGAAAAGAGCCAAAATAGTAATGATCTAGTTTTTAATACCATAGAAAAAAATGAAAAAAGGATTGACATAGCTGAACAAAACAAGGCTATTTGTGAAAAATCAGTAGGTATTAAAGAGAATGCTAGGCTTATCACTGAAAATGAGCCAAATTCTGAAAAATGCTCTTTGGAAGTAGTTCTTTTTTCAGAGCGCAATCAAAGTTTAAAAGAAAATAATTCATCTTATTCTGAGCAAGTCTTAGAAGAAAGTAAAGTAAACTCAAATTTATATAATGTTGACCAAGAACCAACAAATCTTTTAGCTATTTCAGACTCTAATATTAAGAGCCCTGGTAATGAAGCTTCTGTATTCTCGCCCTGCAAAATGATTGATAACTTATTTTGCAATACCTCAAAAACAGAAAATTTAGATTCGATGAAGGAATCCATTGAGTCTTCCCCTCAAATTATTTCCCCAGTCATAGAAAATAATATTTTGCAAAAAAACTTACTGGAAAATGAATTAGATCTCAATAAAAACTCAACACTAGATGGACCTTTAAAATATTCATTTCCTATAGAACCAAATCTAGCAGAATCACCTATAGAAATTTCCCATAGATGTCGCTGTTTGCCCTTGATTTGCCCACTGGGGAAATTTTTTGGTTCGACCAGTACCATATGGTTTGGTCAAACCAAGAAATTTTCCTCATGGGCGATTCAAGGGCAAACAGCGCCATCTATGGGAAATTTCTATAAACTCTCAAAACAAAAATCATCTCCAAAGCCCAGTAATTGTTCTAATACTGAAAAATTCATAAAATCTCTTGCTAAATCTTCCAAAAAAAGAATTTCTCCAGATAAACTTATTAACATTCCTTCAAATCTTGAATATCAAACGATCAACCTGTTAGAGATTACAAAGCAAAAATTAGATACATCAAAAAATGCAGAAAAGAATACAAATTACGAGAACGCTCAAGTTACCGCTATTTCGGCTGAACTTAGTAAAATGGAAAATAACCCTCTCCCAACTATTTTAAAGCACTCTAACGACAAACATCCTTCAAGAAATTCTTTATTCAAAAATAAAGAAGCCCCTGATTCGCCATCAGAAATTTACCAGCAAAACTATTTTACTCGTCTCAGCAAAATTAAAAGCCTGCAACGATCAAGCTCAAACCCTCGAAAATCAACAGGCGGAATGACAACTTTTTCAAGTCAAGATTTATATAAGAGCAGCAATGAAACCGCAAGGACCTCACTAAAAGACTCATTAAATTGCTATTTACAAAGAAGAAGCAAAACTCCTTTAAAAGAAAAAAGGAGGAATGGAATTTCGCGATATGAAAAAAACGAGATGGAAGAGCCAAGGTTCAGCATCACTGAATTCCAATTCAAAGGAGTTTTGCCAGGAGAATATACAGATAGGACTGGAAATGATGACGAATCGCCTATATTATCTTGTATGAAAAATTCTTCGAAGAGGAGAGAAAAGTCAAAGACTCTTAGTGTAGGAAATGAGATTAGAGCAGAAATTTTTTCGTTGCAGACAAGATTAACTGAGCTTAACCAAGACCACAATAATACTCAGAATGACAGAATTTTGAAGAAAAGCACCACTTATAAGCAGCCATTGAGGAATCCGCTGTATGATCCAAAATATACTGATCGAAAAGAACAGCTTATGAATGAAATTTCACAACCAGTTTTAAGACTTAGTCAAACCCAGTCTAGGCTAAAGGTAAATCGACTGCTTTCGCTTACGAAAACAGCCAGAGATGAGAAGCCTTTATTGAAGCAATGTGTGCATAATAATTAATTATGCTAACTTGTATTACCAAATCAAATAATTAAAAACCAGCCTAACTTTATGGTTTAATATGCATTAATTACTACTTTATTCCTTGTTTAAACATTGAATTATTCAGAATTTCATTTAAGTAAATATGAGTTGCTTTGGCTTTCTTGAGAAATTCATCTTAGAACGCTGCTACCCTCCAGGTGGACCTGCAGGCCAACAGACAGCTCCAACCCAACCACAAATTTCAAAAATTGAACCTACAAAGCCAAAGGTAGAAACAGAAAAATCTTACTCGCCTGTAGTTATAAGAAGGAAGCATAAGGATGAAGAAGAGAATTCTGACGAACTATTCAGAGAAATGGAACCTCGATACGTTGCGCCAAAAAGAGTGAATCTTGTTGTAATGGCAAATGAAAACGAATTAAAATCAACTTCAAATCAAAGCAAAACAAGGTTCGACATGGAAGAAGGAGATACTGGTAATTGGGGAGAAGATTTCAAGCTAGACTAGGTATTCTAACAGTTCATATGCATAGAAATTGCTAATGATTTGATTTTATTCTGTGATTGTAAAAGTTTTAGATTGTTTCTTGACTCAATTTACCAGAAAATTGTATACTGGTAATTATAATTAAAATTCAAATGATAAAGAGATAGCTGTGACTAATTTTATAATCAAGGAAATGGAGATTAATTAACTAACTCTCTACTTTTAATTGGTTTAAAAATCCTGTTCCAATTAAAGGGGATATTTTTTTTAAAAAAAGAAAATATATATAAAATGAGTAATATTTTTTAATTTTAATTAATTCCAAAAAAAATCGATTAAGCTGTTTAAATAATATTTACTTGCACTTTTTCCATTAAATTAGGTCAAAACTAATTTTGTAAAATTAGCATTTTTATCCTTAAAATATTCTTATTAAAAAATAATTGTTTCAATTTTAAGGGGAGTTAAAATACCAAAAAACGAAATTTTTACGATATTTTGCTGGAATTTAAAAGGGGAGTAATTTAATAAAAAACCATTCTTTTAAATCAAAACTTTTTATAATTTTATATATAAATTTTGAGAAAAACAAATTATTTAAAAATGCAAATTTTATTCTAACATGATAAGCAATTAGCAGCTAAATCTTTAATTGATAAATTAAATAGCTATGAAACACTAAAGTATTGATTAAATTTAGTATGATTGATGAAGCTTAGCTGGTATGAAGATGAATCATTAATAAAAAATAGTAATTAATTAAGGCAATATAAGATAAATATGAATAAAAGATCATCCTTCGATGAAGTGCTTCTTTACGATCCTCAAAGGATCTACTCAGTGAACACCAATATCAGAAAGTCGAATCTCTATTCAAAATACATTTGGACTCACAATCTTCATAGCCTCAATAGAGTTTCAAAACCAACGACACGGTTACAGTCACCTGCTTCTCAAGAGAAGCCTAAACCTACAAAAAATCGTCACGCGAGATCTCAATCGGAGCTAATTCAAGTAGAAACCTTGACCCTCCCACGCCTTACTTCTTCACAATTATCAGCAGAAAAGCAACCCAATGAAAATTTAACATCTGAGCAAATCACTCTAGATGATAAAATCAAAGCAAAGAATGTCAAAAGAAAAGAAATTACCTTGACTGAAACTTTAAGTGGTCATTTTGATACCATCAAAAAAATGGTCGCACTGCGAAAAAGCGAATCAGAAATTGATTTCAAAATTAACGAGCTTGTCAAAGATGCGAGAGGAAAAAGATTATTAAATGCACAGAAATATGAAGAAACCGAAAGAAATTTATTCGACCCTAAAAACGTATTTTCTGAAGGGACTAAAAAATCAAGCCAAGATTTTTTAAATTTAATTATGAATGTACACAAAGAAATGAGCCCAGAAAGCCATAAAGTTATAATATCAAACACAATTAGCAGCCCTCCTAGGAATAATATCAAGCAGAAATCAATTAAGGTATCACTTATTCAGATTAATTTTAATGACGAAAAACCAATAACTAAAGGAAAAATTCTTGAGTTTAAGATGAGGGAAAGGGAAAGTTTCACAAGAAGCAAAACCTATGGAAAAACCTTTATGCGAATTCCTTTCACTGTATTTACTATTTAGCTATTCAGAGAGCCAACAGAAGAACAAAATAAAAATTCGTAAATTTGTATTTTATAAGTAAATAACTATTATTTTTATAAGAATTACACAATTAAAATGTCAGTTAGGAGCAGGGCTCAAGATCTATATCCAAGCTCAGTAAGAGAAGTTCACGACTTCTTGAGAGTCTCGGCTCAAGAGAACAGGTCTGCACCGTATCTAGTATAGACAGAAACAGTTTGACGGCTAGCTGACCCACCTACCATTATTCAGAGCAGTGGTCTAAGCTAAGGTCAAGAAGTGCAAGACTTGAAGAGTTGCCATAAACTTAAGCCCATAAGAATTATACCGGCTATGAAGTGCGGCCACAGCACGGAAATGCTTGCTTTTAGTAAAGACGAAACCATCCCCGAAGAGCAAATCATTTTAAATCCAGGAGAAAGTCTGAAGCCTCTGGAACCAGCTCATTCCCCTCAGTGCAACTGCAATAATAAGAATATTCTTAGAAGAACTTACAGGCTTTTTTTAAAGCGAAAAGAGCAACCACAAGGATGCATAAATTCAATAAAATTAAGCGAAAAAGTAAAAATCACAGACGCAGAGATTTCCTACTATTACATCTTGAACCAGACAAAAATAGATTGCCAAGGCTACAATGATGCCAGCTGCCAAATCACCTTGGATGTCGAAAGGACCTATAATGATATACCTTACTTCAGCCAAGGAAACGGTAAAATTATTCTCAAAAGAATGCTTTTAGCATACGCAAAATACAACCCCAACCTTGGCTACGTCCAAGGGATGAACTTAATAGCTGCAGCATTGCTTTGGCATACCTCAGAAATTCATGCATTTTGACTGCTTGTAAGCTTGATCAACGATTTTGACCTAACAGCTTTGTTTCTACCTGGATTTCCAGGTTTGGAGAAGCATTGCCATGTGGCCGATTTCATGCTGATTGAGTATCTTCCAGCATTGTATGAGCATTTATCAAGGCATGGGATAATGACTCAAATGATCATGATTGAATGGTGTCTTACCTTATTTACGTCAGTAATACCATTGGATGACACTATATGATTTTTCAATAAATTCATCAAGCATCGTTGGGTGTTCTTTTACAAGGTTTTTTTAGAAGTGCTGGAAAGACTGGAAGAAAAAATAATTAGAGACTCAATTGTAACAATTATTAATTATTAATTGTTTCTAAAGTTTTTTGTATATAAGCATTTATTTAAAAAAAATTGTCTTCGTTCTCTCAAAGGGAGGATAATTTTCCCCAAAGCAGGATTTCTCCAATGTTTTTGTTTGCTTTTGAAGGGGTGAGCTAGGTGCAATAGCGCCGCAGCAATTTTGAAGATATAGAAATTGCCCGATGATGGCGCTCAATGCGCCATCATCGGGCAACGTCTTTTCAGGGTCCACACGGGAAATGTGTTCCACATGTGGAGGCCTTTTTAAACACGTAGAGAATCCTCATTCCACACGTGGAGCCCATTTCCCGTGTGGACCCTTAAAAGATGTTGCCCGATGATGGCACATTGAGAGCCATCATCGGGCAATCAGTATAATTCAAAAGAGAAGAAATACTCGACAAATTTGGGATGAATTTTTAAGTGAAATGGAGAAGCCACGTGAGAAATTGACATGGGAAAAGCTAATTAAGCATGCAAAAGAAAAAACCATTAATGAAGTTTGTATCAAGTATTTACTGGGACAATTTTATAATATCAGTTAATTATATATAGATGTGTTCATAATAATTAATAAAATTTATTGGGCTTCGAAGCATCTTTTATGATAATTTAGAATTATTTTGAAGTTTTTATTTGAAATAAAAAATACTATGAGGAGTTCTGACATTTTTTCCTCTGATCTTCGTAAGACAGTGGATATAAATATTCTTGTAGTGGTTAGAGAAGAAAAAGGAGAGGTGAAGGAAAGAATGACCAGAATTAATTCTATCCCAAGCTTAAATAACAAAGGGTCTGGTCTAAGATGTATGGATGTGAAATTTACATTTTTCAATAAGGTCGATCCATAAAAGTTTATGAGCTATATCAATTTCTTTCAACTTATTGCATTTTCAAAATCCTGCATTTATAAAATTATATCTCTTTAAGAGTGGGAAAATCTTATTCGATCCAAGAGAAAGGTGCAAATCTAAACTAGGGAAATTAATTATGCATTAAAAAGGAAGCTTTTAAATAATTATTGCATCATATTAGCTAGCTATAATATATAATTTTAAAATCAAAAGATTTAATGATCCATTCTTAAGATTTACTTTTTCTTAAATATCCCCATCCTCGATCGAGTGATTCCATTGAAAAAAATTCCTAAAAATTAGGAAAATTAAGCATTATAATTTGATCTGTTTAATTTTTAATTTTATTAATGAATGCGCTATATTAAAATCTGCCTAATAAAGCAACTTACTCTTTTTAATTTCTAAACAGCATATAATTTTTAAATAGAATCTTTGGGTATTTAAGTTCAATACCTATTGCTAGGTTTTAAATATTTAAATTAGAACTAAAAACTCTTAAAGGTTTTCTGATACAGAAAATTAGCTGCATCTACAATAACTTCATCTTTTTCATTCTACATATTATATATAAACATTATGAATCCCCAGAACCCGCATCCTGCTTTTAAACCCCCAAACTACAATTCTCCAATAAGTCAGCGCACATTCCCTAACGCAAACGTGCAGCCAGGCCCACAAGTGATAAATCCTCAAATACCTGCTATAAAACTTAACCCACTTGTTAGGCAAAATCCAGAACCAAGCAATCTACCTGCGCCAGGTTCTGAGTCTTTAAAGGGTATGACTGATATCTCTGTTCCAAAATACCAGACAAACCAACAATTTAACCCATTAGGAGCTGTGTTCCCTGTAAAAGCTGATTCTAGTTATCAAGACACAAGCTCCCAAGAAGGGTCTTATCATCCGCATTCAAATCAAGGCATGCCAATAAAAGGCCCTTCAATACCTCGTCAATTTACTCAAAACAACACTCCATCCTCACATGCACCTCAGCAAATGATAACTCCAAAAATTCCTCAGAATGGTAAATACATTAAAATGACTGCACGCGCCAACCTGCCCATTCGGCGCAACAGTCCAGACCTTATGGCTACAGCGAATTGGGACGGACTCCGAAGAAAGAATCAAATGCAGGCTCAAGAGATATGCACCCAGGTAGGTTTTGGCTACTTTCTTTTAGTTGGAAATGGAGGTACTCAACAATGTCCTTTTAGATCCAAGGACCCATGGGCATTCCTCTACTGAGAAACTGGGGTTTCAGCCTGGCCAGGGAGTAGTCTTTTTTCTGTAGCTGTTTGAGGCACTTCGGCTTTAGCGGACTCCAAGGGCCCATGGAATCAAGCTACTCTAATAGCCCGTAGCAGGGCCGCAGAAATCCATAAGCACTCAAGACTGAAGCTGCAAGCTAATGAGGAGACAGAAGGTACCAGAGGGAATTCGTAAGAAGGATAAACCTTCTGGACTGGAGTCAAAAAGAGGTAGAACATACCGTATGGGAGGTCTTTGGTGACTACGTCACCAATATGGCTAACGCCTGATTTTTAATAACTAATCCTCAGAATGATGCCCCAATGATGAAGGCACCACCATTTATTAAGAACACTCCTCAAATTAACCAGGCGAATCAAATTAATCCTCAATTTCAAAGAGAGCCAAATCTCCAATCCCAAATTATTAAGCCAAACCAGCTTGATTCCCAAGTCTCTAACCCAATTGGCCCTCAATCTTTTATTAAGTCTCCAAATCAACCTACTAACCAAGTCCCAAGCTCAGCAGGTCCTCCACCCCTAGTTAAACCGCCTAATCAATCTAACCAGCCATTTCAGCTTCCAAGCCCACCAATATTTCTGCCTCCATCTAATCAGATGGGCCAGCTCAATAACCAAATTCAAAACCCTCAAAACTTTCAATCTCAGCAGCCAAGCCAGTTTCTGCCTAAAAAGTATGTCCCTCCTCCCTCACCTCAAAATGATAATCAAGTTAAAAACGCTCAAAATCTTCAGCCTCAACAACTAATCCGAGGTACGCCTCAAGCTCAGTTTGTGCCTAATCCCACACCTCAAAATATGCAAGAAGGCACAGGCAATTTGCAAAACTTTCAACCTAATTTTACTCCTCCCAATTTTGGTCCAAATATTCCTCCACCTCCTCTGCATGGCCAGAATTATATAGGATCTGGACAGGTTCCAAAAGCAAGCAATCAAATTCCTACTCCTTCTGCTGATGAAAGCAATAAATTTGTCAGGCCACCACCACCGCCACCAGAATTTTTTAACCCACCAAATGTTCAAAATCCCACGAAGCCTCCACAAGGTGATAGTATACAAAATCCTAATAACCCTCAATCTGAATCAAAGTTTCCTTTAACTCCCCCCCCCTCCGTGAGTGAACAAAACCATTAGAAAAATCGCTGTTTTTTGCCCAAAAACCCACCCTCCGTGAGTGAACAAAAATTTTTTTAATACAAAAATTTTTTACGGAAAAAAATTTTGATATATAAATGATAATTAATATAATGAAATCTAGAGCTAATTCTGTTTAATTTTAAAAAATTGCATTTTAAAATATAAATTTTATAAATTAAATTAATATTTGCTTTCAAATTTTGGCAAATTAGGATTTTTTTAAATTTCGAAAAAAAAAAAATTTTTTAGAAAATTTATATATAAAATTTTTTAAAAAAAAAAAAAAATTAACCCTCCTCCGTGAGTGAACAAAATTTTTTTGTTCACTCACGGAGGGGGGGGGAGTAAGTGGAATAAATTCTGGCCCTCCTTTTATCCAACAGATAGCCAATTCAGTTGAAGGAACTCTTCCTGACCTAAAAGGAAGCCTTCCTCAAGGAATTATACCTCGAATGGCATATCCTCCGCAGCCACAAAATCCAACCAATGCATTATTAATTAATCCTGCTCCACTTAGAGTTCATCAAGAACAAGACTTTCCAAAATTTACTCCAAATAATCCCCCGAGAGGCAACTCAATTCCCTTGAATCAGCCATTTGACCTTTCCAGGTCTCGGATGGCGTCCTTAAACAACTCATCCTCTATTGATTCAGATATGCAAAATTCTCCCCCTTCAAATGGCTTACTGCAGGTTGAAAGCATTCCATGCCCACCTCAACTTGCATCGAGACTTAACAGAAGAAACATTACAGCAGACATTAAAAGAAAATACATGCTAACAACTGCCACCTATGATGGCACAGCTTTTAATCTAACCGGAAGTCCCAGCTCAGTTCAGCAAGCATCTGAAGAATTAAAGAAAATTATCACCCAAGAGAGTCAGCTAGGCAATGTGTTTTGGGAATGGCTTCGTGATGATGGCTCACTAGAAGCTTATCCGCCTGCAATAAACGAAATAATTGAGAATGCATACAATCGAGGAGAAAATTGAGCAGCAATTCCGATTAAAGGCCAGACATATAGAGTCATTTTCGGAGATCCGCATGTCCAAGTAGTTTTAAACTCAAAAATTTCTAGAACTGTTAGAAGAAATGATGGAAGCCAGGCAAGTGTCGATAGAAAACTCAACGAAAATGAGGTCACCTGGTACTGACAAGACGACGACAAAATTTTCAAGAAGTATACAGCTGAGGCTTCAAGACAGATTGAAGCTGCATATCAGCAAAGAAGTAAAGCTTTAATTCAAGGATCAAACATAAGGGGATATTTGCTTGATTTTGATCAAATGAAACAACAGAATGAGAAGACTAAATTTTCAAGAACCATCAGAAGAGGGGAGTAATCTAGTAATTGATAATAAGTGACTCATTTATACTTATTGACGACTAAATTATATTTTTATAAGGTAGTCTTTAGATTTCTTATTTTAGTCATAATTAATTTAAAAATAATATTTAATGCTACAGCAAATCTACTTATCTTTTCACTTCTTCTTTTAATTTTTTACCCAAAATTCCTACCTCACGCAGAAGCTGTGAGCTTTTTAAGAGTTCCTATTAGTTTGCTTATAATAAATATGAGTGGCCCAGAAAGTTGCGTTTGTCTCTACATCAGAAACCTAGTATCAACACTAACAAATAAAAAACAGTTCAAAACAACAGCAGCCGAGCTCCAAAAGCTGACTGCAACCTTCGGCATTGGTGCCGAAAAATTCCTGCTTGGAGTTTTCCTTCAAGACATCGATTTCAAAGACCCAAGGATTTCCTCAGGTGGCAAGGACCAGTTCAAGGTCCAGTTTCTCAACCAAGCCATCACACATTTTTCAGCAAAGCCTGCATTTTTGGACTACTTCTCACAGGTATTCCCGTCAGGCGACATTGAAGAGTTTTTCGAAGACTTTTCCCGCAATCTGCATCTGACTTTGCCTGTCCAGATCCTTTTGGCTTTAAGTCTGGCCTTGTCGAGCACTCCGCACGTCTCTCGGGCAGGGACAGTAATCTTGAAGAACAAGCTGAAGGAATATTGCGCACAAGGCAAGCCACAGAGGATTCCAGCCTACGCAATTCACTCGATACTGTTTGTGCTGAGGAATTATCCTGAGTTCACAGAGGAAGCAGCATGTGGAGAGTGAATTGAGTTTTTGCTGCTGGGAAACCAAATTGATGAAAGGATTTACTACTTGCCCTTGCTGAAAGAAGGAAAGGAGACGTATAATCTGCCAGAAGTGAGGCCGACACTGATGAATGAAATCAAGAGCTCACTGGCGCTGTCGGAGGTGCTAGAAGATTTAGGACCGCTTTGTACACAAAGTCCAGTTACTCTAACTCTTAGAATATCATTTACAATTTTGCTAAAATGCATTAAAATGAAATACTTAAACCTAAAAAGATATTAAATGAAGAATTCTTTTATTACAGTAAAACATAATTAATTATAAATATTTTTAATATGATTATTAAAAAATATGAGATTATCTATATAAATGAAGGGATAAGAGAAGTGTTTATGGAGTTTCCAGATATTAAAGAAGCAGAGATGGCTGAAGCTCTTGCTATGATGTGCGAAAAAACTTCAGACACTTTAGACCAAGAGAGCAGAGTTATTTCTGCTGTTTATTCTTCAGTACACCAGGAAGCATGGCAAGCCTTGACATCAGAGTTCTCAGAAAAGAAATCAATCACCAACTGGAACCTCGACATTTTCAGCAAGACTGTCAGAGAAAACTACACCTTGCAGTGGGAATTAGTAGTTGAGCTGCTCGATATCCCAAGATTTGTAATTAAAAACGAGCAAGCTTTTGTGCTGTTGACAACCTTGTATTACAAAATCACTGGAAAGAAGTTCCCAATAATGCCCTTCTTCAAGCTTTGGAAGAATCCAAGAGGCCAGGTCTCCTTTTTAATGCATGCAATCTACTCCAGTGTCTCTTCAGAAATCTTCAATTTTTCTGACACTCCAAATAAGGTACCGATTGAAGAAATCGCTATGCAGCCAGACGTAAAATGCATAATCCAAGCCTTACTTTCACTAGACTTACTTAAAGTGCTGATCGAGCTCTCAGTCACAGAGTTTTACCCAAGCATACGCAATTTACTGATCAATGAAGCCAAACATTTCCCAGACATCTTAATCATTGGGCTTTCTATGATCAAGCCAAGCCGTGGCCACCATTTGCTGACAGAGCTCATATCAATGATGATGCCTCAGTTCATGACCCCACAAACCACGAATCCTATTGTTTTACAAACAATTTGGACACATAACCCTGATTTAATTATCAAAGGAGCCATAGAGTACTATGAAAAAGACCCAACTTCGCTGGCGTTAAGCAACTTGCTGGACCTCACACAAGAAATCAGAGACTCTCTATTGAAGTTGGTCGCTTGTGATAATCACAAGTTTACAGCCCATTTCGGCCTTCTTGCGAGCAAACGAGATTTTTTGCATTTAGAGCACTGAATCAACGAGAGACTGGCCAATGGGAAAAGTGGCTTTATCATTGCTTTGCTTGACTATATTGAAGATTTCGTCCTCAAGCCATCTGCTGAAGCCAAAGATCCCAAACAAATAGAAGCCATTCTAGACAAAGCCCAAATAACGAAAGAAGCCTTAGTCATAATTTTTGAGAAGCTTATAGACGCCCAGCCTTCTCAAGAGCTGCAGAAAAGAGCTTATGAAGTCTACAACAATGTGATCAAACAGTTCCCTGAAATCAAGCCTCCAAATCTGCAAGAAGACGTTGATGAGAAGGCAAACTTGTTTTTCCAACAGCTTTATTCAGAAGAAATCAGCGTTGCTGACTTCATTGTCCAAATGAAGAAGCTCAAAGGGTCAGCGAACAAGCATGAGACTGATATTTTTGAGTGCGTCATTAATAACCTCTTTGATGAATTTAGGTTCTTCCATAAGTACCCAGAAAAAGAGCTGAGAATCACAGGAGAGATCTTCGGAGCCATGATCAAGTCTGGGGTACTGGTAAGTGTCCACCTGTTTGTAGGCTTGAAGCACATAGTTATGGCACTCAAAAAGCCTAGAAGCAAACTGAGCAGATTTGGATTTATTGCTTTGGAGCAGTTTAAAGACCGCCTCAGTGAGTGGCCAAACTTCTGCAGCGAGCTGCTAGCTGTGGAGAACTTGCAAGAAGAGCAGCCTGAATTTGTAAAGTGGCTGCAAAGCATCAAAAATAAAACCAGCGCAGCCCCTGAAGATCCGCCAGCAGCACACGAAGAGCCTGTAATCCTGACTGATAACCCTCCTGGGATTCCTAAGCCCCCAGAAACTGCGCCTCAGCCAGTATGGAAATCTCCAATCGAAGAAGTTTCTGATCCCAGCATTCCTGACGCCACAAAAGACCGAATCATGTTTATCATAAACACCACAGATCTTCAAAAGCTGGAAGAAAAAGCCAGCGAGCTTCGGAAAATTTTAACTGAGGACGAAAACACAAATATCCCCTGGTTCGCAAATTATTTAGTTGTAAAAAGAGTTTCCCAAGAAATCAATTTCCAAGAACTTTACTTAAAGCTCTTAAAAGCTGTAGATATAAAGAAAGTGTATTCATCTGTGCTTAATGAGACTTATTATGCAATTTGGAAGCTGCTTACTTCTCATAAAGAGCTTGAAGACAGCGACAGAAAAGTCCTGAACTCTTTAGGAGCTTGAATTGGGTCGCTAACCTTAGCTAGAAACAAGCCTATTTTGCTTAAGCATCTTGACTTAAAAGATTTAGTTATAAAAGCATATGAAGAAGGCACGCTGCTAGCAATCATTCCATTTGTATGCAATGTCCTGAAAAGCTGCGCAAACTCTGAAGTGTTTAATAGCACAAATCCTTGGGTCATTTCTAACCTATCACTTCTAGTAGAGCTCAAAAGCAAGCCTGAACTCAAGCTTAGGATTGTCAGTGAAATCGAGCTGCTTTTTAGACTCTTAAAGCTCAGCCCAGACGATTTCCCAAAAACCAACCTTCTTGTTGCAAAAGAGACTAAGAAAACTCAAGACTTTGCTATTAAAGAAGCACAGAGCCCACAAGAAACCATCCAGTTGTCAACTGAGCAAGGGATTTTGTCATCTCTTCCAAGCTACGTCACTGTTTCTCCTAAACTAGCTGAGCTGTATTCTGAGCCTGAGCTGAGAAGGATGATTGCCCTTGCAATTGAAAAAGCTATTAAAGAAATCATTCAACCAATTGTACAGAGAAATGTAAATATAGCGCTGATTACCACTAAGGAACTAGTATTGAAGGATTTCGCGTTTGAAAAAGATGCTAATAAACTGCAACAGGCTTCAGTTTGGGTAGTTAAAAGTTTGGCTGGAAGCCTTGCACAGGTTACATCAAGAGAGCCATTCAGAGTGCATGTTGTGAATTTCTTGGCAGAAATTTTAAGGACTAGCACAACTCTTAATAATCAGACTCTCAAACAAATCGTCTATATTCCATATGATCAAAATATTTTGATAGCATGACATTTCCTAACTCCCCCCCCCCCTCCGTGAGCGAACAAAACCATTAGAAAAATCCCTATTTTTTGGTCAAAAACCCCACCCTCCGTGAGCGAACAAAAAATTTTTTTACATATAATTTTATATATAGTTTATTATATCTATATTTAATACAAATAAAGAGGATAATATTGAAAAATAATTATTAAGTTTGTTTGATATATTATTCAAAGGGTTAAAAAAAAGAATACCATAAGTGAAAAGGTTGAATTTAACAATTTTAAATTTAAGACAAAAAAATGAATAGAAGAAATCGATTAGATAATTAACTTCTTCATATTAACTTGATGGCTGAAAAATCTTTGGATGATTAACGCCATAAGAACCCGTCAACTCAAATGATTTTCTGACAAGTTGAGGGCTTACAGCATCTCACGCCTTTGAAGCAATGTTTATCAGTTGCTGGCGATCAAGAGCAAGCAGCCTTAGATAACTTACTCCTTCTTTTTTTAAGAGCAACAATTTTTTTAAAAATTATTTTGATATAATCTGATTGCAATAATGAAATTTGTATTTGATTCTATTAAATTTGTGCTCTAAGACATAAATTTGATTAATAAGATCAATTTTTTATATAAAAAAATTATAAAAAAATTAATAAAAAATATCTTCTTAGTTTCCGAACAAAATGCAAAGGGAAAGAGTTAGAACTTGGCTGTGGACTAATTGCAAAAATAGTTATTGAAAAAGCAGTTAGTGATGTAGGTCAAGAAGAGACTTTGAAAGACGCTTTTCAAATGAGAAGAATTAGTGGAGATAAATTCTATGACGAAAACGCAGCTGCAAGAAGCAGAGCTGTCCAGTTTCTCCCTGACAATCTAAAGCCAAAACTTTCAGGCCTGACAAAAGAGCAATTCCAAGTGTACCATGACTTTGTGAACATCATAGAAAACCCCAAGAAAATATCCCAATCTCAGCCAGCTCCTCCAGCGAAATCTTCTCCATCCCCAGAAGCCAAGCCTGACAGCTCTCCTCAAAGCTTGAAATTTGATGACCAGCTAGAGCAGGCTGAATCTATAATGGTAGCTAAAAATGACATTGAAGACCCAGAAGTGCAGCAAGCCATTTCTAACGTCACTCTTTCCGCAATCGCTTCTAACAGCAAGACTGAAAGTGCATCCTTATGCGCCCAGAAGCTCTTCAGACGAATGTACACCACTGACGACTTGACTTCCTTTTACATCCAAATTTTACAAAATATCAAAAACCAGCAGAGGAGCATCACCAAAGAAATCACTTCATGGCTCATTTCTAGTGAAGACAGCAAGAGATTCTACTGGCCTGTTACAAGCGAAATCATCAAAGGCGATCTTATTCAGCTGAATGAGTTTGACAAGATAATGGGCAAAGCTATTGAAAATGATAATCAGATGGCTATTCAGTTCGCTGTCAGACTTATCAAAGAAATGCTTCTCAGCAGCAGAGTGGTTGCAAATACTGAAGTCCAGGAGACGGTGGCTGCACTGAGAGCTGCAAAAGATAGGTTTTCAGGGAATGATGAGCTTGGAAGAGTCGCTATAGGTCTCAATGAAATTTCGTCTGAGTCAAGAACGGTCCCAACAATGTCAGCTGAGAAAGCAAGGCTGAGGGAAGTAATTGAAGGGAAATTCAACGAGTGGCTAAATCTTACACTTGAAGAACCTTTTATTAATAGCGAAAAAGTACCCACATTTGTGAAGAGTCTTGAGCCACTTGGGCTACTTAATTTTGATGACAAAATTGAATTTTTCTTCAAAACTATTGCAGAAATCGCAATTTCTAGGAGCAGATTTACTGATGAGGCATATTATGCACCAATTGATAGCTTTACAAAACTTTCGCAAGTCATCATTGTGCTTGCTAGATCCTCACAGAAATCAAAAATATTACTTCGCCGGCAATTAAAAATTAACTTTGTTCGAAATTATTTTTAGTGACTCATAAAATATTCAAAAAATTAACTAAAAATTTAATTTCGAAAAATTAAAACAATTAGCTAGGTTTCTATCAGTTAGCTGTAAAATAGAAAATTCGATATAGAATTATTTTCTCAAAACTCTGTATCATCTTGCTACAGTGAGGTGGGTTAGGAAAAGTACTTTCAGCTGTAAAATCATTGATAGTTTCTGCAGCATCTGAACCAATATTTAACCAAAGACCATACTTTAGGATTTTACTAGACATTTTGACTGAATCAACTCAGCCAAATGTCGTGTTCCCAGATCAGGTTCTAGTGCAAGAGCTCTTGCTTCCAATTGCAAAAATATTCCACGAGCTCAACCCTTGTCGAGTCCCAGCATTTGCCTTCAGTTGGCTCGAGTTGATATCCCATCGTTTCTTTTTACCAAAGATGCTGCGAACAGTTAACATTTCTGCTGAAAGAAGAGTGCCATCCACACACTGGAAAAAGATGCACTTGCTGCTTATGGATCTCTTTAAGTTCATATATCTAAACTTTAGCAAAGTTCCTCTCACCGAATCTCTCAAGGCGTTTTACCAAGGAGTCCTAACTCCCCCCTTTTTATTTTATTAAAACATCACGTTTTTTTTTGGTATTTCAACCCCCTTTAAATTGAGACAATTTTTTTTCAGTAGGAAAATTTAATGATGATGACCTAATTTAATAGACAAAATGCAAGTAGAATGGATTTTTTGTTTCAATTTAAAAGGGAGGAGTAAGGATGCTGCTTATTTTGATGCACGATTTCCCTGAATTCTTATGTGACTATCATTCTGACTTCTGTGACTATATTCCAGAACACTGCTGCCAAATGAAAAACTTGGTCTTAAGTGCATATCCAAGAACAATGAGGGTGCCTTTGCCTTTTACCCCTAACTTGAAAGTCGATTTATTGCCAGAAATGAACGTTTCTCCTAACATTTTATCCTCATACAAAGAAAAATTGTCATTTTTAAGCGTGAAAGATGATATCGATAGATACTTCACTGCAAGAGATGCCATCTGTGTCAAAGAAATTTGCAATAAAATGATGATCCCAGACCCCTCAACTCCAGCAGAACTAATAATCCGAGCTAATGTGATTGTTATCAATGCATTTGTGCTTTACGTCGCAGAGTGGGCACTCTCAGAAGGTGGAAATCAGCGTGATGCCAACGATTTGTTTTTAACTCCCCCCCCCCCCCGTCCGTGAGCGAACAAAAAAATTTTGTTCGCTCACGGAGGGGGGTTAATTTTTTTTTTTTAAAAACAATTTATATATAAATTTTATAAAAAATATTTTTTTCGAAATTTAAAAAAATCCTAATTTGCAAAAATTGGGAAGCAAATATTAATTTAATTTGCAAAATTTATGTTTTAAAACGCAATTTGTTTAAAATTAAACAGAATTAGCTCTAGATTTCATTATACTAATTATCACTTATATATCAAAATTTTTTTCCATTAAAATTTTTTCTATTAAAAAAAATTTTTGTTCACTCACGGAGGGTGGGTTTTTGGTCAAAAAATGGCGATTTTTCTAATGGTTTTGTTCGCTCACGGAGGGGGGGGGGAGTAAGCATTCTTCTAAACCTCGAAAATGAAGCGAGAAAGCACTTTATTAACGCTATTGCCAATCAGCTGAGATATCCTAACTCTCACACTCAGTTCTTCTCATGTGTTCTTTTCTTCCTATTCTCTGAATGCAAAAAGCCAATTATTGAAGAACAGATCTCAAGAGTCCTAACTGAAAGAGCCATTGTCCATAGACCACACCCTTGGGGAATCCTAATCACACTGATAGAACTTATTAAAAACCCAAGATACGAGTTTTTGAAGAAGCCATTCACTCGCTGCACCCCTGAAATAGAAAGACTATACGAAAAGATGAGCAAGAATTGTGTGCCAGGGCCACTGTCACAGATACTTAATAGTTAGATAATAATATTCTTTAAAAAGAGTCTTTCCAGCCATTTTATTAAACGTATGTGGACGCTTGCTAGAAGGTAAATGAAGACCAAGTCTCTATATTATAATTATGGGAAACTGTTGTGCGCCAGCAAAAAGCAAGCCAGCCCTTCTGCCTCCAGAAACCAAACAAACAATACCAGACGAGCCTGACAACGAGCCGAAAATCAACTTCAAAGCGTGCATTTCAAAAATTAAAGTGAACGGGCTCGGGGTGGTAATGAATAATTAGAAAAAAGCAGCTATCAAGATAAGATTCGATAAGCTTGACTTCAACTTAGAAGAGAGAACTGCTTCAGAAGACGTTATCAAATGGAGCGAGGAAAACAAGTTTGATTACTCCACCTCTCTTGCTCGAATGGATCACTCACTAATGAAGATTTGGATCATCGCTGAAAAAAAGGTCATCGCCTCTTCTGAGCTTAAAATTTCCAGCATCATCAATGGGCCTATACACACTAGTCTTTCTCTAGAGGACAGAGGAAAGCCCAAAGGGAGAATCAGCTTTAACGTCGAAATGCTTGAAGAGACTCTTCTGATGATCGCAGCCAAGCATATCAACTGCCAGCTTGAAGACGACGCCACTGGCAGGTACTCAGCATCGATCAAATTTATGAGCAATTTTACTAAAGAAAGTCCGCATTCAGACATCAGTGACAAGCCAAAATGGAACTTTTATGACGAAAACCCTGAGGCAAGCCCAACTCTTCAGTTCGGAGCGACCATCAAAACAGTGAGAGACGCTTCTATTCAGATTAGAATTTACAAGCACCATAAATCAGGGCCAGCACTTGTGGCTGAGTGCTGGGTAGGGTTCACCAAACTCTTTCGAGAAGAAATGGAAAATATATATAGAACTGAGTCGTATTATGGAAGTTCAGAAGGGACTCTTTCCACTTTGGACTTCAATAAAATCAAGAATGCCTACAACAAAACACACTTGAAGACATTCAAAGAGGAGCTTTGGCTGTCAGGAAGAAGGGCTGGAGAAGTCTCTGGGTCTCTGAAAATCGCATGTTTGCCTGTGTTCCAGCAGCTGATTTCAGGAGTAAATACAGAAAAAGGCTACCAAGTCCAAAGCTCTCATTTTACACCTCAGATGGGGAAAGCTTCAGGAAAATTGCCAAAAGAAATAGAACGGATTATAGAGCTCACTGCGAAAATCAAGGAAAGTGTGAATATGAAATCGAAGAGGGGCAACCCAGTTTTGAATGATAAAAACGTATTTAGGGAAAAGAAACTGAACTTTGATGAACTTTGCAAAATTTTGACATCAAGCAAACGAGAGTCAATGGTCTGTTTTACTTACACTGGAGAGAAAAACATATTAAAAGCACAAAACTATTTGATTGACCTAGGCATGCATCTCGCTGAATACGCAGAATTGGTGATGTATGACATAAAGCCTTACTATTTCAAAAGCTTGATGTGCCTTATCAGGCGAGGAGAGCTTGATATTGGCTACCTTTCGCTCCAAGACAACGACCCAACTCTTTTGCCTCAGAAAATAGATGTCGCGGTTAGATATTTGACACTATTTCACAAGATGCTCAAGCTTGCCTTCTCTCGAATGGTCTTCAAAGGGATAGATCAAATGACACAAGAGTATGTGGAGTGCATGCTGGTTCTTGGCTGGTTCAGAGTGCCTCAATTCAGAGCTGTCATGGTGGAAACACTCAAGAAAAAGTCTTACCACCACATTGACGAGTGGAGAGGAACTGAAATAGACCTAGATAGCGATTCAGAAACATCATCAGAGCTTGTGTCAGTCATTGACTGGCCAAGTTTGTTTTATAAGCTACTTCCAAGCGAAATAAAAATTGAGCCTATGATTGCGTATTTGAATGACCAGGTGTGGATTAATAAGATCGAAAAAAGAGGAGTCGCGTTTTTGAGATTCTTAGAAGGGTGGGCTGAGCATGTAAATAAACAATTCGTGGTGCAGCATATTTTGTGGTCAAGCATCCCAGGGTACCCTGTGCTGCTGAAGTGCTTTTTGCTTGAGATGAAGGAAAGGGAGATCACTGAATACCCTGAAGCCTTGATATCAGCTGCTTGCAAACTTCTTTACAATCCTAAACTGATAAGTGTTATGGTCCGCATCATTTTTGGGAAAACCAATGTATTTGACTATCAGGCTGTCCAAGAAAGCTATAATGTCTTAGGAAAGCTTTTCACAGCAGTATACAGCTATGGTTGATTCTTGCCTCCAACATTTGACAGCTCTTTCTTCTTAAAAGGGCTAAAAATCACTATTGAGCATGAAATCGGGCTGAGTGTGGCCAAGGCAATTTCATTTCTTTACTACCACTACCACATGATTCGAGGCCATATGAGAGAAGAGCTCCTGCTCCACTACATCCTCGAAGATCAGTTCATGAGGCTCTTTTGTCACTGATGTGTAGATGTAAGGAGGATGATCTGTTATTTCTTTGTTTTCCGCGTTCTCTCTCTCGAATCTTTTTCCTTTGAGCCTGAAGACGACGTCAAGTTGAACAAAAAAATCGCAAGGAAACTTAAGAAGAACTTAAGAAATATCAGAGAGCTCGCAAATGAAGAAGAAGCGACTTATATAGACAAAGCACTTGTGGAGTATGAGGCAGTTTATAAGGAGTATGAAGAGTGGAAAAACCTGCTTCCTGAAAAATTCGGCAACGACCAGCTCTTTGGAGTCTCTGATGAATTTCCTTATCCCATTGTGGTGGTGAAGCTGAATTTCGTGGATCTTGCAGAGAGGCAAATTGAAGATGAGTGGTAGCGTTATCAAGAAATTATAACTAGTCTTATTTAATCCAATATTTTCATATTAAAATTAGTAGCTAAAGCCTCTTTTTATAAACTCCTGCATCATAACTTGCACAAATTTAGGTCTAGACACCTTTAGCTCTTCAGTCTTATCTTATAGAATTTATATCGCTTAACGTCCACTACGGGGTTACAACTCCAGGTTTATCACTCGCCTTTCGTCGCATCGGGCCCACCAGCCTGCTGGAGACAAACTCGCTTCGATCGCCAAGGTGCTTCTAGGGCAAATGTCCACGTCTTCGACGGCTCATGGATGAGCTACTTGCTTGTACATGGGTTGCTTTTCCGAAAAACCCAAAAAATGGATTTTTCTGGTCGGCTATCGGCAAAAAGGAAAAATGCAAAGCCTGGGACGTAACGCCCAGTTTCACGCTAGGGAGTTGCCCGAATGGTCCAGAGGACTTTGCTGGGCTTCCCCTTTCCAACCCTGCACCTTCCTTCCCCACGAGGAAAAATCACCCCTGAGAATAGACTAGGGCTAGGCTCTGAAAGCTACCAGAATTGCTTACCTAGCATTGCTGTCCATCTCTGAAATGGTAAAACCTTGCCGGATATAATTAAAATATGAGTCGAGGCTGCATGGCCGGGAGGCCATGCCTAGACGAAGACGCCATATTTTAATTATTTTAGCTCTTCAGTCAGCTCAGGAAAATCTTCTCTCAGTGCTTCTTCTGGATTTACAATTCCAGAAATAGTCAAGGCTTGAACCAAGCACTGATAAGGCAAGCTGTTTTCTCCCGCAATATCATAAGCCTCAAACATAGTCTCGAACTCTTCATTTGTAAAGTACCTTGGCTCCTGCATATTAGGATGCTCTCTAAAATATCTGAGTTTCGTGAGCTGCTGCAAGATATGGCTTTTCACGTTCTCAGGCTTATCATGGATCACTTGGGTGAGGAGTTTATTGAATAGTTCTGGGATTCCTTTTTCATTCAAATAAGTATTGATCTTCTCGAATTCGATATCTTGCTCTGGAGATGTGACTGGGTACTCAACTTGCATATCAAAGTCAACAGCCTCTTTAGAAGTAGGCGAATGGAGCGCTGAGTCTTTTCCTTTTCCGACTTTTAGTAATCTAACCATTTTAATAACTGAAGAAGACTTAAATTATTATATCAAATTAAAGCTTAAACACACCGCTACGAGGCCTGCATGGGAACACAGGCCTTGCCATCATTTCACTGCCAGTGAACTCATAAACCTTGGGAACCAAGAAATTCCCGATCTGGACTCCTGGGAGTTTCATATTCGAAGGGATCACTCGAGAACTTTGGATTTTGGAGCCTAGGATCCTTTTATTTTCATAGCTGGTTTCTATAGAGCGTTTTTCACTGATGGCTTTGGTAAGGTAGGCACTGAGTGTTTCTCTTCGATTTGAAATCTTCAAATCTACTGAAGTCGGCATGGAAGAACATTCTCGATGAGTTTTGGTCGCAGGATGGTCTTCGGCTGGGACCATCGTTTTGGAATCGAAATTCTGGACTTCTGGATGGTTATCTGGGCTTAGACATCTCGTCTTTGCAGTCCGACATCTTATAGTTTTGTGGCTGTCTTCAATTAATTTAGAAGGAGCACTCACAACTTCTGGTCGCTGGCTTGTAGCAGGATCTTCAAGCCTTTTAAGCCTTGATGCTTGAGTGCCTGTTCATTCACTCCAGATCTGTTCAGCAGCCTGCAGGAACTGTTGGTAGCTTGCTTTATTTTCTTCTGTATATGCCCTTGTAAATCCTCCCATATGCGCATCTTCTCACTGATTTCTGAGCTCTGCTTGGAGTCGCTGGTTTTCTTTTCTTTCTTCTCTGGTCTCTCTTACTGCTTTTCCTATTGATCTTTGCTGTGCTTCAACACTTTTATTAATATAATAATGCTTCCTATTGGAAGCCTTGCTCCCCTCTCTCCGTGAGCAAACAAATAATTATTTTTGTTACGGAAGGATAAATCGTTTAGTTATATATTTCATAATAATTTTTTTCGAAATTTAAAATTGCAAAAATTGAAAAGTAAAATAATTTATTTATGATTAAAATACAAACTGTTTAAAATTATACAGATTTAGCTAGAGATTTATTTTTTGTTTGCTCACGGAGGGAGGAGAGTTAATATTCATCATTTTGATGGATTCTTTTATAACTCGCTTTTTGATTTTCCAATCGAGTGGTGAGTCTGTTGTAAACGAAGGAGTGTGGTTTACCTCCAGCAGTCATGGTCTCAGCTTGTGGTCAATCAAAATATCCAATCCTAGTATTTCAAAGCACATCGAGTTCGTGAGATCATTTGGCTGGCATGATCTATATGCGTGTGACAGTGAAGGCTGAATTGCACAAAGCGTCTTAACTATCATGTCTCCTATCTTTGCTTTCAAAGCATTGGCATCATGGCCAAGGCTTTCAAAGAAAGCTAAGGTTGACTTCAAGCTTCGCTTATGCCCACTATCGTCTTCTTCAGCTTCTTCATTGAACTCAAAAAGTCCACTGTGCTTGTTGACTGCGTAATTTGTTAGATGCATGCACGCATCCTTCATATTCTTTTTTTTTGGTTTTTGGTATTGATGAGTTGCTAGCCTCGTTAACCCATCTTCATGGATGAATACTCTCAAAGGGTCGCAGCCAGCTACGAGTGCATAAACTCTTAAATCAAATTTTAAGCCATCAAGCAAAAATGGGCTTTTAACATACTCTTGAGCCACATACCCTTCTGTTACTGTTAAATCTTCAGGTTTTTTCACAAGAAATATCCCTCGGCCTTGGCAAGAGGCTTCTGGCTTGACTATAAAAATTTTCTTCTTTTTATCCATTTGTGCTTTAAAATCCCCAAGATCTCCTGGCAAAACCCATGTGCGGGGATAGAAATTATAATCCTTAGGGAAGAGCTTCCTCATTTTGTTGAGGCTCCATGCCAAATTGCTTTTTCTCGTGATTGAGTACATTCCTGGAAAATGGTTGATTTTTTGAAATGGCTTCATACTGCAAAGTTTTTCTGGCTGCACTGCTGAGTCAGTCCATTTGAGGTCTCATTCTGCTTCTTCGCTTCTTGTAAGTGTCATTCCAAAGACTTTGCTTGCGATGTGTTTTACTACTTTATATTTGGTGTCGCCAACGTTACAGATCAGTTTTGATTTCTTCTTTTCTTTCATTTTTCTATTATTCTCTGAAAAATGCGAATGAATAACAACTATTTATTTTTATGAAAAGGAAATAAATGTAGTAATAATTATAATTAACATATTAGCAAAACTGTTTTACTCTTGATTTTCAGTTCCACTGCTTGAGTCCTTATAGATCTTGCTTATTTGGTGCCTTAGAGGAAAAGGCACATCTTCAAGCTGGCTGACCTCGCTTAGCTTTGTGGAGTTGCTCTTGTTGGTCCTTCTTTTGACAACGAAATTGGAGATTTTTTCTTGTAGTTCTTTGTGGTTTTTATACATTTTTTCTGGTGGTCTTGAGACTCCTATGATGTTGTAAGTGCTCATGACGTGCTTCACTTTTCTCTCCTTCCTTTTGACTTTTGGCACTGAATACTCGCTTAAGTTGATTTTGTAGGTCCCTGCTTGTTTCTTTGCCATTCATGCTTTTCGAGATTCTTCAGTATGCACAGCCATCGTCGTGCAGTTGATAGCTACATGCCCATTCTTTTTACATAGATAGCAGGCAACGTTGATCTCTGTGTAGTCACCATCCTCGCAGATTGTCTCAATAAGCGTAAAAATTTCCTGAAGCCTTGGCTGCTGCTCTATTCCGTCTCACACTTGGTTGAAATCCACAGATATACTGACTGTAATGAAAAGAGGAATATAAAGTGATTTTGGAAAATATAGACAATTGGAGGAAAGAGGGATAGGATATCTGAAAACTCTACACTTTTTACGCTTGCAGTACGAGGGTGATTTGCAAAAAATGCAATTTCCCCAAAATATTTTCCTTTGGAAAGAATTGCTGCACTTGATGAAGGAGATCCATAGTATACACTGACTGACCCAGAGTTTACAAAGTAAAGAATCCTATCCTTTTCACCTGCCTTAATAACGTCGTCATCAGGAGCAAAGGTCTCTTCTTGTAGCCATTTGGTCAAGCATGAAATCAGCCCAACTTCAAAGCAAGCTTCCTTGTCTCCCATAGTAAAAAATATAAGTGATAATACAGCATATTCTTCCGAATGCATTTTATTGCAAATTATAGCATGCTTGCTAATATATTAAATACTCTATCCCTCACCTTAGAATAACATTCAGCTAAAAAGTTAATTTGATGAGCAAGTTTGGATTATATTTTTGTGTTAAATTTAAATAGGATATATCAGGCTTATTTGCCAAATTCTCTATTTAAACAGATTAAATAGGTCAAAACACATTAATTTAGCTCAACTAACGTTAGATTATGCGTTTACGATACATAATTGTGCTTGATTTGATTTATTTTAGGTCTATCTATTTTAATCCAGATTCAGCTTAATAAATGCTTAATATGAGATAAAAATTCTAAGTTCCATATTAACTCGCTTATATATTAGCATAGCAATTTTATCATATAAAATTTTTATACACACTTGGATTAGAAATAAATTATAAAGCATGCTTTTAATGATGCTATAAATAGCAATAGAAAGCATATCAGCGATATGATACAATATCGCTCTATTTTTTAATTGTCAAGAATAGTAGTTTGCTTTTTAAGAAAGCGAGGAGCTGGGTTTCATGTCTGACCAGCCATTTTGCAAAATAGGTTATAGTCTGCAAGTTAAAGAACTTGCTGAATATTGAACAAGTTTGAATGATTGGCAAGTACTTATATCTAGCAATTTCATCTCTTAAGGGCACACTTACTCGCCCCATAAATTAGAACAAAAAATTCTATTCTATAAAAATGTTTTTATAAAATTTAAAAAATAAAACATTGTGAATTTTAATTTTATTTTCATAAAGAATTAATTCAAAAATTAGTCGATTCAGTGTGAAAACTGTTTAAATAATATTTCTATTTGCATTTTTTTCATTAAATTAGGCCAAAACTAATTTTATAAAATTAATATTTTAACTTATAAAATTTTTCATTTTGATTCCATTAAGGATGGGATTTAGCATTGTCAAAATTTCGTCATCTTCAATCCCTTTCCTTATTTCCTCTTCATATGCATGCTCAAGGTAGTTTCTCACTTTGAACTGAAGCTCTTTGGGTATGTTATGCAGTCTCATATATTTTGTGATGCTAATTATCACCTCTCGATGATTGCTTTCTCTCAAGCTTGATCTTTCCACAATACTCCCAATATTCCCAATCATAAACCCAAAAAAACCACTAGCTAGCACCATACTCATCATTGCTACTATTTTTTCATCAAGAGTGACTGCGTGAATGTCTCCATATCCCACAGTAAGCATGGTGGTATATGACCAATAAAGAGAAGTAACATAATAATCCATCGTTGTTAAGTGAGTCGCATAATTTTTTTCAAATTGAGACACTCACGAATCTGGGTGGTTACTACGGTCCTGGGATCCAATAAAAAATCATAAGCAAGCATTTCAATGAGCTAATAAGAATATAATGAAGATTGTTTTAAATAACACAATCAAGCCAGATAAGAGCTCATCAGCGATAATTTCTTCTATTTTTACAAAAAGCATCTTCAACTTAGCGAATCTGACTAACCTTAGCATCTTAACAAATTTTATCATCCTCACCATACGCGCCATCTGGGTGCCTGACATGCTACCTGATGAGTCATTAAAAACCCCTCCGTTGATGACTCAATTGTAAGGGAAGTTTGAAAGCATGTCTAACTTATCCCCATTAAACAAGACGGAAACTTATTGTTTTTTTAGGGATCTTTTAATAATAAACAAAGTTTATCTTATATATTATTTCATTATCTCATTTTTATTGTTTGGAGTTTTTTCTTAGTTTTTAAATCTATTACTATAATTTTAGGTTAAAAAATCTTTCGGCACTTTATTAGAATTTTTTTTTTAAACTTAAAATTCATATAAATCCCAAACATTTTTTTATAAAGGCAATAATAAAAATAATTTATATAAAATTTTTTTAAAACTATATAGAATCCTTTAGCTTTTCAGTAAATGTATTAAATGAAGGAGTAAGAAGAAGAACCATGAGAAAAAATAATTTTTCGCTATGAGAGTTCGGTCCATCACCAAGGCACCCTTCCTGAAAAACCCAGTGTTGAAATTGAAGAGAATATCTATACAAAAAGCCAATGTGATCACAAAATCCAGATAAAGCATTGCGCCGGAAAGAGGAATTCCAAAGCCGAGATAAAAAGGGATATAGAGTCCTTGGAATAGAAGGAAGAGCAGCAGTGAAATATCTCAGATCAGTTTTCAATAGCTTTCAGGATGAAATAAATACTTCCCACTAAATTTGCTTTTATCCCACTTAACTGTGTAATTTTCCTTGGTGCTGTTGAATTCTAATGTACTGAATTCCCTTCCGATATTTGAGCCTGGTTTTGGAGAGACTAATATAAGATTTGAGATACTGGATATTGAATCGTCATCTTGTTTCATCTAATTCTAATTTACTAAGTTCCATATAAGAAATGATAAAATTATTTTATATATAACTATCAAATATCGTCTATGTGCTTCTCACCTAGATCCACAAATGCAGCTTTCACCCGGATTTCGGGATATGGGAAAGAGTCACTCCAGCCATAGAGCAAGGTCCTAGGAGATTTTGGAATCCTACTCGATCATCTTGCATACTCTTCACCAATTAACGCATACTGCTCTTTTGCAGCTTTGAGATAAGGGAGCTGCTCTGGGTCGTCAATTTCTTCTAGCTTCGCAAGTTTATATGCAACCTTTTTTTTTATTTTGCCATCTAGCAAAGTATCCGAATCTTCCGAAGTCTCGAATGATAAAAACTCAAGTGATAATATCCGAAAAATGAGTAAATAGCAAAAGACCTTTCGCACTTCAGAGTGCCAGTGGAGGAAAAGCCTTTTGAACTGCTTTTTTAAAAGAAGAGAGTAAATAATTTCTTTCCTCAAATTGTCTTTAATCATATGATAATTTCAATAAAAAAATTCAAGACACTTTGCAATATTCAGCCCAATATCACAATTAATAGTTACCTTTATTCCCTTTACAAAGAAATCAGTGTCAAATGATGAAGGGATTTTCCTTTTATATTCATATCCCTATTATAATTAATAAAAACATTTGTCATTATCCTATTTAATATTAAAGTAACCAGTAGCCATCTATTTCTAATTAGGTATACATTGTTTTAAAAAATTTTCCTAACAGCTTAAAAGTTTCCTGCACAGTTTTGGCACTGTAGATGTTAGTTTTTTCAAATAATATCTTTACCAAAGCGTTAATAATTTTGGAATTATGAAGCATGCTGCATATGGAGCTTACCAAAATATCTGGGTACTTTAGTATTTCTCTTTCTTTCATTTCCAATAGCATGCACTTAAGCAGGAAAGGGTAGCCAGGTATATTGGCCCAGCGGATATTCTGGGAAACCACTTGGCCATTTACCTGCTCGACTCATTCTTTTAGAAACTTGAAAAATTCAAGTCCTCGCTTGGTCATCTTTTTTTTCCAACTTGATTCAGAAATGCAAGACTGGAGCTGATCAAATTTGATTTCACTTGGAAGCATTGCATAAAAGCTGCTTTGCCAATCAAAAATTGAAATCACTTCACTTTGGGGTTTCTCATCTTCCAAATCAATTTCTAAGTTTCGTCATTCTTCGATTGGGTAAAAAGATTTTCGCCTCAAGCAGTCCATCATTGTTTTTCTAAATTCAGGAATTCGGAACCAAGCCTTCACGAGGATGCAGTACACAAATTCTTGAATCAACTCATCTAGTCCTTTTAAGACGAAGTAGGTTAAAGAAATTTTTAGCATTCTATGCATAATAGACAGATATCTCGCTGCGATTTCCGTCTTTTGCGATGAAAAATTTTTACTTCCTTTTGCAAATGCAAGATATCCAATAGCTAACTCTCCTCGTTTTATTAAGTGAGTTAAGCATGAGAAAAAATAAGGCTTTATATCATAAGTAACACTGTCTATGTATTCAATTAAATTGCTTCCAAGCTCAATGAAAAGATCTTGGGCTTTGAGAACTGCTTCTTCATTGCTATACAAGAAGCATTTCATTGATTCTTTTTGGGAATAGTTCAATAAATCGATAAGTGAATCTATTATTAATTTTCTTTCCTCAAACAGCAGCCTTTCGCTTATTATTGGATTGACTTCAATCTGCTTCGAAATCATGCTTTTCTTTAATTTCCTAGTAAATTCAGTTATTTTGTGGATCTCTTCAGGTATAACTGTTCTTTGAAAAATAGAATTTCTCGCATAAGTATATAGTGATCCCTGGGGCAGCACCCCATCCTCGGTACTAACGCCAATAATCAGCTGCTGAAAGACTGGTAAGTTTCCAATTATCAAGCTTCCTTTAATAGTCCCAATCCTTCTGCCATCAAATCATATACCCTCATTAAAAGACTTAACATAAGAACAATCAAAGCTATTTTTCAGTGCATAGATGTCTAGCTTTGATTTCGCTGTACTTTCAGATTCCTGGCTTCCTTCTGGCCTATATATTTCTGAGCTCTCTTTAAAAAGTTTGCTAAAACTCAGTCAGCAGGTCCCAGCAAATTCATAGCCTGATTTATGATGCTTGTGGATCTTGATCTGTATTGATGAATCCCTGATAGTCTTGATATTTGCCCAAAATTCAACTCTAGGGACATATCTAGGATCTTCTATCTCTTCATAATTCCATGATAAGCTTTTAGTAGCCTCTGAATGTCCGCTTTCTTTGGAAACGTCACTTGAGTACTTGACTGTCATAGAATATCTGCCAAAAACTTCCTCATTAAACTTGCAAGAAATATTATTTGTTTCTATATAAGTTTTGGTTTCCTCTAACATTTCAACATCAAGGCTTATTCGGCCTTTCATTTTCTTCTTCAGAAATAGTGGCAAGCTATAGTGGACTGGCCCATTCACAATTGACGAAATCTTGATTTCAGTTTTTGCCTTTAATTTTTCATTAGAATACACTTCTAAAGACATTGCTGACTGGTTAATGGCTTCCAGTAGCGTGGAATAGTCAAATCGTCTTTCAACATTTCATTCAAAAGCTTCGTTTTCATTGTTTTTCTCGTCAAAATTCAATTTCACGGTGTCGAATTTGATTATAAGGTTTGCTTTGGCCTAAATTAATCATACCTTATTGAGGCCAAGGATTTTTATGCTTGATATGCAGATCTTGAAGTCTAATTTTATTTTATTTCCTTTTCTATCAACAAAACTCTCTACTCTTAAAATTGAGGGCTTTTTTTGGTTTGTTCGAATGCAATTACCCATTTAATTATTTGAGCAAAATTCAGAATTTATATGGCTGCATGCTGTAGACTTATTTCATATATAATTTGATTAAAAATAAATTAATATAATTTATTATATTATTTAATCCTGAATCTCCACGTGCCAAAATCATTTTGATGCTCTATAGGTTTTTTACATATCAAAATATTTTTGGTATGTGAAGAGTCAATAAGTAATTATGAAGTGCATGATATAGATTTCTCTATATTTTATAAACGAAAAAGATTTAATTGCTAGTACTCATCCTATACCAGAGTCAATGCAAAGATTTATTGATCAAATCTGAAAGGAGTTCATCTTCTTCCTCTTCAAGATTGCTATCAGAAATTCGCCTTACCAATTTCATACTCATTTTTTTTGCTGCACAGTTTAAATTAAGACAAATAAATATGGATGGATTAGAGAAAACACACAGATCAATGTGGCTTGGCTTCTTTATCATTTTGCACCTTTCCTGGTAGATTCTAATTAAATAATTAAAATAATTTTGTGTGAATGCGTCTGTTAGAGAGCAAAGGGACTTAATTCGTTGATCAATCTCTTCTAGGGGCTCTATTATGGATAAAGATAGAAGCTCATTGAGTTCATTGTCAGAAAAAGTATCTGATTTGGATAAATTCTTGAGTTTCTGTCACAGTTTATCTCTACGACTGTGCAGTTTTGCAAGTTTTATGGTTTCAACCAAAGATTTTTCTGTTTTCTTGATTATCATCTTCAGGGACTCTCCTGATTGTTCTTCATACATTGTATAGTTGATAATGTAATATCTAATGCTCATGATATTGTTGGTATTTTTCCCTTCTTCAAGACGAATGGTACCTAAATGTGTCTCTTTAGTTGAAGCTATTAAAGAGTAAACAAATGCTCTTACATTATTTTTGCCTTTATTTTCATTAGGCTGTGGCTGATTAAAATTAGCTGTTCTGCCTTTAATTGGGGAAAGAGACCCACTTCACAAATTTGATTTATTAGGCAGCTTCGTTACTTTAAAAATGGGATGAGGACGATGGGAGTGTTTAGGAGTGTTCAGACTGTATGCTTCATGATTATTTGCGATATAATTGTATATTTCTTCTGCACTTCCTCCTTCAAGATTTCCTAAATCAATATAAACATATGAGGAATATATTCAACTTTTAGCCTTGGGCGGGTGTGATTTATAAAAATGGATAAAATCTGTTAAGGTTCCTAGGATATTTATTCATGGATACTTTTCAGGAGCCAAAAGAAATTCGCAAGTGTGTTTAATATATTGGTCATATGCCAAGGTAGGCAAGTCAAGCGAGCTCTTCGTGAGTGCATGGGCAGTGCTTTTTGCTTTTATGTCTTGGTTTTCAACTAAATATTGATCAAAATTATTTTCATTATCCAGCGAATATGCGCGAGATAAGATAAAACCTTTTTCATAGCCTAATTCTACTAGGAACACAGATTGTTTGCCTAGTTTTTTCAGGAATAAGTTTATAGGTTTTATTTTGTCTGGAAGGGCTTCTTCTTCGCTATATGACCGCGTCAGTTCATATTCAGCATCAAAGCTGTTGTCGCACGAGTGTTTTCGATGCCCCGAGTACTGGCGATATGGTATCTGCTTAAGTTTGAGCGGCCCTGAGATCTCAACAGAAATTGTTTTCAGAATTTTTCTGATGATTTTGTCGATTTTTATATTTGACTTCATCAATTGATATTGTGTGGTCTGAATCTTTCAGCTTTGGACAATAAATGGGACTTTTCGTGCACAAAGAAGATGTCCGCGCTTTCTCATCTCTCTAACGAATTTCGCGTCATTTCATTCATAGACATCTTGAATTCTTATTCCAAGTTTGTCACCAAAATTTAATTTGCTGACTACAAATTTTTCACAGAATAAAAATTCATTGGGCTTGCATTTGCGAATCGGATCTTCAACAAGAGATAGAGGATGCCTTGTCAAGCATAATTCGCACTCCCCCTATATGTTTTATATGAGTTTTAAATTCTATGGCGAGCTAGTTACATAAACTTTTGGCTCTTCAGAATTAGAAAGAATAATAACAAAAAATATATTTATATAATTCCTTGGCTAAATTTCTTATGGCCGCTCTACGCGCCATTTTCATATGAAATTTTCAAATTATGAACTTGCCGCACTAAAATCTGCGTTTTGAAACGCATATTTGGTTTTCACATACCAAATTCAAAATGACATGCATATGCATGATAAGAAATTTATGCAATACATAATAATATGCTACTATACACACATTATACACACCGGAAACATTGCTACTAATCGATCGAGCAATGATCCTATTTCTTCTACAAAATGAGTCATTTTGAAGAACAAAAAGGACAATTGCTAGAAAGTAGAAATTTTTCTAGTGTGTAATTTCTTCAATGTAAGTAAAGCTTACCAGATAAAATTAATATAGATAATGTGAATATAAAAAAATCTATTCATATGGGTTTTACTAAAAGAAAATCGCTATGTCATTTAATTTTTTCTGAAGTTTACCTTACAAGAGCTACGAAATCATAGAATTGATAAGCCATTAAATCCAAAATGGAAAATATTTTTATCCATGAAAGGAAATAATTAATTTTATCTAATGTTGACTTTTCAGCATTTCTCCTTGAATCATCATAATTGCTTGAGATTTTAAAATTTAAATATTAAATCTATAAATAGTGATGATTATAGTAATTGTATAAATGTGAACTTTTAAAGTTCTTTAATTTAAATAAAAATGGAATTTTATATATTTAATTTCTTTAAATTATGAATATCATTTTAAGATATTGAAACTAGATAAGAATAGTGAAATAAAAAAACTATTCTTGCTAATAAGAATTTCGATCTTAGCTATTAAAACACGATTTTTATAGCATATTTAAACATACTTTATTTCATATCCCTAGTGCCTGCAAAATTTTGTTGCATAATAAAATTTTTTTACACAAATAAATAAGAAGAAATACGCTGAATTTCGCTTTATTATTGAATATTAAGCATAAATTTATTCGAAGTCTGCTTTAAAAGAGATAGACACAAATAAATCAATTCAAGCATAATTGCGTATCATAGATTAAGATTAAGATTAAAAGACTTAAAGTCTTCCAGATTTGATCCGGGGATGGGAAATCGGGTTGCGATTTATGCTGACCAGATGCCTGCATTCCTTAATTTCAGCCAATGAATTGCCTGGAGGTGCTATGCTTTCTTCTTTTATTTCCATAATTGAGCATGTTCTCAGAATCTGTGCAGAAATTTGGTCTTCTGGAGAATTTCTATTTTCTGGGTATAGGAAATCATTTGGCAAATTATGGCTATGAAGTCCCAGCTTCTGAATTAGTATATTATTAAGCAGCCTATATCTCTGATTTATAGAGTGTATATGAGTTTCTACAGAGCTGTGAATTTTTGCTAAAATAGATCTATTTCAATTATAAGAAAACAGCAAAAACTGTGACTTTGATAATTCAAATCCTAACAGTAGGGAACGTAGAAGAGTCTCTTCTTCAAACTTTTCTGAGTGAAACTTTAATGGATTAAATTGATTTTGCTCATCACCTGCAGAGTAAAAAAAAGCACTAAACCAAAGATCTTCACAGATGATGCTTACTAATTCAAATTGCTTAAGCCAATGCTTTTTTATTTCTTCTATAGAGTTTTCAATGAAAATCTGTCCGCCTATTTTAAAACAATAAATGAATGGAAGTGAAAACTCTGCGGCTTCATTGATAATTTTTTCGAGAGAGCAGAAATAGGTGAATATTTCAAAAGAAGGGATTGATATATTTATTTTGGGATTAATTATCTGTGTTGCTTCAATAGCTATTTGCCTTAAACTTTCGAACATATTTAGATAGCTTGGCCCCAGAAAATTATTTTTCATGGATGTTGACTTAAGAGTGTCTTCAATTAAATACTCAATTAAAGACTGGTTTAAATGCTGCTCAATAAAATCTAAAAATGCACTCTCATTAATGTGCCAATTCTATATCATAAAATGATTGGTAACGAGCGGCCATCCGGACTGGCTTTTATTGCAAAGAGCTGCCCAAGGGTTGGGTTAGCCTCGAAGCGAGGCCAGCACTATTTCCAATTGATTAGTGGCCTGATTCGAGCAGCAGTTTTTTCCACAGCGCCCAGGCCCGCAATGGGTATCCGATAAAGGCAGGGAGACTTACCTGCCTAAGTTGCTTTTGTGGCCTGTCTCGAATTTGAGCAAGGACATTAAGTTTTTCCTCGAAGATTATCTGGAGAAAAGGGGAAAACAAGCAAGACGAAGATCTCAGGTTTAGTCCCTCCAGTTTAAAAGGATCCCTCAATGGGACTTTTAGCCTAAGCTACCAAGGGAGGGCAATTTTGTCACTTGGGTTGGATATGGAATTTCCTTGCAAAAAATGCTTTGACCAGATCAGGACGGAAATGCACGGCGCTTCAGGAAGTAGGGACTATAAATACTAATCCTAATCTAATCTGATCTAATGTGCCCATTCTTATAAAGTTTCATCTCTAAATAATATCCTGGAAATGTAGGATAAGGCAAACATTTTACTTTTGCTCCTCCTGGCCTTCAAAATAGCCCAGTAATTTTTGGATTTACTTTCAATTCAGCACTTTGCTGCTTTTTCTCACTATAAATTGCTTCTCCATCATAATAGCAAATGCTTATTTGGATTATCCCCAAAGCTTTTCCAAAGGTATTGCCAAGAAACGGAGTCAATTCCCTATCCTGTCTAGATATAAAGCGATTAGCGTTATTTTTTATGTAAACACTTTCTACCACAGTCAGATAATTATAAACAAAAACGCTGGACTCAAGGCCTTTAACTTGGAAATTCAATAGAAACTTCATCAAATTCTGCTTTATATATTTAAGGAACAGCTCCAAGCTTGAAACAAGATGGATTGGAAAGAATGCAATAGAAGGTAGCTCTGAGCCTTTAATAAACTTCATATCACTAAAACTCATGACTTTTTTTTGATTTTTTATTAATGAGTCTGCCAATTTAAATAGGGAAATCTGCTGAAGCTGCTCACAGACTCTTTGCTCTAGCTTAGAAATTGTTTCCTCCAGCGGCTTGTCTATGCCAAATACTTCAAGAGTGAGAAATTTTGTTTTTGAGAATGACGAGCTCCTTTTTAGCTCAGGTGGAGAAAGTTCTTCATCATTTTCCATTTCTTTTTCTGTGAATCGGAATATGAATATATCTGAGCCTTGAATAAGCATATATAAATCATTTCTGTTATTGATTATAAATGGTGGAGTAGAAAATTTCATGGTGAGGGTGTTTACAGATTCATTTTTAGATAGTCGATCAGAAACACTAAAATTGTTTCTGTGCTGGACCTCCAGCTTGTATGAGGTCTTAAGCTTTGAGACAGGAACACTTTCAGGGTTTTTAGACTTGACGTGAGAAAATCTTGAAAACCTTTTTTTGGCTCATTCTTTGCTGTCCTTGCTGCTATTTTCAGCAGAAAATGAATTTGAATTGTCCTTTGGCATTAAAAGCTCTGATAATTTCCCCGTTTTTCCTAGGTCGTTGAGAAGAATTCTTTGATACACCTTTACTTCAATTTTCTTAAAAATTTTTAGGAGTTGACTTTTCACCATATCAGCTTTTAAGCCCTGGCTTGTCCAATGGTCAGGAAGAAAGAATGAGCACTTAAGACCTGCCGCCTGTTTTATTTCAATGATCACCCAAAATGCAATTAAATGCTCATTATTCCTAATACTAACAGTTTCTTCATTTCTTGAAAATAATTTATCAATCAGAGATTCTTCATCTATACACATGAGTTTACTGAAAGATTTAACGCCAGCTGCATAGAAGTACTGATCAATAGACAAAGTTGAAATAACTAAGCCTCGTTCAAGCTCCAGCTTTATCATCTCACCAGCTTCCTCACTCTCTTCCAAGGGGATTGTGGAGGACGACGATGAAATAGAGGAAAAGAAGGCTAGGTTCTGGGGTGTCAACAAGAAGAAAATGACAAGGGAGGCTAGAGTCAAAGCTGCCTGGAGGTATGGGGGCTGGCCCTGTCAGGGCTCTTGCCGCGCTAAGGGTCAAGGACCCGAGGGAGAGAGTGGAGGACAGGTGTAGACTCTGTAATGTAAAGGAAACTGAAAAGCACGTGCTCAATGAATGCGAACTATATGCAGAAATAAGGAGAAAGGCCCGGCGGAGGCTTAGAGATATAGTAGGGGAGACCTCGGAAAGGCTGACGATGCACACATGGCTAATTGCGGACTCCTCTGAGCTCAAGGGGCTTGTCAGCGAGAAGGATCTGGATGCTATTGATAGGGAGACCAAGAGGGCCCTGATGGAATTTGATGATCTCCTGAGAGAGAGCAGGCCGGACAGCAAACACAGAAGGCTAGAGAGGGAGGAGCAACTGGAAGACCTTGAAAAGGCTGGCATTACGGAGGAGATCGTACAGGAAATCGAGTGATGAATCGCTGAAAAGGAAAGGAAGGAACTCTTAGTGGAGGAAGAGGCCTGACGCACGACAGCGATGGTCATTGAGTCGTCCGGCTGCTAAAGGGTCAGCTGATCCCCCCTGCGTGGCGGCCAGCCTAAAGGTCGCCGTGGGGAGGGCTGCTTCCGCCGCGGGGAGGGTTGCTTCCGCCGCGGGAGGATAGCTTCCGCCGCGGGGAGGGTTGCTTCCGCCGAGGGGAGGATTGCTTCCGCCGAGGGGAGGGTTTGCTTTCGCCGTGGGGAGGGTTGCCTCAGCCGCAGGAGGGTTGCTTCCGCCGTGGGGAAGGTTGCCTCTGTAGGAAGGCTGCTACCCGATGAAAACTGCTATGTCAAAATTATAAATTTGTGCTCAAGTCCAGAGAGTGCAAAATAAAGCACTCTCTCTCACTTATAATTTCCCTAAAATATTGCAGCCACCTGAGAGTGATGTGCAAAAACAGTGTTTGCTCCGCTCCAGCACTTCTAGCAATTTTCCTCAGCACGATTTTTTCCGAAAAAAAAGGGGCATTTTTACCAAGGTTTTTAAACTTCCCCAGAACTTGCAGCAGTGTGATTAAACTGAGCACTTCACATATTGTAGGCACTTGAGAGTGATGCGCAGAAACAGCGTTTGTTTTACTCCAGCACTTCTAGCAATTTTTCTCAGCACGATTTTTCCAAAAAAAAAATATGAAGTTAAAATATTTGTTAGCTAGCAAAGCAAGATGGCGAACAACGAAGCTAAAACATTTCAAAATTAAGTTAGGGTAGGGTCTAAGTAAACATTTTTCTTCACTCTCTTCAATTGAATGCATAATAAATTCAAATCTGACAGTCTCAGTTGTTTTTGTGAACTGCAAAAGTACTTCTTCAACCAAATCTATGTCTATTTCTTTGCATATTGATAAAGTATTTAGTGTTAATTCTGCAAGCAAGGATTGTAGCTTTTCACTGATAATTTTGATCAAATTTTGGGCCATAGTTTGTTTGGATGAAATAGGGGAATCTTGCAGCTTCATCACAGCTTTTTCTTTTTGAAAAAAATTTGAATTTTGAAAGGAAAAAAGAGTCAGAATTATCTCAGGCGTTTCAAAGCAATTAAGTAATGATGTCTTGTAGTTAGAAATTTGGAGAAGGAACTTATTTTCTTTATCTTGGTCTTTGTCTCTGTAAATGAAATATTCAGTATCATGAAGCTGAGAAAAATTAGAACTGATGAAAGATAAAAATTTGGAATCAATATTATCACAATTGCCTGCATTAAGATCTTTAGGAATGACGCTTAAACCTGAACTTTTCATCAGCAAATGATGGCGATATTTATTGAGTTTTGATATATTCAGCGTTTCTTCGTACTGCTCACAGCATGATAGCAACTTGGTGAAATCCGTTTCTATGATTGGTAGCTGGAATTCACAAACTGAAGAGATTCCCAAGAAATTATAATATGTTCCTAATAATACAACCTTATAAACTCTTTGAATTAACTGCAAAGTTTTTTGAAAGACTGTATTAGAATTGTTTGCAGTCCCAACAATTGACGACCTTCGCTTTTCAAAATTAGCAAGATCTATTTTATTTTGAAGACACTCAAATACATAAATAGGTAGCATTTTGCCATTGCAGCTCAGTTCTTTCAAAAGTTCTTCAAATTCAGGGACTGTTCACATGATAACTCCAATGTTGCACGCATATCTAGCAAAATAGCATTGATTTTTCTGCGACATTTGATAATCTGCAATGTCTCCGAATGCTCTTAACAAAACGCTATAAAGATACTCAAAAATTTGTCTATATTGCTGAGTATTTATATCTAAATCTACAGAAAATGTTTCATAGTCAAAACTCCAGCAGCTTGAGTGCTTGAGCAGAAAGTCAAGCTCAATGCTGCAGCTTCCTGTATCTTGAAAGCTTGAAACAACTTCATACATTTTTTCGTACATTTGGATTTTGAGATCCTCAAATGTTTCTGCTTTTTCAAGGTTTTCTGCTTGAATATAGCAAAAAAGGTCATCCTCATCAGAAAAGTCAATCATCTTGAATTCTCCGTTGTTTTCTAATAGATCATTACTGTTGCAAAAGTTAAGTTTATTTTCCAAGCATTGAAATATCAAGGAGTCAAGAGAAAGAAGTGATTTATAAATTGACTCGTCATTTATCTCATACTCATTTTTAAGATCTAATAGATCGTCACTTTCATCATAGTAATTAGCTATTGAAGGCTCATGATAAAATTCTATAAAAACTGAATAGTCAGAGATATACATCAAGTATTGGAGAAAAAAGATCCTATGCTTGTTTTCAGCTTCACATTCATATGGTTTTATAAGCAAAAATTTGTCTTTTTCTATGCAGCCAATCACAATAAAGCCTTGCTTTGTTCTTGAAGTATGTAGGATGTTCAGAAAGAATTGAGCAGACTTAGTTGCTAGCAGATCAAATTGGCTTGAAAATCCGCACATATAGGACTTAATCACTTTATTGTGAGGTCTGTAAGTGAATAGTGAATAAACTCTTGATTTATAGTTCTTTTTACGATAAGTTTCTTCAACAACAATTTTTCCCAATGGACGATCATATACATCTAGAGCGCTTTTCTTCAAGTTTTGGATGCAAAGCTGGTATTTTTCTATTCTAAAAGAATTTGAGCAACCAAAGAACCCAAAATAGATTGTTGCTTTATTATAGAGTTCTCACACAATTTTTATTATAAGCAGTCCAGATTTTTCAATCAGTTCAATATATGTGTCTTCAAAAAATAAGCCTGACCCTAAAGTCCTTATTTTTTCTCTGACTTTATCTTTCCCGTATGAAATTAAATGGTCTTGGCTTTGCTTAATCTCTTCCTCCTTTAAGAGTAAATCATTGGAAAAATGCCTATTTTCGGAAAAGCTAAGTTTAATATAATTTTTTTCTGTAAATATTTTAGATAGAATCAACAGTTTTTATAATGAGATCTCGAGCTAATTCTATTAAATTCTGGCAGATTGTCATTCTTAAATATAAAAATTTATAAATTAGATTTTCCTTTTCAAATACTTGCAAATAGAGATTTGTTAAAATGCTAAAAAAAATGATATAATTTAATATAAAATTTTTGAAAACAAATAGAACAGAAAAAAAAATATTGCTCGCTCTTTCAAAGAGGTAAAGCTAGCAGTTAATACATCCAAAGTTTCGAAGTGAAACCATTTCTGCCACTTTGAAGTAGGCAATTTCGATATTTTCTCATATAACGACTTCTGATCTTTAAACTCTATGTCTTGAAAAATCCCAAATACAAATTTTTCATTTTCTTTTATATTTTGAATTATGTATAGCACTCGAGAAGCTAGCGAAATTTTAGATTCCTTTGAAAAAACGGCAGCTACTTTTTCTTCTTTTTTTAGTTTTTTAAAAAGCGATTGCTTGCAGATAATACTAAGCTCGATTATACTTAGTCTAGGATTTTCAATATTCAATGTATATTCAATTATTGTATAGCTCAGGCACCTTAATAGATTTCTATAGGCGATTTGAGATAGACATTGAAGTGCTTTTTCATTTATTGTCAAATAAATGATCTAGATAGCCGTGAAGAGTGAGGATTTGAGTAAAATAGTTTAAATTTTAACTAAAATTAAGTAAAAAGTGATGGAACTCTTAAAGAAATAAAATTTGATTAGAAGTCCATCTCAGTTGAGACAATAAAATCTGACTAATTCTTACTTCATAAGCAACGGGATTTTGCTATGCTAGATCCATTTTTATATTAGGCTTTGCCGAGCCAGCTTATTTGACAAAGCCTAATAAAAAGTGAAAATGGCAATGTCTAATTCAGTAAAACACTAAATCTGCATATAAATCAGATTGAACCAAATTTCATATGCTGAAATATAATTCTATTATAAATAGTTGAACTTAGCAGTTGACTTTGCTATTTTGGATCTGCTATTAGAACTATCTTTCTTGAATATATTAATTTGATAGATTACGTTAGCAAAATCCCATGGTTTATGAGGTAGAATTAGTTAAATTTTATTGTCTCAAGCTTCCGAAACCATGATAAAGGCATCCGTATTCACTTCGAATCAAATTATTTCTTTAAGAGTTCGATCACTTTTGACTTAAAATTTAAACTATTTTACTTAATCCTCACTCTTCACGGCTATCTAGATCATTTATTTGACAGTAAATGAAAAAGCATTTCAACCGTCTATCCCAAATCACCTATATAGAAATCTATTAAGGTACGATAGCTATATTAAAGTGCAAAATAAATCAAAAAACTAGTTTATTTGGTTGAATAGCTCTTATCTGGAAGCCTTCACGAAGTATGCACTCCACCAAATTTTCAACAGGAACTTCGCAATGATAATGATCTAACTCCCCAATTTTAAATTGTAAACAAAAAATGTCTGTTCCATTTAAAGGAAGTTTAGATTTTTTTAAAAAGATAGAATAAAATTTAAATAGAAATTTACATATTCTAAATTGATAATATTTTAAATAGTATTCTGCTTCATCCCACTTTAAGGTTGAGCATGCTTTAAGCAAATTTTAGAGTTCTGCGACGTTATATTGGCTATCAAAGCTATTTACGTAGAAATTATTATTTTTAACTATAAAAACTAAAATTTTGTTTCAGCTTAAAGGAGTTCAATTGGAAAATTACCATAATTTGTTACAATTAACGCAGGAGTAAATAATATTTCTGAGAATGAGATTTATTCAAAAAATTTACATCTCCACAAGATTTTAGTACAAGTTTCTTATAAAATATTTCTCTGACTTTTAATGGTATATCGTCTGGGCTTATCCATGTCCCTCCAGAAATACTTGTCATGAGCTTAATTGAGGTCGGGTCAGGAGTAAAGCCATACTGAAAAGACTGGGGAGAAATATTTTCAGACAGATTAATAAGATTAAGAGCGACATCAGCTCTGCAATACTGTACAACAAGTCAGTCATAAATTCCTGATGCTAAATTAGAATTAGTACAGTCTGTTATGTAAATAACAGCTGGCATACTTGGCTGATCCATTAAATCCAGTGCAAATAAAGCTCATTTTAATGTTGAAGCGAAGTCAATTTCGCTTTCTTTGGCTCCATTCAAAAAATTAATGTCTAAGTCATTGCGTATTTCTTCCATATAAGACTCAAACTGGTCTATAATATCGTCTGAATTGAAGCCATTTCTGAGCTCAATTGACTGTACCACAACATGAATTGGCTCATTTGGAGTTCTGACACAAATTATTCCTAATTCAATCTGAATGTCTATTTCTTGTGAATAGTTTTGAATAGACTCAATCAGGCTTCTCAAAACAGTTGTTATTCTATTGCCCATTGATTCTTTTAAAGCGAAATTATATGCATATACAGAAGGAGCCAGATCGATCATAATTAAAATCCTGTATTTTATATATCTAAATCGAATTGAATCTTCAAGTATTGGCGCACCTACTTCCCAGTTATATTTGAATTCTGAATCATTTAGGATTGACTGTGGATTGCATAAGTATTTTCAATATCATAAAGCTCTTTCAACAAATGAAATAACACGAAAATCAGAAAGAACTATTGAATCATTCTCGGATAACATTTTTATAATTAAATTATTAATAGATTGATGAGCATTTTAATTATTGACAGAAATAGCAATTGCATTAATTATAATTAGCTGTTAAAGTGCATCTAATTCTTCGCCAAAACACTTCTTTAATGGTACTTCGCTTTTTTATTAATTTATAATTTTAAGGTAGTATTCTAATTTAAGAAGCTCCAATTTATTTTCTTAGGTTCACTTTAGCTGATGCAAATCTACTGTGGAATTATCATTAAAGAAATATATATGGTTTGATTCAAAGAATTGAAATGTTTAAAGATTTATAATATAATTCATCACATTTAGCAATTATTTCTCGTTAGAAAGCTGCAAAGTAATTTATAAAATAATTGGCATATTTTTGAATTGCACATAAATTCATTTATAAAATGATAAGCTGTGTCATGTTCTGTGAGTTCCATATAAAGCGAGGCCCAGCTTTAGTTTACCAGTATCCCGAAAATTATCTCTCCAAAGACACCTTTGATTCTTTATCTGATATTCTTATCCCGCGTCCTGAACTCTGTGGAAAAGTCATAAGTGTCCAAGTTGTCGGTGATGAATATATAATAGGCCAGCCTGTAATCATCGTCAACGACAAATACGAGCGTCAGAAAATAGAATTCAATTTTGCCGTCATCATTCCAGCTGAAGAATACTCTCGCTTTTCTCTTTATGAAAACATGATACGAAAACTTGCCTTACAGCTCACAGTTCTTGAGATAGAAAACGACTACATTTCCAACCCAGAAAAACAAATAGTGATGGGGAAGCTCTGCAAAGACATTTATACACAGCTATTAGACAAAAATGAATGCTACATCCCAGTTGATAATTGGAATTTGATAATTATAGAGCTATCAAGCAAAAATAAAAGGTATCCACCGAAAATCAGGAGTTGACATGTACCGACTCCATTGATTGACTTGTATGATATTGTAGAGATCAGGTCTGATACTTCCTTGAACAAAATTGTAAAAGCGATTAATGGAATTAGGTGCGTGAAGCAGATAAGCGAATTTTCAAAAGTAGATGAAGGGCATGTAAAAGTGTGTCTCCAGCACCTGTATTATCATGGGATGATTGAAATTTCAGACTATTTCCAGGACAGCAATATATATAGAATAACACCAAAAATTGGATTAATTCTTACAGAGTATGCTGAAGAAGCTGTCTTATCTTTAGCGAGAAATTCAGAAGAGCCAGAAATTGATGAAGCTGGGCTGTTTGATTATTACTCTAAGCTCTCTGACAAAACAATTAGAGAATTTAAGCTGGAAAACCCTGATTTCGATAATATTGTCGATCTCCAAAAATTCATCAAATATGGCACAGTAAGAGGACTTATCAGGAGAATTCACAAATATTATGTTAAATATAACGAATCAGTATTAAGGAAAACCAAAACAAATCCATCGGATTTAGAAACCATCAGAAAAGCAAGCGCCTATTTAAACGGAAAGCACAATCTTGACGAAATCGCATGTGTTTATTATGAGCACAAGTCTCAAGAGGTAGAGAAACCGATAGAAGATGCATGTATAACTTTTTTAAAGTAATTTAAATTCAATTAATTGATGCCCAATAATATCATAGACATTATATTTTTCATGCTGCCAATTCCCAGTAAAGTAAAGCTTATTCTGATAGCAGACTGGAGGTGAAGATGTAAATAAGCCTAAATCATCGAACTCTACACATCCATCACTGACGATTCTATCTCTATCTGGATAATATTTACTGACGTGCTTTCCATGAATAATTAATATAAAATTGGTCAACGCTACAGCTATTGATGGTCCAGGTACATCTAGCATAGGCTCAGCTTTTCTGATTGAATAGTTATTCAAATCAAAAATTTCAATGCTTATAGTATTGCTCCACCCACCTGCTATATATAATTTTTCATTATACTCAGCAACCCCTTGGCAACTTCTTGCGGTTATTAATTCTCCAACAATTTTTCATTCTTCTTTAGCGATGTCATATTCTTCTATCTCTTTTATAGAATTAGCTGTTAAGATTTAGATTAAGTATCGGCCATAAGCGGAGTTAGCCACTGGCCGTCTCCTTCCTTATCTTGGCTCAATAAAGCCAGCCTATCTAGAACTGAGAGTTCAAATAAGAAAAATGGAAGGCTGCTCTCCTTAGGAGAGTCACCCTCTGAAACAATAACAATCCCGATAAGAAAGGGCTGTGGGTAGAAAAAAATCTGTCTTGCCTAAGAAGGAACAGGAACCCTTCGGGAGAGAAACAAAAATTCCTCTGCCTCAAGTATCTCCAAAGGCCCACTGAAAAGTGATGCAGGTGCTCTAACTCTATACAATGGGATGGGTAATACTTGGCCCATAAAAAGTGTGCCTGGGAGTCCATCTTCCATCAACGTTGCCATTTTACATTCTATTAGCTGTGAATGAATCTGAATCTGACCCTCCAAACACAAAAATTTTATTCTTAAATTTATGAGCTGAATGGTAGCCTCTAGGCCTATTTAAATTTGGTTTTCCATAAGCAATGTTGCGATAGGGGTCATATTCTATCACTCTTGCCATTGCTTGAATTGTCTGCCAATTAATTCCTCCTGAGAGAAAAATATTCCCATTATCAAGTGGAGTAAGTGCAGGAGCAATGCAGCTTGCAAATGGTGCAGAGATTGTATAAACTTCTCCAGTTCTAACATTGCATTTAGTATAAGAGCAATTGAGCATTGAAACTCGATGGAGATCTTTGAGTGAGTTTTGATAAGAATAGATATTAAAAGTAAACGATTCCTGAACTGCCAGCTTTATCTTGGCTTCATCAGTTTCTAATGAAAGGGTTAGAGGAGTTAATTCGGGAGGAGGATTTGAAAACATCAGAGCATTTTTGAATTCTTCTTCATATGATTCTTTAAGCTCATTGCAGCATTCGATTAATTTTTCTTTTTCTTTTTCAGTGTGGTTTGTAAGTTCTTGGAGAGCGTGATCTACTGAAGCTTTAGTTTCTTCAGTTGCTGCTTGGATGAAATTCTTGAGGATTTGAATATTTTCTTCAAGAATCCTTTTTTGAGCAGAAATCTTGTCCATGATTGATAATAGTAAAGTTGTAGAATTATAAATAGTTAGATGTGTGCATATTTTAAATTATATTAGTCAATAATTTGCAGTTTATAGCGAATATTTGCTTTTAATCGATAGCAAACAATAATTTGAAAATTTTTCTGAACCGATATATCTACTATATCCTTTCTTTATATTTTCTAAATATTAAGATATAAAGTAACATTTTCATATTTCAAATGCTAGAATTCCTTTTCAATATTTAATGAAACGCTTAGGGCTTTGCACTCAAAAGCCAATTTAAGAGTTGGCTCTTCAATTTAGCTTAACAACTCAACTCTCAATAGCCAATAAATTCAATTAGTCCAGCGATCTATTAGATACTTGGGCATATTTAAAAAAGGGAATCAATTAAAATCAAATGCTTAATTTCTGATCCTAAACAATTAGATTGAGTTATTGCATGTTCAGCTTTTTGCAAGATATGCATTTTCATTTCCTGAGCTTCAGTTCCTGACAAATAACCCCAATGCCAAATACAAAGCTATTTTATTAGAATAATTAATTAGGATTTATTTGAAGAAAATTCACTATCCCAGCATGCAAACATTTCTTCGTCATAAACTGGAAATCTTTCTTTAAAAGAGTCAATAATCCCATCAAAGCTCTCTTCATACCCTACCAATACAGGCTCATTCCCTTCCAAGTTTACGTTGCATTGCACATCTAAGGCCCTTGGTTTTTGATTAGCTACTATAATTTGCCTCAATCTATTAGCAAGCTCATCAATTGCAGAATACTTATCAAATACTTCTTTACCTCTGACCACATCTCCACTGAACTTAAAGCAATGCAGCTTAGTCAAAAATCTTGAAATTGCAGCCATTCCGACACTCTCAATTTTATTGTAATCCATTTTGACCAAAAATAGCCCATCATCTGTAAACTCAACTTTCAAAAAATCATCCCCAGCCTCAAGCATCACTCTAAAAATCATATATCTTGCACAGCAGTGAGCTTGACCCCATTTATTTGATTCTGGACAATAAAGAAGGCCTTTTACACCTTGATAAGCCATATAAAGCCAAGTCATATTTCTGTGCCTTATAAAATCTTCAACACCAAAGATTTGATATACTTCAGGGAAGCATGATAAATAAACAGCCACTGTTTCAGCTCGGCATTCTTCATAAGCAGAAGAAATTTCTCCGAATTTGCTTTTCCAAGACTCCTCATGGCTATAGAATGAGTCTATTACGGCTCCTGTTGCAGGGTTTATTGCATTTGTATCAAAATTGAAAGTGTTGTCCTTACCTTTGATTAAGAATTTACCTGTGCCATGTCCTAGTAATTCATGAGTTGCAACTGCGATGGTTTCACTGTTAAAATAGCAGTCAATAATTAATTGAACGTCTTCAGGAGTCAGAAACTGTAAATTTTTGGCTTTCGGCTTTGGGTAAGCATTGCCCAAATTTACATTCTTGAAGCCTTCATTTGTGATTATTTCATCATAATTAGGTAAATTGATGCCAATTGGTACCCCAGAGGTCGCAAATGCTAAGACTTCAAGTGACGTAAAATCAGGAGCTTGGAATTTTTCCTTTTCAAATACATTACTCCAAGGCAGTTTTGCTATAATTGAATCTGCATTATTCACAAGATTATGGAATTTTTCACTTGTTTCTTTGTCCACAAAGCTCACAAAACCTTCGAATTCTGCTCTAATTTGTAATGGGTCCACATATGTTTCAATAAACCCAATATTAGTCTCTACAACTGGGCCTTTATCTTTGATTCATTCCCTCTGTGCATTTTTATGGTCAACAATATTTCCTGTATTAAAGTGTTTAATATACTCTGAAATCATTTTTTCTTGAGTCACATTCGCACAATAAGGAAGAGTGTCTGCTAAGTTGTCAACTACACGGGCTAAAAATACGCTGAAATCACCATTAACAATTTTAAACCTTTTGCTTTCATAAGTATACTCTCCCAAATTTTCGAACCAATGCTGAGATTTGCTGGCAACGCGTATTTCATATTGATCACCTACCTTCCAAAGTCTACTGTTAAAGTGCAAGTCAACGAGGTTTACACTTTGAAGGAAATTTTTGGCGAGTTCTGCATCTTGCGATGTTATATTGCTTGAGTAATATGAAGTCACTCCTCCTTTATCTGGAAACCCAAGCTGCCTTCTGCTAGGACTATAGTCATAAACTACATTTTTTATTAAATTCCAAATATAAGCGACTCTATCTGAATTAACGCTGCTTACGAGAGCATCGAGCTTTTCTTGAGAAATTTCTGGGACTATTTTTGTGTCTCCAAAACTAAGATAATTGCCACAATTAGTGTAGATTCCAGCTGCATATGCTTTAAATTGCTTGATATCTAGCTCTGTAAAGCCAGCTTCTTCATATTTTTGACTGATGTTAGGGACTGAGAAAATTTCTTGGAGCAATAGGAAAATCCCTGGAGATTCATAAGATTTTTGGAAGTAGCAAATTTTACTGCCTTCCCAGCAAGCTTTGGAGTAGTAGTGAGCATAAAATTTTTCTTTAAGAGTAAGCTTGTTCCATGCTTTAAGACAATCTAATAGCTGGACAGGGCTTTCAATATGAATAAATCTGCTTGCCATTTATTAATGAAAATAAAATCATGTGAATTTCTGAATAAAATCATTGATTTATTTGGCACAAGAATATGAGTCGGGTAAAATATTTATTTTAATAAAATGCTAAATACCCCCTGTGAGCATTGGAAAAAAAACTTTTATTTTTTGGGTAAAGCCCACCTTTCATTTTTTTAATATAAAAATTTTTTATGAAAAAATATTAGGTATATAAGTGGTAGTTATTATAATAAAATCTCTAACTAATTCTATTTAATTTTAAACAGTTTGCATTTAAAACATAATTTTACAAATTAAATTAATATTTCTTTAAAATTATTTCAATCGGGATTTTTTAAATTTCGAAAAAAAAAAATTTTATATAAATTTTTTTTTTAAAGAAAAATAGCCCGTAGTGAGCAAAATTTTTTTACGCTCAAGGAGGGTGGAGAGTAAGCTATCTCTTTTATGAAATATAGAAAGGCCTAGTCATAATTTTTTAAAATAAAAATGCTGGAACTTTTATGTGATAACCTTGAAATTCATGAATTTTTGGGCCAATTTCCAAAACATCAATGGAGAAAATGTGTAGAAGCAAGCGTAGTTATAGGAATCAAAAGGCTAAAAGAAAACTACCCCATAATCACTTACGAAAAATTATTACAAGAAGCGGGATTTCAAGATAATAAAAAGCGAGGCATAGAGCAAGCTCTAAATCACATGAAAAATGATATAGAAAGAATATCAAGTGTTGTCGGCCATCTAGAAAACAGACCAAAGCCAAACGAAAAGCACGCAATTCAGATTCTGCAACAAAATTCTGAGGAGATGCAATGGAAACCAAAGCAAAATTTAAAACCCACCAAGCGTGACATAAATTACGTGAGTCCTTCCAGAAGTTCATCTCGATCAAAGCAAAACTTGTCAGGGGTTCGTCAAAATTCCCCAACTTTGTCCTCATCAAAACTCTCTCATCAGCATTCCACTGAAATTCAAACCAAAAAAAATCCAAAATTGCCCCGATACTTATCAAGTGTTCAAAGCAAAATCAAGGGTGAAATTCAAAAAGATGTGGCTCTTTATAACTGTAAAGGAGAAATTGAATCTCAGACTGAAAGGCAAACACTTAGCCGTGAAAATTCAACGAAAAATTTACGAGAAGTTAACTTAGGCTACCCCCCAAAGCCTCCAATTTATCAAAATCGCTCTGGGTCTTTGACATCACTGAGCTTTACACAAGACTTGAAAGAGCCTGATACTTGTCCAATAGAGCAGCTGCCAAATTACATTAAAAATATAAATCATATAAGAATTGAGCCGAAAAAACAAAAAAAAGAGTGCTCACTCCCCCCCATCCTTGATCGAACGACTCACCATCGTTCGATCAAGGATGGGGGTTAAAAAAAAAATTTATATATATATATTTTTTTTTATTTACTTTTAAATAAGAGGGTTGGTTAAGAGTATTTAATAATTATTTTTACAGCAAAAATTGAATTAATTTAATAAAAATACCAATTTTAATATTTTGATTTATTAGTTACCCCTTTAAACTGTATAAATTTTTAATTTGTTCCTTATTAAATTAATTTATTTTTTAAAAATTTTAAAAGGATCTCTATTTTTTAGATTATTGAGTTTTTAAGCCAAGGTTGATGATTAAATCACTTCGAATGGTTGATTCCGAAGCTTTCTGTCGTCTCAAAGTTTCTGAAAACAACTTCATTAGGTATATTTTCCAAGCTTTTGATAACTATTATATTTTTATATATATAAAAATTTGCATAATATGAAATCGTTCGATCAAGGATGGGGGTTTAATTTTCCCAATTTTTAGGAACTTTTACAATCAATCGTTTGATCAAGGATGGGGGGGAGCCAGAAGAAAATGAAATGATCAGAATTGCAGATGATTTCTTGAAAAACCCTTATACTTCTTTTCTTACCAAGGAGCCTTCAACTATGCCTACTTCTCCGATGGGGTTTAATAGCAACTTGTCGTCACCCAGCAATAGATTTGGGCAGCAAAATAAAGAGACAATGCAGTACAGATATTAATTTAACTATAATTTATATAAATTATGCAAAGATCTTTTCTTGTAAATGTAAACTCCACCAATAACGCATATTATACCTATAGAGGCAAAAAAAGAATAATAATAAAAATTGTCATTAAATTTGATATCAGAGGGTGGGGTTTCTATAATTGGCTGAATTTGGGGCTTTGATGAGTTCTCAGAACCTTTGTTTAGGTCTTGCGAATAAATTGTAGTTCCTAGTTCATCTTTGATTTCTCTGATGATGTTTTGGAAGCGTTCAGGCTCAGACACTTTTGCATCTAATTGTAGTCCTAATGATGTTCTGTGAAATAGTATTTTAGATCTATCAGGATTTAATTTTGTAGACAAGGCTGCTCCTAATAGAAGCCAAATAATCAAGCTCATATTTATAATTTTAAAATATTGTGCAAAATTAAGTTTGTATTCAAAGCTAGTAAATCTTTAGTGTGTCTGGTGCATGAGAGTTGGTTTTGCCTGAGAACCGGAAGGATGCTGTCTTAGGAACGAATGTTAGTGGAAGTTATCGCATGGTGATTCGAACTGGGTCAGTTCGAGGAGTGGGCTCTGTAGTGATTTTATCGGTGAAGAGGAGATAAGTGGCATAGCGTATATAGGGGGCAGAAGGTATTTTTTTTATAAGTTTTTCTTTTATATTCCAATTTATAACTAAAATAGAAATTAAATCAGTAAAATTTATATATTCCCTAAAAAAATTCTTTCTTTAAAGTTTTTTTTCTTGTCATTTAGGCACTTTCTGATCAAAGCCAAGTTTCAACAATAATTGGTATTACTCCCAAAATAAGCTAGATTTCAAAATCCTATTCTAAAAAGCGAAAAATAATAACCACAATTGAAACTTGGAATAGAAATGCTATGCATTTTTGGCTTTCGCAAAACTAAAAAGGGTTTCACTGAAAACAACCTTCTTTTATATTATACGTTTTTTCGAACTCTCATATAACCCTAAACATCCAAACTTTTTATAGTTACTTTTAGCTAAATCCTAACTACTTTGTTTTAGAAAGCAAAACATTAGAAAATTCCCTTTTTGGAAAATCAGCCCCTTTGTTAATTAAAATTTTTTTTTAATGTATATCTTTTATAAATTAATCTCAAAACAATTATTTAATTTTATATTGGATTTTTGTCTTAAATTTATTAATTATATAAGATTTCTCATTTGAGAAAATTCTGATTACTATTAATGAAGGGAGCAATAAAATCTCGAGTTTTTCATATAAAATTCCTATTTAGATTAATCTAACTCAATGTGAGTCCATAATTTCTCACAGATGATAATTAAATTGAATAGAGAGTTTAAAATCTCTACAAAATGGATTTAGCACAATATCAATTAATTTGAACGCGCTTTCTAGAATCGGGGAATCCTGACCTCATTGAAATTGCCCGATTATCAATTTGAAGATGCTCAACTATGTTACTCCAAAATGACGTATAGGCAAACCTATATAAATTGCCCTATAAGGGCAGGATATTGGAGCTGGAAACTCTCCAATGGCTTAACCAACTGAGGTGGTCAGACCAACTGGAGAGAGGTCCTTTTGCCAACTCTCCAATCGGTTTGACCTGGCTGAGTTGGTCCAACCACTGGAGAGTTTCCAGCTCCAATGTTCTGCCCTTATAGGGCTGTTTATAGGATTTACCTATACCTCCGCTGACTAAAATGTACTTTCAAAGCTTGAGCGAATTCACATCAGAAAAATGCATTTACACAAATAATAAAGTATCTGAATTAAAGCACTTGCTTGACAAACTTTTTTCGTTTGGAAATTCCATATCACAATCTTCACTTAACCAGCAACCTAACATATTAATACGTCCAGCTCTGCAGGTGATTGAAGAGCCTACACCTCTTAGTCAGCAGAGATTAGAAGAAAATAAGCAGCCTCTGAATGAGAAGTACCTAAAAGTTAATTTTCCTGAATATCATAGATCTAAGCCTCAAAAATTCAAAATGGAAGATAGCAGTATCCTGATATCAATAGGCTCAAATCACCCAGGACAGATCCATCACATAGCTGTGCCAAATGTGGAAAGCCTGATTTCTATTTATTACGAAGCCAATAGCAGCATCTTTAAAGCATGAGAAGCACCCACAGAAAACCCTGAAGGACTCTACCAAATTAAAAATGATATTTTATCAACAGGAGAGGTCTATGTTTTCGGGCAAGCTGAAATTTCTATCAAGCAAATCATTCACCCAGGGCCTGAGCTGGAGGTCTGTGTAAAATATAATGATGAAAATGATGAAATCAGGTATTTTAGGATTTCGAACTATGCTGCTATTGGCAGCGGACCCTCCAATTCAATTGTAATACCAGGGGAAAATGACAATGAGTGTTATGCTGAGTTTGAAAAAATACAAGGTGACTGGAGGATCAAAGCTAGGAATCAAGGGGATTTTATATGGAAGCAGCTGCACGTCGAAAGCACAGTGGCATTACACACTCAGTCTCCAAAAATCCCAATTAATCTTGGGACTTTGATGAAGATTCGTCATATGTGTTTTAAAGTTATGATCAGTGATTAACCTATGTATACTTATAAATAAAATGATTCACCATTTAATATTAGAAGAAATTAAATTCTCTTGATTCAGTAAAATGATAACTCACAATTTAAAGAGCAGCAAATTATGAGTTATAGCGCTGTCTATACGAAAAGAAGGCCAAATTAATGATAAAAAACGACTACTCTTGAAGCCTAGAACTTTTGCCTATGTATAAAGTTTTTAGTTCAAATTCTTAGACTTTCACGACCTACTGATTAAAACAAGAGAGCCCTAAAGACCCTGATGGCTTCTTATATTCTGATCCATTTTTCCATTAAATCTATTTATAATCTATTATTAATTTGTCTATCTCACCTCTTGTCTGCAAACAGGGCAATTATTTTTGACTCTTAGCCAAGGCTGAATGCAGTCAGGATGAAACATATGATTGCAGCTAAGCACATTTATTTCAGTTCCTTCAGGCATATCATCCATGCACACTGCACATTTTTGGATTTCAGCTCCTTTCTCAACAATTTTCTTTTGCAAACTATTTATTGCAGATTCTGAAGCTGGAGTTGTTTGGCTAGCATTTCTTTGAATAAGAAGATTAATGATATCATCAAAGCTGCCAAAGTTTTGAGTGAAATATTCATTTGGATTTATATCCAAGTCACCAAACAATCTTCCTAGAACTCTTTCCTGTCTTCTGCTAAAGAAATCTCCGTTAAAAAATGATTCAAACTCAGCAAATGGATCCATTGCAAAATCTCTGAAAAATGAGTTATTCCAAGATGGAAATCCTGCAAATTCAGGGAAAAATACACGCTCACTTGGTCTTTGGGCACGATATTGATATTGATAGCTGCGAGGCTGCCGGGGAGGGTACTGATGAGTCTGTCCAAACTGATAAAAAATAGAATTATCTGGAATATGGGATTCCCGCTCAGCATTGCGGCGAGCTTGTGAGGCTTCTTCTAAAATTGTTCCATGACAGTTAGGGCAAACAGGGTTATGTGGATCAATTAGGTTTGTAGATCTGCAAGAGTGGCAGTAATAACTCGCATATTGATAAGCTTGGTGCTGATGAATTCTTGCTGTTGTTGTGTCTTCAAGAAAGTCGTTACCACAGTGTGGGCATATTAGATTTGAAGTATCTACTAGAGAAACTCGTTGACAATTGTGACAAATATAGCTTTTGAAAGAATATCCTAACATTTTATTTTTATATCCATTTTAGTTCTAGAATTGCGAAAATTCTATGATTTCGAAAACACTCTTAGAACATTCTAATTCAAAGAAAGTGAAAGATAAACCTAATTATAGATGTAAATAGCTATTAAATAAGTATCAGTTGTTCAAGCTACTTTAGCTAGCTACTATTAAATTTAAAAAAATAAAACCGTTCATTTGAGATTTCATATGTATAGCGCGTTAATCTTTACTCTTAATATAAAAGAATAATGCTTTTAATAAGAAGACGCTTTAATTTGCGAATTATGATGCTGCTTAAAACACATTAATATAAAAAAGAAAATAATTTTATTTCTGATGGAAGATCTAAATTTTGAGCTATCATTATCCCATGAAGTCAATATCATCACCCGAAATTACTCTCCAATGAGATTGTGCAATCACAAGTGACTTCTCTCTCACAATGAAAGTTTTGAAGTAAAACAGTTTCTAATTGAATACAAAGAAGTATCCGATGAGCAAATCATTATAATTTCCGATCCTAAAAAACATTCAGTTGATGTTTACAAACGATCTCATATTTTAAGAAGGCTGCAAGTTAAAAGAAATGAATATCTTTTCAAAGCAATTTACAGTTTTTGGACTTTAATTAATCCTTTCCGTTTGCGTGCCATATCTAAACAAATATACATCAATACCAGCGAATTCATTTATAGAGATGCTATTGCTCCTGTTCAAAGCGAAAAGCTGTCAAAAAAATATGCCTTACAAGATGCTGAAATTGACTTTGGCCCAAACCATGGCTTAACCTTTACAGAATTTTATGACAGTTTTTTTAATTGCTTGGATAATTTAACTAAAAGCGCTTTAGCGTCTGAGTACTCTCGTATGACTAAAGCAATACATGCTGACATCCTAAATGCAAGTTTTTTTAAAACTATTCGGCTAAATAGCAAGCTTCATCTTACAGAACCACACAGACAATGCTATTCGATTTGGATGGAGCCTTATTTAAAAGCAGTTGTTTCTTTTAAAGACAAGCGAGCTTCAACATCTGCTCAGAATCTGCTTTCAAAAGATCTCACTTCACACTTTTCGCCAACACTTCTGACAAGAACTGCTATGAAAAACACAAGGACTCATGGAGATCTTTTATTGAGAAAAATAGAAAATATGACGAAAACTTATGATTCTGATTATTTCAAGATAAAAATCAGATCACCAAGGTCAAGACCAATACAGAGCACAGCAGGAGATGGAGAAAAAAGGATAAAAAAAATTAAAAAGGAGCCGAAAAAGCTCGATGTTTTAAATAAAACAAACCCACTGTCAACTGAAATTGTAAAGTCTGGCTGAAAAGGATCCACAATCATAGAAGGAGTAATTCAAGGTAGAAAAGTACTGCTTAAAGATATAGCAAACAAAGAAATTGCTTTATAATTACATTAACTTAATCTTAAATTCGACACATCATGGTATTGAGGCCTTGAAAACTTCTCTCTTACTGCCGACAAGGGATGCTTGGAAGCAGCCTGAAAAAGGATGAGCAAATCTTTAGCACATTCTTTTATTTCTGCTTCTGAAAAACCTTCAGTGCTCCACACATAATCTCTGTTAAAAATTTTGTGGCCTAAATAAGCTGCACTCGCAGCCTTCAATGATGCTTTATATTTCAGCATATGATACTCAACCAATGCTAATTCTAGCACATATTGGCCTACACTTTGTCCTTGAGGATTCAGACTGGTGATCAGGCTGAATCTCTCAAAAAATCTCCACGCTGAAGGAAAAGTTATATTAAACTCCAGCGTAGTCAGCATCTCTCTTTCCATCTTCACAACTTGATCTTTAGTATACGCTCTGTCAGTGATATTCACAAAGTCTTTTACCTCTGGCGGATAAATTTCTTCATATTTTGCAGAAACAAAGAGCGCAGTTACCCCGACTAGTTGCAACTGCTGCCTTGTCACTGCGCGTTTTTCTAAGTATCTATCGATCAAATAAACAGTTAAAAAGAGTGTTTCAGTGAGTAGCTTAAAGTGTTTGTGCGCGCTGATTATCCAGTCAATAAGCACAGCTCTGTGCTTTAGGTTGATGTCAGGCTGCAATTTCATATATTCATGAGAAATTTGGTAAGAATTTTCTTGAATTTTGAGATTGTTAGAAATTTCGACGGCGTATTCAGAGACCAATTGAGGGTCTGGATTTTGAATTTCAGCAGGAATTTGGGAGACATTTAGGAAGGCTGAAAGATTGAGAGACTTCAGCGCACTGCGGGAGGAGGGGATCTTATATGACTTGGGGTCTGCGAATTGATTTTCTTTTGAGATGTCAGTTAGATTCATTTATATGATTGTTACGATCGGTACTAATATGGATTTTAAAATATTTAACGAGAACGTTAAATTTTTGTTATAGAAACATATTAAAATTGCTTTTTAAAAAAGTTAAATATATAATTATGAGATTTAGAATATTTTACTCTATTTTAGCAAGATGAGTTAATAGTTTTATAAAAATGATTTAAAATTAATATTTTGGAATAGGCTAAAAAGGTTTCCCTCCAAATTCGAAAGAAATTTTATTTGCAGATTTAAATAAAGAAATATGCGATTTAAAAGGGTTTAGTAAAATATTGAGATGCACAAGTACTTCTTTAATTAATGCAAAAAAGGATTAATTTTTAAAAGCAATAGTTATTCTATTAATGTCAACTAATTTTTCAATGCATTTAAGTGTAATTATTTGAATTGAATATTATTTTGACCTTATAGTTAATAAAATTAGCTTCAGTTCTAGTTAAAAGGAGTAATCTAAGCTCTATTTAGATGGAAGGTGGAGGTAGTCTTATAATCGAAAAAAATTTAAAATAACTAAATACATTTTATAAAATGTCTCATTCTTAACAAGAGTCAAGACTTAAATTATTGATTTAAAAGTAAATACATTTTTCATTATAATTTAATAAAATTATAATAAATCCGCTTCAAAATAACTTCTTAATCTAAATAATAGCTATCATGATCCAATTTTCAATAAGTATTCGTTTTAAATATTATACTAGAGCTGACTCCATGCTTAGGTTAGATTATTTAGTTTTAAAAAATCCATATATAATGGTTGACTTTATTAGGCCTCGAGTGCTTTCATTACTAGCTCTCATCCTTGTGGTCTATATTATATTCAATGCCCTTCCATCTTATTCTCAAAAGCCTCACTCTCACATCCCAGCTCAGATTGATTCAATAAACTACAGTGGCTATTTTATGGCATATATCCCAAATCAAGAAAACTATATAGGAACATGGAGATCCTCTCAAAGTTCCCTCCTCGAAAACAGGTCAGGCCGAGCTTACCTGGCATCCAAACTTACTAAGTCCAAAATCAATAACTTCTTCATCAGAATCCTCTTTTTTGATGGGTTCTGGGAAAGTGATCCTGCCTATGCGTTATCACTCGAATATGGGCTTGAAAAACTGATCCACCCTTCGTTGAAGTGAACTGGACTTATGAATCTAATCACAAAAGAACACGGGACAATTTCCAGGTGCAATGGAACTGCGCTTATTAATTACGATTCCAGCTTAATGAAAGGAACTATCACTGGCGGCGATTGTAATATTAATTTGAATTTGGAAATGAAAGAGTTCTCTGCAGACATGGAAAAAGACCCAAAGATTTACTACTGCATTTTTATTTCAGGGATCTGCATGGTCCTGATACTGATTTTTGCTAAACATTTGCATTTGTGCTTGCTGAATAGCAATTATGCTCAGAAAACATCGATTATTTCGCTAGGTATGAATGCGTCGCTGGACTGCTTTTTGTCTTTTTGGCATATTGATAGAGGGTTTAGGACTTGGCTAGGATTTGATTATATGCTGATCTCTTCTTTATGAAATTTTGGAGTATTTTTCATAGTAGAAGGCAAGCTGGCATTGGCTGTATGAACAGCCCAACACCCAGAATTAAATCATTATGGATATGACATGTCAAGAAGGATGTCTTCAAATTTCCATGCTAGGTTTTGCCTTATTGTTGTTGCAGTTGTGGTCGTGCTAATTGCTGCATCAGGGCTAGCCAAGCTTACAGTTCCACTTATGCATTGCATATTTGTCCCACAAATTATTTCTAATGCCCTAAATGGATATAAGGACTCTCTAAGTCCCTGTGTATATACAACAATTTTATTGACTAGACTTACTTTTTCAGCATATATTTTTGCCTATCCTCACAATTTCATGAACTACGAGCCCCAGCCAATTTTATTTGGGTTCATAGCTTTTATCTGCCTGGCTCAATTTATCATTTTAACAATTCAGAGGGCAAAACCTGATTTTATTATCCCTGATAGGTTTAGGCCAAAGGTTCACGATTATTTTACAGAAGCGAAGAAGATCAAATACCATTTTCTAGGAAATGAATGCATTATATGCATGAACTGTTTAAATACTGAAGACAGCTGTGGAAAAACAAGGACAATGTATGCGCCATGTGGGCATAGATTTCATGAAGAGTGCTTGATAAACTGGATGAATATTAAAATGGAATGCCCAACCTGCAGAAATGCACTGCCAACAGTTCCTTAGCTTTCTTAAATTAAATTTCGAAACTATTTTTCAATGCTAATTAATATGGCTTAGTCGAACTTTACCTTAAAAAATACAATTAACCTCAATTCTAAAACTCTGAACTTATAATAAATTCTATATAAAAGTGATTTGGTTTGAATAGATTATTTAAAGCTGCAATTCAAAAAGGTTATTCCTTACCATAATTTTCTTAAATTTCCCACTAAAATTGCAACACTCTTTTAGCAAAGATTTCGTGCCGAGCGGGTAAATGGACAATAATATTAACCTAAGGCCAAAACAAGGAGAAATGGAAAGCCAAGGTTTAAAGAGTCAACCCATCACACAACAATCACAGCCTCCTCAGCTGTTTATAGGAGACTTAGATGCCCAAGTGTCCGAATCTCAGCTTTATCAGCATCTGATTCGCTTTGGAGCCATCAACTATATCCGCATCATTCGAAGCTTTAAGAACTTCACGTCTCTCAATTACGCGCTGGTCTCATTCTCTTCTCCAGACTCCGCCCTGAGGGCCCAGAGCGAGCTTGACGGCGAGCTCATCAATGGCAAACATATCCGTGTTGTCAAATTCACCCAGGAGAGGTCTCAGGAAGCCAACATTTTTGTGAAAAACATCCCAGACTCAGTGACTGCAAAGGAATTTAGAGACTACTTTTCAGTCTTTGGGAATATTACTTCGTCAAAAGTGGTGTACGACGACCAGGGCAGACCTTTGAGATATGGATTTATACAGTTTGACAAGCAAGAAAGCGCACTGGCAGCAATCCAAAGCAAAAATGGATCGAGCTGGCAGGGACAAGTCATTTCTGTGTCCAAGTTCTTACCAGTCAGCATGAGAGTTGACAACTCGCCAAACAAGAATCTCTATGTGAGAGGATTTCCACAAACTTTTACTGAGAACGACTTAATGAGCAAGTTCTCACAGTTTGGCGAAGTCATTTCAGTAGCCAGAATGATTTCGAAGTCTGGGCTTCCTTTTGGATTTATTTGCTTCAACAGGCAAGAAGACGCAGAAGCAGCCTTAGCCTTGAATAACTCTGACGAGGACGGATTTTACTGGTATGTTGTCCCACATATGAAAAAGAGCTATAGAGTGGCTCTGTTGAGAGAAAAGTATTCTAAGCAAGTAGAACTCTGGAAAAGAGTTAACCTTTATATCAGAAATCTTCCTCTAGGTATTGATGAAGAAAAATTGGAAAAACTTTGTGGACAATTCGGGGAAATCACTTCAGTCAAAATCTGCAAATCAGAAAACATCAAGTTTGAAGCTCCAAAATATGACGCTAGTGGGAATGTTGTGAACCAGCAATCAGTCAATTTTACTTATGACGCTTCTGGAAACCGCGTTCCTTCTCAAATAACCAAAGAAATGACCTCAAGAGGAGTGGCTTTTGTTTGCTTTAAAAATGAACAAGCTTTAAATAACGCCATTCATGGGCTGCAAGCTCAAACAATTGAAGGGAAAAAAGTCTTTGTTGCAAAGTGGAAGCCAAGAGAAGAGCTGAAAAAAATAATTTTGCAGTCTAAGATAAAGAAGCAGATGAAATATATGTGGCCATTTGGCCCACATGGAGGAATGCCAATGGGAAGAGGCAACTTCTATAGGCCTCAAGGACCTCAAAATATGATGCCAAGAGGCAGAGGAATGCCTCAACCTCACATGGGTCCTCAAATGGGCCGTCCTATGCCACCAAGAGGAATGATGCCGCCACAGCATATCCCACATCCTCCAGCCCTTCACCAAATCCAACAAATTCAGCCTATACCTCAACAAGTACCGATTCCAAGGCCTCCGATCCCAGACCTTACAAAAGTCGATGCAGCTCAGCACAAGCAAATTTTGGGTGAGGCTTTGTATCATTTAGTAATAGCGTTTTCAAACCCAAATATTGCTGGCAAAATCACTGGTATGCTTCTTGAAATGACAAACGATGAAATTTTATCGTTACTAGGCAATACAGCAGAACTCAAGGTCAAGGTCGATGAAGCTATCGCTGTACTGAGAGCAGCTTGGGCGAACAATCCTGAACAGCTGAAGATGCTATTGCCATTAGCTAAGTAATTGATTAGTTAAAATTAACGTCTTTAACAGCTAGAGCTTTCAGCTCTATTAAGTTTTTCCACAATTGTTTAAATGCAGAAAGAAAAGATGAACAGTTATTTATATTTTTAATGCTTTTTAATAACCATATCACTGATTTTCCATGCTGGCGAGGCCATTGATTTATCATATAGTTTCCCAAGAGAAGGCAGCCCTTGTTTATCCATTTTCCAAACGCCTGGCTTTTCTCCGTAATTTTGGTTGAACGACCTGTTTACATTTTTATAGTCCCTTGTTGCAGGTTTTTGGGAGACTGACCGATTTCGATTAATCAGATTTCCAGTTATTTTTTCCTTAAATTCAGAACTTAAAATTGGTGACTGAGTTCTTATATCTTCTACTGGATTTTGAGGAACCCTCATAGTCTGGGTTGCCTGATCTCTCACTTTCTTTCCGGCTGCATTATAATAAGGCTGGTTCACTGAAAAAATGCTGGTCGGCTTCTTATAGATCTGCGAAAACCTCGGCTTGGGCTTTGGAGCCTGTGTCTTGCAAACATGTTTATCTTTTAACAGTTCGCCACAAGTCCCACACTTTTGCAGCTCTTTTTCCTTTTCTTTTAGCAAATTTATAGAGAGATTTGAAGAATTTCTTTTTTTGGTTGTTACAGGTCTTTTCTTATCTATCCTCTTTCTTGAAGTGGTAGGGAGCACTTCAGCCATTTCTTCTGGATCAAGATTGTCTTCAGAAGGCTCTGAGTCACTTCCAGAAGAATCGTTTTCTGGGTTATCCACAAGCAGCTCCTTATTCTCCTTTCCGCTAGCGAACCAAAATTTTGTTCGTATGTGGAGGTAGTTAATTTTTTTTTCAAAATGCAATCTGTTAAAAATTCAGCAGAATTAGCTAGAGATTTTATGATACTAATACTTATATATCAAAATATTTTTTTTCATAAAAAATTTTGCTCGCTCACGGTGGGTTTTACCAAAAAAATAGGGATTTTACCAATGGTTTTGTTCGCTCTCGTAGGGGGGAGTTAGTACTCAGCAGCTCAGTCAAAATGTCTTTCTTTTTTATAGTCGCTAAGTTTGCAATTTCGCCATCAGGACTTGGTTGAGGATCTAAAGCTAACGGGAGTTCGATTTCTGCATTTATAGCAAGGGATAAGCAAACCTGCTTCCCCATTTCTTGAAGCTGTTTAGCTGTATGGTGTGAGCCTATAAATGGTCCAAAATTAGGCCCACAGAAGCTTGCTTCTAGTGTATATACATTTTGAGTTCTGGTTTCTTTGAACATCGAAATCCTCAAGGTAGACTCTTTAGATTTCTGCATCCTAAAAGACCAAAATAATAAAATGGAATCATCGGGATAAGCTTTCTTTCACTTTTGGCAATTTTATTATGATTTCATTGCTATTATGAGAAATCAGACGACATGTTAAACACTAATTAGCTAAGCAAGCATTCTAAAAGAGCAGTAGCTATAAGAAAAAAACGGAGATACTTTAGACAGTATAAATGGAAATGTACGAGTCGCCTCTGGCCTATCAGGGTAGTTGCAACCATACATAAAAATATTTTTCCTTCTTGAATGTCCATGAAAATCACAGACAAGCTCCAAAGGTCTTTCTTTTCCGAAACTTTTAATGAGTCTTTTGGCATAGTACACTGTAGGCTGCAGCGTTTTTGAAGGATCTTTCCATCTTCGGTTCAAGTCAACTCCAGCTATAGAAAATTCCTGGGGATAGCGCGGAATACGCTATCCCCAGGACCAACGGGATCGGATCCCACATGGAACGAGGGTTCCATGTGTGGATCCATTTTTGACACGTGAAAGTAATATATCTCACATGTCAAAAATGGATCCACACATGGAACCCCCGTTCCATGTGTGGATCCGATCCCGGTTGGTCCTGGGGATAGCGTATTCCGCGCTATCCCCAGGAATTTAGTATAAATTACATCGGTAGTTTCCATTTATTACTCCATCTGGGTTCATCATGGGAATTAATTTAAATACAAAAGCTTCTCTTAAGAGGCGAGCTTCAGCAGCTTGGCTTGTCAAAAAGTCAATGACACCTTTCATCATTCAGGAGCCAACACTTTCTCCTGGGTGTGCTCTTGCCGATATGACAACACCTTTACGTTTTTTTGTCTGCTCAGGAGTTCCTTGAGCAGTTATTGTTAAATATTCGCAGCGGTTGCCTGAAATTGTATAGCAGAGCAGTCTCCGGGCCATAATTTCTTGTATTTGTGCATTATTCTCCAGGATTTGGAGATCGTGCATTAAATCTGTATATGTGTAGGGGTATGAGTACGCAAAATAAACAGTGTCTTTTGAATAAGGAAAATCATATTTTCATGTCAATGTATAAAAAGTTTTATTACCTTTAGGTTTTCTAATTCCATTAGCATGGTACATAATATCATATCCTCCTCTAAACCAGCCTACATTGTTCGTCTGGCTCTCATTTTCAGAAAAAATTAAAATTTTCATCCCTTCATTATACAAGCTATCCTTTTTCGTCAAATTCAAAATATTGAATTTCACCTTGAGCTCTGCAGTTGTATTTGTAACTCTAAAGTAAAACCACTGTGTGTGTCCTCTGGTATTTATATCGTTTTGCAAAATTAAGTTATATTCATTATTGCTCATTTTCATTGCCATTGCTAAGTTGCCACTTTCGAACCTGCTTTCAAACACAAGAGTGCTGTCATCAAGGTTTGGCTTATAAAACGGCTGTATCTCGTTATCAAATTTAACAGGGTCAGGTCTGGAGGTTTCTTGGCTTTTTATTAAATCGTGCAAGTCTAATAAGTTTGCATTATACGGTAGCCCTGATGTGGAAGAGTCTCGTCGATATACAATATTGTTGGATCTAAATAGAATTCACCTGGATTCACACATTGTTATTAAGGAAACTTGGGGAATCATAACTGTAGATGATGGGCTCACTTCTGGGCCTTGGGAAAAAATTTCTTCAGATCCTGATAGTCGTGGCAGGAGCCTAAATAATTTTTACAACATATCTTGGTGGCATCGAGGCAAATTGTCTGCATACAAGTTTTTAGGAACGAGTGGGATAGGGGGTGGAATATATTTGTAAAGCTCTTCTGAAGGATTTTCAGGGCTTGCGGTGTTAGAAATATAATTATCTTATCTTATCTTATGAATTTATACGCTTAACGTCCACTACGGGGTGACAACCCCAGGTACTGTCACTCGCCTTGCGTCGCATCGGGCCTATAGGTCGCTGGGGATGGCCTGCTTCGATCATCAGGGTGCTTCTCGGGAGAGTGTTCCGGCTTCGACGGCTCATGGATGAGCTACTTGGTTGTTGCATGGTGCATGGGTTGCTTTTCCGAAAAACCCAAAAAATGGATTTTTCTGGTCGGCTATCGGCAAAAAGAAAAAACACGTAGCCTGGGACGTAACGCGCCAGTTTCACGCTAGGGATTTGCCGATTGGTCCTAACGGACTCTGCTGAGCTTCCCCTTTCCAACTCCGTGCCTTCCTTCCCCACGAGGAAAAATCCACCCCTGAGAATAGACCAGGACTAGGCTCTGAACTCCACCAGAATTGCTTACCTAGTATTGCCGTCCATTTCTAGAATGGTAAAACCTTGCGGATATAATTAAATATGAATCGAGGCTGCATGGCCGGGAGGCCATGCCCAGACGAAGACGCCATATTTAATTATAGAAATATAATTATCACAATCTAAAAAGCACCCACTTTCATCGCTATCTACTGTGTTATTCATATTTTCGTTAATTATCTAGCTTTCTCCTATATTTATTTAAAAGTCATATAAAAATGCTTGACATTTAAATAAAAATCCCAAAAACTTATAAGATATAATTGCAAATTAAAATATATAAAAGTTATTTATATAATATCAAAATATATTTATATAAAATGATTTTATATTAAAAAATTTTTGCTGGAACAAGGGTTTGATTTCCAAAGAGTAGGATTTTTCCATGGTTTTTCTAGGAAGAGTAAGCAATAAACTGGATTATGTTAAAATGAGATGGTAAATATTCATTTATATATGAAAGCAGTCAGGTATTTTTCATCATTGGCTCAACAGTTTGTAAGAGAGAAGCCTCTGCTTCCTGAAGCACTAAGATATGAGCGGCCTACCAAAATAGGAGGGATGAAAAATGGGATCAGAATTATTTCTGAAAGCTGGAAAAGCGATTTATCAACGATTGGAATTATGATTGATGCGGGAAGCAGAAATGAAGGTAAAAAATCTGGCATTGCAAATTTAGCTGGAAATTTGCTGTTATATGGCACTAAAGGGAAAGATGCAAATACTCTGACTCCTCTCTACTTGATAAGCAAGTGAAAATTTTTTACTCACAAATTATATTCTATATAATTTGCCTGTCTTTTAAAAATTTTGGTGTGGTGACATTTGAAACGAAAAATCTAATAAAAATTTATCTTTTAAATATAAAAGCTTTCTAATTATTTAAATTAGTTGGGGATCTTAATATATAATAGATCTTAATATATAACAGTTGACTATATATCAGACTATTTTATAAAAATTCATATTAAAATATTTTTTTGCTCACTAACGAAGGGGTGTTAATTTTTCCAAAAATTGAAACTTTTCAATAATTTCTAGTTAAAAGAAGATGGAGTGAGGAAATCTTTTGAAGACTTGGGAGCAAATATTGAAATTAATGTGAAAAGAGACAATACATGAATTGAAATCAATGTTATGACTGAGTATGTTGAACAAGTATTTAAGCTGTTAGGAGAAATGCTGAGCGAGAGTAATTTTACTGAAAATTCTGTATCTCAAGCTAAAAAGCTTGCCTTGGAAGATTGTGAAAATTCAATGTCTATTCCTTCTTATACATTGCATGAAAATATTCATAGAACGTCATTTAAAGACAATCCTTTTGGAAATTTTGTGAAAGGAAACTCAAAAACTATAAGAGATATCACAAAAAGCGAAATTGTTGATTTTGCTACAAATCTTTATGTAGGCCAAAATATTATTTTAAGCACCGCTGGAGGGATTGATCACGATACAATTTCGAATTTAGCAGAAAAATACTTGTGAAGGATAGAAAAAGGTCAAAAAGCAGAGGTTGAGCCTCCAAATTATTCTCCTAATTGTATACAATGCAGGACAGATGACGATACAACATATTTAGCTATTGCATATCCTGGGCCTTCTATAAGGCAGAACCAATTCATTGCATTTCAGCTCCTAGAGCAGCTTATGAGCAACCCCATAAATTTACCCTACTTAGACTATCCCAAGCAGTCTAACTACCTTCACTCCATGTTTGGACAAATAGGAGGATTAATATCTCATCATTGTGTACTTACCAATTACTCAGACTGTGGCCTGTTTATCCATTTCTTAGAATGTGAACCTATTTCAGCGCCATTTCTCGGGTCAGCTGTAGTCAAAGCAATGCTCCAGGTTACAAAAGAAATTTCCAAGGAAGAATTATTAAGAGCTAAAAACACATTTCTTAATAGACTTTTGCTACTGGAAGGGTCTTCACAAGTAGCCCAGCTTAATGCTAATCAACTGAGGCTTTTAGGATCAAAACGCTCAAGGGCCGATGTAGCTTCCAGTGTTGTGCAATACGAAGCTGAAAATTTGACAAAGGTTTATGGGCCATGGCTTACCAGCTCTTTCCCCGTAGTTGGAATTTATGGAAAAATGGTCTCAGAAAACATTGCAGAAATAATTTACAAGGACTGTGGTGGAGGTAAAGAAAAATAATTAGTTAAGGTTACACTAAAACTCCAATATATCTTCACTCATTTCATAGTTTGGACTTAGCATAAATTGTAGTCGGTTTTTAACGTCACTGCTGCTGCCTTCAGTCGGTGTACCAATTTCTTGCTTTATATTCTGCCTTTTTAGATACTCAGATATTATATCGTCGTTTTCATCATGTTTTGGCAAAGCACTGTCAGACTTAAAAGTTCGGTTTTCACCCCCGAATAGGCTTGAGGACTCTTCTGAGAACTTCTTTGACTCTTTATCAGATTTTGAGTCTTCCTCTTCTTCGCTTTCTGAAACTGTTTGGCTAACAATTTCTTGGATATTTTCTGTGAATTGGATGCCACCGTTGACTCTATTGAGCCATGGGGCTTCTGGTTTACTTTTAATGGATTTTACCCCAAACTGATCTAAGATGAAGTCTTCAGTTTGGAAGTCCATTACAGGTAGCCGAATTCTTGGTAGATTAAAAGTAGGCCTTATAAGGACTGGATTAGTGTTTTTCACCTTGATTCTTGCCATTGGGAAGCGAGATGCATATGTTGATCCAGAATTAAACGGAAGAATCTTTACGTCTTTCTTTTCTTCCAAATACGCAGATACAGTTTCTGAATCAAACTTAAAGCCCTCAACCATAAATTCTCTTGCCTCATCAGTCTGCTCAAGTCCTAGATGCAAAATTCCGATTAGCAAAAGCAGCTTTCCTCTATCACTGCCTTCTGTATGGCCCAAGCCAAAAGGAGGCTTGGGCTATACCGCCATCTTCTGATATCAGCGGGGTAGTTGATTTTATCAACATTTGTTGGTAACACAAACTCCCCTGGAAACAAATCCACTTGCTGCTGGAGATTTACCATCTTGGGAGTTGGCTTTACCAAAAATGATGGTAAAACCAGCTCCCCCCGCTGATGTTAGAAGATGCTGGTATAACCCGAGCTAAAAGGATGATTTGGCTATATAGGGTAGAATCTCATGAAGATGCATAAAGGCAGCTTCATAATACTCTTCTAGAATATAGCATAAGGCAACATTATATATAAGTTCAGCGTTTTCCTTTTCAACCATTGCTTGCTCAATAGGACTTGCATTGGCCATTTCTGCAATTTCTTTTTTACTAACTCTCCCGTTTAAAATTGGAACAATTTTTTCAATAGGTTAATTTAATATAAAATACTAATTTTTATAAAATTAGTATGACTTAACTTAATGGACAAAGTTCAAATAGAATACATTTAAAACAGTTTTCACACTTAATCGATTAATTTTTTGAATAAATTCTTCATAAAAATAAATTAAAATTCAAAAAATTTTGGGTTCAATTTATAAATTTTAAATTTTAAAAAATTTAAAAAAAAAAATTTATTGAGAAACATTTAATTTAGATTGTTTTTAATAAAATAAGTTAACCCCTTTAAATTGAAACGGTATTTTAGTTCGAATTTAAAGGGGGAGTAAGTGAATTTTTAAACTCGCTTTGAGCTTTTTCAAAATCTCCCAAAAAGAAATTGAAAATACCTTTATACCAGTGAACTTGTTTTGGCTTACAAATTTCTCCTTCTGAGTTCGATTTTAATGCTTGTGATAGCAAATTAATTGACTTTGTCAAAGATCCTTTTAAGTCTTCCTTCTTATGGGCATCTTTTATTGCCTGTAAGACACTGATATCAAGTGTGATTTCATTTTTCATATCAATTTCGCATGCTTTTGTAAGTTCTTCTATTGATTTATCAATATCTCGATTAATTATACTGCATTTCGCGCTTTGGACATAAGCAGTTATGGTTGGCTTTATAGAATTTGCGTTTGAAAATGCTTTCGTTGCATCCTCAATTGAGTTAGTAAGCATCAATAAATTTCCCGCATGAACATGCACTATTGGGTCTTTGGGCTTTGCAACTATCAATTTTTGGAAGTCTAAAAATGCCAGCTGAGTGTCGTCCAGCAAATATGCACACCTTCCTCGATAAAAATAAGCTTCAGCTAGTTTTTCATCAAGTTGAATTGCAATTGAAAAATCTTCTATCGCTTCTTTTATGAGCTTTAAAGTAACATAACAGAGTCCACGAGCCAAAAAGTGCATGGGCATATTTTCTTCTGATTTCTCCATTGCTGATTCCATATCAGTAACTGCATCAATAGGTTTTCCTAGAAAATATAGCACAATACCACGGTAAAAATAAAGCTCGCTTTCTGTTTCTCTTGACTCAATTGCCTTAGTTAGAAGCACTCCAGCTTGGTCTGCTAGTGCTGTTTTATTATGAAGCCGAGACAGCTTTAATAAAGTCGCAGCTTGGTATGCAAGAGGTTCAGTATTTTTGGGAAAATGTTCAGCAGCTGATTTAAATAATGATAGTGCAGTCTCTAAATCAGTTTCTGAAACCACAATTGCTTGAGATATAAGCATATTATACTCTGAAGCATTATCTAGTGGCTGAATTCTGCTTGAAGCCATAAAATCTTTTAATGCTTTTTCATGGCTTCCCAAGGACGCTAGCCCATACCCTCGATATGCAAAGCAGTTTCCAAGAAATTCCTGCAGGACTGGATGCCTTTTTTTGATAATTTTAGACAGCATAGACACTCCTTCTTTGAATTTCCTCTTCATAAGGTTCAATATTGCATCGGTATATGCAATCAAGACGCTTTGTTCTTTTATATCAACATTATTGCTTATTGACCTCTGAAAAGTATGCATAGCTCCATAATAATCTTTTTGTTTGATTTTGATAGCTCCTAAGTTATAAATAGCAGCTCCAGTGAACTTTTGTTCATAAACATCGTATTTTATAGCTTGTTCAAGGCACAAGGCTGCGTCTGATAAGTTTTCCTGGGACAGCAGCACCAAAGCTTTATAGTAGAAAGCTTCAGTACAGTCATTTTTGTTAGCTAATAGTAAGTCTAAATCTTTTAATGCTTTATCATTTTCATGAAGCTCATAGTGGATTTTAGCTCTCTGAAGCAAAGCCTGCATTGATGTATTGGGACATTGAATCGCACTTCCCAACATCTTGAGTGCACTCCTAGAGTCCTCCATTCCTAAAAGAGCGTCTGCTAGTCCAAGATAGCCATTTCCATCATTTCCATTCAGCTCAATAGCTTTATGGAAATCCAGTATAGCTTTATCCCATTTTTTCTGCTCATTATATAGTTTGCCTCTTGTTATATACCCTTCCACAAATTTTGGAAATTTTATCAGTCCTCTACTTATCTGCCTTACAGCAGTAATTAAATCTCCAACCGCTACAAAGCACATTGCTAAAGCACTATATACTTGTCTATCATAATAAGGGTAATCTTTGGTCAGCGTCAACAAGTCTGGGATCGCTTTTTTATGCTCTCCAAGGTATATATAACAGCTTGCTTTATCAAAAATTGCTTCTACATGATTAGGGTCCTCTTTTAGCACTTTTTTAAAAAATCCCAAAGCTGTTGTATACTCTCCTAATTTCATCTCAGATTTGCCACGCTCAAACAGTGAGTTAATGATTTCTTTTCTATACAAAATTTCACGCTCTTCTAAGTCGCGAGGGCAGGGGTGTCCGGAAACGAGTTTGCTCGTAGATCTAATGTTTCCTTTGCTTGGATTTTTATTTTTTGGGGTGGAGCAGCCTAGGGAAATGTTTCGAGATTTTTCAATTGTGAAACTTTGGTTGCGGTTTGAGCATAGGGCTGTTGGAGTTTCGTGATGAACAGTGAATGATTTGTTTACTCGAGAATTTAACCGCCTTTGGCTATCGATTGAACGAGGTCTGGTGCTTGAGGGCTCTTTTGAAGAAGATTTGTAGCGGGTTTTATTTATGTTTTGGATTACAATTGGGGCTGCTGCAATTGGAGCTTGAGCTCTTACCTCCTATCATTATTATAGCAAACCTCTCAGGGATAACTTTGGTTATTTAAATATTAACATTTTTTTGATATTTAACAATTTGGATTTTGATTGGATGCTTTATCAATTATTTGAAATTTTCTTAATTACTTTAAAATTTTCAATACCAAGGAAAAAAGTGTGATAGGTGCCAAATGGGGAGTTAGTGACATTTTTGATTTAATTGGATTTATGAATTGCAAATAAAAAACGATTTGAACATAAATAAGTAAGCAACCTGAAGCTTCTCTGTAAATGCTTTTAAATTTGATGTATTATTTACAACTTTATTTATAAAATAAGAAATAACTCTTACTGCTTTTAGTATACTTAATTTATGCGAAATATAATTCAATTCGATATAAAAGCATTTCAATTAGTCAGTTTATAAGCCATTAGATTCTTTCTCCTAATTTTCAATCGCTCCTTTTTTCCTTTGATTGTTTAAAAAGTTTTCATACCTTCTTAACTGTCCCATGAAACCAAAATTTGGATTTATCCAAGGTCTTTTGGATTTTGCATACAAAATTGCTTCTTTCAAATTCATGTTATGATATCTCATAAGATAAGCGATTATTATTGTTGATGATCTCGAAACCCCAGCAAAGCAGTGCACTAAAACAACTCCGCCATTGCTAATAGCAGTCTTTATCCAGTCCAAACATTCCTTAAAATGTGAAGAAATATGAGAAGTCGGCTCATCTGTTATGCATATAACTTTATATTCGAATTCCTAACTCTTCACAATAAATAAGATAATAGTGACGTCGACGAAAAACGGATTCCGAGGCGCACTCCCTTTGGAGCAGGTTTGACCCATCCTGATGAAGCTGAAAACAAGGCTTATATCTATTTTTGAAGTTGGTCTTGACGATGCCTTACCGAAGAAGGAAGTTTTTTGTTTCTCCCCCGAAGGTTTTCCTGTACCACCTCAGGGCTAGATAGGTTTTTTTTTATTTACATGGCATTTCCTCATCGAGGCTATTGGAGCTCTCTACAGACGGTGGCTCTGCCCTAGGAAACTGATCCCTTGGACAAGTGGTTTAGTCGGAAATCCAAAATGGCGGCATTTGGAGCTGGCTAGTGGTTTTCCCGCTTATGGCCAGCATGATCATTTAATTTAATTTAAATAACTCTTCACGTAAATGTTAATAATTATGCGTTTAATCTATTTTAAACACAATTCAATAAGTATTTTTCATATATGACTATTTTCTAATTTAAAATAAAATTTTTAAGTTTAAGTTTAAAGAATTACTTTAGCATCTTGAATGCCTATAAAGTCCCTTTCTTGAGGTTCAGCTAAATTAACAGCTCTGAGCAACGGTAGGTGAACCGGCCTAGCCTTCGAACCGTTAAAGTTAATAAGCCCGTTAAGACTTCTCTAGTCAGTGCCAGACACAGCAATGACCCTTCTCTATCAAGCCGAGACTCTCAAGAAGTTGAAGTTCTCTCACTAAGCTCGGTTTATAGGTCCATCCTGTTTGAACAGGAGCTAGGACCTATCCCTAACTGACATTTTCAATGTTGTAAAAATAAAATTAATCGAGGTTTAATTAAAAAATAATTATTAATTTTATATCAAATATATTTTAAAAAAATTTTTTTTCATAAATATCATAAAAATTCAGATTTTTTGCTATATACCTTGCCTTTTCTTGAAAAAGTAGTAAGTAGAATTTACATTAGGAAACTTTGGTGGTAAACACTCACAGAGCGTCAAAATGTGAGTGATTTTAAAATTTTTTAATACTGCAAGGGTGTAAGCAGCTCCCACTGATCCCAAGTATAGTCTATCTACAATCTGGACTATTCGAAAATTACCTTTTGGGGCTTGGAATCTGCTTTCGTAATTTGCGCAATATAGACCCTTTTGATCCTTTCAAACGAAGGATTTAGAGCAGGAAGATGCGACTTATTATCCTTTGAATCTAATGATTTTGTTGTTTTTAAACGAGATGCCATTTGTCAGTATTTTGTATCTAGAATAATAAACAAAATATGCTCATGTAGAGCTTTAACAATAATTTATGGAGAGGCAAATAAATTAAGAATATATCTATCTCACTAAAACAATTTGGAAATTTTAATGATCCAAAAGATTTTGATTGCATTGGCAAATATTTGTTTTAATTTTTGATCAGATAAAATCAAAAAAAAACGAATTTAATATGTCTAATTAATCATTTTTCTACTATTATTATGAGGAAAAGTTATAAACTAATAGCTGATTCTCCCTTTTTTATATGATTACTGAATTAATTTATATATAAATGCTCGGAGGGGCTGTCTCATTTTATAAATATTATTGGGTTAATGCAGTCACTTGCTTTGTCTTAATAAGTTTTTTTGATCCTTACTTTTTTAATATTCGTATTTATTTTGACCCTCTTTAATAAAATACTCAGCTGTGTGCCTGCTTTCGTGAGAAAGCTCGGTCTAAAGAAGATGAATTTAGTTCAGAAAGGCTACAATTTTTATCGAATGCCCCTAAACCTCATATAATATAAATTTTATTAAGATATACTTAATTCCTATATCGCAATGCAAAATTTACACAATTTGGTGTGACAAAAATTATTAGTTTTTGTCAGACCAAGTTTGAAACTCAGAGCACAATTCATCCGCTTGTAGGGTATTCAAGGGAATTTCCTACACTCATAAATAATTCAATTTAATAGTCAACTACTTAATAAAATGATCAAAAACCTTTTAATTCTTTTAAACATATTTATCATGATGCTCAAAGCTAATTAACAGTCATTTGCAAAATGGCTAAACTTCTATTCACTCCCTTCCACCTTAAAATTTTAATTCCACTAATCCAGCCTTAATAATGCTTAATGCCGCTAAATTTATAATTAAAGGATTAAGAGCATCATATAATGTCTTCTTCACAAAAAGTCAGAGTAACATTTGAATTCACCACGACTACTCAGCCCGGTGAAGACGTTCTCATAGTTGGAGAAGCTGAAGAGCTAGGTTCTTGAAATCCTGAAAAAGGTGTTTTGATGAAAACAGATCCAGAGCGCTACCCAGTCTGGTCAACTCCTGTACCTGCGCTCATACAAAGCAACTCATCTACCTTTTACAAATACGTCTACTTTAACAAAGCCAGCTACAAGTGGGAAGAACTAAAAGAAAATCGTAAACTTGAAGTGGAGGATTTCAATATGATAGTCAAGGATAAAGCTGGTTCTCATATTTCCAGACAAATCCAATCTCAAATTGATCCTAGTGTAAGCTTTGCGAGAACTCTTGAAAATCCAATCATTTTGGTTGATGAAGGACAGAAATTCAGCCCAGAGAACTCAATAATCATAGTGTCAATGAACTTACCAATCAGGGTAGAAAGAAATCCAAATTATGACTCACAGAACCCCAACTCAGAAAAGTGGGTCTTTGAAAACGCAAAAGGACTGTGGCTACCTGTGCTGTATGAAATTGCGAATCAAGAAAATATCAATTTTGTATGGATTGGATGGCCTCATATATGTGTTGAAGACGAAGCTGAACAAGAGGAGCTGGCAAATGAACTTAGAGCCAAATACAAGTGTGAGCCATTATTTATCCCTGAAGATACAATGGCTTTGCACACACAATTTTGTAATGGAATTCTTTACCCTCTTTTTAACAATATAATTGACACCTCCGAAGATAATAACCCTCAGTATTCTGAGGAATTGTGGGAAGCTTACAGGAAAGTCAATTCTATTGCTGCAGATAAAATAATGAAGATATATAAAGATGAGCTTATTTGGGTTCATGACTATCAGCTGCTATTGACTCCTAGCTTTGTGTCGAGAAGGACCAGGGATATATTAAATATTGGCATTTTCTTGCATAACCCTTTCCCAAGTTCAGAAGTTTTCAGAGTTTTACCACATAGGGAAGCAATTCTGCATGCCATGCTTTGCTGTGACTTAATTGGCTTTCATCTCTTTGAGTATGCACGACACTTTTTAGGATCCTGCAAAAGTCTGCTTGGGATTGATCATCAGTTTTCTCCAAAAGGATATTTAATGCTTGATTATTATGGAAGGCATATTATGATTAGAATTGGGCATTTAGGAGTTGAACCAAAAATTATAGATAATGTCCTTGCAAGTGAGGGGTACAGCAATATCATGAGGGACCTAAAAACAAAGTATGCAGGCAAAAAAGTATTAGTGGGCGTTGATCCTCTTCATAGGCTTTCAGGAATTGCACTGAAGCTTAACGCATTTAAGCTCTCAATGAAAAATTTAATGCATTATAAAAACAAAATCGTGTTTGTTCAGCTTCTGATTGAAGCAAAAAACAGCTCAGATGCAGAGAGAGACGATGTTTTGCAAGAGATTGTTAAACTAAAAACAGAAATCAATGCCGAAATAGGGACAAATGTCGTAGAGTTTGTTGATGGTTCGATTATTACAAGAGAGCTCAGGTATGCTTATATGTCTATTGCATATGGCATTGTGAACAGCTCATACAAAGAAGGACTGTTTTTGATTCCTTTTGAAGTGATTGCTATAAGCAAAGAAAAACCAGTGGAAATCATTATCTCTGAATTTACTGGGGTGAGTCGTGCTTTAAGCAGCTTAAAGCGTGTCAATCCTTTTGATATAGCCCAGCTTGAAGCCGAAATTCACTACCTTATCACCACGCCTACTAGCAGTGATAATGCAGCCAAAAGAAAAAGAGACCTTAACTATATCAACACCAATACAACCCTCAAATGGGCTTTTAACTTTTTATCTGATTTAATTAGGGCCAAAAAAGACACAAAGCATTTCCAATATGTAACACATGGACTCGGTGATAAACTGAAATTAATTGCTTTAAAAAAGAAGTTTAGCTTATTAAAAGCTGATTATTTGCTGAAAGCTTATAAAGAGACAAAAAATAGAGCATTTTTCTTTGATAATGAGGGAACGTTGTCAAATCTTTTAAAGCAAACCGAAATTGATAAAAGTGTAGGCCCATCAGAAAAGATTGTGAATTGCTTGACTGATTTGTGTAAAGATGAAAGAAATAGCGTTTTTGTGGTAACTGGAAGAATGAGAGCAGTTGTTGAAAATTGGTTTGGGAGTATTCAAGGACTAGGGATGGCTGCCGAGTATGGGGCAATACTGAAATGGAATTATGGGAGCACCTGGGAAAACTCTCTCACTGGGGAAATGCCTTGGATTGAAACTGCTAGATCTCCTATTTTATTATAAGCAAAGTTTATCTCAATTTTTTGTAGTTCAATTTATTTCAATATATAAAGGAATTATTAAAAATTTTATAAAGAGAATTAAGCAAATCATTGGAGCCTATGTAGTCAGGACAGAAGGCTCGACTATGGAAGCCAAAGAATGCTCTGTCGTATTTTCGTACCGAGATACAGACCCAGACATTGGTTCTTGGCAAGCCAAAGAGCTTATTTCCCACCTAGAAATCCTGCTAAAGCCTTTCATGAACGAGTGCGAAGTCTCAGCTGGCCTGGGATACGTAGAAGTAAAGCCTCAAGGGACCACAAAAGGAACAGCAGTTTACAAAGTCCTCCAAGATCTAAAAGAAAGGAGAGGGCCGCCTGATTTCATTTTGACAATTGGAGACGATATCGCAGACGAAGAAATGTTCAAAGTTGTAAAAGCACTCAAAAAAGAAGGCAGCAACCTTTTAGCACATAAAAGAGAATTAAAATCGTTTACATGCACTGTTGGAAGAAAGCCTAGCTCAGCTGACTTTTATGTAAATGACGCAAATGAAGTTGTTCATATATTAGAGCAGCTTAGAGGATGGAGCAATGTGTGCAAGAAGAATTATTCTTATGGGGACCTGAGGGCGCTTTCTACAAGGCACTCATATCGACTTTCAGGGCAGTTTGATACGAAGTCACCGTTGCTGAAGCCAATGGAAAGCTATGCAGAGGAGAGCGATGAAGAAGAGCCATTAAGTCCGATAAAAGTTTGGAGAGAATAGAACAGCTAAATTAATTGAATGCAATAAGTCATATTTTTAACAAGGGAAATATTTATCATAAATTATATAATACTAGAGTAATTATAAGTGATAAAAAATAAATTAGGGCTGATTAATTAAACAATGCATTTAAATTTATTAATTAATTATAGCATTTTGATTCGCACTCTAGTATAGTACTGATGCCCCTATGATAGCTATTAAAGTTCCAAAATGCTCAAACAAATAACTTTTCTTGCTAAAAACTCTTCACTTATAATAAATACTGAAACTCTAGATTATTTTTGTCCAACCCTTTTAATTTTTATCCTCAGCTTATCATAAATTATCTTTTCCGCTATCTTTCTTCAAATACTGGAAAATTTCAGTTTTATTCCATTACTACAATAATCAGTCAAATTAAATATGATAGAGGACTCCTCATAAATATAAAATTAGACATTTTCCAACGGATATAATAGAAATATAATGGCTGGAAGAGCAGCTCCAAAAGGTAAAGGATTTAATCCAAAGCAATACGAAAGGCCAGGACTCACAGAAGATGAGATCGAAGAAATCAAAGAAGCCTTCGATCTTTTTGACACCGATGGATCTGGAACAATTGACCCTCGCTAACTCAAAATAAATATGGTTTCTTTGCCAGGAATATGCCCCTAGGTAATGGAGCCTTGAAAAGATATTGATTTATATCTGGCAAGGTTTTGCCAGCCTAGAAATGGACAGATATGGTAAGTAAGCAATTCTGGTAATTTTCAGGAGCCTAGCTCTAGTCTGCTTTCTGGATTTGATTTTACCTCGAGGGAAGAGAAGTGCCAGAGTGGGAAAGGGAAGCCCAGCATCATCTACAGATAATGCCTAGACTAATCGGTAACTTCTTAGCGTGAAACTGAGAGTTAAGGCTCACGCTTTGAATTTTTCCTTTTTGCCAAGAGGAGACCAGAAATTCCGTTTTTGGGATTTTTTTAGTGGAAACCTTCATTCAACCAAAGCAGCAAGCCGCAGAAGTCCGTAGCCTTCCAACTCAATGCTGGAGCTGAGAGGCAAGGAGGAGAATAAACATAAATACATTTCAGATTACTATGGCAGCTGACGCTGAAGGAGAAGAAGTGTGGCATCCGAACCTTGACTACCCACAAATTGTCATCTTATTCAAGCAAGTTCTCGTTGGCGACGTCGCAACGAAGTTGACTCCCCTGCGGGCATCCTTGGTGGCTGCATTGCCAATAGGCAAGCCAAACCTGTAATGTTTAAGTCAAGACCCTCGCGAACTCAAGTCTGCAATGCAATCTCTCGGCTTCGAAGCTAAGAACCAGACAATTTACCAAATGATTAGTGACCTCGACAAAGACGGCTCAGGTGCAATTGATTTTGATGAATTTTTGGATATGATGACAGCAAGAATGAGTGATAAAGACACCAGAGAAGACATCAACAAAGTCTTCAGACTTTTCGACGATGACAAAACAGGCTATATCACTATCAAAAACCTAAGAAGAGTTGCCAGAGAGCTTGGAGAAACAATGACTGATGAAGAGCTCTTAGAAATGATCGAAAGAGCTGATTCAGACGGGGATGGACAAGTAACCCCAGAAGACTTCTACAACATCATGACTAAGAAAGCTTTCCCTTAACTTCTCGTTAAGTATTTATTTAACCAAATTATTATTTAATATGGTCAAAGTAAAAACCATAGTCCGCATCCAAGAGGAAGAGTCCAGAGAAACACAGAACGATATTTTTAAGCGCCACAAAAACACAGACTCAACTTTGCATCCTTTTCAACAAGCTAGGGAGTACGTCAGAGCACTGAATGCTGCGAAGCTGGAAAAGATTTTTGCGAAGCCTTTTATAGCAGCGCTCAAAGACCATACAGATTCAGTTTTATCGTTGGCAAGGTCTGATAAGTACTTAAGTCTTGCAGTTTCAGGCAGTGCCAATGGTGAAATCAAGCTGTGGGATCTTACAAAAATGACTTGCAAATTATCGATGAATGAAGCCCACGCAGGCTTTGTCAATGGTCTCAGCATGAGAGGAGACTATTTTGCTTCTGCTGGAAGAGATTCTGTGATAAAGCTATGGAGTTTTGATGGAAATTCAGAGATTTATAATTCCTCAATGCCCTTGAATGCAGTAGACATTTCTTGGGAAGGAGATTTATTTGCTTCTTGCGGACATGATGGAGTCCAGGTGTGGGATTTCAAAAGGTCTGAGCCTTTAAGCGAATACCAATGGGGCTCAGACTCAACTACAAAGATTAAGTACAACCCTACTGAATTTCATTTACTAGGGACCACAGTCACTGATAGAAGCATTATTTTGATAGATACTCGAGCGAACTCCTGCTTGCAAAAATTCACGCTTAAAATGAAATCTAATGACTTTGCATGGAACCCGAGGGAGCCAATGAATTTTACAGTCGCAAACGAAGACACCAACTTATACACTTTTGATATGAGAAATTTATCAGAGCCCATAAAAATCCACAAAGACCATATAAATGCAGTCACAAGTGTTTCTTACAGCCCTACAGGCAGGGAATTTGCTTCAGGCTCTTTTGATAAAACTGTAAGGATTTTTGATGTTAGAGACGGTATAAATAAAATGGCATTCGGTTCGAGAGAAAATTAGCTTGCTAATTTTCTCTCCCTCATGGAATTTTATTTATGGGGTTGGGTTTTCTCTCGAGAACTTCTGCACAGCAATAGCTGTTTAACTTTGGGGATAACCAAAGGGAAACAGCTCCTCAGTGCGTTCAAGATCTCGGAGTTTTACCCCTCAGCACTTCTCCACGGGAAGAAGACCCTTAGGCGGAACACGCGCAGGAGCTGAGTCAAGACAGAGCGACGACAACTCGCCGGGTGAGATGTGCGGCGGCTAGGGGCGAAGCGTCGATAGAAGGCTTGGTCGGTTCGGTTGGGCTGACCATCGCGATTCCAAGATGGCTCCGTGACGTCGCTAGTTAGCTAAAAGTTCCATTTTGGGACTGCGGCACTAGACACCTTAAACACCAAATAATTAAGTTAAGTTAAGATGTTAGAGACGGCAGAAGCAAAGAAGTTTACCACACAAGAAGGATGCAGTGGATTCACGCAGTGGAATTTACAGGTGACGGAAAATTCGTGCTAACTGGTTCTGATGACACAAATGTGAGGGTGTGGAAAGCCAAAGCAGACGAACAGCTTAAGACCTTGATGCCAAGAGAACAGGAAGCAATAAATTATAGAGAAAGACTTAAAAAGAAATATCAGTACGTCCCAGAGATGAGAAGGATATTGAAGCACAGACATTTGCCAAGATATCTGTTTAAGACAAGAAAGATTAAACAGATTCAAAAAGAGAGTGAGTTTAGAAAGGAAAGAAATAGAAGAGCACACACAAAGCCTGAAAATATTAAAAATATCAAAGAAAAGAGCACAGTTGTTATTAATGAAGAAGAGTAGCAATAACATAACATTTTTAATAAAAAGGGTAATTTATAATGAATGGGCTTGGCGTCTGTGGGATTATTTCTGTCATTATTTATGTGGCAATCCATAATTGGACTTTTATAATCATATATGCTTTCTTTTTGGGATCTTATTTTATGCTGTCTGCTATTCTGACACCTTCAGGGTATATGAAATATAACACAAATAGCACTAAAGAGCGAATTTCTTCTTGGAGTGATCCTGATGGTCCTGAGATTATTGCACATCGAAAAATAAGGATTTCTAACGCTCTTAGGCTAATTGAAAAAATTAATCAGAAAACAGGGAAAAAGGTCACTATCACTCATTTAGCCTGCAAAGCTGTCGGGATGACTTTAAAAGAATTCCCAGACTTGAACGGGCATCTTTCAATGGGAAATTTTGTTCCATTTGAAAATGCAGATATTGGGTGCTTAGTTTCTATTGATGATGGAAAAGATTTAGCTTATTTTTGTTATAGAGATGCTGGAGAAAAATCGTTGATGAAAATTATTGAAGACGCAGAAACAAAAGTTAAATCGCTAAAAATCGGAGAAGAGAGACGAAAACATGAAAAGGCAAGCAAGCCTTTCTGACTAATCCCATCTTGCATTGCTGGAATTGTTATAGAAATCATTTCTTATATAGTTGCTGCCCTTGGAATTCCGCTGAAATTTTTAAATACACAAAAATTTCCTGCTGGCGGAGCAGTGATAACAAATGTTGGGATGACAGGAATAGAAATGGGATATGCCCCTTTTCCTAGTATTATGCGAGTTGGGGTCATCATTTTACTTTCTGTTATACGTGATGAGGTAACTGTTATTGATGGAAAAATAACTGTAGAAAAAATGCTCACTTTACTGTATACTTTTGATCACAGATTTTGCGATGGGGTGTACGCAGGTAAAGCTCAAAATAGAATTAAAGAAATTCTTGAGAGTCCTGAAGAATTTATTGATGTTGAATAAACCAAAATGATTTTTTTTAATTGTTTAAATAATAGTGCTTTTAAACTTTTTCAAAATATAATTATTAAAAGGTAAATAAAATAATAAATTATTACTCGAATTGCACAGAGAACATTTTTATATTTTTTGGATCATAAAGAGGCATGTATTGATTTTTCAAATAAATAATCCCCCAAATTGAGCATGATAGCCACAATCTTGTGATAGGATTATTCAAATATTTTCGCGTTACAATAGGATGCGGGACTGGTAAAATCCCAACAAGCACCTCTTCTTGTATAAGGTCAATTAACTCTTTATCTTGGCATTTTGGGTTTTTCAACGTATAGCTTTCCAACTCAGGTAGTAATTCCTGTATGCAGATCATGGGAACTGCCATAGGTAGCTTCTTTTTTCACGAAGCCAGCCATTGTTGTGATGGCTTTCAATCTTCTTCACTAGGTAGATTCTGTGCTGTGTTTGTATTTTCAATTTCATCAGATTCAGCACTTACATGGCTTTGCAAAATCGAAGAATTCACCACTTTTTCTTCAACTCTTTCTGAAAGTAGCCCAATAATTCTATTTTCAGGGATTTTTTCTTCCTCAACTCCTGCCTCTTCGCTTTTTTTGCTTTCCTCGCTTTTTTTCGTTTCTTCCTTATTGTTTTCTTCCTCTTCCAGCTTCAATTTATTCAATTTTACAAATAAATCTTTTTTTCTAATAATATACAAAATTAAATATGAGCTTGCTTGCCATTGGTATTGGATTAAATTCGCAATGATTTCAAGCACATAAAAAATCAAATAATGGTTTGTAGGAGAGGCAAGGAGCCATCTTTGTAAAGAAAATGTTTCAAAAAACCTCATGATTGTTTGTGAAGAAACTACTGATAGAGATTTGAGATATGGAGATATATTTGTGATGATTATAAGCTTAAGTTAACTTAACTTAATTATCTGGTGTTTAAGGTGTCTAGTGCCGCAGCCCAAAAAGGACCTATAGCAAAACTAGTGACGTAGGCGAGCCATCTTGGAACAGGTCAGCCCCTGGCCAAGCCTTCTATCAACTCCTGCTTCACCAGCCTTGCTGCACGTCTCACCCGGCGCGATGCCGTCGCCCTTGTCTCGACTCAGCTCCTGCGCGTGTTCCGCCTAAGGGTCATCTTCCCGTGGAGATGTGCTGAGAGGTAAAACCCCGAAATTTTGAGAGGACTGAGGAGCAGTTCCTCTCTAGTTATCCCCAGAGTTAAACCACTATTGCTGTCCAGAAGTTCTCGAGTGAAAACCTAACCCTATAAATAAAATTCCATGAGGGAGAGAAAATTAGCAAGCTAATTTCTCTCGAACCGAATGCCATTTTATTTATATGATGATTATAAGCAAGCTTGGATATATTCCTTCTAAAGCTTGATTTCCAGCTTGAATGATTTTCCCAACAGTGATAATTAAAACATCTGCATAAGTTCCATTGAAATTAGGGAAACTGACTGGCAAATTGCCTGAATACTTTGCATTGAGGGATACAGAGAATTTTCTGTTTTCACTCAGTTTGATTAAAATATTTGTGATAATGCACAATAAGCCATAGTGGCTTACTGATTCCATTTTTTCTAATATGCAGTATATAATTGGCACAATTAGCTCTTTTGCGTTGCTTTTTATAAGATAGTTATAAAATTTTTCATTAGACTCTATAAGTAGCCAAAGCAAAATCAAAATTTCCTCAGTGCAGGGGACTATTTTTTGAGAAGATGGGAGATATGTGTTCTGCGCAACAATTCCAGTTGTTACAATTTTGTTAAACCCTGTAATTATTTTTTGAAAGTCTTCATCTTTGGAGATATCCCTCAATCTCAACTGCATTTCATTTCTAAATAAAGCCCCTTGCGTAACTTGTCTAGTTTCAATCAGCTGTTTAGCCCTCAATTCATGAGGCTTTAACTTATTAAGTCTTTCATCATTTGGAGGTACAAATTCAAGCATAAGAACCAAAATATCTAAAGAGCTCTGTAGCGCTCTCTCTTTTACAGCTGAAGACCAATAGCTAGCATACGGTAAGTTTCACATCCCATACGGATCATATGAAATCAATATATTCACAATTGAATAAAACAACTGTGCACTAAATGGAATCGCTTGTGAGCACAAAAGTCAAAGTCATGGGTTTACTCTTTCGCTCATCTTACTCATTTCTTCATACATATTCTCTCCAATACATGCCAAAAGCAGCCTTAGTAACTCATATCTATTATCCCACATCTGTGTACTTACATCTTCACCAATATTAGGAGTCAGTAACCCACCTTTCCACAACAAAGCTAGCTCTACTTGATTGAAATTATCAATGCTCGTTCTCTGTAAAGATGCAACCACTGAATAAAGCGGAGTAAACATCAGCCCTACACAGGCTTTTAATAGCCTAAAAGCTCGTGGATTTTCTCCCCACCAAAACTCATAAAATCCTGTGCGTTCTTGATTTTCTAAAGTAAAAGGGACTATTCTTGTCAAAAATCTGACAGCGTTGTTGACAGCGATCATTCTATTGCTATTCAATTCCTCCACTTGCTGCCATGCTTCGTCCATAAAAATCAAGCTATACTCAATGATGTGGTAAAGATTATTCGGCTTATCGTCTATTAATTTTCTTACGTCATCAGAAAGGACCATAGCAAAAACATCTTCACTTGTAACTGGCAGCGTAAAAAACATGTCCCAAAACTCAGTTTCTGAATCAGGGATATTTTCGTTCAATAAATGCTGGATTTGGTCGCGGAAAATCGTCCGGCTGTCTGTGTTACCCATTTCTTAAAGAAAATTAATTTTAGCATTTTTTATAAACAATGACATAAGGGTTTTTTGCCAAGACTTCTTTTAAGCTTGTTTTAGAGCATATAGCGTCATCAAATTCATACCAAAAATTCCCTCTCTTACAGTACGAAACATAATGTCCTGATAAAATTGATCCGTAGTGCACAGCGGCTCCCACAAGTTTGTAGTCTGCTTTTTCTTCACAAAATGGACTTAAATCCAAAAACTTGTGAAATTTGCACGGGAAATCTAATTTTTGTGATCCACCTAAGGATCTGAACCGCTTCAATTGGATAATTAAAGCGGTTGGGGCTTTTGAAAACATAAGTTTTTTTGTGGCGTTTACTCTTGAGTTGCAGCCTTCGCAGAAAATGCAGACACTTTCGTCTTTTGTGTAGCTTTGGATGCTTTTTATAATGGAAGAGTTAAGTTCTAATTGGACATCAATAAAAGGTTCCTTACTTTCAAACGTCCAATAATTAAATTTTAAAAAAATAATTATTTTAATTGTAATTTAATAGGCAATTTTATCAAACAGGAGATAGTAATTGAAGTATACCCACATGAATTGCATTTTAGATAACTGCTAGTGACGCCATTAAAAATATCTCTGGCAAGCACATTTTCAGGAAGCTCTCTTTCTAGTCTATTAATAGTGAATCTTATAAACTCAGGCAAGTCATGCTGTTTTCCTGGAGAAAAATGTTGGCTAATATACTTCCAAAGTCTAACAGGCCTAACAACTCCTTTATTTAATCTAAAAATTGATTTAGTCAATTCACTGACAAGCTCAGCATATACAAATTTATTTGTCGAAAACTCTATTTGGTAAAAATAGTCTCTAAAAGGCACAATGCTCATTAAGCACTGCATACCTGCATTCATATAACAAAAAAACCCAGGATTTTCCAATCCAACTTTTCCTCTTCGCAATGTGGGAGCATTAAAAGCATGAGGATGTCCAATATGCAAGCTAGAATTTTCACCTGTTGATGATATTGTATCAGAATGCGAAGCTTCAATGTTTTCGTCCATCAAAGTGACGACCTGGACTTCTTCCTCTGGGTCAACTTTAGATTTCGATGGGCTTGTGTATGTTGACTCTTTAGGATCCATATAAGGGTCAGTTGTAAAATCAAAGGATTTATTTAAATTATCGTGGGCGGTTTTTGAGATTTCTTCTGTAAATTTATTATTTGTTGAGAGGACTTGGGAGTTGTGTCTTTTATGACTGGCTATAGATAACTCTTCATATCTAGCTGGCATTTCTGCTCCATATCGGTCTTTTAAGAAGAGCCATTGAGCTTTATTAAGAATCCTGTAGTCGACTTTAAGTTTTAAGCCTTTTTTAATTTTTCCTTCAATGTCTAGCAATTTTTTAGTTTTGATTTTTCCTGGCAATTTGTTGCCGTTTATATATCTTGCTCATTCTTTGATTCAGCCTGACTCAACTAGGTAGAGCTCTGTGCTATCTTTGATTTTTTCGAGCTCTAGTAAATGGGTGTATTCTTCTTCTCTACTTAATTTAGTGCAAGTGGGGTCTGCTGGAGGATTCACCATTATCGAACTCTCTTCAAGAATAACTTCTGGAAGAAGACGCATTAAATAATCGTGATCTCGGTGCTTTTTTATTGGCTTTTCCTCGATATAAAGCAGCTGTGAGCAAAAAATTGATGAGTTTTTAGGGGTAGTCTCAATGATCATTTTTATATTAGAATTCAGTGATTAGATTTATTTTAAAATAATGTGGTTAAGTTACTGAATTATGAAAGTAGTGGGTAAGTTTAAATTTAGGTAGGTTTTTATTGTTAATTATAGGAGGTAAAATTTTGTTGAATACTGATCATTTTTTAAAATTAATATCATGATTTGGGGATTTTATAGGTTTAGGTTAGGTAATTAAAGGCAGGTGTTAGCCATATTCATGATACAGTCACCAAAGACCTCCCGTACAGAAGGTTCATCTGCTTTTCGACTCTAGCCCAGAGGGCCTTACCTCGAAACGGGTGCCATTTCCGGTACCACCTGTCTCCTCCTTGCCTTGTGGCATCAGTCTTGAGTGGGCGGCTTATGGATTCCTGCGGCCCTGCTACGGAGTAGCTTGACTTCAAGGATCAGCTTCTTGGAGTCTGTCGGGTGTCGAAGTGCCTTCCTTTGACAGCTTCAGAAAAAAGACTGCTCCACTGTGGTCTGGGCCAAAATCCTCAGTTTCTTGGTTGAGGAATGCCTATGGGTCCTTGGATCCAAAGGACATTGCCTGACACCTCTATTTCCACCACAGGAAGGCAGCAAAAGCCTATCAGGATGCACATCGCTTGAGCCTGCACTTTATTCTTGACTTGAAGTCCGTTTCCATTTCGCCGATGCCATAGGTCTGGGCTGTTGCCCCAAGAGGGCAGGTGGGCACGTGTCGCCATTTTAATTTATGGGAATTTTATAGAGAACTATGCAATTTAATGAAAGAAAATTCTTACAAGATATTAATTATTATATTAGAATTAACGAGAGAATATGCAAATATGAAGATAAAGTTTTATGTAACTTTCCAAAGATAAGCGGTTTAGATAGCAGCATGCCAAATTTTTTAAATTAACTATAAAGTTTTTGATGAAAATCGCCCAAAAGTCTTATTAAATTTAAAGGATTTTATTATGGTCTTAAAAATTTCATTGTTAAATAATTTTTTAATGATATTAATAAAGTATATGATTAAGCATAATAACAACTTACAATTTTTAACTAGCTTCAATGCTATTTAAATTAATTCGCACATTTTTTTGCTTGAAAGAATCACCGAAAATTAATAATCAAGTATCAAAAAATATAAAAATATATTATTTTGATCTTTTTGATAGAGGTTAAAAGGAAATATTATAAAATCAAAGATGAAATAAATGAAAAAGTTCATTATGTTAAGATAGAGAACATAATTTAAGAATAAAATAAATGCTTCAAAAATTTATACAAAAGATACTCTCCTTTTTTAGTTCATCTCATTAGTTATTCGTTTTGCCACTTTTATATCAAATTTTTAACTAATTTTAAAAGGCTGGATTATTAGATATAGGGCTGCAAAGTGAAAAATCAGACAAAGAGATTGATGATTTGAAGAGAAGAGAAGAGGAAGTTGGACAAATTAGTAGAGAGTTATTTGGTACAGTTGCTTGATTATAGGAAGGAGATTTTGAGAAGAGTTAACCTCATAGCACAGGTGATAATCTAATTTAAATAAATAAATAGCTAATTTAAACCCGTTTCAAATTTCAAAATTGGCTTATCTGTTATAATTTTATTAAAATTATGTTTACACTCATTTTTACGAGCTTTCAACATATTTAGATATCAGAAATAATCAGGTTTATTCAGTTATCCTAAACATATCAGAATTCCATAATTTGATTATATTTTGACTCTCAGATATAAGAAAACGCTCATTTGCAGAGAAAACAAGAATGTTAACAGATCCCTTATGAGCAGCTATACTTCGAACCAATTTTTGTTTTTGAAAATTCCATACTACTATTTTTCCATTTCCTTCACCTCAAACGATTCTTTTTCCTGAAGGTGCCCATTCTATAATTCCAATTCAATCTTCAGGGTCAAATTCTTTAACTCCCCCCCCATCCTTGATCGAACGATTGACTGTAAAAATTCCTAAAAATTGGGGAAATTAACCCCCATCCTTGATCGAACGATTTTCATATCATGCAAATTTTTTATATATATAAAAATATATTATTTATCAAAAGCTTGGGAAGATGTGCATAATGAAGTTGTTTTCAGAGGCTTTGAGACGACAGAAAGCTGCGGAATCAACCATTCGAAGTGATTTAGTCATTAACATATGCTCAAAAACTCAATAATCTAATAAAATACAGATTCTTTAAAATTTTTTTAAAAAAAAATTAATTCAATAAGGAGCAAATTAAAAAATTTATACAGTTTAAAGGGGTAGCTAATAAATCAAAATATTAAAAATTGGTATTTTATGAAATAAATTAATTTTTTGCTGTAAAAATAAATATTAAATACTCTTAACCCTCTTATTTAAAAGTAATAAAAAAAAATATCTATATATTTTTTTTTTTTTATATATATAATTTTTTTTTCCCGAAAATTTTTTTTTAACCCCCAACCTTGATCGAACGATGGCGAGTCGTTCGATCAAGGATGGGGGGGGAGTAAGCAACTTCACCTGATTTTGCTTCATGCCTCCTAAGTATCAAATCTTTAAATTTGTGTCCCAGTGAAAAGTAGTTAAAAAGTTTCAACAATGTGAAATACTTATTGAATGATAATATTGATAATGTTTAATAGGTTCAGTCAACAGCTCTTGATTATCTATTCTCCAAATTTTTATAGATGAATCAGAAAAGCATGCTAATATATAATTGCCACAGGGCGATCAATGGCATATAGAAACAGAATTGTAACTAACACTTCATTGGGCAATTATTTTATTTGTATCAATTTCTCTTATTATCACAAAACCTCATTGACCCCAGGTAATGATTTTTTTGCCATCAGGAGAAAATTCAATAGATTGCGAAGTATAATCTGTTTCTATGATCTTTAAGAAAAAATTATCGTAAATATTTCAAATTTTAATCCATGGATCGTTGCCTGTTACGGCTAAAAAGTTGCCTGATCAGCAAATGCATGAAACTCCTGAATAATGAGCCTCAAATTCCTTGATTATATTTTGATTTTCTGTTGAAAATATAATAATAAATCCTTGAACGCACTTCGATTTAAAGTTTCTTCTTCCAAGGGCATTATGCGCTCTGCGCTTAACAGTGTGGTGGGCTCTCTCAAAGCAACTTGAACCAGCAGAGGAATTTCCTTGCATTCCCCTAATAAGGTCTTATCGATACTTCCATTCTTAACTCTAGCGCCAGTATACCTAAACTTGAGGCCTGAGAAGATCGTCCCAAAAAATTTACCTTTCGACTGGAGGTTCATATGCATTAGCCTACTCTCTTTTGAGCCTTGATTTTTATCTTTCGCCTAGCCATCCTCAAAGAATGGACTCAGTGGCTAATGCGACTAGGGCCAAAACCATCAAGCAGCTTAGGCAGTTAAGTCGCTCTACTTCTTTCAGCATTCATCTTGGCCTGTGACCTTCTGGTAAAAATTGCTACTTGAATCGGGCAAATAATCAGCAGAAATGGTGTTTCTCTCATCTCGAGGCAGCCCTATCCTTTGATAGCTTTTTGCACAAAAAAATGGTTCGGCTATACATAAGTCACCTACAATTGGGAAGACAGATCACTCGTCACTGGTTTATTATTTATTTCAAATCAATCCTTCATTATAGCCTAATGCCTGATTTGGATCGCCCCGATCTAAACCTTACCACCTCAACTTGCGGCTTACATTAGTTCCAACAGCAAAATATTGGCTATCTTGAGAAAAAGAAATCATGCTTATTCCTTTCTGAGTAATAGGTTTCTTTTTAAACTCAGGATTTCTCGTAGTTTTAAATGATTTTAATTTTTTATCATTTGTTCCTAAAATTATGTATTTTCCGTGTGGAGAAAAAACAGGGAGTTTGTTTTTGTTTTTCAAAATTGCGTATTTTGTTTCTTTTATAGACAAATCAAGAATTTCTATTCCATAATCTTGAACTTCTATAGCTAAATATCTTCCGCTTGGAGAAAATACTGAATGAGAACATTTCCGTGAAAAAGTTCAAATAGCTTCCATTATTTCAGTGTTATAGATAGAGATCTTGTCCTCAGTATGAATGCAAGCTATATATTCATGATCAGAAGATATAGTAACTGGATCAGAATATGGGCAAGCAATTTGGCTTGTGTTTTTGTTTGCAGATAAATCCCATTTGCTAACTACCCCCAGTAAAGCAAATACTTGCTTATTTGTGGGGGATCACTACAAAATTTCCATCTGGAGATTTTGTATTAAAACCCCCCACGAATAAACAAGAACTCGCTTTTACTGAGGGGAGCAAGGGAATTTTTCTCTAAAACTAGCAAATTGTTTCCTGTGACTGAATAAAATGCTAAAACCGATAAGCTAAATCCCTTAATTTTATTTAAAACCTGTTTTGAATTTATGCTATAAATTTTTATAATTGCTTCTCTACTATCAGAGGATGCCCAAACCATGCTTAGGTATCTATTACAAGGCGAGAAACTAGAAAAGCTGCATGAATTTGCAAAATGGGAAATTTGAAGTTTTGAACAGGTATCCCATAAATCTACAATCATTCTGCTGCGATTTATTGATAATAAATAACTCCCATTACACGAAAATGATAAAGACTCGATTGGTGAAATTTCTCCAATAAATGGGCCTATTTCTCAGTAGGTTTTTGCATTATATAAAATTATTGTTTCACAATCAAATGAAATTGCAAGAAAATTCCCACAAGGTGAAATAGCTAAAATTTTGACATTAGCTTTTAATCCAGCAATTAAAAGCTTTTCTCCAAAATCTGCTTTAGCCATATCACAGTTTTTAAAGTTAGTGTCATAGATCTGTGACTTTAATAGCTTAACTCTATGAAGATTGCTTGAGCTAAAATTTGTGCCAGTTATAAATCCATATGATAAGTCAGCATAAGGAATTTTTATCCTGCTTAAGTCTTTATTTGCGAATGAGAATCGAGCTTTATTGAGAATTGTGATAGCATTACTTGCTGCTAGGCTTATAAAGTTTGATGTTCTTGATGACAAAACTATATTATAAAGAGTTTCTTTTATATCTTCTGTAAGTAGATCAATAATGTAGCTAGTTACCTGTAATAGAGAGTTAAGACAGATTTTATTAAGATAGCTTTTTTCTAATGCCTTGAGACTTCTTGACTTACAAAAGTTTTTGATGATTTTTTTGGCCAAAATTAAATTAATTTGTGCTTGGCATATTAAATTGCATTTCATTTTTTATTATAACTTTAAAAATTATTTTATAGCTGGAGAGGATGACTAGCTCGGGGCTTTTTTGGCTTGCTGGCAAGCCAAAAAAACCCCGTGCTAGTCATCCTCCCTAACAATACTTCTAATTGCAATCTGAGCGCATTAGAAATTTAAAGCAAGAAAATAAATATTTTAAAGGCTGGTATCTTTATTATGCTCTGAGATTGTTTTGATCTTAAAGATAGATAAATATCCAAAGTGGGGTGTTTCTTTCACTGAAGTTTTGAAATATCCGGCCATAAGAGACATTAAAAGTAATAAAAGTTAAATTATAAATTTGACTCAATTTCTTAAGGTCATGAAATAAAAATATTATCTGAACTAAGAAATTTCGTTAATTTAATATTTGTCATTTTTTCTTTATCCATCATAGCAATTAATGTCCAATTCTGTCAAAAAATCGAGTGGAAATATTTATAGCCGACTTTACCAAAACACTAAACAAGCGCTTTCAAGATCCATGTCTTCTGAGTCTGCAAGCTTTAGAAAATCAGATAGTATGAACTCTATTCCAAGGCTCAAAACTGACTTCTATTCTAAATGGCTTTCTTCAATTTGTAAAGTTTATGCAAAATTCTTTTTAAGTATATATATGGAAAAATGGTTAATATTTTAAGAAAAAACATTTTGTTTCTAATTTTTGCTAACTATCCATTCTAAAGGGTTAAAATTCAAACAAGAAACAATGAAAATCATTGAAAATGAGCGGCTGAAGCTTGAAGAAGAACGGAAAAAAGAAGAGACATTCCGTCCAAACATTGAGAAAAGCTCCAAGCATTTTCAAAACAGGCCAAATAACAAAGCTGAAAATCTGCTCATAGAAGCAGGAAAGACATATAAAGCCCACTTAGATGAGCTAAGAGAAGAGCAGCAAAACGTAGAAATGGTTGAGTGCTCATTTCACCCTACAATTAGTGGCTCAAGGACTTCCAGGAGTAGAGAGCAATTTAGAGATGTTTATACTGATCTCTACAATGATGCTGAACAAAGAAAGTCAAGAAACACCTCACTAACGGAGCAAAGTGTCAGCCAGTACTCATTCAAGCCAAAGGTAAAAAACCATAACAGAGCTTCTACTGAAACCAAAGAAGAAATCTTTGAAAGGCTTTACAGCTCGAAATCTAAGTTTTATGAAGACATGAAAGAAAGGAAAAAGGAATTGGAGTCTTTAGAAGCTTCAATTGACCAAGTCAGTGGTCAAGAGCTTTTTCACCCAGCCATAAATAATACTAAAGGCTCAATCACCAGAGGAGGAGAAGAGCCAATATGGGACCATCTCTATTCATTGAAAGATAATCACTCTCTAAAGCAACAAGAAGAAAACGATAAAACTTTGAAATTCTGGGAAGCCAGCTCTGCTGCTAAGAAACTAAGTGATGCTTCTCAAAAGATCTTCCTGGACTTTCAGCAAAAGCAGCTGGAAAAGCTATTTAAGTCTTTCGATTCTGATGAGGATGGAAAAATATCGTCTGGATCTATAAAAATAGAACACTTAGATGTGAAGAGTCTTGTGATTCTTTCTCCTTACTTAAATTATCTTGAAGAAAGTAAGGAACAACATGATTTAGAACAATTCTTAGGCTATATGGATGAACTAATGAAGTCAATGAATGTGGGCGACAAGTCTCATCTTTTGAAAAGAGAAGAAAAGCCTGTTGTAGAAGAAAAAATTGTCCTTGTAAGTCCGAAGTCAACGAAACTGGCAGAAAAAAGAAGAGGATCATTGCCGGATAATATTTATGATAGACTTGTTTGGACTTCACAGTTGAATGAGTTGAAGGCGAATGAACTGAGATTGATGAGAGAGCGGGCAGAGCTATCTGGCTGCACGTTTAAGCCTGCAACAAAAGCAGGGAAAAAAAAGAAAAAGTAGAATTAACATTTAAAATAGGATTAAAATTATTTTTTGTCTTTATAAAAAAACAAAAATAAGTTTGCTAAAATCATAAAGATTATACTTTTAATTTGTTTATTAGATTATAATTGAAATATAATCTGATTAGTCTTCAGAAAACATTATTCTTCTTAAAATGGCAACTTGTAAATTTGCCTAGTAAACCTATATAAATTTCCTATTTGAATCTAACCTTGCAGTTTCATCATTTTCTTCATCTTCATTGTCATTTATGCAAAGCACAATATTAGAGTTTTTTAATTCTTTTGATGCGTTATCTTCTTCTACTATTTCTACTAGATCTTGATCTACCTTTTCAAGAGAGCCTTTGTTTTCTGATGTGCTCTTTGTTTCTTTCTTACTTTTTCTCCTAATTCCAGATAAGCTTGCTAAAATTTTAAAAAATAATAATAAAATGAATTTAAAATTATTAGAATGGAAAATTTGTTCTTTGTGGGGCTAGAAACAAAATTAATTTCTTTTTTGCTGATTGCACTCGCATCTACCTTTCCAAGCATAAATTTAAAAAGAATGGATATGTCCATATAGTCTTTGACCTTTTGTTGAATGATTTAGGTCATATTATTTTATGACAAAAATGGTTTTTTTGACTTGACTTAGTTTTGGAAAAGCTAAAATTATGAACAGAAAATTGAAGATTTCTTGCTTTCTCACTTTGCAGGTGGGTTTTGTCTCTTTTAAAAGGGCTTTTTCTCCTTTCTAGAAGGACTTTTACCACGTCGTAACACCTGGCCACGGGTGCTCTACAAATGGTCAAGACATAGCGACTAGCGCAGAATCAGCTAATGCTGAGGAGGAGCAAGTGGCGTGCAAGTACCAAGCCTACGTATTCTAACGACATGGGGCGTCCACGTATCACCGGCAACAACTGGAGAGGAGTAATCTGTAACCTGGAGGATGGGAGCCGTACAGTAAGTCGGGCAGTAACTGAGCCGTCTCGCGACGGCCCCAGGTGAGCTAGATTAATTCATATCAGTATACTGGCCAGAATTCTGATCAAAAATATAGTAGCGATAAACTTTAGCGAAGATTTCTTGCTTTGGCACGATCAAGGACTAATGAGTTTTGCTTTTATTAAATTAATGGTCCAAAGTGAGCTATTAGATTTGATGAGCTATACCTTTTTCTGTGATAATTAGGGACTGAATTTTTTTCGCTTTAAAAGCTCCTCATACTACAATTGCAACCCAGCCAGTCAATTGAAAGCAGAGTCACAGTATAAAAGTCACTTTAAGAACATTTGCTAGAGAAGTAAACAACACAGACCAAATCACCATAAGCATTGTTATAAACAACAGCAAACATATTTTATCGTAATTATATGCCTTTACTCGAAGTATAATCCATAAATAAATCAAGAATAAGACCAAATATACAAATCCATGTATTTCTGGCTGATAAAAGCCCATAGTTTTTTTAAGAACTACAAAGAAAACCTGGGCCAAACTTTTAATGATAAGGTACTTTGGCATTGTTTTAATATGCAAAGATTCTTGCGTTTCTTGATACATTGGCCGATAGTAAACCGTTAAAGGCATATAAATAAAAATTGCTATTATAGATAGCAGAGCGAATGCTAAATGCTTTCCTTTCCAACAATATTGATAGCAATCTTTATCTAAATAAGTATCAGAAATAGAATCTCCAGTTGCATGAGTACATGAAAAGATATTTAATAAAAAGGAAATTATTGGAATAAATAAAGCATTACCTATAAGAGGCAATATAGCATCTGCAAAATAGCGCAAATTTACACAAAATTTTCATGTGAAAATGTTTTTGAACCTAGTAACAGTAAATATATTTAAAAATATAGATCGTATCCACGCTTATAGCGTGCCTTGACTCAATCTTCTTCTCCACGACTTAGAGAGCTGATGAATTACCTTAAGATAGCCAAGTTGATATAAGCATATACCTTTGACAGGATGTGCCAACTCATCAAGTGCGGAAAAAGATGTATCAAGGCACGCAATAAGTATTCAGATACTATACTGAATGTTGCAGCACTAAGAGTAAAGACCATTGCAATCCAAAATACTGTCCCTTTGAAATAAATTAAGCCTTCTAAGTCAACTGAAATTGCTTTACTTATATAGGCAACAACAGAATTCACTGAAGAACTAGATGGACCTAAATATAAATATTGAAAAAAATCAATTGCAATAACTAAATAAACCATCATATCAGCAAATTTTATTTTTTTGGGTTTCTCCAATTTTGGAAAGTCAACTATTTTCCATTTTTTTCATATTATTCAAGTGATAATTCCAGATATCGAGAAAATTGTGAAGCATGCCACAAGAAACATTCCAATGCCAACACTAGAATTTCTTACAAGTATTTTTTCAAACGGACAGTCAAAATTGTTGTGCCTCATATCTGTTGGGATTGTTTTGGAGTTTCCTGGCCATGTGACTTTTTGTATTATATTAAACGGAATTGATGATCCTGGTGTATAAACAACAACTGAAGTTTCGTAGTATGTATCATCAGTAGTATTATAATAAAAGTTAAAAAGATTAATAGGAGCTGAATTTCTATTATTGTTACTTGATTCAATAGAAATTGTTCCACTGCAGCCTTCAAATTTTTGTTTTCTCAAATTTTTATTCAATATTGTCGAATTTTCTATATCTTCCCCTTTGTTAATTGTATAATCAAGTCCATGAGCTGCAAGCATAAAAGCATCAAATGAAAAACATTTATAGCTGGGATCTTGAGGGTAAAAGGCTTGTGCTATTTCAGATTTAATTTGTTTTCCATAATCACCAATGTACTCGTCACTAAAAGCACTCAAAGACCCTAGCATTAACTTTTTTCTTTTCATTATACGCTCTTCAAGGTCATTTGAAATAGATTGAACCCCACCAGTTTTACTGTAAAAAAATGGAACAAATTCGCCTTCCCTGAACCCAGCGTCATAAAATCCTTCTATTGCATGCCAAGCATATGGATTTTCCATAAAAATAACACAGACCCTTGCTTTAGATTCATATATATTTTTAAATATATGCTTATACTGTGTATAATTTGTCCTCAAATATGTTTGTGGAATCAATCTTTTGTCAGCGTCATTCAATATAGATATTCCGAGTATTTCGCATTGCTGTACGAATGTTTTATATACAGATAAGACTGACGATTTATCACTATAAATAACTGCTACATTACTTCATCCAAAATAAGCTAAACTTTTTGCCATAATTACAGCAAAATATTCTGAACTTGTTATGACCCTCATGTACTCTGGATATTCTGCTTTATTTGAGAGAGCTGCAACTCGAGTTCCAGCACCACAATGAGGGATCTCTAATCCTAATTTTCTGAAAATTGTAATATAGCCAACTGCTCCAGCACTGAATGAGGGTGAAAGAAATGTAACTCCAAGCTGATCCTTTAATGGGCTCATACAGTTATAATAAAAATCAAAATCGTATACATTTGCTCCGCAATCCGTTTCAAAGTGCAAAATGTTAAAATTTTTTAGTAGATCAGTTGAGTTATTCATAACCCATTGTGCATATAAAGAGCCTAAAAAGTTCTGAGAATTTAACAAATTTGTAAGTCCGTTTGGTTCAGTTGATCCAGAAGCAATTGATAGCACAATCTCTGTTTTTGATATTTTAGGAAAGACAGTTGTATTTCCAGGGAAAATAAATGTTCTATTGAAAAAGTGAAAACTTGAATTTTCTACCTCACCTTTCAAAATCTTCTGATTGCTGTCTATATTTATTATTGAAAATGCAGGCAATTTTTTATGCTGATAAGTGTTTGATTCAAATAATTCCTTTAGAAGAAGTGAATCGAACTCTCCAGACTGTTGGGAGCTTGAATATCTAGATCTGAATTCTAGGATCATATCTGTAAAATGCTTTATTGCTAAGATTTCATACTCAGAATATGATTCTGCATTTTCTAAACCTTTTTCGACATACAAAATTAAGCCATCCTCATTAGCTGCCCAAATGCTAGAGCTCCCAGCAAGAACACCTGCCCCTTTTTTATAAACTTTTTCTTTCTTGAGATTTTCAATTAAATCCTCAAAATTTTCTCCTTCTTCTAAAATAAAAAACATTTGAATCCCATCCGGTATAATAATTTTTCTAATTAAACTGCTTATTCTTCCTGTATTTATTGCATCAGGAAGAATTACTTTTAAGGAAATCTGATTTTTAAGCCGTTTTTCGATATTTGACACAATTTTCACATTTTTTGGTAAATCGTTTGATATAATTGCTAAATTAGTTCAGCCAAAAAAATTTAGAATTAATTCTGAAATTTCCTGGTGTTGATCAGCTGAATTATGAAGAAAAAATAGCCACTCTCCATCATAACTTGCCTCAAAGTTCATTTTGAGATTAATTATTTTGTTATTCTCTGTGTATTCATAAATAATTCTATTTCAGTATACATCAAAAGTCGCATCAATAATCATAAAGTTTATGTTTGTATCTAAAATATCATTCAAATTGTGGCTTGAAGCCATTCTTATGAAATTCACATCAAAAATTTGTTCACTTTGATTAATTGTGTCAGATAAGCTATTTAGCGCGTCTGTTACAAATTTTGAATTTGTTTTCTCCGAATAAAGCACATAAATTATAATATCTCCAAGTGAATGCACTAGTTGAATAAGGCCAAAATAAACAATGAAAATCATATTTCAATTTATTTGATAAGGAAGTTTTTCGCTCTGAATTAAATAATTGATTAATGAACGCATTAATTAAATAAGGGCAAATAAACAATGAAAATTCTCTTTCAATTTAATGAATAAGGAAGCTTTTCGCTATGAATTAATAAAACAAATGTTTAAGCCTTCAATTTTAAATGAAATTTTCTACCATAAAACATTTTCTTAGAATAAAAAATTTTGACCTTTAAAAACAAAATTTGAACGACAAAGAGATCAGCTCAAAATTTGCTTTTCTTTGGTAAAGCAAGATAGCAGTTTTGTTTAAATATTATTAATATTTAATGTTGATTTAAATAAGATTTTTGAATTTTATATTGATTCGTGCTAAATTGCTTTTGCTTTATTACATTATAAATCAAACGTAAGCTATTTGATTATTAAATGATAAATCAATAATAATTATTCATTGTACCAGCTAAAGTTCATTATTTATTTACTAGCTGAAAGTTAAATCAAAGAAATAACTAATACAAATTCTTTAATATATATAAAACAAAATTAACATTAAAATAGATAAATTAATCTATTCATTAAAATTATAACGTTCTAGCACGATAAAACATTTTAAATTTGTGTTGATTATAAGAGTTTTCTGTTTGAATTCATTCTAGCTGTTTCATCGTTTTTCGCTTCTTCATTCTCATCAATGCGCAATGCATTGCCAGAGCTCCAGAAAATTTGAGATGCATTTTCTTCCATTATTATTTCTATTTTATTTTCATCTACCTTTTCATGTGAAATATTGATTTTGCATGAGTCATTTATTTCTTTCTTAGAAACGTATTTTATTTTTTTTGCGTGAATTGCTTCAGCTTTAACCTTTCCTAACATAAATTTAAAAAGAATAGATATATCCATTCCTTTTTCAATAATAATCATAGATGGGAGCTTTTTAGCTTTCAGAGCTCCCCAGAGTAGAATAGCAGCCCATCCAGTCATTTGACAGCAAAGCCAATATATAAAGTTTGCTTCAAGTATATTTGATAAAGAAGTAAATAACACAGACCAAACCACCATAAGCATCGCTGTAAGCAATAGCAAACATATTTTATCGTAATTATATGCTTTCAAGCGAATGACAATTCAAATATAAATTGAAAATAAAATCAAGTAGACAAAACCATGCACTTCTGGCTGATAAAGACCAAGTGTTTTTTTGAGAACTACAAAAAAAATCTGAGTTAAGCTTTTAATCACGAGATATTTTGGCATTGTTTTAATGTGTAAAGATTCTTGCACTTCTTGATATACAGGCCGGTAGTACACAGTTAAAGGCACATAAATAAAAGTTGCAACTATTGACAGCAGAGCGAATGCTAAATGCTTCCCTTTCCAGCAATATTGATAGCAATCTTTATCTAGGTAAGTATCAGAAATAGAGTCTCCAGTAGCATGAGTGCATGAAAAGATGTTTAATAGAAATGAGATTATTGGAATAAATAAAGCATTGCCAAAAAGAGGCATTAATGCTTCTGCAAAAACTCTTATGCTTATACAAATTCTCCATTTGAGTAAGTTTTTAAATCTAGTAACTGTAAATATATTCAGAAATATGCTTAATAAAACAACACAAAGAGTAAATATCATTGTTATCCAAAAAATTGTTCCCTTAAAAGTAATGAAGCTTGTTAAATCAACAGAAGTTGCTTCACTCATATAAGCTACAGCAGAATTCATTGATGAGACTGGTGGACCTAAATATATATATTGAAAGAACTCAATTGCAATTACCAAATAAACCATCATATCAGCAAATTTTAATTTTTTTGGTTTTTCTAATTTAGGATAATCAACAATTTTTCATTTTTTCCATATAAGCCAGGTAATAATCCCTGAAATAGAAAAAATCGAAAAGCATACGGCAAATAGAACTCCAACACCAGCTTGAGAATTTCTTACTAGCCGCTTTTCAAATGGGCAATCTCAATTTTTATCTCTTATATCAGTTGGAACAGTTTTTGATTGTTTTGGCCATGCTACTTGCTGCATTACATTAAAAGGAATTGCTGACTCTGGGGAATAAACTATTACTGAAGTCTCGATATATGATTTGCTAGTTTCATTATAATAAAAATTAAAGAGATTTATAGGAGCAGAATTTCTATTATTACTATCTGATTCAATAGAAATTGTTCCGCTGCACCCTACAAATCTTTGCTTTCTCAAATTTTTATTCAATACCAATGGGTTTTCTATATCATCCCCTCGGTTAATTGTATAGTCAAGCCCGTGGGCTGCTAGCATAAAGGCGTCAAATGAAAAGCATTTATAGCTGGGATCTTGAGGGTAAAAGGCTTGAGTTATTTGAGCTTTAATTTGTTTTCCGTAGTCTCCAATATATTCATTACTAAAAACACTCAAAGATCCAAGCATAAGTTCTTTCCTTTTTTTTATATACTCCTCAAGGTCATTTGAAATAGACTGAACACCTCCGGTTTTACTGTCGAAAATAGGAATTAGGTCTCCTTCTCTAAATCCAACATCATAAAGCCCTTCAATGACATGCCAAGCGCTTGGATTATCAACGAACAAAACACAAACCCTCACCTTGGTCTCATAAATATTTTGAAAAATGTGTTTATACTGTGTGAAATTAGTCCTTAAGTATCCTGCTGGAAGCATTCTTTTGTCTTTATCATTTAAAATAGAGATTCCTAGCCCTTCACATTCCTGAGCAAATGTATTGTATTCAGCTATGGCAGATGCTTTACTATTATAAATAACTGCGACGTTTTTTCACCCAAAATACGCTAAACTTTTCGCTATAATTACTGCAAAATAATCAATACTTGTTATTACTCTCATATATTCAGGATATGCGGTTTTATTTGATAATATAGCAGTTCGTACTCCTGCGCCACAATGAGGAATCTTCAATCCCAATTTTCGGAAAATCGAAATATAGCCAACCGCTCCAGAACCAAATGAAGGAGAAAGAAACGCAACCCCAAGCTGGCTTTTTAATGGGCTCATGCATTTATAATAAAAATCGAAATTGTATACACTTGCTCCACAATCGGTTTGAAACTGAGATATATAAAAATTTTTAAGCAGAGAGGTTGAGTTATTTATGACTCACTGTGCATATAACGATCCCAAAAAGTTCTGAGGGTTAAAGAGATTTGACACACCATTTGGTTCAGATGATCCAGAAGCAATTGATAATACGATCTCTGTTTCAGATATTTTTGGAAAAGAAGTGGTATTTCCAGGATAAATAAATGTTTTATTAAATATGTGAAATGTTGAGTTTTCTACTTCAGCTTTCAAAATTTTATCATTATTGTCAATATTTATAATTGAAAATATAGGTATTTTTCTATGCTGAAAGGTACTTGACTCAAGTAATTGCTTAAGAAGAAGTGAATTGAATCCTTCAAACTGTTGGGAGCTTGAATATCTAGATTTGAATTCTAGGATAATATCAGTAAAATGCTTTATTGCTAAGATTTCATACTCAGTATATGATTCTGCAGTTTCTAAACCTTTTTCGACATATATAATTAAGCCATCTTCTTTAGCTGCCCAAATGCTAGAGCTCCCAGCAAGAACTCCTGCCCCTTTTTTATAAACTTTCTCGTCCTTGAGGTTTTCAATTAAATACTGAAAGTTGTCTCCTTCTTCTAAAATAAAAAACATTTGAATCCCATCCGGTTTAATAATTTTGGTAATTAAATTACTAATTCTTTCTTTATTTATTGAATCCGGAAGAATTATTTTTTGTGAAACTTGATTTTTTAACCGCTTTTCAATATTAGATGCCATTTTCACATTTATTGGAAAATTGTTTGATATAATTGCCAAATTCGTTCAACCAAAAAATTTTATGACCAATTCGGCTATTTCTTTATGCTGATCTGGAGAATTATGAAGAAAAAATTGTCATTCTCCGACATAGCTTGCATCAAAGTTCATTTTTAGATTCACTATATTGTTATTCTCACTATATTCATAAATCATTTTATTCCAAAATATATCAAAAGTTGCATCCAAAATCATAAAATTTTCTTTAGCATCTAAATTATCAGCCAAATTTTGATTTAAATCTACCTCTATTAATTGAATGTCAAAAAATTGTTCATTTTGATTAATTGTGTTATATAACTCCTCCTTTTAAATTGGAATAAAAAATTCTGTTTAATTGAACAGAGATAATTTTTTTTAAAATTAATCGAACGGATGTTTTAAATTTAATTTATTTTATGAAGAATTATAATTGATTTAGCGTGAAAACCTATTTAAATAGGGGAATGAAATATCCAAAAAAATGGAAATTTTAAAGATATTTTGTCAATTTAAAGGGGAGCAAGTTGTTTTTAGCATCGCTTACAAAATTTGAATTTGTTTGACTAGAATAAAGTACATAAATCATTATATCCCCAAGTGAGTACGCTAGTTGAAAAAGGCCAAAATAGATAATGAGCATCATTTTTTAATTAATTATATTATAGGCCAGAATGAATTTAATTTATTATAATGTTCGATATTGCCTAAATTTCTTGCACAAAATCAATAAACTTAAAAAATTTCCTCAAAATTAGAACATCCTTGACCTTTTAAAAAAAAAAGGAAAACCCTTGTATTCGAATAAATCCAGTGAAAATATTTTTTGGCAAAATCCCGCTATTTTATCAGGTGGAATCCTTATGTGATGACTTGCTTTCTCCGATTTTTTTATAAATTTTTAAAGTATTTTTCAGCATTTGTTTGCTGAACTCAAATTGAAAGCTGGCTAACTTTATTAAAATTCTAGATTAATAATGATCCATTTATCTGTCTATTTAAAATCCAAATGAGTGAAATTCTTTAATTCGTTCAGAATTACCAAGAATTAAAAGCTTAATTTATCAAAAAATAACCATCTAAATAGATTAAATAAAAAGCTCTTGGATTTTTTATTATTATATAAATATCGTTTATGTTTATTAAATTTATTGAGAAGGCCGGACTATCTCTAACCTTCATGCTCCCTCACCTATTTACTGGTTTGTACAAGACCTCACAAATGCTGCTGCACTCACGCCCTGGTAAGCAGATGACTCGCGCCTCAATGCCGTACTCTAGCAAAGGTTGCCCACCATGGAAAATTCAAAACGAAAATCCAAATCCCGAGCATAATTCCAGATACCACATTGGGAAACAGTCCCGGTGGTCAGGATTTTTATCTGCTAGCATTGCTGGTTTCCCTCTCGAGCTCTTGGCTCCGATCCCCTCCTGAGGCTAAAATTCTAAATTGGAATAAGCATGGGGTTGACTGCGCTTCACCAAGGCAGGTAAAAAACCTGACTGGATTCATCTTCCGAACGCCAAGCTCCTTCCCCGTAGTTCTTGGCATGATAAAACAACTGAGCCAGATGCGCGTGCAAAGAGGATGGGTTGTATCGCAACGTCATTTTAATGTATATTTCATATAAATAATTATTTTTATGTAGTGAGATTTTGAAATAATTCTAATTAGTTTAAGAATAAATAAATTTTCAAATAGAAATATATAAATGCATATATTTAAAAACTATTCAAGAAACAAATTGGCATATATAAAAAAATTGAATTATTAAATTCATCAACAATTTAAAAATTCTTTAGATTGCCATAAAAATCATAGCACCTACATTATTTAAATAAATTTCCTATTTGTATTCATTCTTGTTGTATCGTCACTCTTTCCTTCTTCATTTTCATCAATTTTTAGCACGTTATCAGAGCTCAAAACTTTTTCGTCAGACATCTCATCTTCAATAACTATTTCTATTTTTTCTTCGTCTGCTATTTTTTCATTAGAATCAACTTTTTTGCATTGATCAGGGTCAGTAATTTCTTTCTTACTCCTACATTATTTTAGCTAAAAGTATAAAAATAATTTTAATAAAAATGCAAAATAATTTCATCAATTAAAATTACATAAACTACTACCTTTTTATAAGCTTGGAGAAAGAGTTTAATTTTAAATGTGAGTTAGAAACAAACTTGATTTCTTTTTTGTCAATTTGGTTAGCTTCAATCTTCCCAAGCATAAATTTAAACAAAACGGATATGTCAATTCCTTTTTCTGTGATAATTAAGGATGGAATTTTTTTTGCTTTGATTGCTCCTCAGAGTAAAATAGCAGCTCAGCCAGTCAGTTGGCAGCACAGCCAAAGTATAAAAGTTACTTCAAGTATATTTGCTAAAGATGTAAACAGCACAGACCAAACTACCATTAGCATTGATATGAATAGCAGCAAACACATTCTGTCATAATTATATGCTTTTATGCGAAGGATAATTCAAATGTAGAATGAAAATAAAATCAAGTAGACAAATCCATGGATTTCTGGCTGATAAAGACCAAGGGTTTTTTTAAGGACTACAAAGAATATTTGTGTTAAGCTTTTAATAACAAGATATTTTGGCATTGTTTTGATGTGCAAGGATTCTTGCACTTCTTGATAAACTGGCCTGTAGTATACAGTCAAAGGAACGTAAATAAAAATTGCAATTATAGATTGCATAGCAAATGCTAACTCCCATTGTTTAGCGAACAACATTGTTTTGCTTTCTAAAGGAGGGTGATAAATGTTTTCTAATTTTTATATTAACTTATATATTATTGTTTTATATATTTTAATAAAATCGATCCATGAATATTTTAAAAGAGAAAACTATTTAAAATTCATAGAATTAGAGCCACAATCAATTACATATTAAGCTATTATTTGCATAAGATTTTGTATTGAAAATTTTATTTTGCTAGCTTTTAAATGAATAATTTTCCTAAAAATAATAACTATGTTCACTAATCTAACGGGGATTAAGTGTTTTCCTTGCCAACAATATTGATAGCAATCTTTATCTAAATAAGTATCAGAAATAGAGTCTCCGGTTGCATGAGTGCATGAAAACACGTTTAATAGAAATGAAATTATTGGGATAAATAAAGCATTTCCTAGTAAAGGCATCAATGTCTCTGCAAATAGTCTTAAATTTACACAGCATCTTCATTTAAAAACGTGCTTAAATCTTGTAACTGTAAAAATATTTAAAAATATATACTTATTCCTCCACTTTTAAAACAAGTAATTTTTTTAAAAAATTAATTTAAATTAAATAAAACAAATTATATCTGAAAAAGCCCAATTTACAAGTGCCTCAAAAAAGTCATTTAATTATAAAATTTATCCTGAAAATTATATTTTATATAATTATATATAGAGATCTCGTTATTAAAATTATTAATTATGCATACTAATATTATATATAGAAAAATTTATATTAAATAATTTTAAGCCTGGGATGGATTTTCCATAAAATGAATTTTTCAACTAGTTTAACTTAATAAAACAGTGCAAAGAGTGATAATCATTGCAATCCAAAATATTGCCCCTTTAAAAGTAATAAAACTTGTTAAATCAACAGAAGTTGCTTCACTAGCATAAGCTACTGCAGAATTCATTGAAGAAATTGGTGGACCTAAATATAAATATTGAAAGAATTCAATAGCAATGACCAAATAAACAATCATATCAGCAAACTTTAACTTTTTAGTTTTCTCCAATTTAGGATAATCAACAATTTTCCATTTTTTCCATATTAATCAAGTGATAATACCAGATACTGAGAAAATTGAGAAACATACCCCAAAAAGCATTCCAATGCCACTACCAGAATTTCTGACGAGCTTTTTTTCGAATGGGCAGTCAAAATTTTGATCTCTCATGTCTTCAGGCACTGTGTTGGAGCCTCCAGGCCACATTATTTGTTGCATCACAATAAACGGTGTAGATGACTCAGGATTATAAACTATGACTGATGTCTCGATATAAGTCTTGCTCGTTTTATTATAATAAAAATTAAACAGATTTATAGGCGCAGAATTTCTATTATTGCTGTTTGATTCAATAGAAATAATTCCACTGCAGCCTACAAATCTTTGTTTCCTCAAATTTTTATTCAGTATTAATGGATTTTCTATATCATCACCTCGATTAATGGTATAATCAAGCCCATGTGCTGCTAGCATAAAGGCATCAAATGAAAAGCATTTATAGCTGGGATCTTGAGGGTAAAAGGCTTGGGCTATTTCAGATTTAATTTGTTTTCCATAATCCCCAATATACTCATTGCTAAACACGCTTAAAGACCCAAGCATAAGTTCTTTTCTTTTCTTTATATATTCATCAAGCTCATTTGAAATAGCCTGAACGCCACCAGTTTTACTGTAAAAAACAGGAACAAGATCCCCTTTTCTAAACCCAACATCATAGAGCCCTTCTATTGCATGCCAAGCATTCGGATTTTCTAAAAGAATAATACAAACCCTCGCTTTAGACTCATAAATATTTTTAAAAATATGCTTATACTGCGTGAAATTTGTCCTCAAATATCCTGGCGAAATCATTCTTTCGTTTTCATCGTTCAAAATATTTATCCCAAGTGTTTCGCATTGCTGTTTAAATCTCTTGTAGACAGGGATAATCGATGATTTATTAGCATAAATGACGGCAACGTTATTTCAGCCAAAATACGCAACTCCTTTGGCTAAAATAACTGCAAAATATTCAGCACTGGTAGTGACCCTCATATATTCAGGATATTGAGTTTTATTAGATAAGGTAGCAACTCGAGTACCAGCCCCACATTGAGGAATCTCTAGTCCTAGTTCTCGGAAAACTGAAACGTATCCTACTGCTCCAGCACTGAATGAAGGAGAAAGAAATGCGACACCAAGCTGATCTTTGTTTGTACTCATACAGTTGTAATAAAAATTGAAATCATATGTGTTTGAGCCGCAGTCTGTTTGGAACTGAGTGATGTAGAAATTGTTAAGAAGAGAGGTTGAGTTATTTATTCTCTATAGAAAAGATATCAAATTTAATGATTCATAATAAATATAATTTATGATAATATTAGTCTCTGTGAATAAATATACAACTCACTGTGCATATAAAGAGCCCAAAAAATTTTGAGGGTTCAAAAGATTTTTAGGCAAGCCATTTGGCTCAGTTGATCCTGAAGCAACTGAAATTACAATCTCAGTTTCTGATATTTTTGGAAAAGCAGTTGTATTTCCTGGATAAAGAAATGTGCGGTTGAAGACCTGAAATTTTGTGTTTTCAAATTCAGCTTTTAAAATCTTCTCTCCTTTGTCAATATTTATTATTGAAAAAATTGGCAATTTTCTATGTTGATATGTGTTGGACTCAAATAATTGCCGAATTAACCGTAAATCAAATGGCTCAGTGCTCATATATTTTTACAATATTAAAAATATCAGTTAGGGATAGGTCCTAGCTCCTGCTAACCTATCATCCGAGCTTAGTGAGAGGAGTCAAGCTTCTTGAGAGTCTCGGCTTGAAGAGAAGAGGTTGGTGTTGAGGCTGGCACTGACTAGAGAAGTCTTGACGGGCTTATTAACTTTAACGGTTTGACGATTAGGCCGGTCCACCTACCGTTATTCAGAGCTGTTAATGGTGCTGGACTCTCAAGTAAAAGAAGACTAAAGGCTTATGCCAGAGTAATTCGTAAACTAAAAACTTAAACATATATTTTAATTTGAAATCAAGTATCATATCAGTAAATTGCTTTATTGCCAAAAACTCATATTCAGAATACGACGTCGCTGTTTCCAATCCCTTCTCAACATACATAATTACTCCATCCTCGCCATCAGCCCAAACACTGGAACTGCCAGCTAATATGCCTGCACCTTTTTTATAGATTTTTTCATTTTTAAGACCTCCTAATAAATACTGAAAGTGTCCTCCTTCTACAAGAATCAAAAACATTTGAATACCTTCAGGCTTTATGATTTTCCCGATATAATTTTCTATATTTTCTTCAATTATTGAATCTGGAAGTACCACTTTTAGGGAAACTTTTTTATTTAACCGTTTTTCAATATTAGAAGCTATTTTAAGGTTTGCCTGGACTTCACTAGAAACTATGGCTAAATTGTTTCATCCAAAAAAGTTTATAACTGATTCAGCAATATTTTGATGTTGATCAACAGAATTATGGAGAAAAAACTGTCAATCTCCTTTATGGCTAGCTTCAAGACTCAATATAAGGTTCACTATGCTATTATTCTCAGTGTACTCATAAATTATCCTATTCCAATAAACGTTAAAAGTTGCGTCAACAATTAAAAAATTCAGGTTGGTATCTAGAATATCAGCCAAATTTTGATTTAAAACCATCTCTATGACTTCAATATCAAAAAATTGTTCACTGTGATTGATTGTGTTAGATAAGTAGTTTTTTGCATCTGATACAAAATTTGAGTTTGTTTGTTCAGAATAAAGTACGTAAATCATGAAATCTCCAAGTGATTGTGTAAATTGAATAAGGCTAAGATAAACAATGAAAAGCATTTTCTAATTTATTTATAATTTAATAATGGATATTCATGAATTTGATAATATATGTTAATCTATAAGCTTGGCTTACTCCTGCTTTTATATGTGCTTAACTCTAACCTATCCTTAATCGAACAACACCATTTAATATTCCTTAAAATTTTACTATAAACACTATTCTTGATCAAACGATTTCATGTAGCCGAACAAGAATCTGCTACCCTGCTACCCTGCTACCCTGCCATCCTCAAATCTAACAAATATTTATCTTTAATAGTAATATACATAAAAATGGTGATAACCTTCCTCTGAACTCCTGACCCTTTTTCTTCAACACCTAGAGGCAGCTGCCCATTGGGAAGATGAAGGGGAAAAAAGACCAGTAACTTTTTGTGTACGTCGAACTTGGTTTTTCTCAGACGCAGAGGGAGCTAATTTCGAGGACTTGAGTTTTAGCCTCCAAAACCATCATTGGAAAGAGCAGGACCAGCCAAAGCCTTGAGTGGACGATAAGTCCCTCCAACAGAGCTCAAGAGAAGACATCTGCCTAGCAAGAACTGGGTGCTTCGACCCAGATAGTAGATCTATAGGCTCCAGAGCTCATAAAAAATCAAGATCAGCTGTGCAAATCCCTTGCCCTCGGGGACGATGAGTATGCAGGGGTGGAAATCCCGGCCTGTTGAGAACGAAGAGCTTAATCTAATCTAATCTTTGATAGTAATTAATTTTAGAGATTATACCCTAAATGAGATTTATAGCCCACTTACATATAATTAATGAAAAAAATTTTAATGAAGAACTTTCGAACAAATAAAAATTTTACATAGCCTAAGTATTAATATAGATCGGTTTGGTCTGGGAGAATGCTCAGCTACTACCCGAATTGCTTTTCCAACAAATTTGACGAGCCAACTCGTTGCCTCTATAGGGTTTACTTATCAACTCCCTGGTTTATTCTTCAAATTTTTTGTAAAAACCAATTTGGTGAGTTGCTGACCCCCCTCTCGTGGGCGAGCAAAAAAAATCTTGTTCGCTCGCTGAGGGGGTTATTTTTTTTTTTTAAAATTAAAAAAATCCTAATTCGCTAAAATTGGAAAGTGAATATTAATTTAATTTGCAGAATTTATGTTTTAAAACGCAATTTGTTTAAAATTAAACAGAATTAGCTAGAGATTTCATTATACTAATTATTTTCGCTCACGGAGCGTGGGTTTTTGCAAAAAAATAGGGATTTTTCTAATAGTTTTGTTCGCTCACGGAGGGGGAGTAAGCATTCTTTCAGCCCAGGCTGATCTATATCGGCTCCTAGACTATATATAATTTTTTTCTCAAAATTTTTTAAAACCCATTTTGCTCAAGCAATGGTAATCGATTCGATCAAGAAGAATGAAGGGTGTAAGTAAAAATATTAGCGATATATGAAAATTTTTTTGTTTATTATAAAATTAGGGTGTTAGAGAGATAGAAACTAGAAACACAGTATTTTATTATTTATTAAAAATGCATCAGAAGCCATAATAAAAGCATTCAATCTCTTTTAATGATATACACAATTTGCCTGAATTTTATAAGAAAGTTAACTCAAAAGATATTATGATATAAGCAAAATTAAAGAGCTGGTATCCTCAAAAAAAAAACAGAATTAATAAAAAGGATATGGAAAATATATGAAAAGCAATTTTTATAAATTTTAATAATTTTGTTCGGTTTGAATGCACACAAGATTATTTTATAAATTGGTAGAATAGCATATCAATTCGCATGCAATTTCTTCTTGTTAAATTGATTAATTTATAAAATTAGCAAAATACTAATTTTTATTATTAATTAGCAACAATGAAGTCATATGCATTAAAATGGCGTGGTGTACAAATTTACACTCTTAACTCCTATAGCTGGGTGTGAGTGCATGCCCAGTCCGGCAGGAGCAACCTTTGTAAGGTCGTGCACGAACTGGCGAGCAGGCGAAAGGAGCGTTACGAGTGAAGATAATTCTTATAGAATTGTAGCCAACTTTTCTATAAGTCTTAATGACATAACATTCGTAGCAATGCAGTCTCTCTATAATTCTAAAATCTTAGTAGTTCTAATTCATTTTATAATAAATTTAATTTGAACTCTCAAAGTTTTTGATATCCACTATTTAATTGGGGAAATTATTGTAAAAACCATAATAGTCGGAAATTATATAAAAATGCAAATATAGGAAAAATTATAATTCAAAATTTACTTGTCGCTGTCTTATCTTATTAAGTCTATATCGTTTTGTGTCTCCTACAAGGTTTTACGCTTTCTTCTATCGCTCTCACCGCTCTGCGGCTTCCATGATCTTGCCAAGAACAAGCACTGGAAAGACGCGAACACAACGTTCTGACTTCGACGGGTCATCCTGACCTCACACTACCAGCTAAAGTCCAGCCCACTTCGGGTTATTCAAGTAGGAAAGCACTATGCCTTCCACTTCTCTTGGGTCAGCTGTCCTCTCATCCACGGCTCGCCTGTCATAGACGGCATAGGATTCACTGTGAAAACTGAACCTCACAATCAAATATTGCCGAAATTAGCGGAGCTAATTATTTTCAACAGAATACCATCTTTTGATTATCTTACTTGTCACTATCATGTAATATTTTTTACCCTATCATTCAAATCTATTTTAAGCATTTTCCATCATATTTGAACTTACCATTAATTATTTAAAATTTCTTGAATTGAGCTCAGCGCTTTCAAAATTAAAAGGCTTTCATTTCCTCCAGCCACAAGTCCATAGTCTACTTCTGCTAAAACCTCTACAATTTTTGCTTTTTTAATGTCAGATATTTCTTGTCTGCTCAGCAGAAAATCAAATAACTGAAAAATAATGCTATCAGGCTGGAAACCTTCAAGAATCAAATCCGCTGACAGCTGTTGAACTTCCTCAAAAGTCCCTTGAAGAGACTGATAAATCTGGTTTATAACATCAGCAGGGATAACCGCAGCAACATCAAGCACCATTTGATCCGAAATCCAATCCCCATGCAATTTGCTTGTGCTCTGCAAAGCTGTGATACTTTTCCTTAAATCCCCTTCAGATACTTGAATAAGCAGCGAAAATGCATCATTTGTACAATTAATCCTTTCCTGCTCACAAATATACTTCAGCCTATTTAAATGCGCTTCTTCACTGATTGGCTTAAACCTAAACTTCGCACATCTTGATGCCAAAGGATCAATGATTTTGCTAATATAGTTGCAAATCAAGCAAAATCTCGTCACTTTTGTATACTTTTCAATAACCCTCCTTAAGGCTGATTGCGCATCTGATGTGAGTGAGTCAGCCTCATCTAGAATTATAATCTTAAAATTAGGACATTGTGCGTTTTGGTACTTAGTAACTGCCACCTGTGCGAATTTTTTAATTTTTTCTCTGACAACATTGATTCCTCTGTCATCTGATGCATTTAATTCAAGCACTCTTGACTTGTATAAATCAGGCCCAAACATTTGTTTAGCAATAGCTAAAATTGCAGAGGTCTTCCCTGTGCCAGGAGGCCCATAAAAAAGAAGATGTGGCAAAGAGCCAGAGCTGAGGGAGGTCTGAAGGGCATTCACAATTTCTTCTTGGTGGGCCAGTTCATCAATCTTTTGTGGTCTGTATTTTTCTACCCATGGGAGGGTTTGGGTGACTTCAACTACAGGCTTTTGAGGAGCGAGGGTACTCTGAACGAACATGGCGGGATTATATTTTATTTGGAGGCATATTTGCAGCTAATTTTCCTAGCATTTTTTAAGAAAACTAATAAAATGCTGCGATTTATGAGAAGAGCAATTTCCAGCTCGTCCTTCAGTCTCAGCCCAAAACAGCTGTGTTCAGAGCTTGATAAATTCATAGTCGGGCAACAAGAGGCGAAACAGGCTGTAGCAATTGCTCTTAGGACCAGGTGAAGAAGGAAGCAATTGCCAGAAAATCTTCAAGCTGAGGTGACACCAAAAAACATCTTGATGATTGGGCCAACTGGATGCGGAAAAACAGAAATTGCTAGAAGGCTTGCAAAGCTCTGTGGGTCACCATTTATAAAGGTTGAGGCTACGAAGTTTACGGAAGTGGGGTATCATGGCCGAGATGTGGATCAAATTATCAAGGATTTAGTTTCAGCAGGGATACACCAGACCAAGGAAAATTTGAGGAGCAAACTGAAAAGCTTTTCTTCAGAAATTGACGCCATTGTGGAGGAATACTTGCTAAGCCATCTGCTAGGGCCTGATTTTCCAGAGAATGAGAGAAAAGAAGTTAAGCGTGAGCAGCTGAGGTCAGGAAAAATGGACCAGAGGATGATTTATGTAGAAATCCCTGATTTAGAAAAGATTGTAGAGAGAAACACCCAAGCTGATGCTCTGTCAATAGAGGACTACCTCGACACCCTGAAAAGATATAAGCCAGGCAGAACTCTCCAAGCTTATAAAGAAAAAATCCAAATCGGGGAAGCCAAAAAAACACTGGCAACTCAGATAACTGAAGGCTACATGAAAGAACAAAATATAATTAAAGAAGCCTTAGAAGCAGTCCAAGAGCATGGAATTGTTTTTATTGACGAAATCGACAAAATCGCCACCTCAGCTGACGCAATAAAAACTGGCACAAATCCAAGTGCAGAAGGAGTACAAAGAGACTTATTGCCTATAATAGAAGGGACCATGATCACCACCAAGCATGGCGACGTCCAAACTGACCACATCTTATTCATTGCCTCAGGAGCTTTTAGCGAAACCAGACCATCTGATCTCCTCGCTGAGCTCCAAGGCCGTCTTCCTGTCAGAGTCAACCTAAAAGCTTTACAAAAAGACGACCTTAAAAGAATTTTGACTGAGCCAGAAAACAACTTGATAAAGCAAAACACAGAACTCTTGAAGACTGAAAAAATTGACCTGAAATTCACCCCAGAAGCAGTTGATAGGATTGCTGAGGTCGCCGACGAAATCAATAAAACCATAGAAAACACTGGTGCAAGAAGACTCACAACGGTAATGGAAAAGATTTTGGAGGATATCTCTTTTAATGCGCTGGACTATGAAAACCAAGAGGTTGTCGTCACAGCTGAGTTGGTGAATAGCAAAGTAAAAGAAATGACGAAACAGACAGATCTCAGGAAGTATCTACTATAGAATCTATTATATAATCCTTTTGTCCTTTAGAAATTAATCACTTAACTAATCTCCTGGCTTTGGAACCAGATCTTCAAGTGGCTCCACATTGGCTTTTTTGTTGCTGAAGGTTTTATTTTTAGATAAAAACCCTCCAAGCCCTTTTCGCTGTTGCAGTAAGACTTGGTCTCTAAGTCCTGCGATCTTTTTCAAGTATTTTTTGCCTGTTTCTGTATGCCCATATTTATTGAGTTCTTCTCTTATATCCTGCACATTATCTTTTACCAAATGCTCAAGAAAAGGAGTCAGCTCAGGCAAACTGTTATCCGAAACGTCTCCTTTGAATTCAGGTAGCAAAATAGCATTATCAGGGTGTTTCTTGACTCTTGCAGGGTCTTTTTCAATGATAATTACATTTTTCAGATCTCTGTTAAGGTAATCTAAATCTTTAATGAACTCTCCTGACCTATAAGCTAACCCATTTATAAGATTGAAAAAATGCATAGAAATAATTAATATTTTTTATAAAATACTTATATATAATTAAAATTATAATTATTTTATCTAGCTAATTCTATTAAATTTAGATTATTTAATTTAATTTTTTTATATTTCAATAATTATAATTTCAATAAATTAACCCTCTAAGAGTTCTCAAATTAGTTTGTGAGCTTTTAAGAGGGTACTAAGCATTCTTTGCCAAGCCTTGCCGTAAAAATCATATGTCTTGGGTCCAAAGAATCTGTCAGCTGAGATGTGAGAAAGGTCTCTTCGTCGCTAAAAATGACGACTTCGTACATGCGAGCCATACGATTTAAGAAATCAGACAGGCCAGGCCGCTTCATTACTTCAAAGCCTTTTCCGAAGACGTACTCTGTAGAGACAAGGGTGCCTCTTAAATCCAGTACAAGTGTTTTTGGCTTCATATATCCTGGAGGCAAAACCAAGTCTGGCAGCAATTTGTCAAGCGGAGGATCCACAAATAAAGAATAAACTGCCTTGACACGTGTATCAGTCCACTTTACAGCTGAGAGAAAGTAAGGGTTGATTAGCATTTGATTTTCTGGGTCTTGTTGGTGCTTGTAGGTGTAATAAGTGTATCCGTATAAGCAGACGCTACCATAAAAGACAATCCTTCCCAGAACCCTGAGTGCAATTCTGAAGGGAGAGTTGGACTTGGGGTTATGCTTTGACTCGATTTTGTCGTTCGCAAAAAGTACATCGTCGTCATCACTGCTGACGAATCTCTTTAATGGGAATGGAATTATCCTTCTTCTAAAAACTAGCATTTATTAACAAATTATCTGGTAATAAGAATATTTTAGATTAAAAATAGAAATAGATGAATTTAATAGGCAAGTTAAATAATTAATTTAAAAATCGTAAGAAATAAACCTTAATATTAATTAATCTATACTCGCTTAGCATCCCAACTAAGGTTGCTCGGCAAAGCTACCACCAACACCGCTTGGGGTGAATTTCGTGCCATTTTCCTCGGCCTCCCAAAGGTGTGGCCGCCTCTAACTTGATCACTATCAGAGCGCCAGCCTTGAAGTTTGGTCTTCAGCAACTCTTCTTTAAGCTCAGGCACCCTAAAGGTCCCAGTTTCCACCACCTGGGGTAGGTGACCCTTCTGGAAATTTCGATTCCCTAAGGTCAGAAGTCCGGTAGGAAAAATCGCCAGCCATTGCTTCCCTGGCATAGCTGGGACAAGTTCACAAGGGGAAATCAAACCTCATAATTAAACTATGCAAGATATGAATTTTCGGTCAGGAGACCAGAAAATTCTAGCGACCCATATTTTAATTAGCAAGAAATAAATTAGTTATTGTGGCTAAATTATTAAAAAACCTATCAAGCGTTTAATTGCCTTACAAAAAGAGAAATCCAAGGATTTCATTTTTGAACTTAATGGTTTTTTTCTAAATGGATGAACTATTTATATAAAATAAACTATGGAAGACCCAGTTAGCCTTTCTGACACTGAGGAATACAGTGCTCAAGAAGATTCACCTAAAGCAAGGCCTAAAAATCAAGAACTCCTAGTAATGACTGTTGAGATTGGTGATGGCCGTCAAGATATTATTACTATAAGCGAAAATGATGATCCCTTCCAGCTAGCTCACGACTTTGCAATGAAGCATAAACTTGACAAATCTCTTCAGCAGTCTTTAGCCCATGTGATTAGACAGAACAAAGAGCTCGTCGAGAAGCGTGCAAATTCAACTTCTCCAGACCTAGGAAAAATGTCTGATTTCTTTGGCTCATACTCTAGCTCTTACACCCCAAAGGACAATTTTCTATTCGAAACTAACAGCAAAGGCAATCATGCCCCTACAATTAACCCCCGCTCAAAAGCTCTTGCAAATAAGCGACAAAGCCAAGGGAGTGTATATGATCGGCTTTATCGACAAGGAGCCAAGCCTTCAAAATCTGTGCTTTCTAACAACACGACCACTGCACTTACCAAATCTAAAACTCAAAGCAATATTAACTATGGAGAATGGCTGTATATAAAAGGACTTAAGCAAAAAGAAGCACTGCTTAAGAACGGAGAAGCCAAAAGACAAGAAAACGAAAGCAAAGAGCTGATGAGCTACAGTTTTAAGCCACAAATCAACAAGTTTTCAAGCTTGCTTTCTCCTAGAAACTATGAGAAAACTGAGGATTTGCTTAATAGAAAAGCTGAGGAGTATAAAGAAAGATTAGCTGATTTAAAAGCAAAGGTAGAAGTTGATGAGATGAAGGAGTGCACATTTACGCCAGCAATTAAAGAAACATCGTGGAATAGATCCAGGACTAGCACTAAGCCTATTCATGAAGAGTTGTTTTCACAAGCTAGTAGAAAAAAAGAAAAGCAGATTGAGCTGGAAGAAGAAAGCATTAGACAGTACAGTTTTAGACCTGAAATCCATGTAGAAAAAAAAGAAGTGGAAAGCACTAATGAATTTATTGAAAGACTTGTAAATTCAAAGAAAAAGGTATAGAAATTGCCCGAGGATGGCGCTATTTGCGCCATCCTCGGGCAACCGAAAATCGGCTCCACACGGGAACGATTTTCCACGTGTGGAACCATTTTTCCACACGTGAGAATCCTGACTTCCACGTGCGAAAAAATCGCTCCACACGTGGAAAATCGTTCCCGTGTGGAGCCGATTCTCTGGCAATTAGTATAGAAGAAGAGCTGGAAGCTATGAGATTGCAGCAGCAGCCTACGCATGATGAAAGCACTGGGCAAAGATTATTCCACCCACAAACTTATAGCAAAACGAATAGAAATGAGCAGCCTATATGGGAACATTTGTATTCATTAAAAGATGAGAAGCAAAAGAAAATTAATGAGGTAACTGCGGAAACACAGACTTTTTGGAATGCGACAGCAGCTGCACAGAAAGCAAGTGCAGCATCTCAAAAAATTTTTAAGGATTTCAGAATCAAGCAATATCAAGATTTGATAGGTGTAAGATTTTTTAACGTATCTGCTTCCAAAGTGGTATTCTGCATGTTCCGATTAGACAGGTGGTGGCACAAGCGAATTGGGTTCCACCTCTGGTACCTCTAAGCCCAGGCCGAAACTTCTGGCTTTTCGGAAGTGGTATGCCCTATTGGGTATGATCCTTTACAAGGCACCGCCACTTCCAGATCAACCAATTTATGGACCCTTTCAACTGAAGTGACCGCCGATAGTTGTCTAACTCCCTTTTTTCAGGTCATCCCTAGAAAAATACTTAACCTCTTCGACTATTCACAGTAGTAGCTTGAGCAGGTAAGTCGACTTGCTCCATCTCGAGTACCTACTGGCTTGGGTGCTGCTGGAAAATGAGTAGCAAGTAACCGCCCATTGAATAAGGTCACAAACAATTGCTTTCATCCTTATGCCTCCCACCTCGAGGCTCCTGATATTCTTAGCCCACTCACAGCTCCAGCAACCATGCCCGAATATGCATGTGTCACCGTCACTGAGAGGACGGGTCGGTCCCAATACACCTTTTTATATATATAATCAAGCAATATCAAAAGCTCTTCTCTACCCTCGATTCTGACAACGACGGGAAAATTTCGTCCCAAGAAATCAATATAGATGACCTTGATGGCAAAAACCTTGCGATTTTGACCCCAATTTTCAATGACATTGAAACCTCCCAATCTCCAATGGAATTTCCCGAATTTGCTGAAAAATTGGAAGAACTTTGCAACACTCTGACTGTTGAAGAAAGAGCTCATCTCCTTAAACGAGAAACCATTGCAGAAATCAAACAGCAAGAAACCAGCCAAGAAGCTCCAGTTCTTATTAGTGAAAAGTCTATTAAACTTGCAGAGAAATCAAGGTCATCACTTCCAGAAGACATCTATGAGCGCTCAGTTATGACGACTAAGCTAAACCAATTGAAACTGGCCAAGCAAAAAGAAATGAAGGAGCACCAAGAGCTCCAAAGCTGCACGTTCCGGCCGTCATTAAAATCAAAATAAATTTAAATATAAATTTACTTCATATAAATAAGTTATGAAAATCAAAGTTCATATAAAGGAACAAGTATATGAAGTCAACTGTGGCTCAGGTATACAAGATCTGGCATGGCTCGCCTTAAGTGCTGCATTTCTGTATGGAAAAGAAGCCTATCCTAAAGGCCAATACATTCCTACTTATCTCTGCAATGTGGATGGAGCAGCTCATCATCCTCGATGGCGCATCAATATTGCCCTACATGACGGGGATGAAGTCTTTGTAACCCTCAGAGACCTGACGCAGCCTCCAAATCCTAAGTACATAGAATGATATGACCAAGCCTTTGGCAGTCAAAGGAACATTATGAGCTGCAAGTTTCTTTTCAGGCCAACTAAAACTGATTTCACCATTTCCAATAGGCAGCATTCAATTGTCCTTGTGAAATTCACTTATACCATCTTCAAAGAACTGGAAAAAGAGTTCAGCGAAGAGGTACAAGGAAATAGAGAAGTTGAGCTTTACCCAGTAGATTTGGCAAGAAAAGAGTTCAGAGGAGAACTTAACTTGCCCTTTGGGGAGGTGAAAATCATGAAGGTTTGTGAGGTTTCGCCACAAAGGGAAAATGAAAATTCTGAGCCTAGAGAGCTGGGGAATGATGAAAAAATAAATGTGTCGATTGGGCTGTTTCCTGACCCATGGAGCAAGAAAAAGCATAAAGAAGCTATGATACAAGAAGAGCAGGAGCAGAGAAAGAAAGAAGAAGAAGCCTTAAAAAAAGCCCAGGAGCAGCTGCAACAAGAAGAAACGCAGCCAAACATCCCAGTGAAGACTTTATATGACGTATGGCCAGATGCCCCTGCATCTCTTGCAGCTCATTTTCCTCTGCTATACGACGTGTTTACCTTGTATACTTATTTTCACCTGCCTGACGAAGAGATGATTTCAGCCCACGATTTTTTCCACATTCTGAGGACTTTTGATTTAATAACTGACTCTGACGAAATAGTCCAAACTGTCATAGAATTCGGGGATGACTTGGATAATGCCATGACTGATGTTTTAGCCCCTACTATTAGTCTCCAAATGTTTTTATTGCTTTTGGTTCGGTTTTCTGAATTCAAACACCCAGAAGATACAGGCTATATAACTGTAATTGAGACTATTGCTAAAAGTAAAGCTGTCTGGCTGCAAGACTATGTGAAATCAGAGCTCCTTAAACCAGAAATTTTTGAGCTTTTCATGGAAAATGCTGATTTTCTTGTAACTAAGTATATGGTAAAAGCGACACCTTCACAGGGAATTAGAATTGAGCTGAAAGTGCAGGACTTTATAAACTTGATTATGGAGTCTGAGCAGCTAGCAGAAGTCATTACAAAAGACAATCTTCAGCAGCTGTGTGAGGACACCTTATTTTTTTCAAGTGCTAAGGACTCACAAATGTTATTCCCTGATTTTCTTGAGACTCTTGTAAGGCTTGCACAGACTGTTCCTTTTAATGAAGAAGAAATCGAGCAAGCTTTGGCAAATCAACCAGAAACGGTAGTTCTTGCTGAAAAATTGCATTCAGTAATCAGAATTTTGTGTGGTCCTGGAACAAGAACTCCTTCTATAAGTAGCAGAGGTAACAGCAGAGGAAAACAACAGCAAAATGCCGCTGAAAAACTCTAACTCCCCAATTTTTTTATAATTTATAATTATATAAATAATCTAATACAAACAATAACAATTTTTATGATTATATGATAAGTAATTTAAATTATAAAATAAAACCAAGGAGAAAACTGACTACAAAAAAAGTCTCCATTTCTTTTTTCTCATTCAAACCTAATTCATAAATTCAATTGGTAAAGATGCATGACGAACGTGGAGACAGTTTAATCAACTCCTTCGATTTCTCCGCAATCGAAGAGATGGACCCCAGCCTCAGTGAAGGCCACCATGTAGCATATGACCGAGAAGTCCCATTCGAGCTCAGAATTCAAGAGTCAGGAAGTGGCCCTCAAGAAGTCGGGACTCTCGAAGCCATCAAAGTAAAGCTTCTGGTCCTCGGCGACAACAACAACCCTCAGCACGTAAAAGTCGAGCTCACAAGTGAGAACGACCTTTTCTTCCACTATATCCACGCTTTAGACGAAGCCAGCTTCCAACAACTGCAGCAATCCCAAAAACTGATGATTGACTTCTCAGAGCTCCCCACAATCATGATAAGGATGCTGAATTCTTGCATCAAGGAGCCTCACAACTTCTTGGCGGTCTTCATTATGCATAGAGATGGCCGCGCTCGTCTTGACTTCATCCAGAACATGGAGTACAAGTTCATCGAGCTCCTGTCCTTGGACTTCTTAGCCAGCACTGAAGAAATGGTCCGCCAGCAGATCACTTATCGTTATAACGCAGTTAAAAGCAAGCTCGCAATTGTCCAAGCTCGTCTGCAAGATGTGAATGCTGCGATTAAAGTGAAAAACCCTTCATTATTGCTACAGCTGCAGAGACAGCCAAAGAAGGGACTTCAAAATCAGAGTTAAGATAAATTAAGTTACTTTGGTTATTAAATAGTAATAAAATGGAGGATGAAGTGAGAAGGAATCATAGGAACAGCGATTGCATAGAGGACTTTGATTTTGATGAGGAGGAAATTGAGGGGGAAGAAAAAGGTGGATTTTCGATTGATCATCTAGCGAAAATTGTGAAAAATATGCTTTATCCGGCACTTTTTCTGTATGCATCGACTTCTTTGGGACCGAAAATAGGATCATGGGCTGCAAAAAGGATGGGCTATATTGTGAATAGCAAGTTGGTCTAAATAGTTAGTCTTTTAATTTATTAGCAGATTATTTTGATTTTTATTGTAAAATTGTGCTTGTAGGAAGCTTGCTTATATATGATGGCGGATTTTACAGTGTGAAATGATATCAAAAGAAGCTTTTTGAATTAGAATTCATTATTTGAATAATAACTTCAATAGAGGCTTTTTTCCTTTTCTCTCAGATTATTTTCTCATATTGTCATCATTATTATAGCATTTCATTTATACTCAGGCTGTCTAAAATATACTAGATCTGCTTGACAGCCATTCCAAATTATAGACTCAGAAACAAGAATAAAAATAGCCTAGCACTCTTCACAAATCTAAAGCATTTTGCTTATTTCAAAAAATATTAATTCTTAATTACTAATCTTGATTTCCTAGAAGATGGCGAAGATAATTAGATATTTATATTCATATGATGTTTGGAAGAAAGCACCAGTCAAAAACAGTTCCTGATGACTACCCTGATGACTCCCTGCCAGTCCTTTCTCCAACCTTCGCTCAAGAAGTTCTCGATTTAGAAGGTGAGCTCGATTTTTGTGTTAGTTTTCCCATGATTCAAAGACTTTTAGCGCTATATTCCCAAGCTATAGAACAACTAGAATCTATTAAAGACCCAAGATATTTACATTACCAAGACCGCATGCAGAAATTTCTTGCACGAGAAGAAGTCTTAAAAGTAATAAAAGATTATCAAAATCCACAAAAGCCATTAAGATCCAGTCTCACTCCTACGCCTGAATCTGTTCGTGACACTTATAGGAAACGTGCTGAAGAAAAACAAAAAATTAAGGCAAAATTGATGAATTCGCCTCCCAATAAAGACATAACGATAGAAAGAAATGCTGAAAAAGCTATTTTATCCCACACAACTGAAAGTAGCTCAGCAAGCAAAAGGATACAGGAAAATCTACAATCGCAGGCTGAAAATTTGAATTCAAGGCTTAGAGATAGGGTAAATCAGCGCTCAGCTTCTACAAATCGACGAGATTTTCGGTCAAATACCTTTTCTGCAGGATCTTTAGGGATAAAGAAGTTTCTTGAAGAGTATAGGATATTTTTAGTAAAAGATTTTCCCCTGATAGGCATTTCTCTAGCTATTTGCTAACTCCCCCCCCCTCCGTGAGTGAACAAAACCATTAGAAAAATCCCTATTTTTTGCCCAAAAACCCACCCTCCGTGAGTGAACAAAAATTGTTTTAATAGAAAACATTTTTCATGGAAAAAAATTTTGATATATAAATGATAATTAGTTAATGAAATCTAGAGCTAATTCTATTTAATTTTAAACAAATTTGCTTTTTAAAACATAAATTTTATAAATTAAATTAATATTTGCTTTCCAATTTTTTGCGAATTAGGATTTTTTTAAATTTCGAAAAAAATATTTTTTATAAAATGTATATATAAATTTTTTTTTTTTAAAAAAAAACAATTAACCCCCCTGCGTGAGTGAACAAAATTTTTTTTGTTCACTCACGGAGGGGGGGGGAGTAAGTTTTTTCTCCTTGACATATTTATTACTCGGTAAGATCTTTTATCGTAAAAATTCTGAAAAAAAAAAATCGACCAAAAATCATTAGAGCCCTTGAAGAAAGTGATAGAAGTGGCGGCGCCCCCAAAAAGTCACACATAGAACTATTTGAAGAAGAGGTAGAAAAAGTCATGGAAAAATATATAGAGGAAAAAATTAATGTAAAAAGAAAACTGACTGAGAGCTACCAAGAACAAATCAAAGAAATCCAAAGCATGGGAGAGTCCTTGCTGATTGGCTCACTTATAAAGACCATGAATGATACATTAGGAGAAGAAATAGAAAACGCTGTACAAGAGATAGAAAAGAGGAGAAAAGAAGAAATATCTGCTATAAGGCAACGATATTTGTCGAATTCGTAATGTAATTAATGCTAATTATGACCTTTTACAGAGGCTAGCGCAGTTTTCATTATCAAAGAATAGTTATCAGGAATATCGCTAGGGCTAAGATTTGGAGCAATCATGCTTGGGATGTCTGCTTTTGTGATAGGACTGAATCGGGCTCGTTCTTGGGCTTGACAAAGCTCGGTGAAGTTAATTATAGGAGTAGAAGTGCCTATGAAGGGGAAAAAGGCTGTTATGAACATAACACTCTGAAATTCATCAGATAGTAAAATATCAAGCCCTTCATTGTATTCTTTTGACTGTGAAAATCGCTCTAGTAGCGTCATCGCAGCTGTTTTTTCATTTTTCACGTTTTCTAATGCTGCTTTACAGCTCGAAATTGCTTCCTCCATATCAACTCCTTTCATGACCCTAAAAAGTTCAATCGACAGATGTATAAGGCAATACAAGTTCGACAGCCCAGTGCTATTTATTTTGCTTCTTCTTCCTTTTATTATAGAATTAAATTGTGTTGTAAGGATTTCCAGATACTGCTCAGCTTCTTTAAATCTCTCAATTCTGCATAACACTAAAAAAGCTATAGAAGCATGGGCAAGCATTATATCGCCTGTATTGAGGGCTGTTGCCCTTCTTTTCATATCTTTAATTTCAAGGATAAGGCTTTCTGCATCATAAAGGAATTTTAAACTGCCTGTGTAGTCATCAATTCTATGTAAAAAATAGCCAAGATTGCAATAGACGAGGACTCTGCCATGTCAAATTCTATCTGATGAGTTGCCTTCAAAAAACATACAGACGTCAGTTTCAGCTGCTTTTAAAAGGATATAGAGAGCTGCGTGTAATAAATCAAATTGTAAAAAAATGATAGATACAGAGTTGCACATTGTTAACATTTGTCGGAAAGTTTTTGATATTTCGTTGCTACGGTAGCCAAGGAGGTGGGCAATTCGTTTGGTTTTGGCATCTAAAGCTTCGATTCTTTGTAAAACTTGAGGGATACTAACTTCGCCCAGCTTAAAGTAATCAAATCTATTTTTGGAAAAAATTATAAACACTTTAAGAGGAGTAAAATGTTTTTAAATAAGTCAAGCTTTTGATTATGATAATAAGATTTCAAGCTATTCTATTTAAATTTAAGCAAATTTCGCACCATTTATTATAAATTTTATAAATTACATGAGACTTTTCTTTACGCATATTTGCAAATGGGATTTTTAAATCAAAAGCTTTACAAAAAGGGAACTTTTAGAGGAAGCGAAAAAATTTTGATAGCTCTTAAATGGGATGGGGATTAAGGATTTGCTTTTTGGATTTTCCTTTGAGAATTCTCATTATTAATTGATTTTAATATAAGCATTAATTTATATCATCTCCAGGCAGCACTAATGACAAAACAACTGTTATGTCATCTTTCTTTCCGCCATTCCATTCTTGTCCCATTTTCCTCTTAACTTCATCCCCAAAAGGAGTGCTCGACCCTCCAATTGACTTCATCTTTGCCAAATTCGCAATATTGTTTGCAACTTCTTCTGGGTTAATTTCCCCTGTATTATAGCATCTTTCTACTTCACTCAAAATTTCTTCACTATACAAGTTATCCCATACTCCATCAGAGCCCATAATAACGATATCTCCAATTTCTACACTGATCATATAATCATCTGCATCATTAATTTTTTTTTTCTTTTACCCTAAAACACCCTCTTTATCAATTTCAGTCAAAAATATGTTTAAAATCCCTTCAGCTCATTAATATGATCACTAATTCCATTTTTTGCTTTTTTCTGGTCTTGCTCCCACTTCATCTGTTTTGCTGAAAATTTCCTAGACAGCTGGAACGGGGTGTTAAACGAATGCTGCTTTGCAGACGTTTGAAACAAGATTTTGCCCTTATTATTAGTGAACCTTATTATCATCAACCCACTGTCCCCTAGATTTGAAATATGGAGCTTTCTTCCAAAAATTGACGCCAAAAGATAAGTTGTGCTGCCTCCGCTCATGACCTGCGAATACGCTTTACTGACTATTTCTTTGCATAATTTTCTGGCATTAAAAGCTTTTTCTGATATATTTAAATCATTTAAATCAATATTTTGAGCGTATTCTTTGCAATAACTCATCAATTCACTCGCAAAATCCGCGCTAGAAATCCCAAAATCGCATAAGCAGCCTCCTACTCCGTCAGCGACTCCAATTACTGAAGGGGTTATAAAATAAGCGTCTTCATTAAAGTCAGGATGTTTCCCAATGCTGCATCCTCCGCTTTTGAACCGAAATGCAGAGCATTTCGGCATGCTGTTTTTAATCGGCCTGTAGATTTCAGTGTGGTGTGTGTTGAGCCTCGGGATATAATTCACCAAAATTCCTGATTTGTTAAGCCTTTTAGGGAAATCGTCAATAAGGAATTTAAAATCTTTTTTGACGAGGAGAAATTCAACCTCTGGTGCAAGCCACAGCTCAATGAAAAAGTCTTTTTTTGAAAGTGAATATGTCATCGGGATGCGATCTTCCCATGGCAACTTTGAAAAAGTCCCTATAATATAGACTGGCTCAAGGGACCATCCACGGCGAGCTGTTATTCGGTGAAGGAACTTTCCTTGGGCTTTTTGCAGTTTTGAGTGAAATAGTCTTAGACTTCTTTGAATTTTGCAAATAGAAAATCTGATATGGTCTTTCACCTCATCTAGAGAATCCATTTTAGCTGAGTAAGGAAAATAAATATCTTTAGCAGTATTCTTATTATTTTCTTTGGGGGAAGAGAGAAAATAAGTATGAGAGAAACGTTTATCACCGAAAGATTGGGCAGGGGCTTGAGCGGCTTCTTTTGATTTGATTTCAGCTTGGAGATTTTTGAGATATATATCTATTTACTATAAAAAAAATATTCCTGGTCATTTTTTTATTACTATATAAATTAGGACAACGGCAGCCAGTGTGAGTTTTTATATTCTCTATAAATGGCTGTAATTTTTTTCTTGCAAAAATATAATAAATAATTTTACCAAGAATAACGCTAAAGACTGTGTTGCCAATGTTTAGTCTTTACTAAAAATCCATAATGTGTTTAATAATAATGATTTTTGCCAGAATGATAATATTTTTAAATATATTAATCATGCATTTATAATAATATAGACAATTATTATTTGCATACATAAAACGTATCACTGCGCATTTTTGTTGCTCTCATCAACCAAAAGCATCCCAAACCTTTTGTTTTATAACACTCCTAAAAGAAGTCATTAATCTCCGAATTATTTTTAAATTTTTATTTGAATTATGTCAAAACCTCTTTCAAATGTAGGCACTCTCCTAACTCCAACCGGCGAACTAATTCTAAAAGAATCTTCACTTTCCACTTTAAATAAAGAACTCTTCGAAGGCAGCTGGGACCGAATCCTTCACCTTGATTTGCGTGGCAATGAAATCACCAATCTCCACAAATCCCCGATTTTCCATCTCACACATTTAAGATCCCTCGATTTAAGAGGAAACAAACTTGACATTCTCACTGAAGAAATCTCAGCATTCCAATATCTCAAGACCTTAACGCTTGACTCTAACCACCTCAGCACCTTGCCAATTGAGCTTTTTTCGCTCACATCTCTTACTTCATTATCATTCAGTAACAACTCACTGTTTTGCCTTCCAAAAGAAATCATAAATCTTAAAAAGCTGGAGTCCCTTGTCATTTCTGACAACCAAATCAAGGCGCTTCCTACAGAAATCGGCCAATTGAAGCATTTGCAAGTTTTGTATCTTCATGGGAACGACTATTCAGCCCTTCCTGTATCTATGGCTAGGCTAGAACAGCTTACAGAGCTCAGTCTGGAATGGTTTCGATACACATTTCCGCCTTTGCCAAGGATTCTTAAAGGGCATATTGGTGAGGCAATGATTGGAAGTTTACGATGTTTATTTCAAAAATTAGCTAAAAAAAAGCACCAAGAATGCGATTTGGCTCACTTTTTAAAGCATTTTAGTCAGGATGAATTTGATATTAATAGAGTGGATGCTAGGAATAGGAGTTTATTACACATTGCAGCAAGTAATGGAGACTGCGGGGTTATTCAGGGGTTAATTGATGCAGGCGTTGAGATAAATACTTTGGATAGTGAAGGGTTTTCACCACTTGTCCTGGCTTTGAAATCTGACAAAATTGGAGCGTCGAAATTGCTTTTGGAGTCAGGAATTAGTGTAAATGAAGGTGGAGGGAATATTGGGTCACCTATGCATTTAGCTGTTTATAAAGCTGAAGCTTGGCTGGTAAGGGCGTTGTTAAAAGCAGGAGCTGATGTAAATTCGAGGGATTGTGATGGAAACACTCCATTGCACATTCTGATGGGGGTTTTTGGGAAGCATAAAAGAAAATGCACACTAATCGCTGACATGCTGCTTGAGTCAGGAATTGAAGTAAATGCAGTCAATTACGAAAACTGAACAGCTCTACATATGGCCGCAAGAAGAGGACACTCTTCAGCTATTTTCTGAGCAATCAATCAAAATTCAAAGCTGCGAAAAGAAAACAAAGAGCCTTTCGACATAAATATAGTCGGCGGATCTCAAGAATGGACTCCTTTACATTTAGCGTCACATTCTGGGCATTTTAAAGCTGTCCAAGCTTTAATAGAAGGAGGCTGCGAAGTCTACATCAAAAACAAAGAAGGAAAAACCCCTAAAGAAACTTCTAAAGGAGATCTAGCTGTCTATAAGTTTATTGCTCAAGCAGAAAAAGAACAGCTGAAAAAGCAAGTCATGGCGAACTCAAAAGAAGAAATCAGCGCAGAGGTCACAGAAAATGAAGAAAAAGGCGACTATGAAATAGCAGCAGACTGTACGTTTCCATTGTGAAGAAGATATGAATGCTTATATAAACTTTATCAAGAAGGGTATAGTAAAGAATTAGAAAATCTTATATCAGAGCTGGAAGATGGGATTTTAAAAGTTGATGCTATTCATTTGTATGGGCAAACAAAAAATAGGAAATCTTCGAAACTTTTTAGAGAAATTATTAAAAATAAACAAAATATGGAGCTGGTAAGAAATGAAGCGGGGTATGAAAGGGAAGAGATGAGGGGAATTGAAAGTAAAGTAAGCCATGTACAGTCTTTAATTGGCCCGAAGCTGCTAAAAACAAATCCGTTGCAGATGTCATTGCCAGTAAATTTGTCGATTCTTATGGAAGAAGAAACGCGCAAAGATTCTTTGCTTATAATTTAGATGTAACATAGATTTTAATTTAAATTTGTGGATATTTGAGTTCAGCTCTGAAGACAAAGAAGCTTAAAATTTTTTTAATAATAAATTATATTCTTTGCTAATCTGTTTAAGAATTGTCAAAATTAGAAGATAAAAATTTTAAATAGATATTAAAAAAACATTATCAGTATTTATACATATTAATGCTAGGACTTTTATCTAAACATAGTTATCCCGATTTATTTTATAAATTTATGATATTTCATTTTTTCTAGTTAAGTCTAACTATTGTAAAAATATGCTAAATGAGATTAAAATACCTTTAATATACTCACTGCTTTAATTAATATCTATCAGTTTATATAATAATACCTAAATTTAGCCTTTCACGAGCCTAATAAAAAGTAAATAAAGCATTCTAACTACTTAAATATTATATTTAATGAATGGGCCTTTATCCTTAAATACAATAAACACCCCTTTTCAATCACCAGATGATATTCCTGAAGATAAATGTTTTTCTGATACCTTTCTTGAATCCCAAGATCTAGAAAATGGGTCAATTCAAAATCTCATTTCTCAAAGGGAATACGGACTTATCTACTCTTGGAATTCCTCTTGCTCCAATAAGCTCATCCCCAATACTGTATTAAATATTTAGTTTTTTTCAGAAAAAGCTGATTTTGATAGCTGAGCTTATAATGGGCAATTTTCACCGACCGGAAATATTTATTGCTGCACTTCTAAGCGGCAAATTAAGATTTTTAACACAGTGGATCCTTTTAACTGGACTCTTCAAAGGTTTCTAACGACTGATGACCCTTTTTGAGCATATACAGATATGGATATAAGTCCTTGTGAAAAATTTATCATTCTTTGTTCAGTTGATCCCAAACTTAGATTGGCCACAGTCGAAAATAACGCTACAAGCGATAATATGCATTTTGATAGTATTTCTTCTTATGATGAGGTCAATGCAGATACAGGAATTTTTAGTGTTAAATTCTCTGGAGACGGAAGCAGTGTTATTTTCAGCACAAATAGGAAGTCTATAGTACTTTATGATTTAATAAAAAGGCAAAATATTATTAACCTGCAAAAAGCTCATGATGATGACGTGAATTCAATTTGTTTTTTGGACCCTGAGAAGGAAAATATAGTAGTTTCAGGCTCTGATGAATCCTGCATAAAAATATGAGATATGCGATGTTTAAATTCTGATGGATCCGCGCATGGGGTGCTAATTGGCCATAGAGAAGGGATAACTCATGTAGCTCCACACTCAAATGGGATTTCTTTAATTTCAAACAGCAAAGACCAAACACTTAAATTGTGAGATATAAGAACTATAACAAGCCAAAAAGCCTATATAGATTTTAAAAGAAGTCACCGATATCAGACATATTTTGACTATAGATGGGAAGACTATCCTTTGAGAAACTATAGAAAACGACTCTCAGCTGATTCTTCTTTTGATGATTAAAATATAGCGACGTTCGAATTTTCTGTCTCCTTGACCGAAGATTCATCTCTTGTATATTTTAATTATAAGGTTTAGCTTCCCCTGGTGAAATTATCATAACTATGTCAGGAAACCTAAAGCCAAGTGGTTTTTTCTTTCGGGCTCTGACCTTAGTAATCGAATTTTCCAGAAGGGTAGCACCTACCACAGCCGGAAGAAAGTGAGAATTTAGGGTGTCAGGCAGACCCAAGTAGGGAATATATATAGGAGCTTTCGAAACCCAAATTTCAAGACTGGAGTCCTCCTCATGAAACAAGTCAAGGAAGCCATAGTTTTGCGGATTAGAAGAAGAGGCACAAATGCTCCAGACAGTTTTGGAGGTAGCTATGGCAGATGGCAACCTAGTAATTGACTTAAGCATAGTAACTAATATTTTATTTTGATTTTTCTTTATCAAATACGTAAAATGGTGGCCTAACCTCTTGATGCAATTTTCTCAATCTCATAAAAGGCGAATTTGGCGAGAACCCAGTCGAAATTCAGGTCATGTGCTTATGTACCGGTAGGTTTTGACTCAGTACCTGTTGTTGGAAAGAAGCAGCATGGCAATGCCATTCGGGCCACAAAGGTGGACTTCGCCATGATGCCAGGGGTTGCAGCATACTCCTAGGTATTAAGCTTTTTCTGCAGCTGCTGAGGGAAGGTGCCAAACACCCATCAGACTCCGGGCTCTTCCCAGATCAAGCTACTTCTCTAATGCACCCAAAGCAGTGCTTCAGAAATCCATAATCCTCCCAGTCAACACTGGAGTCCTATCAAGGAAATGAGGAGTCGTGCCTCCTTTTGCTCACTCATGCTACCCTGACGTTAGGCAGATTTAGAGAAGAAGAAAAGTAGTATACGAGCATTCTCGCCGGCGAATCATCAGATAAACACTTATTGATTCTTGACAAATGTGCAACCAATACAACTCTCGCCCATCTGCAAGTTAAAATAAGACGAACATTCTTCTTTGCTAACTTTTAAAAGGCACACTGTAAGAAAAACCTGCATAAAATGCTATTTTTCACCTTTATTTACAACAGGAAATCGGTTTATTTATTCTGGAAGCTGTGAAGGGAATGTGTATATTTTTGATTCTATAACTGGAAAGACTGTCAGAATTCTTGAAGATACTGTTAGAGTCCTCCCACCCGAAAAAAAATTGGTGAGAGACGTTTCATGGCATCCATTTATACCGCTTATTTGTGCTACTTCTTTTAGGAGGAAAATTCTTTCATACAGTTTTCTTTAGGAGACTATGCATTTCTTCTAAAAGAAAACTTTTTCTATAATGCTAAATTATATTATTATTTTTTAAGCAAAAAGCTTGCATTAAGACATCTATGAAGATCTAATTATAAGACATTTAAAAGAAAGAATAATCCAAGTTTTGTTCAAAAGTAACTCTAGCAGATAGTGCAAGCTGCTAGCCTAGTCCGTCCAGACTCTAAACTCTTGAAAATCACATCTCTTGATTAAGGATCCTCAAGAAACATATTGAATCCAATTAAGAGAGGTAGCCCTTAAGTGCTGCCATTTAAAATTATGTATTTTTATCATTCGGAATTTATCTTGAATAAGCAAAATATTCAAAAATAAAAATGAAATCTTTAAATTTAATTTCTGAATGAAAAACCGATGGCTAAGATTGATGAGCTTAAGCTTCGAATTTGAAGTTTTGGAATTCCAATTATATATTTTTATTAGAAAACTTTTATGATTTCACAATAGTCATACTCCATTAATTGGAGAGCATAATAAAATTTCTTTATCTATTTAATATTAAATGCATTAGATATCCTTTAACTGAAGGATCTCATCTTCTTTGAACTTGAATAAATTATGACAGCTTAAAAATTTAACTAAATGTGATATAGAAATTTATAAAATTTAAGCTAAATTATAAAAATAAATCCTCCAGAATGACTAAATTTTGAAAACTCTAAAAATAATTGAAGCTATGCAAAGTGACTAAATAGCCTTCATCATTCTCATAATTAAAAATTATTAGCTTAAATTAGTCAAATTTCAAGCAATCAAGCAATATTTGTAACAGCCGCTTGATTTAAATTATAAATTTACAAAGCAATAAACCCAAATGTAGATTTACCACCATAATTATTAAAATGAATTCTGTAGTCAATATTTCAGAGGGAAACGCAAAAGAAAAATTTTGGGTAAAATCGCAAGCAGCACGCACTATAAAAGCAAAGAATGAAATCTTTACTGATTATTTATGGGTTGTTACTAAATGAGGATTTTTAAAGCGTCAGAAATTTCTCCTTACAAAAAAAAAATTATATATGTATATGGAAAACGAATTAGAATTAATAAACTTAAATACACGTTCAGTAAGATGAAATAAACTAAATTTTAAGGACAATAGGGTGCTTAATTTTAAAAAAAATCCATATAATTGAGCGTGATTCAATAAGAATTAGACTAGATTTTTAAAAATGAAATTTCCATATGCTGGAAAACGGTTAAGCCATTTTATGAATCTTCAGACCAAAACCAAAGGTATGGATTTAATTTAAGCGAAGGACAACTTAATAAAGATTTTTATACAGATTCTTCTGTCCACTTAGACCAATGGCTTTTCCATTTATCAAAAATTGGGATCTGTAATGATATAGAAGACGATTTTGATTTTATCAAAAAAATCGGCCATGGCACTTTTTCTCTAGTTTATTTGGCTATTGACAAGAGCACCAACAAAGAATTTGCTATAAAAGCAATAAATAAATCTCAGTTTTCTAATCAAAATGAAGCTAAAAAAATAATTAAAAACGAAATCTCCATATTAAGAAAGCTAAACCATCCAGGTATAGCTAAGCTTCATAAAGTCTACGAATCTGACGGCTATGTCTATCTAGTTTTTGATTATCTTGCAGGCGACAATCTTTGCCAAAGAATCCGCAATAAAGGCCCTTACTCAGAAAAAGTTGCTGTAAAATTAATGTCAAAATTATTAAATATTTTGTCATATCTAAATTCAAAGGGTGTTATCCATAGAGATATCAAGGCAGATAATCTATACATTTTTATGAAGAATCACTATATACATAAAATGGCCGGAGACGAGCGACCCGTCCTTCCGTGGCGGGTGTCCTTATGTATACCGGACATGGTTTTTGGATGCGGAGAGCTACTCAAGGGGAGAGTTTGCCTCGACGCGAGTGGCCCAGCCCAATTTCCGCTGATTTTGGGACTTGACCCGGGCAGCAGTTTTTCGCATCTTTTTTGCCAGTAGCGCCGAGGCCCGGACTCGGTGTCCGAAAGAGGCAGGGTGAATTACCTGCCTAGGCTACTTGGTGGCTTAGCCCCGAATCCCGCAAGGGGTTGAGTTTCTTTCTTGAAGATGACCCGGGAAAGAGGGGAGGCGAAGCTAGACTAGAGAACTCAAGGGCGCAAGTCTCTCCAGTTAAAAGGGTCCTCTCACGAGGGCGATCTGGCCAACCCGGAGGCAAAGACTGGCATAATTCGGGGCGGAAGGCTGAGTTGGAAATGGTGGTGCCCGGCGACAGTCGGCTGACGACTCAATAGGGCAACCCACTACCGAGAAACGAGGGGTTTCAGCCTGGGCTCAGAGAACCAGTGATGGAAGTCCATCCTTTTCGCTCGTGCCAGCACGGGTCCCCAAGGAGCGCGGAGGAATGCCACTCATGGAAGTAGGGACTATAAATACACATCTTAAATCTAATCTAATCTAATCTTTATGAAGAATCACTCATTAAGGAGCATTTTGGTTAGCCAAATTTAAATTTGGTGTACCAACTAATTAGCCACGCCATCTGACCTCTAAAAAATATTCTGTGCTTACCCTAATAATATACTGATTTGCAACCTATTCATAGTAAATTAGTATAATACTAGTGTCCAACGAAAATGATGAAGATTTTAAACTGATTGATTTTGGGATTGCATGTAAAACTACAGAAAATATGGAAAATTCTTGTGGAACTCCTGGATATATCGCTCCTGAGGTATTAAGCCAAAGACCTTGAAGCCATAAAGCAGATATTTTTGGTGCTGGCATAGTATTTTATGCAATGTTGTCACAGCGGCTACCGTTTAGTAGCAAATCGGTAAACGAAATTATAACTTTTATTTCATCGTCAATATGGAATCTTACAATTAGCAAGGAGCCTCGATTCTTGCGAAGAATATGATTCTTATAGCGGCGAATCATGGTTTAATGCATAAATAGACGACGTCATGGAAAAAAAAAGTAGGCCGGCCATAAGGCCAGCCAACGGCTTTACGCCGTTTAAATAGCTAATTAAATGGTAAACGAAATTATTCGAAAAAATAGGGAATGTTCAATAGAATGCACAGGCTCAAGCTGAAATAATATTACCGCACAAGCTATTGAAACTCTTCTGAAACTTGTACAAAAAGACCCAACTCGTCGACCTACCGCTGATGAAGCATTGAGGTTACCATTTTTTACTGCAAATTTAATAAATTCTTCTTTTTCATCTTCTAATAGTCAAGATAGAAAACAGAAACTAAAAAGAATGAATTGCATGAGACGTAGCAACATTGTATAAACATTAATATTTAATATAAATATTTGAAATATAAATTCTGATTATTTAATATAGAATATAAGCCTTTTTTGCCTAGGCTATAACTGATTTTGTTAATTAGAATCGCAAGTGTAAATTATTTTGATTTTTTGTTGGCTTTAGCAATGATAATTTTAAATATTTCACTTTTATTTCTTTATTTATTTATAATATACAAAACCTATATAATTCTGCTAGCTAACACTCCATGCCATTATTACAAATTTGACAAGTTCATTCCATTAATAAAGACTATTTGCTTAAAAATAGGTCAGTTCCAATAAGTAAAAAATTAAATCAAATTATGCATATTTGACTTTTGTTTTCCAAAACTTTCTTTTTTCTAATAAACTTGAACTTACTTCCCCAACCTTGATCGAGCTATTCCATTGGAATTGGAAAAATTAGCAGTGATCTAACTTTTACATATATAGTCAAGCATGAACCTACACGAACTAACTACCTATGTTTATTAGTAGCAAAAACCTTTGAGATTACGCTAGATAATCGCTTCTACACAATTCTCATATGAGTCTAGCATATTTGTCAATATATTGCATACTCCATGAATAGTGCATAAAAATATATTGTATGAAAATATTTTTTCAAAAAAAATTTCCCCCAACTCCTATCCTTGATTGGACGATTGCGCTCGGTTTATCAAGGATGGGGGAATTAGTAAAATGGGCGCAGGCTGCTGCAGCAGATCCGTTGAACAAAATGAAGATTTATTAGCCAAAAAAGACTCTACAGAAAATTCCACTGATACCGCACCTCCAGCGAAAATCACTCAAGGCTACATTTCAATCGCAAATCGCTTCAATAGCACTCATGTAGAAAAAGAAGCACTTTTTGGTGTTGGAGGTCTTGAAAATCTAGGGAAAACTTGCTTTGTGAACTCAGCATTACAGTGCCTTTCAAACTGTCAGCCTCTCACTGATTATTTTTTATCAGGGGTGTATGAAGACGAAATCAATATATTCTTTTTTCTATAAATAATAGGTTATTTATATTGAATTTTGCTTAAATAATCAATTAATTATAAGCAATTGCATAATCCGCATGGGACTCAAGGTGAATTAACCCTTTCTGTCGCAGAAGTAATAACAACCCAATGGATAGAGTCTTATGACTGCATTGTCCCCAAAAACCTGGTCGAGACCATATACAAATATGGATCACAATTTGATCGTGAAACTGAACAAGATGTGCACGAATTCCTCTCTTTTTTGCTTGACAAGATGCATGAAGACTTAAATAGGGTTGGAAAATCGCCAATGCTAAACGGCTTAAAGATTTCTGGAAATAGTGAAGAGCTCTTACTACACACGTCCTTGACTGAACCGATTGGTATTTGTTCGATCAACGACAGGGGTTAAACAGATTTTTGGTGAAAAAATATATAACTTATTATCCTAATTTTATTTTAAATTATTATTAAAGATAAATTTAAGGAGGTTTGGGAATAGGGCTCTTTTTTTATATATTAAAATCGTTTGATCAAGGACGGGGTTTTTCTTCCAATTTTTGGAATTTTCAATGGCATTGCTCGACAAAGAAGGGGACAGTTAGCAGCAAAAGCTTGGCAGGATCATTTAAAAGGAAATTCTTCAGTAATTGTGGATCTTTTTCAAGGCCAGCTAAAATCAACTCTGGTATGCCAAGAATGCTCTTATCTTTCTAGAAAATTTGACGTGTTTATGTATCTAAGTTTACCATTAACCAAATTGACGGGAATGATAACCCTTCAAGAATGCTTAAATGAATTTACTAACTCATTATCCACATTAGAATTGTTTACAGGCAATTATACGATATAATCTCTATGATTCATTATCATTAAAAATAGTTAGATTTATATAGATAATGGAGCCGATTTACTTTTGATCAATAGAATAGCTCATTAAGGATGAGAATTTCTGCTCCTAATCGCAAATAAATTGTCATGGTGCCTTTCAGTCAAGGATGGGAGTAAGGACGAAAATTTGGAAAAAGGCTGGATTTGTCCACAATGTGAAAGGCCTGTGGTTTCTAATAAAAAGTTTGATATATGGAAAGTCCCACCTATTTTAATTATCCACTTAAAAAGATTTAAATATATTCAAGGAAACTTCGGCAAAAATAAAGCCTTTGTTGACTTTCCTGTATCCTTTCTAATATTATATTTACCTATATCAATCTTATTTCATCTCTATCCCATTTTTATCCAAAAATAGCATAGTTGGCCTAGATTTATCCGGCTTTGTATCTAGTGAACAAAAAGAACCACCAATCTACGACCTTTTTGCCAAAATCGACCACGAAGGCAAGCTCAAAGCGGGCCACTACTACGCAGTCGCCCGCAATTGCAGAGACAATAAATGGTACAAATTCGACGACGAAGACGTCTGTGAAACCGAAGAGTCCGAAATTGTCAATGATAAAGCTTACCTCTTATTCTACCACAAATCCTCTGTAGGGGAATTCCACCGCCAAAGCAAAAACATGCCTGACTTGTGGCCTCACATTATGAAGAACTTAGAAAGGAAAAGGAGGATGACTTATGATATGGGAGAATCAGCACCACCCTCAGTGGGATTCAAAAAAGAATTATTTGCAGTTAAAGAAGAAATGGAAGACAGCCAGATGTTTACAAGGATCTCAAGGAAATAATTCCGGATTTTTGGTAAATTCTCTAATGCAAACTGGTATGTAAATTTAATATGGCTTGCTGGAGTAAAATTCGTCGGGGTCTATTACAAATCTTTTGGATTGGACTTGGGGCTGGGAATTTACTTTAGGGCTAGGCATTGAGTATTTTATTGCATCTAATTCTTGTAGAGCTGTTGCCAGGCTAGTTCTGGTGTTTTCGTCGTCTTTTTTGTAGGTGTACCCGATGAAGTTGTTGTCCTTTTTGGATTTTCGCTTTTTGGCAGCTTCTGGAGGGTAGAAAGGCTCGGTTTCTTCAAAATTGTCGAAGTGTGCTGTGTCTCATTCGTTTCTTAGCTAAATGAAAAATACCTCAGGAACCCATGGAACTCGTGTGTTTCTTATGCTTTCCCAATCAATTCCTGCGAAAAATGGGTGAGTCTTTATTTCTTCAACTCCTCTATTTCCTAGCCTATTTTCTGCATCACATACAAGTTTTCTAATTAAATCCACTGTAGAATGTCTCAAATTTGCTTCTCTTGGAATTACAAGTGTTTTTTGCCAATGAAGAATTTTTTGGCAAGTAATAGAAGGTTCGTCGGAAAAAAATGGAGGGTATCCAACAACCATTTCAAATAAAATGACTCCTACACTTCACCAATCTATTGATTCCGTGTAGCCTTCTTTTCCAAACACTTCCGGCGCTATATAATCAGGTGTCCCTACAGTGGAATACGCTAGTGCTCGGTTTCTCCTAAAATCGCTTTTCCTCTCTATATACTGTTTATTTCTCGCATCTTCTTCAAGTTTACGCAAATTTCTATAAGGGTTATCAGTTTGTATTTCGCTCAGTTTACACAGACCAAAATCAGACAGTTTTATGTGTCCTGCACTATCAATTAATACATTGTCAGGCTTTAAATCTCTATGAATATAATTTAATTTGTGGCAAGAATCAACAGCTAAAACCATTTCCGCAATATAAAATTTTGCTTCATCTTGAGGCAAAATGTCTCTCTTTATCAGAATATTCATTAAATCGCCACCAGCAAGATATTCCATAGCAAGATACAGATATTTGTCATCTTGAAATGAATATTTCAGCTCAACGATCCAAGGATTATTTGCCTTGGCCAAGACATTTCTTTCAGCTCTGACGTGTTGGACTTGATTTTTCCTGACCATTTCAGACTTATTCATTTTTTTCAAAGCTAATATTTCACCTGACAATTTGCTTCTAACCACCCTTACCTCGCCAAATGCGCCTCTTCCTATTATTGCAATTGGTTCAAAATCAAAAATTGAAATCCGCTTTCGAGACTGTCTCAGCTGCTCTGCTTCTTTGTGCAGGATTTCTTGTCGGATTATTTCTTGCTCAGTCGTTGATAGGCTTAGTTCGTTCATTTTTTGGGCTAATTGATCCCACCCTTCGCGCTTTTCTGATTCTATTTGTTTAAGTTTGGAATATTTCTGTTCAATAAACGCTTTTGCTGCTTCTGCCCTTTCTCGTGCTGATGATGAAATCTGTGGCCTTTCACGTACTTCAGCTTTCCTGGGAGTGAGCCTTTGTTCCATTATTTAATTTAGATTTTGAGATAAAAATCAAACAGAATATGAAATCATATTTTAATAAGAAAAAGGCGAAATTATTATTTAGGGTCTTAAAATAAGGCTGAATATTAATGAAAAATCTAATAAATCCTTTTAAAATGATTATCTTTTGGCGCTCAATGGTCTGATTTTTTTATTCGTAAGTGAAGTATTCATCAAACTTTTTTGGACTTCTTTACCTAAAACTACATTTAGTGGCGCTTTAAATTGTCTGGAGTCGCTAGGAGACCCTTCTTCAATTACTTTTCTGAAGTGAAATTGTTCGTGAGTATCAATAGAAAAGACTTCGCTGCCGATATCATATTCTCCATTTCCTATGTAACTGAAGTCTGTTGTCTTAGCTCCAGTTTCAGCTTTATATAATCTTCCGTCCCTTCCTAAAACATGAGGCTGGACTGGAGCATAATTTGCATCTCCTCTTCCACATGATAAGCAGTTGCTGGGCAAATAAGTTTTTCTGCCTACTAAAGCGAAGCCTGATTTTTGACTCATTTCTGAAATGGTCGCTTGGAGCTTTCTAAGATTTGCTAATAAGTTTTCTAACTCTTTTGAATTTTTAGCTGTTTCTCGTTCGATTTCATTAATTTTAAATTCATGAGATCCCAAGCCAGTTTTAAGCTCATCATCATTAGCTTTAGTATTAACAAGCTTCTTTAAAGAGCTTACATCTGCTAATTTTCCTAATTTTTCAACTCTGGCTTCTAAATTTTTAATTTGTTCAATGACTCTTTCTCTAAACTTCCAGAATTCATTCATATCAATTTTTTCTTGAGCTACAGGAGGATGGTCTTTATTCATATTTTTCGTTAAAAATTCTTCAATCATACTTTTATCAACCTTTTTATCAATATCATCTTTTAAATGGTTAATAATTTGTTTCAATAAGTCAATATCGTCTTCTAAGTTACTATTTTGTGGAATCATATTTTTAAGGTCTCGAAATTTTTCTTCAAATTTGTCAATTCTTATATTTATGTCGTGGAATTTCCCATGAAATTCAGTTAAATTTATAGATTGAAGGATTGATTTTATTTCGTCGATTTCTCTAATACAAACTTCTTTATCGCTTTTCCTGTTTAGGAGTTCCTGTAAGTTTTTGATATCATCTTTTAAATTTTTGAATTTTCCTAAAGAATCATGCTCAAATTTTTCAGTTTCTTTTTGCAAATCTTTGATAATTTTATCATATTTCGACATACTTCCTTCGTTAAATTGGATTAATTCTCTTTTTATTTTGTCTTCAATCCCATGTATGGCATCATATACAAATTTTTCATTGACTCTAACTTTTAATAGCTCTTCGCAATCCTTTATTTTCCATAGAGTATTTAATTCTAAGTCAGCCAATTTCTTTTCAAGCTCCATTATTTTTTCTGCCAATTTTCCATCATTTTGTGCCATCTCGATTTGGAGTTTTTTCAATCCATCTTGGGTCTAGCTAATTTTTACCTCTTTTTGTAATTTCTTTTTTTTAGCCTTAACGAAAGATTTCACAAAATTAATTGTGGCCTTTTGACTGAGATCTTCATTAATATTTTTTACATTTTCTTCAGTTATCGCTTTATATTTATTCAAATCTCTGACGTTTTCACTCAGAATTTTGATTTTTTCGAGACAATATTGAATAGAATTATTTCAATCATCGCCATGTGCATGCTTCCTGACTTCTCCAAGCTCATCATTAATTGATCCACCAAAACCTTTAAAAATATCAATTAATTCTGTAGTAGTGACTCTGCTTCTAATTTCTTCAGTCAAAGTGCTAAGAATCATCCCATGCTGATTAACTGTTTGTGATACACTATTAAGAAAATCCTGAATAAAAATAACCTTTAAATTATCGAAGTGCAAATCAAAGCTAACCAAAGGAGCTGATGGAAGCTGTGATGGAGTCATATGTTCAGTCTCAACCTTGGATATTCTGCTTGAAGTGTAACTTTTAGTTTCTGTCACCCTTAAATGAGAACTTGACATTTTTAACAAAGAATTAATTAAATGGGAAGCTGCGAATGCAGAAGTAAAAATATTGTCGCCAATACTTTTATATCAGAAAATACTATCTCTTTGAGAGAATTTTCTATGAGTACAAATTTAAATATAAAAAAGCGAAACTCACTAAGGAGATTGTCAACAAGGCAAAGTGTAAGTTTAGAATTACCGCATCCTTTAATGGTTTCTTCGATTCAAGTGAATATTGATGCTAATACAATGTGAGTTTCTGGGTGCATATTACCTGGGGTTTATATAAACAATTTAGATCATAATAAATGCCAAGATCATGCTCTTATATCAATAAAATCTGATAGTATTTTGGGTGCTGTGTTTGATGGGCATGGAGAAAACGGTACCAAAATTTCAAATTTTTGTGGAAAAGTGACAAGTAAGTTTCATATTTCAACTCAGCAATATCAAGTATTTTTCAATTAGAACGACCCTTTTGATTTTCTGAAGAAAATTATTAGCACCTGCGATATTAAGTTAAAAAATCCAAAATCATTCATCGATGTTACCACCTCAGGCTCAACGGCTGTACTTTGACTATTTTATAACTCAACTTTTTATATAGCTTCTGTCGGTGATTCTCGGGCTGTATTAGCCACCAAGCAGCCTCCAGTATCATTTCCAGTCAAAGCCTGCCCATTAAATGAAGAAAGACGACTCCAAGAAAATGCCTATGCTAATAGAAATGTAACTCCTGAAACCAAAATAATCCCAGTCCAGCTCTCAAAAGACCAGAAGCCAGACGACTCTGAAGAGCTTACAAGAATTGTGGAAAGCGGTGGAAGAGTCCAAAGACTGACTGACAAGAATGGGCAAAAAATCGGTCCTTATAGAATATGGGAAATGAATAATGATGAGCCAGGACTTGCAATGAGCAGATGTATTGGAGACAAAATTGGAGAAAAATTAGGGGTGATTTCTAAGCCAATTTGCTATAGCATGCCTTATAATAAAGGTAGTGACTGTTTTGCTATAATTGCAAGTGATGGGATATGGGACGTATTTTCAAACCAAGATGCAGTGAATTTTGTAGAGTTTTATAGAGAAAAATGCAAAAAGGGGATTGATGGATGGAGTGGGAATACTTTGACTAATCCAGGAAATAGCTGCATTGCACATTTGCTGTGTGAAGAGGCGAGGACACGATGAATTTCAATTGTGGAGGAGGAAGCTTCGAAGATTGATGATATATCGTGCGTGATTGTGGAATTTGAGAATGGGGATGGAAAAATAATTACAAATGAAAACGAGCCTGAAGCAGGCCAATAATCATATTTATAGTTTTAATACACATATTATAAGCTTTATATTAGATATTTGATTAAATCAATTTCTTAGCTAATTTTTATTATTACTAAACCACGGCCGTCATGCGATGAGTCATTAATCATTGTAAGCTCTTTATTGACTGAGCTAATAAATTTACTATGGGCATTGCTTTATTTTTAATAATTTTTGAAAGTTTTGTATTATAGTTGTTGATTTCAATTTGAATGAAAATGTTTTAAGAGTTCTTCGATATCATTCTTTGAATCAAGTAAGCACGAGCTAAAGGATGCCATGATATTTTCATTCGGTTTGCTATTTTCGAATCTTCTCTTGAAAGAAGCTTAAGTATTGCTTCTTTTGTTTCTCTGCATGGATCGATAAAAATCGAGTCAAAAACATGAGCTGTATTGGAAAGCTTCATATGCTTCTTGAAATGCAAAGTGCAGGACAGAGCTCCAGGAGAAGTGCATTGCCACGCATATTCAACCTCATGGTTCCTTCTGGCTCGAAAATTTGCATAAGCTCCATTAATTATATCTATACCTTACTCCCCCCCTCGAAGTTCGACCAAGATATAGGGAAAATTCCTATTTTTTTTGGAAAATTAACCCCCCTCAAAGTTCGACCAAGACCTATATAAATTTACTAGGAAAATAAGCAACTTTTCAAAAATTATAAACTATGTGGGGGTGAGCTTGCGATTTTTGTATTCAAGTTCTAAAAAAGCGTTACAAAAAACCATCTTGCACTATTTTTTCTAACCCTTACACCCTCTCAACCATACAGAAGAATATGATAAATTTTTTTTTTTAACTACTAAATTATATAAAAAAAAATTCCTATATAATTTTTTTTAAAAAAATTTTTCTTAACCCCCCTCGAAGTTCGACCAAAAAAATCTTGGTCGAACTTAGGGGGGGGAGTTAGCAGCTTGCTAGTTTTAAATTCTATTGAAAATAATGAAAAATCGTATAATTCATAATCTAAATACTATTAAAAATAAACTATCACAGTGAAGCTCTCAACAGATTAATTTTATGAACAAATACGAATAAATAACTTGATATATCATATTAGAATATAATATTTATTGAGAACTAATAATATAAACAATTAATTTCCTAATAAATAAAACAAAATTTTGGTAATAAATTATTCACCTTTATTGAATACTTTTTACAAAATCATTCATCTCTGATTTATTGCCAATCACTACTGTAAGTCTTTTTTGTTTTGTACCTGCAATAGCTTTTTCTAGCTCTGTCACAAATTTTGATGGGAGTACCCACAATTCTTCATCTCCATTTGCTCTTTGAATAATAACTTGGTCCATTGATTCAGATAATGTATTCGTTGAAGCCCAAACTTCAAGACTGGCTTCCTCTTTTGGTGGCCCTAGGAAAATGGCACGAAATTCACCCCAGAGCGGTATTACAGGTAGCTGTGGTCAAGCAGCCTGGTATACTTCTTTTCTTGGAGTGGCGCTGCAAGCGCAGGCCACTCCATGCGGAATTCCTGTGTTGGTTTAACCAACATAGGAGTTGGTCGAGCCAAAACTGTGCGTTGGTTCGACCAACCCATGAATTCCGCATGGAGTGGCCTGCGCTTGCAGCGCCACTCCAAGGAGGTTTCTATATTTGACGTCAAATGTGTATAAATTAATTAAGACTCAGATAATGTAACTTCTTTTATATCTTTTAGCTCAAGTCTTGACTCTATTTTGTATTCTACATTCAAACAGTAAAGTGCCATGTCTGTAAGCAAAGCGATACAGTCTAATTCTGCTCTTCTGTTTGTGAGTCTTCTGGTTTTCCTATGAAAAACTATATTTTCCCCTATCCTTCCATCTCCAATTATAGCATTTGAAAATTTTATCATTTCATCAGCCAAATTCGACTGAATCGTCATTTGGCTCATTGAATTGAATTTACTTTTCAAATTTCCTAATGATGGATTTTTCAATATTGGGACATACCTTCTCATGAGATGCTGATATACAGATTCAACCCCTTTGATGACCTCTATTAAATTGCTGCAGGATATCCATAAATCCCCTTGGAGCTCAGATTTAACCAGATGGAATATTGCATTTGTTAAGGATTTTTCTGTTGAGATTAAGCTGATATTTAATAAATTGATTCTTCTGTTTAGGCTGCTGATATCTTTGCTGCTCACAATATAAATTGCGTGAGACGTTAACAGAAGTCTCATTTCCTTCGTGTAATTTGATGATTCATGCAGCACAATGTCTGCAAAACCATCAAAAACTTCTTCTTGGTCTTCTGGAATTTCACTTTTATAAATATTTAAGAGAGTTAATATCTTTTTTCTGTCTGCTTGAGGAAGCGATTTTGCCTGCTCTAAAAAGTATTCAAGCTCTTCAGAGGACTCGTCTAAGATTGTCTTACTAAAATCGTTAAAAGACATAGATTTTCGATGATAGAACGAGTCTGATAACTCATCATTTGATGGAGCCTCAGTAATTGGCGAAGGTAATTTCTTAAGCGCATTTTGCTTACTATCCTCTATAAGTGAGTAGAGCCATTGGGAAAATCCCTATTTTTGCCTAAAAACCCCACCCTCCGCAGACGAACAAAAAATTTTTTATGAAAATTTTTGATATATAAGTGATTTTTAGTAACATGAAATCTCTAGCTTATTCTGTTTACTTTTAGCTTGCATTTTAAGCATAAATTTCACACCTAAATTAATATTTGCTTCCATTTTTGCGAATTAAGATTTTTTTTTAAATTAATAAAAAAATTTTACTATAAATATTTATATAATTTTTTAAAACAAAATTAACTCCGAACAAAATATTTTTGTTCGTTCTCGGAGAGGGAGTTAGGGGTTTCTAGTAATTCTAAGGGAAAAGAAGATGCTGTAGTTTTATGCCTTTTTTTAGTGTTTTTTGTGTCCTTCGAAGAATTAGATTGAAGCCATATGTCATCAATTTCTTTTTTAGGTTTTTGCTTTTGTAGTTTGCGTGGACTCGTTTTACCACTTTTTATTGAAGTCATTGTAGATTTTTTACTAACTCCCCCCCCCTCCGTGAGTGAACAAAACCATTAGAAAAATCCCTATTTTTTGCCAAAAAAACCCACCCTCCGTGAGTGAACAAAAATTTTTTTAATAGAAAAATTTTTTATGGAAAAAAAAATTTGATATCTAAATGATAATTAATATAATGGAATTTAGAGCTAATTCTGTTTAATTTTAAATGAATTGCTATTTAAACGTAAATTTTATAAATTAAATTAATATTTGCTTTCCAATTTTTGTGAATTAGGATTTTTTTAAATTTCGAAAAAAAAATTTTTTTTAAAAAATTTATATATAAATTTTTTAAAAAAAAAAATTAACCCCCCTCCGTGAGTGAACAAAATTTTTTTTGTTCACTCACGGAGGGGGGGGGAGTAAGTTCTCTCGAAGGAGAACGGCTATGTGGTTTAGATATTGATTCAGATTTTGGACGAATACGACTTGTGCAGCAGTAATTTCCCATTATATCATTATAAATAATTTCATTTAATTAATTTCATATTCACCTGAAGTCAGTAGAGCCCATTTAAATCCTAAATTACACATAACTATGCTTAATTAATAATAAGATTTACTTACTTCTTGCATTTGAAGGCTTACATTTATAACTTTTATTTTATTAAAGGATTCTAATCTAATTATATTAAGAAGTGCAACGGCTTAAGAATGCCGTATCTCTTTATTTAAATAAAATAGGGTTTATTTATTAATTATAAAAAACATTTTAATTTATTAATAAGTTATTAATCATGTACATTTGTGACAATTTAATAATAAAAGTCGCTAAAATAAAGATTTTACATTCTAAATATATATGTATTAACCAATAAAAAACTGTATTAAATAAGCAAATTAAAGGTTCTCATTCAGTTTTTAAAATAATTAGATTACTTTAATTATAAAATGATTTATATTGAGATCAAACCAATAAAATATAATATGCTTAATTTAATTTTACAAAGATTTACGACTATTTCTCATAATAAACTTACGTTTTCTAGCTCTACTACTCTGTAAATTTTCTAATATTTTTTCTATATCAGACTTCATATCTTTATCAGAATCTTCAGCCATTCTTGAAAAGCTCGTCGGGGCATTTAATTTTCCAATCATATTTGGTGTCAGCGGCACTATCTCTTGGTCACTAATTAAATTTCCTAAAGCTCTCCTAGATATTGATGTAGGCCTCCCATAATTTCCTGCCTGTATTGACCTCTCAGTATCAAAATTACTAAAATCATAATCAATTCTCAGTGATTTTTTGCATTTACTAGTTTTTATTTCTGTTCCTGAGATAAAAGATGGCCTTGGATACAGTTTATAACATAATTCAAATCCCTTCGAATAATTTTTCGGGCTATTTCCTCTCGATTGGAAATTAGATATAATAGGTGTAAAGATTTTTTCATTATGGCTGCTTATTTTGTGAGACGGTGAAGGATTTCAAAAATTAATGACTGAATTTGTCCTTCCTAGCTTTTTACGGATAAATTTTGTTTTTTCTTTTGCTTTCGGCTTTGGATTTGTTATTTGTAGTAGAGAAGGCAAAGAAGAATTGCTTTTTTTGTGTAAAGATACTGTTGACTGGTTAAGAGATGAAGGTTTCCCGTATGGTTTGTAATACATTGTAAAATTAAATATTGATTATACTGATAAGGAAGAATTTAATAGATGTTTTAGGGAGATATATATGATCCCTTGCATAAATTTCATTTTGCTTAATTGTGGTAAATTGATTTTAAAATGTCAAAAAAATTTTAACATACCATAGACTCAGTTTTATATATAATGATATGTCAAAATCTTTTTGACATTTTAAAATCAACTTACCATAAATAAGCAAAATAAAATATTACCAGTGCATTATAAGAGATTATCATAATGGTATTTTATATAGAGATGCATAGCTGTGTTTTTACTCAGCTTTGCTGGATCCTGACATTTTTTAAAAAATCAGTCGGAGGTTTTGATGATAATTTATAATTTGCCATATAATATGAAGAATTAGCCAGCCGGTTTTCCTAATGATTTATATTTAGTTAGAAAAATTGTGTGAAGCTTAAATTAATTTAAATTTTAAACTACAGCCCGTTCCCAGCTATAGATCGGGCTTAGCTCGATCTTTGCCGGGAAACTGGAGGGGTTGTCCACGTCACCTTTAGGTGACGAGTCAACTCCCCGAGTTGGCAAATCACCATATAGCGGCTATTTGCCATCTCGGGGAGTTGACTCGTCACCTCAAGGTGACGTGGACAACTCCCCGAGTTTCCCGGCAAAGATCGGGCTAAGCCGATCTATAGCCGAGAACGGGCTATACTTACTCCCCCCCCTCCGTGAGTGAACAAAAAAATTTTGTTCACTCACGGAGGGGGGTTTAATTTTTTTTTCTTAAAAAAATTTCTATATAAATTTTATAAAAAATTTATATAGAAATTTAAAAAAATCCTAATTTGCAAAAATTTGAAAGCAAATATTAAGTTAATTTATAAAATTTATGTTTTAAAATGCATTTCGTTTTAAAAAATTAAACAGAATTAGCTCTAGATTTCATTATATTAATTATCATTTATATATCAAAATTTTTTTCCATAAAAAAATTTTTTTTGTTCACTCACGGAGGGTGGGTTTTTTGGCAAAAAATGGCGATTTTTCTAATGGTTTTGTTCACTCACGGAGGGGGGGGAGTTAGAGATGTCTATTATATCTCCTAGCTTATTCACACAAATACTTCCAAGAGATGGCCTCAGTTTTTCAAGTTCTGCCATAAAATCAAGCTTATCAAGGTCATTTTCTTGTTCGTCTTCTGAATCTGGAGGCGTCAAAATTTTAGATGCTTCTTTCTTTTGTTTTTTCCTCAAGGCTAATTTATGCTGATTTATATTGATTTTAAAATTAAAAAAAATAATTGTTAATAATGAAAATTTATTTTAATAAGTATATACAGTACATTGAGCATTTTCTGCAGCCCTTACAGCACAGTTTTTTAGCACCTTTCTCTATTAAGAAACCAACAAAATTAACATGTCCATGCTCAGCAGCCTAATTTAATATTACAATATGTAAAGCTGTTTTGCCCGCAGAATCTGTTAAGTTAAGCAGAGCACCGTGAGCTATTAGGACCTGAGCACATTCTAATGACCCACTCTCAGCAGCTCGATGCAAAGGTGTCGCAAAATCAACTTCTGAAATTACGTTCGCATCGACTCCAGATGTGATTATACCTTTTTATCTTATTTATGCTTCAGCCATAGTTATTAAATAAAAATTAAATTTGGATTTTTCGAATTTAATTTAGAAGAAAATAAATTACAAAGTTCATCTTTATTACGTTGAATTGCATATTTGTGAGGTAAAGGATCAGATTTTGGTTTAGCAGAAATATTTTGGATGCCTCCACAACAAGGACAGCGGGTAACAGAGGTTTGTGCGTCCTGGTCCATATTAATACAATACAAATTTTTTATCCTAATGGGGATAATACATTAACCTTTTAATATAAATAAAATTAAATAAGGTTTTTTGATGTCAAAGATTATTATTTATAGGAATTAAATAATATTAATATTTTAATTTGGAGAGTAAGCTTTTATGAAATTTATAAGCTTTTTTTTAAGGATTTAAACAATAATTGCAATGAAAATCAGTTTCAAGCCATTTTTACTCATAAAGGACTTATAAGAAAGAGGATGATCCAAAATTAAAATATAATTGATAAATAAAATTTTGTTAATTACTTTAAATAAAAAATTAAATCTAAATAGAAATTGCTTACTCCCCCCCCCCCCTCCGTGAGCGAACAAAACCATTAGAAAAATCGCCATTTTTTGACCAAAAACCCACCCTCCGTGAGTGAACAAAAATTTTTTTAATAGAAAAAATTTTAATGGAAAAAAATTTTGATATATAAGTGATAATTAGTATAATGAAATCTAGAGCTAATTCTGTTTAATTTTAAACAAATTGCGTTTTAAAACATAAATTTTGCAAATTAAATTAATATTTGCTTCCCAATTTTTGCAAATTAGGATTTTTTTAAATTTCGAAAAAAATATTTTTATAAAAATTTATATATAAATTTTTTTTAAAAAAAAAAAATAACCCCCCTCCGTGAGCGAACAAAATTTTTTTGTTCGCTCACGGAGGGGGGGGGGGGAGTTAATACTTTCTGAAAAATTCTTATACCCCTTATAATCATTTATAAAATGGACACTAGCCTAGAAGCTCACTCCCCTTCTTAAACTTGTAACAAAATATCTACAAATTCTCATTTTAGGGTTAAATTAACCTCTTTAAATTGGGGCAAAATTGAGTTTTTCAAACGAAAATTTTATAATTAAAATAACCATGCCTATATAATAGCTTCAACCTAATTGATGGAGGGAACTCAAGTATTCTATTATCTAAACAGTTAGAGCATTGAATTGATTTTTTTTGAATTAATTCATCATAAAAATAAATTTAAATTTGAAAATATTACATTACATTTATCCTTTTAAAAAAATTAACTTCCTTTAAATAGGAACAGATTTTCTTAATTCAATTTAAAGGGGGAGTCAGCATCGTGCTTTACATGCCAAAGTTCAAGATAAAATTGCATCTATCAGTGGCTGTGGCCAAATCTACACTATTCCTCCTTATTATTTTTTGCCTGAAGATGAAATAAAAGAAATAAATACCCCTCAAGAATCCGAGGATGCCATGATCAAATTATTTATAAAAAACATACTTCATAATGAAAACAACGATCTTCCCCCATTTCTTCAAGAATTGTCCTCCCTAAATCCTGAAGAATTACTATCAAAGCTTTTAGAATTCTATACCAAGTATAAAATCCCTTGTCACAATTTCAAAAAAATTAGAAATTTCTATAGAAAACCCTAAATAATGTATTAGTTTTTATTTTTTTCTCTTTCTTCAACTAATTTAATAAACCCAACAAATAAGCTACCAAATGCTTGTATAGCTGGGCTTTGGCTTAAACCTAATCTATGGTGCTTTGCCGAAGAGCTTTTTGAATTTTTATAAATTAAAGTTACTAGTTAAACTGACCCTAAGCGGGCATGTCCACTCCTCTCGGCTCCAAAAATACAAGCCTCAATCGAATTCTGAGTCAAATGAAGAAAATGGAAGGTCGCCATTTTGGATTTTCCAGTCTGAACCACCTGTCTAAGGGATCAGCTCCCTTGATCAGAGCCGCTGTCTGTAGGGTACCATAAAAGGAAGGCCATGCGTTAGGCAAACCTGTCTAGCCAATCTAGTAGGGAGGGAAAACCTTTGGTAAAACAAAACTTCCCTTTTCGGAAGTCTTCCCAAGACCTGAAGACTACTTCAAAAGGGACAGAGGCACTGTTTTCAGCTTCATTAGGATAGTTCCAACCTGTTCCATAGGAAGTATGCTTCGGAGTCCATTTCCATCAACATCACCATTTTATTTTCGAATTTTTAAAAGGAATCTGCAAGACTGCAATAGTGTGATTTTTCTTTGTTATTGGAATAAAAAATAAAGGTAAAGTCACCTCTAAATCGCACGCTGAGTTAAATCTGGTGTCATTGTATGGGTCCTTGATATGCTCAGACATTTGGGATTCTGCAACTAGTCCACATAATCCAACATTTTTCGGTATATCTATTACTTCTTCGCCAGATAATCTTTGTATTTTACCGTCACAAACTAAGCAGATCCTGCATTGGTTTATTGAAAAAATGCTGCAAATTCATTTTTCTGAAATTTTTAATAAATCTTTTCGGTTAGTAACTTTTAAGAGGTCGATCGAGCATTTAATTAAATCATCTTTCATGCGATTCATAGTGACAATAGAATGATTTGAATAGGTTTTTAATGTAAGCGATGAAATGGTAGGTAAAATTATAATAACAAATAATTTTTTTATAATTTAAATATTTATAATTCATTATAAATTTTATCATACTACTAAAATTATACTATTTTATTTCCGATTGTAAGTTATCTAAACTATAGTAATTGCCCGAGGATGGCGCTATTTTGCGCCATCCTCGGGTAATTCAAAAATGGCCCCACACCGGGAATTGAACCCACGTGTGGGGCCATTTTTGGTATGTGTAGAACATCGACTTCCACGCACCAAAAATGGCCCCATACGTGGGTTCAATTCCTGGTGTAGGGCCATTTTTTAAATTGCCCGAGGATGGCGCTATCTTGCGCCATCCTCGGGCAATTACAATATATACAGATTGAATAAAAGCACTTTATTGATAAGCTAAACTATTATAAAAGGTATAATTCTGCTAAATACTCATCATCATGCTCAAAGTGTCCTGTACAATTATTTACAACTTCCAAAAAACCCAATATTTGTTGGATTTCATAATTCATTACTGGATACAACAATAAAGAATTTGTATGATACCCAATGGCATTTTCAATTTCTGGAGAATAATTATTTTCTTGCTGAGGAGAATTTGTACTAATATACCCACCTTGATTTAAAATCGTCCCAAATAGGCCTATATCAGCTCTAAATTTATGTTCATTATGATTTGCTACCGTTCATATTTCTTCAGTAGATTTTTCATATATCCAAAAATGGCATCTTTCTGCATTTAGCAATCCTGATATTTCAGTATTAATAGAATTTATTAATGCATATAAATCTTCACTTTTCGCGATTATTCCTAAAGCATTTTTTATCAGCCCAACCTGCTCCACAAAATCATTTAAATTTAGCATTTTTTCGATGACTGTATCTAAATATACAATTTTGCTGGGCGTGTCATAAATTTGTGCCAAGGCTTGAGTTCCATGCTCTAAGATGTCATTCATAAATTGCTTTCTTTCAGCTGCTAAATTATTAATTCTATACTGTAGCGTTCTTGGCTCATTCATTTCTCTTTCTTTTCCTTCGAAATTTATTTTATACACTTTTTTAAATAAAATTAATTCTCTCTATTTATTTTATGATAAAAATCGAAAAAAAATACTGATTTATATTATTAAGCCTAAGGCTTTATTTTTCTTAATGGCTATAAACAATTGGTAAATCAAGCTCTTCAATTCTTGCTTGTCTATTTTTTATTTCATTTAATTTTATAGTTAGCCTCGTCACTTTTCTGTTTAATCTTTGTATGTTGCTTTCCAATATATCTTTTTCTTTTTTCCTAACTCCCCCCCATCCTTGATCGAACGACTCGCCGTCGTTCGATCAAGGATGGGGGTTAAAAAAAAATTTTTTGGGAAAAAAAAATTTATATATAAAATAAAAAATATATCTATATATATTTTTTTTTATTTACTTTTAAATAAGAGTGTTAAGAGTATCTAATTATTATTTTTACAGCAAAAAATTGAATTAATTTCATAAAAATACCAATTTTTAATATTTTGATTTATTAGTTACCCCTATAAATTTTAATTTGTTCCTTATTAAATTAATTGTTTTAAAAAAATTTTAAAGAATCTCTATTTTATTAGATTATTGAGTTTTTGAGCCTAGGTTGATGGCTAAATCACTTCGAATGGTTGATTTTGAAGCTTTCTGTCGTCTCAAAATCTCTGAAAACAGCTTCATTATGTGCATCTTCCCAAACTTTTGATAAATAATATATTTTTATATATATAAAAATTTGCATGATATGAAAATCGTTCAATCAAGGATGGGGGTTAATTTCCCCAATTTTTAGGAATTTTTACAGTCGATCGTCCGACCAAGGATGGGGAGGAGTAAATTACTATTACATTTCTTGAATTTCTTTGCGGTAATCTTGGCTTTCTCGCAATAAAGCATTTATAGCGCCTTTTAATTTTCCAGCAACATCTACGTTGTTTCCAGCTTGGGTCATGACCATAGCTTGAAGTCCTTCTTCAAGTGATTGGATTTTTGATGTGATTTCTATATAAAAGCTACGTGAAAATCTTTGCCGTTCTGTCATGGTGAGTTTAGATTGCCTAGCGTTTTCTTCTTGAAGATTTTTTATATGCTATTACTATAATCTCTATTATTATAATAAATTTCTAATAATAAAAATACCCTACTAATCATTTTTTAAATTAAGGCTAAAGCGGTTTAATTTTTCTTTTAAATCCTTATTCTCATTTTCAGACTGATACGATCTTTTTAACAATGACTCATATTTGCTTTTCAAAGCAGAAAATTCTAAATTCCTCCTTTCTAACTCCCTGCTTTTTACACCAAAATTAATTTCCACTTCTGAAGTATTAGCAGCAGTTTCAGCCATTTCATGAATAAGTTGGATTAATGATTTAGCTTCCCTTTCTGAAAAATTTTCGCTGTTTTCTACAACTCGTATCATATTTCCTAATATTTCGCATCTCCCAGTGAGATTTCTAAACAGCTCTCTTTGTTTTATAATCAGTTCTTGCATAATTTTTCTCAGTTCATAAATATCAATCTCTTCTATATTCATATTCAAGAACGATTCCACGTTACCAAAGCTCATTGAAGAATAATTATGACTTAATTTATTAATTTCTCTAAACATATAAAAGGATTTTATTTATAGAATTATTGATATTTATGATAGGGAAAAGGTATATTTTTTTTAATACAATTTTGGTCGCTCTATATATTTTTGGTTCCTTTGTAATGAGCCTTGTTTCTCTCTCAGTATTATCATTAGATGTAGTTGGTTTTGGAGCAGTTTTTATTTCAGCTCTATCTATAAATGGCAATGATCCCGAGTTAGGTGAATTATGCAATGATCTTGCTGAATTCCTTGATTTTGATTTATTGTGAGGAGTTCTCACAGTCATAAGTGCAGATCCTGGAGGACTATATTGATAAAAATCAGACATTAAAAAATTAAAATTCACAAAATGAATTATACCATTTTCTATAAATTTACAATATTTTATAAATAAATTAAATAGGCAAATTTAATATAAATCCATATAATTATTACGCATCTTTAACCAAGATTTTCATCTTCATCTTCAGCAGGCAATGGAGCATTTTGTAAGTTTGCAAGCTCAGCGTTTTCTCTTTCGATTTCTAGCATCTGCTCTGGATCAATCTGAACATCAACCGGTGCCAAAACTGGGGCTTCTACAAGCATAAGATTAGGGTCCCCTGAAAGCCTTCTGGCGAGCCACAAGAAAGGCTTTTCAAACTGGTAGTTGGATTTAGCAGACACATCAAAGTACTGAAGGTTATGTCTTCTGTGGTACGTAATTTGTTTAGCCTTGACTTTTCTATCTTTAACGTCAACTTTGTTACCAACCAAGACTATCGGAACATTTTCGCAAACTCTGACGAGGTCTCTATGCCATTTAGGGACATTTTTATAAGTAATACGTGAGGTGACATCGAACATGATAATGCCACATTGGGGATTTTTTTTAAAAAATAATTATTTTTAAAAAAAATAGAAAAAAATAAAAAGGAAGCCACATTGACCCCCAATGTAATAGCCGTCTCTAAGACCTGAAAGTTTTTCTTGGCCAGCTGTATCCCATACATTGAAGCAGACTGGGCCACGGGTTGTGTAAAATGTCAGTGGATGTACATCGACGCCTACTGTGGCGATATAGCGCTTTTCGTACTCACCTGTGAGGTGACGTTTGACAAAGGTTGTCTTGCCAACACCTCCGTCTCCAATTAAAACAAGCTTGAATTGTACAGATTGTGGAGCTTCCATATCTAAATTTATTATATCGCGGGTAAATGGTAGATACTTAAGTTCCTATTTTTACTATTCTATTCCCTATTTACTATTCTAAATACCAATTCTTATTATAGCTTATTGCTTATGCCTGTATGACAATAGTACTCAATTTAATATATAAGACACATTAATTTACAATAAAATAGCAGAGTTAAGACCCTAATCTTTTGATATTTTTGCCTTGGAAGCAAGCTTAATGAGCTTCTTTTACGCAATCAGAACTCGATTTAGCATGCTTTAGCATATAAAAATGCATTTAATTAATATTAAATTAGGTTAAAATTAATTAATATTCATCTTAGCCTAAGTTTTCATCTTCATCTTCAGCTGGCAATGGAGCATTTTGCAAGCTTGCAAGTTCTGCGTTTTCTCTTTCAATTTCTGCCATCTGTTCTGGATCAATCTGAACGTCTTGAGGAGCTAATACAGGAGCTTCAACAAGCATAAGATTAGCATCCCCAGAAAGTCTTCTGGCAAGCCATAAGAAAGGCTTTTCGAACTGATAATTGCTCTTGGCTGATACATCAAAATATTGAAGATTGTGTCTTCTGTGATAAGTGATTTGCTTATTTACTTAATAATAAAAGAGAAATATTTTTGAAATAAAAATTAATATTTTATTAAAATATTTTTTCTAATATAGATGAGTTAGCCTTGACTTTTCTATCTTTGACGTCCACTTTATTCCCAACTAACACAATTGGTATGTTTTCACATACTCTTACTAGATCTCTGTGCCATTTTGGCACATTCTTATAAGTGATACGTGAAGTGACATCAAACATAATATAATATATTAGAAGTTTGCTGACAATTTTCTTGAAAAATTGTGGCATATGGCAATAAATTTAATTAATTTCCATAGTCCTGGAAAAACTTCTAATATATGATAATGCCACATTGGCCACCAATATAATAGCCGTCTCTAAGACCTGAAAGTTTTTCTTGTCCTGCGGTATCCCAAACATTGAAGCAGACTGGGCCACGGGTTGTGTAAAAAGTGAGTGGATGTACATCGACACCTACTGTAGCGATATAGCGCTTTTCGTATTCACCGGTGAGGTGGCGCTTGACAAAAGTGGTTTTTCCTACACCACCGTCTCCAATTAAGACTAGCTTGAATTGTACAGACTGAGGAGCTTCCACCATGTCTAATTATTATAAGCCGTAAATGGAGTCATAGAGAATACATGTCAGATTTTATTTCATTGATGAATAGTTCAAGTGCAGAAAATAATAAATTTGGCTGGAAAAACTTTATTCTCAGTAATTAAAAACAGAAATAATTGATAAAAATATAGCGCCTTCCTCTCAATGGCGCGCAATGCGCCATCACCAGGCCATGTCGGGAGAGGTTCCTCATGGAGGAATGGTTCCACGTGTGGAACCCTCTTTTTCCACGAACCAAAAGAGGGTTTCACACGTGGAACCATTCCTCGTGGAGAACCCTCTCCCGACATGGCCCGGTGATGGCGCATTGCGCGCCATTGAGAGGAAGGCGCTATATATGATAATTTTACGTAATAAACTTGCTAAGCTTTATTTGATATATATTATAATTAGATTTTATCTGAAAAGTGCCAATTTGAAGATTATTTATATTTTTTCCAATTTAAGGTAATACTAAATCAGCATAAATCACAACATTAAATAAATAATCTGAATCAAAAATAATTTAATTAATCAACAGGCATTTCAAACTGAGTGCTTCCATTTGAATTTCTTGGAGTTGGCTTTTTATCTTTTCGAATTATTCGTTTACTCCTCAAAAAGCTTGGCAAATATTGAGATTTTGCATGCTGATTTGTAGCTGTTCTTATAGGTGATGCTTTTTGACGAGGAGATAATGCAGATACTGTTGGAGTAGCACAAAACTTAGGCGACGAAAGCGCAAAATTAAAAGTTGGCTGAGTCGTTATTTGGACTGGGGCTGATTTTCTGACAGTTACAGCTTGTTTACTTTTCTTAGGCTCAATCCTTGGGCTTGGCGATTTATTTGGATACTCACAAGGCTCTACCCTTTCTTCACTAACGATTACATGCTGCATCTCTGGGACACTTGGTTTATCATTCCCTTTGACAGCCTTCTCTTTCTGTCCTTTATTTTCTTTTAATTTATAAGCTTCCTTTCTGTACCTCTCTAGATCTTCTAGCAACCTCACATTTTCCATCTGATATTTCAAAGCTTCCTCTTTAGACTTTTTTGCTTCTTTTCTTAGATCTTCATTTGCATGCATCAGCATTTCAATTTTTTTGTTTAAAAGCGTGATTTGTTCGTTTTCATCATAAATCATTGAGTCTTCGATTTCTAAGTACATGCATTTCACAGCCATTTCGTTGTATTTTTCTTCAAATTGCTCTTTAAGGGAAGTCATTCTTATGAGCTCAGTTCGGGTTTTTTCAAGCTCGCCTTTTAAATATGATGTTGCTCGAAGCTGCTTATTTTCTTCTTCAAGGATTGCGTTTTGCTGCTCAAGCTGTTTTAGGATGCTGGGGGAATAAGTAAAGGAATCGGAGTCGCTAAACATTTTAACAATATTAATAATTAATTATAAATTTTGATAAATTTAATAAAAACTAATTATTGGGGGTTAGTGTTTTTAGGATACTGAAGAGTAATTAACATTAATATGCAAATAAATCAATAATAATAATAATAGAAATGCAAGGGGCTTCAGACAACAAGCTTAAGGAACTCTTGGACATAATCACTAAAGAAAATCGTCATGACAAGAAACATTTACTAGCTCATGACATCATATATCAAACAGATTCTTATGATCTGCAAGATAAAATCAATTCATGCAAAGCTAAATTAGAAGCTCTACCTCAAGCTAAAACATATGATGAAATTATAGAAGCAATAGAGCTACTTAAAGATCTATTTAGAGATAACGAAAGAGCATTAGAATTAATAGGAGATGTTGAAAAGAGATTACATCGATGTCTGCAAGAACATGAACTTTTCGAATTCAGTAATAAGCTAATTGATGTATTCAAAGAATTATCAAAGGAGCGGACAGAATGGTTTAATCTTCTTGTAGCAAATGCCTCAGAGTACAGAAACAAGTATTACAATTTGGCCGTGCAATCAAACGTATTGCTTAACGAGAACTCAAGGCTACTTACTTCCCCCTTTCGTGAGCGAACAAACCATCAGAAAAATCCCTATTTTTGACCAAAACCCACCTACGTGAGCAGACAAAATTTTGATATATAAGTAAATCTCGAGCTAGTTCTGTTTAATTTTAAATAAATTGCGCTTTAAAACATAAATTTTATAAATTAAATTAACATTTGCTTTCGCAAAGTGTGACATTTTTTAAATTTAAAAAAAAAATTTAACCCCCTCCGTGAGCGAACAAGATATTTTTGTTCGCTCACGGAGGGGGAATTAGTGAAAATCAAGAACAAATTCAAGAGAACGTTTCGAACCATAATTTGAATGAGAAACTTATACAAAAGATAAAAAGTCTTTCAGGTATAGCAGAAGAAAATAAGGCACTTTTTGATGATAAAAAAGAAATGGATGAGCGATTTAGCTTTATACAAAAGCAACTCGAGGAGCAAAAGCTATATTTTGAAAACAAGTTTAAAGCCCAGGAGAGACTAATAATGCATTTTAATAGAAAAAACCAAGATATTGAAGCAAATTTTGAACGCAGATTTCAGGATCAGAAGAATGATTTTGAACTCAAGCTTCAGGATCAGAAGAATGATTTTGAACTCAAGCTTCAGGATCAGAAAGAATGTTTTCATAATGAGATTCAAGATCTTAAATTAGACATCTGTAGTATAAAGTTCAAATCTACTATGCGCGAGGTCATTGGTTGAATTCGTGACGACGTTTGCAAAGAGCTCACTCCCCTTAAATTGCAATAAAATATTCATTTTTTGGGCCCTTTAAAATTGAAACCAGAATTTTATTTTTATATAAATATTATAGTTGAAAATATGAATTTTTATATATTATAAATACTTTGTCTTGATTTTATGAAAGAAATGCAGGTAGAATATTATTTTTATTTTTATAAAAAATTTAAAATTATTTTTTTCAATAAAATATCCCCCGCTTTAAATCGGAACAGAGCTTTGGTTCTAGTTAAAGGGGGGAATCAGTGTCTTTTTCGGAACAAAAATATCAAGTTTAAATCAAATTCAAGAAGCTAGAGAATTAAAAGGGGAAACTGAAGAATCTGTCAATATTGCGATAAATACTTTCTTAAACGAAGTATATAGAATTGATATCGATGCTTTCTTTGAGCTTATAAAGGTCCGAAAAGACTTAAACATATTCATCCATAATGGCTTGATAGTAGATGATGAAGGGCTAGAAATGCTAGTAAACTCAAAAACTGAGGATCTAAATAATCTGCTAAGATTATACAATCCTTTAAAAAACATTGCTAAAGATAAAGTATCAAGAAAAGATTATCTAAAAGCGAATAATCTCTGCTTCAAATGTGGTCAGACTTGGAATTATCTGAATCACTCCTGCTTGAGTTGTTCTTTATGTTTCGACAAAGGTCATGATCAGCAAGCCTGCCCAAGAAAGGAGAGGTGCGAAAAAAGGAGAAGAGCAATTAGTGATTAATTATCTAATTAAATCTCGTTCTATCTTTAATAAGTCACACATGGTCTATCTCCCTTCCACTTACTGCTCCATATTGTATCCAGCGCATATGTGTTTTATTAAAAACTTCTAACTTTCCATACCCATATTCTTCAGTCATAAATAATGTTCATTCCTGCCAGACTTCTGGGACTGGGTCATTATGCCCTTCATTATTTCCTCCATTTCCAGTAATTATATACAGAGTTGCATTTGCATTGTAATGAGTATTGAAATCATCATACTCACTCTTTATCGGAGCATTCTTATAAATTGGTGTGCATCTCTCATAATAATGATTATGGGCTTCGAACATTATATCAACTGCATATTCATATCACAAATCCTCTAAAGACGATCTTAATAGCTCAGCTTCATGTGTGCATTGAGCAACTGTCATTAGAGAACAATATAGAGGATGATGGGTAAGCACAAAAATCCAAGGCCAAGTGTCTCGGTTTTTATTTGCATATTCTAAGTCTTGCTTCAGTCAGTTAAATTGTGTTAAAATTTGCTCTGGGTGATCATAAATGTACAATTCAGTATTTATTATAATAAAGTGTGCAGCTCCTAAATTAAAAGAATAAAACCAGTTTGTCCCATTATTTGCATCATTCAAAGGCATTTTAAATCTTGTCCTATAATGTGTCATGTTATGCCTAATTTCATGATTCCCGGGCGTTACCATATATGCAAAATTAGCTGCTATGTCTTGGACAGAGTTCAAAAATCTATCTCCGACCATGCCATCATCTTGGTCCATATCATATGCAATATCTCCTATATGAAGTATTCCTAAAAAGCTTCTAATTTTTATTTCCTGACTCAGTCTATTTTTTACATGTTTTGAATTTTTTCCTATCCCTAAATCTCCATAAATAATCATTGATAAAAGATTTTGAGAGTCCTTATTGGGGAGCGAAGAATTTGGAGTTCTCCCACTAAACATATAGACTTTGCTTTGTGCCATCGGATTGGTAATATAATATTCATAAAAACAGTCTGGTCTTAGGTTTGGAATTACCGAGGTGTATATGTATTGGAGACGGTATATGATTTCTCCTGCATTAAAACCTTGGATAGAGGAAGGCACAGTGAGCCAGTCTGAAAGTATATTTGAGCAGAGAAGGGGGCGATATTTGACTGATGAGTCAAGCTGAAGATAGGTTATTCAAGTAACGCGCATTTCATTTTCGTGCTCAGTTCAGGAGAGATGGATTTGTTCAGGCTGATAAATTGAGCTTGAAGCGAGGGCTAGCCAAATAAGTAGATAAAATTTTAGCATTTGTAAAGAATTTAATATGGAAGTCAAGTTTTTTGTGAGTTTTATAAAATTTTAAATTGATTTTAATATTTTTATTACCAAGAGAATTATTTAAAATTGATAAGAAAAAATCCATTCTAATTTAGCTATTATAATTTTGAAGGATCATTTTTATATTCATTGAAAAGATTCTGATAAAAATTAAATTTGTTTATATATGCATCTCTACACAATTTAATAAGTGAAAAATCTTTGATGAAAAATAAACATTCAATAAGAGAAAATGGGATAACAAAATGAAGCAATAACACAAAGAGTGGCTGTCTAAAATTTCCAAAATTTTATTAATGATTATCACTCATTTGTAAGAAAATATTTTCATAATTCAAAAATCTTTCTTATATAAAGAATTTTCAAATCTGGCCTAAAGATTTCTAAAATCAACCCTATAAGCATAAGCGGATTAGACCAATTTCTGTTTAACCATCATTTCTTACATAAATAGTTTAAAAATGATCCTGCTGTTTTTAATAAGCGTAGCTTTGGCGCAGCAGACGACCCCTATAAAGCCTGTAAACTTTATTTAGGAAGCCGTTCTAATCGACCCAGTGCCCAGAAAAGACACTTCCGGAAAAACCATGGAAGATCCTCCATGTGGAGGCCGAGGAAAAGGTTTAGCACATACATTAGCGGAGCCAGGGCAATATCACCCTGTGACCTGAATGATAGTTCACCCTGCAGAGACTGGAAACTGCACCCTTCGACTTACATCAGGGACAGATTTCAATAAATATGTAACATTGGCTCCAACTGATAACTCAGCAGATGGATCAGGGTGGTTTCCATGTGGAAGAAAAGAGCTTTATCATGAAAGCAAAACTATTCCATTTATTATAAAAATAATTTATTATATAGAAAAAATAAGGTATTTATAGAGAAAAGATATATAGTATGCTAGTTTATAATGAATAAATTATTTTATATACTATAAATACTAGCCCTGCAATAATTGTGGTAAATAGTATTTCCTGATCATTTTACATGCGATGAATGCACTTTGCAATGGATTTGGAAAACTTATATTGGAACTTTTTATCAATGCAGCGAAATTCAAGTCAGATCCACGAATAGCATGGCTTGTTTTGGGAAATGCAAGAATGGAGGAGTTTGTGCTGATGGGAACTGTGAATGCCCGGTTGGGTTTTCAGGACAGTTTTGCCAAGATGCCGCAGAAGAAAGCCAAGAGGAAAATATTAATGTTGTGGGATATTTAATTACATTTTTGATTTTTGTGATTGTTTGTAGTGCACTTGCAACAATCGTATACTATTTCTTCAATCAAGATAAAATTCCACCACAAGCTCAAAAATTTTTAAGGGCAAATTGTCAGTGGTGTTTGAGAAAAGAAGCAATAATAGAAGAAGAACAGAGGGAAGAAAGGGAAAGCGAGCCGCCTGTAGTACAGAGAGAAAGATTAGTCATTAACGTATAGGAGAATGCTCTAAATTAAATATACAACTTTGATAGTATTTATATTATAATTGAAAATAATTATAAATAAATAGAGATTTATAAATAATAGTTTTGCTTAAATAGAAGAGAATAATCATTATTTAAAGTAGCTATATAAAATATTAAAAATTAAATAATATTTGTAAAATTATTTTTGAAAGTAAAAAATATTGAATAAATTTTTTTTTATTAGTTAGCTTTAAGCTCTACCTGGAGTTTATTCATCAGATTCACAGTGATTAGACTCGTCATATTGGCAACAGTCATCCTTATCGGCTCTATAAATTTTAATGCAAGTTCTTCTTCCTGGTAAAATATTTGCAATTTCATCACCTTCGCAACACCCTCCTAGCTCCCCCCATTCATTTAAATTGGAAAAAAGACAAAGTTTCAATTTTTGGGGTACTTTAATCCCTTTAAATTGGAACAAATTATTTTTAAATAGGGAAACTTTATAGTTAAACCCTAATTTTATAAAATTAATTTTGACCTAATTTATGAAAAAAGTTCAGTAGAATATTATTTAAATAGTTTTCACTTGAATCGATTAATTCTTTGAATAATTTTTATTTATATTTTTTTACCCAATTAACTCCCCTTTAAATTGGAACAAAAAATCTGTTCCAATTTAAAGCGGGGGAGTGAGAATCCATGCCCTCTATGATGTCTATGGTGTTCGTCTCTTTCACAGTTGCCATATTTGTGCTCATCTTCGTCATTTTCCCAATGGTTTTCATCACAGCCACAAGAATCATCATGGTCATCGTGATCATCTCTGTCATCGCAGTCATCTCTGTCATCATGGTCATCATGGTCATCATGGTCATCGCAGTCATCTCTGTCATCATGGTCATCGTGGTCATCATGGTCATCGCAGTCATCGTTATCATCCCAGTCATCATGATCATCTCTGTCATCGCAGTCATCATTATCATCCCAATCATCATGATCATCTTTGTCATCGCAGTCATCATTATCATCCCAATCATCATGATCATCTTTGTCATCGCAGTCATCATTGTCATCCCAATCATCACGGTCACATTTATCATCATGGTCATCTCTGTCATCACAGTCATCGTGATCATCTCTGTCATCGCGATCACACTTATCATCATGATCGTCTCTATCGTCCCAATCATCATGATCATCTTTGTCATCGCAGTCATCATTGTCATCCCAATCATCATGATCATCTCTGTCATCGCAGTCATCATTATCATCATGATCGTCTCTATCATCCCAATCATCATGATCATCTTTGTCGTCGCAGTCATCTCTATCGTCTCTATCGTCATTGTCATCGTGATCACAATACTCATCTTTAGATCCAACTATGTCATCTAACAAGTCTATTCTATTAAGATATTATATGGAAGCTCATGCCAACCCACTAATGGCTTTTCATGTCCCTTGCTTCGCACCACCCCATGCTTGCTAGTCTTATTGCATAGCTTAAGGCTTGTGCTGCTCGCTCTGGACAAGGGTTGCACTTGCTACCGGAGGTAAAGACGCTGGGTCACCATGCTGTACGTCAAGGAGGTTGCCATTTCCGAAAATTCAAATTGTGAATTTACTGGTCAGGCTATATATTAAACTTGTAGCCCAGGGCGCAACTCCGGTATCGCGCTGGGAAAAGCCCGATTGGCCAAGCGAATCCCCTTGGTTTTGCTGGGTGATCCCTTTCCAACTTCCAATTTCAGGATAAACCTTAACCTGGATGCGAGCCTGGGGTCGGTCAGCCGACATTGCGCTCCACCAGACCATAAAGCCCGATTGAATGCACATATCGAACGCTGCCCCCCTTCCACAAGTCCCAGACCCCCGTCTGGCTACAAGTGTTAAGAGGGTAGGCTAGTTCGCCACGCAATATTTATGTATATGCCATCTAGCAAGTCAATTTTATCTCTAATAATATCATCTTTATCTTCTAATGAGCCTCCAGTTGCACATTGTACATCTCCACTACCTTCTATTGCGCCGCACTCTTGATCCGAATCTTTTAATTCAAGAAGTTGGCTTTTGAAAAACTTTGTTTTTGTTGCAAATATAGTTAATGAGAGAACAATAAGAATTGCAAGCTTCATTATTTTTTATACATACTGATATTTTTTCCTACTGATCTGTTTGTATCCATTGAATAATTCATATTTATTTCAGGAGAGTTTTCTGATAAGAAGTTTTTCATTAATGGAAGTCTGAATATTTATTTTTCATATTTTTTTTTGAAGCTGAAGGAAGATGATATAGTAAAAAAATGGCGAGGAATTTTTTTAAATAATATTAATTATGTTTAAGAATGGTGATATGTTTAAAAGAATAATAGATTAGAGTAAAGGAATTTAGAATAGTGATATAGCTGTAAATAAATGCTTAGAATTAATAGTCTTTTTATTTTTTCTGATCAGATTGCGATTTTAATTGGCTTTTATTTATTTATAATAAATAAACATAAACATAAACAAGAAGACTGACTGGCTTTATATCAATTTTAAATAAATTCGTCTTAACTTATGCTTAATTTAGACTATAGGATAAGCTGGCTGCATTTGTATTCCACAGACTCCTCTTCCAGCTACAATTGCTATCCTAATATATCCTGCTTCTCCCCAGGTAGTTCCCCATGAGTTTTTGACTTTCCAATACTGAGGGCTGTTAAGTTGATTATACCCAACTACAAGGACCTCATGATCTAAATTAGTCCCACAGTCACTGCTCACAATGCCTCCTTTATAAAGCTGCCAAGCATTTTGATCAGCTTCTACAGAAACTCTAATAGGCTGCTGAGCAACCGCAATTTGCATTTGCTGGACATCATCAGCCTTGACTACTTTATAGCTCGTAAAAGTTGCTGCGAATTGTTTTTCTTTGGCTTGGTTGCATAGGCCATCATGAGCTGTATAAGGATAGTTATCTTCAGAGGTAATCCCTCCATTTTTGACATATAATTAATAATGAATAGGTCATTAAAAGATTTATATATCAGATTTATTAATAGCCTAATTGCTATTTATGCTTGCTTTTGACTATAATTATTAATCAAATATTATATATATAAAATGGCCGGAGACGAGCGACCCGTCATCCTGCGGCGGGTGTCCTTATGTATACGGACGTGGTTTTTGGGTGAGGAGAGCTACTCAAAGGGGAGTTAGCCTCGAGGCGAGAAGCCCAGCAAAATTTCCACTGATTTTGTGGCTTGACCCGGGCAGCATTTTTCCGCATTCTTTTTGCCAGTAGCGCCGAGGCCCAGACTGGTGTCCGAAAGAGGCAGGGGAGTTACCTGCCTAGGCTGCTTGGTGAATCCCCAAGGGGTTGAGTTTTTTCTTGGAGATAATCCGGGAAGAGGGGAGAAGAAGCTCGATGAAGATATGCCAATGACACAAGTCTCTCCAGTTTAAAAGGGTCCCGCAAGGGGCGATCTGTCCTGAGCTGTTCAGGGTTGGGTAGAACTGGCACTTGAGTTGGAAATGATGATTCCCGGCAAAATCCGGATCACCCGGATCAGGAGGAAAAATACCACTACCGAGAAGCCGGGGGTTTCAGCCCAGGCTCAAGATGCCTTAAGAGAGCCCACCCCGCAGCGACTAAATCGCTACGGAACGCAAGAAAGCTTGAGGAAGTAGGACTATAAATACCCATCTTAAATCTAATCTATTAATCAAATATTCATATAGATAAATAATAACGTATTTCATAGCCTGGGTCATAGTGCCACCTCCACAGGCTAAGTTTCCATATGAATAAGAGCAATCCATCAATTGTTGTTCTGACAGAGATGTCAAATTATGCCCAGCTAAAAACCAAGCACTTTCACAAGACCCAGTTGTGGCAAATGCCCAGCAACCTCCGCACTGTCCTTGGTTTTTCACAGGTGTGACTGCTCCCTTAGCAGACCAATCTACTTGTGTAGGAATTGTGGTGTTTTGTAAAACGCTTGCTTCAATAGTAGGATCTGAAAGGATTTTAGAAGGTGTATAAACCATCTTAAACTCGGCAAAAGTCATATCAGTGAATTCGTTGACTCCTAAGAGCCAAGCAGAAATAAAATGGGTGGTATTGGCGGATTATGGGCTTTGAGGTGCCAAAATATATAGTATTTGTGCCTCTAAAGGAAATCCTAAACCCGGAGAGGCTAAGTTAAATTAAGAACCAAGTCTTTCCTTGGGTGTTAAAAACACGGATATAAGCTGAATTATCTCTGAAGATTTTGAACCTGCGGGCGTATTCCTCTTCTGAATAGTTTTTGTTGTACTTGGCAATGAAATCTTGGAATTCTTGTTCATCTATTTGAAGCTGGATTAAAGCTGGGGTTTGTGGTGACTTTAGTGAAAAAGAAACAGTTGCAACTACTCCAACAATGGCGAGGGCAGCTATAATAGCTATGTAAGTTTTTTTGGATTTGGACCCAGAAGCTAATTTATAGTCCATTTTATTATATACCATATACCAAAATAAATTTTTTCAGAAAGGACACAATACTATACTGAGGAAATAAAAATTACTATAAAAATTACCCGAACTCTTCATATTAGTATAATTATTTCCCCAGTAATGAAAATAATATGGATATGATAATAAATATTGCGATTTATTATGTAAATGGCTTGAAAGATTGCTCAAGATATCATAGAGATAAATAGCAAAGGTATATTTATGAAAACTAATGAGTTTAAATTATTTAGACGATTGGATAAACTGGCTGCATTTGAATTCCACAAATTCCTTTTCCAGCTACAACAGCAATTCTGATGTATCCAGCTTCACCCCAAGCAGGTCCCCAAGAGTTCTTGCATTTCCAATAAGGTGGGCTATTAATTTGGTTGTATCCTACAACTGTGACTTCGTGGTCATGAGCAGTTCCACAGTCACTGCTAACGATTCCTCCTTTATACATTTGCCAAGCAGCTTGGTCAGCTTCAACTTCAACTCTTACAGGCTGTTGGGCTACAGCAATGTACATTTGGTCAATGTTATCAGCAGCTACAACTTTGTATCCAGAAAATGAGGCAGCAATGGTTTTTGCTTTAGCTTTATTGCAGGTTCCAGTTACTCCTGTGTAATTATATATTCTGCTAAATTAAATAAAATTTATCACCAAAATGGGTATTTTATTAAAAATATATGCTATTTTTAACAAAAATAACAAAAATAATAAAAAATAGCTAATATAGTATAATTTGCTTCAGTAGTAATTCCATCGTTAGCAATAACGTATTTCATAGCACCAATCATGGTGCCACCGCCACATCCATCATTTCCATAACTTGATGAACAGTCTACAAGATTAGATTAGATTAGATTAGATTAGATATGCTGTGTATTTATAGTCCCTACTTCCATGCGTGGCATTCCTCCGCGCTCCTTGGGGACCCGTGCTGGCACGAGCGAAAAGGATGGACTTCCATCACTGGTTCTCTGAGCCCGGGCCGAAACCCCTCGTTTCTCGGTAGTGGGCTGCCCTATTGAGTCGTCAGCCGACTGTCGCTGGGCACCACCATTTCCAACTCAGCCTTCAGCCCCGAATTACGCCAGTCTTTGCCTCCGGTTGGCCAGATCGCCCTCGTGTGAGGACCCTTTTAACTGGAGAGACTTGCGCCCTTGAATTCTAGTCTAGCTTCGCCTCCCCTCTTTCCCGGATCATCTCCAAGAAAGAACTCAACCCCTTACGGGATTCAGGGCTAAGCCACCAAGTAGCCTAGGCAGGTAACTCACCCTGCCTCTTTCGGACACCGAGTCTGGGCCTCGGCGCTACTGGCAAAAAGAATGCGAAAAACTGCTGCCCGGGTCAAGTCCCAAAATCAGCGGAAATTGGGCTGGGCCTCTCGCCTCGAGGCTAACTCTTCCATTGAGTAGCTCTCGCATCCAAAAACCACGTCCGGTATACATAAGGACACCCGCCACGAAGGGACTGGTCGCTCGTCTCCGGCCATTTTATGTATATTGAACAGTCTACAAGCTGCTGTTCTGAAAAAGATGTCAAGGTATGTCCTGCAAGAAACCAAGCGCTCTCACAAGGGCCAGTTGTAGCGAATGACCAGCAAGATCCACATTGTCCTTGGTTTTTAACTGGAGTTACAGCTCCTTTGAGAGTCCAATCAACTTGTGTTGGGACTGCTTGATTTTCGAAAATGTGAACATTTTCAGATTCGTCAGTCTGGACATATTGGTGAGGGGTATAAATTGATTTGAACTCTGCAAAAGTCATATCAGCGAATTCGTTAACTCCTAGGAACCAAGTTTTGCCTTGGGTGTTGAAAACGCGGATATAGGCTGAGTTGTCTCTGAAAATTTTGAATCTGCGGGCGTATTCTTCTTCTGAGTATTGCTTGCTGTATTTTGAAATATAATCAATGAACTCTTGTTCATCAATCTGAAGTTGGGTTAAAGCTGCAGTGTTTGGAGTTCTTGGATAGAAAGAAACAGTTGCAACAACACCGATTATTGCCAAAGCAGCAAAAATAGCGATGTAAGTCTTCCTTGGCTTGCTTTCTACAGTCAAGTTATAGTCCATTTTAATATAATTATTTCCCCAGTTCATGATATAAATATGGATAGATATATATAATTATTTCCCCAGATATGAGAATTAAAGCAAAAATATTCATTGCGAAGAGCAAATAAGCCACATAAAATTAGGAAATATTATTTCAAAAGATATTACTTCATAATTATGCAAAAATGAAAGGCGCTCATCTATTTTTAATCCATTTATGTTAGAAAATTTAGATTCTAAGATTCATATTAAGTTTATTTTAGTAATTACTTTTGTAATCGAATAAGTTGGCTTAGCATGCAAACTTTTATAAGTCATAGTAAATAATATAATTTAAATAAAATTGACGACTTATGATATAAAAATTGAATTTAATCATTTTATCCCTACAAAAATGTTACTATAATTCTCCGTAATTTCAATATAAAATTATCATTGAGCACACACAATTTAATTACAATTATTAGAGCATTTAGGCTATTGAAAAAATAATGTAATTTATGATTTGATTTATAGGCCTAATTACATGAAAGTAATACAATATTTAATAAATTTTTATTTAATAAAATAGCTTTTGTCATTCGAATAATATTTCAATTTATGAAATATAATTATCTATTTCGCATTTTTCATTAAAATTAATTTTCACATTTATTTGCATTTCTAAATCATAACCAAATTGTACTAGTTTTCTTTAAAACCCTTTTGAATGTTTAAGCCTTTCTAATTTAGCTTTCCCCAAATTCTTAAACTACGAGCTAAATATTCTTCCAAAATCTTTGATTTATCACAGAAAACAATTATTATAATTTATCCTAGAAATTTTTTTCTTAAGTATCTAAATTCTTTAACTATTATCCTTCTAGCCTTATATACAATTTTAAAGTGATTTTATTTTAATTTCTGATGTTTCTTCAATGGAGAAATTTGCAACCATTTTTACTTGAATAATTTGAAAGCAAATAAAAATGTATTCTGATATTGAAAGTGGTGGGGCAGTAACATCCAGCTCAAGAAAATTGATTGGAAAATTGTATATTTCAGAGGATTTATTAGATTCTGAAAGCCGCTCATTCCCTGAAGATAAGCTGGAGCTTGAAGAGCTAATTGAAGGCCATTTATTATTAGGCCTTTTCTTACAGAAATCAGAGATAAGCCGGCTATCAAGATTATTTACATTAATTACAATTCTATTCTTTGAGCTCGGGCTTCAAGGACTTTTATTTTTCTCCTACGAAAAATTTGATCCTGAAGCCTACACAGAAGCCATTTTTTCAGAATTTTCTAGTAAGTTTTTTGGGTATGCCATTTTGGCGGCCACAATAGCGATGCCTATTGAAGCCTTTATGCTGATTTTATTGAGTATTAACAAAAAAGAAAAGTCTGGGAAGTTTTTGGTTTTTACTGGTCTTGGAGTATTGATTCTTATTGGATCAATTACAGGGATTTATATGATAGATTACGGATATATGTATTGGGCTATATGCTTGGCAATAGAAGTTATATTAGAGATATGCGTAGTTGAAAGCTTCTTGATGTTTGTCAGATACTTTATGATTCAGGGCTTTGGATCGATGAAATAATATAACTTATAGATGTATATCAAGATAAAAATATTTAGAATATTTAATAATCTTTTTTGGGACGTTTAAAAGGAAAAAATCGATGAAAGTGTAACCCCCTAATAGCCATTTTAGAAAATGTTAGAATTAACTATATGAATGAAGCAGATTTAATAATCAAAATGCTTGAAATAGCTCCAGTTAAGCTTAAATTATTTAAATTTTCTATGAAAGATTAGTTATATTTGAATCATCTGAAAACTTGACTTTTGAGGCTAATTTAATATTATAAGTCTAGGCATTTTTAATCTAAAATATTGTAAATTAATACCCTCTATTAGCAGGTGCTTCTGGATTTTCATTTTTCCAAAGATTAATCAGTCTAAGTTCTTCTTTCAAGCTATCTGCAGCTGTGAGTGGTGGATATTTTGCCATTGTTTCTTCTCTTGGCAGAATGAATCTATCAGCAAATTCTTCCATAGGTTGCAGTACCACATCATGCCTAAAGTGCCCAAACAAAGTGCTGCTGACTCTCCACAGAATTTTTCCATTCTCTCTTGCCGTATTAACAGCTGCTTCTGTTCTATCATTAAATACAACTTCATGATAACCTGCTAAGACATAGCCTCCAGTGATATATTCAAAGAGTTTTCCTGCTTGTAAAAGTAAACAGCCACTTGGATAATAAAAATTTTAAAATTTTTTTTAACTGTATATATATTAGGGGTATAATTAAAGCATTTAAAATACGACCAAGCAGCTAAAAATCGTGTAAAATCGCATTAGGTTAGCTTAGAGCAGTTATTTTTCCTTATTATTAAGGATATTAGTAAATTTTTTTTAAATAAAATATATTGGTCACCACTTGGAAACTGCAACATCAATTTTTTTGTTATTTCTCATCCACGCTGAAAGTCCTGGAAATCTTGATTTTCCATGAATAGTAATGAAATTTAAGTCATAATGATACCCAGCAAACACAGTTCCTTTGCCCCACTTTCTCAAATCAGCTCCAGTTGGAGCTAACAAGTGTGGAGCTCCTCTCATCATATCAACGATTTTTTCAGGCTCCACTCCAGACGCGACTTCAAACATTCTTACGACTGTTTCTACAGTTCTCAGCATAAGATCTCCCCAATTATTCATTGTGCTTGCCCATTCAGGAAATTCTGGAGGCACAACGTTTTCAGGATCCACTTCTGAGCTGGGAGTCCCAAAACTCCCAATTCTCCAGAAATATCGCCACTTGGCGTCATACTGAGGTGGGCACTCAGAAACAGCTTTTGAGTCTTCTGGCAAGTTATTGATCCTCTCACAGTGATTTCGAGCCTTTTCAACATTTTCTGGGGTAGCGCCGATTTGGAAATGAAGTTCTGGGTGGACTTCTGCAACTTTTTCGCCATTGTAAAGCTGATTGCTGGCTCTGAGATAATATTGCTCCATCATGTCGATAAAGTCCCAGTTGGCTTGTTCATTAACCCTAGGGTCACGGGCAATTAAAATTCCATTGCTGTGAAAATTTTCAGCGACTTTTTGGCACTCATCTCTTATGGACTGTGGAAGAGGCTCGTTAGGATGATTAGCCATGTGATCCAGAAAACCACCAAGGTCAACGACAAGTGGAGCGTCCATTAAATTTAATGAATTAAAACGAGATCTGGTGAAGATTTAATGGAATTTAAAATGGAAACAACGCAAAAATGCAAGTTTCAAGGGAATTTCAATTCTTTTACGATTTACTTAAATTTAGCTAAAAACAAGGGTTTTTTATATGGATTCATACTCTAATTTAGAGAAACTGACTGCTTTAGTACTGATTTATTTCTTTTTTTTTACAAAATTCATTGGATTAATATATATAACCAATTCATTTTATTTTTAAAAAAAAGATAATCCACAAAAATAAAAATTAGCACTGACATACAATGCTGATTTTCTATTAAATTAATTATGGCATATTTACATTGTCACCAATAAAAGTCCAACCTTCTAGTCGATGACTATCCCCTTCTGGCGAACTTTGTCTTCCTCTAACTTTATATTGAGGAATATTCTGCAGTGGGATCATTTTTTTGTTAGGTTTTGGTGGCTTTAACTCCCTTCTGATAACTTTTGCCCAATTAATTCCTGAGAAAAATTCATGTCTTTTGATATCTTCTGCATCATAATGGCTTCCTAACCTTCTGCTGGGATCTCTTTCAAGTAACCCTGTCAATAAACTTTTAGCTTCTGGGCTTAAATATGCAGGAAGTTTTAATTTTGCGTTCTGAATATTATAAAATAATTGTTCCCTATTACTTGCATAATAAGGTGGAGCACCTGTCAGCATTTCATAAAGCAAAACTCCAAGTAAGTACCAGTCGACTGCTTTTCCATGACCTTTTCTTTTTAGCATTTCTGGAGCTAAATATGCAACAGAGCCACAGAATGATTTAGCGGAATCATTATCGTATACTCCTTCTTTGGATAAGCCGAAATCAGTGAGTAAAGTGTGCCCTTGAGCATCTAAAACTACATTGTCTGGCTTAAGATCTCTATAAATAATGTCTCTTTTATGAAGTTCTTCTAATGCTAATAGTATTTCACATAAATAAATTCTTGCTCGTTTTTCATCAAATTTCTTATTTTGCTGGATATAGGATGTCAAGTCGCCTCCTGGGCAGTAATCTAAAATTAAAAATAATTTGTCAGATGTTTGAAATGCGTATTTCAATCCCCTCGATATATTTACCATAAATAATTCCTAATTAAATATGTGTATGCTTTATTTGTTTTTCTTTCAAAAACGATCCTGGGTTTAATAGTAAAGTCTAAACCTAATGCAATAAGTATAAATTTTTCTAAAATATTTTAAATAATTATTATTTAATTTTTTTAAAAAATAATTTCAATCCTACTATAAAAGGGTGATTGAAATAGCTCATCACATTTCTTTCAGTAAAAGCATACTTCACCAAATTCTGTCCAATAACTTTATTTTTCCTCAAAATTTTCATTGCAAAAAGCTCATCTGTGCATATCTTCCTTACCAAAAACACTTCTCCAAAGCTTCCTTTTCCTAACTGAGAAATTGCTTCAAAATCACTTGCAGTCACTTTTTTCTTTTCAATTTTTTCTTCTTCATCAAAAACTGGAACCTTTGAAGCTTTTTCTTTTCCTAAATCATTAGGGATAAAAGGGCTTGACAGTCTTTGCATCATTTGTTCAATCTCAGATTCTTCAAAAGTTTGTATTTCTATAGTTTCATCTTCTTGTGAAGGTATTGGAGAATCTGGAAAAACCCTTTCTGTTTGCTTATAAAAAGTTGCTAAAAATGATTTTTCCGCATTTTCTTTACTCCCCCCCCCCTCCGTGAGCGAACAAAAAAATTTTGTTCGCTCACGGAGGGGGGTTAATTTTTTTTTTTTAAAAAAATTTATATATAAATTTTATAAAAAATATTTTTTTCGAAATTTAAAAAATCCTAATTTGCAAAAATTGGGAAGCAAATATTAATTTAATTTGCAAAATTTATGTTTTAAAACGCAATTTGTTTAAAATTAAACAGAATTAGCTCTAGATTTCATTATACTAATTATCACTTATATATCAAAATTTTTTTCCATTAAAATTTTTTCTATTAAAAAATTTTTGTTCACTCACGGAGGGTGGGTTTTTGGTCAAAAAATGGCGATTTTTCTAAATGGTTTTGTTCGCTCACGGAGGGGGGGGGGGAGTTAGCAATTTCGAATGGAGTTTTCCCGTTAATGTCTTCTATATCAGTTCTTGCACCGACGTTAATAAGAATTTTTGCAATATTTTTATTTGCAATTTTACATGCTAAATGTAAAGGCGTTTGCAAGAAGTTATCTTGAGCATTTAAATCATAAATTTCTGCTTTTTCTAGTAATAAATCAAGAATTTTAATATTTCCGACCTCTACAGCTCTATGTAAAGGTGTTTTATTGTCTTTGCCTTTAAATGAAAGCTGCGCCTTTTGATCTCCATATACTTTTTCGTCTAATAATTCTGCACAAAGCTCAAGTTCATTATTTTCTATTGCATTTCATAGCATTATATTTGCTTTTCTTTTATTATTGTAAAAATGCTTTACTCCCCTTATTATGTGACATACCATAGGTAAAATTTGTATTTTTTAGTATTTTAACCCCTTAAATCGTAACAAAAATTTTTTGTATATTAAAAAAATTAACCCCCTTTAAATTTGATAGGGATTTAGAATTTTTTTTGGCTCTGTTTGAAATTGGCAAATATTATTATCATTGAAAAAATCAGGCTGGTTTTTTTCTGTAGTGCTTAAAGACCTTTTTCTTGTGAGTTTTGGGGATAAATCTTCAGAAGTTTCATCTTCATCATAATGTACAGGTTTTGGAGACTTATTAAGATAATTAAATCTAGATGAAGAGCTTTCGTCTTCTGTGGTTTTATCTTGAGTATCAAAACGAATAGTAGACGTAAAATTGTCCACGTCTATAGATGGACGAGCTTGGTAACATGCAAAACCTGACAATAACTTGCGAATTCCTGCAAAAAGTCCTCCTTCCATGTTGATAATTTTATAAATATATCGAATCTAGATTTTATAGCTACTTTATTAAGTACTCTTTTAAGAAAAAATACTTTTAAAATTATGAATTTAATATAAAAAAATAAAATCAAGTCTGGTGCTTCTTTTTCTCTAAACAAATCTATTTTTTAAACAAATCTTTATTAAAGAAAATTTTATCTTAACATAACCAGTTGCATCGTTTTTTTATTTGATATTTGGTCAAATATTGGCAACTAAAATGGGGTTTTAACAAAAAAATATTGATATGGAGCCCAGGAATTTCATCCTCATTATGGCAGTTAGCGAAAATTTAGGTATAGGCTATCAACGAGTGCTCCCATGGAAAATTCCAGAAGACTGGGAGCACCTGCTAAAAGTAATAGTAGCAGGCCCTGAAAGAAATACATTCGTTATGGGCAGAACCTCCTGGGAAGACTCTCCTAAGCCGTTTCCAAACATTCGAAACATAGTAGTCTCCAGATCTCTTCAGTCAGCTGAAGGTGCCGATATATGCACCAATCTCCGTGAGGCTATATCAATTTCAACAGGTCTCTGCTTTATAGGAGGCGGATGTGAAATTTACCGTGAGTGTCTTTCTCCTCCTTTAGTCCAATACTGCACACAGATTTATTTAACCCGAATCTCCAATACTATAAAATGTGACACTTTTTTCCCATTCAATGCAAAAACGCTATTTCAAGACCCTCTTGTTGAAGGGTTTTCTCCGACTTTAATTTCCAAGACCAAGTCTCATTTGGACTATACCTATGATTTTACGATATTTTCTAATAACAATTTACCAAGGCAGCCTCATTGTATTGAGTATCCACCTCATGAAGAGTTCCAGTATCTTGATTTAATTAAAGAAATAGCTTTTTCGAAAAATTTAAGAGTGGATGAAGATGGGAAAGAAATAGCTACTTTGTTTGGGAAAATGATTAAATTTGATTTAAGTATGAGTTTTCCGCTATTGACAACGAGAAGTCTTAATTGGGGAGAAATTGTGGAAAAATTGGTGAGAGGGATTCGTGGAGAAGATGAAGAATCTGAAAGGTCTGATGGGTTAAGAAATGATATGCCTGAATAAATTAAATACAAATTTCAAATTATTATTAATAGCATTATAAGTGGACTGTTTATATTTATTATGCAAAAGCATATAGCTCCAGCCCCATTTTTGCTAGTTTAGGAGCAAAACCTTTGCCTATTAAATAGTCAATTTTTCTGATAAGTGCAATATAAAATTGACAAATGCAAATTATAGCTCATATTTGTCAATTTTTAATTTGCCCTTTAATAAAAATTGGCATTTTTGGCTTATTGAATAGGCATAAGTATTATTCTAAAGATTCTATTAGTAGTCTTAAACTATATACAATTCAGATATTTCCAGGGTCAAGGCATTCATCAATGTACTGAAACAATCAATTTAATAAGAAATGAACCAAGCTCAAACAAAATTATGCTGAGATTTGGAAACTCGTGTGAGACAACTTGTCAGTTTTATGTGGCTGATGGAAAACTATCAAGTTTGGTATATCAAAGTTCAGAAAATATAGAGAGGATGCCATATGGCATTGCATTTTATTCCCTTTTTACTTGTCTGGTTGCTCAGATTTGTGGTTTGAAAAGGGGAGAGTTTAATTACCTTATTGGGGTTGTGGAGTGCGATTTAAGTAGCATTGAAAAGCTTCAAAATCAGATAAAAAGAAACCCTTATCCATTTCCTCAAATAAAACTCAGAGAGAATATTGAGTCAATTGACCAATTTACACCAGAAGATGTCGAGCTTTTAAGATATTTTAATCATGGAGAAATTTAATCAATAATTAATTAATTGCTCCCAAAAAGTTATTTTTAATTTTTTTTCCTATAGAGTAATCATTAAGAATTTATTCCAGGACTTCCTAGTCTTTATTTATTACTTCTTAAAAAGATTGGTAATATTAAAATTTTACAAAGTGCTTTTGTGTAAAAATTAAATTCTGTTGAAAAATCATATGATTTTATAAATTAAATAGGCATAAAACTTTCATTTTTTCTACATATTTATACTATACTGATACATATTCCAAAAATTTCCAAAAACCTCATAATTTGCTATTTTTCTTTTATTTTTATTCTGTATAATTGAGATTCTTTACTTCACTCATAAATACATTTTAATTTTCATTTAAATAACTATATAAATAATTTTTTGTCTCATTTAATAGTGAAGACACCTTTTAATTTGATTTAAGTTAAGTAAAATTTGAATTAAAAGAAAGAAAATTCCATAAATTTTAAATGGACTTATAATATCTTATATTAAAAGATTTTCGAGAGACGTCTCTAAAAATAAATTGGATAAAAATCAAATATAATATTTAATTTAATCAATACCAAATGTCAGTAATATTTATTTTATTATAAAAATAGATGGATATCTGTAAAATATTATTATAATGAATATATTTTACTTACAATTAATTGATAAGTTTGATTTCCTCCATAACTCCATTAAGACTGTCGCCACTGTCTCCAGTTTCCACAGTTTTCGGGGCATAATCCTTCGAATAATTGAAATCAGTTGATGCCAGCTTTTGTATTCCACGGAAATTACCATGTGCAGGGGATTCTTTCAGGTTAATTTGGTGGAGCACGATATCGGGTTTAATCGGCCGCCTGCTCACATCCAGGTTAAGATTTTCCCTGTGAGGAGATTGTTCACTGGAGTTGGAAAGGGAAAGCCAGCAATGCCAGAATTGATCGCTTGGCAAACCGGAAAAATTCAGCGCTGTACCAGGTGCTATGTCCTAGGCTTCGTTTCCATTTTGGTAGACAGCTAGACCAGAAAATTCGTTTTTTTGAATTTTCCGGAAGGCGAACCCATTGTGTGCTGCATGGACCCAGTGTCTCCGACTCTCTGTATCGAGTGTAAACCTTGATCCGTTATGAGCAGCATAGTAGAAGGTCGTGCCCGGAATGGCAAGCAAACGATGAAGTGCTATCCGGAGGCGAATAGTGTCTGCAGGACTACAGCGGACTTCTGTAGAAGTAATTTAAGTCTATGCAGGGGATTCCTCAAGGTTGGCATTTAGTTCTTCAACAACGAAAAGTAAATTAGGTTCTGGAATGTTTTGATGATTTATGATTAGATCTGCTTTTGGAGCAGTCATTACATTAAATTAAGATTTATATCTTTTAACGTCCACTATGGGGTAGCCGCTTCCAGAGCTGCCACCATATTTGTCCACGTCCGGGCACATGGACCTCTGGATCGATCCACTTTGTTGCACCGGGACACGGGTCCATAAAGCGTTTCGGCTTCGATGGCTGCGTTGCCTTGCCTTCTTCGACTCAGCTCCTGCGCATGTTCCGCCTAAGGGTTATACTAATTGACCAAGAATAGCCCACTATGGAGCCATTCTTGGTCTGCCAGAAAAAAATTTGACAAAAAGATCCTAATCTGCCATTACCACTGAGTTTTGGTGTTTCCAAATTTTTGGGCAAGCCAAATGCAATAAAAAAAATTGTTCTTTTGCGATGATGCATTTGGCTTGTCAAAAAAAATTGGAAACACCAAAACTCAGTGGTAATGGCAGATTAGGTTCTTTTCTGCCATTACCACTGAGTTTTGATGTTGCCAAATTTTTTTGACAAGCCAAATGCATCATCGCAAAAGAACAATTTTTTTTATTGCATTTGGCTTGCCCAAAAATTTGGAAACACCAAAACTCAGTGGTAATGGCAGATTAGGATCTTTTGTCAAAATTTTTTCTGGCAGACCAAGAATGGCTCCTTAGTGGGCTATTCTTGGTCAATTAGTATACCTTCCTTGGGTGTGCTGAGAGGTGAAACTTCGAGCCTCTTGATGTACTTCGAGCAGTGCCTCAGCTTATCTGCCAGATTTAAACTGCTGTTGCTGTACAGAAGTTCTCAGAAGAAAACCTAACCCCATAAATAGAATTGCTTGAGGGAGAGAAAATTAGCGAAGCTAATTTCACTCGAACCGAATGCCGTTTTATTTATGCTTTTGGAGCAGTCACCAAAGGAATTTCAGCGTATTCAACATTTGTTGTAGGGACTCTGATCTGTCTTGAGGATTCCTCTTCAATACTTTTAGTTTGGTGACTGGCGATTGCATTCTTATTTTTTGTACATACACAACCCATTGGAAAATTAAATATATTAACCTATTTAAAACATAAGTTTGGTAATAGAAAATTATGCATAAAGAGAGGATTTCACTCCTAGGGATTAGAATTTTATATTCATTGATTTAATCCATCTTTATATGCTGATAATATTAGAAATAAACTTCCATAATTGTTGAAAACACTCTAATTAATTAAGTGATAATTTAGTGAAAAATAAGCAAAATAGCTATATTTATATAAATAAAAAAATTTTATAGCTTATTTTCAAAAATTCTGTAAACTAAAAATAATTTTTTGTGAATTATATATACTTTATTCTATTGAATTGGCTTTTTGTTGATATTTTTACTTTTATAATGAAATTTTATATATAAATATCAATTCAATTAAAATATATAAAAAATCTTATTATAGCAAACAGACAATTTATAGATTTATAATTCTTTAATAAACCAAAATGTCCAAACAAGTGACGCTGAAAAAGAAGCCTCATAATCGTAAAACCTCGCAAAACGTAACTTCGATGCTAGCAACCTCAGTATTGCCTGGCATCACCGAAGCTTTAAAAGAATCAGATGAGGCACCAATATCACAGCCTGAACGCAGAACCCTAGACCCCAGTGATTCTCCTAACTCCACTCTATGAGCGAACAAAAATATTTTGTTCACTCAAGGAGGGGAGTTAATTTTATTTCTTTAAAATTTAAAAAAAATCCAATTTGTAAAAATTGAGAAGCAAAAATTAATTTAATTTGCGAAATTTATATTTTAAAACTCAAGCTGTTTAAAATTAATCAGAATTAGCTAGAGATTTTGTGATAATAATTATCATTTATATATAAATTTTTTTTTTCATAAAAAATTTTATATTAAAAAAAATTATGTTCGCTCACAGAGGGTGGGTTTTTAGGCAAAAAATAGGGATTTTTCTAGTGGTTTTGTTCATTCACGGAGGGGAGTAAGAGCCATTCAAGCTTTCAGCAGCTTAACGAAGAATCTCCACATAGATATTCTTTTATTGAAGAACAAAAAGGTTCAGAAACCCCTGAGTTGATCGGGAGTGATTCTCTAAGCAGCCAAAATCCTAATGAAAATCAATATGAAGGTGCTCAGGAGCTTCCTACCCAAAACGAAAAAGTAGACAATTTCACCTTTCAAATATACCGAGAAACAAACAATCAAAACCCTCCTATGAATTTTGTAGAAAGCCAAGAAAATCCAAGAAGCGAAAATGATCCCTATGCACCTGAAAACCATTCAATAGAGCAGCAGGAGTCGATAAACGAGGATAAGTTTTCTTTTTTAACTGATGAGTCAGTCAAAAATTCATCGATCCCTCCTTCTGTTGAAGGAGAAATTTCCTCACTCCCCCCCTTTAAATTGGAACAAAATATAGGTAACATTTCCACTTTTTTGGTAAATTAACCCCCTTTAAATTGGAACAAAATTTAATTTTATAATAAAAAATTTTTATATATATAAATCATAATTTTTATGTAAAAAGTTTCGATATAATTTAAATGTTTCTTCTTAACTAAAATTAAAAATTTAGTTATATCCTGCTCTTGTTTAATGAATAGAGTATAAAGAGCATCTTATTTAAATAAATTTATTATCCTTAATTGTAAATTTTTAAAAAAAAATTTTCAAAAAAAAATTTTATTTTTTTTGATAAAAATGATATTTTTTATATAAATAGCTTTGATATAAATCCAATACGAATTCTTTACAAAAATTCAAAATTTACTTATCTCTTGCTTTATTTTAAAGAATATAGTATAAATAACATCTTATTTAAACAAAATTAGCACTTTGATCGATAAATTTTCTAAAATTTTTTTTTATCAATAAAAATAATAATTTTTGTGTAAATAGTTTTGATACCAATTAATAGTGGCGCATTAATTAATAATATAATTTTAGTTATATCTTGCTTTGTTTTAAAGGATAAAGAGTAAATAGCATTTTATTAAACAAATTTATTAATCTAATTCGATAAATTTTTGAAATTTTTTTTTTTATAAAAAATTTTATAATGATTTTTTTTAAAAAAATTTTCTTAACCCCCCCTTAAATTGAAACAAAATTTTTAGTTCCAATTTAAAGGGGGGGGAGTCAGAGGAATCAGAAAGCAAGTCTAAAAATTTAGAGAAAAAGAAAAAAGAAAAGGTTGAAATTGTACAGCAGCCAATTATTGTTAAAGAGAATTCGCCTGAGCTGTTAGAGGACATATCAGAATTAGAAAAAATTTTAGAGCCACTTGCAAATCTGAGTTTCCAGTGTGACCCAAATAACCAAAAAATATATGATGAAATTATTCGTTTTCGAATGAAGGATCCAGCATTCCAAGGGATCAAATTAGCATTAGATAAATTTGTTAACTTTCCCAATATAAAAAAATATATATAAAAATATATAGAAAAATGATGAAAAATTAATAGATGGATGGTATAAGCAAATTTTATGTAAAAGCTGTGGACAAAAAGTAGTAGAAATCCAGTTAGAATGCTCACATCAATTTTGTGTATCTTGTGCTAAAAATAGAATAGGGGAAGCCTCTAACTGAAAATTCCTTCTCTCTGACTTAGAAATAGAAAGATTTAAACCATCTTGTCAAGTATGTGGAGAAATATATACGAGGCAAGATATTATAACTATAATAAAGCCAGAAATTGATGAACTTATAGCTGGCACAGAGAGTGATGCATGGAGAGCTTGCCATACTTGTGGCATTAAAAAAGAAGTCAAAGATTTCTACAGTGATTCATGTAAAGAATGTTATGCTTTTGATAGATTAGATTAAGTTAAATTGCATTGAGTCTCTGGAAATTATTTCAGCCCAATCCGTCTTATGCCGGCTTCAGGCTTAAGGTCGCCCTAATACGCTGGTATTACACCACGCCTTTTCTTGTCGATGTTACCGAAAATGACTCAACAGTCTCTCGGGGAGACCTCTTACACTTTCTCTAGCCCTGACTGTAGACCACTCTGAGATAAGGCCAGGGTGGCCTTATCTCAGAGTGGTCTACTATTATAAGAAAATTGATTTTTTAATAACTTCCCCCCCCCCCTCCGTGAGTGAACAAAAAAATTTTGTTCACTCACGGAGGGGGGTTAATTTTTTTTTTTTAAAAAATTTATATATAAATTTTATAAAAAATATTTTTTTTTTCGAAATTTAAAAAAATCCTAATTCGCAAAAATTGGAAAGCAAATGTTAATTTAATTTATAAAATTTATGTTTTAAAAAAGCAATTCGTTTAAAATTAAACAGAATTAGTTTTAGATTTCATTATACTAATTATCACTTATATATCAAATTTTTTTTTCCATAAAAAATTTTTCTATTAAAAAAATTTTTGTTCACTCACGGAGGGTGGGTTTTTGGGCAAAAAATAGGGATTTTTCTAATGGTTTTGTTCACTCATGGAGAGAGGGGGGGAGTAAGAAAATAACATATTTTATTAGTAAAATTTTAGGTGGCCTTATCTCAGGGTGGTTAGCATTAAAAAAAATATACCACTCTGAGATAAGGCCAAGGGCATTTTTATAACAAATAATAAATGAATTACTCCCGAAAAATTTAAAGAGAAGAAGAGATAATTGTAAAAAGCTTGAAATTATGCAATCTAAAAAGGCAAGAAGGAGAAAATATTGAATTTGATCATTGTCCAAGATTTAAAGATTTAATTTTATAAAAATATTTTTACTTTAATTTGATTTTTTTATACCACTCTGAGACAAAGAATTTTCTTAGTGTTCAGGGTATGAGGAAGCACCAATACCTTCATCTGGGCTACCTTGCCTTTACTAGAGTATCATTACTTCCTAGAAGTGAGAACTGGCTCTTCGCCTTCGGTTTCTTGCTTGTGAATCAAGGAGAAAATTCTACAATGGATTATCAGCCAAGGAAAACCCACCCCAGACTCCCTAAAAGCTATAGAATTCACTTACCTAAGTTTTGGATCAATTCACCAGTCACCTCGACCTAGCACTACTCTCCATCTTTAAAAACTCCTTCTGATATAAGAAATGGAAAAATTAAAAATCAAGACCAACATACCAGTCACTTTATCGAAGAAAAAGGATATTGCCATGGCTGCAAAACAATAAGATATTTTGTAGGCGATTGTTTGACGTCTGTTTGCTGCTATAATCACATGCATTGCAAGAATTGTTTGGAACAAGATTTACAAAAAGGACGCTGCTTGACGTGCAAAACGCCGCTTTCTACTGAAAATAGCTATAAAATCAATAAAGTTTTGAAAGGAAAATGCGTTTCTTGTAATGAAGAATGTGATAGAGAAATATTGATCCCTAAAAGCTGCTGCCAGCATAGTGTATGCTCAGTTTGCCAAATAAATTCAGCTTTAACTACCTGTCTGGCCTGCAACGCTCCGCTGTCTTCTCGCAGTTGCAAATTTATTGATGAATTAAAACAGTTAGCTAATTAAAAGCATTTGAAAAATTATAATTATATATAATTGTTATCGTCTGGTTTGCACTCTTTGTATCATTATGCTCGTTCTCCGCTCTAAATCGATATTTTTGTTTATTTTCAATTCTTCGACTCTTTTATCGTGTTTTTTATTATATTCTTTGGTTTTCAATTTTTTTTCTTCTTTTATTTTTATCCTCTCTTGTTTTGCTTTTTCTAGCTTTTCTTTAATTTCTTCATAGTTATTTTCTAATTCTTTTTTCTGCTCCTCGTCCATTTTTTGCTTTTTCAGCTGCTTTTTTTTGAATAAAACTGCATTTTGTGTGGCTTTTCGGCTGAGTTTTTCATAAAGCTCGTATTTGGCGTTGATTATATTTTTTTTGATTTTTTCTTCAAGGGCTCTCATTATTAAAAAATCTTTTCTGGACTGTTTTAATTTAAGCTCTTTTGAAGTTATGGGGTCATTTTTTGTGGGGGAAGTAGTGTCTACGCTTTTTAGAATAGGACTTGCTGGAGAAGTTTGGGGATTTGTCTGTAGAGATAGACTTTCAGGCCGGAATTTTCTAGGTTCATATTTTGGGGATATAATTGAGGAAAATCTGATAAATGGCCCTTTGTGTGTGAAATCGGTAGGGGATTGCAGATTTGAAGGGGTTCTTGATGATGAATTCTCATCATCTACAAGCTTGGTGTTTATTATTCTTTCTAATAGTGTTTTAAATGATGATTTGTAGTCATATTTATTTTCTTCATTTATATTTTCTTCTGTTTCTAATACTGGAGGTTCAGTTTCAACATATTCTTTTTTTACTATTTCTGAGCTATTTTTTTGATATTTTTCTTCTAAAAAAGAATTCATATATGGTTCTGGTTCATATCGATGTGTAATTAAATATTCTATTAAAACTAATTAATTTTCCTATAAAAAATCGTCATTATTATTTAAAATTTTAGTAATTTTCATACCTATTTCTTTATTTACATTAATATAATATAATTAGTAATTGCTTGGTTAACTGTATCAAAACCTTCTGATTCCATCTTTGATTTAAAAATCTTATACTTTGTATTCTCTTGACTCACAATAGCTGCTGAGCTATGATTCCTTCTTAACCGTGCCGGAAGCTCAAATTCAGCCACTGAATGTGTGCACCTATCTCTGCTACAAAATGTGATAGCTTCTTGCTTACTGCATCCAATTTCTCGTAATTTTAAATAATTTAATGCATCTTCTACTTTCAATTTTGAGCTTTTCGGAGTTAATTTATAGCAGTGCCCCGTGTCTTCATAATGATTTTTTCCAATTAAGTCCTTTAATTTATTTTGGGTTTTAAAAAAAATTCTAAAAATAAATATTAAAAATTTTTTTAAAAAAAAATAAAAAAAATTTTATTTTCAGCTATTTGCGTAAAATTGTGTGTTGTATTATTATTTGTAGGGGAAACAACGTCGCAAGAATGATTAGTCCTATGTGTTTTAATATAAGGCGTATTTGGAAGAGTCGGTTTATAAGAATTCATAAGTGTTGAAATTGGAACCCCAGAGTAATTATGAAATCATCTAGAAGTCCCAGGCTTTTTAGCATAAATTGCAAGCTCTTTGAATTTTAAGTCTTTTTTAAAGTCTAAAGCTTCGGTATTGTCGAATGTCTTATACATATTTTATCGCAAATCTAAAAAAAATTTTTAAGTTATAAATCGTTTTTATATAAATTATAAGGGATTTCTTCACAGAGGGCAGGATTTTCAAAGTTCCGCAAATGGGCATCAATAAACAGCTGAGAAATGGGCCCTCTTACGCCACTTCCAATTTTCTTCCCATCCCATTCTAATACTGGGTGTATAGTATCCCCACTGGAGTAAAACATTTCTTCACAAGTCTTAGCCTCATCAATATGAATATTCCTCTGTTCAACTGATGCCAAAATTCCTTTATTTAAGAGCTCTTTTGCATTATTTACTACACAAAGCGAAGTTGTCCCTCTAAGAATATCATCATAAGGAGGCGTCACAAATCTTCTGCCAGGCAATATAAAAGAAAGGTTAGCGACTGGCCCTTCTGCAATAAATCCTGCCTCATTTACCATAATCCCAAAATGACCTCCTTGGTCTTGTGATTCCATTGCACATAGAGCGTTAAGTAAATAATTTGTTGATTTCATTGTGGCTAAAAGCTTAGGCTTTAGCGGCACAGAGGATGTAAATTCTTTTTGGATATCAGTGTTTCCTGCCCTTGCATCTCCTTCAAAAGCAATTGCATAAAATGCAGACATCCCTGGCAATGGGAAAACCTCGATACTTCCTGGCCCTGTAGATAGCCAATATCTGATTTTGCAGCATTGCAGCCCTGTAGAAGCGGCAAGCTGCTTTAAAATTTCTGCAATTTTTTGCCTTTCAAATGGTAGTTCAATTCTGGCTTGACTTGCTGACTTTAAAAGCCTATCCAAATGGCTTTGCAAAATAAAAGCTCTCCCGTTAATTACAGATAAAGTGTCAAATACAGAGTGTCCTCTGTGTGCCATATGGTCATCAATAGGGATGCTCATTAAGGCATGATCATTGATAATTCCTCCTAATAATGAATTATACATAGCTTTAATTGGAAACCGAGTTACGCTACTTCTATCAAGCGCTTCTAAAACTAGTTTGCGAGTTGAAAGAAGTGGGTCATCTTTTTAGATAAAAAAACATTTGACGTTCAAAAAAATATATTGGTTAAAGATACAATAAGCAATTTCTTTCTTCATTTGGCTTACATTTTAAAGTCTAGAATTAAGATTGCAGCACGTCTTCTTTATATATTAGATCTTAAGGCTAAATATCCAGATAAATAATTAGATCCTTATAAATACTTTTCAAAAAGGTGGTTTTTTCCTGTAAAATCGAGGAAAAACACTGTTAATTTTTCAAAAAAAAGGTGGTTTTTTCCTGTAAAATCGAGGAAAAACACTGTTAATTTTTTTCCCCTGTACTTTTTGAAAACAAATGTTGTTTATTTATCATGAAAAAACACTAAAAACCCTCCATCATTTTGACGGTAAAAAGGCAGCAAGAAAAACCTACCTTTTTTTCCAGATGACCCAAAGAAGTGGTACTCGGTTCATAATATTTTTATCCTATTTATAATCGAAATAATCATAATTTTATATAATGAATAATAATTTATATTCATTTTAATGAGAGAATAATTATGAAATCGAATTCAATTAAAGCTGCTGATAAAGAGGCACTTGAAATATTTGAAATGCTATTTAACTTAGGCCAAACTAAAGCTTGGTATAAGAGTTTAGCGATCTCAAGCTTTTGGTTTGAAAAATTGATAATATTGTTGAGGATTTCGCAGCTTTTCGTTTTTACGTTTGCTGCAAATTATGAGACTTGGCCTGTCAGATGAAGAGGAATGATACACGAAAGCGGAATATCGATAATTTTTGCAGCTGATTTTGGGACTTTGTTTTATGATGATATAGCTCAGCATTAGCTATGATTACCCTATTTCCCATTAAAAATATCAAATTCATTGATTTTTTTTAGTCAATAAAAATATTTTCAAGGTCATTCGTTACTATACTCATGGTATATAATGAAAGACAACTTTGCAAGAATCATGTACTCGTCAAGTTGAATTATTTTTGCAAGCGTTGTAATTGCGGTTTATATATTTGGAAGATTCATTATGCCGTTATCAGTGCTTTGAAGGCTAAGATTTGAGCGATATTACTTGGAAATCGCTCATTTATTTTATTTACCGATTGCACTTGGACTTTTACCAATTGCTATATGTAGGTATGATAACTGTTGAGATGATCTTGGCGCTCAGGCTACAACAAGTGTGATAAGCTTTATTATCATGTTTTTGTATTTAATTGGGATGCCAATTTATGTAATATTAGTGGCTAGAAAAAATATTATCACTGATGATCCAGAGGCTCATGACTCTCCCTCCCTTTAATTGGAACAAAAATTCCCGTTTCAATTTAAAGGTGGTTAATTTAAAAAAATATGATTTGACCACAATAATTTGAAATTTTATGCAGAAATAATTAAAAAGATTAATCGATTCAATATGAAAACTGTTTAAATAGTATTCTACTTGCACTTTTTTATTAAATTAGGTCAAAACTAATTTTATAAAATAAGTATTTTAATTATAATTTTTTAGTTTTTTTTTAAAATTAAAAATATAAATTGAATTCTTAAATTTTAATTTGTTTTATGAAGAATTAAATAAAGTAATTAATCGATTCAGAGTAAAAACTTTTAAATTATATTTTTTCTATTAAATTAGGTTAAAACTAATTTTTAAAAATTAGTATTTTCATCCATAAAATTTTCCTCTTTGAAAAAAATTGTTCCGATTTAAAATTGGGGAGTGAGGATTTTATAAAGCAAAAAGAAATGGAATATGTCCTGCAGATTTCTCACTCATGGTTGAGTGAAAAATATTATTTATTTTCATCATATAGAAAAACTAAATTCAGAATTTACCACAAATCTGTCTATGAATTTTTCGTACTCTCATTAGTTCTTGTGCATGGGCTACTAAACACCAACCAAGAAGTCAAAATGCTAGTATAGGACTTTCCCTTGAATAGCCCAATAACGAGCTGGCTTTATCCCGTTATCGGTCTATTCAAGGGAAAGAGCTATACTTACTCTACAACTATTTGGATTTTCTATATATTTAACTATTTTCCCTGCTTATAGATGCTTATCATCAAGCTACCTATTTGCAGTTGGTCTATGAACTATATGTGCAAACATGTTTTTAGGATATCTAAAAGCAGCCCATTATAAAGCTGAAGCTCTTGTGGACGAAAATATGGTCTCCATCCTTGTCGCAGTTAATGTAGCTGCATTAATTATCCTACTATTTTTAATGTGCGCCTACTTTATTTTCTGCTTAAAGTGGCCTGTAAACCTAAAAACCGTCAAAAATCTTGCTTTAGGTTACCGATTTCTTTTAGCAGATCTCAGAAATGCCCAAAAAATGATATTAGTCTTGCGCAGCCTCTCACATTATCAATTTGTCAAAGCTGAGCCTGTAGTGGCGATGATTAAGCTCCTAAGAGATCATTATTATCTTTTATATAATGAAAATCATCCATTGCAGTATACAGTTCTTGAACAGCTTGATATACTGAATTATCTTCAGCAGAGGGTAAGCTCACAAACGCTTTTACCTTGTAAAAAACTGGAAGAAAATTTTGGGCTTGTTGTAAGGGTTATGAACAGACGCTGGAGAGAACAGATTTTAATGACACCAGTCAAAAGAAGGATTTTATTAAAATTGTTAAGGCAATTTATACATATTTTTTTATGCATAAATAGTAAGGAAATCTATTATGTATCTTACTCCCCCCTCCGTGAGCGATCAAAAATATTTTGTTCGATCTTGGAGTACTAATTTTTTTTTAAAAATTTATATATAAATTTTAAAGTAATTATTTTTGGAAATTAAAAAAAATCCATTTTTTGAAAAATCGGAAGCAAATATTAATTTAATTTGTGTCATAAAACATTTTTATGTTAGCAAATTTGTTTGCTGGGTTTTACCCAAAAAATAGGGGTTTTCCAATAGTTTTGTTTCGCTCACAGAGGGGGGAGAGTTAGAAATATTTTTTACCATTAAAACTCTATATTTTACGCATGTTTATCGGAAACCGAATCATGAAGCCATTTAATAGTGGCGAGCAAAACAACTATATAGGAAAAGGCGAAAAAATGCGCCCAATCGATGTCTATGATTTTGACATGGACAAGCTTTACCAAAAATTAGAAAAAGTCTTAAGTGACGACGTAAATGAAGAAAAAATGAACGATATCACCTTTATTGGTGGAATAGATGGAGACAGTCTGTCTCTTAAAGGAAATATTCAAAAAGCACACGAAGAAAATAATATTCACTGGCTTGTGGATTTAACTGAAAATGCTTTAAATATAGGAGATGAAGACAGCATTGAGATGCTAGCTGAGATTTGGGATGAAAGAGGCATTAAAAATTTGCCTGAAGATTTAAGGTCCCGGCTAAAAGAATATAAGTTATAATAGTTATGAAAATTAGTCTTTAATATCACAATAAATCTTAAGAAAGTAAAAACTTAGAAAAGCTCCCTGCAAGATCCAATAAACCTTTATCTCCACCTTATTCCACTGCCTTCCATTGTATTTTCTCCTCTTAAATAATAGCTAATATCACAATAAGCACTTAAAAAATTCATATAAGGCACCGTATCAAACTTGTACTGGTCCGTATAAAAAAGAAGCCTCAGATATGAAAAAATATTAGGACTCATTTTAGCCCCAACTTTTCCCAATGCTTCTTCTAGCTGCTTTAAATTAATAATCCCTGTATTCTCCTTATCCATTTCTTTACATACCTTTTCTAGCTCAATCCCATACTTTCCTAATACATTTCTCAGCTCACTGTCATATTCATATTCTTTAGCCTCACTTAAAACTTCCCAAGGCTCCAAAATATCAAACAGCCTAGCTATACATTCTTCACAGGGGAGACTTGCTGAGCAGCCAAATACAAATCTACTGAAAAGCTCAGCTTGGGTTATGTCAAAAATCACAGGCTCTTGTTGTAATAATTGAGAAAATTCTGATTGTGTATAATATCGGGATTCTTGGAAAAAAATATGGGGAACTTGTTCAGTTGTCCATCTTTTTACTTGTAGACGGTAGCTGAGATGGGTTATTGTATCTTTTATTTGTTCATATGTGATGAGTTCTGTAGGTTTTAGCTTTGTTAACGTTGACACAAAAGAGTCATAAGAGATTTTTTGGGAATTTTGAAAAGCACTGTGAAAGAGCTGGAGCTCTTGAATGGTAAAATACAAGCCAATTTTTTCTAAAGCTTCGTTTAAGGTATCGACGTTAATATCAACATTAGCAATTTCTAATAGCTCCCATGCTTTTTCTAAGTTTATTCTTCTGTGTTCTATAGCTTGCCATATTTCTCATATCAAAATATTGATGTCTCTATTATTTTCTTCAGCCCCACAAAATTGGCAATTTGGGCACTTAAACTGCTCCCTCATCATTTTCAATTGTCCAGCCAAAATCATATTTTCCGCCTTGATTTTTTCATTTTCGTCCCGAGTTTCCAATATAGTCTGTTTCATTTTTAGCAGCAGCCCATCTCTTTTTTTCTTCCCTTTACTGTCTAATGTTTTTTCATCCCCAAACATATTCATATCATAAATTTCCTGTTTTAATTTTTTTATTTGTATGCACTGCTGCAAGTATTTTTCCTGCAAATCTTGTGAGACCACCCCCATACTCAGCTGGCTGAGTGCTTCTTCTAGCATCCTTTTCAGCCTTGTGCACTCATCAATATACATTTTTATTTCCACCTCCATTTCCTGTATTCTTGTGGCCCTGGAAGCTTTTTTCAGCTCAGAAATCTCTAAATCTTTGTTTTCTATTTGTTTTTGGGCATCTTTTAGCTGGTTTTTTAAGTGGTGCAGTAAGCTTCCTTTTTCGTTTTCTTCGTCTTCTTTGCGATTTTCTTTTTCAAGGATTTTTATTTTGGTTTTTAGCTTGAGATTTTCTTCTCTGTAGAGGTTCATTTGTGTTTTAAATTCCATGGCACGGTCATAAAGTTCTTCACGAGAGTAGGCAACGTTTTTCGATTTGGATTTTGAAGGATCTGCCTTTGATTTATTACGTGAAGGAAGAGCTGCAAGATTTTTATTTACGGCTGTGAAAGGACGTGAACGAAAATTTCGTCATGCTTTGAGGTCTGGGTATTTTGCACTGTTAGGGCGGTTGTTTAGTTGGTGATTTTCGAATAAGGGTTCCATTTTTGAAGTTTTAGAATGAAGAAAGATATTTAATTGAGAATAAACTCAATTTATTTTGGATATATGCAGATGTAAGGAAAGATAGGCTTAAATATCTATATGTGGAGTTATGATTTTTAGAAAAAAATTCATTTTACTAATATTCCTAATTCTTAATTCAGTTCTTTTGTTTTTGTTCTTCAGAAGTTTATAAGCAGCCTTACACTGCATTATCACTTTCCTTTATTCTTATTATTGAAAATAAATATTCAGCGAAGAGCTGAATCTTTATAAAATAGACAATGAAAGAAAATCCTCTTAATGCAGCCTAAAAGGCTATTTTAAAATATCTCTGATTATAATAGAATTGTTTAGATCTATATAATTCTATTTTTGCTAATACGTTTCATATTTTAAGATTTTATCTTGAATTTAATAATGGTCAAAGAAGAGAATTTTTAAAATTATTTCGCTTTTAAGCTTTCAAATTAATATAAATTTGAAGCAAAGCTGCTAAAAATAATCCTCAAAATTTGATCATTTCAATTACAAAATCATATAATTTATATAAGACATTCGTTAGCATAACAATTATTTCTCATTTTAAGAGTTTTTGTCCTCTCTTTTTATTATATCATATCTAGCATCTTAAAAATAGTTACCAAGGATTTTAAGCTTTAATTACTTATAAAACAATTTTTACATAATTGCACAAGTGCAGCTAATGAATTTTTGGTTTTTCTTCTCACTTGTAGTATCCATTTCAGACAAAGCCTGAACTGTATTAGTATATCTTGCAATATTGTAGGCTACTTCGAGTCTAGTTGCATCTGAACAACTCCCACTTCTTTCCCTACACTCTTTTTTTTCTATATCTTCTAACATTAAATCATGACATCTCATCATCATTGACGTGCTTCCAAGCATATTTTTAATTATAATAAAACTTTTGTAAATTTATTATATATATAATTTGCCAGTAACAATTTACAATGGTAATTTTTCGCAATATTTTCAATGAGATGATATTTTATTAGAAAATATTTTCCAACGAAATTTTCTAAAATGAAATTATTTTAAAAAATTGATATTCCACAGTAAGAGTTGCTTACTCCGCCCCCCCATGAATGAACAAAAAAATCATGTTCGCTCGGAGGGGTTAATTTTTTTTAAAAAAAATTATTTATAGAAAAATTTGTTTTTGAAATTTAAAAAAAATTCTAATTCGCAAAAATTGGAAAGCAAATATTAATTTAATTTGTAAAATTTATGTTTTAAAACGCAATTTGTTTAAAATTAAACAGAGCTAGCTTGAGATTTCATTATAATAATTATCACTTATATATCAAATTTTTTTTTTCATAAAAAATTTTTGTTCGCCCAGGCAAAAAAATAGGGATTTTCCTAATGGTTTTTGTTCGCTCACGGAGGGGGAGGAGTTATGAATTCTTTTAAATACTAAATGTTATTGTTTTGCTCTTCTTATAATTTTGCAAGTTCAGTTAACCCTATCTAATTTAAAAAGGGTTGCGAATTAACTTTTTTATTATTTGAATATAAGTTTCTTTTTAATAAAAATCTCTGATTTATATATTTCACTATGTCCACATTATTTTGCTTATAATTTCATATAATTAGAGTTGATTTAATGGCAGAATCTTCCTCGCAAAAATCCACATCAAAATCATCATCTCGTTCCAGGTCTCCTCCTAAACCTCGAAGTACCAGCCCATATAAAAAAACTAAATGCCTTTTACACTCAACTGCCCAATTTTCTAGTCAAATAAGTAATAGTTTAATTGGGAAAGAGTCATCACATTGGTCATTTTCCAAAGCAGACAGATTTAAACCACCACCAAAATTCACAGGTGCCGAATATGCAAATATTCAGTCTCATATTGGTAAATCAAGAACTACCACATTTGGCTATGGAAAACGGTGGCAGCCTTCAAATCCAAAAGGAAAAGACTCGCCATCTCCTAATAAATATAGGCTGCCCAGCTGTTTTGACAACTGTGACAATGGAGCTAAAATTTTTACTCCAGTGAGAAATGAATCTAGACGGTTATCTACCCCTGGTCCAGGAAGTTATGATATAAAATCTTTTGTAGGGGAATCTCCATCATACACTTTTAAAGGAAGGAATATTTTAAGGTCAAATATCGCGCATCCGCCACCTGGGGCTTATGATCCTAATCATTCTTTAGTGGAATCAGGAAGATACACTGCAATTGAATTTGGACGAAAAAGTCCAACGAAACATTCAAGTGGAGGGATAACTCCTGGGCCAGGAACTTATGATTTTGGATCTACGTTTGGATCTGATAGATCTCCTTCTCCAGTATATAAAAGAAGTGGAAGAAGGACTTTTAGTCTTGATTTTAGCAATTTTTATTAATTATGATAATTTATGTTAAGGAGTGCTTTCATTTGGGATTGATCGAGATGGAGAGAGATCTTCAGATATTGGTGGAGGAAAATCAGCTAAGAAAGGCTGATGGAATGACTTGGATCTTGAATTAATTTTTGAAGATTTTTCAGATGTAAAAGAATTGGGAATTCTTATAGGGTTAATGCAGATATCGTTTTTTTCAAATTTTTTATAGGAGTCAGCCCTGAACAATTTTTGGATACTTGCCATGTGATTTTCAGTAGCATTTTTCACTGCACTCAAAGTATTTTTTTCAATGATATCTACGGTTTCTACAACTGAATTCATGATTTTTTCTAACAAATTTTGATTTTCGCTCATTTCTGGCTGCTCATTGATAGCTTTTATACCTTGGCTTATTTTGCACAATTCCTTGATATGCTTTTTATTTTCATTAGTTTTTTTAATACAATTTTTAATTTCTGTTGTCAGAAGCTTAAGCTGATAATGCCCAGCAATTGCTGACTCTGTAATACAGTTATTAAAGGCTAAAAAAGCTTCACAAAAAGATCTATGCTTCTGGGATACATTTTTAAAATTTTCTTGATCTGGAGGGACATATCGAGCCAATTTAGCCAGATAGTCAGTGCTGAGCTTAGCATGCAACTTTGAGATTTCTTTTACTCCCCCCCCCCCCCCCCGTGAGCGAACAAAACCATTAGAAAAATCGCCATTTTTTGACCAAAAACCCACCCTCCGTGAGTGAACAAAAATTTTTTTAATAGAAAAAATTTTAATGGAAAAAAATTTTGATATATAAGTGATAATTAGTATAATGAAATCTAGAGCTAATTCTGTTTAATTTTAAACAAATTGCGTTTTAAAACATAAATTTTGCAAATTAAATTAATATTTGCTTCCCATTTTTTGCAAATTAGGATTTTTTTAAATTTCGAAAAAAATATTTTTTATAAAATTTATATATAAATTTTTTTTTAAAAAAAAAAATAAACCCCCCTCCGTAAGCGAACAAAATTTTTTTTGTTCGCTCACGGAGGGGGGGGGGAGTTAGGGAAAAATTTTGTGGATCTTGCGAAGTAGAGGCAGTCTGAGAATAAGATTTTGGCTTTGACAAATACACTTGATAGCGTATCCATATTTATAAATTTAGCCTGAGTAATGAGTATTTGATAGCTAATTTTAAAATTTTATTTTATAAGGCTGAAGGATCTATTTGAATTATTTATTTCTGCTTTTTTGTTGATTGCTTCTAGCATATTTTTAGTTTAGAAAGAGATTTAAAACACTTTAAGTATCATTATTAAAAGTTTTTTAAAAAGGTATAAGGTTTTTCCCTATATAGCCCTGTAAGGGCTGTGAATTAGTCCTGAATCCAATAGTTGGTGGAACCAACTCAGTACGTTGGTCGGACTAACTCACTTGTTGTTTCCACCAACCAAAGGATTCCGGAAGAATCCATAGCACTATATAGGGGAAAACCCTATATAATTTTTAGGGTCTAGTAATATATTTTGAGAGAAATAATCATATATGAAGTCTATGGGTATATGAAGAAAATTAAATTGGATTTTTCATAAATTTATATTTAATTCAATAGAATGACCTAGATTAGAAACCTTAATCATATTTGTTATATTAAATAGAAAAAGCTATAGGCTATTTATTGTAATAGAATTGATATTAATAGACCTAGGCTGCATATTGCAATCCTACTTTTATGTACTTGAAAAATGTAAAAATACGTAAAATGGCGTTGGACTTCCGATCTGCCCTCTCTTGTGATTGTTAATCATGTGTATCCTGGCATGGTTTTTGGATAAATAAATTAGCCCAGAAAAATATGACGTCCAAGGCGAGGGATTCAAGCACGAGCCCGTTTCTTTGTGATCAGATCCAATGGGCAATTACTTATGACTTCTTTTGTCAGCAGTACTCAGCTATTGGACGCCTGAAATAGATCAGGGGTGATTTCATTGCTCAAGTTGCTACGTTTGTTTGCCCCGAATCGTATAAGGGCAAATTAGACATCATTTATCGTGAGTCCCTCCAGTAAAAGATCTTCGACCGACTTTGCTAGGGAAGATTTGCAGGGAGGAGTAATTAGGCGGGTACCGCACAGAATGCCAAATGTAAAAGTAGAGGATCTTAAATATGTAGTGTAACCTATCTAATATTTGCAAAATTCTTTTTGAAATTGATATTTTATACTTAACTTTATAAGCAAAACTTGTTATAGAATAATAAAAACCATAGTAAAGTTTTAATCAAAAATCTACGCCCAATAAAAAACATTTTAATTTTAAAAAATTTCTGATATAAAATAATAAATTATATATTCATTATAAATCGCGAAAAACTTTATTTGCGCAGATAAAGCACTTATGAGGTCGCACAAATAAATAGAAATACCAAAACACTTTACTTCAGTTACGAAAACAATAGTTATTTATATGGCAAAAACTTAAGTAATTTATTAATTAATTTTCATCAGATACATAAATTATCCTATTTAAATCTTCCCCAATTTTTTTGCATGAACTTATACGTTTCATTTCAAAACAGCTATCAAACTATCCTAAAAATTTGCAAATTTTTAAAAAACAGAAATGGAAACAGATGAATGGGCAGTTTATTGTGAAAATACAATTCTTGAAAAGTAATCTTTACTCAGCCTTTCCTTTCCCGTTCCAGCCTTAATAACAGTTAATGGCTCTATAATCGAGGATATTCAAGTCTTATCTCAGCCTCTATCTGTAATTTTTACCTAGTTCGCAAATATTAAACTACTTTATCCAAGTCTCACTATTTTTTATTATGAAGATTCTTACTTACTGCCAGGATTGATAGACTCCAATGTTAAACTCAATGGTGACTGAGAAGGTTGCGAAAATGGCACAAAAAATGCGATTTCTGGAGGTGTAACCTTCACCTGTATTGAAAAAAATTTCTTCGGACTTATTGAAGACTACAACGGAAATTTATTTTGCGATTTAGGATTTTTAGCCCGAATTCAAGATTTTTCTGATTTAAATTCTGTGGATAAAAAAAATGGCCAATTTTTAGCAGTAAAGACATATTTGAACCCTCAAAGTAAAGATGTTGATAAGGTTAAAGATGTTAAAAGACTTTTCAGAGAAATAGAGTTGCTTGGCATGCCAGTTATTGTTGATTGTGCGTTAAGTTACTTAATTAACTTAATACACTTATTTTTCAATGCAGCATCCTGCCGTATCCATCCCGAATTCAAAAAACTTGCTCACCAAAAATGTTGGACACCATCTTGCTATCAAGACTGTCCTCTAAGCCCTATAAGTTCGGATTTCCGCAGTTATCCTTTTAGATCTCGGATTTAACAACTTGCATCCGTGTAGCACGCTTAAAGTCTAGTTTTCACTGCCTGGGATTGGAGATACACTCCCAGAAATTAGATTTTTAAAGGACAGGAGTCATATAATATACATATTAGGAATGCTATTTCCTTATCAGATTACCTAGATGAAGCCAAATCTCATAATCATAATTTTTATGACAAGAATTTAGTCGAAAGACCAGAGAAATCAAACATCGCCATATTTGATTATAATTATGCGTTAACAAATGACAGAATGCTGCATGTAGCATCTCCTTTTAGGACAGAACCAATAGAAAAAAGGTCTGACTTTCGAAATAGACTTAAAAGTATTGACCACTTTTTGGTAGCAGTTGATATGGACATAAATGTATGCGACTCAAATTCTAGTGGAGACGAAATAATCGAAGAAATTAAATCCTGCAGAAAAGAATCAACAAATAGCGAATGTTATGAAGAATTGACAAGGGCTGAGCTTGATTCTTATAGCTATGAAAGCACTGATTTTTCAGACGAAAATTCAGTAACCAAGTGCAAGTCTTTAGAGCTTGATAAACATTCTACTAGAAGAAATTCAAAATTAGATTTATTTAGACCTCCCAGCCTGCAGATGTTGGAATCGCCAAAATATGATGAACAGAACTATCAAATTTATTATCTTAACGTTCCTACGAATTGTGAAATTGCAGGAATTGATAAGATTTTAGAAGTTTATAATGGAAATCATCCGCTTCATTTTTCAAATTTATCGTGTGCGGATTCTTTTCAGAGACTTATAAATGTAAAAGAAATTTTAAGCAATGTTACTATAGAAACTTGTCCTCATTATTTATATCATTTTAGGCACATTTGACTTATATTATAGAAATTATTTACTCCCCCCCCCTCCGTGAGTGAACAAAACCATTAGAAAAATCCCTATTTTTTGCCCAAAAACCCACCCTCCGTGAGTGAACAAAAATTTTTTTAGAAAAAAAATTGATATATAAATGATAATTATTATAATGAAATCTAGAGCTAATTCTGTTTATTTTTATCCGAATTGCTTTTTAAAACATAAATTTTTGCAAATTGAATTAATATTTGCTTTCCAATTTTTGCGAATTAGGGTTTTTTTAAATTTCGAAAAAAAAATTTTTTATAAAAATTTATATATAAATTTAAAAAAAAAAAAAATTAACCCCCCCCGTGAGTGAACAAAATTTTTTTGTTCACTCACGGAGGGGGGGGGAGTTAGTAATTTTAAATAAATAAATAAAATAATTTTAGGAATTATTGATAGAGAAAATAATATATTTTTCAAGTGAAAATATCCCTGATAAAGATACAAGATTTAAAACCTTTCCACCTATTAGAAACCAAAATAATCAAAAATTTCTGGTAAAATATGGCTACATGTCATTTCGATTAGGACTTTTTCTATGTAATTTTACTCGTAGACAATTGATCGATATTTTTTCCTTGTGAGACATTTATTCGAAAAAAGGTTATTAAATATCCTACAAGGAAAAAAATTCACCAAATATTCCTGAGGAAATGTCGCACTAGCCAAAATTCAGTAGGAATAACATGCGTCTAAAATATCTGAAACAAGATAAAATTGACATCATCTCATCTAATCATAATCCTATTCATCCAAATTATAAAATGATGGAACTTGGCCAATTTAGAAGAGCTTTACCTGGGGTCAATTGCTTGGGATTTTCATTGCAAGCTGTTTGGAGCGTATTGATGAAGAAAAAATCCCAAAATGAAGGAAAATGGGCTGTGAAAATTGCGAAATGAATGAGCTGGAATCAAGCGAAGCTACTAGGAATTGAAAAGTACAAAGGGTCTATTGCTGTTGGGAAGCATGCTGATTTTGTGTTATGAAAACCTAGAGAGATAAAAGAATTTAGAGAAAATTATTCAAAATATCCTGAAAATTGTATTTACTCACTCCCCCCCATCCTTGATCGAACGACTCGCCATCGTTCGATCAAGGATGGGGGTTAAAACAATTTTTTTGGGAAAAAATTTATATATATATTTTTTTTTTATTTGCTTTTAAATAAGAGGGTTAAGAGTATTTAATAATTATTTTTACAGCAAAAAATTGAATTAATTTCATAAAATACCAATTTTTTAATATTTTTATTTATTAGTTACCCTTTTAAACTGTATAAATTTTAAATTTGTTTCTTATTGAATTAAAATTTTTTTGTTTTAAATTTTTAAAAGAATCTCTATTTTTTAGATTATTGAGTTTTTTTAAGCCTAGGTTGATGACTAAATCACTTCGGATGGTTGATTCCGTAGCTTTCTGTCGTCTTAAAGCTCTGAAAACAACTTCATTATGTACATCTTCCCAAGCTTTTGATCACTAATCTATTTTTATATATATAAAAATTTCATGATATGAAAATCGTTCGATCAAGGATGGGGGTTAATTTTCCCCAATTTTTTAGGAATTTTTACAGTCAATCGTTCGATCAAGGATTTGGGGGGGAGTCAGGAAAAAAATTGGCTGGAGAGGTTGAAGCAGTTTATTTGAGAGGAAAACTTGCATTCTATAAAGGAGAGTTCTATGCTCATGGGATTAAGATAGAACCTTCAATGAAATAATAATTTGCTAAATTATAATTTCTTAAATTAATTGCATACTAATTTAGAATGCTCTAAAAGTTTCCTCAAGACCCATCCAAACTCTGTGACGCTCAATCTTGAAGAGCGCATGAATCTACTTTGCATCAATCACGAATGGATTATTTTATAAAAAAAAAATATATTAATTATTTAAATTATTATTAGACAAATGAAGACCAGCATGCTTAAAGTTTGATTTCAAACAAAATGCCACTATTTGTTTATTAAATTATAAATGTGTACTATATCATCATTTTTTGCATCATTTCTTTCGAAACTCTCATAAATACATATAATAATTGCCAGAGAATCGGCCCCACACGGGAACGATTTTCCACGTGTGGAGCGATTTTTTCACACGTGGAAATCAGGATTCTCACTTGTGGAAAAATGGCTCCACACGTGGAAAATCGTTCCCGTGTGGAGCCGATCCTCGGGCTTTTTCTATACTTCGAATTTTTTCTCGTCCCAAACCTATCAGATAATTTAATTGGCTTCCTGCTTTCTTCTGCAACCTTTTCTAGCTCATTAAAAACCTCTTTTTGCTGATTATAGGCATTTTTTAAATTTTCAATCATTTCTTTTTCTTTCATTTCTAATTCCCTTAACTTATTTAATAGTCTTTCATTTTCAGCTTTTTTCGTTTTAATTTTTATATGGCTTTGTTGCTCAGGCAATTTTTTAAATGATAAAGATCTGTTTGATCTATTAGATAATGGTGAAGTACAAAAAATATTGTCACTTTTTCGCTCTGATCGATTTTCTGATCTAAAATTAGAAAAACTTCGATTTGTTTTGACTTTATTAACAATTTCTTTTTTTTCTTGCAAAATTTTTTCAATTTTGGATTCCAAATTACTTTTGTGTTCTTCTCTTTCTTGCCAATGTTTAGCTCGCATTAAATCTATTTCTTGTTTATGGCGTTGCTTCCATAATTCTTTTTCTCGAATTGCCTAGATGAAAGTTACAGATTGTCGTTGTTCCCTTTGCATTTGCAAAGATTCTGCACGCTTTTTGGCTTGATTCATAATTTTTGATGTTTTTTCTTCTTCTTTTTGCAAATGGTTTAGCCGATTCTCTAAGGCTTTTATTTGAGAATTATATCGTCGTTGTTCTAACGCTTCTCATTAAAAGCAATCTATAGATATTTTTCTTTTTTATTATTATTTTTGGCTTTTCTTCTTATCAAAATCTTTGTGATTTTACAGTATATAAGCGTATATCTTAAAATAGAATTATAACTAATTGGCACTTTTAAAATAAGCTCCTAATAAAATGATATAATTTATTATATTTTTATAGTCACTATTATAACTTCTATAAAATCAAAAACATTTTCATAAAAATAAATTTATCTAAAAAGCCTTAAAAATAAATATAATTCGCTATTAAAATAAGTAGATTAAGAGAGCTTGATACATTTCTTTGCCTTCGCTTACTCAATATAATCTTTCTTCATTTCGTATTTTTATGAAAGGGGAAGTTTTCTTTGATGGAGTTTGGTTACGAAAACTTGAATAAGTCCTTTGTGTAATTTTATAATCATCGTTATGTTCCATTTACAATCTAAACTCGCTTATTAAGACAAGGAGCAGTCATTTATAATTCGCCATCTAAGGAAGTTATATACTTAAATGACAGAAAAAAGAATAATCAACTATTCTGAGCTGAAGACAATTGTTGCTGCATTATTTTTATCCAAATATTAAATTCTTTTTTGTTTTTATTATTTTTATTTAAATTAAGCGTAATTCCTTTTAGTCATGACGTTATAAAAGTCATCGACTGTCATAGAAACTCCATCTGAAGAAACCTTAGCAATCGTTTCCTTAATTTCTTCATCAGTCATAGTGTCTCCCAGCTCTCTCAACACTTTTGCGAAGTTTTTGACGCTAATTCTTCCAGATCCATCAGAATCGAATAAGTCAAAAATTTTTTGAACTCCTTCTTTTGAGTTTCTGTTTCCTAAGCGGTCATTAATATGCAGTAAAAAGTCTTCAAAGGTGATGGCTGCTCCTAATTCTTCAATTCCTCCTAATAGCCTGAACATTGTGGTATCTCTTTCGTCTTCCATTGAGGCCAGGGCGGCTGAAATTTCTCTAGGATCAATGGTGCCTGAACCATCTAACTCCATCCATCACTATAAGTAGAAACAAAAAAATCTGTTCATTTAAAGGGATTTGATTTATATTAAATTTTCATTTAAAGCATTATATAAAATTTTTTAACCTTTTTATAAAATATTAATTTATGAAATTTATCGTTTAAAAGTGCTAAATAGTCTTTCTGCACTATGAAAATATACAAATTTTTGATTATTGAGACATTAAATTAGGTGCTAAAGGGATTTACATATAAATTTATTTTTAAACTAAAAAAAAAAAAACTATATTCTAATCTCAAGGATTAGTTTTCTTATTTTATTTCCAATTTAAAGGAGGTAGAGTAAGTCAAATAGATCGAAGGCTTGCTTGACTTCCTCAATTTCGTCAGGAGTCAAGGTGACTCCTTCAGGGATAGAAGAGTTTGGAGATTTACCTTTTGCTGTGCCTGAGCGAGGGTCTTTGCCTTTGGCATCTTTACCCTTTGCTGGCTCTTTACCTTTAGGCGCAGGGGCTTCTTTGCCTTTAGGTGCAGAAGCTTCTTTGCCTTTAGGTGCTGGGGCTTCTTTGCCTTTCGGCGCTGGAGGTTCTTTTCCTTTAGCTGCTAGAGGCTCTTTTCCTTTAGCTGCTTGCCCTCCTTTTGCAGGGGATTGCTTCCCAACAAACCCACCTGCAAAATCAATTGTGCACATCTGGCCATATTCTGTATGATTTCCAAAGCCAACTCCCGCAACTTTATAAGCAGGATTTAAAATATTTTCTCTATGTCCTCTTCCAGGTACTCCATCATCAATTAATAAAGAAACTACAATATCTCTCGCATTATTGTTCCCGAAATCAATGTTTTCACCAATAGTAACATCCCAATCTCCATATCTTTCTAACCTCTTCTCAGTAAATTAGCTGTTTTTTCTATAGTTATTAATTATTTTTAATATTTTAATTAATTATTTTCCAATAGAGTAAGCGGGATTCGGCTGTAGATCCATCAGTGCCATCATGGCCAGTTTCTCCTTTTGGTCCTAAATCATCGCAATGGTCTTTAGCTGCCTTGCTCATATCATCGCTTAGTTCTATTGGGCCTATTGGGTTCATCGCTTTAAGTCTTTTAATGACCTCTTGCACAGGAGCTGGGCCTTCTTGAGTTTCAATTGGAGTTTCTCCAGGCCTTGTCAGCATTTTCCCTTTATAAAACTTCAGTATATCAGCTACCGCATCTGCATAAGCTTTTGGATTAGTTCTGCACGCATTAATTTCATCAACAACTTCTTGTAATAGGGCTGGATTATCAGGTTGGCTTTCTCCTTTTCCTGGAGCAGTCTGTCCTCCTTTTCCTGGAGCAGTCTGTCCTCCTTTAGCTGGGCTATCAGCTTGTCCTTTCGTCGGTTTTCCTGGTGACTGTTTTGTTTCTTCAGAAGCTTTTCCTTTCCCAGCGCTTCCTTTAGGAGGTGCTTGATTAGGGTCTTCTCTAAACCCTCCTGCAAAATCAATAGTGCAGACATACCCAAACTCTGTATGGCTTCCAAACCCTACCCCAGCTACTTTATAGGCAGGATTTAAAATATTTTCTCTGTGGCCTCTTCCTGGTACTCCGTCATCAATAAGCCAAGAAACTACAATGTCAGTGGCATTATTGTTCCCAAAATCGATGTTTTCTCCAATGGTTACGTCCCAATCCCCATGGTTTTCTATGCGGGATTCTGTGGTAGAGCCATTAGTCCCATCATGGCCTGTAGCTCCTTGTGGACCGATATCTTCACAATGGTCTTGGGCTGCTAATGAGAGACCATAAGAAAGCTCAATTGGTGGGATTGGCTTCATTGCTCTAAGTCTTTTAAGACAGTCTTGGACTGCTGCTGGGCCTTCTTGGGTTATTATAGGGGTTTCTCCTGGCTTACGGATCTCATTGCCTTTGTAGAATTTTAAGAAATTATTGACGACATCTACGTAGGCTTTAGGATTGGTCCTGACGACGTTGATTTCGTTGATAACTTCTTGAATTAATTCAAGGTATTCTGAAGGCTGGGTGTCTCCTTTGGCTTGAGCTGGCTTTCCTCCTTGATTTTTGGATTCTTCTGGAGAGGATACAGGATCTCTTGGCTGAAGATTTCCTTTTTCTTCGAATCCTCCAGCGAAATCAATAGTGCACATGTGATTGAATTCTTTGTGATAGCCAAAGCCGACTCCAGCTACTTTATAGGCAGGATTTAAAATATTTTCTCTGTGTCCTCTGCCTTGGACTCCATCATCAATTAATAAAGAAACTATGCTATTTTATATAAAAATGAAGCTTTATTATACCAATTTATTAAAAAATTAATAATTAAAATTCAATAAAAATATCATACAATATCCCTTGCATTGTTGTTTCCAAAATCACAGTTTTCTCCTACAGTGACGTCCCATTCTCCATACCTTTCTATTCTTCCTTCCATGGTTGACCCATCAGTTCCATCATGGCCCGTTTCTCCTTTTGGTCCTAAATCATCACAATGGTCTTGTGCTGCCCAACTAACACCTAATGATAATGTAAGTGGGCCTATTGGCTTCATAGCTTTTAGTCTTTTAATGACTTCTTGTACAGGGGCTGTTCCTTCTTGGGTTTCTATTGGAATTTCTCCTGGTTTATGGATTTCTTTGCCTTTATAAAACTTCAAAATTTCAGCTACCACATTTGCGTAGTTCTTAGGGTTAGTTCTGCATAAATTAAGCTCATCAATAACTTCTTGGTAAATTGGAGGATAAGTGACTTCCCCTGGTTTTCCTTTAGCTTGAGGCTTAGCTTGTGAACCTCCTGGCTGATTTTTTCCACTTGGCTGTGAAGCTCCAGGTGCTTTTCTTTCAGGTTGATCTGCAGACTCAGTAAACCCTCCTGCAAAATCAATAGTGCACATATGATTAAACTGTGCGTGGCTGCCAAACCCAACACCAGCTACCTTAAAATCAGGGTTCAAAATGTTTTCTCTGTGTCCTCTTCCAGTAACTCCATCATCTATAAGTAAAGAAACGACTATATCTCTAGCTTGGTCATTGCCAAAATCACAGTTTTCACCTACAGTGACGTCCCATTCCCCATATCTTTCAATGCGGGATTCCATTGTGGAGCCATCTGTGCCATTATGTCCTGTAATGCCTTGTGGGCCTAAGTCGTCACAATGGTCTTGGGCTGCTTTTGACATGCCGACAGAAAGCTCGAGTGGGCCGATTGGTTTCATGGCTTTTAGTCTTTTTATGCATTCTTGGATAGGGACTGCACCTTCTTGGGTTTCTATTGGAGTTTCTCCTGGCTTATGGATTTCATTTCCTCTAACTCCCCCCCTCCGTGAGTGAACAAAACCATTAGAAAAATCCCTATTTTTTGTCCAAAAACCCACCCTCCGTGAGTGAACAAAAATTTTTTAATAGAAAAATTTTTATGGAAAAAAAATTGATACATAAATGATAATTATTATAATGAAATCTAGAGCTAATTCTGTTTATTTTTATCCGAATTGCTTTTTAAAACATAAATTTTGCAAATTGAATTAATATTTACCTTCCAATTTTTGCGAATTAGGATTTTTTTAAATTTCGAAAAAAATATTTTTTATAAAATTTATATATAAATTTTTTTAAAAAAAAAATTAACCCCCCTCCGTGAGTGAACAAAATTTTTTTGTTCACTCACGGAGGGGGGGGAGTAAGAAGCTTTAAAACGGCTGCTACATTGTCAGCATAAGCTTTTGGGTTGGTTCTGGCTGCATTAATTTCGTCAATAACCTGAGAGCAGACAGCAGGCATCAAATAAGGCCCAAGTCCTTGTTGGTTTTTTCCTTGACCTTTTGGCTGATTCCCTGCTTTCCCTTTTGGCTCATTTTTCGGTTTTGCTCCAGAATTAGCACTTTCTGTGAATCCTCCAGCGAAATCTATAGTGCACATATATTTATATTGTGCATGAGGCCCAAAGCCAATTCCGACCACCTTAAAATCTGGGTTTAATATGTTTTCTCTGTGTCCTCTGCCAGGAACTCCATCGTCTACAAGCAAAGAGACCACGATATCTCTAGCTCTGTCATTCCCAAAGTCACAATTTTCGCCTGAAGTGACATCCCATTCTCCATATCTTTCAATTCTAGATTCTGCTGTTGAGCCATCTGTGCCATCATGTCCTATAATACCTTGAGGACCTAAATCATTGCAATGGTCTTGTGCGGCTTTAGACATTCCTTCAGAAAGGCTTAATGGAGCGATTGGCTTGATTGAACGGAGACGCTTGATGCATTCTTGGACTGCAGCTGGACCTTCTTGGGTTTCAAGAGGGATTTCACCTGGCTTGTGGATTTCATTGCCCTTGAAGAGGTCAAGAATACCTGCAACTATAGTGGCGTAAGACTTAGGGTTTGCCCTGCATAAGTTAAGCTCAGCTAAGACTTCTTCACGGATAGATGTATTATCCATTAAAAAAAAATATAAACGTGGACCAAAAATACAACGCTAATTGATGCTGATTAAGCAAATTGGATAAGCCGGATAAAAGAAAGCTGCTTGATGGAGAAGATTATAGAAATTATATAATTAATTGAGGGTTTTTTTAAATATAGACATCATTCTTTTGTTTTCATTTGGAAATTTTGCTAGCCGTTAGTCTTATAAATCTAAACAAGATAAATTTTATATATTTCTGATTTCTTGATGAGACCTTAATCTATCAAATTTAATAGTTCGTGGGCTTCTGATATTTTTAAATACTTTAATTTTAATATGAATAATACTTTAAATTAATTTTAATATGAAAAAAAATATTAATAATTTATTTTAAAATAAATTTTATATGAAAATGCATACTGATTAATTTATAATTTATTATTAATAATAGCAATTAATAAAATTTGTTATTATAGTTAAGGGAGTTAATAATCGTATTAAAAACGAAAAATTGTTTATGTAAAAAACAATATTAATAAATTAGTCAACAAAACAAAATAAATGTATTAGCTTCGATAAAGAAATATGAAAATAAGCACAACTCCTGACCCACGATTATATACAAATTTTCATGCCAGAAGTCAAATGCTTTTAAATAGCAGCTTCATTTTAAACCACTCAAGTGTGTACCAAAGCTCCATCTCAAATTCCTCATTACAATCATCTAATAAATTCGATTTATTCCACACAAAAAGGAGAACTCCACGGTTTTCTCGATCAAATGACCCTCTCAGCAAGCCATCATCTCCACTTTTTACTCCAAAATCAAAAATAAAACTAGAAAAAATCCCACAAATACAGTTCCCAATAAATGAAAAAATCGAGATCCCAAAATTCCAACATACTTTTTATAAGAAGTTTATTGATATGAAGTCCTTAGTCCTCTTCAATAAGCGAGCAGAACTATAAAAAAAATCAAGCCGTTTTAGAAATCCACCCTCTATAAGCTATATGAAAAGATTTTAAATATAAATACTATAACAAAAGAACTAAAGGATTAATTTTATTGAATGTTACTTTTTAAATTGTATCTTGAAATTTTTAAACTTTGGAAAAAAATTAATGATAGAAATTTATATATAACATTTTTAAAAAAAATAAACTAGCTCAGAGTAGGGGGAAGCTAGATATAAGTGTAATCAATGCAAGAAAATTCAATGTAAATGTGAAGGAAAATCGAGGGATGAATTCGTCTTACTCCCTCCATGAGCGAACTAAACCATTGAATAATTCCCTATTTTTTGCCAAAAAATCTCCGTAAGTGTACAAAACTTTTTTATGAAAAAAATTTTGATATATAAATGATAATTATTATAACGTAATCTCTAGCTGATTCTTTTTATTTTTAAATTTTTTGCATTTAAAGACATAAATTTTGCAAATTAAATTAACTTTTACTTCTAAACTGAATTTTTTGAAAAACAAAATATTACTATAAATTTTTCTAAAAATAAATCCATAAGCAAACAAAAATTTTTCGTTGCTCAAAGAGGCGGTAGTTAGAAACTACGAAAAAAATAAAGCTGTTAATAAAGAAGAGAAATCATATCATTAATGAAATCAATGATGGATTCCAATTTAAACACAAAAAAATTGTACCAAGAATCGGTAGAAGCTTTACACCTAAATTCCGATGTAAAACAAGCAAAGATCCTTCTGATTTGGTAGAAATAGCAAGAAAGCTGATGAAAAGTGATGATGATGTAGAAATTTAATGTAAATTTAATTAACCCCAAATCTTAACTTTTTTATCAGCACTTGCTGAAGCTAAATATTTCCCATCGGGTGACCAAACTGTAGAATAAACATAGTCGCTATGTCCTTTAAGCTGGTTAATTTCTTTTTGTGTCTCTAAGCTTCATATTTTTGTAGTCATATCTCCACTTGAAGAAGCTACATATTTCCCACACGGTGAAAATGATACTGACCATATTCATCCCTTATGCCCTACAAAATCATATAAAATGCTTTGTGTTTTAAAATCCCACACTTTAACAGTTTGGTCTTTGCTGCCAGAAACTAAATATCCTCCACAAGGAGACCAATTGACACCCAATACATATTTTGTGTGGCCATTTAATTGATAAATCATCTGAAAATTATCAAAACTTCATATCCCAACCGAATTGTCCCCGCTTGCAGTTGCAATATATTTTCCACATGGTGACCAAGCTACGCACCAGATTCAGCCTTTATGGGCTTTTAACTCTCCAAATTGGGTATCTCTGTCTATTTTTCATATTTTAGCAGTGTTATCTCTGCTTCCAGACACCAAAAATGTAGAGCTTGGATCCCATGAGACTGAATGGACATCCATTGTGTGACCTTTAAAGTCCTTAATTAATTGAGAAGTTTCGACGTCAAAAATTTTGACTGATTTATCTATACTGCCTGTGGCGAGGTATTTTCCACATTTAGACCATGAAATTGAGAGAATGTCGCTTTTATTGTACCCTCTGATTTCTTTTGATACCTTATAGGTTAGCATACAAATATAATGTGGAAGACCGGCTCGCATTCTCCTTGAATTGCTAAAGTTTGGGGACCTTTGTGTGACCTAAGCAGGAAACAGAGCCTAAAGGTAATTGGTATTTGTGTTCCGATTGGATTTTGTCCCCAATGCTTTGTTCCAATTTAAAGGGGAAGCAAGTGGAATATTTACATATCCAGGAGGTTCCCTCGCAGCTAAACAAGTCTTTTTCAATGCTTGTCTTGAGTATGATCTAAGCAAGGCTTAATTAACCTAACCTTATAGATAGATAAATCCCAGATCTTTATTGAGCGATCTGAGCTGCATGAAGCAAGGTAATTTCCTGATGGAGAAAATGAAACTGAGTTGACGCTCATTGAGTGATTTGATAGAAGGTGAAGAAGGTTAAATGAGGAATAATCTATTTGTGCTGAAACTGAAAGCGTGCATTCATTTTCAATAGACTGCCCCGCAATGCTTTTAGCATATTCTGCATTATATTCGTCAAAAACTGCTAAAATTGGCTCAGGATGTAATTTATTAATTTCTTCTGTAGCTATGATTTCCAATTTAAGCTTTTTCTGATTCCCAATTTCTCTGCTAATTTTTAATAAGCTTTCTTCTAATTTCATTTTGGTTTCTTTAAAAATTTTGAGAGCTTCTTCTATTGCAGTATATTTTTGTTCATCTAAAGTTTTGATTTTATTATCAATCTGATTGATGATAAATGTTTTTAAGCCAAGATCTGGCTTGACATATAGAGACTCAAAAGGGTGCTTTGTTTCTTTTGAATCTTTCACATGGTCCTGCATATGGGATCCACAGATCATTACTTCAGAAGAGCTACAAGCACAAAACATTTCAGCTTTATTACTGCATCCTTCATAAAAGCAGCTCATTTTTTATTATTTTCAGATAAAATCAGATTTATTATAAAATTTAATTTATTGCTTTTTTTTATATTTTTTAGATTTATTAAGCGACTCTTTAAACGCTTTTGCGGCATCTAAATTCTCTCTTAGGATTTTTAGCCTTTCTTCATGTGAGCCCTTAAACTTTTCTAGCATAATACCAATTTCTTTATCTAAATTTATCAATTTTTTATTGACAATTTCTTCTTTTTCTTCCAAATTTTCAACACTCGAGCATGTCTGCAAAAATTCTTTTTTTCCTTTATTTCTTTTCCAAAAAAGCAGCGTCTCAACTTCAAGCATCATATAAATCATTTCTTTTGCATCCGCAATTTCCCAGTTTTCTTTAACTCTTTGAAAAGTATCGCCCATGAGCGATATAAGCAAATTAATCAAAATAATTGGATTTATTACTGTAAATATTCAATGAAATGCCCACATAAGCATGGGATCATAATAATCCGCATTATTGTCATAGTCCCCTATATTGGCTCTTCATGCTAAAGTTATCCATGTAAAAAAGCTTATACTTGTGTCTCCCTTAACTGCGCATAGAGTTATGGCAAATGCAAATGTGGAAAATAATAAAATAATAAAGAAAGCAATAAGATCATAAAATACAGCAAGTAAAAGATTGTTCAATAGGCGGGTTTTAGAATAAATGTTAAAAAATATCGTTGATCTGTAATATGATATTGAAATTAAAGCACCCAAAATATATTCATTTCAATCCTGATAGGTGTGGCTTCACAATAATATTATGTGGATAGTAAATAAGGTGATTCTTCCTCAGTCCACCCAATTATATAAGTCTTTTAAATAATAAATTCCTCCCACATATAGCTGAAACAGCTCATAACTTGTTAAAATTAGATGAAAAACAAATGCTGGGATAATATGGTTCTCGTCAAATTCTCATTTAACTGCATAAATTGATAATAAAATTAAATAAGTAGCAAAAATTGCAGCTTGCACGTACATGACCCATCCTATTTTTTCCCATTTTTCATTCAAAATAGTTCTAATTAATCTTGTCTTTAAAATCTGGGTATTTGGGCACTTATCTAGACTTTCTAAAAACCTTAAGCTCTCTTTTGTGCCAATTTCAATGTCAAGCCTTACTAAAGACTGTAAATACATAATATCTTTCCCTTCACTTGTAAAACGTACCCCAGTACTGAAATTTTCTTTTTTTGGAATAATATAGCTGGAATGGACGATATAAGGAAGTTTTGATTTTTCATTATAATCAGAGCACAAAAATGGCTTGGACTGTTTATAATGTTTCTGGCCAGCTTGGGGGCTTTTTATAATTTACGATAGCAATTCAACATTCAGGCTATAAAAGATATCTTCAAAGGACGCGCAAAGTAGAAAGCTAACTGCCAAGTATGTGGGAAAGTATAAAGAAAAGCCCAACTATTACAGTGCTCAAACTATACAAAATTTCGGTAACGACAAATCTTTACATCTTATAAAAATGCTTTTATAGAGATGTTCTAGCCCTGGAAAACCTTTAAAATTCAGATCAACAATAGAGTCTTCAAAATAATAAAACGAATAAGGATTAGCTGTAGAAATATCTTTCATTGCACTAAAAATGGCAGCTGTGCATTCTGTATACGATTTTTTAAGACAAATTGATAAAGGCGTTTCATTACGAATAGATGGGAAAAACCCATCGCCTAATTTTATGCTCTTTTTTAAATGTGATGGCAAATTAAAGTAACTCCCCCTCAGTGAGCGAACAAAACCATTGGAAAAATCCTTAATTTTTAGGTAAAAACAAACAAAAATTTTTAAATTTAAAAATTTTGAAATATGTATATATATATTTAAACTTAAAGCTGCTATACAGCACTTCTCTCAATTTTCTTCAACAACTCTAACAACTCCAACAGCTCCAACAATTCCAGCAACTCCAACAACTTCATTAACTCCAACAATTCCAAAATATTCCAACAACTCCAAACAATTTCAGCTTCTACAGCAACAGATCCAGCTTCAATTCATACATCAGTAGCAACCTCAACAATCACCCCAATTATTATCCATGTGAAAATCCCATGATTTTAATGCATCACTGAGCGCTCATTCCTCAACCGAACTCAGCTATCAAAATCTGAGACCTCCACTCCGCCATCTCCTGCTCCTCAGCACTTCTCCACTGAGATTCCACCACTTTGACGCCCTTCCTTTGGACTGTTTGCTTCCCTTTTTTTTTGGCGCGAAATGCGCCCTGTTAAAAATTAATTAAAAATTGTGAAATATAAGTAGAATTGGTATAATGAATTCTCTAGCTAATTATGTTTGATTTTAAACAGCTTGCATTTTAAAACAAATTAAATTAATATTTGCTTTCCATTTTTGCGGGATTTTTTTAAATTGAAAGATTAAAATTTATTATAAAATTTAGATATGAATGCTAAAAAAAAAAAATTAAAGCCCTTCATGAGCGAAAAAAATTTTTGTCCACTCAAAGAGGGGGGTAAGCATAAAAATGGAGAGCGTTAAGATGATACGGCTCTATAATGAATTTCTATGAATTGCACTTTAAGAGTAGGCAATTGGAGAGTTGGCAAATGATTCTCATCAACTGCCCGCCCTTACAGGAAAATTCACTAGAATTCCCTATATAATAAATTGGTCCATTTCAGGATTATGTGGAGGAGTTTCAGAGAGCATGATATCAGAAATATACTTCATAAATTTATATTTTCCAAAACTGGGGCCAAATATAGTGATATCGTGAGGTTTTTTAGGATTAAATCACGAAGCTTTCAGCGGGTTTTGGATGATTTGAATTATTCTATTTTATAATAAATCAGGCTTAAATAATAAAATTATTAATACCAACTTATTTTAATATTATCCCCAATACATTTTCCAAAGCACAGACAATTTCATGCTCCCCATCCGTAAATTCCATAGCTCGAATTTTATTTTTCGTTTTAATCCCAGTAATAAACCCAAAATTTTTTAAATCAAAAACCGTCAGTCTTTGGTCTTCAGAGCACGCAAAAAAATATTTTCCGTCAGTACTGCAATAAATCTCCCTCAGCACATCAGTATGAAATTTAATAGTCCTCAAGCAGTTTCTGTTTTTTATGCTTCATATTTTAATTTCTCCGTCTCTATACCCTGATATCAGCAATTCTCCATCTTTTGTGGCTTTTATTGTCTGGACTTTTGTACTATTCCCTTTAAGCTCTGCATGAAGTTTAAATTCTTTTAAATCATGCAGCATTATTTCTCCATTTTGGTCTCCACTGAAAAGGTGATCTCCATGCAGAGCTAAAGATCAGATTGCGTTTCTATGAGACCTTATTACGTGTTTTAGGGTTAAATTTTCCATTTCTCATATAGAAATTCTAAAAGCTTCATCCCCAGTGATTACAAATCTATTGTCAGGGGTAATTAAAATTGCCCTGACAGAGGTTTCTTCTAATATAATTTCTTTGATTTTTTCATAAGTTTCTAAATCTCATATAACAATTTTTTGGTCATCAGTACAAGAAAATAGCATATCTTCATCTAGAGACATGGCCATAGCGTACATTGATGAATCATGGATAAGCTCATGAATGATTTTATTTGTGACAAAATCCCATACAATAATTTTACAATCGTCAGAATTTGAATATACTGTTAATATTGAATAGTTCAGAGAGATAAATAAATAATTTTATAGTTATATTAAATCCAAAAAGTATATATACAGCAATTTATGGTGAATGGAGCTTCTCTATTATATATATTATCTATAAGAAATAGAATAGTGATATAGGCTTAAGAGCTTTATCTGCTGTAAGAGGCATATATTTCCTTTTTTGGGATATCAGTAGTTTATATATGGTATCATTATGGCCAAACAGCAATTTATTATTTTGAAACTTCGGGAATTTTCACATAGAGATTTTATAGTCTCTTCCAAATGAAAAAATTATTTTTTCATTATAACTAATAGATATAGCTCTGACAGATTTTTCGTGACCTAAAAGTACAACTTCATCTTGATTTGTGTGGATACTCCATACTCTGACTGAATTATCCTTACTCCCAGTCACAAGTATACTATCTGAGCTATTAAATTTCATAGTTGACACCTCATTTTCATGCCCTTTCAGCACCTTTACTATCTTGCAGGTCTCAAATTTCCAAATATTTATATTAAAATGCTGATCACTCGTTGCGAAATAAGTTTTTTTAGGAGAAAACTTAACACAAGTAATATTCCCTTCAGGGCTTTCCAGTCTTGATTGTACTGTTTTATTAGTTATTGAATATAAAATAATTGTTTTTCCAGCATCTCCAGACAATAAATGAAGGCCATCTTTACTAATATTTAAAGCCAGCACAATATTTTCATGCTTATATAGTATTTGTGAGCTAAAATTTATCCCATCATCAATTGATACACGCACAGTGCAGTCTTTTCCAGCTGAATACAAAAATTTTTCATCTCATGAAACACATACAACAGTTATTAAATCCTCATGCCCCTTAAATGTTGTAACTGTCTCAAAATCATATAATGATATTTTTTTAATCAGATTTTCAGTTGCTATATATGCGAATTTGTCGTCATCTGTTATAGAAATTTCCCTTAGATGGCACAGTTTGCCCTTGATTTGCCCACTGGAAAATTTTTTTGGCTCGACCAGTACCATATGGTTTGGTCAAACCAAAAAATTGTTTCAGTGGGCAAATCAAGGGCAAATAGCGCCATCTATGGAAAAATTCTATATATCGATTGACTGGATTTTTGCATCAATTCTTCAGTCCTTGAGGATTTCTTTTTCGTTACAAATAATGAGCCTTTTATTCGCGCCACATACAAAGGTTTCCCCACCACGCATTGGCTTCATACAAGTGCCTTTGAATGGGATTCTGATAAATTTAGGGAGTCTTGCGGAAATGTAATGTAAAGTGGCTTGGAAGTCTTTTGCGATGCCTACTGATGTGTTTTGTGTTATTTCAAGCATGATAGGGTTGAGTTTGATTAGGTTGGATTGGGTGTTTGAGGTTAGAGAACTTAAAGCAGTTTGGTCATTATTGTTTTTGTCTTCTTGAACAGTTTCAAAAATAGGCTTTTCAGATGAGTTTTCATCTGTCATTTTTTGTAATATGTTGAGCATTATTTATTTATAATAAAATAAGAACATTTTGAGTTTTGACTATTAAGATGAAGATAAATTTTGAATTCAACTTATGATAGTCTACTAAAATTTATCTTAAATTCTTCTATAACTAGTTTATTTAATTCCCCTATAAATTATCTAGTTATTAATTGTCATTTAAGCCAGTTTCTTTATTCAATCATTTTTCCCAAAAGAATTACTTAAAATCCAAATTTAATTCTAATAGACCTAACTTAAAAAATATAATTAACCCATATATATAAATAGCTTGTGAAATATATTTATTCTATCAACAATTCTATACTAAATAATCATCAATGAAAATACTGACAATATCTAAATAAAATGAAGTTTCAAGAATCCATGGACTCTATGGCCGATGAGGCTTCAGATAAACGTAATAGAAAGGCTAACGAAGAAAGAGACCCCAAAAAAAGGACAAACGCCAAAGAAACAAGAATAAGAAATGAAAAAATGCTTAAACGGCAAAAACAGCGCGAGGAAGCCGAAGCCGCGAAGGAAACAAATACAGATGATATGGAGATTGAAGAAGATGACTTGAAAAGAGTGACCAGAAGAAAGGATCAAGAAGTAAAGCATATGAAAAGTCTAACTTCCCCCCTCCGTGAGTGAACAAAAAAATTTTGTTCACTCACGGAGAGGGGTTAATTTTTTTTTTTAAAAAAATTTATATATGAATTTTATAGAAAAATGTTTTTTTTCAAAATTTTAAAAAAATCCTAATTTGCAAAAATTGAGACCAAATATTAATTTAATTTATAAAATTTATGTTTTAAAACGCAATTTGTTTAAAATTAAACAGAATTAGCTTGAGATTTCATTATATTAATTATCACTTATATATCAATTTTTTTCATAAAAATTTTTTTCTATTTTTGTTCGCTCATGGAGGGTGGGTTTTTAAGCAAAAAATAGCAATCTTTCTAATGGTTTTGTTCACTCACGGAGGGGGGGGAGTAAGCAGAAAAGCAGAAAACCAAAATGTGTACATTAATGAATTCATAGACAATATTGTTGGAAAAAAGCCAGAGAATCTGAATACCAGACAAGGAAGAGAATACAGAGAAAAGCTTGCTAGAGCTTCTGTGCCAGGCTTTAAATCAGAAAAACTCAATAAGCTTAAAGAAGAAGTAGGAGAGCCTGGAAATTAAAAATAAGTTAGATAACTTATAAATAGTTTTTTAAGTTTTATGTAATTTTTTGATTTCTATGAGTTTTCGCTGAAATCTGTTTGCTGAATTTATATTTTTATTTTGCTTAACACTTATTTATTAGAATTTGCATTATAATACTAATAGAGGAACAATTATGTAATTCGAAGAGGTTAAACCTGTTGTATTCATATAAGATCCTATAAAAATTGCATTTAATTCCAAAAACTCAAATACTTTAATTAATCACTTTAAAACTTCATAACTTTCCCATTTATTTTCAGAAACCTACAGAATCCATAATAATCGATAAGTTTCTGATTTCAAATTACAAATTAAATTTTAAATATTTCTTTATCCCTATCTCCAAACACAATATCCCTTAACCATTCTCTCTATAAATTTCTTATGTGTCCCTATAGCTACTGCCCTCGCTTCTTCTCCATATTCCTGATCTCGTTCTCTCTCCAAAAATCCAAATAAAATATTTCCCTTATTTTTATCACCCACCAATAAATCAGTATATAAAATGAACACTAAAACACACGAGTAACCCTTATTTTAGCAAAAAACTATTTATAGGCGGTCTTCCTTCAGAGCTGAAAGAAGAAGAAATAAAGAGTTATTTCAGCAGATTTGGACGTGTTGAAAAGTGTTCTTTGATACTCGATAAAAACACAGGACGGTCGAGGTGCTTTGGTTTCGTTACTATGGTAAACCAAAGCTCAGTTAGGGTTATTTTAAGTAGAAAACATTCACTTTTAGGTAAAGAAGTCGAGTGCAAGCCTGCTTTTCCGAAAGAAAAAAACGAAAAAGCCAATAGGAGCCGAAAAATTTTTGTAGGGGGTTTGCTTCCAGAAGTTACGAATTCTGAGTTTTATGCTGTTTAGAGGGACTAAATATTATAGGCAGGCTAATAAACGTCTCTTATTTTAAAGAGAACTGTTTTTGTCTGTCCAATATATTTGCATTATTCTCTTTAAAAAGAATATCAGTATTTCGAACAATTCGGAGAAATTGAAGACAGTGTAGTTATCCAAAATTATTTTAATTTCTAAAAAAAAATAATTATTAAAAATAAATATTTTTTAAAACTAATTTAGCAAATATAGTAAGAAAGGGTATATGAAAGATAGGATTACAGGCAAGCCCAGAGGTTTCGGCTTTATTACTTACTCCCCCCCCCCCTCCGTGAGTGAACAAAACCATTAGAAAAATCGCTATTTTTTGACCAAAAACCCACCACCCTCCGTGAGTAAACAAAAATTTTTTAATATAAATTTTTAAAAAAAAACAAATTAACCCCCCTCCGTGAGTGAACAAGATTTTTTTGTTCAATCACGGAGGGTGGGGGAGTTACGAAAAACAAGAATCTGTTGAAAAAGTTATGAGAAATTTTTCTAATAATTTCATTCGGGATCGATGGGTAGAATGCAAGAGGGCCATACCTAAAGAAGAAATGAGCAATTCGGCAACTATTATTATTGAACCGGATTCGGGCTCATCTGAATTCACTGAGTGTGAATTAAAAAGGTCGTGGTCTGATATACATTATCAAATTGTATTTCTCTAATAAATCTCCAATGATTTTTTTAAAAAAAAGCACCATAATAAAAATTATTATAAAAATTGTCCTCATTCTCAACTAAACACACAATAGGAATAGCTGTGAAACTGAAGAGTTATGTAGGAGCCTTGTTGATTATGTGTTATCAGATGATGATAGAGAATAATGGCAGTTTGTCATATGTTTTAACTAATAATTAATGTATAGATTATTAATTTTGTATTAAATGAATAACTTTGTTGATTGAAGATCAATTATTATAAGATGGAAGAATTCGACCCTGTGCAGCACTGTGAAAAACTGCTGAAAAATCATGAAATTATTAATCTCACAAGCTTAGAAGGCGCTTTAAATCGAGTTAAAACAGAGCTAGAAAAAGAAAGAGACACAGCAATTGAAGAGATTGAAAAAATCCAAAATGAATTGAAAGGAAAAGGAGGGATGAATCTCCATACAAGTTTAGTGGAGAGGCATAATAAAGCTCAGAAAGGATTAGATTTAGCAGGAGTTATGGTAAAAGATTTAAACCAAGGCTATGCGATTACTAATAAACTAATTGAAGAAAAAGATAAGCATCGAAAAAATGCAATCCTTATTTATGAGCTTGTAAATGAACTTTTACATCTAAACAAGTAAAAAATATACAGCAATGAGTCAGATATCTGCCTATCCCCTCAGCATTGCATTTTACTGAAGCATTCTCTTGATTCTTTAGATCTTACAGAATTCGCTATAGTAATTTTTATTTAGGCCCAGCAAATTATCGCGAGTAAATTTTTATAGAAAATTCCTGGGGATAGCGCGGAATACGCTATCCCCAGACCAACCGGGATCGGATCCCACATGGAACGAGGGTTCCATGTGTGGATCCATTTTTGACACGTGAAAGTAAATATCTCACATGTCAAAAATGGATCCACACATGGAACCCCCGTTCCATGTGTGGATCCGATCCCGGTTGGTCCTGGGGATAGCGTATTCCGCGCTATCCCCAGGATTTAGTATATCTCAAAAAGCTGAATTAATTGAAAAATTCCGCATTGGATATGAAAAAAAAGAAATTGATATCATGAAAGACGCTTATAATTTATTATAATATTTATGATAAATAGCTTACTGTGGCTGGCAAGCCATATTATTTTTTGAAATAATTTAATTTGGCTAACCAAAAAATGATATTCTTCAGAAAATTGTATAGCAGATTTCAATGGGCAAAACGAGTGTCTTCAATTTTATATCTCAAAAATCACAGAAACTGTCGGAATGTAAAAATCATTTAGAAGAGACAAAAAAACGAGTTTTGATCTTTTTGAAAGCCAAATGGAGGCAGCTTTAAGAGAAGCTGAAAGTGTTTTTTCGAGAGAAATTATTAGCAATCATCCTAAACTCTCTGCAATTTTTGGAGACACAGAACCAGTAGTTACTTTATTATTACTCCCCCCCCCCTCCGTGAGCGAACAAAAAAATTTTGTTCGCTCACGGAGGGGGGGTTAATTTTTTTTTTTTAAAAAAAAATTATATATAAATTTTATAAAAAATATTTTTTTCGAAATTTAAAAAAATCCTAATTTGCAAAAATTGGGAAGCAAATATTAATTTAATTTGCAAAATTTATGTTTTAAAACGCAATTTGTTTAAAATTAAACAGAATTAGCTCTAGATTTCATTATACTAATTATCACTTATATATCCAAATTTTTTTCCATTAAAATTTTTTCTATTAAAAAAATTTTGTTGTTCACTCACGGAGGGTGGGTTTTTGGTCAAAAAATGGCGATTTTTCTAATGGTTTTGTTCGCTCACGGAGGGGGGGGGGGGAGTTAGCAGAAATAATAGAGCTTAAGCTGAAGCCTTTTGTCCATAATATGCTAGATTCTGACAATATCACAACCTTAAGATACTTACTCCCCCTCCGTGAGTGAATAAAAAAATTTTGTTCACTCACGGAGGGGGGTTAATTTTTTTTTTCAAAAAATTTATATATAAATTTTCTAAAATATTGTTTTTTTGAAATTTAAAAAAATCCTAATTTGCAAAAATTTGAAAGCAAATATTAATTTAATTTATAAAATTTATGTTTTAAAGAGCAATTCATTTAAAATTAAACAGAATTAGCTCTAGATTTCATTATATTAATTATCATTTATATATCAAAATTTTTTTCCATAAAAAATTTTTGTATTAAAAAAATTTTTGTTCACTCACGGAGGGTGGGTTTTTGGGCAAAAAATAGGGATTTTTTCTAATGGTTTTGTTCACTCACGGAGGGGGGGGGAGTTAGAATACCTATCTTACTCCCATTCCCACATCCACGAAATGTTTGAAAGAATAAAAACAGACACCCATCAGCTGAATATCCAAATTTCTTCTACCTTAGACCATCTTTTTAACAACATTTTTGGTCCTTTTTTATCAAATTATTTTACAGTTGAATTTAAAACAGTTAAAAGCTCATTAGACACCACCTATAATTTTGTAATTGAGCCAGTTGCAAATAAAGGGATCAGGATAATTGTAGATATGAAGCAAATAATTTCTCCTGATGAAGAGGTCAGAAAAACAATAGACGCCTGCTTAGATTCTGTTGGGAGAGTAAAAAATAGTGATATTATAACTGTAATAAGAAAAGCCATGATTAGATGCAAAGATTTATCTCAGCCTTCAGAAGTCCATGCAAACTGTGGACAGCTAGTTACTATAGGACTAGATACTGCTTATACTTCATTATTTCCTTATTTGATAAATAAAATTATCACTATTATGAATTTAGAAGGAAATAAACAAAAATATTTATCAAATATTTTTTGCTTATTGTCGGAAATATGAAAAATTGCGACTGAGTTCAATAAAGCTTTTTTGAAGCAGCTGATAAACACTTTGCAAGACCCGGAAAAAGAACATTGTGATGGGCTGAGGAAAAGGTTAAGTGTAAGTATAGAGCAAAATTTAATGAAGGGTTTAAATAAATGCATAAATCAAATTATTACAGAATGTGAAAAAATTTTGACGAATGAACAAAAAAAACAAGATTATACATAGAAGCAGGTTTTGCTTTGGCTGAATTTTTTTTTTATTATTTTCTAACTTCATTTTTTAAACATAAATAATTATGGCAGGCTGTTTAATTAGGAATTATAAGTTTGTCAGTATAATTAGTTGATTAAATTTCTGATCGGCTCCCACGAGCCAAAGATGGATTTCACTCGTGAAAATCCAGAAATTCCACGTGGAAACCCATTTTTGGCTCGTGGGAGCCGACCAGAAATTAAGCCAAAAATATTATAGCATAAAAAAGATATTTCAAGGCCAAGCTACAGCTATGCTTGCAGTATATTTAAAAAATGAAAAATACACAGACAATACTCAAGCTTGTAGCGCTGTATATGAGTTTTTATCACAGCATATTGGAATAATAAAAGCTTCTCTCCCACCCGCCCAATCATCTAAATTATTAAGCAATCTCGGCACAAAATTCATCGCAATCGTGGTAGAGCATTTAAGTAAGTTTACAATTTCCCAAGAAAAAGCCTTGCTTTTATCAAGTGATATGAATAAATATCGAAATTTAGTGCTTTTGTGTGAAAATGATAAAGCTGTTTTGGATTTTGAAAAATTTCGGCAAATGATGAATTTATTTATGCTTCCGCCTAATTCTTTAGCTGATTTAATCCATGCAGAGCCTATAGCATCAATTGATCGTACAATATTAGCAGAATTCATAAGCCATAGAGAAGATTTCAAAACTGCTAGAGTTTCTAAATATCTTCCTTCAATCTAGAATTATTAAAATGGCGTGATCTGACGTGGACTCCTGACAACCCGTGAGTTGATCCGGGGGAGGAAAGGCGAGCCACATGGCGATAGTTCTCTGGGGTAGGTTTTTGGTCTAAGGGACAACCTTAGATCTTTTTTCTTACCTGCAAAAGTCCCTACCGGCGCAAAGACCCGATTCCACTCCATGGGAGCAATTCTTGAGCCTGCAATAAGGCTCTGACAGTCATGGAGAAGGCAAAAGACGATTCACCCATACTCTGAGCCCTGTCAGAGATTAAGGGAGTCTTCTGCTGAACTTTGGGTCCAAGAAAGGCTTAGGCCGATCGGTAGGGTTTTCTCCCCGATAGACCTCTGGCGTCACGATTTTTTTGGGGACGTCAGTGGGGAAAAAAAGGTGGTGTGAGGATAGCGCTTAGCGCCAACGCGAAGCTATCCGTTGGACGGAGAGGGGCTGAAATAAACCCTGACGACCCGCTATAATTTTTAATCTAATCTAATCTAATCCTTCAAATCTTTCCACAAGGCTATATTCAATAATTAAAATATTATAAGAAATTTTATTTATGTTTTCTGGTGGAATTTTTTTTCCTTGCGGATTCTTCTTTTAAATCATTTTTATGATGGCTTGGAAATATTACTGCCAGGCTCTGTAAAAAATATGGCTGGGTATTTTTTAGTTTTTAAGAAAATTCGAATTAATAATGGTAAGCCAGAATATCAAGCTCTGGCTCCTCTTCAGCTTCAAAAAGCTGGGCTTCTTCTTCACTTTCTGGGTTGAAAAACTCAGGCTTTACTCTAACAATTTTAGAAAGGGCTTCTTGGGTGCTCATTTCAGCCTAAATATTTTTTACCACTAAATCAGAAGTTTTCTTATGTGCATAAATTTCCATAGCTTTTCTTGACTCTTCTTTTCTTTCTTGTATTGGCTGTACAAGGTCTTCTAGTTTAGAATAAATAAGCTCAAGCATATCATGAAGAGTATTTTTTGATTCAGAAATTCGGTTTCCTGGAGCTATTTCTAAGGAATTTGGGATGTCAAGGGTATGCATGATTTTTTCGCCCCAATTTAAGACTTGGTCATACACCCTTGTTGCTTTATGTCTACTTATAATAGCTAAAAGCTATAAATTATCATAATTTTCTTATTTTTAATAGAAATAGGAACTAACGACTGATAACTTAATTTTCATTTTCTATGAAAAGTATATTTAGTTTTTCTTTATTATTGGAATATTCTTTATATGATCCAGCCAGCTGATCTTCCATTGCATCAATATCTGCGTAGACTTTTCTTGTATTCCCCCCATCCTCAAGTTGAAGGCCTTTCAATTGATTTCTGGCTGCACCGTTTTGCTGCCGTAAAGTATCTAGCTTTATTTCTGCTTCAGAAACGGCGTTTAATAGCTGATTATAAGTTTGTTCACGAGTTAAAAATCTTTCTACAATTTCCTGGACATCCATTAAGCCTGTTGCTGCCCTTATTTTCTGAAAGGCCTGCTCAACACCTATAGCTTTTTGCATTTCTGCATCTAGCTTCCTTTGTAGCACAGTATACCAAAATCTATGCATAAGGAGACTTTCTCTTAGTTTGACTTCGTGGGAATCTTTATCATCGTTTGCGGCTGCTTCTGCTATATCTGCTTGGCGTTTTTGGCGCTCTTCTCTTCTTAATGCAGCTTCTTGGCGAAGTTTTACGTTTTTTTCTAGCTGCTGTATGCGGTCATCTTTCTGTTTTTTTTCTTGCATTAGTCCTTCTTTCATATCTTGCAATAAAAATCTTGACTGGTATTTTGTTTCTCTCATTTTTCGATATTTTTCTGTTTCCAAGTCTAAAATTTGTTTAGCAGATTTTAAGCCAATTTGTAACGAGTTTGCTTTCATTTGTTGGTTGTATAAAAATATGAAAAAATATATAAAATAATATAAAAATTATATAAAAATTATAAAAATAATAAAAAAATTATTAACATTTTAAAAAAATAAAATAAATCTCTTGCTCTTTCATTTCCATTGAAATTTTATCTTTTTTCATCCTATCTAGAACATGCAAATACGTCTTTTTATCTCTAATTTCATCTTCATGCTTTTTTCTCGTATTTTCAAGTGACAATTTTAATTGCTCCAATCTTCCTTGCAAATTTTTTGAATCATTTTCTGCAATACTTGCAACAGAATTAGCTTTTTCTAATTCTTTTCTTATTTTTTCTAAATATTGCCTCTTTTTATTATTGGCTTCTTTAGTTCTATCATGTCTTTTTCTAATCATCATAAGTTGAGCCGCCACTTCTTTGGTTTCTTCATCATTGTCTAAAACATCGTCATTTTCTGGGTCACTGTAATGACTGGCTTCGTTTTGTGCGGTCATCACTTTGAGGTTTTTTGATTTCACCATTGGCGAAACTGATCTTCGTGATGGGGAAGTTCTAAAGTCCGACATATTTAGATTTGTTGGAGGATTTTTGATAAAATATTATGAAGATACATTAAAAAAAATGCACAAATTTGTATAAGGGATTATTTTTTAAATAAAAATTCATATAAATAAATTTATGGACCTTAGATTTACAGTTAAATTTATCTCTTTAGCAAGACTGTTGTTTTTCTTCTTATTCCATTATGAGGAATATTCTCCAAAATCCAAGGATGCTGTAAAGCTTCTGCTGGCGTTATCCGAATATCTGGGTCAATTTCCAGACATCTTGTGAGAAAATCAATAAAGCAAGAACTTGTTTGAGGTAAAATATCTATCAAGCTTCGAGTTTTAGGCTGTCTAATATTCCCATGCCTATCAGGGACTATTTTTGGATTTCTTTCTTCGTCAAAAAATTTTGAAATTTTAGCGCTTTGGTTAAGCATGCTATCACTAGGAATTCCGCATAATTCCATTATTAAAATAAGCTGCTCATGCTCACTTTCGCCGGTGAATAAAGGTCTTCCTGTATAAAGCTCATATATCATGCAGCCAAAAGACCACATATCAATAGCAGGAGTATAAGGAATCCCTATCTCCCCAGTAATAAGCAAATTCTTGTTTATTTGTGAGGGGGGTTTTAGCACAAATTTTCAAATGGCAATATTGGGAGATTTTCAATTGAAAATGAAAAATATAAAATTATTGCATTAACTCCAAATAATAAAGCAAATTTCGATCTATTATTCATATTAAATTTACTATTTAAAAATTTTGTGCAAAACCCCCAACGAATAAGCAAGAATTTGCTTATTAATAGAGTGGAGTAAAATAATTTCAGGGGATCTGTAATATCTGCTTTGAATATAAGTATACACAATTTCATCGCCAAAGCAAGAAGACCCAAAATCACATATAGAGTTTTCCTTAATTTTCATCTATTTATTTATAGTATTTTAAATTAGCAAACCCCAGGAGAAATTGCATACTTTTATAACTGATTTACTATCAGTTTTTAGTAAAATATTTTCAGGCTTTAAATCGCAATGGACAATATTTAATTTTTTAGTGCAGATCAATGCTGACAAAATTTGGCTTGCAAAATTTCGTATTAAATTGATAGAAAGTCCTTCAAACTTGTTATTCTTAAGCAAATCATATAGATTTATGCTTAATAGCTCGAAAACCAAGCATACGTGGCTTCTGAAAAGGAAAAAATTTTTCATCCTTACAATATTGCTTTTATCATTTGGGTCATTTTCTAATAAAGCCCTGAGAACTTTTATCTCAATTGCAGCTTGATGATGGAATCTTTTTTTATTTTTTATCAATTTTATAGCTACTTGTTCTTGGCGCTTATGGTCAAAACATAAGCAAACTTGTCCGAAGCTCCCTTTTCCAAGCATGCTAATAACTTCATACCTATAAGCTATATGGTCGCCTTTTATTAAAAGGTAATCAGAATGGTCATTATCATACCCATTATTATGTCCATCTTCAATTCGCATTATTTTACAGTTATTTTTTCCTAAATAGTAAATTTCGGCATATTCTAAAACTTCTCTTTTTTCGAAGTCACTAAGTTCATCTATTAATTGAGTTAATGCTATTTTCGGGGTTATTGGGAAGTGTATTTCGCTTTTTGGTATCAAATTGACTGTTGGTTTTAGTGACGAACTTAATGCATGTGGATATTTAAAATCGCTTGCTGAGATATTCCTTGCCGAACTAGCTTTGTTGAGCTTTTGTTGGAGGGGTCTAGGATTTAAATTTAGAGGAGCCCGGGCTGTTGCGGAAAAATCGTATTTTGGCTTGGATTCGAAGTTTTGAAACCTTCCAACCTTTGGATAAAAGTTATCAACTTTGGGGTCGTTTGAGCTTGCTTTTGATATTCTGATAGGTTCGATTCTTTTTTTCTTTAGTAAATTGACAGAGGAGCGAGGAGAATTAAAAGTTACCGGACGCATCGACTTAAAGATTTTGGATGTAGATGGCTCCATTTCTTATCTGGTGATTAATTAATGCTGATATTATCATAGAGGAATCTTGAAAAATGTCTTATGAACAGCAAAATTATTTAAATTAATAGTGAGAATAAAGATATAGAGTGCAGCTATTGCATAATAAAAGCATGCTGATCAGTAAATAAAAGCAATTTTACCAGAGTTATTTTTTGATATTTTTAATTTGGGATATTCTTTAATTTCCTTTGCAATTTTATTATGGACTCATTATATATTTTATTTGAAAGTCTTTTTGGTTAGATTTCTGTTGTTTGTTATAGCTCATTTTAAATTTTCTTACCTCTTCTTTCTATTGGATACTAACTTTCTTTTATAAGCAAGAATTAAAACACTGTAGTCCAGCCTGCAAATCTTATTTCTTCATGCAGTAGTTTGCTTAAACAAATTACATATTTATAGCCTTAAAAATGAAAATCTAAGATCAGTTTCACATTTTGGCAAAATAATGACTTTTGCATAATTTCTTAAACTTTTAAAACCTCTCTCGCAAAGAATTATTTTCCACTTAAAATATAGACCAGAAGCTTAAAGTTTATTTAAGAATATTGAAGTATTAATTGACTTACTATAAGACAATTAATATAAACTTATTAGAATAGAGAGGAAGAAAATCTTTGAAATTAAGAATTCAGGCTATTCATTCTTATAAATTTATGTAGTTTGGCTAGGATTTGCCAGCAGAAATTATACATAATAAATTTGATTTTTATTAGACATATTAATTTAATTCTAATTATATTTTATTAATTTTCAATTAAATTGAATCGAGTTATACAGACGGCTTAAATAAAAGAGTACAATGATAAATGCATTATTTTGATAAAAAATTAAAACACTAATATTAATTTTTGATTCCTAAAGTCTAGGCTCAGGAAGGATTCTTACTGTTTCATAATTAAATAAATCTGTAATAAAAGGATCAGTATAGTACGATCACGATTATAGATCAACTTTAACTCCACTGCTCCCTTTTTCCCACTCCCTAACAGTTTCAGTTTAGATAAAAACATAAAAATCAATTTGATCTGCCAAATTTATAATGATGAGTTTGCTATTTTTTTCCCCTATTTCATTTAAAATGAAACAATCAGAGAGTAGAAAGAGAAGAGAGGAGAGCCAAGGTCGAGCTATAGCTACTCGCGAATTTTATCATTCAGAAGTTCCTCATCCTCAAAAACTGTATGAGGGATACAAAGGTTTAAAGTTGGTATTATATTCCCTTCCCGCTCCCTCGCATTCGACACAATGATGCCAATTAATTCTCCTTTCTCATTAAAAACTCCACCCCCACTATGTCCACTAAACGACTGTGCTGTAAACTGAATCGCAATCGGCTTATTTTTATAATAAACTATTTTGCTTAAACTCCCAATTGTGACTATAGGACATTTTAGCTCTCAAGGGTTAAATAATCCAAAGCCAACTGCATAAACTGTTTCTCCATATATAAATTCTTTGGCTTTTTCAACAATTGGTATATTCCTCTCTACTTCAATTTTTGCTAGATCTATTAAATTATAAGCAGCCTTAAGCTTCCCTTCACATTTTTTATCTTGGGCATAAATATCAATATTTTTTGAATTTTTCGCAACGTGGGAATTAGTAATGATCAGATTTTGGCTAATGGAAACTCCTGATCCTGTCATTTTTGCAAAAACTTTTACAATCGAAGGAAAAATCTCATGAATTTTAGGAGCTGGGGTAAGTGAATAGTCTCCCCGCAAAATTCGAGTATAAAGAATGCCAAATTCAAATTGCTGTGACATTGTGCAAGGCAGCAAAATCCCGTAAATGGTTTTCATATCTTCAGATAGAACTAAACTGCCTTCTGAATTTGGTAAATAAGCTGTATCAATTAGCATAAAAGTGTCTCTAAAAATAAGGGAAATCAATCCAGTTCTTTTTAAAATTGTGTCTGTGTGGGTTATTCCGTGAGCTTTTGATATAGATAAGATTATTACTTTGTCAGCAACTCTAGGTTTTTTGATGTTTATTATATGAAATGATTCGCTTTTTTTGGATATGATTTTTGGAAAGAATTTGAATTTTAGCTTTATAGCTTCAAAAAAATACTCAATTTCTCTAAACATTCAGCTTTTCTCTTCTTCAATATCTTCAGCAACCCTAATTATATACTCTTTTGCTTTTGTGCAATGAGTTTTATGTACTTCATCGTATCTAATTAGCTCCATTTATTTCGTTTAATTTATTATGCTCTATTGAAATCATTCTAAAATCAAGATTAGCCTGCAAAATCTTTATTTACTAAAAAATAATCATTAAATTTTGCTAAATTAGATTATTTTCAAAATAATTCTGCTTATAAGTATAAGAATAACCCTAACCCTTCTGCTAAATACATCAAAATCCCATTATCATCGTCATCATTGTCGTCTACCATTTTCTCATAGGCTTGTTTCCAAAAATTATATTCCACTTCATAAATAGTGCTCACACACATATCATTTTTCTGTATATAAGGCCACCTTTCTACCTTAAGCTGAAAATATATTAGTGTCGTCGCATCATTTGTATTCCACCAGTCTGTAATACAATTTCAAGCATTTCTTCTCATAGTATGGCACTGTTTTTTACACGGCTCGTTTGGCTTTTGAGAGATGCGGGGCTGTATATAATATAAGAAACCAATATATAATTAAAAGAAAAGAGCCAGTGTTTCACATCAATAAGATATCATTATTTACTATAAGTAACTTATAATAAGGAACAAAAAAACCATTAAATTTGACTGTAAAAATTTTTTTTTTTATGTCTTAATGAAAAAAGCTTGTTGGTTATATAAACTATGATACTGTTAAATCTATTAAATAAGCAACTTATATGCACTGGAAATAAGATCTGACAGTTTCATATAATAGCAAACTGACGTTATACCTTGTTTGCAATTCCATTCTGAATATATTAAAAAATCAATAAACGCTTCTCTTACTCCCCCCCCCCCTCCGTGAGCGAACAAAACCATTAGAAAAAATCACCATTTTTTGACCAAAAACCCACCCTCCGTGAGTGAACAAAAATTTTTTTTAATAGAAAAAATTTTAATGGAAAAAAATTTTGATATATAAGTGATAATTAGTATAATGAAATCTAGAGCTAATTCTGTTTAATTTTAAACAAATTGCGTTTTAAAACATAAATTTTGCAAATTAAATTAATATTTGCTTCCCAATTTTTGCAAATTAGGATTTTTTTAAATTTCGAAAAAAATATTTTTTATAAAATTTATATATAAATTTTTTTTAAAAAAAAAAATTAACCCCCCTCCGTGAGCGAACAAAATTTTTTTGTTCGCTCACGGAGGGGGGGGGGGGGAGTTAATAAAAAAATAAATCATTATGTCACTAAATTGGGTTTAAGTCATCTCAGTAAAAAACGAATTTCATCTCTTTTTCTCAAGATATAACGGTTTATTAGGTGCTGCAAAACCCGCTTAAAAAGACCGTTATATTTGCGCAAAAATTAATATAATTTCTGCCAATTTGCGTTGCAACACACATTAATATAGTGAAACGATGCTTTATTTTGATCCTTATTTATATTATATTTTATGTCTTATATAAGAGAATTTAATATGATCTTATATTTCGAAACTATCAACTCATGAAAATGTGAAATCGTTTGCTCAGTGAAAAAAGCATTAAACAGAGCTCCTAAAAAAAGAAATTTATTTTTTTAAGAAAAATAAATTAAAATTTTTTGTTATTAAATACTTTTAGAGCAAGCTTTGCTTATTTATTGCGCTTTTTTGTACAAATAGTAACAATATTTAAGGTAAATCATACTTATTTCAGTTCTAAGTGTGCCTCTTTCAGTGGCTATTAAAGATATTAAAATTATTAAAAAATATATAAAAAACCGTTTTTCAAGACATATTCTTTCAAAATATATCAAAACGATGACCAAAATTTGCAATATTTTTTGGGTTAATTTCCTTAAAAAAGGGTTTTATATATTTTTTAATAATTTTAATATCTTTAATAGCCACTGAAAGAGGCACACTTAGAACTGAAATAAGTATGATTTACCTTAAATATTGTTACTACTATTTGTACAAAAAAGCGCAATAAATAAGCAAAGCTTGCTCTAAAAGTATTTAAATAACAAATTTTTAATTTTATTTTTCTTAAAAAATAAATTTCTTTTTTAAGGAGCTCTGTTTAATGCTTTTTTCACTGAGCAAACGATTTCACACATTTTCATGAGTTGATAGTTTCGAAATATAAGATCATATTAAATTCTCTTATATAAGACATAAAATATAATATAAATAAGGATCAAAATAAAGCATCGTTTCACTATATTAATGTGTGTTGCAACGCAAATTGGCAGAAATTATATTAATTTTTGCGCAAATATAACGGTCTTTTTAAGCGGGTTTTTGCAGCACCTAATAAGCCGATATATCTTGAGAAAAAGAGATGGATTCCGTTTTTTTATTTAACTGGCTGAAATTTGACTTATAAGCATAGCAATTCCGTTTTTTATTGAAGCAAGCGTTTATCGAAATTTTTTTTATTTTCATTAGACTCTCGCAAATTATCTAGACCGTTAGGTTGCATTGATGAATTGCTGGTATCGTCTATTTTGCTTAGTTACTAGGTCTTTTTTATTAAGGACTCAACTGTTTCCATTTTTGTGGAGATCTAGAATCTTCTATTTTTGTGATATAAAAAAAATTTTTTACTGTCAAATTTAATGGTTTTTTTTTGCTCCTTATTATGAGTTACCTGAAGGACATAATGTTTTCTTATTGATAAGAGATACTGACTCTTTTCTTTTAATTACATATTGGCTCTTCATTTTATGGACATCCCGTATCTCTCAAAAGCCAAACGAGCCGTTTTACACTTTCACTATGATATCATTTTGTCATTATTTTAATAAATTTCTCAAATGGCTCATCATTAGGGAATAAATTACAAAAAGCTTCCCCTTCTGGATTATAACCACAAGAACAGTTACTATAAAATGTTGTCTTAAATAAGTCGTCAGTGGTTGAAGTACATGAGGCGTCTGAGTCACAAGGCATTGGAACTTTTTTTGATGAAGATAATGGCTTTGTACAAACAATATTTTCACCTAGTTCTGGGATCCCACACATATTAGAAGAACATAAGGTATTTATTCCTTCTGAAGAGCATGATTTTACAGTCTCATGAGGCAAAATACTATAATAAGGCCTGCATGTCCCTTCTGTTGAGTGGGAATTTTCATCAATATCACAGCCAAGTCAGTTTTCACAGTCAAATTCTGATCTGCAGCCTTTTCCGCCATCAGAGATTAATTTTGTGCAGACATTTGTAGGACTGCAATAAAGACCAATATCGCAGTCCCAAGACGATGTGCAGCTTTGATTTTCTAAGGTTCCTCGACAGACACCTTGGAGACAGCCTTGCTTTGAATGTGCACAGTCTGAGCTGGTGGTGCATTTTTCGCCTGGGTATATAAGCGGGGCTGAGGGCTGGATTTGGCTGCATGTTTCATTTGAGGGAGTAAGCTCGTCTGGAAGCTGGCAATAAGGTTTTTCTATTTCTGTGCATAGTTGAAGAAAATACCCATTAGTGGCTTGATCCCAATATAGCCTGTCTGCTGTTATAGATCAGATTTAGAAGAATCCTTTTTGAGGATTTTTGGTTCTTAAAATTGAGATGGCAAGCTCAGCTATTATCGGCTAAATTTGCCTTATATAAGTTGGCTAAGCTAAAAGTCATCAGACCTTGCTAAGACAACGCTCATTCGGAACTATCCATAATGGTGGATAGCCTATATATACATTGATTTTGTTGTAAATTTTGGCTTGGAGTCTTACATTGATATGAGTTGCAAGAAAGACTTTTAGCTAACCCCAGAGCTAACAAAACAAATAGAATTTGCATTTATTTGTGTTTTACATATTTTCAACATGTTTATAATCTCCATATATAATAAAATAGATTTATTATCATATTTATTGTTAAACTGTCTTCAATTCTAAATCTTCTCCTGTATTATGTTCTCCTTTCGCCTTCCTTTTAATTGTAAACCACAAGAACGCAAGAATTAAATACATTACTGCGATCCCTAAAATTAAATATAAATTGCTTAAAATTCCAGAATCAGAGTCAATAATAATTTGTGACTTCTTGCAGTGCTTGTATATAGAAATTTCTGCTTTACTCCCCCCTCCGTGAGTGAACAAAAAAATTTTGTTCACTCACGGAGGGGGGTTAATTTTTTTTTTTAAAACATTTATATATAAATTTTATAAAAAATATTTGTTTTCGAAATTTAAAAAAATCCTAATTCGCAAAAATTGGAAAGCAAATATTAATTTAATCTATAAAATCTTTTTAAAAAAGCAATTCGTTTAAAATTAAACAGAATTAACTCTAATTTCATTATGCTGATATCATTTATATATCAAAAATTTTTCCAATAAAAAATTTTTGTTCATTCGCGGAGGTTTTTGGGCAAAAAATAGGGGATTTTTCTAATTGTTTTGTTCACTTACGGAGGGGGGAGAGTTAGACTGCTCTTGCTGAAAAACCAAGGTAATCAGCGAGCTATTTTAAAATTACCTTCCATCATTAAGACATCTGTAATTTATCTTGAATATTTCGTGGATAGGGCTTATAATAAGCGAATCATATACAATATCAGGCTGCATTATTTCAGTGTCAGCTGTTATAATTGGAGGTGATAATTTTATATAGTCAAAAGATGATAGATAAAAAGATGTTGAAGGGACAGAACTGTCAATATCAAAAGGAGAGCCATATAGCGGTTTTCCTGACTCCATTATATCATTATCATATTGAGAAAAACCGATGTTTAGGTTCAAAATATTACTTTCTGCTTTATCATTGTGCCGAAATGCAAAGCCTACTGAGTCAAATGGGGGGATAACAAGCCTTACGTGGACAATTTCATTATCATTTCCAGAGAACTCTAATTCTAAATAAGAATCTGCAGCAGTAATATAGCCACTTTTTGGTAAAGATCCTGACAGCTTGACTCCAGAATTTGAGGTAATTTTTATATCTTCGACTTTTTGGATTCCTTTAGAGATTTTTGTGATAAAAGAAAGGTCTCCAGTGATTTCTTTTTTACCATCAATCCATTGGTCATTTGTAATTCCTTCAGATATCACTTCTTCGCCATTAAAGAGCACTGATAAATCATTTCTCAGCCCACTGTAGCAGGTTTTTGAGAATTCCAGCTCATAGGTCTGGTTTTCTAGTTTTATGTCTAAGAGAATGTCACTTGTACCGTCTTTTATACAATCAAAGTTAATCGTAAAAGCTTTTGGGGTCGGTGATGCGTTGATTGATATCATGGACTCTTGGCTTGAGGTATTTTTATTAGGGAGCTTGATAATAGAAGGTAATACAGTTTTTGAGTCTATAGAATCTATCATGATGGTGACGTTATAGGAATTGCTGATTGACCATATTCAGAATGTTTGCATTGAGTTGTAATCTATGTCTGGTAAAGAAAGAACTTTGGGATATGTGTCACCGATTACTGAGCCATTTGATATAATATTTGGATCGAGAGTTGGGAGATAAGATAATGAAATATCATTGATAAATGCACTAGCACCAATTATTAGGAAAAAGATAATCATTTTCTTACTTCACCCTCTGTGAACGAACAAAACCATTGGAAATAGTCCCTCTTTTTTATCCAAAAAATCACCTCGTTGAGCGAACAAAAAAATTACTTAATAGAAAAATTTTTATGAAAAAAAATTTGATATATAAGAGATAATATTAAAATGAATTGAACAAATTGCATTTTAAAATATAAATTTTACGAATTAAATAAATATTAGCTTTCCAATTTTTGCGAATCAAAATTTTTAACTTTCGAAAACAAAATTTTACTATAAAATTTATATATAAATTTTTAAAAAAAAATTAACTCCCTTCCGTTAGCGAACAATAATTTTTTGTGTGCTCACGGGGGGAGTTAGTAGGAAATATGAAATGGATCAAACCAAAATGTCGAAAGATGATAGAAGCTAATTTTTAAAAAATATTTAAGCTTATCAGCTTGCAATAAATTATAAATTAATTCTGATAAATCGTTTCGAATTCAAATGGAATGTTAAATAGTTATCATTATCTGATCATTTGTACAATCTTTAGGCTTATACATAATATTATCAATAAAGAAGCAGATTTGCTTAATTGTTACTTTCACACAAAAGTGTCATTCTAAATTTTTTTAGTATCCAAAAAATCTGCCTTACAATAATAATTTCCAAAACCTCAAATAAGAATAATTTCGTTTTTCTGAATTTTAATTCCAATTTATATTGATTTTCATATATTTAAGATGAGTCATTAAAATATTAATCAGGGCACAACTAATCAACCTAAAATATTTACCTTAACATATTTTTGGTGAAAATATTTTTATCAATAATGACTCAAATGATATTAAACCTTACCAACTTTACTAATTAAAATTGTACCCATTAATGATTTAAGTTCTGTAAATAACGTAATTTATTTAAATTTAAAATGTTAGCAGTTAACGAACTTCCTCAACATATTTCATTCCTCCAAACTTACCTAGTCCAGCCATGCACAAGGCAATGCCACAGCCAACAAACCTGCTTGAACTACCATTCTCTTTCAGAAAGAAGGAGAAGTCCATTCCTCAGCTCAGGGAATCTTGCCTATACAGCTGTTATGTGCCATCAGCTTATCCAAGGAAAAAATTGTTCTAAAGGAGACTCCTGCTCGTCCTGCCACACCTTTTCTGAACTTAATTACCACCCTAGCAAGTATAAAACTACATGGTGTAGCCAAGAAGACTGCAGAGGACCGACACTATGCGCCGATGCCCATCGAGATTTTGAGCCGCTTCGGATTTTCCAAGCCACCCCTAAGGCCCATTCTATATCTACGCTTGTAGAAAAGCCTGACTCCCCCTCCCCTCCGTGAGCGAACAAGATTTTTTGTTCGCTCACGGAGGGGGTTTAAATTTTTTTTTTAAGAATTTATATATATAGTAATTGCCCGAGGATGGCGCTATCTTGCGCCATCCTCAGGCAATTCCTATAGATTTTATAGAAAAAATTATATTTTTGAAATTTAAAAAAATCCTAATTCGCAGAAATTGGAAAGCAAATTTATAATTATGCTTTAAAACGAAATTTGTTTAAAATAAAATAGAATTAACTAAGATTTCATCATGCTAATTATCACTTGTATATCAAAATTTTCCCCATAAAACATTTTTCTATTAAAAAATTTTCTTCGCTCACGAAGGGTGAATTTTTGGGGATTTTTCTAATGGTTTTCTTCGCTCACGGAGGGGGGAGTGAGCATCTCAACCTCTCCTATTTCAAGACTCAGCCTTGCAAGATTACGACTCCTCACAACCCTAAACATTGTGAATTTTACCACTCAAATCGTGACAAAAGAAGACTAGACCACTACTCTCCAGATTTATGTGGAGACGGCGAAAAAGAAGTATGCGGCAATGAAGCTTGTGGGAAATCCCACAATAGGGTTGAGCAGCTTTACCATCCTGAAAAATACAAAACGAAATTTTGTACCTTTTTCCCTTATAAAACAGAAAATTGTGATTATGGGAATTTTTGCAGTTTTGCGCACTCAGAAGATGATATAAAGGTAGAACTTATTCATAACTACCCGAGAGACCATAATTTTTATCTGAATCATTTTAAAACGGTTTGGTGTCCTTTTAATGCGCCGCATGATAAAGCTTTGTGTGTTTATGCTCACAACTGGCAGGACTTCAGGAGAAAACCTAATCAGGTTGACTATGAATCTTTGCCTTGCCCGAACTGGAAATCCTCAACTTTTATAGAGATTTATATTAAATAGTCATTTTTTCTAATTCTCCAATTAAATTGGGGCAAAAAGATCTCGTCGTGGTTAATTCTATTTTAGAAATTTTTTAGATAAAATTATTTTAAAATCTATCGATTTAAAGTGCTAATTTGTTCAAAAGCATTATATTTGCACTTCCCCATTTAAAATATAACAATTTGCAGGTTAAATTTTTAATTTGGTCACATTAAATTGATATCAAGTTATTTATATAGAAATTATTATAAAAATAAAGTTTTTGTCGATTTAAAGATGTCTTAATTTACTAATAAATGGAAATTTATACTATATTTTTCCACTTTATAATGAGAAGGGTAATTAAAATAGCTATTTATAATAAAAGTTTATATTTTAAGCTACGAAGAAGGCGGATGTCACAATATGATGAGCTGCACCCGATGCCACGGATGAAAAGAAATCGAATACCACCCCAGGACTTACAAAACAAGATCATGCACGCTAGGCCGGAACTGTCCAAAAATGCAAGACTGTCCTTTCTATCACAGCACAAAGGACAGAAGAATCGTTGATAGTTCTCCCTTCAAAGAGTACCCAATAAATAGCAACTATAAGTCCCAAACCCCTCATCCCCAAAAATGCATGCTCTCCCCAGACCCTCACCAAAAAATCGCCCAAACCCCATTCTGCCTGAATAAGCCTTTTTCCTTTGGATTTATTCCTACAGAAAACGTAGCTGCCGTAAACCATATAAATAGCACAACTGATGAATTTGTGCTGCATCGAGGGATTGCTGCTAGAAAAGGCTTATCAGCCGAAGCCAGCAGCTTTAATTCAGAAAACAATGCAAATCTTGACGCTAGAGTCTTGCAATTTTTGGCAAGGCACAAATTGAGGCACCTGAAAAATATGTTTGTAGGTGTCAAATGGGAAGATTTAGGTAGCGTAAAATTGGACGGCGGGTATGCAGAACTATTATCAAAAGCTTTACAAGAGGAAAAAGCAGAAATGGAGATGGCTGATGAACTTTTTGACCACGTGTTTACAAAAGAGCTGAAAAATGAGGATTTAATTATCAATAAAAATGTGTGGAAAATGGAAAACCCGAAGAAGGGGAATGCTCCGGTCACATTTTCGTCCTTTCCGACTTTTAGTATTTGGTAAGGAACAATTTTAAATAGTTTTAAATTTTTTATTTTTTAAAATTGACAAATTAGGTTAACATTTTTCCTTCTAAATTGATGGCGATAAAGTCCATGATTTTATTCTGCTGCTCTATGAGCTGATCAAGGTTTTTATCAATTTCAAGCTGCTTATTGTGGAGGTTAGCACATTTTAATTGTAAGCTTGGGACGTTGCCAATAAGTTTTTTGGTTGAAACTATTTTTCCTTCTAGTTTTTCTTGCAAATCGTAAAGCATTTCAGCAGCGGTGATATCCATTAAGCTGCTGAGTTCTGTTTGTCTTTTAAAACTATGAGCTTTTTGTCTTAGTTTTATCATATTGCCAAGTTTTTTAACAGGATCCCCTTGTGACTGTTTACAAATTAAGGCTTGTTTTATCACTTCTTTTGCAGACACATACCATTTTTCTTCATTAGCTTTATTTCTGATTCCCATATACGCTAAAGTTTGGTTTTTATCAAATTCACTTGTAATAGTCAGGGCGACGATAAACATAGAAATAATGACAAGCCCTGAAATACAAGCTATTGTACTAAATAGACGTCCAAAATGAGTAGAGGGATAGAAATCGCCGTATCCGACTGTAAACATTGTGATAAAAGTCAGCCATTCGTCATTAAATAATTGATCCATGTTAGCTGCCATATATGGACCGGTAAACCCTCTTTCTACTGTTCTTATAGCAACTCCATATATAATTATAAGCCCAGTTAAGGCTACACCTATAGTGGTATATGGCCTATCTTTTATATCAGATTTAATAGCAAATATAAAGTCATTGTCAGTCCCAAATTTGTGGCACAGATCTTTTGCTAAGTTACTGTTTCACTTAGAATAATGCCCATAAAGCCTTAAAAATAAATACATTCTTAAAATCATAATCTCTAAAGCTACATCAGAAAATGTATACTTATAAGTCCCTGAAAGCACATGCCCACTAAACGTATAATCTAATCCTGGAGGAGTGAACACAATGCAAATCGCTATTTCTAATGCTAGCCCTGACAGAAAATTTGAAGCATTTAAGCCATCACTTTCTTGGTTTCTTTTTCTTAAACTCATTAAGTCTTTATTGACTCTATATCTAATCGTCAAACAAAAAACTGCTTAAATTTTACTCAACGCAATAGTCAGCAGCAGCTCAAAAACCCTCATAGTCAAAACTTTATGATTTGAAGTAAAATCATTGCTACGGAATTCCTCATTCTAATTTACACTTACCTGAAAATATTCTAAAGGAATCGCAGCCAGGCCACATAAAGCTGAAATTGTGTCTATTTTTTTAAGCAGCTCTCTAACTTTGTATTGCTCAGTCAAATGTGCAAAGGATAATTTGAGCTTTTGCACCTTTTTGTTGTCTATAAGGATATTGTCTTGTGTTGTGTTGGTGTTGTCATCTTCCATAGTCGCATTGTTCATTTTCTTTAAGTTTTAGTAGAATTTATTTAAGAATTAAAGGAATTAAGTATTTATTTAGACTCTACACAGTGAGAGCTAATAATAATGCTGACGTGTTGCACAGCTTCTTCTGGGTTTCTAAGTCTAACTGTCTGAATCCCATGTACATAAGCATTTTTACAGTCTTCATAAAGGTCTCAAGCTCTTTATAAACTGCGATATAAATAGTCTCCAGGCCACTTTGGGTCGCCAAGTCTAACAGTTGGTCAAATGTGGATTTTGGGACTTTTGAGCCTGCTCTTACATATATTGCAGTTGGGGTTTGGAAACAATATAAAGGCTTAAGTTCTTCTCCGTCAGACAAGGTCGGAACCATAGAAAAGAAAGTCACATTTGCCATGCGGGATTCTGGAAAATGGTCCAAAAAGTCTTTTTTGAAAACCTCCATTTCAGAGTCAGAACTCATCATTTCTGAGACTAATGAGTCATCTCTGCCAAGAATAAAAGAATAGGTTAGGCATCTTGAGCCTACGAGCTCAACACAGTCGCTGCTTCTGTCTGTTGATTGATCGCTGATTGACATTTTATCATTATAAAGGAATATGGAAAGTGGTGGTTTTTATTTTCAAAATCCCATCAGAAGCTGAAAATGGGGCATGGGTAAACACATTTTGGACTAATAAAAAATCTATTAAAAAAAGGAAAATTTAAAGAAATTATTAAGCTGGGATTTTTTAGAAAAAAAATTGTAATTCTGATAAGAAATTTTTAAAAATATAGGATAAGAGGTTTAATAGTAAATCTGAGGATAAATAAGATAAAGGTAGTATAGGAAAAGGGCAGTATTTAAAAAAGGAATTGATTTTGAAGTTATCGAATTTCGAGAATATCATTATGAAAATAAAAATGGTTGCTAGTTAGAAGCTTATTCTTCCTTTAGTAAATTTTAATTTAACAATTATTTATATATAATAAATATAGAGAACGAATGCTTATAAATACTTAAATAATAGTTATTTTTAAACAGGTTAGATTATAATTTACTTTTCCATTAATTTTCTTATATACGCAGGAATAAAGTTTGCTCTTCTTCATAAAATGTTTGATATCAAAATGGACAATTTATTTATTTCCTGACTTTCTTCAGGAATTTTTAAAAAGTCGTTCATTAGTATTATTCTAAAGTCAGTTTCTGGTTTTGTAAGTAAACCACTAAATCAGTCCTTAAGATTACCTTTGCAGAGAATGCATTTGTGGCCTCGATGGAGAAGAAGTAGTCTTACTGCTGATTTTGTTGTTCTATTGTGTAGCAGATTAATTTAAATTATAAATTTAAAAGCGCCGAATTCTAAAGTATAAGCTTTCTTTCCAAAAATAATAATTGAATATAGAAAAAAAGCTCTTGCATGCAGCAAATAAAAAATCTTGCCCGCCTATAGAGAAAGTATAGAATACTTTTATTTTTAAAATTAGCACAATCCTCTAAATTTTTTCATTTTTAATTTTCTATTCAAGTACTCATAATTTCAGTTTTTTATGAATTTTTTAATAAAAAACCTTTTCTAAGTTCAATAATTCTTCTCCATAATAATTTTCTTTAATAAATTTAATTCTAATTATAAGTATTCTATATAAACGTTATCATAACAATTATCTATTGTTAATTATAACTTAAATCATAAATATTCTAATAGAATTTATTTACCAGATTTTTAATACGTCCTTTGATATTTTCCTAAAATTTAAAATACTTCCTAAAGGATTAGCTGTTATTTTTTAATAAAAATATTCTTTATCTCCTAATAATGATAAAATCATTGCAAGAAATATCATAATTTCGTCTTAATCTTATAGAGTTTATATTAATTATGATTTGTTAATATAAAAGATTTATTTGTGTCGCTATAAGATATCTGATCTCTATTCCAAGTCCTTTCAAGAATCGCAATTTCCTGGGAACTATCTAGAGTTATAATAGTAGAAGAGACAGTTCCTCTTGTTGCAGGAGTCCCAAACATTTCTCCTGGATAAGGCTTAATAAAAATCGAAGCTTCATTTTCAGGTGGCTCATCCTGTTTAATTTCAGTCCTTAGCAAAGGTACCAAATCTATCGTGGAAAACCTATCATTATTTTTCAAAAAATTTTCTAAATCAGCCTTCAATCTTTTGGTCTTGTCCCATTCATTTGAAATATCAGTATTCGACATACAGTGAACTCCTTCATCAAGCCTTCTTAATCCTGAAAACGCATTTTCAGCTTGATTTACACTTAAATAGTAAACTTCATTGTTTTTTATATCCCCAGCTAACAAATTAAAGCTTTTATAGCGAGATCTATCAGTCCATATATCTTGGAGCTCATTATAGATATTTACATTTTTTCTTAAAAGTCGTAAAGGGATCATTCCTCGAGTTAAATAATCGTGCATGTTTCCAGACCATAAAGAGGCACTAGGATTAGCTTGCTGTTGTTGGAGGACTTCAAGGTCCTCGTCAGTAAAATTAGTTAGTGCCACAAATTTACCGTCCCGATTGATGCCTAATCAGGTCCCACCTCCCATTAAATCTCTTCCTGCAACTATCCCTTCTCATTCGTCTGACCATTCTGCTAGCTCTGAAGTAGGCCTCTCAAATGCCTCATCTCTGTTGAAAATTAGTACAAATGGGTAATTAGGATGAGAATTGAGAGCAACTGCAGTAATGCACATTTTATTATAAATTATCATTTAAATTTTAATTTAAAATGGTATAGGGAGAGGGAAGTTATAGATAACGTGGTTATTATTTTTTTAACAAGAATTAATTAAAAATTATTAATGCTGAGATTTACAGTCAGCAGAAATATGTTGGGAAAATTTATAGGAGTTATATGATGGAACTAAAATCGGGTATTTCTTTTTAGAAATATGGGAATAGAAATATCAGTTTTACTATGATATTAGACAAATGCTTAAAAATTAGAGGCAACAATAAGAAAAACTCATAGAAATGGAATAATATAGCTTATTTATTTTAAAATTCAATTTATATCCTTCTCCTCTTGCCTCCTAGAATAGAAGTTAATAACTTTATATTTAATATACGTAAAAAATTAATAGAAATTCGTAACAAATCCTAAATCCTTTAATATCCCTCACATTCTATTAGGATTTTTATCTATAAGAATCCCTATAGAACTGTATAGAATTTCTATGACCTTTTCCTCTATTTCTTTTAAATTCACAAATTCCCAATAAGTTCTCCTAAATTTTGATATATAAATGTGGAGGCTTGTCGTGGTGAACTTATTGTTTGCTAGTTCAGTTCTAGCAATTAATGGTAAATGCAGAATCCTCGCTCTTGGAGGAGGCACTGACAAAGGTGCTTACCAAGCTGGTGCAATAATTGGACTGATTCAAAATCTCCCATCAGGGGAAGCTGTGTGGGATGTGGTTACAGGAAACGGCGTCGGCGCATTTAACGCAATCATTCTTGGCAACTATGCCCTTGGACAAGAATCCAGCGCAATTTCGGTGCTAAATAACACCTGGAACACCTTCACTCCAAATCAATTTTACAAACAATGGCCAGGTGGAGAAATCACAGGCATTTATTGGGAAAAAGGCTTATTTGACACCTCTCCTATGGGTCCTACAATCAACAAAAAAATCCCAAGCACTTTCCAGAGATGGACTGCAGTTGGTGCCACAGATCTTGTATCTGGAAACTATGTCCTTTTCAACAGTTCATTCCTAGATAGCGAAACCATGGCAATAGGTGTTAAAGCCAGCTTAGCTACTCAAGGAGAATTCCCATGGATTCCATACAGCAACCTTCAGCTTTCAACTGGATGTATTAAATACACCGTCGATATTCTAGATGCAGTCACTGCCTGCACCAACAAAGGATATACAACTGACCAAATGTTCGTAGATGTCGTTATGGTTGCAGGAAAAACCATTCAACAAATCGATGCATCAAAATTCAAGACTCCAGATGTTTTCCATAGATACTTAGAAATTTCAGCTTTCCAAGATACAATGAGAGTAGAAGAGACTGTGAACCATGATTATCCTGATGTAACTGTAAGGAACCTTATTTTCCCATCCCAGACACTCAACTCTTCAAGCTTGCCTTACGATTATGATGCAAGTGAACTTAGAGCGCAAATTGCATTGGGAATGTCAGATGCGAAAAGTCCAAACGTAACTTTATCATATTATATGGCTTTTCAATAAGTAATAGAAATTTGAAGTAAATTCATAGACATAATAATATAAAACTATGTATAAATTAATAAAAATTACATCAAAAATGCTGAAAAATAGCATTCAAACCTGATTTAATTTAATTAAATTAAAAATTATAGTTTATTATTTTTTGTTTTTATTCTATTGGTTCTGCAGGATGAGCATCATCTGGATCTTGCAGAGGATGATAATAATTGCTTATATCAGATCCAAAAATAAGCCCTTCTTCTTCAACTTGCTCAATCCCAAAGCTTTTTTTCAGTTCTTTTTCTATTTCATTTCTCATATAATAAATCACCAAAAATATAAAAATCGAGACAATAATGAGGCCACCAGAAATATAAACGTAAACCATTGAGTCACTTAGAAGGAGAAGATAAGCTGTTGTTAATTGGAAAAATAAAATTGAGACTAGCAAGGCTACAACTATCACTCTTGGAATTCTATTGCCAGTTGTTGTTTTCACAGTGCAATAAAAACAAAGCAAATTATATTTTGCTGTGTAATACTAACTTTTCTTTATGTATAATTTTTTTATTTGTTTTAAAGCGTACTATTAAATGATTTTTTAAAAATAAATTAAAAAAAGTAAGTAAAAATTACTCTTGAAATACAAAAGAACACTCCTATAATCAAAATCAGTGGATACGCAATCGAAAACGCGAATATTATAAATATCGCTGAAATAGAAACCCCATACTCATAAGCCCACCTAAATTCATAAGCCTACATATCCTTTACCTCATAAGCCAGCATTCTTTCAGTATCATTCACCGCTTTCATTTGTCTCCACTTCACCCTCACAAGTTTCGGCACCTGCAAAAAGTCTCCTCCATTTTTCAAAAAAATCAAATGTATCACAAAAATCGTGAAAACTTGTGCAGAATATGCCGCATGGTTCGCAATTTCTTGGTCCCAGTCGCTTTCTCCATCAACTGTAGTCACAATTGCAGAATAAACCTGGACGCCTAATAATGGTACTAAAAAGGTATATGTGACCATAACCAATAAATATTTTATCATAGCGCTAACTGTCTCGTCACTTTTACTAGGCAGCTGCTCCCTTTCTACTATTGCTAAGACTGCATGTCTTACTATTGCAGACTGATAAATAAGTAAAATTAAAGAAGGCGCGACTTGGCTAAGTAAGGCTTCATATAATTCTTTTCCTCCGATCCATTCCAAGATATACATCATAATCTGCAGAAGTGTAGATGGGGTTATCAGGAGAAAGAAAAATATAAAAAATAATATAAAAAGCCCTGCACGCTTGATCCAGAGCCTTGGCTTGTGAATTGACATGTTAGGCCAGTTTACTTCGGCTGGGGCTGGCGCTAAGGTGAGGATTCATTTATTTGATTGCAGCTCGTCGTCTTCTCCTTTAAACGTTTTTATGATGTTAAAAGTACTTATAGGAGTTTTGCATATCACAAATGCAAAGCCAGAGGTGATATTTTTACCGTTTTCAAGGGCTTCTTTATATTCCTTTTCGAGTTTCCCAATTTCGCATGTATAGTAATCAATTGCGTCGACTTCTTTTCCACAGAAAGTTGGCTTGATTTTTTCTTTATAGCCTTTTGCTATTAAAAAGTCCATATAATGTTTCTGGTTTTTTTTGGCTTCTTCTAGCTCTTTTTGTAGCCTTGAGGCTTCAGCTAAGTCAGGGACAACATATATGCTTTGAATATCATAGCCATATCTCATTTGTAAAAAATCTCTGATTTTTTGTGCTGCAACATCAGGTGTAAATGCTTTTGAAATTCCTTTGATTTGGATTGTATACCTGTCGATTGTACAAATTAATTCAGAAGGTGTAGAATGAGCGTATGAGACCTGATAGAGATAGCCAACTAGAGTTCCAAAAATGATGATAGTAAATACAAGGAATAGAATGAGAACAATTGACATTAAATCTTCCTGCTCAATAATGTGGGCTATACTTATGTTGTTCATGTCTTTTTTCACATGTGTGTCTCCAAGTGCGTAGATCGGAATTAAAAGTCCACAGCCAATTACTGCTAAAACTGCAAGTCCACCTCCCATTGCTACATGAAATGCGAGATACAGCTGACCTTCAATTCCACAATAGGTTGATTTTATTCCCTTAATCCAAAATTTTATATTATAATTTAGACTTTTTAATTATTTTATAATAAAATAATCCAGATTTTTATAAAAAACTTGGATTCCACAATAATGACCCATTTCTTCATATGGAACTTTTCAAACATTTGTCATTAAAACCCATAATGGTGTGTCAGATTCTGAATATACAGGAACTTTGACTTCACGTTCTCCGATTTCTGCAAATATAGGTCTGTTACGGATTTTGCGGTATATCGAAAATAAGTAGAATTCTAGAGTAAAAAGAAAAATATCTATGCCGAGAGCGGCGATAATTGCCCATACTGAATCATCCATTATAGTCGTTATTTAAAACTTAACCATTTTAAAGTAAAACTTATAGTTATATTTATATATAATGAATATAAGAAATTTCTGCGATGGATTTAGGGAGAAAACAGGATAAGGCTATGTAGATTTGTTGCAAAAAAAGGTATATTTTAGAATAGTGATAATTTATATTAAAATCTTCTAGGAGGCTCTTTAGTAGTAGGAGGCTGGCTACCATAGCTAGGCGCAGTTTGTTTATAAGGATCTTGGGGTTGCTGTGGTCCTCTTGTTGACTCTCTGCTGTAGCTAGGGGTAGTTTGTTTATAAGGGTCTTGAACATAGCTTGGAGCTATTTGTTGTCCTTGCTGAGGAGCTCTTGAGGGATCTTGGCCATAGCTAAGGGCTAGCTGCTGTCCTTGCTGAGGAGCTCTAGATATATCTTGGCCATAGCTAAGGGCTAATTGTTGTCCTTGCTGAGAAGCTCTAGATAAATCTTGGCCATAGCTAGGGGCTATTTGTTGTCCTTGTTGAGGAGCTCTAGAAGGCTCTTGGCTGTAATCAGGTACTATTTGTTGTCCTTGCTGAGGACCTCTTGATAGATCTTGGCCATAACCAGGTGCTATTTGTTGTCCTTGCTGAGGAGCTCTTGATAGATCTTGGCCATAACTAAGGGCTAATTGTTGTCCTTGCTGAGGAGCTCTTGAAAGATCTTGGCTATAGCTAGGAGCTATTTGTTGTCCTTGCTGAGGAGCTCTAGAAGGCTCTTGGCCGTATCCAGGGGCTATTTGTTGTCCTTGCTGAGGAGCTCTAGAAGGCTCTTGACCATAGCCAGGGGCTATTTTTTTATAAGCTTCTTGAGGAGCTCTAGTAGGTTCTTTACTATACCCAGGCGTTGGAAGATTGCCTTGAGTTTGTTGAGGAGTCCTGCCATATCCTGGCTGATTATAAGGATCTTGAGCTCTATAGCTCCCTAGGTCAGTCCCTGTCCTAAAGCTTTCTGGCGTATTGCTACTTCTTATATCATATTGGCTTGGAGTTGAGCTTTGGCCTGGCGGCACATTTGCTCTATTATAATAATTTTGCTCTCCTCTTTGGTCTGTAGGAGCCTGCCTAAATCCTTCTTGTGTAGCTCCCATTCCTCTGCCCATTGAATCTTGCCTGAAATCTTGTCCAGTCTGAGCTGGTGAAGCTCTCTGTCCTGGCTGGTTTAGCCCTGAGCTTCTTATATCCTGTCCTTGGCCAAATCCTTGTGAAGACTGTCTGAAATCCTGCATAGTCTGACTTGGAGGCTGTCTAAAATCTTGTGCAGTCTGTGTCGGTGAAGGTCTAAAATCTTGCTGAGTTTGTGTCGGTGAATTTACCCTAAAATCTTGTGCTGTTTTTGCTTGTGATTGTCCAATTGACCTATTTAATGACTCAGAAGACTCCAGCAGCTGCCTTCTGGATGCATCTTGTGCCGCCGTTTCTGATTTTTTGGAATATCTGGCATATACGTCTTTTAGGTTGTTAAAACTAATTCTGGTTTGGCCTTTTGGACAGAGCTCAGTTACAAGGCTGTTTGTTTCGCTTTCAGTTAATGGGTGTTCAAGAATTCTGTTAAAGCCTTTCATAAGCTCATCTTTGGAAATCCAGCTGTCTTTGTTTTGGTCAAGCACTTGTGTGTATAGCCTGACTAAGGTTAATTTTTGCTTTGTCATATGGTCATCGAGCATATCAATAAGCTCTGGGACACTTCTGATTTTTTTCCTAGCTGCTTGAGCTTGGGTTTGGGCAGCTCCTTGGGCTCTTGGATTTACTTCGATTCCGTACCTTTTGAAAAACTCTTTGAATTCATCAAAAGAAATTCTATTGTCGCCTGACTTATCAATTTTTCTCACTCCCACCCCTCCGTGAGTGAACAAAACCATTAGAAAAATCGCTAATTTTTGCCCAAAAATAACAAAATTTTTTTATGGAAAAAAATTTTGATATATAAATGATTATTATAATGAAATCTAGAGCTAATTCGGTTTAATTTTAAACGAATTGCTTTTTAAAAATAAATTTTATGTATTAAATTAATATTTGCTTTCCAATTTTTGTGAATTAGGATTTTTTTAAAAAAAAAAAAATTAACCCCCTCCGTGAGTGAACAAAATTTTTTTGTTCACTCTCGGAGGGGGAAGTCAGTAACTTAACTTATTAACCATCACGTTTAACGTCTCCTACGGGGTTGCTCTTCCACGCTCTCGTCGCTCGGGGCCCACTAGTTGCTGGGACAACTAGCTTTGATCTCCAACGTGCGCCTCCTGCGCAATGTTCCGGCTTCGACGGCTCATGAATGAGCTACTTTCTCTGTAACGAGGGTTGTCTGCTGGGAAATTCCAAAAAAATGGGATTTCTGGCCGACTTTCGGCAAAAGGGGAAAACTTGTAGCCCGGGGGCGAAACTCCCGGTTTCTCGCTAGAGATTTACCCGAATGGCCTAGGGATTACCTGTAGGCGTTGCTGGGCTTCTCCTTTCCAACTCCAAGCCTCCTCTTCCCTCGAGGTAAAATCCTAACCCGAGAACGGACTGGGATCAGGCTCTGTACACTGCCAGAATTGCTTACCTGATATTGCTGTCCATCTCTAGCTAGGCAAAACCTTGCCGGATATAATTAAATAGGGCTCGAAACTGTCTGGCCGAGAGGCCAGACCCAAGTTGAGACGCCATATTTAATTATCGGAGGGGGGAAGTCAGTAAAATTTCATTTTCACTGTTTGCAAGGTTAAGCTTCATGTCTTGGAAAACTTTGATAAGTTCTTGTCTTGATATATACCCATCATTATTTTTATCAAATACTTTAAAAGCGTCAAACAAGTTTATTCCACTCGAAGCGATCACTTTTACTATACTTTCCAATGGATCTGGTGGAGGAACTGGTGTCGCTTTGCTTTCCTCAGTCGGAAGTCTTGATCCTTCACTTATTTTTGTATTAGTTCTCGAAATAGGTGCTGCTTCCCTTAATAAATCTTGGAATTCTTTGAAGCTTATAGTATTGCTTTTATCTTTGTCAATAAATGTCCATAAAGCTCTACTTCTTCTGGCGTCAAAGGAATTTTTAGGCTTGCCAGGACTCTTTTGAACTCGTCTTTTGTAATTATCCCGTTTTTTTTCAGCGTCAAAAATATTGAAAAGGTCAGGCGCAGATATGCCGCTCCTTTTCATAATTCTTTTGAAGACTGAAATTATGTTTTCAGAAGGCTGGACAAATTTAATGAACTCGTGAAGAGTAATTGAGCCATCTTTATTGGCGTCTGCCACGTCGACTAACATTTCAACATCATAAGTAGTAAGGTTTAGGCCTAAATGTTCAAGGGCGTTTCTGAATTCTTGTCTGCTTAGTGCTCAGAACTGAAGCTCATTGATGGATCTTGGAGAGGAGGCTGTCTAGGACTCTCCAATAAAGAGGATTGATTCTGAAAGTCTGAGCGCTAATTAGAAACCTGATCTAGTTGTGACAACATAGTCGTCTCTGTTTGATATTTGAGAAGTATAGGGAGTTTGTCCAACTGATCCCCATAATTTTTAGCCTAGTCGCGAGACATTTAATATTTAAATTGGTAAAGAATTAGGTAAAAATTCGAATTAAAAGAAGATGGGTGCGAAGAGGCAGCAAAACTAGAAAATATTAGAAATTAAGGAGAAAAGTAACACTATTAGAGAAAATCTTAATATTCTAATTAAAATTTATAGGTAAATATATTGGAATGATTTTAGAATAATATGAGAATAATAAAAAATTTCGGGAATTTTTGAATTTAAATGAATTTCGGGAATTTATGCTTATTTTATTAAGCAATTAATATAAAACACTAATAAGCAGCTTAATAATGATAGTTCCAAAATAGTGGTTCAAATAATATATATATCATTTAAATTAGCATTAAAAATTTTATATCTTGAATCTCCTTAATAACCCCTTCAAATTCATAAACCTATCAAATTTCTTGTCAATTCTATATTAGTTTATACCAGTCTCACCATATTTTTGTGCATATTTTCAGCATCTATCCTTACCTAATAAAATGGACGAAAGAGTTGTTGTAGGAGATTTTTTAAAGGATCCTCTCGAAAGATTGGTAAACCGCGTGTCAGCCTGCCTTGTTCGTGAACCGAAGTACTATGAGGACTCGACAAACAGGCTTAAAGATATCAGCAATGATATGACAGAGGTTTCATCAATCGATCCTGAATTTATATGTCAGTTAGCTTACTTCACTCGAAATCATCTGAATCTTCGAGCAATGTCTAACTACATAGTTGCATGGGCTGCCAGCCACCCAGTATGCAAAACATTCCTTAAGAAATATTTCTCACACACCATTCGACTCCCTGGAGATCTCATAGAGGTTGTAGAGTTTTATCAGCTCATAACTCAAGGCGAAGGGAACTCAAAAATGCTGAAAATCCCTAGATGCCTTAGAGAAGTTATTACCTCGAAATTCTCCGAATTTTCAGTTTACCATCTCGGCAAATACTGCTCCGAAGGCAAAAGAAAGCGCTCTTTGCTTAAGAAAAATAGCAGCTCGAGAAAAGGTAAAATCAGTATGAAGCAGATCATCAGACTTTGCCATGTAAAATCCCCTGCTTCTTCTGTTATGTGCGTCCTCGGCAAAAGATATCCTGAAAATTCTGATGTGTTTGCAGAGTCAGGACTCAATGTCGAAGGGGAATTCAATCCTAGTCTATCAGGAAAAAGGATGAAAATAGAAACTCCAGTCACATGGGAAACACAATTAAGCGCAGGCGGCAATAAGCCAGAAATCTGGGAATCTCTAATAAAGTCAAGAAAACTCCCCTTCATGGCAATGCTTAGAAACATAAGAAACTTTATCATTACAGGGGTTGACCAAGAAACACACAAAATAGTCCAAGATAGACTAAGAGACCCAGACCAGATAGAAAAATCAATGCTTTTCCCTTTTAGATTTTTCTCTGCGTATGATGTTTTGAAGATTGACTTAGAGCAACTTCAAAAACTTCATGATGACCCAACTTTTGAGCCGCCAGTTCCTGAAGGGAAAAGAGGACTGAAGAAGAAGTGGCTGAGGAAAAAAATTATTCCGAAAAATGTCCCTACTCAGGCCACTATTGATGAATATAAAAGTGCTCTGGAAGAATCAGTTAAGCTTGCAACAGCATTAAACGTCAAACCAATCAAAGGGCATTCAGTCATATTTTGTGACACCTCTGGCTCAATGAGATGCCGAATCTCTGGAGACATGACATTTGGGAGCGTAAGATGCTGTATGGAACTTGGAATTTTATTTGGGATGATGCTTAGACACGTATGTGAGAGCTCCCAAGTATACCTTCTTTCCAGTCCTAAGCCACCTGAAACCCCTACCTGTTGGCTTCCAGTTGAGCTAGAAGGTGACAACATTCTCGACCAAATGCAAACAGCAATGACATTATCTGAAAAACTTGGTTATGACAATGACTATCCTTTTGATTGGTTTGACGAAATATTCTATTTTTTATTTATATTATGATTAACAATATTATTTTATTTAAAATTAATTTATAAAAATATAGTATAATCGAAAAAAAAGTTCATATAGATAACATGTTCATATTTTCAGATATGATATAATGCATCAGAATAAATAGGTCTTTTTCTATTTAAATAAAAAAATAGGCTAATTTAATTTTTAATTAATATAATTTCAACTGAAAAAATGAACACTACCTTCAACCAAGATAATAGAGGTAGAACTGTCAGCGGAATCCTAGAAAAATATAGGAACGAGGTCAACCCAAATATGAAATACATTACCATTGATCTTGCAGGATATGGAAGGGACATGCTTGGGGCTGATCTTGAAGACAGAGGAAAAAATATCGTGGTAGCTGGGTATAGCGATGCAGTCCTAAAGCTTGTGAGCGAGCTTCAGACTTCACAAGTCCAAGCTGTAAGAGAATCTGCATTAAAAATAAGCTAAACCATTACTTTAATATTATTTAATACCCATATTTTTCATTCAAATTAGTCCTGCCATCGCCTGTCTGGCCTTCTGGAGGCATTCATGATTCATTTTCATCATAAAAATCCAGATCATTTGCTTTAATTTCTTCATTTCTTGGGACAGGCTTTTCTTCAGCTCCATATACTCTTCTCTTTTTAAGCCCATCTCTTATTTCTTTGTCTTCTTCTTTGCTTACCTCTTCTATTATCTTTATTTCTTCTTTTTGCTTTGGGCATAATCCAGGCTTGACTGCATAAATTTCATCAATTTTTGAATTTAAATCTCTCAATTTCATAGCTAGCCTATCTAGATTTTCCCTTTTCAAGACAACAGAGTTTTCATTCATATAAGCGTCTAAGGTGTCTTCAGCGTCAAATTCTTCTTCTTGGTTGGATTTTTCTATTTCTATTCTGACCTGTAATCTTTCATTTAAAAGCTTGCCGAGTTTTTCTTGAAGCTCTTCAGTTGAGGATTCTTGGACTATTTTGGGATTATTTTTGGCTCGGTCATAGAATTCGTCTTCATCACTGCTGTAGTCGTATTCTCCTTTGACTTTTTTCTTAAAAGGTTGGTAGGAGTCAAAAAAGCTTGATCTTAGCTTTTCTTCTATCATGTCTCTTTCACCTTGCATTTCTTCAAGCCTTTCGGCTAATTGTTCCATTCTTCTGGTTTGGCCTTGAGTTAAGCCTTCTTGAGTTTTCTTGTGTAAATTCTCAAGCTCCTTACTCCCTGATTAGTTAGTGAAAAAGGCTTTATGAGGTGAGATAATTAGACTTTATATAAAAATTGCAAATAAAGAAAATTAATTAAATTTATCAAAATTTTCTCATTCAAAAGGTGTTAATTACCAAATTAAGATTTTAACAATGTTTTTGCTCGATAGCCAAAGGGGAGATAGCAAAATTCCCTACTTTTTCATTGGCAGCTTCAAGCTGCCTAATAGTTTTCCTCTGCTTATCTGTTAATCCTTTTCGATTTTTTAATTTGTTTAGATCTAATACTTCTTCATAAAAAATCATATCTTCTTTGCTTATGACTTCATTTTCTGCATCTTCTCCAAACCCTCACGTGACCTGCTGCAGCTGCTCTTTTACAATGTCAGGGTCGAATGGAGTAAAGCCTTGGCTGGTTCTATAATGTTCTGTTTTTTTTAAATCCCTTCTCACGTCACTCGAAATTTTCCCATCTTCTCCAAATAGCTTTGGTCTTTTATTTTGTGGCTTAATTTCTATCTCTTTTAAGTTTTCTTCATTAGTTCCATCTATGTCTTTTTCATTAAATTTTGATGACATTTATTAAAAAAATAAAAATTTTAGATAAAAAATAATCAAAAACCTCAATTTTAACCAATTTTTAAATAATTATAAAAAATTTCTGTTATCCCCTTGCAGTTTTGTGATACTTATATGATTAGTTTAGTAAAAAGTATGGTGAAGAGAATAGGCACTCATAATGGACAATTCCACGCAGACGAAGTCATGGCTTGTTTCTTGCTGAAGCAAACAGACACTTATAAAGATGCAGAAATAATCCGAACCAGAGACAAAACAATTCTTGACACTTTAGATATTGTCGTTGATGTCGGCGATGTCTACGATCCTTCTCAGAACAGATTCGACCATCACCAAAAATCATTTACCGACACTTTTGGTGGTAAATACACATCAGTCAGAATGAGCAGCGCTGGACTTATCTGGAAACATTTCGGGAAAGAAGTTTTATCAAAATTAACCGAAATTCGTGACGAAAATATTCTTGATTTAATGTATTTCAGGATGTATCGAGATTTATTCCAATGTTTAGACGGCATTGATAACGGCGTTCCACAGTACAGAAACAGTGAGCACGAGCTATATAAAGAAAACACAGGCTTGGCTTCAAGAATATCAAGACTTAACCCATCTTGGAGCAGGCCTGAAGACCCAATGCCAAGATTTCTAAAAGCTATGGAGCTTGCTGGAGAAGACTTTAAAGGAATTTTGTTTAACGCTTTAGAAGAATGGCTGCCTGCTCGTGATATAGTCGTAAGATCTATTTTGGCAAGAGGCGAAGTAGACTCAACATTAAAAATAGTCAGATTGGAGAGGACATGTCCATGGAAAGACCATCTATATACAATTGAAGAAGAAATGGGAATAGATAGAATCCTTTATGTATTGTATCAGGATGGAGATGGCAGATGGAGAATCCAATGTGTAGGGGAAAATGGAGTTATGTTTCAGAACAGATTGTCATTACCTGAAGCGTGGAGAGGCAAAAGAGATGAAGAACTTGAGAAAATCAGTGGAATACCTGGGACTATTTTTGTCCATAATACAGGATTTATTGGTGGAGCGCAGACTTATGAAGGGGTTTTAGAAATGGCAAGAGCCAGCATAAGAATGCAAATTATTTTAGATTAAAAAATATTTTCTGATGGAATACTTTTAGGAAGACTTTAAAATATAAAGTAAATTGATAGGATTAATGTTTTTTATTTTTAACACCCTTTGAAAAATTAATAAAAATAGAGGAAAAGGCTTCAAAAAAATAAATTCACCATTATTTTACTGGTCTCTTATATAATTATGACACAAGTAAGAGGAAATAAGATAAAAATTTTAAAATTTAATCCTTTTCCTTTAATACCTATATGGCGAATTGTGTGGCTCATATTAATAAATCATGGGAAAATACGCTAAGGGATCAGACGAAAGCTCTGGATTGCGGGTATGAGTTAGCTTTGCTAACTCGGCTAACAAGGATTCCACCAGGGGATTCATCCGTTTTGCGGTAAAGTCTATTTCTGATCGCCGGAAAGGGCGGGTTGCCTGGCTGTCAACTCATCCTTGCTACTTCTATGTAGTTGTAATTTTGAGCGGGCAAACTATGAGTTTCGGGGCCTTGCTTCATATTGCTGCGAACAAGGTTGCCATCACGAAAAATCAAAAAAATGAATTTTCTGACCGACTATCGGCAAAAAGGAAAAACACGTGGCATAGAACGTAACGCCCAGCTTCAGGATGTTGCCCGAATGGTCCAGAGGACTCTGCAGGGTTTTTAACTCCCGTGCCTTCCTTCCCTCGAGGAGAAAACAATCCTTGAAATTAGACTTGGGCTAGGCTCTGAACACAAACAGAATTGCTTGCTTAGCATCGCTGTCCATCTCTAGGACAGAAAAATATTGCATCATATAATTAAATATGCACTCGAAGGTAGTCGGCGAAGCGCTGAGACGCCATGTTTAATTGCTCTGGATCTGAACAAGAATACAAATCCTCAAGCAAAAAATACGAACACGACTCCGACAGCGACGACCCCAGATACAAAGGTTCCAGCTCTAAGAAAAACAAAGGCTACGGCAGCCCTGGATCCAGTGGAAGTGATTCTCATCCTCAAAAGCGTCAAAGGGAACCAGCGTCATATGAAGACAAAGGTGACGAGCAATCCGAAGTTTTCGTAGGAGGCCTCTCCTGGGAAGCTGACGATTCCGACCTTCAAAAGTTTTTCAAAAACTGTGGGTCCATCACCAACATAAAAATCCTCAAAAACGACCAAGGCAAATCTAAAGGCTCTGCTTTCATCAAGTTTTCAAGCCCAGAAGAAGCCCAAGAAGCCATTCGTCTTAACGGATCAGAGCATATGGGCCGCACCTTGAGAATCAACCTATCAGGTGACAAGCCTAACAAACACAGAGAGTCAGGAGGCAGCGGACGTGGAAGCACAAGCACTGTGTTTGTAGGAAACCTCCCTTATAATGCTGACGAAAACAACTTGACTGATTTCTTCAGCGACTGTGGATCAATAAAGCAGGTGAGAATTGCGCATGACCAGGATGGGAATAAACGTGGATTTGCCCACGTCGAATTTGAGTCAACTGATTCTGCGGATGCAGCAATCAAACTGAATGGGAAGGAATTAGAAGGGAGAGAACTCAAAATCGATTTTGCTGGGGAAAAAAGAAGTGGCGGTTCCTCAAGAGGTGGCAGAGGAAGAGGCGGCAGAGGTAGACCAAGAAGATATTAGTGTTAAGTGGATTCCACAATAATGACCCATTTCTTCATATGGGAACTTTTCAAACATTCATTAAAACCCATAATGGTGTGTCAGATTCTGAATATACAGGAACTTTGACTTCACGTTCTCCGATTTCTGCAAATATAGGTCTGTTACGGATTTTGCGGTATATCGAAAATAAGTAGGATTCTAGAGTAAAAAGAAAAATATCTATGCCGAGAGCGGCGATAATTGCCCATACTGAATCATCCATTATAGTCGTTATTTAAAACTTAACCATTTTAAAGTAAAACTTATAGTTATATTTATATATAATGAATATAAGAAATTCCTGCGATGGATTTAGGGAGAAAACAGGATAAGGCTATGTAGATTTGTTGCAAAAAAGGTATATTTTAGAATAGTGATAATTTATATTAAAATCTTCTAGGAGGCTCTTTAGTAGTAGGAGGCTGGCTACCATAGCTAGGCGCAGTTTGTTTATAAGGATCTTGGGGTTGCTGTGGTCCTCTTGTTGACTCTCTGCTGTAGCTAGGGGTAGTTTGTTTATAAGGGTCTTGACCATAGCTTGGAGCTATTTGTTGTCCTTGCTGAGGAGCTCTTGAGGGATCTTGGCCATAGCTAAGGGCTAGCTGCTGTCCTTGCTGAGGAGCTCTAGATATATCTTGGCCATAGCTAAGGGCTAATTGTTGTCCTTGCTGAGAAGCTCTAGATAAATCTTGGCCATAGCTAGGGGCTATTTGTTGTCCTTGTTGAGGAGCTCTAGAAGGCTCTTGGCTGTAATCAGGTACTATTTGTTGTCCTTGCTGAGGACCTCTTGATAGATCTTGGCCATAACCAGGTGCTATTTGTTGTCCTTGCTGAGGAGCTCTTGATAGATCTTGGCCATAACTAAGGGCTAATTGTTGTCCTTGCTGAGGAGCTCTTGAAAGATCTTGGCCATAGCTAGGAGCTATTTGTTGTCCTTGCTGAGGAGCTCTAGAAGGCTCTTGGCCGTATCCAGGGGCTATTTGTTGTCCTTGCTGAGGAGCTCTAGAAGGCTCTTGACCATAGCCAGGGGCTATTTGTTTATAAGCTTCTTGAGGAGCTCTAGTAGGTTCTTCACTATACCCAGGCGTTGGAAGATTGCCTTGAGTTTGTTGAGGAGTCCTGCCATATCCTGGCTGATTATAAGGATCTTGAGCTCTATAGCTCCCAAGGTCAGTCCCTGTCCTAAAGCTTTCTGGCGTATTGCTACTTCTTATATCATATTGGCTTGGAGTTGAGCTTTGGCCTGGCGGCACATTTGCTCTATTATAATAATTTTGCTCTCCTCTTTGGTCTGTAGGAGCCTGCCTAAATCCTTCTTGTGTAGCTCCCATTCCTCTGCCCATTGAATCTTGCCTGAAATCTTGTCCAGTCTGAGCTGGTGAAGCTCTCTGTCCTGGCTGGTTTAGCCCTGAGCTTCTTATATCCTGTCCTTGGCCAAATCCTTGTGAAGACTGTCTGAAATCCTGCATAGTCTGACTTGGAGGCTGTCTAAAATCTTGTGCAGTCTGTGTCGGTGAAGGTCTAAAATCTTGCTGAGTTTGTGTCGGTGAATTTACCCTAAAATCTTGTGCTGTTTTTGCTTGTGATTGTCCAATTGACCTATTTAATGACTCAGAAGACTCCAGCAGCTGCCTTCTGGATGCATCTTGTGCCGCCGTTTCTGATTTTTTGGAATATCTGGCATATACGTCTTTTAGGTTGTTAAAACTAATTCTGGTTTGGCCTTTTGGACAGAGCTCAGTTACAAGGCTGTTTGTTTCGCTTTCAGTTAATGGGTGTTCAAGAATTCTGTTAAAGCCTTTCATAAGCTCATCTTTGGAAATCCAGCTGTCTTTGTTTTGGTCAAAAACTTGGTTGTATAGCCTGACTAAGGTTAATTTTTGCTTTGTCATATGGTCATCGAGCATATGAATAAGCTCTGGGACGCTTCTGATTTTTTTCCTAGCTGCTTGAGCTTGGGTTTGGGCAGCTCCTTGGGTTCTTGGATTTACTTCCGTTCCGTAACTCTTGAAAAGCTCTTTGAATTCATCAAAAGAAATTCTATTGTCGCCTGACTTATCAATTTTTCTCACTCCCCCCCTCCGTGAGTGAACAAAACCATTAGAAAAATCGCTATTTTTTGACCAAAAACCCACCCTCCGTGAGTGAACAAAAATTTTTTTAATAGAAAAAAATTTTGATATATAAATGATTAGTATAATGAAATCTAGAGCTAATTCTGTTTAATTTTAAACGAATTGCTTTTTAAAAATAAATTTTATAAATTAAATTATTATTTGCTTTCCAATTTTTGAGAATTAGGAATGTTTTGAATTTCGAAAAAAAAAATATTTTAATAAAATTTATATATAGATTTTTTTAAAAAAAAAATTAAACCCCCCTCCGTGAGTGAACAAAATGTTTTTGTTCACTCACGGAGGGAGGGGGAGTCAGTAAAATCTCAATTTGAGTATTTGTTAGGTTAAGCTTCATGTCTTGGAAAACTTTGATAAGTTCTTGCCTTGATATATACCCATCATTATTTTTATCAAATACTTTAAAAGCGTCAAACAAGTTTATTCCACTCGAAGCGATCACTTTTACTATACTTTCCAATGGATCTGGTGGAGGAACTGGTGTCGCTTTACTTTCCTCAGTCGGAAGTCTTGATCCTTCACTCATTCTTGTATTAGTTCTCGAAATAGGTGCTGCTTCCCTTAATAAATCTTGGAATTCTTTGAAGTTTATAGTATTGCTTTTATCTTTGTCAATAAATGTCCATAAAGCTTCTACTTCTTCTGGCGTCAAAGGAATTTTTAGGCTTGCCAGGACTCTTTTGAACTCGTCTTTTGTGATTATCCCGTTTTTGTCAGCGTCAAAAATATTGAAAAGGTCAGGCGCAGATATGCCGCTCCTTTTCATCATTCTTTTGAAGACTGAAACCATGTTTTCAGAAGGCTGGACAAATTCAATGAACTCGTGAAGAGTAATTGAGCCATCTTTATTGGCGTCTGCCACGTCGACTAGCATTTCAACATCATAAGTAGTAAGGTTTAGGCCTAAATGTTCAAGGGCGTTTCTGAATTCTTGCCTGCTTAGAGTTCCACTTAAATTCTTATCAAAAGCTCTGAACAAGCTACCTATATCTGCACGCTTATTTCTCAGCTGATTTTGTATATATTCCCTTACCTGCGCAACTGTAGTTCTCACTTGTCCAGGCCCATTCCTCGGAGTCCCTTCAAACCCTGCACAAAAAGCTTCATACAGTAAAAACCCAGATGGATTTTTCGGCAAATAATTTCAAAGGTTTTCTATTTCTCTCGGTGTCAGCCCAATTTTCATCATTTCAAAGACCTTATAAAACTCTTGTTTTGATATCTGCCCATCTCCATTTTCATCAAAAACCTTAAAAGCGTCTCTAAACGTCAGCTGGCTCTCTGTAATGAGCTGCCCTACTTTTGCCAAAATTAATGCGGCATCCGTATTATTATTGACCTGTGTTGGTTTCCCTCCACTTCTTGGCTGCAATTTTTCACAAAAAATCCTATAGTCTATTTTATCAGTCCTCCTGGGGTCAAAATATTTAAGAATTCTTTCTATTTCCTCATCATTAAGCCCAAGCTGCATTATTTTAAAAGTCTGCCTAAATTCAGCTGCTGAGACAGTTCCATCTTTGTTTAAGTCAAAAGCCTCAAACGTCTGCCAAATGCTGAGCCTTTTTTCTATAATTCGCTGCCTTACGAGCTCAAGAACTTGTTCTTCCCATGGTTCTTCAGCTTTTAGTGTCCTATCAGCTGCTAAAAGACCTGAAAATTTCTGTCTGAATAAGGTCTTTGTAATTCCTCCGTCCACAAGATTGCAAGCATTTATGAGGAGCTGGATTTCTTGCTCAGATAGAGGCAGCCGCAATGTGATGAGGATGGTATTTCTGAATTCCTGAGGAGAAATTAAGCCATTTTGGTCCTGGTCAAAAATAGCGAACCCTGAGTCAAGGCCAAGCCCTCTGGCACTTAGGGCTTTGGCTATTCGTTCATAAGCTTCTCTTTCCCATGCTTCAGTAAGAGGTGTGCCGTAGCCTATTTGGTCAGCTTTTGAGTCTCTCCATGCAATCCTTAGAGAAATGCCTCCAGCTTCTTGACCTCTTAAATTAAAAAGCTGATAAGTTCCTTCTATAGCAGTATCTAGTAAAAGTGCTGTCAAAGGCACATGGGCTGTCCCTATTATATCTTGTCCTCCTTCTCTAATAGGCGCATTGTCATCAAACACAATAAATTCTACAGTCTGTGAGTCAAGGTATTTTTTAAGATCAGGGCCTACCTTTATTTTTATAGTCGACGTCTCATCATAAACCGGGTCTGGCCCTACTGCACTTTTAGTCATATATTCCGGCTCCGTGAAAAACTGGTAAAACACAAATGGCCTTAAATTCCCTGGATATACAGTCCCAGTAAGCCCAATACACCTAAACACAGTCACCATCAAGCTTCTTTCTTTTAAATTAGGGTCAGCTGCATATACAGTTTCTAATGCATACTGTTTAGGGTTAGAAAGTTCCACAATTTCTTGTTTTTCTTTAAACCACCTCAAAGCTTCACTAAGCGGGTGTCTCATCCTCAGCTTAAAAGTTTGTACACCAACTGAAGTCCGACCATCAAAAGCACTCACAAAGGTACAGGCTGACTCTATTATCCCTGGCTTCATATTGGCGTCTGACATAGGCCCAGCCCGTTCTAACAATTCTACTAGTGGGACTTTTGCTCTCGCAAAAGTCAAATGTGAGTCACCTTTATTTATGTGGGCTTCTATATAAATATAGTCCTTTTCAAGGGTTTTTATGAAAAATTCGTCGACGTTTACCTTGAAACTTATGTGGATTTGGTATTTTGGGGTCAAGCCTTCACAGAGAGAAGTGGATTGGGTTTCGTGGTTAAAGAAATCGACAGTTAAAAAGGACACAAAGTTCCGCTCATAAGGCATGTTTTCTTTTAGGGCTTGTTCTAAGGCAAATAAATAGAACTCAGCAGCGCCTAGCCATAAATCTACGATATTTTCTCCAGTTCCGACCTCAGTGCCATTATCTACAAACTCTGCAGCTGCACCGTCAAATTCTGCTAAAGAAATTTGTGTTTTTGTAGCAACAATTCGATTGGCATCATCATATACATTAAGACGCTGGTTTCTTTCAAGCTGAATTACACGGTTTGCTCTGAAATCCGCTAATCTAGCTAACTCCTCAGCTCTTTGTTGGGCTGATTTTAACTGCATTTGTAGCTGCTCGCTTTCACTGCTATGTAACGCATTTTTTTCTTTTTCCATTTCATTTTTCAAGACTAATAAATTTTGGATTTTTTCTAGTTCTGCAGCTAGCTGGCCTTTTTCAAGCTTAAGTCTTTCTATTTCTCTTTTAAGATTCGGAATATCTTCAGGCACATTGCTAGTTCTTTCAATAAAATCTAGCCTTGACCAGGCTGGTTCTTCTCCTTTAAGTTTCATTAGCCCTAGCGCCCTCATAAAAGCATCTACATCAGTCCCTCCTAGAGACCTCAGCTGAGTTTCAAACTCATCAAAATATTTATTTTTCTCCTCTAGCCTCACAGATAGTTTTAAGCACTCATCTTTAAACCTATCCCTCTCTTGTGTCATATTTTTCAATTCCTGTGTCAAATACGCCACATTTCCTTCTAATTTTGCAATTTTCTGCTGAAAATCCTGCAATGACGAAGTCCTCATATTAATTTCATTTTCCAAAATCTGCAGTTTGGGGTCTTTTGAGTCTTTATTAAACGGGGAATTCAGTAGGTCTCTTAGCTGGTATTCTAGCCTTTTATTTTCTGCTATAAGTTCTTGGTTTTTGTATACAAGTTCATTGGAATTTGAAGATTCGTAAGCTTTTAGCTTGATTTCTAGCTCAATTACTTTGGCACGTTCTCGGGATAGCTGAATTTTGGTGTCTTCAAGCTCCCTTATAAGTCCTTCATAGTTTATGTCCCTTATCTGTACAGTCTGCATTTGTGGCTTTTCGTCATAGCCGACTATGGCGGTGCTGTCGTCCATCATCTTGATAGGGGTTTTGTTTTTGTGGATGTCATAGTGGACAGCTTGAGTTATCACTTTAGGCTTCATGCTGTGCTGCTTTAAAAAAGGCCCGTCACGTGAGGCAAGCTGCTTTCCTAGCTTCCCTGTAGACGCGGCTCCTTCAATTTCTCTTATTTTTCTTGCTAATTCGGATTTTTCTTTTTTAAGCCTTTCGACTTCACTGATTTCGATATTGCTGGACTTAAAGTCTTGGCCTGTTAAAGACTCTGCAAGGTTTCTTTCACTTTTGACGCTTTCTTTTAGCCGGTTCAGCTGAGTTGTCACCTTTTTTAATTCTTCTTCTAGCTTATTGTGGTGGTTTTTTAGTTCTAAATTTTGGTCATATAAGTCGAAATAGGCGGCGGCTTTTTCTTTTTCTGATAAATTTGACCGTGGGCCTGAGGCTTGTCGTTTCGCCCCTTTTGTGCCGGGTTTTTGACTGACGTTTTTTCTTACACCTTTTTTGCTTTCTGCTTGGCTTTTAAAGAATGTTTCCATAGAAGCAGCTTGGACTTGGGTTTTGGATTTTTCGTATCTGAGCTCGTCAGATTCTCGAATAGCTGAGCTTTCTTGTTTTTCATTGGCTTTTTGTTTCCAAAAAGCATCAGCGCTGTTTAGAGCTTGTGGAAAAGCCCCTTCTCCCATTGTTGCTGCTTTTTGGGATCTTCAGTACTCAGAGCCGACGCTCATTGATGGATCTTGGAGAGGAGGCTGTCCAGGACTCTGCAATAAAGAGGATTGATTTTGAAAATCTGAGCGCTGATTGCCTGCCTGATCTGCCTGTGACCGCATAAAATCGTCTCTGTTTGATATTTGAGAAGCATTGGGACTTTGTGCAACTGATCCCCAGAAATCTTTACCCCCTTGGAAGTTTAGATCGCGAGACATTTAATATTTAAATTGGTAAAGAATTAGGTGAAAATTCGAATTAAAAAGAATATGGGTATGAAAAGGCAGTCAAAACGTGAAAAATATTAGAAATTGAGGAGAAAAATAATACTAATAGAAAAAATCTTAATATTCTAATTAAAATTTATAGGTAAATGTATTGGGATGATATTAGAAAATTGAAAAATTTCGGGAATTTTGAGAACTTATGTTTATTTTTATTAATCATTAATATAGAACACTAATAAGCAACTTAATAATGTTAGTTCCAAAAATGTGTTTAGAGAATATATATATCATTTAAATTAGCATTACAATTTTTATATCTCAAATCTCCTAAAAACCCCTTCAAATTCATAAAAACTATCAATTTTTTTGTCAATTCTAGAATTTTTTTGGTTAATATTATCACTTGAGCATTTTATAGATCAACAACTCAGAAACAATGCACATGCCTGAATCCTTGAGGAGGCAGGCTCTGGCTATTAAAGGGGTACCTCTTAAGGCTAGTAAGTCCTTCAGGTACCTAGGCTATATTATTCAGACAAGAAATAACAGTGCCAGAGGACTCAATAGTTCAATTGCAAAGACCAAGGCAAGTTGCATGGCTCAATTTGGCATGGTTGCCTATCTCAGAGATGCCGCTCTCGAAGGAAGGCAACTATTCTGCAAGCCTGCGTCTCTACCGTCAGTGTTACGCAAAAGAATGTGGCTCAGAAAACATGTCAAGACTCAAGTGGGATAACATGGAGAGTATTCAGAGGAAAAAGGCTAGGTGGCTCCTAGAAGCCCCTAATGGTACAGCTAATGAGACAACCTTAATGGAGCTGGGGTAAATCTCCCTGCAAGTTAATCTAATCCCCTCCCTTCACTCTTATGCAATTATTAGAGAAAATAACATAAAAATTTTAAAATTTAATCCTTTTCCTTTAATACCAATGAGACAACCTTAATGGAGCTGGGGTAAATCTCCCTGCAAATTAATCTAATCCCCTTCCCTTCACTCTTATGCAATTATTAGAGAAAATAACACAAAAATTTTAAAATATAATCATTTTCCTTTAATACCTATATTGCAAATTGTGCTGCTTATATTAATAAATCATGAGAAAATACACTAAAAGATCAGACGAAAGCTCTGGATCTGAACAAGAATACAAATCCTCAAGCAAAAAATACGAAAACGACTCCGACAGTGACGACCCCAGATACAAAGGTTCCAGCTCTAAGAAAAACAAAAGATATGGTCAGCTGAGAGATCATATGAAGACAAAGGTGACGAGCAATCCGAAGTTTTCGTAGGAGGCCTCTCCTGGGAAGCTAACGATTCCGACCTTCAAAAGTTTTTCAAAAACTGCGGGTCCATCACCAAAATAAAAATCCTCAAAAACAGCCAAGGCAAATCTAAAGTTTCTGCTTTCATAAAGTGTTCAAGCGCAGAAGAAGCCCAAGAAGCCATTCTTCTTAACGGATCAGAGCATATGGGCCGCACCTTGAGAATTAACTTATCAGGTTACAACCCTAACAAACACAGAGAGTTATGAGGTAGCGGAATTAGAAGAGAAAACACTTTGTTTGTCAGTAATCTCCCTTATACTGCTGACGAAAACAACTTGACTGATTTCTTCAGTGACTTTGGACCGATAAAGAGTGTGAGATTCTCATATGACCAGGATGGAAATAAACGCGGATTTGCCCACGTCGTGTTTGAGACAGCTGATTCTGCGGATGCAGCAAGCAAGCTGAATGGGAGTGAATTAGAAGGGAGAGAACTCAGAATTGATAAGATGTAGTTTAATGAAGTGCGGAAGAGGTAGACCAAGAAGATACATTAAATTCGGGTTGGTACTTGCAAACCAAGCACTCTTGTATTTGAGCTTCAAGAACAACTATCCTGAGTCAAATTAATTGAGTATTTTTATAGGAAAAATCCTAAAATCAGCTTATTTTTGTATATATAAAGAAGTCTAGAGGCAGCTTTGTCAACTATGAGGACTCTTATATAATTAACCATCTTATTTAAACTAAAATGCTGTCAAGTAAAACCCAAAAAACCAAGGCGTACTCCAACAAATATAAAGTTTGCTGTAGTAAACAAAGCATATCGGCAAACAACCAAATTGTGTCAACACTCAATAAATATGAATTTTCCGTCAATTTTGAAATTATCCAAGACAAAGATTTAAAGCCAATTGCATCAGCGCTGCCTGGTCTTACGCAAATTAAAAAAATTGAATTAAGTAATAGTGATAAGCATAAAGCTGTGATCCCTTATTCAAAATCAAGCCCAAAAGGATCACGTACAGTTAGGACTGATGCTCAGACAAGCAATTTGGACCCTGAAAACCATTCAACGTTCGCGAGCTCTAGAGAACGTGACGAATTTGAGAAAAAAAGAAAAATCAAAGGGATCAAGATTTTTAAAGCCATTTCAGAGAATTTGGAGCATAATAGGCACCTAACCACGCTTATTTTTGAACAGATTAATATAGAATTTGAGGGCTGAAACTTGTTAGCTAGAGGCTTTAATGCAAAATTGCCTTTAAGCTATATAGAAATCACGGACTGCAGGCTAAAGGACAAAGATTTTGCCTGTTTTGCGCCTTCTCTGGTGAACCTAAAATTTTTGAATATTTTGATTTTATCGAAAAATGAGCTTGAGGACTGTGGGTTTGACCTTGCAAGGGTAATAAGCAAAAATAATGAAAGAGTGGACGAGATAGTTTGGCTTGCAGGGTTAAGAGGAGAGCAGCCAGAAATGGGAGGATCTGGAAAAGGCCTTGAAGAACTGAATTTATCTTATAATAAACTCAAAGATAAAACTGTCTATGATTTATCAAGTGCGCTGTATCATGATAGTATCATAAAAGCGCTGGATATTTCTTATAATAGTATTACTATACAAGGGCTGCAAGAAATAGTCAGCGCGTTATATACAAATTCGACCTTATTGTATTTAGATATTTTTGGAAATGGGAAAAGTATCCCTATAAGTTTTGCCAAGGTAATTTTGAAAAAATTAAAAATTAATTTGAGAAGATTTAGGAGCAGGAGGAATTATTCAGGAGACTGAGAAAAAAGACTTATAAATATAAAAAATTCACTTGGGCCGATTTTATTGGCGTCAGAGCCTATAAGTCCGAGAGAAACAGAGAGGAAATTGAGGGTGATAAAAAAATCAGAAACCCAAGAATCGAGAGAGATCACTTGTGAGAGTCCTTATGATTTTGAAGAAAAATCAGAAGAAGAGATACTGATGGAGCCGGAGTACTCAGAAAGCGAGTCTTCTTATGTCCCAACAAAAAAAGGGCTACTAGGATATGATCATACCCCACTTCATGAATCCAGAAAAAAATTGCCTGAGAGTTGTGAGAAATGCATATTTTATTACATTAATTATCATTCATTAAATTGTAACGACGCATATGGTCGTTAAAGCTCTTAAGGGCTCTTTAATAACCAATCCGTAATCGTTTTTTGTTTGCACTGTGTAGCACTTAATCGTTCTCCCTAGAAATCCTGAGTCATAAATTATCGGTAAAATGTTGATGGGAGAGCTGAAGCCAAAGTAGGTACCATCCTTGCCAAATCCCAGGATTGGGAGATCCTCTTCTTTCGCAGCCCTTAGATTGGGGTATGTTTTCGCTTATTGCTCCACATCTGCAATAAAAAAAATTATTACATTAATTATCGCTATAAGCTATAGACAATTCCTATTTCTCTATAGAAAATAGAATATCAATAGCAGGTCTCGTAATATAGTTTCCCTTCTCTTTATAAAGAATTTGAAAAAGCTTTATTTAAATCAGAAAGCACCTGTCTTGCTTTAACTGAAAAAATTAAAAAACTAGAAGCCCGAATCGCTTTTTTAGAAGAAAAAGCATCCCCAGTAGACTCTGATAAAAGTTTAGACTTTTACCAAGAAGAATCAAGCCCAAACACCTTAAGCCCTTCTCCAGAAAGTGATATAGATACCTTAAGCAGGATCAACAACATGATGAAAGAGCTCGGCAAACTTATGGACGCCTTTGAAAGCCGAAATCCAGGCAAATCCAAAAAATTGTTTAATTTATAGAAAAATTAACATTAATTTTCATCTACAGCTCTTTCTATCAATCGCAGCGAAGTGTCACTCTGCAGGTGTGTTTTATTTCCTTGAGTTTTTTCAAGGTCGACTGGAGAATTTTGTTCGAAAATTGAGTAATCTTTGACGGTTTCTATTTTTAAATGTTCTTCAGGAATCGCGATTTCTCGCCTTTTCATTATGAAATCATAGGTTGTAAGCCCTAATCTTGCTAAATAAATGTGAAAGCCAATAAGATAAAAAAATGATAGCGCAACTAAAAAACTTTGCAGCACACAGATTATCACAAATGCTAAAATAATTTTGTAATTCGCATTAAGATTATCGCTGCATTTATTTTCAAATTTTGGAGAATTTTGGATATAGTAGTTTATCAATAATGAGTTAAAAATTGTTTCTATTGTGAAATGCACAGCACAAGAAAAACTTAAAATGATAAAAGACTTGTAATTTTTTGATCCAATACAGTTATTCAACCATTTGCAGTGGTGGTCAAATTTTTCTATGCACTGGTTGCAGGTGAAGCATAAATAAAATGGCATTCGGTTCGAGAGAAATTAGCTCTGCTAATTTTCTCTCCCTCATGGAATTTTATTTATGGGGTTGGGTTTTCTCTCGAGAACTTTGCACAGCAATAGCGGTTTAACTTTGGGGATAGCCAAAGGAACTGCTCCTCAGTGCATTCAAGAGGATCAGGGTTTTTACCTCTCAGCAAATCTCGACGGGAAGATGACTCTTAGGTGGAACACGCGCAGGAGCTGAGTCAAGGCAACGAACGCGCAAGGTGAGACGTGCGGCGACTGAAGGCGAAGCGTTGATAGAAAGCTTGGCCGGTGAGCTACCATCGCGATTCCAAGATGGCTCCGTGACGTCACTAGTTTAGCTAAATCCCTATTTAGGATATGGCACTAGACACCTTAAACACCAGATGTTAAGTTAAGTTAAGGTTGCATGTGAAGCAGTGTTTTGTTGTATTTTCTACGTAAGCGTCACATACATTGCATTTGACTGGATATTTACTACAGTCCAACTCTATCCCTTTATCTCGATATTCTCAAGATAGTCTAACTGAATCTGAAGTGGGGTCAGAATATCCAATATAAATAGCAAGAATAACAATAACTCCAAGCGTAGTGCTATATAAAGCTAAAAAATAAATATCATATATTGTGTCTAGCAATTTTATTGTCAAGGCATATGAAAATGTAACGTTCAGTGATATTAAAATCCAGCTTAAGACTTGATAAAAATTAAGACGGCTTCTTCTCTTTTTATTATCGATTTCCATATTACATAACCAAATATTATAGAGAAGATTCTAACTATAATTAAACGTAGGGACTGGAGGGAACACACATCCTGATTGCTGGATTACTTCTCCTGCACAGTAGTTCCCGGCAGCGACGCATCTTCTAAGCTCACTTCCTTTGAGCAGCTCGCTTAAAAATCCTCCTACAAAAGCTAAATATTAATTACAGTCCCCAGCTCCATTTGTGTCGATGATTTTTTCTTCTTCAATCCTAGGTACTTCAAAGGTATAGACTTGGTCTCCAACAGCAACTACAGTTGGGTCTTTTCCTCTAGTAATAACTACAGTCCTTGTTCTTTCAAATACTTTTGGCAGTGCAGCCATTCTTAATGCAATGGTCTCAAAATTTGTTGTATCAAACCCATGGACTTGTGAAAATTTTTCAGCCTCAACTTCGTTACCAAACACGTATTCACTGTTTTCAAAAAGCTGCATCATTTGGTCCTTGAAAAATTCAATGACAAACATAGCTGAGAGATTCATAGCAAAAATTTTCCCATTTGTGGCCATATATCTTGAGACTTCTACTAAACTTGGGGTGGCTGGGACTACAAAAAAGCCTTCAGTGTAGGCAATTCTGGCGTTTTCGAGCAGACTCCAATTTGCCCTTAAGTGATCGATATCGAAGTTATTGGCTGCTCCGAGGTTTGCGATTAAAGACCTTTCTTTTTCGTGAAGCAGAACTGCACAGGTGCCGGTTGGGGTGGCATTATCAATTTTGTAATAAGTGGTGACGCCGTCTTTGGCTGCAGCCTGGCTTAGTCTTTGTCCATTTTCGTCATTTCCAATGCAGCCTAAAAAGGCGGTAAGGCCTGGGGTTTGAGACATCCATTGGCAAGATCTGATAGTGTTTTGGCTTGCCCCTCCTGCTATGAAGTCACAGTTATAGTTGTCGACCAGCTCTTTGTACATAGGCATGTGCTTTTCTTCAGCGAGAATTGCGTTGTTTGGAAGAACCCCATAGCGTTGCATATACTCAGCTGTAACTTCAGCGGAAATGTCTAATAAAGGAGACCCAAGCCCAACCAAAGAATGATGCGCTGCCATATATTTTATGCTGCGATTGAGTAAAAAACACAATGGTGGCCTAATCATTAAAAAATTTAAAAATTGGATTTAGCATGAATATAAGGCCTTATAAGTTAAAGTAATATATATTGTGCTTAAAATAGAAGTGCAAAAGGTAACTAATTAATTAATGATTGAAAAAGAAAGAGCTCGTCTATGAAAATAGTGAATAAATGGTATGAAAAATAATATGGTTCTGTTAAAGGCATAATCATATTGTAAAAATATAATATTTTAACAGCAACTTATGGAATTTTTTCCTACGAAAATAAATAAAGCAAGAGAAATGCATTTTTCTTGCAGATTTAATGAATTTTAAAATTTATTATGCTTAGGAAGACTAAAGAATTCAACAGATGAAGAAGCAGAATTGCAATTCCCAAAACTTAGATTAAAGTTATTTAATGAAAGACTTAAAGATAAGCTAATTGTGTGCAAATAATCGGAAAGAGCTACCTCTGCCCAATAAAATTTCAAATTGCTTGTAGAAGTGCAGAGACCTGCAAATTTTAGCTATAAATTACTTGTAATAAAGTTTTTCTTTAAATAAATACTTTTGATTAACTTAATATGTTATGTTATGATATGATGTGATAAGTATTTAAAGTCCCTACTTCGATGCCATGACGTTCTACAGGTTTACCCCTAGGGTGGCTGAGGCGTTCGCGCTTCAAGCCCGGGCCGAAATCCCCAGTTTCTCGGTAGAGGTGAGGTCAAGGGACAGATCACTGTCTTTGCTGACCGCCTCCATTTCCAACTTGACTCGCCGCCCTAATTATTGACCAACTCAGTCTATGTGATCGCCAAATCCGCTCAAAAGAGAGAGTGCCTTTTCAACTGGAGAGACCCCCGAGTTAGGAGTCTAGTTTGCCTTCCCCTCTTTTCCGGTCATCCCGAGAAAGAACTCAACAGCTTTCGCCATTCGGGGCAAACCACAGTAGCAGCTTATGCAAGTATGTCGCCCTGCCTCATTTCGGGCACCCACTGGGCTGGGCGCGTCTGGCAAAAAGAAGTCACGAATAACTGCCCAAGGGTTTGGTCGCGAAAAAAGCGGTCTCCACGCTTGGACCTCTCGCTTTGAGGTCCCAAACGCAGTCGAGCGAATTCCTGGCTCCAAAAACCATACCCGGATATACACGGGTAACCGTCTCGAGAGGACGGGTCGGACGTCATCCGCCATTTTATGTATATGATTAACTTAATGTAATTACCTATATTTAATAGCAATATTAATATTAAATCGATAAATCACACAATGGGCAAAAAAAGAAGTCAAGAAATAGAGGAGGAATCAGAAGAAGAACCCCAAGAGCTTCCTGAAGAAAGTGAGCCAAGTGAAGATGAAAATGACACACAAAGCACAAAATTAATTGGTGAAAAAACCTTAAACCAAATCAAAATATCTATCACAAAAGGCGTTCAAGGTGCCAAAAAACTTCTGAAAATGTACAGAAAAGCCTGCAGATCTGGTGAAGAGGAAGTCCCAATTTTCAGCAGTGCCCAAGTTCACAACGAAATTTTGGTGCTATCTCTACAAGAGCTCCCAAAACTATTTAAGAAAAAATTAGGCAAAAAGTTAGACCAAAGCTCCAACTGAAAACGCTTAAACAACCTCTTACTCCCCCCTCCGTGAGCAAATAAAACCATTGGAAAAATCCTTATTTTTTGTCCAAAAACCCACTCTCCGTGAACGAACAAAAAATAATTTCAATAAAATAAAAATTTAAGTGATATATAAGTAATTATTTGTATAATGAAATTTCCAGCTAATTCTATTTAATTTAAACAAATTGCATTTTAAAACATAAATTTTACAAATTAAATAATTTTCTAAAAAAAAAACATTTTTACAAAATTTATATATAAATAAAAATTAACCCTCTCCGTCTTGTTCGATTACGGAGGGGGAGCTAAGAAGTTTTTTAGCCAACACTTTGATACTTCTCAAGGTAATAAAATCAGAAAAACTTATTTCTATTGCTTTCCAAGGGCTTTCTCACATAGCGAAATTGCTTCATTTAATGCCAGAGTATTCACAGTTGTTAATTAAGCAAGCAGCAAAGCTTTGGGGAGAAGAAAAAGACATGATTAAGCTCTCAAGCTATTCTTTTCTTAGAAAAGCATTGGAGCTTGAAGTCATTGACAAAATTGAGCTTCTTAAGTCTGTGTACAAAACTTTTGACAAAAACGCAAAATTTATGTCTTGGAGCAAGTATCAAGACATTGACTTAATGAGAAGATGCTTTGTAGATTTGCTAGGGCTTGACCTATCAGCTTCTTATCAAGTAATCTTCATATACCTTCGGCAGCTTTCTCTTTCATTATCAGAAGTAATTAAAAATCCAAGCACAGATAGGGTGAAAACCTTATATAACTGGCAATATCTCAACTCTTTATGCTTACTTGCCCAATCTATCATTAAATACCCTACACACCTTAGTGAGCTTGCCTTTCCTCTGCTCCAAATCTGTCAAGGACTCCTTCAAATAACCAATATCCCTAAATATTTCCCTATAAAACTCCACTTTATCCGACTTTTAATCGCTCTCCAAGCATCAAGCCAAACCTATATCCCTATAATTACCCCTCATTTATTAGAAATTTTGCTTTCTGCTTCACTTCAGAAAAAATCAAAGCCGACCAAGCTGAAAGCTTTTCATTTCATTATGGCCCTTAAGGCAAGTAAAGAACAATTGACAAGTGAAACGTATAAGGAGCAGCTGATTGAAGAAGTCTGTGATTCATTGATAGAACATATGGCTGGGGTTGGAAATGCTATCAGCTTCCCTGAAATTATGATCCCTGTTAAAATTTCGCTGAAAAAGCACACAAAGACGGTTAGAAATGGAGGAATCAGAGGGAGAATTCTGCATACAATAAAGCTGATTGAAGATAATGCAGATTTTATCAATAAAAAGAGGCTGGAAATGAATCTGCCTCCTATCGGTGCACCGATCGTTGTTGAAGGAAATTGCCCATTGTGGGAACAAAGAGACAAAATTTTGAAAAGAAGGGCTGAAATAATTCGAAGTAAAATTAGCTCACTCTCAGAGGAAAATACTAAATCCCTCTCTGTAAGCTAGATTAGAGATTCTCTATGGTCACAATATTAATTACTTTATATAAATGATAGTTAAATATATTTTAAATCATAGGTATTCTAAGCAAATTGACCCCCTTTATGGGGGGTGGTAACCATTATTTATTAAATCATATGCAATCTAAAATAAAAGTTAAATAGATAAATATATTTATTTATAATTGATAAAAATAAATTAACTCTCGTTATAGAAACAAAAATATGCTCGCAGGAAGAAGAAGTAAGGATTATTAAATTAGCTAGATAGAATAAATCTTTCAGAAAACTTTATATATGTGTTTTCCAGCTTATTTCTTAATTTTTATATGTGCATATAAGTGCTTAAATTAGATAATTAATGGTATTATTTACTATCAATTAGAGTGCTTGGTGTTAAATTATAATGTTAATTCTTAAATATATTACTTTTTTTCTTATATTGATAATTTGCCATTTATAGCCAATATAGTAGTCTAATTAATTGAAATAGAAACATTTTATTAGTTCATTTTTAAATAATTTAATTATTTCAATAACCGATTGAAGGTGAGAATATAATTAACCTCACTTTAAGAACCAGCAAAATCATTAAAAAACCTTATTTTTAAGAGAAATTGAAATATTTTATATAAAAATAATTATAGCAATAATGAGAGCTTTGTCTATTTATATTTAGTTTTAATCAATTATAAAGCATTAATCTTATAAATTAGAATTTTTATTTCAATTATTTACCTGAAAAAAATTATATATAATAGCTAATAATGTTTAAAAAAATTAACCTCCTTAAGAGGAAAAAGAAATCTAAAGAGGAGAATAAGGAGATGAATTTTTCAATATGAAATAATTTTTCGGAATTAACAAAGGTTAATTTATAAGGAAATTATTAAAAAATGATTAAACTCGTTGTTTTTTTTTGGACTCTCGCCCAAGTTCTCGCAGAGCTTCCTATTGGTCTAATAACCAGCCCATACACCTCCCAAAATCTGGTGAACAACCTTGCTGACGATTTAATGGGCCTTGAAAAAAGCATCCAAAATGCCCTTTCCCTCCCCTTCAACCTAAAAGTTTACTGGGCTTTTTACGACTTAAAAAAAGAAATTCGAGAATCCAACTGGATTATGCACCAATAAAATGGCGATGCCGCCGATTAGTTATCTATTTGAAATTGCTCAGATTTGAAGATCTTGCTGTGGAAAATCGAATGGGAAATACTATCTATGTTTCTGATTGGCATTTGGGAAAAAGTTTTTTACTGGAGTATATTAGAGAAGTTTATCCTTAGGTGGAATTCCTGTCTTAAAGCAGCGGCCATTAAGTCCTTAAACTGTGTATTCTCAAGGTTCTGAGACAATATCAAGAATCAGGCCAAAAACCAAGCAGATTTATATTTTGGTGATATGCACCTAGAAAAAACTTCTTCTGGAAGTTTTTTTTTTGGGTGAGACGCCTAGCAAGGAGCCTAGTCTTAAATAAACTAGCTTTCCAACTGGGTAATTCCTAGTCTCCTCCTCAACAAAAACGTTAGGGTAATAATCGATGCTACAAATAATGCTATCTACTCACAGTTTCTGGCCTACGAAGCAGTTCAAAACAATTACCTCCACCTAGTAGTTTCACGGTCCTTAGACGAGCTTAATGGTGAATTCCCAAACACCAACTCTTTATATCTCGAACCTTCCTATGGAAACCAAGCCTTAGCCTGTTGGGATTTAATTTCAAATTTTGGTTGAAAAAAACTAGCCCACAATTTATAATAGTCAGACAGCAAAAAATTTTTCCTTATTAATTTTATCAAATACCTATCTAAAATTTTCAATAAATGTCAACGTGAATTTTAAAAAAAATGCAAAATTAATAAGACCGAAAAAACCTCGGTCTCGTATATGACCAAAATCCTAACAATGTGATCATGGCAAATGTATTTAAGGAAAATTATGACTCGACAAAAGTAACTATCCTTGATGAGCTTGTAGTAGATAACGAAGATAAAACTTCCTCAGTAGACTTAACGAATAGGCTGGAAAGCACAACCAGGGACTCTACAGCAAGGGTCATATTAGTTTTCGCAAATTCTGTGATTGGGTCACAGATTTTACATTCAGCAGATTCTAGTGTTATGGGCGGATCAGGCTATGTGTGGATTTTAAACAGCATTTCTATGATAGATTTGCCAGCGATTGCACAGGATTCGCATGCAGATTTGGATTCAACAACGTTTGGGGTGCTAAAGACAGGCGCGATTGGGTTTTTAGAAGAGGATTCTTTGTATTTGTCACAAAACCCATTAGGTGTTATAAAAGCTGGGCTGACTTTGGTATGTCAAGGCTATGTGTATTTAAATTACCCCAATAAATCCCTATCAAGGATAGGTGGGGCCGACCTAAAAGCATATATGATGACTAATCCAGCGACCCCAACATTGCCTTATCCCCTTCATTTTGACTCCTCAGGCAAAAAGCAATCAAATTACAACCTTTACAACATGCAAGAATTTTTCTTATATAACGTGGGTTATTGGGACCAATCTGCAAGAAAAATTGTAATTACCAATAAAGAAGCCTCAATTATATGGCCAGGTCTTGGTACTTCTGTCCCAGACGACCAAACTCCAATCATAAAAATCGGTCTCTTATACCCACTTCACAACTCAGACGGAAATTCCTTTAAATACGGCCCAGGCATACAAAAAGGCTTTGAGTTAGCAAGTAAACTAGTAAATGACGCCAAAATGTTAGGCGATTATAAAATTAATGGCGTTTATAAAGATACACTAATGACAGCCAGTCTTGCATATAATTAAAATATGGCGTCTCCACCTGGCATGGCCTCCGGCCACGCAGCTTCCGAGCACATATTTTAATTATATCCGGCAAGGTTTTACTAACAGAAATGGACAGCAAAGCTAGGTAAGCAATTCTGGTACTGTGCAGAGCCTAGCCCTCAGTCCGAATTCAGGATTAGGTTTTACCTCGAGGGGAAGGAAGGGTTCAGGTTTGGAAAGGGCAAGCTCAGCTGAGTCTACAGGGAACACCTAGACCAATCGGGCAAGTGCCTAGCGTGAAACTGGGAGTTACGCCCCAGGACTTGAATTTTTCCTTTTTGCCGACAGGTCACCAGAAATTCCATTTTTTGGGATTTCTGTGTGGTCAACCTTCGTCCACCCAAGCAGCAGCCGCAGAAGTCCATAGCCCGCCCACTCAACACTCAAGCCGCAAGGAGAGGAGTAGACGTCCAGGTGAAATCTCACTTCAGAATACCATGCCACCAGGAGCTGAAGAAGAGGAAAGGCAGTGTCAGAGCCGAGCTTGGCCGGCGAATCATTGTCCCAACTCGAACAAGGTGAATCCGAAGACGGCGCAAAGCAGGTGAACCCGACTTTAGGGTCCGTGGGTGACTGCGTAATCAAAACGGCAGACGCCTTCTAATTTCTAAGTTAAGTTAAGACAGCCAGTCTTGCAAGTGTCTATATCAGATCTCTTGGCTCTGAAAATATATTAGGGTATATCGGCCCTTATAATACAGAAGAAGCTACAGCATATATAGCGGCTCTGGCAAATTCTGCCGACCCAAAACCATTAGTCTCATATGGAGCTACTGGGGCCAATTTGACATCTTCAGAAGTATACCCAAGATTTTTAAGGACAATCCAGCCAGACGGTCTACAAGCAGTGGCCGTTGCTATGTTTATTCAGCAGCAAGGCTGGAAAAAAATTGGTGTCATATATACAGACGACGAATTTGGAATCGGGATTTATAACAGTTTTATTACTAACGTCCAGACACTCGAAATTACTATTAAAAACAGTGAAAGCAAAAGGAAAATTACAGCTGCCGTCGATGGGATTATTACTGATGACGTAAAAAGTGATGTAGATGAAGCACTAAAAGAAATTATTAGAAACCAAATAAAAATTATTGTATACCTCGGCAGCGACGTCACAGGAGCTGAGCTTGCCAAACAAGGCTACGACAAAACTCTTTATGGAAGTGACTATGCATGGGTCGGTGCTATGTGAATAACAGACAATCTGTTTTCTGTCATAAGCTCGTCATATTCTAAAAGTGAACAAAGCAATATTCTTGAAGTCATAGATGGAGCTTATGGCCTCGGCTTCAGAGGCCCTATAGACACAGCTGGGGAAACTTTCGAAAAAGCTTACTATGCTGCTTATGCTGAAGAACCTACCACCTATGCTATGCTTACTTATGATACTGTCTATTTATACGCCTGGACTATACAAAGTATGATAAACCGTGGAGAAGATTTTAATAATGGAAAACAGCTTATGGACTCTTTAAGGTCAGCAGACTACACAGGAGCCTCAGGCAAGGTAAAGTTTTCAGAAGGAACCAATGATAGATCTGCATATGGCTACACAGTCATAAATTACCAGCACAGCAAAGTAGTCTCTGTAAAGGAATATGACCCATTAAATCCTAATATGTTTACAGATTATAATGTGTCACTTGTATGGGGAGGCGGCCATTCAAGCGCCCCTACTGACTCCTGGGGCAGCAAATATGACTGCCCGTTCCCCAAAAATATGGTCTCTATTGATTTTGATGGGGTAATTATTGTGATTTGTATAGGCATTTTTATGTTCTTTTTGACATTGGCACTTAGCATGTTTTCGTATAGGAAATGGAAACAGGTAGAAATCCAACAAATTAATGACCCTGTTATAAGAAGCTGGAAAGATACATTAGTCCAAGCCACTATTGCGGTAGAATTTTTCCAATTCGTGGCTATTGCTCCTACATTTGCGTCACTGAAAATTGTGATAGAAGCCGCTTCAAATGTGTTTATGATTGATATTATGAAGGTTGCGAACTCAGGAAAACAGACTTATTGGACTTTGCTAGCTGTTGTATGTGGATTGTGCTATGCTTGGTTCTTTTTAGTTATTATGATCATGGCCAATGCAGAATACTGGCTCCGAAAAGTCCCATTCTGTCAAAGAGTTTTGGGTATCTTAAATGCGCTTTATTTGCCTTTCTTTGGAAATACCATGTTCTTGCCGTTTACAGCGTTGCTATTAGATGCCTATGTATGTGACCATAAAGCTCAGAACAAAGCGTGGGTTTTTAGAGACTGCTATATGACCTGCTGGGGCACTGACCATTCGCCTTATATTATTATGGCAGGGCTTGCATTAGCTTGCTATGAGCCTGTCGCTGTATTTTCCAGACCTTTATGGCAGCAGGCTAAAACAGGCCTTAACCTTATGGCAAAACCCTTTTTCTTGCTCTTCAAAACTTGTGTCCAAATCCTACTAATCGCTATCGGAAAGTCCTTACAAGGTACCTCTCAGCTTGCATTTGGAGTTGTTTTTTCTGTCCTGTTTATGGCTTTTACAGGCCTTACCTATAAAATCCAGCCATTTAACTATAACCGCTGCAACCTATGGGAATTTGCTTCACTTTGTGCAGTCTCTTATTTATCAATTTTGGCTACGATTTCTAACTCAGCTGACCCTAAAAATATAGGATGGTTTATTGCGCTCATGATAGGCTGGGGAGTTATTATAGTCAGCGCATTTTTGGTGCAGAAAAAGTATATGCAGAATTTATTGCTGCCGCCTGGAGGTGGGAGAAATCAGAGAAAAGTGTATGATGCGCTGTCGCTGAGGAAAAGTATAAATGACTCGGACTATGATAATTCAGAATTGGCATTGAAGCCGGGAGATATTAGTATTGCAGACCCGTCGGTGCTGGAGCCAAAGGAATATAGGGTATTGCCAAATATAATAAGAAATGATGAAGAAAATGAGAATGAACAAGAGCAGGAACAGGAGCAGGAGCAGGAGCAGGAACAAGAGCAGGAGCAAATAAATATGCCAGAGATTGAGCAGGATAGGGAAGAAGTAAGTGAAGCTCAAATCAACGTGAGTAGTGGTCATTAATTATTTTATTATATATTTTGAATGCTATTGCATTAATGTTTAAATTAAATTAATTTTCTTGATTGTATTTATGCATTTATTTTATCCCTCTTTAAATTTGAACGAAATATTGATATATTTCAACTTTTAGCCATTTAAAATTGCACAAATTTTAATTTTTAATAATAATTTTTATGTAAAAAATTAATATGCAATTTAATGTCGCTAAATCGAAAATTTTCTTATGTTGCTTTATTTAAAGAGAAGTACAATCAAATACTATTTTAACAAAATTTAAATCATTTATTTTTCAAAATTTATATTTTTTCATGAAAATTTAATTTCAAAAAAAATTAACTAGAATTGATTCTTTGTTCAAATTTAAAATAGGATAAATTAACCCATTAATATAGCGTTTTAGCTCATAAAAAAATAATTTAAAATGATTAAATAAAATAAATGAATTAAATTTTTTAAAATGTCTTGAGTTCTCTTAAGCATTCATATACATTTAAAATTAATTAGATAAGATATCAAATTAATCTTTACAAGGAGTTAGTCATTTTGCTAATTTAATTATTCCTGCAAATTATTGCTATAAGTTTATCCTTAATTAAGTATTCAATACTTTTTATAGTGTTTCCACTTCTCTTAATATTGTATTATAAGCTTCATGTGTTCTTGTAACCATAGATATAGCTAGCATCAAAGGCACAGTAATATTCAATTTCTCTACTATTCCTCGAGCCAAAACATCAAGCCACTCATCAGTCCTTTCCCCAAATTTCGTCTCTATTGTAAATACTCTTCTTTCAGGCGGCTCTTCAGGGTTTTCTGCATATGCCTGTATAAATGTTCCGAATTTATTTACTTGTGTCACAAAAAGCATAGCTCCATTCACATATTGGTTATAAATTAGCTTGATTTTTGGCTCAAAATCTATCTCCCTTGTCTCTGTTATAATCAGCATAATTTTTGCTAATTTTTATTTCATATTTGTAAAAATTAGCCAAAAATATTTAATATAATTATTAGTAAATTTTGTGTGTAAAATCCTTTTTGGCCTATAAAAGTCAAATATATTGGCATTAAAAAGGATTTTTATATAAAAGGAGGTAAAAAAGCCTGAAAACCATAATAAATTAAAGCCTTATATTAGTTAATTCTTCATCACTTGACGTTGAATCTTCATCTCTATGCTCTTCTTCTTTTGGCTCTGAATCAGCGTTTTCTGCAGGCTGTGAATTATTATTAAACCCATAATCATTCGAAAATTCAATTTCCTGCGAATCTTCGTCAGAATCAGAACTTATTTCTATATCAAACTTTGGCAGAGATTTTTTGAGCTCGTCAATGACATTTCTCATTTTTCCTTCATAGTCCATGATTATGCTGTGAGGCAAATGTCTAAAATTAAGTTGATGGATAAAAGCAACCATCCACCTGAATTTTGAGGCGTGGCGAATTGCGACTTCTTTAATAGGGTCAAGGTTCATCATGTCAGACCACCATAATACTACAAGTACTGCGAACATTGTGTGGATTTCTTTATATTTATATATATAATTTGTAGTATAATTGAGAAAAATAATTGAAAAATAATTATTTATAAAAAATAGCCTAGAAAGGTATATACAATTTCAAGGAAAGTCGATCTCATGGCTACAATAGACCCAGAAATTAATTGGGCACTCAAAAATCTCTCACTCCCCACCCCTTTAAATGGAACTAAAAATTTTGTTCCAATTTAAAGGCGGGTTAATTTTTTTTAAAAAAATATTTAAAAAAAAAAAAATTCAAAAAACTTATCGAGTTAGATTATAAAATTTGTTTAATAAAAATGCTATTTACTCTTTATCCATTAAAAAAAGCAAGATATAACTAAATTTTCATTATTAGTTAATACGCCACTATTAATTGGTATCAAAATTATTTACACAAAAATTATTATTTTTTTTTTATAAAAAAAAATAAAAAAAAAAAAAAATTTTTAGAAAATTTATCGATCAAAGTGCTAATTTTGTTTAAAAAAGATGCTATTTATACTCTATTCTTTAAAATAAAGCAAGAAATAAGTAAATTTTGAAATTTTATAAAGAATTCCTATATAATTTATATCAAAACTATCCAAATAAAAAATATCATTTTTATCAACAAAAACAAAAATTTTTTTGGAAATTTTTAAAAAAAAAAAATTAATTTTTTTTTTAAAATTTAGCAATTAAGGATAATAAATTTATTTAAATAAGATGCTCTTTATACTTTTTTCTTTAAAAAAAGAGCAAGATATAACTAAATTTTTAAATTTAAATTAAGAAGAAACTTTTAACTTATATCAAAACTTTTTAGATAAAAATTATATATAATTTTTTTATTATAAAATTAAATTTTGTTCCAATTTAAAGGGGGGGTTAATTTACAAAAAAGTGAAAATTTTACCAATATTTTGTTCCAATTTAAAGGGGGGGGGAGTCAGTTCTTTCTTGGATATGCCCATCTTCAAGCTTCAAAATTTCTGCTAAAATTTTTAGATATGGTGAGACTTCGTTAAATGTGGCCTTGTAGCTCATTATCATGTTAAAAATCCCGTCTGTAAACGAAATGCTGGATTCCATGTTACACCAGGCTAGATGTAGGGTGATTTTTGTGACTACGTCATTTTTGATGTTTCTCAATAAGGTTCCATAAACTCTGTAATCCTGGAAATCAATTTCTGTAATAGAGTCCATTATTATGTCAGAGGACTTATCAAGCATGGCTGGGGGATAAGAGCTTGAATCAATCATACTTTGAGTCACTGATGCACAAATTAATAATGATAAAATTTCTAACTTTTTATATTGAAAAAAATGATAAAAAATATTTTTAAAAAAAAAATTATTAAAAATTTATGAAAAATAAAAAAATGAGTAAGACAATTGAGAGGTCAGGATCTGTGGCTTGGTCACCCATAAAATGCTTATCAGGGAACGGCATAGCTCCATTCATAAAGAATTTTAACATATACCTAATTGCTGTCCTTTCAATCGCAATCTTGCATTGAAGCTGCCCAAAAGCTACAAATTTCTTAAAAACCATAAAAAACTCGTCAAATCTCCTCCAGTTCTTCCTGGCTTCTCCCATAAGCTCCGTCAAATACAAATCAATAAACCTAACACTAACCGATTTCGGGAGTTTTTCAAACAAATCTTCTTCATTTCTCGACAAATGATAAGAATAAATCGGCAGACTTTTGAGGTTTATGACATCTTCATAGTCAAAAAGCAGCTCTTTTTCGATTTCACAAGAATAAGCAAGAATATTCGCTAAAAGATCAGCAAAATAGTACCTAACTTGGGTGTCCCTACAATAAAACAGCACTTCTATAATGATATCTTTATGGCTGCTGAGGTATTTTATGAACCATAAACAAGCTGGAGCGTGGTTTCTATAGAGTCTGCTTAAGATTTCTACCCAGTTTTTAAAAGCTTCAAGATTTTTGGCTCTTATCAGCATTTCATAAGCAAAAAGGGTGCCAAGTTTTATTAGCTTTAGACCATAGTCGTCAGATTCTTGGATTGACTCATAAAGAAGCTCACTGCGAGTCTCCATGTAAATATCTCGGAAATCAGGCTCGTGGGATATCATATTAGGTGTCATTTGTAGCCGCTTTTTGTCTTTTAGGATAAATTCGGTCATTTTTCTTTTTTCTTTTGAAATCTCACAGTCAGACATAGCGGGACTTATTTCGCTTACAGGGTCAAATTCGAAATTCTGAACAAAAGTTTTGACCATCTCAAAGTAGCTTGTGTCGAAAAATATAGTCTATTGTTCATAACGGACTGCCTATACGATTTTTTTTATGGTAAAAATGGCAAAAAAATCCATTTATATTATAAGAAAATGCGATTTTTTACAAATCTGCACCAAATTAAGACTTAAAAAGCTATAAGATTAGCTAGAATATAGCAAATCTCTGAAAAATTCCATATTTTCAATCCAAATTTTCTGGAAAATTTCATCAGTTTTCGACACTTCTGAGGACTCTCCTATTATTTCTGCATCTTCTTCAATCACTATCGGACTTAATCTCTCATACACAAGCATATAAGCATTTTTTGTTTTAGAGTAATACTGGCTACTAGACCCCCAGCTATAAGTCGACTCCCCTCCATAGCATTCTTCTTTAAGATTTTCTATATTAAAGCTTTCCACGACCCTATCGTCAAACCTAAACCATTTTTCACCTTGTCTGTCCTTAATAAACGAATAATAATGCCCTGCATCTGCACCTCCTGAATGGACTATAACCCCTACAAGCTCATACTGATAATAACTGTCTGGCTTCTCTGAGTTCCCATTAATGCCGTCCTTAGTCCAAGGCTTTAAATTTAAATGAATAGGAAATTCACAATAATCGTTTACCTTGACTCTTGCCATTCTGGTTAAATCAAATTCAAATCTTTTCAGCTGAATAATTACTGTATTGGCTAAGGTGTTAATCAAGCAGCGCTTTTTAGCATTTATTTTTTGATTGTAAAGGTCACAGAAATATTTGTTGTCGCCTTCTAGTTTGTCTTCTTTTATGTAGAGATCTAGGGCTTCTGAGAGATTTTTTTTATTTTTGATGTCTAAAGAAATTCGGAAAAACTGCTCGTCTCTTTCACTTTTGTAAGGAAAATCAGGCTCTGAAGACTCAATTTCGTGGACAAGGCTGCCACCCATATGGTTTCTTAATCCCCCTGGCTTAGTTAGTGAATAGGATTTTATGCTCGTTAACGGAGGGGCTTAAGTTTTTTTACTCGGTTTCGAAAGGGGTCTTAATTTGAAAAAAAGGATTTTCTAATGGTTTTGCTTGGTAGGAGTTAACAATTTTGCTTGGCGAGTCGGCTTCATTTCTTCTTCAAGCTTATCACACAAAAGGTTAAAAAACTCATCAGCATCTTGCTGGATTCTTACATTGATAGGTTCTCCATCATACCCTTTAAAAGCATTACAAAATCCTCTCGGCTCATAAAACTGCTTTTCGCTTTCACTCAAATTCGCTAAAATCAGCTGCAGCTGGTATATCAAATTATCATCTAAACTGTCCATTTCTTCATTAATTACAATTTTTGTATCTAAAATCCCTTTTCGCAGCTCAGGCATCATATAAATTTGCTGTAATAAAGAATTCATATAACAAGTCGAGCCTAAATTTCTCAGCCCGACATACCCACAAGCCGCCCTTGTAGAAATATCACTATCAAAAGACCCTGACTGCTTGTTATCAGAATGGTTTTCATATAATTTTTTCAAAAGAACTGTCGCATTTTGGCTGCATCCTGAGCTTAATTCTAGTAATAACGCAAAAGCTGCTTTTCTTGTATTGACATGCTTACATTTAGGGGGAGGATTTGATGATTTTCCAGCCGCATGCTCAGGGATCTCAAAAAGGCATTTATAGGTGTACTCAAGAAGCTCGGTAAGCTGCTCTTTATAGTCTGGTGACAGATTAAGCAAGGTTTTGATTATTTTCATGAACCCTGTAAGGACTTTATCTTGGTTTCCGAGCGTCCGGTCTTCTATCATTTCTCTATTAAAAATCAGTTCAATGCTGTCACTCATCAAGCTTGGGTCTGTAAAATTGCAGAGCTCTATAATGATCGTCAAAAGGTCAAAAAATTCGTCACAAATTGATGTGGAGTCTTTAGGGATTTTTTCTAGTAAAATTTTTAATAAAAATTCTTTAGGTGGTTCAATGCCGTTTGGAGGATTTTTTATGGTCTCTGAAATAGTAGATAATGTATTTTTCATAGTTTCCCTGATGCTAGAATTTTCTGTGACTAAGAGTGATGCAATTATTAGCTGCTTAAAGCTTTCTTTTTCGTATAAGTCACACAATAAGTTTGGCTTGTATATTACTATGGGCAGTAATAAGTCTAAAGCGCTCTCTATAAGTAAAACCGCTTCATTTTCATGTGACAGCTGAATATTTTCACTAATAAGCTCAATCAGTTTAGAAATTAGCCCATTAAAATCAATCTCTTCAATCATTCTTTCGGCAGCTCCTCCACTCATTTTTCTGTTGCCAGTTATTTTATAACTCCCCCCCCCCTCCGTGAGTGAACAAAACCATTAGAAAAATCGCTATTTTTTTGACCCTCCGTGAGTGAACAAAAATTTTTTATGGAAAAAAAATTTGATATATAAAGTGATAATTAGTATAATGAAATCTAGAGCTAATTCTGTTTCATTTTAAACAAATTGCGCTTTAAAAACATAAATTTTATAAAATTAAATTAATATATTTGCTTCCCAATTTTTGCAAATTAGGATTTTTTTAAATTTCGAAAAAAAAATTTTTCTATAAAATTTATATATAAATTTTTTAAAAAAAAAAAATTAACCCCCCTCCGTGAGTGAACAAAATTTTTTTGTTCACTCATGGAGGGGGGGGAGTAAGAACTTTTTCATCATATCGGACTTTTTATTGTAACTTTTTAGTGAGAAATTGGCAAAAAACCATAAAAAATTCTATCAAATTTATTACGAGGGAAAAAATCTGACCAAAAATAACAGGTAAATAGTCCGACCAAATAGCCCGTAGCCCATTTTTCTTATTAAGCTTGGCAATTCTTCTTCCAAAATATTCGAATCTTTGCCTTGTGAATTTGATTTTTTTAATTTTTCTGGGCTAAAAATATTCTGCAGATCCTCACAAGGCTCACTTAACAAAGCCGCCTGAATAAACAGTTTTACAACATTAAGCAGAAATCCGACACATTTTGCGTTGGATTTGTACTGTTCTGATGACATCTGAAACTGCTGAGAGTTCATTAAAATAGAATAAAGGTGATGAAAACCGCCTAAGTCGAGGAATTTGGCCCTCCAGGACTGTCTTTCTTCGATTTCTTCATGAGTTTGTGTAGAGTCTTCAGGTAGCAGAATAAAGGAGTTAACAATTTGTAAAGAGTAAAGAAGCTTATACATACAAGACTTGTCAAGTAAAGAATTCCAGTCAGCTTCAGCCGTTTCTATATGAACTTTTAACGTTTTTATGCCTTCATACATTTCTTGGTTTACTGGGATTTTATTTAAAAGGATCCAAATTTGGGAATTTATCGCAGAATTCCCTAACTCAAAGAGCTCGAAAAGCAAGTTAAAATATTCATTGGTATTGCTCAAAATATTGCTTACTCCCCCCCCTCGCTCACGGAGGGGGGTTAATTTTTTTTTTTTAAAAAAAATTTATATATAAATTTTATAAAAAAATATTTTTTTCGAAATTTAAAAAAATCCTAATTTGCAAAAATTGGGAAGCAAATATTAATTTAATTTGCAAAATTTATGTTTTAAAACGCAATTTGTTTAAAATTAAACAGAATTAGCTCTAGATTTCATTATACTAATTATCACTTATATATCAAAATTTTTTTCCATTAAAATTTTTTCTATTAAAAAAATTTTTGTTCACTCACGGAGGGTGGGTTTTTGTCAAAAAATGGCGATTTTTCTAATGGTTTTGTTCGCTCACGGAGGGGGGGGGGAGTTAGTCTATATGTTTCGGCTACTTTTGGCTTGACCGCGACTTTTGCAGCTTCATTTAATTGCTTTTGAAGCTTCATTTTGCTTTCTTCGTCGAGTAGTAAATCTACTGCGTCATTAATAGACCCACAGACTTTTTCTAAAGCAAGTTTGAGTAGATCATCTTCAGCACCTTCAAATAGAAGTTTTAAGGACTCTAAATCTTCAGGTCTTACTACAAACTGCTCGTCTGGGGCTGGCATGCCTGATTCGTATTCATAAGTGTCGAAATCTTTTCTGATTTCGAATACTAAAAATCTGGCTTTTTCAATTATTCCAAGCTCACTGACTGTTTTAGCGTCTTTTCGAGCGTCAAGGATTTTGCCCATGTTGATGATTTGTAAAGAGCTTACCGGCATAGGTGGATTAAGCTTGCTTGCAATTAGTTTTTTTGCGTCGCCAATAGGCATTTCACTGTATAAGGTAACGTTAAATATCTTAGGAGGCATAGCTCCATCAATTTTATTATCCACCACAATTTCTATAGGAAATCCATTGTCGGCTGCTTTATTGAAATTTCTTCCTTCAAAATCAGGGTTTTTTTTAAAAAAAATTAATTTTTTTAATGAAAAATTTTGTTAGAATATTTTAAGCCAAAATCTTCAATAAAATCAACTAATAATGATAAAGCCCTTGAAACTCTATTTAAAGAGTCCACATCTTGCAGCTCATGGATGGCTTCAGCCCCCATCTTAATATGCTGCATACAATTTCTTAAAAAATCTTCCTGGATATCTGGGGTGCATTTTCTCAGACCTTTATACAGATGGTTTAGCAATTTTGAGGCGTCCTTAAATACAGACTCAATCCTAGCTTGCAAAATAAGTTCCCATAGTGCTTGGATCCCTAATAAAGTGATGTCTTTTACATCAATTTCTTCATCAAAATCATACTTATATAGTAGCCCATGCTGCTTATTGATATTGATAAATACAGTTTCAAAGCATTTATAAGCCCCTGAGGAATAAAATCGAGGGTCAAGCTTTAATAGCATATCAGTAAAAATTAAGTGTATGATATCATCGTCAAAAGCCGCATAGTCTCCATGCCAATTAGTTAAAGTTTTGACAAGCCACGAAAAATACTCTTCATGTTCACTTTCAGTGGCTGAATTAATAACTAAGGTATCTCATAGCAGCTGGGCATGCTTAGGATGAATACTTTCTGAGGAATTTGAGTACAAAAATTTCAAAAATTCCAGTCTCATTTTTATTTCTTCAATATAGTTCACGTCCATATCTTTAGAGACTTGAATTTGTTTAAAAATGGCTTCGTATTTTTTCTTTCTGCTTTCATCTTCTTCTTCACCACTGGAGCAGGTAGAATAAGCGTCATCAGTTCTATCTTCCTCTGGTTTTTCGCCACCTTCAGATAGTAAAGTTTGTGCTTGTTCTAATGCATTTCTTTTGAATGCTATAAAGCTATTAAATATCTCTGACAACAAATGCTGCTCTTTTTCGAGCCATTTTATCATATGATTTCTGCTTTCTGTCACTGAGTTCGAAATCCTTGTACTCGGGTATGAATTTAATATATGCTCTAAAAGCTGACATGAGGATAGGACATTGCTATTTTTTTTAATATTTTCTATACACCTTATCATAAATTTCAGCCTATCAGATCTATAATAATTTGTCAATAAGTCCTGCAGGATTTTTAGGGTCTGTGAGGAAATGGTTTTAGAGATTCCTGCGTCTAAGGCTTCTTCTTGGCACAAGTTCCACAAAAAATCCAGGGCTTGGCTCGTTTCAAAGCCTTCACTATCTTGATCTTCTGGGGCTGTCGAAATTGCATCTTCTTCATTTGCAATTTGCATTTGGTCTCTATAAGAATCATTTTCTGGTGGCCCTAATGCAATAACCTCCCCTTCTACTGCTTTGGCTTGTTCTTCTATTTCTCTATATTCCTCCTTAGCCATAGGGACATTTATATGCCTTGTCTGGTCATTATCATGTGCCCAAGGCGAAATTTCAAGAACAGTCTCCCCATATCTGATAGATTTGTGCCTTGAACCTGCCCTGAGATTTGACATCTGCCGTACAAAGGACTTAATTAAGGACAAAACTTGGGAGTCAATTTCTGCATAAGGAAGCAGATAAAGCTTCATAAAAAAGTAATGCAAATCTTGAGCAGAAAGGCAGGGGACGATGTCTTGGATTAAGGTCATCAAGGCTTCACGCTCAGCTTCATGCTTAGAAGAGGCAGAATTTCAGATTAAGTCTATATGGTCTCTAGAAAACCGGGAATTGGAATATAAAAAACGGATAATGTCAGCGCTGCGCTTTACCAACTGAGGGTGGCTGCTAGGGCCGAATATGAGCTCAAATAGGTTGTGGTTGTCGATTCATTGTAAAAGTCTTTGGGTTGTAAGCCATCTAGCTGTATCGTGGTAATCTGATTTATAAATATACCCACCTTTGCTTAATCTTTTGTCGTCTTCGTCTTTGTGCTTAGCTTGGGAAATTTTTAAAGAAATTTCAGTAATCCCGTGGATCCTTTTTTCTAAATTGATCCCTTTTAAGCATTTCATTGACAAGTCGAGCTCAAAGTTTTCCAAAATTCGGCCGATTTTGCTTTCTGTGTAGAGTTTTTCTAGTAGGGTTTCTAACCTTCCCCTCATGAGCTAACGAAGCGATTGGAAATATCCGTATTTTTGGCTAAAATCCCAAGAAAAAAATTTTATACTTTAATTAATATAATAAAATCTCTAATTAAATTGTTGAATTTTAAGCAGCTTGCATTCTAAAACATAAATTTTTTACAAATTAAATTAATTTTTTCGTTTTTTGCGAATTGGGATTTTTTTAATTTCAAGAAAAAATATTTACTATACAAATTTATTAAAAAAAGACTGTGGGGGATTAAGTGGCTCACTAAGGTCTGGATGTCTTGTTTAGGGGCTGACCTGAATTCTTCATCGTTTAAGCTCATAACAGCTTTTATCGTGGCTTTATAAAATAATTTGGCATGCTTTTTCCAGACGTCATGATCGAGGAATTCTCTTAAATTAAGAAACCAAACGAGAAAAATATGCATGTGGTCTATAGGAGGGTGAGGATCACTAGTTATATAGGATAAAACCTTGTTAAAGCCTCCATGGATGCCAAAAAAGTTCAAATTATATGTAAAAAAGCAATTCAGTGAACAACAGTTTTGGACTATTGCAAATCTTGGGGTAATTTCTAGGGTTTCTGGGTCGCCGACTCTTTCCTCGTGCTCTTTGTTTCACATTTCTCTCATGACAAGCTCAATCTCATGAGATCTCAAGGTATAGCGATTATCGTAATATTCCATTTAGGAAAGGACGTTTATATATTTTTCATTTAAATTCTATTTGATTTTTAATAAAAAATTCAAAAAAAATGGTATAAGTTTTTTCTTCAGTAAAAATTTTGATTAGAATGTCAATTAGCCCATGGTTTTCTGGCTTAAGGTATTTTATACAAAACAGCAAGGTTTTCTTTAAGAACTCGTTTGCACCTATTTGAGCTTGGTAGTTTAAGTGATAATATTTTCTCTCCAGCAGAGTTTTGATAAAATTAGGCAGATAAGTGTTGACAAAAGAAGTCGCTTGTTCTTGAGGCATTTCACCTTTTTCGAATTTCTCGATGTTTCTTGAAATTTCGTCAAGAAAATCCTTAATCTTCATCCTCAAGGATTAAGTATTTTTTTTTTAAAAAATATATTAAAAATTTTTATACACTAAAGATGAATCACCATTATAGAAATTTATTATAATTTCATAGAAGTGATTAAAAAGATATTTAATATTTTTATTATCAGATATATATATTTAGATTTAAAAATGGTTTTTAGCTACCATATGAAAATTGCTTGATCAAGGACGGGGCTTAATTTTTAGAAAATTCTCAATGAAATAGTTCGATAGGATGGTGGAAAAGTTAGGGTCGTACTCTTCCTTATCAAGATAATGTCTAATTCTGGCATAAGTTGATCTATATTCTTCAGTGCTTTCTGACATTTATTTAGATGGATAAAATGTTCTTAAATTAGGTTATATTAGCAATCCTCAGCTTTATGATCAAAATTCTTTAGAAATATGAAATTAATTACAACTGAAATAAATTGATTTTCTTATTCCAAGAAATTCTAATTCTCACCTCGAGCAAAACTTTAAAAAAATTAACCCCTTAAGCCAGCCAAAAATTTTAATATTCAATCTTATAATATAAGTAATTATAGTGAAATCTCCACACAGCTCTATTATACATTTAAATAACTTGTATTATATATATATATATATGACCTTTTATATAGATAAACTTTTTTCAATTGCTAGCATTTTTTTATAATAATTTTTTTTGATTAAAATATTTGCAAATCCCTACTCAAGAGAGAGAAAATTCTGACTTACAAAACGAGGATAAATATTTTTAATCATAGATAAAAAAATCATTATGAAAAACTTGGCCAAATTTATCCAAATTTAAAATAAATAGTCACTCATTTAGCTGTCTAATCTTTTCAATGGCATTTCTGCAACATCTGAATCCCACTGCGTATTTGCTAACTCAATCCTCTCCTGCATCTTATCAAGCGTAGCTTTCAGCATATTCGCGAATTCCTGGCTCATGTCATCAATTTTTTTCCTAAGCTCTCTAATTTCGGACTTAGCTGAATTTACCCCCGCTTGGGTAAATTTCACTGCTAATTTTAATGGTGCAATTTTTTTTCACAAATTAGAGGAAAAAGTCTAAGATAAGAGATAAGTGACGGAAAAACCCAAGAGTGATGGAATTACCCTTAATGATGTAAAAATAAAATTTGCAGGGGATATTAATATTAAAGAAGAAGTAAATATCTATTATATCATTACTTTTAAATAAATAAAAAAATATTTAAGATGTAATAATGCATTTATCTCGTAAAATATCGTAAGGATAATATGGCGAAAAATAAGGAAAATAAATATTTGTTTTTCTGAAAAATCCCTTCAAAAAGTTGTGAAAAAAAGGATGGAGATCAAACACAAAGGGGAAAACTAATATATGTAATTTTCCGTTCAAGATTAATTCTTCTTAATCCTGATTTCGTTATCTTTTTCATTTTAATATTAAATTACTGATGGGTGGAGCCGTATTGGTTATGCAGTTATCAAGAACCCATAAGGGCTCATCTAGCTTTGAGATACCACAAACCTCGGCTTGGCCGAATGAGATGATGATTCGCCGCGAGGGTGCTCTAGTACCGCCTTCCTTCTCCTGTAGAATCTGCTTAACATCAGGGCAGAATGAATGTGCGAAGGCCTTCGCCTTGCCTTGTTAGGGCTCCAGTTTTGATGGGCGGACCATGAATTTCTGCAGTCCTGCTTCGGATGCATTGGAGAAGTAGCTTGTTCAGGGAATATTCAGAGTCTGACGTGCCAGATGCCTGCTTTCAGCAGCCACAGTAAAAAGGCTTAATCCCTGGCCCAGGCCGCAACCTTGGTATCTCAGTGAGGTCAACTTCATGGTCTTAAGGACACTACCAGGCTACTTCTTACAAACCCCAGGACTAATTCAAAGCCTACTCGAATATTCATAAGCCCACATCAGACCTGAATCTACACTGGTTTCCCCCCAATTATCTTTGTCATGAGTTTGAGAAAATTGCTCAAGATTTCAGGTGTTTTTAACTCCCCATTTTATGATTGTTTAAAAGCTCATAAGAGCTTCAATAGTGCCTGCACTGTTATATTTAATAGAATAGAATAGAACTCCCCATTTTATATATAAATTATCTTTTTCATCTATTTCTTTATCCTTTGTCCTTACCATATCTTTAATATTTCTTTCTTTTTCAAATAAATCTGATTCTCCTCCGTTTAATTCTCTTTCTAAGTTCCCGATTTTTTCATCTAAATCTTTAACCATAACTTTATATTGAGCTTTCATTTCTGAAGTCATTTGGAAAGCTCGCTTACTCTCTTCATCAAAAGCTTGATTTAGGTCTACTATTACTCATTAAAATATATATAGAATATTTTTATATAATAATTTTTCAATTAAATAATAATTATTTATGTATAATTTTTGACGGCATTCATTTTGTCCTGCTCGAGACCTATCTGCTTTTTCTTGTTCAGTTGCTGATTATCATTTACCAATTCTCCATTTGAGGACGTTTATTTCTGCAGCAAGCATGTCGTTCATCTTTTTAAGCTCTCTTTCTTCGTTTTCTTGCTTTTTTGGGTCCTTTTTGCGTGCCATTACTATGAAATTATTAACTGCTTATGATTTTTAAAGGAAAATTCCTAATATAGATAATATAAAACTAAATTTATTTATCCCATTCTATTTTAACAATGTGGTATCTTTCTAATATAAATTTTCCTTCTTTATATTTCTGATTATTTGTGTATGCTTTATCATATTTTCATCCAATTAAAAGATCACATGATTTACAGTATAGGTCTCTTATAATGTATAGGCCTGATAACAAAGTTTGTTCTTCTGGGTCCCCAAGCTTTCCGTTGATGACTGTTTTAAATAAAAATGCTCTGCCATCTCTTCCAGAAAAGGCTTTTGAAATCAGCTGACTGTGGGAAGATAAATGAGCTCGGCATATTTCACAAGCATAGATTTGGGAACATTCAAAATATTCTTGAAATTCTCGGCCCATTGTGAAATTTATATACAATTATTTCTATATAACCCAAAAATCTGTTCTCTCCTATATAATAAAAAATAGATTTTACTAACTCCCCCCCCCCTCCGTGAGTGAACAAAAAATTTTGTTCACTCACGGAGGGGGGTTAATTTTTTTTTTTAAAAAAATTTATATATAAATTTTATAAAAAATATTTTTTTTCGAAATTAAAAAACATCTAATTCGCAAAAATTGGAAAGCAAATATTAATTTAATTTATAAAATTTATGTTTTAAAAAGCAATTCGTTTGAAATTAAACAGAATTAGCTCTAGATTTCATTATAATAATTATCATTTATATATCAATTTTTTTTTTTCCATAAAAATTTTTGTTCACTCACGGAGGGTGGGTTTTTGGGCAAAAAATAGCGATTTTTCTAATGGTTTTGTTCACTCACGGAGGGGGGGGGAGTAAGAAATTCTAGATAAATAGCTTATTTTTTTAGAATTTATGCTATTTGACTTTAATTTTTTGCTTAATTTAATTAAAATTAGCATAATTTCTATTAGAAATGGTATCGCTAAACTCTGAAGATCATTTATCTTGCTTCTTATGTCTAGAAATCTGTGAAGATGCAGTTGAATTTAACTGTTGCCACAATATCGCCTGTGAAAAATGCGCAAAAACCCAGACCACCTGCCCATTTTGTAGAACCCAAGGGATTTCTTACTCAGTATCCTTTCCCTTGCGCAGAATTATCAGCAATCTTCCCTCATCTTGTGAAGACTGCAACCAACCTATGAGCCGAAGCGAAAAAAAGTCCCACCAATCTCGATGCCCACAAAAGAAATTTTCCTGCAGGCTTTGTAAATTCCAAGGCAAAAAAGACGATTTTCTTTCTCATATAATTTATACGCACTCCAATGAATTGCTTTACCCTGTAGCTCAGCAAAATATGAATGCATCTATAGTTTATGAAGGAAATGCTAATATAGCCTGAGCATCTTTATGGTTTGGGCTTCCCGATCTTTCCTGACGAGAAAGAGGGAGTTGGTTTATCCAACTAATGTTGGTCTGACAAAATCCCCAAGTGATAACACCAATTGCTACATGGTTTCTGCCATTTTGGAGTTGGCCAAGCCAATATTAATTGGTGAAACCGACCTCCCTCTTTCCCGTAGAGAAAGATAGAGAAGTCTCAGCCATAAAAAAATGCTCGGTTATAGAAACCCAATAGAAATAACGAAAAACAGTGAAGGAAATACATCAAGACTAGGTCAAAACGGAAAATATTACTGTGGAAGGCCTATGAAAGTCAGGTGCAAATGTTGTGATGGCAACTGTGGGCCTGGGAATGGATGCAACTGTGCCGCTTGCATGGAGCTTGATGTTAAAGCAATGCAGCTGCCTAGAGGATATTTGCTAAATAGATGTGGAAGAATTTCTAAGATGTGCACAGATGGGAAGGTCCATTGTTATGCACCTATTCAGAATGTAGAAATTCGATGCACCCCAGAAAGTTCGAATCAATGCAGAGAGTGTGCGATTTTAGAGCAGCAGTGGAATGGGGTTTATCAGAGATTGACATCAGGATAATTATTTTTAAATCAATTATGATTTATATTTTTAAATATTAAAGCAGCTTGGATTCGACCACTTTTGGCTTCAGATGGCCAGATTTCAAGAGAAGCTCGATACCTATCAGTCCTGTGAAGCAATATGCAGCTATAAAAATATGCCAAAAACCGTGAAAATATTCGTAGCCTGTGCATATTAGATCTAGTGGTATGCAAAATAAGGCACAGAGCTTCAAAATTAGTGATACTCCTGCTATTAAGGTGAATTTCATCATATTATACCCTCATCTAATATAATTCCCCAAAAATCTAACTCCCCCCCCTCCGTGAGCGAACAAAAAAATTTTTTTCACTCACGGAGGGGGGTTAATTTGTTTTTTAAAAAATATTTATATATAAATTTTATAAAAAATTTTTTTTCGAAATTTTAAAAAATCCTAATTTGCAAAAATTGGAAAGCAAATATTAATTTAATTTGTAAAATTTATGTTTTAAAAAAGCAATTTCTTTAAAATTAAACAGAATTAGCTCGAGATTGCATTATAATAATTATCACTTATATATCAAATTTTTTTTCAATAAAAAATTTTTGTTCATTCACGGAGGGTGGGTTTTTTGGGGCGTATTTTCTAATGGTTTTGTTCACTCACGGAGGGGGGGGGAGTAAGAATATTTTATTTTCTAAAATAATTTATTAAAGCTTCATATAGGATAATTCTTGAGACAGTCGAAAAAGTCCATCTCGAAAATAGAATAAACAATATCACAAGATTTAATGACAAAGGTAAAGGATGCACAAAGCTTAAAACATAAAAAATCATCATAAGTTTTTCAAAGGTTTTAGGAATTTTCATATCAATAATTTTGGCAAAAATCAGCTGTGTGACAAGAATAGATGTCATATCAATAAATTGTGTAAGATAGGTACAATTTTTTACAGTAAATATAATAATTTTTTTTTAATATTTTTTTATAAAATAGCGATTTTTATTAAAAATCATTAGGAAAATTACATAAAAGAATTATTTTGTGTAAGATACGATAATCTGGAATGGAAAATTGTGCTTGTAATCCCTACTAATATTAAAGCGTAATACATCTTAATGAGACCATTTGGCAATGAAACTCTACGAAGGAGAAGGATTCTTATAATATAAGGAACAAAAAAAGCAAAAGATGAAATCGCGGAAAAATATTCTTGGATATAGGGTGATTTTGAGTAATCTTTTTCGCACGAGTTCAGGACAAAAAATCATTGAAGAGGCTTGAATTCCATTAAATACGAATGTATTTAAAAATATATTCGACTTTTATTAATAGACACTTTAAAAATAAGCCCTTTTTGGGGTTAAAAATAAGTTAATTAATAGATAATCTCTTTCTTTTTTTTGCAAAAAGAGGTCCAGATGTAGATTCGAAACTTGACGCATGCCTGCAATATTCGCATGATGAAAAATAATCCACACGTCGAAGTCTTTTTACAAATAATGCAAAAAGTATATCAGAAATTATGAATTAAATTTATTAAATAGGGTAAGCAATTATATTATTTGGATAATAAATATCTAACTATTATATATCTAATGATCAGTCATTATATTTATTATTAATTTTATCATCAGCAATATATTCACATTAACTACTCCCTCTTTAAATTGGAACCAAAAATTTTGTTCAAATGCAAGGGGATTTATTTAATTTAAAAAAAATAATTTATTTTTATAGGCAATTTATTCAAAAAGTTAATCAATTCAGTGTGATTTAATTAAATTAGGTTAAAATTAATTTTAAATTTTACATGTAAAATGTCTTATGGAAAAATAAATTTTTTTTCCTATTTAAAGGAGGCTTAAAGTACTTAAGAAATGGAAATTTTACCGATATCTTGTTCTAATTTAAAGGGAAATGAGTCAGCCCTAATAAATATGAGGTATTAAGGTTTTCATCCTTGTGAAAGAAAATTAAAGTTTATATCTAATAAAATATTTTGAGTTTGGTATATAAACTCTTAGAATATAGTATGTTTAAGCCCGTCTAGCTCAGTCGGTAGAGCGCCAGCCTTTTAAGCTGGTGGTCGGGGGTTCGAGCCCCCCGGTGGGCGTTTTTTTATTTATGCATCTATTATCGTTTATCAAATCTTTATTTATCAAAATTTTTGTGTAAATAAGCTGTATTATCTTTAAAGCAAAAATAAATTATTGATTTTAAGAACTAATCATGATTTCTAATCTTTTAATAAAAGGAGCATCTTATTTATTTATTATATTTCAATCAGTCTTTATTTATTTATTTTAATTTAATTCTATTCTGCTTCACTCATATGGTTATTATTGCATTCAAGAGTAAAAAAATTATGCCATATTATTATATGCCATGATTTTATAAATAATCGAGATTTCTTAGCCCTATTTATTCAATAAGTAAAACATTAAAACACATATATTTTGGGGAAAACAAAAAAATTTTTTATTAGTGCACTTTTAATTTATATTTATATAGGATCTAAAGAAATATTTGTGTACTGCTAAAAAAAATTAATTTATACATTTTTTCAAGAAATTCCCTTTGTGTAAACAAAATTATTGCTCATTCATCAAAGATTTAGTTCTTTGATATATTAAATCTTTCGAAAGTGCAATCAGCCTTAGCCTAGAACTCTATATATTTAGCTGGCTAGTTATTTTTTCAATTGAGAGTAAGTGTTTCAAATTCCATATCTTTTTTACTATTTATTTACGAGATCATATAAATTTATATTTCCAGTCTTGGATATTTAAATTATAAGACATAAACCCTGCTGGAGGAGTTTAAATCTTTTATTAAGCTATCTAGATCATCTTTAGGGGTTTTGATATTTTCTTGCTTAATTTGATCCAGAAAATCAAAATTAAAACCATCTGTAGGTTTTGCATCAAAAATTATTTTTCTCTCCCTAAATAATGAAGTGGGTTTGGGCTTATTTACTAACTTTAATCTCAAAAAAAACTTGGCTATAATTTTTAAAAAAAGAAAATATCTACAAATAATATAAATTTTAAGAATTAATTTAAAAATTAATTGATATTGTGTGCCAACTATATAACTTGCATTCTATTTGTAATACTTCCATTAAAGTGGGCTTTAAATAATTTATTACTTCAAATTATGAAAACAAAAAATTTTGCTTTTAATTAAAGGGGATTAATTTATTTAAAAATTGGAAATTTTACCTACATTTTTTCCCAATTTTAAAGAAGAGTAAAGGAAATTGTGTATAAGTTGTTGGAAGTGGTGGGTTTGGGATTGGTGTAAGCTTGCGTGGATATTTAGAAATTTTCTTATCCATCGAATTATCTAATTTTTTTGCAGTTTTAACAACTTCAGCTTCTTCATCTTCACTGGTTTTTCTTATATTTTTCGCATGAAGAGATTCTTCAGCTTCTAAATCCTCTGGCTTAATTGAAAACTCATTAGAGTTTACTTGTGAAACTTTTTCCTTTGCAGATATTATCTTTAGAATGAATGCATGAATGTATTTATTCAACACGCAAAGTGGATTGGTAAGTAATCCAATAATTGGAAAAGCTCTGTATTTATAAAAAATTAGTAGAATCTTTTTTATCTTAAGCATCCTAATTACTTTTAGTATAAAGATTATCCCTTATGTGCTATATCCCAGCCTCCACCAATTGAGATTGGTTGCACACTTCGAGAAATTTTCATTCCCCTTGGGATAGCCACACAACGCTACGTATCGCTTAGGCAAATAGCTGGATAAGTCAAACCAAAATATAGAAAGAGAATTAGGCGACAGTAGATAATAAGAAAATTCAAGGGATGCCATTTTTGGTTATTTTCTTGAAAAACGCGCATTTTAATTGATCTATCATGAACATTATAGTCTAGCCAAAACTATAAAATTTTATGCACACATTTAGCTTAATAATCATATATTAAGCAAAGAACTATTTGGATGTAAAAATATTACATCATCAAAAAATGCATTAGCATCAAAAGTTTCAGTTTTTACAAATAATTCAGTTGGCCCCACTGGAATTTCAACTTCCTGCGCCTGTTGCTTATTATTGCCACATCCCATTATGTGCTACTTATTTATTATTAGTCAAATAAATTTTGTTTAATTTTATGAATCAATAAATTCGGGAATTATTAAAATGGCGAGCGGAGTTAGGCCATCGGTACCCTGCGAGTTGATGCAGGTCTGAGGAAGGTAGATCCCATTAGCAATAGTTCTCCGAGTAGGTTTTTGGTGTTAAACCTTTTTCTCAACCTTTAGATAAAAAGACCGAGGTGAAATATCGTTCCGTACTTCTTAGGAGGTAATCTTTAGTCTGCAATAAGGCTCAGATAGGTCAAGAAGGAAAATTTTGGGCGATTCAGCAAAACTCAAGCCCTGTTGATGGTAGGCAGTCCTTAATAGCTGGTCAAGGATCAAGGCCTAAACGGTTGAGTCTCTCGAAGACTGTCAGACATCACCATTTTGTGGTGCAGACAGAAAAAGGGCATTAGTTGGAGTTATGGTCAAGTGCCACCCAAGCATTAAGTACTCATGAAGAGTTAGGAACTGAAAATAAATCCCATTTGCCCATTAGAATTAATCTTGATCAATAAATTGTCTAAATGCAAAAGATTCTACTGATATAGGCAAGCTAATTAATTCTTCTACCTCTCAAGCCCTTTAGACCCTGCTTCAATTTCAATTGGAGATGATAAAGGCAATTAGAAAAATGCTATGCCTCGCTTAATCAAATACATAATATGATGTATAAATGTCTTTCTTCTTTATTCAGTATGAATTATATAAGCTTATTATATTTATTTAAATATTAATATCTCATTCATTTAATTAAATATAACAGAAAGGTATCAGTAGTATTTTGCAAATAGAGTTCAATGAGGTTTACAAGCTCCATATTAGAATAAAAACATAGCAAATAAATTGATTAAAAAACAGATTTAATCGCTATATTATTTAAACAATATTGTAACAAATTATAAATCATTATAACCCTAGCCTTTTATTGTAAATTCAGTTAAAAAATTTTTTGGTAATTTAAGCTTATTATATAAGATTTTTACTAATAAAAGGAGCTGGCATCCTATTATATTTGATAATTCTGATAATTATTTGCCTGATAATTTTTTTTAACTGCTCACTAATCTTTTTACCAGATTAGTTAAATTATAGCAGATATCTGGGAATTATTCAGCCCTTTCGTCCTAGCCAGCTTCAGGTTTGAGGTGGCCTTAGCACCGGCTTCACGTCAGGCCCTTAGTCTGTCGACATCACAAAAAATAGTAAAGTCATCAGTCTCTTGGGAGACGACTCACCTGAACACGCTTAGGTCAAACTCTGCAGCACGAATTCCTTAACCTCTGGCAGTCCTCAAAGTATGGGAAAGTGCTCAAATGCCTACTTTTGGACTACCTTGCCTTCAACAGGCACATATTGATTCCCAGGAGTGCGAGTCACTTTGAGCCTTCGGTCTTGTCGTCTTGAGGTAGGATCAAAAGCCTGCCATGATATTCTTGCCAGGCAAAAACCTACCAGACTTCCAAAAGAATGGGATACACTTCCCTGGGGATCAACTTACCAGTAACTCTGAACCTTAAAAATCTTTTTACCAGAAGCCCATTAAAATTATTATATTTTGTAATGAAAAGAGTCCCTACCTCTACAAATGAAAAGGCACCTTTACTGCTGAGCCCTGTTAGTGTTGGATCAACAGTTGGTACTAGATCGTCAAGTCGTAAAAAAGTCAGAAGAACTTTTGTAATTGATCTCACTTCATCTGCTCCAGTAATAAATCCTACCCCAGCACCAGAGCCTGTGTTGCTACCAAAGCCAATAGAAACAAGTGAAGATAAAGTTTTGCGCTTAGAAAAAAGGCTAAGACGATACAGACAAAAGCTAAAGACTAACTCTTATATATAAATAATTATTTATTTCGAAAAAAAAATTAATTTTATTCAAATTTATATAGGGGATATTAAGGATATACTTGAACTAGATTTAAGAGAAAATATTTCAAAACTTAATTTAAGCCTAGACCAAAAAACAAAGGAATATGAAAGAGAAAAGACTGAAATTTTAAAATCTAAGTTTTCGCTAGAAAAAACAATAGAAGATAAGCAAGAAAAAATTGATAAAATTTCTCAAGAAAACAAGCGCTTACAAGATGAGCTCCATGAAGCAAAAAGTATTTTTATTCAAGCTGGGCAAGAAAAAGGCTCTTTATACGCTTTGCAAATGGAAAATATGCAAGAGAAGCTTTTTGCTAAAAGTGAAAGAGTCAGCCAATTAGAGCTTGAACTCTCAAAATCTAAAAGAAAAATTGAGTCTTTAGAGAGCAAAGTATAGCCAATCACATAATTTACAGTCATTTCTTACCTGTCAAGAATTTTTGACAAAGCCGTTGATCTTTTTTATATTATATATAATTATGTGTGAAAAATAAACAATGAACTATACAAGAAATGAAAATTGAAATAGAAGCAAAGAAAACATTAAATAGCACGATTGAGTAATTATTATAACAAATCTTTTCGAATACCCCTTTTTATATTGAAATTAGCTATTTAATATTCCGCTTAAATAAAAACCAAGGTAAATTAAAGTGCTTAAAGCCTTCTCCCTCTTCTTCCACCAGCTCTTCTTGTGCTATCTGTAGGAATTGGTGTCACATCTTCAATTCTTCCAATCAGCATCCCATTTCTAGCTAAAGCCCTCAAAGCTGCTTGTGCGCCTGGTCCTGGTGTTTTGCTTTCAGTGCCTCCTCTGGCTCTGATTTTTATATGTAAAGAGTTTATTCCAAGCTTTTTCAGTCTATTGCACACTTCGACAGCTGCAAGCATAGCGGCGTATGGTGAACTTTCTTCTCTGTCAGCTTTTACCATCATCCCACCAGTGACTCTTGCAAGTGTTTCCCTTCCAGACAGATCAGTGACATGAATAAAAGTGTCATTAAAAGTAGCGAGTAAATGACAAACAGCAAAAATTTTTTCGCCTGTCAGATTTGGGCCTAACATCGCTTGCTCTGGCTCTTCGACCTTTTCTGCCTTGCGTCCTTTTGCCTTTGACATTTTTATCCGTCCAAATGATACTTTGGGTGTTAAAAATGTGATAGGGTTGGGAAGATTGAAAATATTTATATAAAAATTGGTGAGAATTTTAGGGATTTTTGGAAGGGATAATAAAAAGTATGCAGAAAAATTTAATAAGAAAAGGTAGAGATGAGTGTTATCAATAAACAAAAATGGAAATACAAGTGAAGTTTGGTACAAGAGGGATCAATTCTAAAAGTCTTCCTCTTATGAAAAATAATATAAAACGGTCAGAATCACTTAATTGCTCTCTTGGTTAGCGAGAAAATCCATATATATTTGAGAAAATTAATCCCTTTGTTATTTGATATTAGATTAATGATTATAACAAGCTAATTTTACTAAATTTTAAATAGCTTCCAACCTTATATACTTTATTTTAAATTAAATTATTTTTTTTCATTCAAATAATGATTTTTTAAAATCGATAATTTTTTTTGCTCTCTAACCAATAGGGGAATAAGAAAAATATTTGCCCTTTATACACTCCGGATCCCAAAAAGTCCAAAAATGATTTTATGATAGAAATTCCTTCAGTAGTTATGGATCGAGAATCATTCTCAGCTGAAGACAAAGAATTGAAAAGATTGCAGGAAATTGATAAAATTTCAAAAAGTGCTATTATTTGTTCTGAAAGATTTAAAAAACCAAAAAATTCTTTTATTAGCCAACATTATCATAAATTCAGAAGTAAAATCAAGTCAAAGCCAGATTTATCAAAAATCCTTAATCTGCTTAATACACCAAAAAATGATATAATTGTTAATAAAGGAAAACTGGAAAGCTCAAAAAATTCTTTTCTATCTTTCTTAAAGACTTTAAATTCTAACCCAAATACAACAAAAAGTGCACTTCCAAGCCCTTGTAGAGGATTTCGATTATCTGTTGATCGAAAATGCTCACCATCTATATTAAGAATTATTTAAGTAATTGTAATAATTATAACTTATTGTGAAAATCTAAATTTTATCAGTTTTTGGTGATATCTAAATTGAAAATTTACAGAAGATTAACTAGCAGTCGATAGCAATTCTCTTCATTTAGACGAAAAATAACATTTATATGCATCATTATTTGACATTTCAGTGCATCAAGTTACCAACTTGTCCAATTAATTATTTTGTGATGAAAACCATATTTTCTTACTAATATCTTGAATAATTCCAACTTTCTCAAATTAAAAATTTGATTCATTATTGCTCTGTTACACTATCGCCTTTTGATAATCCCAAAATTGAATAAAAAAGACATTATTCTATTAGAGAATATATTTCAAATCATCTTGAAAAATATATTAGATGCATAAAGTGCCACTATTATTTTTCTCTATAAAGAGAAAATCCCTTCCAATTAAAATCGCTAGCTAACTATATCTTTTTTCCTAAAAATCGCATTTGCTTCTAAATCAACAATTTTCAAGCCTTTTAATTCATCAAAATTAATTTTTTATAATGGCAGAATATGACCCTTTAGTTTCTGATACTGCAAGAAGCTTAACAGAAGACACTTTAGCATCTCATGAAAAAAACGAAATGGAGAGCATGCTAACAATCTTGACGTGTGGAGACGCCCAAGATGTTTTTATTATAATCCAACAAATCAGAAAAATGCTTTCAACTGAGAAAAATCCGCCAATACAAGAAATTCTTGACTTAGGTGTCTTGCCTACTTTAGCTGATCTTTTTGCTGTGAATCAATTTAAAAGAGATATAGCATGAATTATATCAAATATTGCGTCAGGAAACCAAATGCAATGTCATCAAGCTGTACAAGTAAATTCAATTGATATATTTTGTCAGTGTCTTAATAGCGGAAAAGAAGATTTAGTTGTACAAGGAATGATGGGATTAGGGAATATTGCGGGAAATGACGCTCATTGTAGAGATCAAATTTTAATTCCTGAAGTTATAGAAAAAATTAGTGAAATTAGAGAAAATGCAAGTGAAGAGTTCAGACACGTCCACTGCTGACTGATTTCGAATTTATTGAATTTTAAGCCAATTCCTGGGGAGCCTCTCACAGAAAAATTATTGCCTGTAATTAAAAAATATTATGATAGTAATGATGAAGAAATGATAGGAAATGCAGCTTGAGCCTTATTTAGGCTGCTTCAGAATGAAGAGGATGCAGAAATGATTGTAAGATCTGGGGTGATCCCTAAAACAATTACATTAATTATGAGTCCTGATCAAAAGATTTCAAATGCTTCTTCCAAACTTATAAAAAAAATTCTGAAAATCACGGGTAAATTTAATGAATATTTGATTGGAGAAGGAATTTTAAATATAATCCCAAGGTCAATAAAAAATAAAAACCAGCATATAAGGAAAGATACAGTCGATATTTTATCAAAATTGTGTGAAAATAATACAAATGCTGCTTATTCAGTTATTTCACTAGGAATATTGAATAGAATTATTGAAATGGCTTTAAAGGATATAAAAGAAATCAGAAATGGCTGCATAAAGACACTTTGCAATATCGCGTTATCAGAAAATGATATAGAATATAGCTATAATTTTTATATTTTTTGCTGAAAATTATTTTTTTATTAAAATAAAATCAGGATTACCAGAAAAATATTTTTTTCAAATTTAATGAAAAATTCTATATCATTCCTATAATGATGACCGAAGATTTTTTCCCAGCTTTACTATGTGTTTTCAGAGGAAATTTCCAAAATTTATATGAGCTCACAATTAAAACCTTTAAAGCCACTTTTGATTATCTTGAAGAAGCAACAGGACACGAAAGTGCTATAATCGTATACAAGAATTTCGAAGAACAAGGCGGGGTCACCCATCTTGAAAGAATCCTTACATCAGCAGATGGCTCTTTATTAAAAGAAATTGAGATCCTAAACCATATGTTAAACAGATATAAATAATATAAATTTTTCTTATTATTCGTTATAAATGTCAACTGAGCCTATAATTCCAAGTACACCTAAATGTGAATTATTTGGGGATTTTGGATGGTCCATGCAAGCATTATTAGGTGTGATATCTTTTTCATTTCTTATCCTGAAGAGGTATCTTGATTTTGAAAGGAGAATTTGAACTATATGATTTATGGATACATCGAAACAAGCTTTAAGCTCTTTGCTTACTCATTTATTTAACCTTGCCTTGGCCTATGAAATCGGGAGTACCAAATTAGAATCTAACCCCTGCACATGATATTTTTTAAGTATGCTTGTGGATGCTATAATAGGGACTATGATTTGTTTTTTACTGCTTCACGGTATAGAAGAGATTTTAAGTTCAAATAAAACTTTTTCATTTAAATCTGGATATTATGGAGAATACCCAGATTGAGGAACTTGGGCTTTTCAAGCAATTGTATGGATTTGTATTGTGTTAAGTATGAAGATCCTAATAGTAGGAGTTATGGTGGTATTTGGGAAATCTATTGAATATACTGGAGAAATTCTTTTAGCACCTCTTAGTGATTATCCAAGGCTTGAATTGTTGTGCATTATGATTATTTTCCCTATTCTTATTAATGGGCTAGTTTTTTGGGTTACTGATGGGTTTTTAAAAATGAACGAAAAAGACCTTGTGATACACATCCCAATTAATAAGAAACCAAGTAAATATTATACAAATTTATCAGTTTAATGTGCTAAAAAATTCCTTTAGAATTTAATTCTTCTTTTACCCTTTTCAAATAAGTAGGATCTGGATATCCATGAGCGACAACTCCACCACTGCGGCTTGTTTTATGATGAATTCCGCTCCATACGATACAATTTTCCATTCCAGTTGTTATGCTTGTTTTGGAGCTTAAAATTATTTTTTTTATATTTTTTAATAATTTTTTATTAAAAAAATCTTTGTTGCTTGTTCCTATTTTAAATGTCAATCTTCTTTCGAATGCTTCTACAAGCATAGACAATACTTCGTTTCCTTCTCGGCTATCTGGCAAATACGCTGTTCTTTTAATTCCTGAAGCATAACAAAATGACTTCATAAGATTTTTCTGATATTGGAGAAAATTTTTGACTTTCTTTGACAGCTATAGGGAAAAAGACGACTCCCATGACCTGGGCTGAAACCTCCAGTTTCTCGGCAGAGGAATGCCCATGAGTCATTGGATCCAAAAGGAAGCATTAAGCGCCTCCATTTCCAACCACAGAAAACAGACAAAACCTATCCGGATACATCTCTTTAGCCTGCACTTGATTCTCGGCTCAGAATCTGTCCCAGTTTACGGTAGCCGTGAGGTCTGGACTGTATCATCAAGAGGGCAGGTGGGCACATGTTGCCATTTTAATATATATGCATTATTAAGTAAGGTAAGTAATTCCTGCAATATAATGCCCGTTTGCATTCTGATTTTTGAATTCATATGTAATTTCAATTACCCCAACTCCAGGAAATCCATCTAATCTGGAGTGATTTTTATATTTTACATTCATAGTTCCAGAAGGCATATTCCCCTTCTCTACACCGTATGGGATTTTGCAGACTGGACATATTATAAATTCTCCCCCTTGTCTTGCGCAGTCAATACAGCTAGCATGGAAAAAATGCCCTTCACATTTACTTAAAAGGACAATGTCAGCATCTTTTTCTTCAAAATCAAATTGACAAATTGCACATTTTTCTTTAGGAATATCATCAATATTTAGTTTCGGGTTTCTAAATAAGATATCGCTGATCATTTGTCCATAAGTGACACTATATCAATTAGTTAAAGCTCTAGTTTTATCATAATCTTCCATTTTCTATATTTTTATAAAAATAATTAAGCGATAACTCTTTATTATTTTAATTTCACAATTAAAATACTTATAAAATTTTTTTGATATGAAGACAAGTCAATGGTTTTTTTAATTATTTTTAATTACAATTTCAACATTTATTAAATATTTATATTGAAATAAATCTTTCTTATATAGCCAGAGAGTGTTATTAAGCTAGTTTTAATTAAGGTATCAAATACTATGCTGCGAGATTAATATTTCCATGATAGGAGAATTTAAATTATGGATCAAGAGCTCCTTTTTAGAGTTATCATTGTTGGAGATACTGGAGTCGGAAAATCCTGCTTATTGCTTAGGTTCAGTGAGAATCTGTTTAAAGAGCAACACAATGTGACTATCGGCGTAGAATTTGGCACAAAATCAATAGAAATTAAAAGCCAGCCTATAAAAATACAAATCTGGGATACTGCTGGGCAAGAAAGCTTTAGGAGTGTAACGAGGAGCTTTTACAGAAGAGCTGATGGCGTTTTATTAGTATACGACGCAACTGCAAGGCATACATTTGAAAGCTGTGAATATTGGCTTGACGAAATCAGGCAAAATTCATCTCAAGATTCTGATATTTTTCTGGTTGCGAACCAAGTCGATTTAGTAGAAAATGGGGAACAGCCTAGAGAGGTTTCTACTGAAGAAGGGAAAAAATTCGCAGAAAAACATGAATTGAGTGGTTTCTTAGAAACTTCAGCAAAAAGTGGATTAAATGTGCATGAAGCATTTACTACTTTTTGTACAATTTTATATGAAAAATGGCTAGAGAAACAAGAAGATGATCCAAAGCCAGTTTCAAATACGATAGGATTGAGGCCTACAAGTGTAAAGAAAAAGAAAGGGTGTTGTGGGAAATAAATAAGTAATCTAATAAATGGAAAACTGCAAGACATGATTGATAATCTAAAAGAGGAATAATTAAGATATTTTTTGTTGGAATTTGAATAAGTGAGGGATTATTATATTGTTAATGCGCAAATATTTTTATTGGAATTAAATCTTTATAGCTAATAATTAAGGAATTTAATTTCAATAATAAAAGCTTGTCTAATTCATACTTTTATTGTACTCAAGCCTACAACCCTCTCAAGATTTTCCTGTTGCCAGCTTGTTTAATGATTCAATTTATTTTCGTTGAGAGTTTTGGAAGAAAATATTGCTTTAAGTAAGCAAATAATAATAAAAATTACATTTTTATTATTTTAAATTAAGTATTAGGAAAGAAGCATATCAAAATATGCTCAGATTTTTATCAAATGCTGGTTGTTTTTAATCAAACAATTTTATAAAATTTTTAATGGTCGTAAAATTATTTAATGATTTCTGACATTTTCATTGAAAAGCAAAATATAGTGGATAATATAAAAGAAAAAGCCTGAAAAAGGAAAAAGCAGCAAACAAGAAGCAAAATATGCCTCCCTAAGCATTTAAAATGCAGAATAAACACTCAATATGATACAGATAAAATTATAATTTTTTCTGGATATTCAAAGGTAATGACAACTATTGATCTCAACCATTTAAATTCAGTAAAAAATGCTCTTTTATTCCCAGATTACTTAAATTGTCAAATATCAATGTGCAAAATCCCTAATGAAAAGGTCTTTTGCTTTGAAAATGTCCCTAATTATCACTATTCTTTTACAATAAACCCAGAAAATAAAATAGAAATTCTAGGTCAAGGTTTGTCATGCTATTGCTCCGGCTCAATTTATTATAATAACTGCGTTTACTGTTTTGGTGGGGTAACTTCAGATTGAGAAATTCTTAGAAGATGCGCGAAATTTGATTTAAATACCAAAAAATGGGAATACTTTACATCAATGCCAACAGTTTCTACAAGATGCTCCTGTGCTATTTTTCAAAATAAAATTTTTGTATCAGGCTATCATCATCACCATCTATATGAATATGATCCTATTTCTGATTCTTATACTGAAATTTTATACTAATTTATATAAATATGCTTTTTTTTTAAATTAAATATATAAAAAAAATATAATTATTATTATATAAGAATAATTAATTTAAAAAACTACTTTTATACAAAAATATTGTGTGCTAATGAAAATATCCCTTATTAATATAAGGAAGTCTTGGATTTTAATTTAATTTTAAATTATAGGATTTATTATAGTGAAGCATAGAGTAATATTAATTGAAGCTTGTGGAAATATCTATGAAGCTGATAAATCAAATCCCTACAATTGAAGAAATATTGGAATTTCATATGTGAATCCAAGCGACCTCATGTACTATGGCATTTATTATCAAGATTCTTTTTATTTTATTATGAAAAATTGCAAATTATATAAATTTGAGTTTTTGACCAACATTTCTAAGTCCATAAAAGACGATATAAAAATCAAGCTTCATTAAATTTGATTTTTTTAATTTTATCATTTTTAGATTTTTTTCTTCCAGGAGTCTATTTTCACCATATTAGCTTTTCCAGTTTTAGCTTTATAAATTGCAGCTATAAAAACAACTCACACATAAGGATCTTTTCTACATCATTTTAGCTAATTAAATCAGTTATATAGGTCTTTTGTATCTTGCTGTGCTAGTGATTAGATTAGATTAAAGTTAGAATGGATCTTAGGGGTTGATTCAGCCCTTGAAAACCCTTTAAAATGGAATAAAAATTTTTTCAGAAGTGAAATTTTTATAGGTGAAAATAGAATTAATTTTGACCTAATTAATAAATAAATATAGTATTTAAACAGTTTGCAAACTAAATAGATTAAACTTTTAATAAAAAATAAAATATAAAACTTTCCATATTTTTATAAATTTTAAAAATTAAAAAATATAAATTTTAATTCAATATTTTTCATTTTTAATTTAAATATAGTCAGTGTCACTAACTATAATTAACCCCTATTTAAATTGGAACAGATTTTTTTTGCTCAGATTCGAAGGGAGAGTAAAATATAATTTTTATAATGTAATTAGTTATTTAATAATTAAAATATGGCGTCTTCGTCTGGGCGTGGCCTCCGGCCACACATACTCGACTCATATTTTAATTATATCCGGCAAGGTTTTGCCATTCTGGAAATGAGCAACAATGCCATGGTAAGCAATTCTGCAGTGCAGAGCCTGGCCCATGCTCGCCGACCAGAATGGATTTTCTCCCCGAGAGAAAAGGATTCCCAGGTTTGGAAAGGGTAAGCCCAGCAGAGTCTACAGGCAATGCCTAGATCATTCGGGCAACTACCTAGCGTGAAACTGGGCGTTACGTCCCAGGACTTGGAGTTTTCCTTTTTGCCGAAAGGTGACCAGAAATTCCATTTTTTGGGAATTTCTAGAGAGCCAACTCTCGTCAACTCAAGCAGCAGCCGCAGAAGCCCATAGCCCGCCCACTCAACACTAAGCCACGGCTCACGCGCGTGGGAAGGAGTAGGTGTATGTCCTGGTGACTGGTTTATATGGGCCAGTTTGGACTATACCGCAAAGCAGGTGAACCCTAAATACTTGGTCCTTGGTGACTGCGTCAACACTACGGCGGACACCTGCAAATTTATTTTTTCGATTTTCTCATTGCTTGGATTTTTTTCCTTTCAGGAGTCCACTTTCACCATTTGGTGGCTTCTCCGGTTTTAGCTTGATGAATTGCAGCAGAGAAAACATCCCATACACAAGGGTCTTGTCTGCAGCCTTTAAGTTTATTTAATCGATTATATAAATCTTCTGCATCTTGTTGCGCTAACATAGAAATTGTGTTTATCTTAAGAAGCCTTAAGTCCTCGCGCATTTTGACTCCAATATTAGCTAAAGTTCTAAGCTCGTCTTTTATAGGCATTTTATATTTAAATTTTAACTGACAAGATGAAAATGTAAGTAATGCTTTTAAAAATAGAAGAAATGCATCAACTAATGGATAATTTTTAATTGATAATTTGGAATTAATAGCTAGATTTCATTATTTTTTGAAATAATTATATCTTTAAGTAATAATCAAAACATATAACAACTTATATATCTGATTATCTATAATAAATATTCGTCTTTTCATTTATTGGAACGATAAGAAGGGCTTTTGGGTGGACAATAATGTTTTTGGCTTAAAAGGATTCTGGTATAGCAATTCTGATATTATTTTTACTATGCATTTATGCCGGTCCAGGAATATTAAAAAATCAAGCAAACTGTAACTAAAATATAAATATTTGTATTTGCTGCTTGTTTTTGATAAATCAGATGCAAAGAATCACTGCCTAATTAAATGTTAAAGTTCGGCCTTATTAGCCGGCTTTATTTAGAAGATAGAATAGAATTGCCATTAGGAGATAAAGTGTATGAAATAAAAAAGTTGAAGCCAGATAATTTTTTTCTTAACTCACCACTCCGTGAGCGAAAAAAAACCATTGGAAAATACCTATTTTTTGTCCAAAAGCCCACTTTTCGTGATAGAACAAAACAATTTTTTATGAAAAATTTATTTATATATAAGTGATAATTAGTATAATAATCCTGTTTAATTTTAAACAAAAATTGCATTTTAAAACATAAATTTTACAAATTAAATAAATATTTGCTTTTCAATCTTCCGATTTGGGATTTTTTACATCGAAAAAAAAAATTTTACTATAAAATTTATTTATAATTTTTACATAAAATAACTAACCCCTCTCCGTGAGTGAACAAATTTTTGTTCGCTCACGGAGGAGGGGAGTAAATTTAATGAGTTATTAACATATTTCAAATCTTGGTTCGCCGCTTTTATCATTGACTTAAACTTTAAACAAAAATGTCATTAGATACTAAAGAACATTAAAGGTTTTAGCCTCTTCTAAGTTTTATGGTCTTCTCTTTCAACATCTAACTTGTATCGCTTACTCCCCGTTTTGGATCGGCCTCGAGCACTCCCTCCCCTTGCCACCCCACCCCCTAACGGTCCCAAAATATTTTAACATGTTAAATATTAATTTGACAAGTAAAATATTTGAGGGGGACTTTGAAAAATAATATTTTAACATTTAAAATTTTCAGGACCGTCACAGGGTGGGTGACATGGGGAGGGGGGGTACTTAATGGTGAGCAACCACGAGGTGAGTGCTATAGAACTTAAGCCTAGCCAGGTTAATTATGAAAGAACTTCTTTTATTTGCCAAATTAATGCCTTAAGCTGTTTTATATTATAACATCAAATAAATAATTTTTCACAGAATTATCAGGAAGTAAGAAATTGGTCCTCTTAAAAGATTAAAGGATGAAGAATAGGAAAATTAAGGACTAAATGAAAAGAAGTATAACAGATTTTGGTAATTAATCTATTAAATTTTTTGAAATTTAATAATTAAACTCAGACTTGAAGCAAAATGGATGGACACCATAATTTTAATGGAGCCATTACTTGAAGGACTAGATTCTGACATCTCTCAAAACAACCAAAAACTACAAATTCCTACTGAAAAACTAAATGAGATGTTCATACTAGATAACATAAAATCCAATAAAAGCTCACAGTTATTGGAAGAACTTGGCCATATCGATGGTCTTTGCAAAAATCTTTACTCTGATAAGAAAAAAGGGATAAATATGGATGACGAATTAACTAGTGAAAGAATAAGGATTTACGGAGATAATAAGCCAATAGAAAGAAAAAAGGTATTTTCATATAAAGTTAAATATCATTTTTTTTAAATATATAAGAACCATTATACACATTTATTAAAAAAAGCTATATCATTTTTCAAATTATTATGAGAGGCTTTAGATGACACAATTTTAAGGATACTAATGGGTGCAGGTCAAATGATTTTGCCTTTTTGATAGTGTAGATATTTGACCGAAAAAACCAATAATTTTCGGCCAAATGTCCGCACTATCAAAAATTTCGATGAAATGTTCACCGTCAAAAATTCACGGTCATTTGACATGGAGCCGATACTAATAATTGCTGCCACAATATCCTTAATTATTGGAATTATAGAAGAGCCTAGTAAAGGCTGGCTTGAAGGGACCGCAATTTTAGTAGCTGTAATTATAGTTGTACTAGTTACAGCTATAAATAACTATATCAAAGAAATTCAGTTTAGAAAACTTGACCAAGCTGCCCAGATGAGACTTATTACAGTAAAAAGAGAAGAAGATCATAGAACAGATAAACAAATTTCTGTTTTTGATTTATTGGTTGGGGATATAGAAATTTCCAATCAATACAGGATAATTTTTAAAATTAATTTACTTTAAGGCTGCTATGGAAAATAGGAATATAATAAAAATTGGAAGTGGCGATATTATTCCTGTTGACTCAGTTCTTATTGAATCTAACAATATCATAGCAGATGAAAGCTCGATGACTGGAGAACCAGATAACGTCAATAAAGGCTATGGAGACGACGAATCCCCATTTTTAATTTCAGGGTCACAAATCACAGATGGTTCTGGTACTGCTTTAGTTCTCGCTGTCGGAAAAAATAGTTTTCAAGGAAAAAACTATGAAATGCTGCAGCAAGAAGAAACTGATGAAACCCCACTCCAGCAGAAACTCAATTGAATTGCTTTTGGGATTGGAAAAGTTGGCCTTGCTGTTGCAATTATGACATTTTTGGTTCTAATAATATATTTAATTATTGATGTATTCATTATTTCATAATTATTTATTAAAATTATTTTTTTTCAAAAAAATGCATGATAAATTAATTTATAATAGCAGAAGATGGGTGGGTTAAAGAAACTTGGTCAAGGCTGATATCAGATTTTATTATTTCAATTACTATTATTGTTGTTGCTGTTCCTGAAGGGCTGCCTTTAGCTGTAACTTTAAGCTTAGCTTATTCTGTAAATCAAATGAAGCTGCAAAATAATTTAGTCCGCCACTTAGATGCCTCAGAAACTATGGGCCAAGCTACCAATATATGTACAGATAAAACAGGGACATTAACACAAAATATTATGGAGGTAGTCTCAATATACACACAAAGCCAAAAATTAGATCATGGCTTCAATCTTAAAGAAAATACAAAAAATATGCTAATAGAGCATTGCTGCTGTAATACAACAGCAAGCATTTCTGTTCATGAAAATAAAGAAACTTTCACTGGATCTCGGACAGAAATCGCCTTATTAAAACTTGTCCGAAAATTCGGCGTCCAATATGAAGAAATAAGAGACTCTGCCGAAATTTTTTTCCAAGTCCCATTTTCTTCAAAAACTAAAAAAATGGTCACAGTCATTGAAAAAAATGATTTTTATTTAATTTTAGTAAAAGGTGCAAGCGAAGCTGTTTTAGAATGCTGCGATACTTATTGGAATAAAGAAGAAAAAGAAGAAGCTATTAATGGAGAAATGAAAAATGAAATAAATAAAATAATCTCTGGCTATGCACAGAAGGCATTGAGGACTTTAACAATGGCTTATAAAAGGGTGGATAAAAATTTTTCTGTTAAAGAAAATGTGGAAAATCTGACAGAAAATTTGACCTTATTAGCAATAATTGGAATTGAAGACCCACTGAGAGAAGAGGTCCCAGACGCTGTAAAAAAGTGCCAAAATGCAGGAATTATTGTAAGAATGGTAACAGGCGATAACAGAGATACCGCAGTTTCTATTGCAAAAAGATGCAATATTTTGCCTGAAGACTATATCGACAATGAAGAAGATACAGTTATGCTAGGGTCAGAATTTAGAGAAAGATCAGGATATTTACTAAATGAGTCAGACAATTCTAGAGCAGAATCCCAAAGCATAAAAAAACAAGAAAAATTAATTGTCGGGAATTTTGAAGAATTTAAAAAAATTATGAAAAAATTAAGAGTTTTAGCACGATCATCCCCTGAAGATAAATTTATTTTGATCACAGGACTCCGACAAATGAATGAAATTGTAGCTGTTACTGGTGATGGTACCAATGATGCCCCAGCTTTAAAAAAATCAAATGTGGGGTTCGCAATGCACCAAGCTGGAACTCAGCTAGCCCAGCAGGCTTCAGATATAATTTTACTTGACGATAATTTTGCTTCTATAGTCACAGCAGTATTATGAGGAAGAAATATTTATGAATGTATCAGCAAATTCATACAATTTCAATTAACTGTTAATATAGTAGCACTTATACTTTCTTTTGTTGGGGCTATTGTATTACACAAAGCACCATTAACAGCTGTCCAAATGCTTTGGGTTAATTTAATTATGGACACTTTTGCAGCTTTGGCTTTGGCGACTGAGCCACCTGATATTAAACTGCTTGAGAATAAACCTATAAAATCAACTGATTCACTATTGACGCCTGATATGCTAAAAAACATTATTGCCCAGGTGGTTTTCCAATGCACTTGTCTTTTTATGATTTTATTTTTAATGCCAGCTGTAATTGATATGTCTACCGGGACACATTTTACCATATTTTTTAATACTTTTGTATTTCTGCAGATTTTTAATGAAATTAATTGCAGAAAAGTAAAATCTGATGAAAAAAATGTTTTTAAAGGAATTACGAAAAATTGGATATTTTTAGGGATTATTATTGGGACTGCGATAATTCAGGTATTGTTAGTGCAATTTGGAGGGCAGCCAGCAAATACAGTCCCGTTGACATTTCTCGAGCATTTGTTCTGTATTGTTATAGGAACTGGCGCTTTAAAAATTGGGATTTTAGTGAGGTTTTTACCGTCTCCGAAGTTTGATTTTTTAAAATTCTCAGAAGAGCCAATCAAAAGAGATGTTTATGAAAGAAAAATTACTGGGTTTATCAGAAGGAGGAGTAAGAAATTCAGCAAAAAAACCAAAAGTAAGTCAATGAGTGAGATTGAGCGACAAACAAGTGTAGAAGTTTAAATTAAAATTGATTTATTTTATGAATAGAAATGATTAAAGTAAAAATAAAACGATATTTTTATTTAAATAATGTTATTATTATTCTCTTAATTATCAAGCCTAGTTGCTAGATTTTATTATTAAACAGAATAAATCTTTCAATTTCTCTTTGACTTCCCAAAAGCCTTTTTATAATTTTTCTCTATTTATAATTGGATTTTCCCAAAATTTTAAGAATCTCTTTAATCTCTTTAATTTTGTCTCTAATTTCCTTTTAAATGTTAAATTTTTAACCGAATCTCGATTCTGATTTTTTAGTCATGATATTCCATATTACAATTTTCCTCTATGACTTTCCCAATTAATTCTGATAAATTGCCCTCATTATTTATAAAAAAATTATCAATCTCATAATAATTTTTATTTATAATTTACTATAGCTCGACATATGTAGGGACAATAAGAAAAATTTGAGAGATTATTCTAAATTAAGTTAATTATTAAACAGCTGATACAGTGGTATCAATATGATGCAAGGAAAGATTACTTCTTTCTCCTTTTCGTTTGGTTCGTTTTTGATACAGAGAATTCGACTTGATATCGAGCTTCATTGAATTTTTTTCATAATGATTTCCTTCTAATACAGCTTTTTTAGCAGTCCTAGCTGGCTGCTGGGTTGGAGGAATAATACTTGTGCACACTCTACTCGCGGACTGGCTGCAACAGTTAATTCCCATAAATTAATAGATTATTTTTGATTAATTGGAAATCATATGTTTAGCATAATAATTATATTAAAGAGAAAATAGGTTATTAGCTTATTATACTTTTAAGTGATTAAATTAAGCTAAAACTAATATGGTTTATAAAGAGTATTGGGTTTCTATTACTAAATAAGATAAATTTTGTGCATTTAAACTAGCAAGAGGCTGAAATTTTTCTAATTTAAATTGAATTCGGTTGATCCATTATGTTTCCATATATTAATCATATCAATAAATAGAGCGTAGAATTTATTTCTATCGTTAATGTATTTTTCAAACTTTTAAGATCCGGTTATAATGACTGTTTAAAGTGGCCAAATAAATTTCTCTCTTAACATAAAATTTTATTTTAGTTATTTTTTCACATTGAAAATTTATGATTTTTAATCTGGAAAAATTATTATATTACTGTAGCCCAGGATCACTTTACCTACTATCTAGGCTATAAAATGTTCCATCAGCTTTTGCAGTTTGCTGCAAATAAGCTCTATGGATTGGCAATATAAAATAAATATTGCGCCAGAAGCAAGTTCAGCTTTTTTAGTCATTATTTTCAGGAGGCTCATCTAATAAGACTAGATGCGGCAATACCCAGGGCAAGTTAAAGTAGGCCTAGGCTATACACCCAAAGTTTTATTTATTTTCACTTTTTACTCTGTCTTTATTGTCATTTTTAAAAAATTTTGTAATTTTTGTTGCCTCTTCTTTTTTCTTTTTCTTCGGAGTTGGTTCAGCAATTTTTGTATATTTCCCTCCACACTTCTTCTGATGTTCATTTCCTATTTAAATTTTACATCAAGGATCTTTATCAGAAGGTGGTCTATTCATAGCTCTTTTTACCAGTCCATAATAAGGTTTCCAGTTTTGACAAGGGCCATCACATTTTCATATATGTTTCCTATAAAAATCAACTTCATCATGAAAAGAATGATAAATTGTTACATTAAGCCCTGCAATAGCATTTATTGTTATCATAATATCTTGAAAAGCAGGGCCATGGCCATCTCTGCCTGATTCAATATGCATTATTCATAAATAAGCATGAATCATTTCGTGGATTAATGTTTCTTTTAGCTCAGAGATTGAGCGGTATTTTAAAAGGGGTTCAGAAAGTTTGATAGTAATTAATCCGTCTTTATAACAGCATAAACCTGCACATAAGGTCATTCTTTTGCTTCAAATTAATTCTACAACTCCTAATTTTCCTTCAAAAAATTGTACATCAAATGTTTGAAATAAATCATAAATATCAGGAAATTCGAGCTCTTCCATAAGCTTTATTTAATATAAAAATTAATAAAACAGCAATCTTACTTACGATTTATTATAAATTAGGCTATTATTGTGCTTTGTATGCATTTTTTATTGATATCTACCAAATAATATGCTAATTTTTATATTTCTCACAAAATTATTAATAGAAATTACCCGAGGATGGCGCAAAATAGCGCCATCCTCGGACAAGCTCTATAAATTTTGATTTGCAAATAAAATTCCTTAATTTATTCCAAAAATTATCTAAATTTCTACATGGTTTCACTAATTCTTCAATACTATTTCTTTCATTTATTTCTTCCCTTATATATTTTACACCTTTCAGTATTGCTTAATATACTCAGATTTTTATCAGATCTTTTATAATAATTACTTCTAAATATATAATAGCTTCTTTAATAAATTAATATTAATCTACCAGTAAGTTACCAAATTTATCCATTTCCACATGTTTAATAGTAATAAACCATGCTTCATGTCGGCATGAAGTTGCACAGAAAATCTATCAACCCAGAAAGCCCAGTAGCTTCTCCAAAAGAAAATGATTCAGAAATGATATATCAACCTATGAAACTCGTTAAGGAAATGACTATCACTCAATATGAAAACAAAGAATTCAAAAGTCTCAAAGGAGTGAGTGGCTTAAAATGAATAGAGCCAGATTCAAATTTTCGCGAAAGTATTTTTAGAAATTTAATATACACTGGCCAAGAAACAAAAGTAGAGTTCCTTATTGTGGTCAGTATGTATAATGAAGATATGAAAAATTTTATTGATACAATGCAAGGAATTTCAGAAAATCTTGATTATTTTGTACGTGCTGGGATTCCAACAGAAAAAGTTTGTGCAGTTGTTATAGTTGATGGAATAAACGCTTTCCTTGAAACTTATAATAAACAAAAACGATATTTTAACTCCCCTCCTCTCTGCGAGCAACAAAATATTGGAAAAATCCTGCCGAGACTAAATTTTTTTTAATATAAAAAATATTTTGATATATAAATGATAAACATTATAATGAAATCTCTAACTATTCTGATCATTTTTAAATAGTTTGCATTTAAAAAAGACTAACCTTCATAAAAGAACAAATTTTTTTTTAATGGAGTGGGAATAAGCAATTTTTTGATGAGAAAAAGGTTAAAAGCTTCTTCAGAGCGGAAAATTTGTTAGAATGTAAAATTCCATTTGAAAATGAAGACGATGAATTTGCCCATTGCTTCATGAAGACTCATTATTTTGGAAAAAGTGAGCATGGGTTGCAGATGATTTTTTGTGTAAAACAGAAAAATAAAAGAAAATTAAATACAGATTTATATATACATAGAATGGCCTGTAATTTTCTGCCCAGTGAAAGGTATATATGCTTATTCAGGCATGATTTTTTTTATAAGCTGGAGTTAGCCTAGCACGATTAGGGACCTAAGGCAAGAGTCTAAGCGTAAGACTGCAGCTGTGATATAATCCAAAGGCCAGTTATTCGCGTCTTTTTCTAGCAACACCCAGGCTGAGATAGAGCAGGGCGACTTACCTGGTCTAACTACTGATGGTCTACCCGAGCTACGGAAGCGATTGAGTATTATTAGACGGCCTGAAAAAAGGGAGACATATTAAAAAAAAAACTAGCAGATTCCTCTAATGAATGACTCAAAAGGGGTGAGCTGGCCAGGGTTTTGGCGGGATGGGGTAATTAGACGGCGAAGAGACTGAGCTGTGGTCTATGGTAAAGGTGCGACCCAGAATGGTGATACCACTACCAATAACCCAGGGTTTCGGTCTTGGCTTAGAGTTGCCAGAGGTGAAGCCCCCAATTTTCTTACCTAACTCCCCCCCCATCCTTGATCGAACGATTGACTGTAAAAATTCCTAAAAATTGGGGAAATTAACCCCATCCTTGATCGAACGATTTTCATATAATGCAAATTTTTATATATATATAAAAACATATTAGTTATCAAAATTTGGAAAGATGTATCTAATGAAAGTTGTTTTCAGAGTTTTGGGACGACAGAAAGCTGCGTAATCAACTATCCGAAGTGATTTAGCCATCAACCTAGCTTGAAAACTCAATAATCTAATATAAAATAGAGATTCTTTAAAATTTTAAAAAAAAAATTTTTAATTCAGTAAAGAACAAATTAAAATTTATATACAGTTTAAAAGGGTAACTAATAAATCAAAATATTAAAACTTATGAAATTAATTCAATTTTTTGCTGTAAAAATAATTATTAAATACTCTTAACCCCTTATTTAAAAGTAAAAAAATATATATACATATATATTTTTTATTTTATATATAAAATTTTTTTTTAACCCCCATCCTTGATCGAACGATGGCGAGTCGTTCGATCAAGGATAGGGGGGGAGTAAGAGGCATCTGTATAGATCGCCAACTATATAAGTAGCGACCTAAACGATCTATCTAGTTTTATTTTATCAAATTAAATACACACTTATGATTTTTCGGTGGATTTTGTGAAATGCTTCAACCGAAATATGTGATGCTGCTTGATGTAGGAACAAAGCCATTAGATAAATCTCTTTTTCATTTATACGAAGCTATGGAAACTGATAAAAGGATTGCTGGGTGCTGCGGAGAAATCACAGTCATGAATCCAAATTTTTGGAATATGATTGAAATGGCTCAATTAGTTGAGTATACCAATATGGATATTTATAGTAAAATTTAAGTAATAATAGACTAAGTATCTCCCATTAAGAATTTAATTTAAATTTGGTATATAAAATTACACACATGTTTGATAAAGCCTTAGAAAGTGTTATCGGCTATATAACAGTTTTACCTGGCGCTTTCAGTGCCTATAGGTGAGATGCTTTACAAGGTGATCCTTTATGGGAAGACTATTTTAAGTCAATTTGCCACCCTTACTTAATGGATGCTTTTCATTCAAATATATATCTAGCTGAGGACAGAGTCCTTTGTCTAGCGCTAACAAACAAAAAAAGCTGCAGTTATTCTTAAAAATGTGATCTAAAAAATCTAAAATTATTTGTTTTTAACTAAAATTTAGCTATTTTCATTAGGTTTTATAGTATATCTCTTAAGATATGTAAAAAATTCGGTCGCTGAAACCGATGTCCCTGGCAAGCTCTCTAATTTAATAGCCCAAAGGCGCCGATGAATAAATGGATCATGGTTCGCATTAATAGATGCCTTAAGAAGAGCAGGGGTAATCTACCAATCTGACCATAGTTTTTTAAGGAAATTCTGTTTTACAGTCCAAATGGTTTATTATTTTATTAACATCGTATTTTCGTGGTTTATGGTAGGTACTTTTTTTTTGATTTTTGGTATGATAATGAGAAGGTTTTTTGATGGAGACCAAGCTCCTTCAGCTGCTGCAGAATGGTTAATTAAAGCTTACGAAGTCATCATTATTGTCATTATTTATATGTCGCTTGGTGTTAAACCTAGAAGGGTTGAAAAAGCTTTTATATCGCGCTGAATTAATTAGGAATTATTTTTATTTTTTTAAATAAATAATTAATTATTAATGGTATTATAAGATGCCTAATTTAGCAGGTATAAATTGATTTCTTATAGCTATGGGATTTTTATGATTTTTTCTTTAATTATGCTTTTGCTTTTTATTTTGCAAGAATTAAATGATTTTGGGTGGCTTTTATTTTTGGCTTTAGGAGGAATTGCTGTATTTACAATCATTTCATTTCTAAATGGCTCTGCTATTACAATGGCGAAAGGGGCATTTCATTTCATATTGATGTCTCCTACTTATGTCAATATTTTTATGATTTATGCTATTTGTAATATTCATGACTGCACTTGGGGTAATAGGCCAGACCAGATGAATAATGAAGAAAAAAATCGTCTAGAAGAATTTGAAGAATTTAGGACAAGGTGGGTTATTTTGTGATCTTTTAGTAATATACTATTTAAAATAAATACATACTGAAATTAATATTTCTAGCCAAAATTAGGCTGCCTAAAAGAAAGCGATTGGGCTTATGCTTATGAGTATAAACTGTACTGGGCTGAATTTGATAGAAATTTAATTTTAATTTATAAAACCTAAGTTTAATCCAAACACAATATAATTTTTGGCTATTACTTAAATATTGTAGATGAAGACTCAATTCAAGGCTCAGAAACCTCAAAATGGTTCATATTTGGAGTTGCTTTTTCCGGCTCAGCTGTGCTAATTATAAGATTTTTTGGTGCCTTAATATACCTTATACAAGAAAAATTTTTCAAAGGGAAATTAAAGCTTAAAGAAAAGAAAAAAAATTTTCCACAAAGAAAATCTTTATATAAGACTGAAGAATATTTGCAGAATATCTTGGATACCACCCAAAATATTCATGATGGGGATAAAAGCGCTGAAGGATTATTCTTGATTTATTTGAATTTTTGTTATCAAAAAACAAATTATTTCTATTTTTTATATATGCCAAGGCTTTATTAATTATTTTTATTTTCATATAAATGGCTATATTATCTTTTGATAATTTAGCAGGAGAGAATAGTCATGAAAATCATCTAATGGCATCAGTTTCCACTATAAAAGTCCAAAGAAAATTATATGGAGTCAGCCTTGAAGAATTATCTGATGCCACTAATATTTATAAAGATGACTTAAAAATGATAGAATCAGGGGTAAAAATCCCATCAGCCGAAGAATTAGAAGCCATAAAATCCGGACTATGCAAAATTTCTGGAGATATGAAAATAGACTAATTATTACACATAATTTTATTTATAATAATTTTTTGAAAATCCTCATTTTTACTTAGTCTCCCCCATCCTTGATCGAACAGCTCGCCATCGTTCGATCAAGGATGAGGGTTAAAAACACAATTTTTTGGGAAAAAAATTTTATATATAAAATAAAAAATATATTTTTTTTTGATTAATTTGTAAATACCAATTTTTATTATTTTTATTTTTCGATAACCCCTTTAAAACTGTATAAATTTTAATTTGTTCTTTACTGAATTGAAAATTTTAAATTTTTAAAGAATCTCTAATTTTTTAGATTATTGAGTTTTTAAGCCCAGTTGATGACTAAATCACTTCGGATAGTTGATTTCCCATAGCTTTCTGTCGTCTCAAAGCCTCTGACAACAACTTCATTAGGCGCATTTCCCAACCTTTTGATAACTAATATATTTTTATATATATAAAAATTTTGCATGATATGAAAATCGTTCGATCAAGGATGGGGATTAATTTCCCAATTTTTAGGAATTTTTACAGTCAATCGTTCGATCAAGGATGGGGGAGTTGAACAATTCTCTATAATTTTTCTCCAAACCTTGTCTATAATTAACAGATTTTTTATTGAAGTCTTTATGCTCATATCCATTCATATTGTAAAACAGCTAGTAAACAAATATAAAATGTCTGACTACGAGAGACTCCAAGAAAAGGCTGGCCACGCTTTTGAAGAAGCCACTAAACTTCTTAATGATCGCAGCAGCTGGGAAGAAGTCTCTTCAGACCAAAATGCAACTGTAAGCAAAATTATGACTGAGGGTGGAATCAATGCACTAAAAGTAGACTGCTTTTACAATGGAAATTGTGAAGCCTCTGTCAATTATGCTTACAGCCACTGGGAAGAAATGGAGCTTACCCTTGGAGATATGATGGCCGATATGAGAGTTTTACAAACCTTTGAGGACGGAAGCAAACTTAGAATTGAAAAAACAAAGCCAATGGGCCCAGTTTCAGCAAGAGAAGCTTATATTTATTCTTGCAAGCAGCAATTAGATGAAAATACCTATGCGATTTTATCGACAAGCTCACCACTTGAGCATCCTTTAGCAGAAGGCTTTGTGAGGCCAGAAATTTCTTTCGCCCTTCAATTGTTCCAGCCTGTAGGAGGAGATATGTCTAAGACAAATTTGACAGTCATAGAATTAGTAGATCCAAAAGGGAATATTCCTACCGTGATTATCAATCATGAGTTCATGGATTTAATTAATATTTTTATATATATTACTAAATTATAAAGAGAATTCTGTATTATTACCATATTATATAATTTTATAAAAATAAGATTTTGCTTTTCAAAAAGAAAAATCATAATAATTAGCCATTTTTATATAAATTATTTAAATTTTAAAAAAAATTTATTTTAATCATGTTATTACAGACAGAGTCGTATTCTACACCAAGCTTGTCGAGCACCTTAAATCTCGCTAATCTTAATTAAATCGCATCATTTAAAAATAATTATGGAAGACGGCAATGACTCTGTATATATTGACGAACAGCTAAAAGACTCATTAAAACGCCAAGTAACAAATATCTAGATAATCGAAATTAAAAAAGAAATCATTGAAGAAAAAGCCAAACTGAAAAGCAAAGATCTTGAATTAAGAAGGAAAATCGATCACGAAAAAGCTCAAGAAATTTTGAAAACTTTGAAAATAAAAAAAAAATCAGCAGATTTGAAGCATTATTTAGAGGAGTCACAGAAACAGTGAATTTTGGACTTTAATCTTGCGAATAATATTATACAAGTGAGATATACCAAATTAAATTAATTAATTTTTTTTTAAAATATTTAAATTGAAGCACCCAGTATAATATGAACAATTTTAAGCAAATAAGAAATATATTTAGACTGCAAAAATAATGTGTAAGAGAAATCATATTAGAAGGGTCAATAACTTAACGAAACTTTACAAGCTTCTTCTTCCAAGCTCTTTAATATATTCGAATTTAAAAGACTCTTCAAAACTCCATCCTGATAACAATAATGAGTTAAAATTTTTGACCCTTGAGACTGAAGAAGAGCCTACAGAAGAAAAAATGACGTTAATTGATGTAGAATTTACCCCAGCGTATACAGCTGGGCATCTTCAAGCTGTAATTAGAGGGGAATGCTCAGATTTGTATACAGAGAGAAATAATGAAGCTCAATATCTTGAAAATAAACTCCAAACGATGAGATTTACGTTGAAAAATTTCATTAAAAAATTAAAAAGAAAAGATGAAGCTGATATCTCTAATTCCCCTGCTTAAATTTATTTTTATTAAATAAAAATTTATTATAAATATTTTTTTATTTTGATAATAAAAAGTAAGGAAGAAAAAGCTGAAGACACTTCTATGGAAAACAGTTTGAATTTATCAGAAATAAATTCAGGACTTGCCAACTTTGACATAACAGTTAATGATTTATCATTTGTAGGAGAAGAAAGACTTGGCAGCTTATCAATGCCAGAAATAATTGCAAAACCGCAGTCAGGATTTCTATCATATAATGACTCAATTTTAGCTAATCTTAATGAAAAAAATGACTACGAGATTAAAAAATCGCCTACTTTTTCGAATGAACATATAGAAGAAGAGCAATCTATCATCGACATTTCAAACATCCCAATTGCTTTTAATGAAGATATTTCATTAGATTCTTTACTACACAACAGTAACTCTGAAATAAAAAGTTCTCCAGCCCCAGCCAAAAAATCTTGATTAAAGTGTATATGTTCTTGCCTATACAAAAAATAATGAAATTTTAAATAATATTTAGCTATGCTTTAATATGGACTCAAAAATTGAAAATCAGCCGATTTGCTTTATTTTCAGCCAAATATTGCTGAAGAGACTCTAAATAATGAAAAAAGACACTCAAAGCCAGCTAATCGAAATGCTTTTAGACTATATTAAATTTCTAAAGATCTATTCTTTTTAACATAAAAAGTCATTATAGAATGCGATAAATTATTATAACTATTCATAAAGATTTATTTAATAATTTCCATATTAGTTATGCTTTATAATGATATATTCCTTTAATTATCATAAAAAATATTTTTAATATCCCTTCAATATCTTTTTTTCTAATAAATTATTAAATTATCAAAAAAATATATGTCCAAGTCATAATATAATAATATATATTTGCGTCTTCATTATCTCTTTCAATATAATCTCTTGATATTAAATTTTCAATCCTCGATTTTATATCTCTCACCTGTGGCTTAAAAACAGACAACATGCCTGCTACTTCTGCGACCAAATTCGAGTGCGCAATTGTTTTTCTGCTTTTCATAATCCTCACTACAGCTGCTTCAATTGCCAAGTTTCTGTCTTCTGAAACTTTTTCTCTTGAATAATTTTCTTCTTTGGAAGGAAGCGGCAATTTTACCTTTTTTTGATTAGTTTTAAAATTGCTTCGGATTGAAAAAGAGTCAGTCTCATTGATTTTTCTTTCTTCGCCTGTTTTTTCGAGGATTTTGTTTTTAGAGAAGACAAAAGTTTTCATTACACCTTTGCAGGTTTCATCGTCAAAATTCATGACCTGCTTGATCTCGGTATAAGTATAAGTTGACTTGTCGTTGAAGAGATAGAGGACACAAGCTTGATATGTGGAGCAGATAAAGTCGTATTGGCCTTGGTCAAAATATCCTGTAAGGGTGACAATCCCTAACTTTTCATATTAAAAAAATTATTTTTTTAATTTTTTTTAGCTAAAATAATTTTTTTTATTATTTTTTTTTATTTAGAAAAAGATAAGCAATTTGTCCATGTCAAAACTCGATGCTGGGTGTTAGCAGCATAATATCTATTAAAAACATGAATACAGTCAGAAAAACAAACAGGCAAAATCACATTATGGTTCTTATAATAAGGCCAATGACTATTCGTCAAAACCTGTACAGAAAAATCAATAGGCAGATCAGGTCTGCTTTCTTTAAACGCTTGGTCCAGTTCTTGGGCAAGATGTAAATCCATTATCATCCCTTCGAATTTACATGTATAGCTTGCCCCACAGCACATTTTCATTTTTGAAATAAAACTTTTTTCAGCGTCTTCGCTTGCACTTGTATCATTAAGCAGCCTTTTTGATAGCTGATTTTTATAAATTTCAGCAAAAACGTCTTTATCAGCTAAATGCTCAAAAAGTTCAAGAAGCTTTTTAAGCTCTTCTTCTATGACTTCATCTCTAAGCCTTTCGCTTGATTTTTTAAGAAGTCTGTCAGCGTAACAAGCCAAAATTTCAGAAAATCCATGTTTTCCTATTTTTTGGTTCACAAGTTCTTCAAAAGCAGAATTTAAGGCGCGCTGGAAGATGGAATTGTTTTGGAAACATTCGGAAATTAAGCTTTTGAATTTCTCTTGGGCATTCATAAATGCATTTACAAATTCTGGGTCTTCTGGTGACTCTTTTTTGTCAATAGCAATTTTTGCTAATTTTTGTTTATTCTTTATATTAGAAAATTACTATAAATAGTTGAGATTATAAAATAAATTTCTATGGAAAAAAGATTGGGATTTTTAAATAAGCGAAATAAAAATAGCTAAAAAAGAATAATAATTCCTTGCCCTTGCTCTTTAATATACTTAATCCTCCTCATGAGCGAATAAATAAATTTGTTCGCTCATGAAGGTGGTTAAGTTTTTACACAAAAAAATTTAGTAAATTCCTTTTTCGCAATTTAAAAAAATCCCAATTAATTTAATTTGTAAAATTTATGTTTTGAAATGCGATTTGTTTTAAAATTAAACAGAAGAATTTCATTATAATAATAATCACTTATATATCAAAATTTTTTTATTAGCTCACGGAGGGTGGGTTTTTGAACAAAAAATAGGGATTTTTCCAATTACTTTGTTTGCTCACTGAGGTGGGGGAGTTAGTCACTGCTTGTGCAATAGGCTGCAGCCCATTAGCCAATTCAGAAGTCAATCTATACAGTCTATGCATATCATCAGTTTTATGATGATTCAGCAAATAAGCAATTCCAGTTTCTTTCTCTAAAATCGTGGTTTCATGAATATTGATCATAACATCTAAAAATACAGACCTTATTTTTTGCCCTGAACTAGGGTGTAAGCAATGATCAGCTCTTGACATTTCTTCAATTAAGCATCGCTCTACCTTTAATATACCATTTTTCCTATAATTAAATTACATCAAATATTATATAAAATATTCTTTAACTAATACAAAATTATATAAATAATCTGGACAGCTGTCCTCTGTTATCCAAACCCTGCTTTTTGCTTCATAAAAGTTCCTTGTGGACTCCAGCACAGAACTTTCCAGAAAATTATAAAAATCAGCCGGATCGTTTGGTTTATGTATAGTCCCCACCTTCATAAAAATATCTGTGACGTTTTTTAGCAAGTCTCTATCAATATGTTCACCATTTCTATCGAGCTCTAAAGCATGAATAAAAGCACTGATGATTTTGCTTTTGCATTGGGTGACTACTTCGCCATAGAAAATGCTCAGTCCCCGGATTGTCAAGTTTGGCAATGAATTTTGGTTGACGTGATGCCTATCCAGGTATTGGAAAAAGTTTTTCATCCACTTCATCATTATCTGTTGATTTTTCCAACAAACTTGAATTTCAGTCAGAAGCCCGATATCAGATTTATTGATAATTCTTGGCCGAATGTGGTTTTGGATGTAGTCTTTTATAGAGCATGAATAGCGGTCGTAAAGCTGGCTGGAATAGTTTTTTGGAGGCCTTTGTGTGCACATGTTGTAGACTATTGTGTAGAGCTCTGAGTATTGCTTTTTGGAAAAGTTGCTGAGATTTGAGGTTTCTAGGTAGTCAATGATGCGATCGATCCCTTCTTCTTGGATTCGCTGCCAACCATCTTCTAACTCTATAGTTTTTGCGGCTGATTGCATGATATCAGTATAAATATGGATTTCGTTTGAATCAATTGTCCTTTAGAAAAAATTTAGAGTTTAAATAGAATCTTTAAAAGAAATTTTAAAAATTTGATTTATAGAAAAGAATTAGTAATAGAGGTAAATATTATAAAGTGGGTTTAGTATATGATGATTTATTATAAAAATTAAAGAATTTTATAGCTCATTATTTTAATTATAATCTGCCAATTTTTCTAGAATTGACTGTTTAATTTTAGATGTGCTTTCTTTTAAAAAAATTCTCTTATATTATAGTAGATTTTTGCAGATTAAATATTCGTCATAATGCGATTTAATCTGAGTTCTCTTACTTGTGTATTTTATATACTTCTCATCAATAAGGGAATAGAGATCTCATGAATGCTATAAAATTTTATAAGAAAGCACAAAAAAAACTAATATTAATTGAAGCTTGAATTTTAATACAAAATTATAAGAAATCTAATCAATCATGTTAAACCTAAAATATAAATCGATCACACTAACTTAAATTATTAGCTATCTCCCCTTCTGACCCTCCTTGTATATCGAGTCCTCTCATTAATTTTCATCATTTTTGTTGTGTCAACCAAAAATGCTCTATTATCTTTGCCTTGAACCAAAGCTATGCTCTTTTGGCTATACGCTGCCTCAATTTGTCTTGAAGCTTCATGTGAAAATTCTTTGTAATTCGAATCATCATCTTGCCAATATCAACTGACATAAGGTTTATCGCTATTATTAGCGTTTTCTTGGCACATACCATTTTTAGCCTGATTCTCATCGATTCTTATAACAGTTCGTGAAATATTTGAATTTGAAAGGACTTGCACGTGTGGGTTTCCGAAAATTACTTTATATCGCATGCCCTTAATATAAATGGATGCACTCTGATCATGTAGCTATAAGCATTTTCAATTATTTCACTTGTTGGAGAGCAGTAAGGTTCAAAACAGCCATCGTCACGAAGCCATTCCCAATGTACATTGACCTCTTCTTTTTCTTGGGCGATAATTTTTGATAGTTCTAAAGCTGCTTGTTGAACTGATTCAGGACTTCCTTTTAGGATAAACGCTTTCCCATCATAATTGACAGATATAAGATTGTAATTGTTTTTAATATCTGCTAGAATATTTCTTCGACTAAGTTTAGATGCAAAGATAGGTGGACATGGGACATTTTTTAGTTCTCTCAATGAAAATTGGTCGTGCATCATTATTGGAAGGGGAATAATTGGTTTTGCTAAATTTAAAGTAGAGTATGAAGACTCCGCTTCAGGAATGTTTGGAAAGTGTGGAATAAATTTGCCAGAGGGAGATGAAACAGGGAATAATGGCTGTTTTAAAGGATCTTGGCTAGGTCTCTTTATAATTTTACTAATTTCATTGCTCATTGAATAGAAAATCTCAGCATCTTTATCTGAGATTGCCTTAAAATTCTCTTTAATTTTTTCAGCAGCTCCATCATCCTCAATAGCCAATAATTTCATAACTGGATCATTATCAAATATCGATACCTTCCTCACTTTTTTCACCTTTTCGAAATAATTGCTAATTTTTTCGACGTTTGAGTTTATTACTTTCAAAATTTCTTCAAAGGCCATTTCATAGCCACAAAGTGTTTGGTTAAAGGAAGCTATAATTCCTGCTTTTATTGCATCAATTCTAGATTTTTCTTGTGCAAGAAGCTGGAGAATTTCTTCTTTTTTACCATCAACAGCTTTCAAAAATAGCGAACTGGAAGTGTGAGGCTTGTTGTTTGATTCACAATGCCCAAAGAAGTGTTTTTTGCAACAATAAGTCTCTGGAGATGTACAATTGCATGAAATTTTGGCTTCACGCTTACACCTCGGGTTAAAGCATTTTATGGTGCTCATTTTTCTATAATTTTCCTTATTCGGCTGATTTTTAATTAAATCTCTTTTTATGCACTTATAATCTAAATATTATAATCTGCATATTCTTTAGAGAAATGCTGAAATTAAGTATAAATATTAAATAGGGCTATTGCTAATCAGTAGGTTTTTTTTTCATTGCATTCACATATAATAAAAGCCTTGCATTTCATTACCAAATTATAAGAAATCTAATCAATCATATTAAACCTAAAATATAAATCGATCACACTAACTTAAATTATTAGCTATCTCCCCTTCTGACCCTCCTTGTATGTCGAGTCATTTCATTAATTTGCATCATTTTTGTTGCGTCAACCAAAAATGCTCTATTATCTTTGCCTTGAACCAAAGCTATGCTCTTTTGGCTATACGCTGCCTCAATTTGTCTTGAAGCTTCATGTGAAAATTCTTTGTAATTCGAATCATCATCTAGCCAATATCAACTGACATAAGGTTTATCGTTATTATTAGCGTTTTCTTGGCACATACCATTTTTAGCCTGATTCTCATCGATTCTTTTAACAGTTCGTGAAATATTTGAATTTGAAAGGACTTGTACGTGTGGGTTTCCGAAAATTACTTTATATCGCATGCCCTTAATATAAATGGATGCACTTTGATCATGTCTGCTATAAGCATTTTCAATTAATTCACTTATTGCAGGGCTGTAATCTTCAAATTGGCCATCTTCGCAAAGCCATTTCCAATGTATATCGACATCTTTTTCTTGGGCGATAATATTTGATAGTTCTAAAGCTGCTTGCTGAACAGATTCAGGACCTCCTTCTAGGATAAACACCTCCCCATTATATTTGACAGATATAAGATTGTATTTTCTTTTAATTTCTCCTTGAATATTTCTTCGATTAAGTTTAGATGCAAGGAAACGTGTACATGGGACATGTTTTAGTTCTCTCAATGGAAATTGGTCGTGCATCATTATTGGAGGGGAAATATTTGGTATTTCTAAATTTAAAGATTCCGCTTCGAGAATGGTTGGAAAGTGTGGAATAAATTGGCCAGAGGAAGAAGAAATAGGAAATAATGGCTGCCTCAAAGGATTTTGGCTATCTCTGGGGAAAATTTGGAGCTCTTCTCTAAAAAGTTTTTTTCTGTTTATGAATAATATTTAAAATAAATTATTTTTATATATATATAAATCAAAAATCTTAAAAGCGGAGTAGATCTCTTTATAATTTTACTAATTTCATTGCTCATATTATAGAAATTCTCAATATCGTTATATGAGATTGCCTTAAAATTCTCTTTAATTTTTTCAGCAGCACCATCAGTCTCAGAAACCAATAATTTCATAACTGGATCATCATCAAATATCGATACTTCCCTCACTTTGTTCACCTTTTCGAAATAATTGTTAATTTTTTCGACGTCTGAGTCTATTTCTTTCAAAATTTCTTTAAGGGCCTTTTCAATATCACAAAGTATTTGGTTAAAGGAAGCTATGATTTCTACTTTTATTGCATCAAATTTAGATTTTTCTTGTTCAAGAAGCTGGAGAATTTCTTCTTTTTTACCATCAATAGCTTGAAAAAATAGCGAACTGGAAGTGTGAGGCTTGTTGTTTGATTTTAAATGCATTAAGTGGTGCTCTTCGCAGTAATAAGTCTCTGGAGATGTACAATTGCATCAAAATTTTGCTTTACGCTTACACCTCGGGTTAAAGCATTTTACGGTGCTCATTTTTCTATAAATTTTCTTATTCTGCTGATTTTTAAATAAATCTCTCTTAATTTACCTATAATCTACCCATTCTTGAGAGAAATGCTGAAATTAAGTAAAATTTATTTAAAGAAGATATCCCCCCTGACTATAAAAATATGTCAACGCCTCAAGATTTAAACGAATACGAAATTGACAATTATGATCATACAACCTGCCCTTTCGAGCCTAATCATCGTCTGCAAACCCCTGAATCTTTTAAATACCACATCACAAGATGCAAAAACAAAGATTTCAACTACATCAAGCCTAGAATAAAAGTCTGCAAACACAACATAAGTCATATTTTTATTGACGATGCCAAGCTAAAGTACCATGAGCCAAGATGCACTTCACATTACTCAAGAAGTTCTTACAAACTGGCTGCTAATGGCCAGCAAACTTCATACTTCATTAATTATTTTGCCACCTTCAATAAAAAAATTCTATTTTTTTTCAAAAAAAATCAAAAGGTGTTATTAAAAAATCCAATAGACAATAGCATTGTGAACTTATCGTGTATGTCCTTATAATCCAAACCACCAAATTCGAGATGACGAAAAAATCGCCTGGGATCGACACTTACAGTTCTGTCCTAATAGAGATTCTCGATATGAAGCACCACCAGTCCCAGCTCTTGACCAGACACTTAGTGGGAAACTAAATTATGCCCATGGCTTAGTAAGCACAGAAGAGCAGTTTATCCCACCTCCATGCACCAAAATAAGGAAAATAGAGCCTTTTGATAACTCCCGTCACTTAATTGTAGTCCATTTTATATTTAAGCAATTTTCGGTATGGAAAACTAACGCAAACCCTAATCAGTGCTTTAATGAAATGGATTTGTGGATAGATAGGACTGCATCTGCAGACCATAGAGAATGGCCAGGGTTGCGTGAAATTGAGCAGCAGAGGAATCATGGGGAATATTTAGTCGCCACATTGTACCCAAATGATAGTGAAAATTCATCAAAAACGATTTACAGGTCTTTTATACAGATGCTTACTGGGCATGTAGATGGGAAGCCACCATGCAAGCTTGCAGTTTCTACCCAATCGTCATCTGAGCAGAATTTAATTTATTTAATAGCTCATAGAACAGAAGACACAGGGTTTGGCTCAGCCGTCACAGACTCAGAGCTTGGGCTTTTTGCAGTGCCTCATTCACTTTTATATGGAAAGCATGACACTTTGTCAGCTTACCAAAATAAATTAAAATCGCATGAAGAAAAAATTTCTTTTCTTGAAAATCAAAATCGGCTTTTACAAGAAGAATGCGAAAAACTGGCTCAGGAAAGAAATGAATTTAAAATAAAATGTGACGGCTTAGTCTATGAGTTTGAAAATACAGTAAAAGTCGAATTCCAGCAAAAGTTATTCTATTTTCTATAAATAAATCTTATTAAAAACAGAAAATTATTAATAAAATAATTTTTTTAAAAAAAGAATACTAGATAAAGATCAAGAAATCCAAGACCTTAGGACTAAAACAGAAGCTTTAATAAGAAATTTAAAAACTGGCTATGATAAAGAGCTGCAAAAACTAGCAGAAGAAATCGACAGGGAAAGACGAGAAAAAGAAGCCAACCGCATGAACTTTGAAGCAGATTTACAAAACTTAAAAACTCAGACTAAAAAGCAAAAAGAAACAATTTTGGAGCAATCTGATAAGTCACGAAAAGAAATCGACGAAAGAGGCACAAAAATAATATTCTTACAAAGGCAGCTTGAAGAAAAAAATGCAATAGAAAAGCAGATGGCTGATACCATTGAGAGGCTAAACGAGCAGCTTTATGTACAAAAGAAAAATTTCGAAGAAAATAAAGCGCCAGATATGAAAAAATATATTGAAATGCAAAGGGTGCAAGAAAGAGAAATTATTGTCAGGGAATATCAAGACCGAGAACTTTGTGTTATTTGTATGAATGAAAAGAAAAACACTGTTTTCGTCCCTTGTGGACATTTAATGTACTGCAATGTGTGTCTAAATGAACTAGGACTGTCGCTAGATAAGAAGATCCCTACAAATCATCCACATGGAAAATGCTCGTTATGTGAGACGAAGCTGAAGATGGTCCATAGAGCATATCCTTATTAATATAAGAAATCTATGTCTTAATATAATTAATTTATTGTAATTATCAAAATTTTTGGTTCTTTGTAGATGGGAAAATATTTTTCTTAAAATATTTATAGTGTTATTATATATCAATACCAACAAAATTTGAGAGAATAATTATTTTTAATGGAAAATAGCATCAAAAGCCTTATTGCTCTAATAAGCGAGTATTATTTTTTTCTCATTTACGAATAAATTTCTTTTTTAATTTCTGCTTAAAAATATTTGGAAATATAATTTCATATATAGAATTAGCTAGGTCTATCATTATTATAATAATCATAATTAATATAAAAAAAAATATTTTATATAACGTTTTGCTTGCTTATGATAGGAATTTAATTTAAAAATGAGATTTTTTTAATGGTTTTATTTATCTGAGAAGTTAGTGGAAACGAAATTGATATCAATAGCTTGATAAAAAATATACTCTCAGCAAAAGAAATTGCGCATAAAGAGCAGCCAAAGCAAGAATTAAAGTTTCCATATATAGAATTATATGGAGGAACTAAGGAGAAAATTTCCCCAAAACATGTAAAACTAGCTCCAATAGAAGGCAATTTAGGAGAAATTTTGAATAGGGTGAGATGCAGAATGAAGGAAAGAGAAAACAATTACAATTATTTAAAATCTTTGAAATTTTTAAATCAAAATGACTCCGCGGAGAAAATGATAGAAAAGCTGTCAAATATAGATATAGAAAAAATAGGCTTAATGACCTAAATAGGCAATAAGGGAATAAAAATTTTCCTAAACATAGGATAATTTTATTATAAATTAAAAGATTTTATATAGCTTTTATAGTATAATTATTGAAAAATCTCAAAGAAAGACAAAGAAGAAAAAGTCTAGTCTCTCTCCTGTAAGCAGTAAAAAATCAATTGAAAATACTTTTGATGGGACTTTAAACAGGCCAAGGAAAATTGTAATTACTGATATTGTAGATATGACTAAATCTAAACCTCAGACAAAAAAGATAATAAATTTAGACTCAACCCCATCTCCCCATTCTAAAAAGCAAACAAGGTATTTTCCCAGATTAAATAGTAGAAAATCATCATTTATCGCTAATAAGGATTTTCTTAGCCCAAATAATAAGAAATCTTCATTTGCTGTCAATACGGATTTTCTTAGCCCAATTAGTAAAAAATCATCATTTATTAGCAATGAGGATTTTGATAATGGAAACAAGCGAGTTTTTAAGAAAAGACTAAGCTCGTTTTCTCCAAAAAGAAACTCCAAAGCTAGCTTTGACAAGATTTCTGAAGACTCGTATTCTGGACCTAAAAAGGTAGAATTAGCTGATATTATAGTAACAAGCCAGTGGAAATCTCCAAAAACAAAAGATTTGCACTATTCTCCAAATTCTCGGGAAAAGTTAAAAAATTTTGAAAATAGCCGATTGTCTACTTAACTGTTTTTATAATTTATTAATTACTATTTCTTCCATTAAAAAATATAGGAAATGCCCGAGGATGGCGCAAGATAGCGCCATCCTCGGGCAATTGCTATAATTTTATAGAGCTTAAAATATTACTTGCTAATAGTGGCATAATATATTATAAATTTGGATAGTTTATTGTATGCTAAATTTTTTGTGTAATATCCAGTCAATTAATATTTTAGAAGCATTTAAAGAAGTATAAGCATAATAAATAAATTATTTTTTATATATGCTTCGGTTAATAATACTTAAATAACTCATAGAAAATATATCTACTTTAAAATGACAGCTAATATTCACTTTTACAAACTTTTAGAAGAAGTTCATGAAAATATCCAGATTAAATTACCAGAAACCATCATAATTGGCTTTGGATTCGAAGAGCCCACTTTTATGTGAAACTTTGAAAACGATCATTTGAGTTTTGAAGTGGTTTCAAAGGAGGATATCTTGCATATAATTTCTAGATGATCAGCTAAGGATTCGTTACCGATAGCGATCGTTAAAACAGATGCAAAAAAGCACTGATGTGAAACCACAGACGAAATCGCGAAATTTTTAAATGAAGAATGCGTAATCCAACAGGTAATAAAGCACCACTCCTCTTTCCCAAACATTCGTATAACGTGAGACTTTCAAAAAGGCTACACAATGGCAACAGATAACTCTACTTCAGTCCCAAAAATAAGCCGAAGTGAGCCAAGCCTATCCACTAATTTCACAGAAATAAATAAAGATTTTACCTCAAAAAACCGAGAATTTTTATGCCCAACAAAACTTCGTAGAGTGACAGATTCAGTGAAAAATATTTTAAACAGAAAATTAAAAAATATATCATGTAGGATTGAGCACCTAGAAATAGATTTTTTAAAATCAGCTGCAAACGAGCATTTTTTATTAGGAATTCACCAATATACCTATTCAGCTTGCAAGTCTCTTCAGAGATTTGCAAATACCAGAAATACAAGTTTCTATAAGCCTCCTCTTTCCCCTACCTTTAAAACAGCACTTTCTCCAACACCAGAACCTACTCAAAAAATCTTGACTAAAAAAAATGACATTTTAGGAGCAATTTCTTATAGTGGAAGTCCACATGTAGAAAGCATTGATGATGAAATACAAGAATTAGTTTCGCCTAAAGGAAATTATAAGTTTATGAGATATGGATATTGGAAAAATAAATTCCAATCAGGCGAAAAAATGCTTCCTAATGAAATCCAGTATGCAAAAAATATCGCTAAACATTCTACTAGGATTTTAACCATTTTTAGTCAAATTGTCCATTTTTGTATTTAGAAATAAAATTGAAAAATTCAATACAATAGAGGATAATTGAAACAAGCAAAAATTTAACTGAAGTTAAAGGGATGGTAAAAAAACTGAGAGGAAGCATAGACACAAGCTCAAAGCATGGGCTTTTTCATGAAAAATTAAAGCTAGAGATCACTGATCATATATTAAGAGAGCGAGACAGAGCAAGGACTAGACTTGAAGAACAAATCTGGAAAAAGAAAAGCCATAAAAATTTGCCATTGATAATTGAAAATACAGCAGCAAATAATATTAATTATTACGCAGAATTAATTGACCAGCATATCATGAGAAATACCCAAAGAAATTCTTTGAAGAAATTGTAAGGATTATGCTTAATTAATTATATTATAAAATATCAAAAAATACCTCGATTTTGTAATTTAATACGATTTATCATAATAATTAAACATTGAATTAACCTGATGGAATTAAATGAAGAAGTTGAAGAAAAAGAGGAAATTCTTGAGGCCCCAAAATTCACAGTTTTAGACATAGAAAACTTAAACTTAACCTCCCTGACCCACCCCAACATCGAGAAAAACACAGATTTTTTATTTTTAAAAACCCAACTACAAAGATATTATGGAGATAGAAAATTGCCTTACAATAAACAAATGATGCACAAAAACCATTCCCCGTCTTGAAAAGAGCGGCTTTATCACTCTCTTTATAATTTGCTTAATGAAATGGTTTTTACAAGGGATCCTATACTTCAGCTAAAATTATTAGACGATGTCAAAAATTGGTATCTAAAAAAAGTCAGAAATTTTCTACCAGGAATCAAAAAAATAGGTAAAAATGAGCTTGATGCAGAATCGACTGAGACTTCGTCGTTTACTGCGTATAATCGAAGCACGACGAATCAGTCTTTTGAAACCCCAAGGCTTGATTACAGTTTATCTCCAGTTTCTGGGGCGAAAACTCCGGTTATGCCGAAACCAATTCACTGGCAGAGTAAATGAATTTATAAGAAAAAACCGACAATAAGGCTAATTGGCTGAGAAAAACAGAAATTTATTCCTGAACCAGTTACAGTAGAAAGATCAAAGCTTGCAGATTTAGAAATTGATAAAGCCCGCACTGAAAAAGCATTTGCTTTAAAGCAGAGCAGGTTTTACAAAAATCCTGGTAATGAAGACCCAGAAAGTGATACAGAAAAAAATGAAATTCGGTCAAAATCGACCAAACCAGCTGAGCACTATGATTTTCGTATGATTGGGAATATGAATAGTGGCTCTGTCAGCCCAGGAATAAGGCCAAGTAATTTTGAGACGCAAAATGCAAATTCCAGCCCAAGTATCAGATCAAAGACTGAGCATTTGTTTACACCTGATAAGCTTGATGAATTGGCTAAACAAAGAATTGAAGAAATTATGATGACGAAAATGAAATTAGCTTCGAAAAAGGTGTCTTGCCAGTATGATTACTTACTTCCCCCTCTCGATCAAGCAAAACCATTCTAAAATCTCTATTTTTCGGGAAAAAGACATATGCAAAATATTTTTGCAATAAAAATTTGTATAAAAAATATTTTGACATACAAGTAATAATTAGCATAATGGAATCTTTAATTCTATTGATTTTATACAGCTTGCATTCTAAACAATAAATTTAACAAATTAAATTATTTTTTAGTTTCCAAATTTAGTATATAGTCAGTTGCTCTAATTTCTGACCGGCACCCACGAGCCAAAGATGGATTTCACACGTGAAAATCCAGAAATTCCACGTGGAAACCCATTTTTGGCTCAAAAGACAATAAAATTTTTTAAAAAAATTCACCCTAGTGAGAAAGCAAAATCTTTTTACTCGGAGGGGAGTTAGAAAGTGGGCTATTTTTGAATGATTTTGATTTATCTGCACAAAATACTACACCTTTTTATATTCCAAAAGGAAATGAACATTTATTGACAAATACAGGGATGAAAGATGTGATAAGTAAAAAGAAGAAAAAGAAAAAGAAAAAAAAGAAATCCAAGGCAAACTAGCCATAATAATTTTGTAAATTTATTATTTTATTATTCTAAAATTATTAAAGACAGTTTTTAATCTTTATTTATTCCATAGTATTTTATCATTTTATATATAAAGATAAACAGACTTATAAAATTCAAATATTTTTCAGTAATTATATAATAAAATCATAAAAAATTATTTAATTTTATAAGCATTCTAAAAATCTGCTTATTAAAATCTTAGAAATATAAACTAATATGATAGATAATAATCAGAGCACTATTGAGCTTTCAATAGAAGATTCCATTATAGAAATAAATAACAACAACTACGAAGAAACCAAAACCCATGACCTCCAAATGCTATCTTCCCAAATATTCCGAAATGACCCCAAAGATATTTCTCTCTATGACTCCGAAAAAGAAATCCCTATCACTATAAGATCTGATTGATTTTCGAATTTCAGCACAAATGTAAGGTACCAAATAAGCGAAGTCCCAATCATGCCTATATTCGGGTACGAAAAGGTCGATTTTTCTATAGGCTCGTCCCCTGTAATTATGCTTGCAAAAAAATATCAAATAAAAGATGAATTACCAGAAAACGTCCAATATAAATTTTCCCAGGATTTCAGGAAACTTATATGGGTGACGTATAGGTATGGGTATAAGCCATTAGAAAGAATTGAAGGGGAAAATATAATTGCTTATTCCTCTGATACTGGCTGAGGGTGCACGGTAAGGGTTGGACAAATGCTGCTTATGAGGACTCTTCAGCTGCATTTTTATACAGAAAGTTATGAGTGTTATCAATTATTACAGCTAATTCAAGAAAATTTATTGGATGCCCCATATTCGATACAACAAATTGCAGCAGTAGGAACTGAGCTAGGAAAAAAGCCAGGCGACTGGTATTCGCCTTCTACAATGTGCCATCAATTTGCTTATTATAAGAAGCACGCTGTGGTTCTTGAAGGACTATCTCCGCCCCGGAATGCCCTCTTCGTCTTCTCGCCAGTCAATCACGAGGAAACTCCTGCCCAGCAATGGCCTGCACTCCCACCTTAGTTGGATGAGCCGCGTCGCCGTGCTGTACATCAAAAAAAGGTTGCCCATGAAAATTCAAAATTGCTGAATTTTTAGGTCGATTCTCTACAAAAAAAGGAAATCCGAAGCTCAGGGCATAACTTCTGGTTTCACGCTGGAGAGCAGTCCTGATTGGTCAGAATGAACACCACTGGCTCTGCTTGGAGACCCCTTTCTAATTTTCAGACTCATTCCCTTTGAGGCAAAAACGTGGATTTGGAGTATGACTTGTGGCCAGTTAATCCGACATTGTGCTTCACTAAATCAGAGAAAACCTTACCAGATAAACACTCCCTTCCTCAAGGTCCCTGCTCACTTTTCGGTATGCCAGCTACAGGATTTAAGAGGATGCTGCTTAATACCGCCATTTTAATGCATATATACAATATGCCACGCAATAGACAAACTTTTGACCTTGCACCCAATTCCTAAGCTGAAATCCAAAATTTTTATGGAAACAATCATATATAAAGACCAGCTTTATAGCGTTGCAGGCGACGTCGATATTGATGATTTTTTATCTAATTGTGTTTTATGCAAAAAATCTGAAGGTTATTATTGTGAAAAATGCAGAGAAAAACTCAACTCAATAGAATGGAACAAATCAATGCTGGTCATGATCCCACTAATGCTTGGACTGGGCTCAATCCATCAAGAATACTATGAAACCTTAAAATTTTTTTTAAATATCCCACAAACTGTAGGGATAATTGGAGGAAAACCCAAATCTGCGCTTTATATTGTAGGCTATCAGAATGATTCTTTGTTATTTTTAGACCCACATTTGGCTCAGCAAGCTTGTACAAGTGACCAAGACCTTTTAAATAAAATTGAGACCTACCATTGTTCTTCTTATAAATTAATCCCTATGAGTTCAGCTGAGTCTTCTATATCGCTTGGGTATTATTTTAGAAATAAAGAGTCATTTTTAGAGTTTGAGAGGATTATAAGTGAGAATAGAGATGCAATAAAAGGGCTTATAGGGGTGCAAGAGTTTACGCCGCAGTATTGTACAGAAGATTTTGAAGTTCCTGATATAAAAACTAGTGATAGTGATGAGGAGTATGTCGTTCTTTAGATTTTAATAAACAGATATAAAAAAATATTTTTTAATTAAGCCTTATTTCATTCAAAATTTTCAGTTTTAAGTCAAAGCAATAAAAGCGTTGAAATGTGTCAATAAAATAGACTAAATTTTCATTGTAAGCTACATATGAGAGCAATGATAAATGCATGACTTGAGAAGTAAATGCAAGATCTCAGTGATATAAATCTAGACTTTCAAATATCTTACTGGTGGTTTCTAAGCTTTGACTAAGATAAACCCTGCCATTTATAGCTCCTTTAAATAGAATTTTGTGAGATAAATTATGGAGAATTAGCGAAATCTTGCTATAAGAATTGATAAAAGGATCATATAAATACAAATATGGAATATCTTTACCAGAAATAAGTAATTTTCCTTTGAAGCTGACAGCAGAGCAAAATCTTGATGGCTTTGGCATGCTTGCTATTGGAATTTGTTTATTTTTATTTATGTCAAATTTAAAAGCTGAGTCTTTTATGCGGTGTTTATCTCATCCTCCAAAAGCATAAACCGATGCGTTATAATAGCATAATCCGGCCCCATGGTTGGTTTCTTCCAAAAACGCCTGCATTATTTTTACTCTATTATTTTTGAGTGATCTCTTTTGGCCCTATTTTGATACTAAAAATTTATTTTTTTCGAAAGCAATAGATTAAAAAATTATCTCATGTTTAATAATAAACCAAAATGGTCAGAATAATTAATGAACAAAATAGATAAAAAAAGGCTAATCAAAAGGCAAAATGGTTTTGCAGTAAAATTTCATGTGAAATTGCCATGGTTATCTCGCTCTACAGGTAAAATGCTAATATTTCCATCAAATTTAAGTATAAACCTAGTGATACCTCAAAATAAAATATCATTAGTTGGTAGTTTGCATACTCCAAAATGACTAGTTACTTTCCAAGGAAGATTTAATTGTCTTCTTTTTATATTTCCTTCAATAAAATTTATTGTCGTTAATACATTCATGCCACTTTCCATATAATTAATTTCAAATTCTCTTTCTGTCACTTTTCCATCATTTTTCTGCAAAAAATCATCCTTAATTAAATTTTGTTCAGAAATCAACATATTTATTTTATTATTATAAACTGTGGAAATGCACTTTATGCTCCAAAGCTTCGATTATTGTATTTTTCTTAGCTCTAGGAGTTCTATGAAATGAATTAAAATCGTTGCTTTCTGCGAGCTCTTTTAAATTTTTCCATGAACTTTTATGATTATTTAAATAAATATCAAAAAACATTTTTTTTTAAAAAAAATAATTTATTCTTATTAAAAGGGATAAAATTAGTTTCTTCTACAAATTCACTACATAGGAACTTCGTCATATCAGGCATCAATATTGTTTTATAAACTATTTTACTTCGAAATTCATTGCTGCCAGAAATCCTTTCTCCTTGTATATCAGATAATGCCCCATCACTTTGAGCTTCTTCTGGCTTATTTCTCATATCATAAATTTCATATTTGCTGCCGCTGCAATGGACTCTGGGAAATTGCGGATTAATTGGGACTTTGGGGGTTTCGACTGATGCGTATTCAACTGATGCGTAATTTTCTTGAATATTTATTATGCAGCTTAAGGCCAAATCCATTTTTTCGTTTTTATCAGAGAGAAATACGATGGATACTAGAGATTCATTTTCGCTGATATTTTCTATGACATCGTATTCTAATAGTAAAGAGTCTCATTTTTTCCTTAAAGCAGGCTCAGTTATAATTTCTACTAAAGTCGCTATTGAAGCTTCTATTTCGATTTCTAAGCTCATCTCGAAAAGGTGGCTTATTTTTCTGTATTTAATATTTAGCCCACCTGAATAATGCTAACTTGCTTTTGATAAAGTACGAAAAAAACTTAAAATAGGAAATATGATTTTTAATATTTTTTTTTCATGAAATTTTTAATTTAGGCAGTAAATTTAAAGATTAAAACCCATTAATCGCTAATATTTATATGTCAGATAAATATAAAAAAATCGCTCAATCAAGGATTGTATCAAAACTTCAATATAATAGCTTGATTTATGATAGGAGTAGAGTGAGTATTTAATTTTTTCCAATTTTCTGTATTTTGAGGATTATTTTCTTGGCTATTTTTAATAAAAAGTAATGGGCGTGTCCAGCTTCTATAAGCTTCTAAAGCTTCATTATCATTATTTAATATATATATAAGCAAATTGCTAGAGCTTTTCAAAGTTAACTGTTCTTCAATTATTTTACACAAGTGAAAAGCTTGTTCAGCTAGGAATTTCCCTGTTAAATGCAAATTTAGTTTCATTTCTCTCAATAAATCAATATCAATTTTCATCATAACATCTATGATTAAACTATAGTATCGAAACATGTCACAGCTTGTCAGCTTTGATAAATCTTATCATTATTTATATGATTTATACTCATTTTTATAATAAAATATGTAAAATTTAATGCAATTTTGGTAAAATTGATTTTTTCCCACAAAATTTTACTATTTATTAGGTTGTTAAAAATAGGCTAAATTCACGTAGCCATGCAATTAAACATAAAATATCAAAAGCTTTGGCTCCTACTCCAGGAATCCCACACAGTGGAATAAGCCTTGACAACAAAATTGATGCTGTGCGTTCTGAAATATCAGGCCTTGCATTAAAAAACTCATTTTCTAATCTCTCAATCGCTTTTCCACGCTTTTTTTCAGATTTTGACAGCCTTTTAATAAAAGATGCAACTGCTAAGTCAAGATCAGAAAGACTACACTGATGGCTTTGAGTAAAATCATGCACAAGTGGCTGATACATCTCAGGGATTTCTAAGAAATTCTGCATATGGGGTAAAAATTGGGTTATCTGCAGAGCTGAGTTTAGTCATTTTTCCAAATTTTGGCGACGCTTCGTAATAGTTGCTTTTAATTTTTTGCCGAAAATCTGTTTTTTAGGAAATTCAGGCAGATTTTTATAACAATCAGCAAAAATAAATTCGTGCTTGAGTTCTTTATAAAGCAAACGGAATTGGCTATATCTTTTAAAAAGTTTATACTTAAGTGTATGAAACCCTACAGAAACTTCATATTCCTATCTATTTTTTACTGTATAGGCCCTTGCAAACACCTGATTTGGGTTAGTAAGTTTTGCGTAAGGGATTTCCACATAAATGCACCCGTCAAATATTTCCATTTTTGTAAAAATTCGTCACAAGCTATTAATTAATACTTTTAAGGCTTGTTTTTTGTAAGATAATTATTTGGGAAATTATTAATATATTTTTAATGGATATTCGAAAATATTGGACAGTGACTCAAAATAGTGGAAGCGTTTGAAACGTATAAGAGTGAGAGAATATCAGCAAAAAACGAGAAAATAACTGGGATTTATTGAGAATTGGTGGCATGCTATTGAAGTATGAAAATTTTATGAGATAAATAGAAGGGAATTAATCAAGAGTTTGAAAAGAACAATGAAGGAGGAATTAATTGATATAAATCTGATAGAAATAGCTTATTTGTATGGAATAGTTTTGGATATGTATCAGAATCAAGTTGAGGTATCTAATAGGAACATCAGAGGCTTATTAGAGGAATTGTTAGAGAGAGTATCTTTTGGAAAATTATTTGTCCAATAAATTGCAATAACCGCTAAGTTATTATTATTTAATGAATATTATACTTTTTGGCTGATTTAGGAGGAATTTGCCTTTAAGCAGACATTTATTGGGAAAAAGGATATAAAAGAGTATAGATTATATGGGAAGATAATTGAAATGTGTAGTCTCAATGGAATTTTGCTAGGTTAGGATTCTTTTAAATATATAATAGATTTAGAGCATTAGAAATTGATATATTACAAATCAAATTATTTAGTAAATATTCATATTACCTAGTTTTCCCAAACGAATAACCAATTTCCCCAATAATCTATAAACATAAAATGGACTATCTCAATCATGCTTTCGACTATTTCAACGACTGAATAGCATGATACCGCCACATGGCTTACTATTACATAGGCTACCATGCCCACGAGTATCGCCTCCAGTCAGCCTCGTCCAAAAACAAAAGCAAAAAGTTTGTTGCAGTAAGAGATAATGACATTGAAGAAATCCAAGCTAATCTTTTTAATGGAAACTGACAGGTATACCTTCTCCTCAATCCTCCCAATAATAAAATCTTTCTATTTTTTATATAAAAATTCATTATAAAACCCTATAAATGATATAGTCTCTATAAATAATATGACAACCATGCTCCACGAAGCCGTAGTGCTCGACAGACGATCAATTTTTGATTTTTTGCTTCGGCAAGGCGCAGACCCAAATGTCCGTGACCGCAATGGTATGACTCCTCTATTAAAAGCTGCAGCCCTCGGCAGAGAACATATGGTGATCGAGCTATTAAAATGTGGAGTAAACCCCCATCATAGAGATCCTCATGGTTTCACCCCTCTGCAAAAAGCCATTTTACACGAAGAATGAAAAGTGGTGACCATTCTTTCTGGCCTTGGAAACTACACAAAGTCTCCGACGACTTGGCTGTGGCCGCCTGATATTTAATTTAATAGGAATTTATGTTAGTCTTTAGATGGGCGCTCTATGTCTTGTTTCACTTTTTTATCTTTTCGGGTCAAGCTGAGGTAAAAATCCATCCCAGTGCCGCTGAAAACGAGTAGTAAAGAAACCCATTGGTAGCCATTTAGACTATGGTTATAATATATGATAGAAAGAATCACCGTCATAAATTTGCGAGTAGTCGTAATTATACTTAATGTGAGAGCTCCTAAGACTTTAACACCTCTAAATATAAACATTTGGCCGATTGCACTCATAAACCCGAATTTGAAAATGTCCCACAGGATTCCTGGGTATTGATATAAATACGTAAAGAGAGGGGTTTCGTAGGCTAAGTTAGAAAAAAATAGAACGACCAGTCCTGTCACTAAGAGACCCCAGCCGTTGCAGTAGCTCATCATTTCTAGAGAAGTAGGCTTATTTCTATGTCTGACTTGCTCTGTGAAATATCCGTTAATTGCATCACAAGTTAATGATAAAAACAAGCAAAAAAGGCCGATAATAGAATCGGCTGACCCACTTGTGGTTTTCATTAGATTAAACATAAGAATTCCTGAGGTAATAAATGATACGCTTATGTACTGAATTTTTTCGTATTTTACTTCACTCACAAAAAATCCACCCATCATCACTGGAAGAATTTTACAGGATTTTGCAAGGGCTTGTGTAGGGTAGCTGACGTAGGTGATTGAAATATTTGAAAAAATGGATCAAAATATTTTTATTAAAATAAAAATAAGGGGAAAATAAATATTTTATTATGGAAAAATAATAGAATTTTTATTAGGAAATATAGGTAATGATAAACTTTTAGAAGAAATTTTTAATATATCTTGAAAAAATCATAGAAAGTGCAAAAACAGTCGCATGCACGATTTTGTATTTATACTGCTGCCACATCCCGACTTTCTCACCTATATAAGGCTTTGGGTTTGGCGTTTCTCCAAAAGTAATGCCAAATTTCATACCTAAATAGCAGCATACAAGAAAACGACAGGATAAATCCTATCAAGCATTGGACAAATACCACGAATTCTGCTTGGTTAAATTTCTCACGTTTAGGGTCAGTATATCTAAATTATCTTTACATTCCTTCCTGTAGGACTCCAAAATAAAGGTAGGAAATATAAATCCCAATGATTATCACTACAAGCTCTACTATTTCTTTGTGATTGATTTGTCCAAAATCTTTCATCTACTCAGATAATTTTTATACGTGTAAAAAGATGGATTCATTTTTAACGATACTATTAATTTCCGTTTCTTTTAGAAAATTCTTATATAACACATGATTTCTTATGGATTTTATAGATTAATTTTTTTTATATAAAAAATTTAAGCCTTTTTTTTTTGCTAGTAAAATGAGGGATAACACTATATAACGCGCTACCTTAATAATGGGAAATTTATATGATTTTTTAGATTTTTTATAAAAGATTTTTTAGCTTACGTTATGAAAAGCTTGGATACACTCATGCCTTACTTGTGTAAGCGTTGCTACCAAATCTGCCCAAAGCTCATGCAATTTAGTAGTATAGTCTGAGAACACTCTTCCGAATTCTGTAAAATGGGCGTTTTCTTTGGCTTGGTTGTCAATAAAAACTCGTGCAGTTTCTGATTTTACTTGATAGTTGTAAAAGGCGAAATCGTCCCTTAGCTTTTCGAGCTCTTTAGTTTCCTTAGCCCCCGTGAGCGATCAATGACATTAGAAAAAACCCTAAAAAACCAACCCTCCGTGAGCGAACAAAAATTTTTTATGGGAAAAAATTTTGATATATAAGTGATAACTAGTACCATGAAATCTCGAGCTAATTCTGTTTAATTTTAAACAAAATTGAGTTTTTAAAACAAATTAAATTAATATTTGCCTTCCAATTTCCAAGAAGTGGGATTTTTTTAACTTCCGAAAAAAAAATTCTTTAAAATTTATATATAAAGGAGTTAGCCATCATTTTTGCAAAGGCTGCTTCTTTGTCTTCTAATAAAGCTTGAGGGTTATTTAAAGCTTCAGGGCTAAGTCCCCATTTAGAGATATCCTTAACTTGCCACAGTTTTTCTTTTCTATTCTATTTTCATTAAATTTTCTACTAATTTTTTCTTAAAAATCCTTATTTTTATAAAAATTAATAATAATTTTCTATAATTCCTATTAATTTCATACAAAAAAGTATACTTTTTAGCTTTTGTAAAGCTTTTTGATATGCAGCACATTTAATTTCTTTATCTTTTGCAAGCTCAATTAGTGGTATAACTTCATTATATTCATATTTAAAGAAAAAATTGCAATAGTTTTTCACAATTTCAGCTGATTCATTTTCACGATCTGACCAGAGCGCAAAGCTAGTTTTCAGCGAATTATACAAAGGCTTAACACCTGGAATGCCTGGGAATTTATCTTGGAGATTTTCTAAAGCTTCAAAGCTTCTTGCTATATCAAGAATCATTGCAGCTACATTATTTATGGCTTCACACAAGGAATCAGTCTGTCTCTTTAGTTTTTTCTTCAAAATTTGGGTGTTTTTTAAATAATCCTCAATGTTTGCATTTTCTTTTTCATCGTGTTTTGGGTCACAAGCAAGGTAGCCGTCAAGGGTTAAAAATTCAGAATAATTTTGAGGCTTTTTGACCTTGCTGGCTTGTTTTTTAAGCTTGGAAAATTCTTTAGGGTCGTCTTCTTTGAGAAATCCTAATTCCTCCTATGAGAAATTATAACTATAACTCCCCCCCCCCCCCGTGAGTGAACAAAAAACTTTTGTTCACTCACGGAGGGGGTTTAATTTTTTTTTTAAAAAAAAATTTATATATAAATTTTAAAAAAAATATTGTTTTTTTTCGAAATTTAAAAAATCCTAATTCGCAAAAATTGGAAAGAAAATATTAATTCAATTTGCAAAATTTATGTTTTAAAACGCAATTTGTTTAAAATTAAACAGAATTAGCTCTATATTTCATTATACTAATTATCATTTATATATTAAAACTTTTTTTCCATAAAAAAATTTTTTCTATTAAAAAAATTTTTGTTCACTCACACGGAGGGTGGGTTTTTGGGCAAAAAATAGCGATTTTTCTAATGGTTTTGTTCACTCACGGAGGGGGGGGGGAGTAAGAAAAATCTTATTTTTCATCTAATACATAAAATATCTAACTATATAAATAATGATTATTATACTGAAATCTCTGACTAATTTTATTAAGTTTAATCAAAATTTAGTTAAAACATAAATTCTATAAATTAAATTAATTCTAAAAAATCATTTTAGCTTTTAAAAAACAGCACAAAAAAATTTTATTTGTCTAGAGTGTAAGAGAAATTGTGACCTTTTGAATAGAGGATTTCTGACAATTGTTGATAGAAAATGCTGTAAATAAGCCTGCTGCTTTTCTTGGTTTTCTTCTCCATGAGCACCAATGACTCTTTTAGGAGGGTTTGGAGGTAAATATGATGTAGGGAAGCAGGTGCCTAGAATTCCTTTAAGCCAAACAAAATCGTCTTCTTGACGCTTAACTTTCCAATTAAAAGGTTTTGTAGTAATTGGGAAATTTATTTTTGTAGTAGAAAACATGCCACCTGTAGAATATTCTGGACTATATATACCCTTCTAAATAAATGGCTTATTTATCTAAAAACTATTGCAAAATCCTTTTATTTCTTTTTAATTTATAAAAATTACCATCCTACATGAACGTCAGGAGAAATTTCTTTAGAAAGCTGGTTATCAGTGGTTTTTAAAGCATTTAAGAAATATGTTTTTGGGTCTTCAAAAGAACTGAGAGTTCTTTGAGGCTCTTGTTTCACTTCAAGCTGTTGATCGTTTTTTTGCTCTGTCGGTTCCGATTGTCCTTGATTAGAAGTTTCTGTGACTTCTTTGGTTTCTTCAATGTTTTCTTGGGGTTTTTCTGTTGTAATGCTCTCATTTTGATTGGGTTTTTTAGTAACAGGAAATTTCTCTTCTTCTAAGGACTGATTGCTGGGCTGGCTCAAATTTGGCTCTTTGTCGTGCTTGTTTTCTGGTTCTTCATTATTATTTTTTTCTTCATCAGCTTTTTTGGCTTGCATTGCTTGGAAATTTCTTACACATTCTTTTAATTCTGCAAGAGTCCAAAGATCAATATCAGCTCCTCTTAGGATATCGCAATAGTCTGTGAACTCTTCTGGGGAATATCCTTTATTGATAATTTGTTCACGTAAGAAGGCTCTTTTTTGAGGCCTTTCGCTTTCATCTTGTAAGTCAGGATCCATTTATTTTTTTGGTATCTAATTTTGTAACATAAATAATTGGAGAATGTTTTAATGAGTAGACCATAAGCTTTTATCATAAAAATCTTTGAGTATTGATCATTATTAGAAAATTTTTAGCAAATTTTAAATTTTATGGAATTTTAAATTTTTCTTTTATATTTACCAAAATAAAGCTTATTCAAAATCTTCCCTTGCCTTATTACCAATAAAAACTATCATTTATTTCTTTTAATTATCAATAACCCAAAATTTTTCCATAATTTTTTTAAAAATTAATTTAATCTTTTAAACCATACATTTTTAAATCTCCCTCAGAAAATGGCGCCTAATAACCTTCCAACAACCATTTTAACCGAAATCTTATAAGCCAAAAATTGAAATAAAATGTAATTAAGTGATAAAATTAAGATCTTTCTCCTCTGATTCTTCTTGCTAATTGCATATCTCTTGGCATAATGGTGACTCTCTTTCCGTGGATTGCGCAAAGGTTAGTGTCTTCGAAGAGTCCAACCAAATAGGCTTCAGCGGCTTCTTGTAAAGCGAGGACTGCAGAGCTTTGGAATCTCAAGTCAGTCTTATATTCTTGAGCAATTTCTCTGACAAGTCTTTGGAATGGGAGTTTTCTGACGAGAAGTTCAGTGCTTTTTTGGTATTTTCTAATTTCTCTTAGAGCCACAGTTCCTGGTCTAAATCTGTGTGGCTTCTTGACACCTGAGGTGGTGGTGGCTGAGACTTTCTTGGCGGCTTTAGTTGCCAAGTGTTTCTTTGGGGTTTTTCCAGCTGATGTAGTTTTTCTTGCGGTTTGCTTGGTTCTTGCCATTAAATATTATAGTTAGACCTTGCTCTCGCATTTATATACTAAAGAAAAATCCCATTTATATTGAATCTTGAAAATGATTGGCTGATTTGAGGGAATTTTTTAACAAAAATTTATGCCTTTTTATTATGAATAAAATTTTGTTGATGGCTACCTAATTCTATTTATATAGCGAAAAAGGATATCCATTACCTATTATAAAAGGGTATAAAAAAATTGAAATATTTTTTTAATTATTTTTTTTTGGAAAATTTTGGAAACGATTTGAGTAATTCTGGATTATCGAAATTAGCCAATAGAAAATAAGATTAGGAAAACAGAGGATAGATTTATCACTATTTAAGCGCTTTTAACAATGACTTTGATTATACAGTATTTTATTATAATTTAATAATAAAATTATTTCATCATATTTTTATAAAACTATTTAAATTCTTTTAATAAAAAAAAATTAGTAAATTAACTAATTAAGAACATATAAGTTTACTGTAATATGGGAGGAAAAGGTGGAAAAGGAGGAAAAGGCTTACTCCTCCCCTCTGTGAGCGAACAAAATATTTTGTTCGCTCATGAGGGGTTATTTTTTTTTTAAAACATTTATAGCTATCAACGGAAAGTACTATATATATAAATTTTATATTAAATTTTTTTTTCAAAATTAAAAAATCCCAGTTCGAAAGCAAATATTAATTTAATTTGTAAATTTTATGTTTAAAATGGGAGCTGCTAAAGAATTAAACAGAATTAGCTCGACATTTCATTTTAATAATTATCACTTATATATCAGAATACATTGTGGGTAAATTTTTACCCAAAAATTAGGGATCTTTCCAATGTTTTTGTTCGCACACAAGGGGGGAGTTAGGAAAAGTCGGAGCAAAGAAAAGACACAGAAGAGTTATAAGAGAGAACATCCAAGGGATTACCAAACCTGCCATCAGAAGATTGGCAAGAAGAGGAGGTGTTAAAAGACTCTCTGGGTTGGTTTATGACGAAACAAGAAATGTACTTAAAGTATTTTTGGAAAATGTTGTAAGAGACGCCGTAACTTACACAGAACACGCAAGAAGAAAGACTGTTACTGCATTAGATGTAGTTTATGCACTTAAGAGACAAGGAAGAACCTTATACGGCTTTGGTGGTTAAATCTAATATTAATTCGAGTTTTTTATAACATTTTAAGTGAATATGCCCTCTTTTGTATATAAATATTTATAATTGTTTTACATTAGAAAATGAATAAACTTTTGCTGCTTTTTAAAATAAAAATTGGATTTTAAGATAAAATTTAATTTTTTGAAATTCTGAAAATTCTGAAAGGATCATAGATATTATGAAATAATTAAGAATGATGAAATTTGAAAGATTAGAAGAATTAGTGCTTAATAAAGTATATATAGCATATGTAGACTAGACGAAATAATTTTTTGAAGGAAAACAGAATTGAATAGAAGTCCATTTTGATTTGATACACGAAAATAAAAATGCAGGATAAAGCTAGTTTTAAATTACATTAATGCAAATATAAAGCCATGCAACTCATAATTTTCTTAAAAGTTCGCAAGTACATTGACTATTCTTACTCCCCCTCCATTTAAATAGGAATAAAAATTCTTTTCCTATTTAAGAGAGATTAATTTTTTTTTAAAAAATTATATTAAATTTTTATCAATAAAAAAATAATATATTTAATTTAATTTTAATTTATTATATAAAATTAATTCAAAAACTCATCTATTCAGTGTGTCAACTGATTAAATACTATTCTACTTGCACTTTATCATTAGATTAGGTCAAACTATTTTATAAATTTGATATTTTAACCTAAAATTACCATCGAAAATTTAAAATTTTGTTGAATTTTAAGGAGTCAGATAAATAGCAAAAATATTTTATAAAGAAATTTTAACTTGCAAGCATATTTTATCAAGTATTTGTTAACTAAGCTTACACTAAATCTTTTTCTTGCAATTTCTTTTATAGTTTATACAATTTCTTTATTATAGTTTATAATAATTAATATTGCTTTTATTTAATATATTGGATTTTGAAGCAAAAAGGCTTTTATTTTAAATTAGACTTAATAAAAGGAAGCAAGATATATTAGGAAACAGTGCGCCCAAGCCAATAACCGGCTATAATTATCCCTAAAATGTATATAGCGGCTTTTTATTATCACAATTTCATCTCATACCGTTATAACTAAATTTATTTCTAATATAAGCGCACGTTCTTTAGCGTAAAGAAATAATTTCCTCTCTAAGAATTGACAATTGAATTTTCTTTATGCTGCTTCTTTGAGCAAATTATTCCCTTTATAAAGATCCATTCCACTGTTGTAATCAAAAAAATTCCGTACTGCTTGGATGAGAGTAAAATCTTGATACTTTTACAGGAAGCTTTAAACTAAAAAATTATAGGCTCTTAGTTGAGGCGAAAATAATAAATTTCACTCATTATTAAATGTTTCTCTATAATCTACTTTGAAAATCATATTTAGGGGCTGCATTTAATTTGGTCGAGAAATTTTTCTATATAGTTTTGATTTAGGGTATTAATTTACATATCTAGTTTATGCACATTCTTATAAATTTGAATCGCTCTCTATAAAATGGAATATTAAGTTGCTATGAATTCTTTAATCATTTTTTACTAATTTTTATAAAACTATTTATATAAATAATATATTCACATAATTAATTTTCCACTGAAAAAATAAAATTTTGTTATGATTTAAAAGGGAGCTAATTTACTCAAAATATGGAATTTTATTGGGGGGAGTTACTGATTTTATAAATTGCAATTTATTTACAATTTAAAATAAGCTATACATAATATAAAATTAATAAATTTTAGCAAACCTTAATTTAATAAATTATTATAGCTGAGTAAGATTTATTCTGAATTCATGCTAAAAATACTTAATTTTTTAAATGAATTTTAAAGCAGTTGATTTTCATGATGATTTTTCAGAAATATTTCAAATAAACTTGAATATCATTAAGATTTTCTAAAGTAAACATTTTAAAAATTTAATTTAATGCAATACAATTACTAGGCTTCTTTATTGTTTATTATGAGGCTAGGTATCTCTATTATTAATAATCGTTTTATTTTCATAAAATAGCTATAGATAAATTACTATTAAAATTAATGTTACAATAAATAAAGTCAGCACTAAATTGCTACGCAGAAGCAATACATTAAAATGGTGTGGGAAATCAATTCACCCTCTTAAATCCTGTAGTCGACCTACGTCTAGTATATGTAAGGGCTTTAAGAGCCAGAAAGGCGTTCAGATGTATATAGGGTCAGCTTTTAGCATCTTGGTAAAGCACAACCTGGGGTTGCCAACCGCATGCTTACTCCAGATCAGGGTTTTTTTGCCTCAGAGAGAATAGAGCTGAGGAAAGGGATGTCCAATAATTCCAGAGGTTGTATTCTTGGCCAATCCGATATTTCCCAGTGTGAAGTAGGGAGTTGCGGGTTACCATTTTGACTGAGAGTCGTTAAAATTAACCATTTTGAATTTTACATCTCAAGCGACCTTATTTGAATTGCCACAGACCTGCACAACTCATCCGATTTACCACCAGCGAGTGCAGACCCTCGTCCTGCAGGAGCCACCTTCACTATATTATGAAGCACGAACTTGTAAGTAAAGCGGGGATGATTATTGGAAAAGTATTCCTTCAGGAATTGTAGCAAATTTTTCGATAATTATAATTTTTTTTCATTAAGTTAAGCTACGCAGCAAATATTATACACAATTTATCTTGCTTAATTCTTTATAAAAATTAATAAAAATAATATCATGCATTTCTTTACTTTAAGAAATACCAAATAACTCACCATAAGCCTCAAATAGCCTATTTTACTAATAATTCTTAATATGAAAACTCAAAAAACCAAGGACTCATTTTTCAAAGAGCCAGAAATAGACCGGTTACAGCGAAACCTAGAGTTAATCATCCAAAAGCTAGAAAGGGAAAAGCGAGAGCATGCTTACTTAGACGAACAAATAAAAATCGTCGAAGTCGAGCTAAATGAGAAGAAAAACTTAAAAAGACTCCCAGAACTAAAAGACAAAAATTTACATAAAAATATTTTAGCTTTAGAAAGAAAGCTAGAACTTGAAATAGTCCATTACAATGAAGCATGCTCTGAGAACAATCTTCTTAAAAACCAAATTGAAGTCCATAGGAATGATTTGCTGAATTACAAGCAAAGCCTATTCCCTTCCAATAAAATTTGCATATATAATTTATATTTTTTTAATAAAAATAGTAAATTTTTATTAAAATTTATAATGGGAGTTAGAGAATTTGAAAGGAGATATCCTGAACGTATCAGTGCAAGGTGCGAAAAGAAATTCTCAATGGAAAGAAAATATAGAAGAAGACCAACTTTTTAGGGAAAGAATTTCGGTACTGCGAAGCAAAAGCGCCAATGCCAAAACAAGATATAGCAACAAAATCAATAGCTTAGCAAGCATAATAAGAGAAGAGCGAAATAATAAATTGAAAGGATTGGGGATCATTAAAGATGTTTTTGAGTTTAGAAATTCAAAACCTGCTGATAGTTTGGAGCTTATTCTCTATTAAATTAAAATCATTACAATTTTATAAGAAAATAATTAATTTCTATGCGTTATTTTGCTCTTATAATAAAAAACATCATTAATTTATCTATAAAAAGTATAGCAGTATGCTAAGAAAATTAGTTAAAAAATGGCAAAAAGCGTTAAAAGAAAGAAAGATCCTTTTAGAAGGCTATAAAAAAAATATCAAGCTAATAAAGCTAGCTTTTAGAGAAATCCAAGCAGCCACAGGCTACGGCAACATTGACGATATAGTCACAGCCTTTATCAAAAGTGAAGAACAAATCCACGAAGTCTGACAATACATTAACACCTTGAACGGAGAAATCGACAATTTAGAAGAAAACTTAAAAGAGGCTACAGAAAAAATAGAATCCTATGAAAAAAATAAAGAAAAAGGTGAAGTAAAATGTATTGAAAATAAAAATTATCTTGATAAAAGGAAACAGTCAATGGAGCTAAAAGTCATCAAAAAAGGCCAAAAATTCGAAGAAGTCCAAGCTGAGATTACTAAGCTTTTGCCTATTGTCAAGGTAAATTTTATATAGAAAATGTCAAACCTGTGTCAGTCTACCACACTTCCTATACAGCTTACTACTTCTTATGTAGATTCAATTAATTTTGAATCTCTAACAGAGGATAACATTCTTCCTATTCTAGGGCAAATCGAAGAATATTTAAGCTACATTTTAATATCAGTAGCCTATCATAAAAATGATAAACATCCTGTACTTAAACCTATTGCCCTTGATATTTTATTTTATTTTTTTAAAAAATTAAGTCGGAAAATCTGAAGTCAAAATCAATTTTTAATAAAAAAAAGGCTATGTGTTTAATAGTAAAATATGTATAATATTTAGAATAATATACAAGAAAAAAGTTTTGCAATAACTCCAACGTCAATTAGCAATATTTTTGACTTTAAAGATCTGTATGAAGATGAAGAAATTGATGATTCCAGGGCTCCTCTTCCTCTATATGAACTCAAAGAGAAAGCGAAATTTATTTTGGAGACCAAAACTTCAGCTAGCTCCAGAGGACTTTTAAGTGGCTTGCGTAGCAGAACTCCTAACTCCTCTTTAAGAACGAGCAGAACATTGAAAAAATGGAAAATTAGCCTGTTTTAAGAGAGGAAAAAATTGTTTATATTAATTTTATAATGAGATCTCAGTTAATATGCATTCTTAAACATTATTTTTTAAATTTAAATAGGTTTTTGAAAAAAAAATAACCGGCCCTTAAGAAGGAGGGGAAGTAAGCATTTGCCATGCATTACGGATTAATTTTTTTGTTTTAATAACTTATTTACTAATACAAAGAACAGTTTTTGCCTCGTTAAGTTTCTCAAGAATTTGAGACGTCCGAGGCCTAAATGTTGGTGTATAATCACAGCAACTTCTAATGATATGCTATATAAAAGAGAATAAATATAAGCTACCAATTTTATTTTCAAGCTAATTTCTATATAATTTTGCTATAATATAGCAATATCAATAGATTACAGTATAAATTTCAATAGATCTGGGATTGAGCTTGGTATTGGGATAGGCTTTTTTTGAAAAATTTCATAGTAAATGCAATTTGCATTGGAACTTGAAATATAATTTCATGGTCTTTTGTTAGAAAAAAGCTCAATTAATAAGCAGCCTAAGGCCCATATGTCAACTTCTACACCTATACTTTGGATTTGGTCCTTATCAAACAGCTCCGGAGCCATAAACCGGGTTGTGCCAATACAAAGAGTTGTTTGAGATTCTTCCCCTCTAAGACAATTCAGTGGACGTGCAAGGCCAAAATCAGCGATTTTTACGTTATAAGAATGATCAAGCTATCCTTTATATAATTAAATATCCAAAAAATAAAAAAATTTTATTAATTAAAAAAAATGCATTAAAAAATGATTTTTAATATAAATAAGTTTATATAGAAATTACAAGGCAGTTTTCTGGCTTCAAGTCACGATGGATAATTGGAGGATTATTTGAATGCAAATAAGCTAGTCCTTGGGTGATCTGTATAGCAATATTAAAACGCTCAAGAAGGCTTAAAGGGTGGTCTTTTCGCTTGTGGATAGCTTGGAAGAGTGAACAATTCGGCACGAGCTCAGAAACCAGGCAGAAATTAGGCTTGTCAACACATATTCCCATTAATAAAATCAAATTTGGGTGTCTGACCCTGTCTAAAATCTGTATTTCCTTCACAAATTTTTCCATGTCTTTAAAAGTCGTTGAATATTCCAACTTAAACTGCTTAATTGCCACTTCTGTCCCTCTTCATTTACCTTTGAAAACTAAGCAAGAGCTGCCTCTGTTGATGAGTTCTTCGAATATTAATTCACTGTTTTTTATTGTAGGAATTCTTGTAGCTTTTAAAGTTTCTTCTAGCAAACTTAAAGTGGATTCTTCTAAAAAAAATAAATTTTTTTCCTCTATAAGGGATGGCCTCTTAGAAGGCAGAGGCAATTCTATTTTTTTTAGTAAAAATAGGGGATTTTTTTATTATTCCGATTCTTCTTGTTCAGTAGATGATCCATGTGTGCTTTTTGAATTTTCTTTCTTTGGAGCCATCACCTGTAAATCTCCTGAATCAGTCTCCACAAATTTCCCACTGTTTGGAGTTTTTACTATCAAATCTTCCATTGACAGCTGCTCAATAATTTCATCAGTCTCCCTTGTATTCACCTCAATCGCCAAGTCTTTTGGTGTTTTTCCATCATTATCTTTGATAAAAGGATGTGCATTATATTTCAATAGTAACGCTATCAGCTCTGAGCTTCCTTTTTTGGCTGCAATGTGAAGAGGGGTCTGTCCATTCCAATTCCTTGTGTTTTTGTATAGTATTTTAGGCATAATAATAAAATGGTTTCGGATGAGAGGAGAATACATTATGAATTTCTTTCCAAATTTTATGATTATAGGGTTAGGTTTTTACATATGCACTTCTGTCTAATAGGGACGAAACAGCGAAGGTTTTCTTGCTTCGCATCCTACAAATATCGTTCTATAGCTCTTTCCACTGCCCGATAAAGGCAGAGCCCTTAGGCTGATAGATAGTGGAGGAAAGTTGGATAGAGTGAGGCGATACGCCAAGCCGTAAGTGATCCTGGAACTTCTAGGCTTTCAAATGGCGTATGGAGGGCTAGAAGGAGCAAATTTTGTCGACAGGCCATATGTCAAATCGTAGGGAGCGACCAAGCCGAGGGAAAAGCCTGTGCGCGCTTGAGCCCAATCCGAGAAGAATTAAATTAAGTAATCTATGTCCAAGCATAGTCTTTCAGGCATTTTTCTTAAAAAAATCCTATTTTTAATATTATTTTCCTATTTTTTGAGAAAAATGTACGGTGAGCTATAATTGGGAAAAGACCTCTGATCACGTAAAAAATAGCGAGATAATTTGTAATGGGAGTTCTCAATAGAAAGGTGAAGCGGTGTAGTATTGGAGACTGGTGGGATAATTAATGCTCCAATTTCATAGAGAATCCTAAATAGGTCAGCATCACCATTGTCTAAAGCAATTCGCAGACATGAACGCCCAGATGAGTCAATTGCGTTGGGATTTGCTCCTTGAGTGAGGTGTTTTACAGCTTCTGAACTGTCTTTATTAGATATTCTAATATAAATTAAATACTGATAATAAATAAATTAAGGAATTAATATAGATATTTAGAGATAAAAGGATACAGCTTCAAGCAGGTCGGAATTCAAACTTGGGCTATTTCCCATCTCAATTAATTATATGAATAAACCGTTCAATTTTACGTTCAATGGTAGAAAAATAAATAAAATATTTTATTGTAGTATGCTATAAGAGCTAATAATTTAAAGAAATTAAAATAAATAGTTTTTGATATTTTTCTGTTTTAAAATAAAATATATAAATCTCTATAGCTCAGGGCTTCTTTTAGATCTGAGAAAGAAGCTGGCTAGCTAATAAAGAAGTTGGAAATAGCAGAAAATAGATTCAATTAGGAATAAGTAGCAATTCATAGCCAAAATAAGCTAAAAGCGTCCCCAGGCTATATTTAGATTCTCTATTCTTATCAATAGCGTAAAGAATTTCAGAAAAATCTGTTTTCCTTATTCTTTTTAATCAAAATTTTTATATTTATTTTAAATTAGTTCTATTTAATTTTTCAAATCTTTTGCTGCCGTTTCTCCTTTCCGCACTTGTCTCTTCTTAAACTATAACTTCCTCTATTTCTCTTAATTCAACTATTATGCGTTAGCATAATTTTATGTAGTCTCTACACATCTTAACATTTTCCCTCAAGTGGAACCCAAAATCCCAATAAGCCACTAAAATACGGAAATTCCACGTTTGGGGTTTGGCTTCCACATGTGGGAAAATGTCCAGAAATGTGGAGACCCTCCCAAATTATGCCAAGTATAATATATTTAAAACATGTCTGGACGTGCACCGACTGCATACCGAGTGCCATCTCGCCAAGGAACTGGCTTCCGTGGGACAACAGGAATGAGAGGTGGCGACGCCTCTGGCGGAGCCTCAGTCCCTGACGTCACTGTCGTCAATCGCCCTATCACTAATCACGGTCTTACCGGAATTCAAGCCCAAAAATCAGGGCCGGGGCGTGTTTACTATGACAAATCTTACTATTTAGGTGAAATTCGCAAGAAAAACCAAGAGCTGATGACAGAAATCGAGAAATTCTCTAACGAAATGGAAGAAATCAACCGCGATTCCAATATGTTCAAAGTCCTTGAGAAAAAACGTGAAGCTCTAATTAAAGAAGTCAGGAATTTAGAAGGAGAATTGGCTGACTACAATTTGTCACTATCCTCTAACAACTTGATTTATCATATTTCAAAATATTTATAGCAAAATAATATTTAATATCCTAAAATATAGATAAAAAAAGAGGAGAAGCCCAAGCTGAAGAAGTTTTAAGCAATTATGAATTCATGAGGGTGCAGAACCAGCGACAGCGAGAAATGCTGGATTCTCTCTTTTTAGAAAGAAAAGGCATGGAAAACCAACTCGCTGCAATTGAGCATGAAATAGCGACCATAAATGCTCAAGCTGAAGAAAGACTTACTGAGCTGGAGCCTGACCAGCGCCAAGAATATGTCCAACTGCAAAATGAAAATAAAAATTTAGAAGACGAAATTGGCCAGAAAAAGCAGCTTCTTGACAATGTAAATCAAAGACTTGTGATGGCTGATGCCAAGCTGAGAACTGATGTGATGAAACAAAAAGCCAACCATCTGAGAGAACAAAAAGAAAGCCTCCTGAGGAGAAAAGAAGACTTAGAAGTCCAAACCAATGACCAAAATTTATCATTCCCAGAAGCCAGAGAAAAGCTTCTAGCAAGGGTCAAGGCTGATAATCAGGTCATAAAAGATATTGAAAGCAGGACCAAAGAGGTAGAAAAAGGCATCGCGAACTATAAAAAACAAATAGAAGAGATGGAGCAGGAGCTGAAAACGAGCAGTGATACTTCTCATATACAGAAGTATGAAATTCTAAATCAGAGAGACCAGGAAATGACCCAGTTTATTGAGAGCTTTGAGACAACCAAAAAAAATGAGCTGGAAATGATAAAGACCTTGGAGGATAATATTTCGAATTTATAGTAAAAATGGGATGAATTAAGGAATTTGGAGGAAAATAAGGAAAAATCAATAGAAATTAGGATACTTGAACAGATTTCAAGGATTTTAGATAGAAAAGAAAGCATGCCAACCCAACAACAAGTCCAAGAATGGGGTAGCGATTTAGCGTTCAAAAAAGGCCAGACCGCTAATGCAGCTGCCACTATGGAAATGCTTAAGCGGCAACTTGCAGAGCGCCAAGCAGACTTAGAAAAAGTGAAAAACCTTGACCAAAGGATCCCACAGCAGCTTAAAGGGATCCAAGAAAAAACAGCCCAAATTCAAGAAGAGCTCCGTACTAAATATAACAATATAGAAGATATGAGAATTGCAGCACAAGAAAACTTAAACAGGCTTTATAAGACTAAAGAATATTTAGTCAATAAAAAAGACACCCTAAGCCAACAGCTGAGAGCTTTAACTATAAAACTTGACACCAAAAAGCAGCAAATGGGCGATGTCAAATTTTATGCTGTTTTTGAATGATTTGTGATATCTTATGAGAAAATAATTAATAGAAATGGCAAAGCTAAATATAAGGCTATAAGAGGGTAGGCCACTAGCCTGTATATCTGGTGTAAACCCACCTCCCTAGGTTAGAGCACTTCTTGCAGATGTCCTATTAGTCCTGATAAGCAAAGACTAAGTGGGAGGCAAAAACTGCCTAGAAGCAGGGAAAACCTTCGGGGGAAAAAGAACCCTTCCCTCTTCAGCAGGTATCCCCAAACCCGAAACGCCTACTTTAAAAAGTGACAGAGGCACTATTTTCACCTTCATCAAGACGAGTCCTACCTGATCCATAGGGCGTCCGTCTCGCTGTCAATCTTCGGTCTCCATTACCATTTTATTTTAGAAATGGCAAGGGTATATAAAGAATTGCAAGAAACTGAAAGCAAAATGACTATTAATGAGCAAACTATTTTTGGGCTGAAAAGCTATATTGAAAGTAAAGGAGCAGAAACCAATTATGGCCCTATTATGAATGACTGTATGAGAATTTTAGAAGACATCAATAATACGCTATTATCAAGATATAACTAATCTTTTATTGATTAATTAGAGGCTATGAACGGTTTCTAAATAAACTCTTAATTTTTCAGGGTCTGTGTCTGGATAAATTCCATGCCCTAAATTGCATATATATTTTTCTTTCCCAAAAGTCTCTACCATCTTAGTAGCTTTTTGTCTGATAAAATCGCCTGAGGCGTATAACGCAGCTGGGTCTAAATTTCCTTGAAGGACTTTTCCATAGCGATTTGCAAGCTCTCTTGCCCTGGGGATTGGAACTGTCCAGTCTATTTGAATTATATCAAATTCTGTTTGGCATATAGATTCTAATGCATAGCCTGCATCTTTGCAGAAAATTATTAAAGGAGCTTCTAGGCCTGGGTTAATTTTTGCTTTTTCTTTTAAAAATGATGCGATTTTTCTATTATAAGATATGCTTTTTCCTAATAATTAATTTTTTTATATTAAAAAATATTTATAAGTAAATTCATATAAAAATGTATAGCAAAAATTCTTCAAATTCGTCTGGGCCTAAAATTCCGGCATGTGATTCAAAGATTTGCAGCATTTGGGCTCCACTACAAATTTGAGCTAATAAAAAGTCGCAGAGGATGTTTGTGAGCATGTCTAAAAGTCTATGGGTTTCTTGAGGGTATTGGTATATTCACCTTCGAGATTTTGTAAATACAGTAGATCCTTGACCTTCTATCATGTAAGTAAATAATGTGAAAGGGCCTCCACAGAAGCCGATTAATGGAACTTTTCCTAATAAAGAACAGCCTTTATGTTTTTTTTAAAAAAAATTATTTAATTTCTAATGAAATTTTTTAATTTTACTATAAAGAATGCCGAGTCAAAAAAATCGCATCTAAATAAGGCTCATAATCTGTAGAAATATCAGGAATTTTCAATAAATTTATATCTTCTGGTGTCTGTAAAGGATGAGTAAAAACTGGGCCTTTTCCTTTTTCCATGATTACTTCCATGCCCATGGTCTGAGGAATTACCAATATATCAGAAAAGATTATTGCTGCATCTAGAGGGAGAAGATTTATAGGGAGAAGTGTCACTTCACAGGCTAAGCGTGGAGTTGTGCAGATCCTGAAAAATTCATTTTCTACACGGAGATTGCGGAATTCTTCTAAATATCGGCCGGCTTGTCTCATAATCCAAATAGGAATTTTATCAACCTCTTCACCATGAGCTGCTTTTAGAATTCTATCGTTAAGAATTGCTGGAAAGCCTGTATTTGTGTGAAGAGATTTGTATTCTGATGAAGAAATTCGCTGAGGGATTGAGTCAAGAGGTTGTAGTTCCATTTATAAATTAAATAAAAAGAATCAAAAAGCGCTAAAATTGTGATAGTATTGGGCTACTGGTTTTTAGAATAAATCAATTATATTTTCTCGTCTAAAAGGTGTTAACTTGAAGAACCGTTGAAAAATTCGCAAAAAATAAAAGAAATATATTGCTTAAGCCACTGATTTAATAAAAATCTGTTTAATTTATTTTTTTATTAAATTAAGCAATTATATTTAATAAAAAAACTCTGAATAAAGAATTGAATGGTAAAATGCCATAATTCATCATGGATTTTTTAACTTCATTTTTTGAGATATTATAGATATTAAAATGGACAGCAAAAATAACTTCAGCCAAGCTAAAGGACAAGTTAAAAACGATTCAGTTAAAGCTTCACAGGATTTACAAGATGTAAAGCCTCTCCTCAATGATTTGTCTGTTTCTGGAGCAAGAATTTGGACTGAATTCAGAGGAAAGGAATGGTGGTATCTACCAGATGCCCATGAAATAAAATAATTAACGTAATTGATAAAAATAATGAGTACATTATATACACTCAATAATTTTAGCAATATCTTTAAAATAGTTCTGTTTTGCTTTAGATTGATCCTTCTTAAACTACCAATTATATAGGAAAGCTTAAGAAAAAAATGGTTTATAGTAAACATTTTGAAAATAATTTATCTTTATGCTGCTCTCAATAATATTTATCGAATTAAAATTTGACTTAAATTGCTTTTATTACTCCAAATTTTTATTTTAAAAAGAATTATAGTATATAGTTTTTCATAAAGAGCCCTATATGCACGTTTCTCAGGTGTTTAATTATAAGAAATCATTTTAAATTAAATACGATAAATTAATATTTTGCAAATTAACTAACTATATATATTTTAATAACACCAATTAAACGCCTCTGTAAAATATAGACTAGCTTATACTATGCTGAGGTAAATGTTTCCACCCCTCCATTAAAGAACAAAAAATTATTTCGTGGGCTTAATTTATTTAAATACTTTTTATATATTAATTCTATCTTAATCTTTTTAAAAATTCATAAAAAATATTTAAAATTTATGTTTCAAAATGAGACTGCTTATGATGCAATAGAAATAGCTATAGATTTCATATATTAATTATCACTTATATATCAAAAATATTTTTGTCTCTCACGGAGGGTGGGGTATTTGGTCAAAAATTATCATATAAGGCATATTCTGCAATTATAAATTAGAAAAGCAATTTACTGCCTTATTTCTATCTAAATATATAATAAATAAATCAAAAATTAAGTATACTCATGTGAAATATAAAAGGATGCAAGCTGAAAGAACGCATCTATGCCTTTGCAAGAATACAGAGTTATTATCCTGTACTGATCATTTGTGGAAATTATTTAATTAACTCTTCACGCAATATTCCATAATCGGAATCTGGATGAAATTGGAAATCTGTTGTGGGGTGTGATATATATAAAGAAAAGAATGACCTAAGCTAAGATAACCAAATTATAGAAATCATTAGATTTACCAATCTTTCTAAAGATCATTTTCTTACCCAGCAGGATTATCTCATTCATACCTGGTATAGCTCAGGCAACATTTTTTAAGCATAATTGTTTTGGGATTTCTAATGTCTGACTGAGATACACGGTATTTTTACATGTTCTTTATGCAAAGGAAGATTAATGAAGTCAATTAGAATGATTGTGAATTTTTACTGTGTGAACTGCTCATTTTCAGATTAGAAAACTTCATAGTGAACATTATAGAAAATGCAGTGTATGCAATGGGGAACGTCTTTTTAGAGGGTTATTGACATAATTAATGATTATTATTTCGTGGATGGCATTTTATAAATTAATAATTATATATTTTCTTTAACGAACTTAAATATAATCATCCCTGTTGATAAAATTTTGATGACATTTCAGATTAATAAAAATATGAGTTATTTCTTATGCAGCTTTGAAGGATGTCAGGGGAATGTCGAAGCTAAGTGTCTTTGCAAAACCCCAGCACTAATGCTTTGCGCTGAGCATTTTGGCAAACATTTAGTTAATTCCAAAGGTAATCATAACTTTGAAAAATTATTTTATGATCCTTATCGCCAAGCCAAAATTGATGTTTTGCTTTATATGAAAAGCAAGGTGGAAGATCTCAATAATTTAATAGAAAGCGTAATTAGAGAGGCATTTTCTGAAATATGCATGCTAAATAATAATTTACAAGAAAATATAGGCAAGATATATAAAGAAATTTCAGCATTTGAAGATTATATGAATAAAATTATGCAATCTTTAGAAAATAATATGATAACCACAAACTTAGAGTATTTAAAGTTGCCTTCTATAGAAGCTGTTGATTATGCTAAAGCAAATCTGCAAAGTGAATTTTTAAATATTAAATGTGAAGAAATAATCTCAGAAATCTACAAAAAAAATGGCTGAGCAAAGCTAGCAGAATTAGAAGAAAGTTTAGACAAAAATAAAACTATAGAACTTGAATTACTAGATACCAAAAAAAGCATGTATATTTTGTTACAAGAAAGTCACCAAGAATATCAGGAACTAAAACAATTATACGAGGAATCTAAAAATCAAGAATTTTTGTTGCAAAATAGTCTCAAAGAATATGAGGAACTAATACAAATTTACGAGGAAGCTAAAAACCAAGAAATTGAGAATAAAAAGAAAATAGAATCATATGAGATTGCCAATATAGTATTACAAAACGCTTATGATGAATTATCTAAAGAAAATGAAGACCTTGGTCTAAGATGTAATAAGTTTCTAGAGAATTATGGTATGGCTTGCGCTAAGTGCAAAAGGAAGTTTGATATAAAAGAAATGTCAGCAAAATGGTGCGGTTGCAGGTTTTGCAGGGATTGCAAATATATAAATAATATGCATGAGAATATTTGCCAGTTTTGCCATAAAAATAAAAAAATGCAACGTGCCCGAAGCCCATCATACATTTAAACGCAGTAAGAATCAGCGCAACTCTCAATAATTTTAAATACATCTTTCCTTTTTTTCTTAAATAATAAAGATACTATAAGAACTTGTTCGAAATTTTAGAATATTGGAGTCATTTGATATAATATAATTGGCATATATATAAAAATTTAAAGCGTGCAAGATAAGGCCATATAATTTTGCAATTTTTATTCTAAATATTTTATAATAATATTTTACTCTCTGCTTGAAAAGGCAATATGAGTTGAGTTTGGCAGGAAACTCATGAAACAGAATGAGCCAATTTAAGATTTAGAAAAATATTAAAGATTCGGTAATATAACGCTCCTTCTTATTTAATAAAAACAATAGTTGAGATAGAATTAATTAATGATTATATATCGTATATTTTTATGCACATCATTCAGTTGCAAAAATGATTTAAAATATAATTAGCTGTTGTTTTGTATTCAAATTTAGCGTTCTAAAAGGCAAATAAAAATAGTTTATTATATAAAGAAATAAACCACAGCTAAGATGCAGGTAGCCTATAGGTAAATTATTATGCTCAATATCCAAAGTAAGTTTACTAGAGCTGAAATTAGTAAGAACCCATGCTTGACCACATAATCTGATCTGGATGAAATTGGAAATATATCATGGAAGTGTGATATATATATATATAAAATAATGACCTAAGCTAAGATAACCAAATTATAGAAATCATCAGAATCACCAATCTCTCTAAAGATCCTTTTCTTACCCAGCAGGATTATCTCATTCATACTTGGCATAACTCTGTAATTTCTAAGCAAAATTCTTTTGGGTTTTCTAATGTATCACTGAGAAACACAGTATTTGTATATGTTCTTTATGCAAAGGGAGATTAAGATTGATTGTAACTTTTTAATTGTGTAAACTCTCATTTTGAGATTAGAATACTTCATAGTGAACATAATAGAAAATGCAGCGTATGCAATGGAAAAAGTCTTTTGATAGGATTATTGACATAATTAATGATTATTTATTTCGCGTCTAACATAATTTGAAAAATATTATAAATTGATAATTATATATTTTCTTTATACGAACTTAAACATTATTCGTGTTGATAAAATTTTGATGAAATTGCAGATTAATAAAAATATGAGTGAATTCTTATGCAGCTTTGAAGGATGTCAGGGAAATGTCGAAGCTAAGTGCCTTTGCATAACCCCAGCACTGATGTTTTGCGCTGAGCATTTAGGCAAACATTTAGCTAGTTCCCAAGGTAATCATAACTTTGAAAAATTATTTTATGATCCTTATCGCCAAGCCAAAATTGATGTTTTGCTTTATTTGAAAAGCAAGGTGGAAGATCTCAATAATTTAAAGAAAAGCGTAATTAGAGAGGTTCTTTCTGGAATATGCATGCTAAACAATAATTTACAAGAATACATAGGCAAGATAAATAAAGAAATTGCAGCATTTAAAGATGATATCAGTCAAACTATACAGTCTTTAGAAAATAATATCATAACCACAACCTTAGAGTATTTAAAGCTGCCTTCTACAGAAGCTGTTGATTATGCTAAAGCAAATCTGAAAAGTGAATTTTTAAATATTAAATGTGAAGAAATAATCTCAGAAATCTACAAAAAAAATGGCTGAGCAAAGCTAATAAAATTAGAAGAAAGTTTAAAAAAAAATAAAACAATAGAACTTAAATTACTAGATACCAAAGAAAGCATGGACAATTTGCTACAAAAAACTCTCAAAGAATACGAGGAACTAAAACAATTATACGGGGAAGCTAAAAATCAAGAATTTGAGCAGACAAAGAAAATAGAATCATACGAGATTGCCAATAAAAAATCACAAAGAACTTATGATGAATTATATAAAGAAAAGGAAAACCTTAGTCTAAGATTCAATATGTATATTCAGAATGCAAGGCCTTGCAGAAGATGCTTAACGGTATATGATAAAAATCAATTGTTAACAAAATGGTGCGATTGTAAGGTTTGCATGTATTGCAAAAGTGTAACTGAACATGCAAGTACTTGCGAATTTTGCCATAAACAAAAACCGAATCCCGAATGCAAACTTCAATAATTTTAAATGCATCTTTCCTTTTTTTCTTAAATAATAAAGATACTATAAGAACTTGTTCGATATTTTAGAATATTGGAGCCATTTGCTATAATATAATTGGCATGTATATAAAAATTTAAAGCGTGCAAGATAAGGTCATATAATTGTGCAATTTTTATTCTAACTCCCCCCCTCCGTGAGTGAACAAAACCATTAGAAAAATCCGTATTTTTTGCCCAAAAACCCACCCTCCGTGAGAGAACAAAAATTTTTTTAATAGAAATTTTTTTTTGATATATAAATGATAATTAGTATAATGAAATCTAGAGCTAATTCTATTTAATTTTAAATGAATTGCTTTTTAAAACATAAATTTTATAAATTAAATTAATATTTGCTTTCCAATTTTTGCGAATTAGGATTTTGAGAAAAAATATTTTTTATAAAATTTATATATAAATTTTTTTAAAAAAAAATTAAACCCCCTCCGTGAGTGAACAAAATTTTTTTGTTCACTCACGGAGGGGGGGGGAGTAAATATTTTATACTAATATTTTACTCTCTATTTGAAAAGGCAATATGAGTTGGAGTTTGGCCAGAAACTCATAAAACAGAATGTGCCAAATTTTAGATTTAGAAAAATATTAAAGATTCGGTAATAAAAGGTGCCTTCTCATTTAATAAAGAAAAATAGTTGAGTTAGATTTATAGAGATAACTATAAATCTGTAAAGCTATTTGCATTAATTATTCTACGTAATTTAAGGAAAATTGATTATAATTGAAACTTCTTTATAATAAATTTAAAAATTCTATCATAAATAAACTTCTCATCTGTATATCATCTATATATGGGGGCTTTTGATGTCTATTCAGATCATCCCAAATAGTAACTAGCAGGGATATTAGAAAATACCAACAAAGGCACATTAAAGCTACGTGAGACTGATATCTATAGTAAAATAAAAATCAAAATTAAATAAAACTCCATGTGAAACAATAATTTCAGAAATCTTCTAGGTCCAATTAGAATTAATTAACGATTATATATATCGTATATTTTTTATGTACGTCATTCAGTTGCAAAAATGATTTAAAATATAATTAGCTGTTGTTTTGTATTCAAATTTAGCATACTAAAAGGCAAATAAAAATAGTTTATTATATAAAGAAGAAGCCACAGCCAAGATACAGTTAGCCTATAGGTAAATTATTATGCTCAATATCCAAAGTAAGTTTACTAGAGCTGAAATTAGTAAGAACCCATGTGCCTGTTTTAAATGTATAAGCTACCAATTTTTATGTTACTATTCAATTTAATGTAAATACGCCTCGAATGGGGTGCTAAATATGTAAAAATTTAAATTGCATGGATTTAATAAAATAATATATATCTTTTGGCCATATGGCTACTTTCATTAAGTTTTAACTATTATGTAATTTTAGAACTTATAAAAGCGAATTGATTGTAAAATATTAAATAAAAAGTCATTTTCTTATAACTTGAATTCATAATTGTTTTTGCTATTATCTGCATTATGATAAGATAAATAGAAATTGCTGAATGCATTACATTGCATCACATTAAACCTGTTATTTAAGGTGTCTAGTGCCGCCGCCCCTTAATTAAAAAGGGTTATAGCTTAAACTAGTGACGTCACCAAGCCATCTTGGAACAACGTGGTCAGCCCACGCCCAAGCCTTCTATAAACTTCCATCGCCAGTGTTCCCGCACGCTCACCCGGCGCGTTGCCGTCGCTCTTGCCACACTTAGCTCCTGCGCGTGTGTTCCGCCTAAGAGTCATCCTCCCGTGGGGATGTGCTGAGAGGGAAAAGTCTGAGCCTCTTGAATGCACTGAGGAGCTGTTCCTTTGGTTATCCCCAAAGTTAAACAGCTGTTGGTGTGCAGAAGTTCTTGAGAGAAAGCCTAATCCCATAAATAAAATTCTATGAGGGAGAGAAAATTAGCGGAGCTAATTTCTCTCGAATCGGATACCATTTTATTTATGAAATTGCTGAATGCGGTTCTAATAGTGGCACTATGAATGGGAGATGACTGATTAGATTAATGCTTCTCATTCTCTTTTGCTTGTGATTATAGATTAATTAGTAGAATAAGCATATTATTTGCTGTGTCGAGCTCACTTTCTCTTCTTTATAGGAAACAAACCATTTGGCCATATGAATTAAACTCTTTTCTAGCTTTTTAATAAATCTGAGAATAAAAATTTCAAAAGGACTCGCTTATTCATTTTCCAGTTTTGGCAGGTTAAGTATTTTATCAGCTTTAAGGATATTTTGTAAATCTAATATTCACTACTTTAAAAAAATAATGCTAATCCTCTTATTTCTCTTCTTAATCTCTTTTATCCGCTCCCAAATGTGTCCAGATATTCAATCTCTCTTTTGGAGAAAAAATAAAAATATGCTCAGAACTCTCCGGACCATTTCAAGAGTTATAAATCCTCAAGAACACTCAGAAGGCTATGGAACCCGTCTAATATGAGCAATAGGTGGTGATCAGTTGAAATACCTAGACCCTTTTCTCATAGTGGACCACTTTTTAATTTATAAGCCTGCAGCCTTCCCAGATCACCCTCGCAGAGGCTTTGAAACAGTGACTTATATGATTGCAGGGTCTTCTAAACATGAAGATTCAATGGCTATGAAGGAAAAATTAATCAAGGCTCCGTACAATGGATGACAGCTGGCAAAGGAATTATGCATTGTGAGATGCTTGAGACTGAAAGCATAGAAGGCCTGCAGCTTTGGGTAAACTTAAGCAGAAGGGATAAGATGTGTGAACCAAGCTACCAAGAAGCTGATGAATCAGAACTTTTAAAAGCAGAAGGGGATGGGGTCAAAGTCACTATTATAGCAGGGACTTGTCTTGGAGAAACTGCAAGAACAATAACAAGAACACCTAATTATTTTCTTATAGTTGAGCTGGGAAGAGGAAAAACCCTTAACCAAGAAATCCCTGATGGGTGGAACGCAATTGTTTATGTTCTCAATGGAACTGTCTCAATAGGAAATACAAAAATAACGAGGTTTCAAGCTGGAATTTTAACTCAAAATGGAGAATTAAGGGTAGAAAGTAGCAAAAGGAGCCAAATTTGCTTTGATGGCTGGAAGACCAATAGGTGAGCCTGTAGCGCAATATGGATAATTTGTTATGAACACTCGTGAAGAAGTAAAACAAGCCTTTGATGACGCCAGAAACTACAGAAATGGGTTTGAAGCAGGCAGAGGATGGGTATCAAAGATCAGCAGTTAATAATTTCTTACTCCCCCCCCATCCTTAATCGAATGATTGACTGTAAAAATTCCTAAAAATTGGGGAAGTTAACCCCCCATCCTTGATCGAACGATTTATATATAAAAATATATCAGTTATCAAAAGCTTGGGAAGATGTGCCTAATGAAGTTGTTTTCAGAGCTTTGAGACGACAGAAAGCTACGAAATCAACCATCCGAAGTGATTTAGTCATCAACCTAGGCTTAAAAAACTCAATAATCTAATAAAATACAGATTCTTTAAATTTTTTTTAAAAAAAAATTAATTTAATAAGGAACAAATTAAAATTTATACGGTTTTAAAAGGGTAGCAATAAATCAAAATATTAAAAAATTGGTATTTTATGAAATTAATTCAATTTTTTGCGGTAAAAATAATTATTAAATGCTCTTAACCCTTTTATTTAAAAGTAAATAAAAAAAATATATGTATATATTTATTATTTTATATATAATTTTTTTGGCCCAAAAAAAATTGTTTTTAACCCCCATCCTTGATCGAACGATGGCGAGTCGTTCGATCAAGGATGGGGGGGGGAGTTAATAGCAATTACTGAGCCTGTCTATAAAATTCTCCAAAAAATGGAATCTGTTATATTTAGCTAATTCTTAAGAAAAAACGCCAAACTGAATTAATTAAATTTATATAAATAGCCATTTTTTTGATTTGATTTATTAATCCAGTAGCCTATTTTCTTGATAAGAGTTCTTTGGGCTTGTGAGACTCTGAAAGTCACCTATTCAAAGGCGCTTCTATTTCGAGCTGAAAAAAGTTTGGAATTTTAGTTTTTAATTACTGCATAAATAACTCTATTGTAAGTTGATGAAAGTTTGGATTCGTGAAATCAATATTTTATATTTAAAAATAAATGCAACTAATTGAGCCTAATTTCAGTCTTATAACTCTTAATATAAGTAAATTTAGGGCAAATTGATATTAACTATAAAAATAATCAGCAATCTAGAAATTTGGCATCCAACACTCAATTTATATAAATAATTGATCTAGTGCAATTTACATAATAAAGTATGCGAAATTACTCTAAAAGATTAAATTTACTAATAATTAAAAAATTGAGCAGCATCACATATAAGTTTGGAATACGTTAAGTAAAAGCAAAAGTGAAATGCTATTGCAAAAACCCATCCTTATGAACTTTTCTGTGGCGACTACTTAGGAACTATTTACTAAATTCACCTGGCAAGCAGGATTTCCCAAAGCTCCTTGGTGATCCTTATCTACAATAAAAAAGTGCTGTTTTGCCTTTCATGCAAAAACACAAATAGAATGACGACATCACCGGGACGTCTTCTCCCAGACCTCTTTCAAGTTTAGGGATCTTGAAACGACTTGAAGCCAGCTGAGCAGAAAACGGAGTCTACGGGCACTCAGCATTTGCGTTACGGTTGGGTTTTGCCTCCTTTATCCGGAATGAAGACTTTTGTCTTCCTGATGGACATTGGGAAAAAAGGCATAGCTGGCATCGATACTAGCTAGGGAGTTTATCCCTAGCTGGATTTCTAGTCACTCAAGCAGAACTGTCAAATCCCAAATCTGCATATGTCGAAAAAGTGTTAAGAGCCAGCCCAAAGCCGGAGGAGACTATCTCTGGTGAAAATGCTGGCATACCCAAATAGTTTCATTAGCACCTGAATGAGTCTTCTACGAAGGCATATCTCTGGTAAGACTTAAAATGAGGAAGAGCCCTAATCTTTAATTAATAATGCTCTCCATGCAAAACAAGATCAAAAATCTAAAAAAATTGAATAAAAATACAATTAATCTATATTGAATTTATATTATGAATTGCCATTTTAAATGGATTTTGAAACTTTTAACACAGATGATCTTCTCAGAGATATCGGCCTTCTCTCTCCTAAAGACCAAAAATCGAACCCAATAGCCCTTTCTGAAACTTTAAATTTAGACACCCTCCCATCAACAAACTCCAAAGGTGCAGAACTCCTCATAGTTTCCATTGATATCGGCAACGGCAGCAAAGACAATATAATAGTCCACGAAAACGACAATATTTCCCTCCTCGTCAAAAATTTTTCTACCAAACACAACCTCACCCAAGAAACCGAAGCAGGGCTCATAGCCCAAATAAAATCAAACTTATACACAAAAGAAACTGAAACAAAGCAGCAAATCAGCAGAAAAGACTATGCAAAACAATGAAGTGAGGAGCTAGATAAACGGCTATTTCGGCCTCCTTCAAACCACCCTTCTATATGTGAACAATCACGGAAAATCATGCAGAAAAAAATTGTCCCAAATGTTTACGAAAGACTACATAATGATTCTTTAAAAAATAAAATAAAGCAAATTTCATCACAAGAAAATACAGTAAAAACTAGGCCAGAGTCCACAGAAAGGTCAGGGAGATCAATAGAAAGATCAGGCAGAAACAATTCTTGTGAAAGGCTATATAACCAAGGAATGCTCAGCAAGCAAAAAGCTGCAAATCAACGTGAAAAAATAAAGCTGCAAAGAGAAGAAGAGCTCAACAAAGCCTTAACTTTCCATCCAGAAATAAATAAATTATCAAAATCTATAGTAAGAGACTATAAAAAGCCTGAAGATTCTTTTTATTTGCATGAAAAACATAAGCATGAATTTATAGAAAAAGCTAAAGGCGAAAAATTGTCAAGAGAGCAGGAATTTTGCACTTTTAACCCTGAGCTGAACCAAATGACAGAAAAAATTCTCAGGAAAAGATATAAGCCTTTATCAAGAAATAAATTCAGCGAACTATATGAAGAGGCTAAAGAACGAGAATGGAGACAACAAGAAATCGCGAGGTCTTTGTAAGCTTTATTTAGTTATGAGGCAGAATTCCCATTCCAGCCAAGTGTAAAATTAAATAGCCAAAGGACTGATCCGAATGAATTAATTGATAGGCTAGTAAATTCAAGAAAAGAAATAGAAGAGCATATAAGGAAAGAAAGGGTCAAAAGAAATGAACTATGTGACCCAAGCACAGGCCAAGAGTTTTTTAGACCTATAACTGGCAGAGCTCCTTCTACAAGGCATAAAGAACTTCCAATATGGGACCATTTGTATAGCCAAAGCAAAAGCAATCGAGACAGCGAATTTCAGTCAAATTTTCAGTCACAAAGAGAATTTAACCCAAAATCTGACGAAATTTATAGCAAGCTGAAATATGACAGATATTTGTATATTTTTCAGAATTTAAAGCCAGATTTAAATGGAGAAATCAGCGCTGAAACTATAAAAATGCATACAGTGGATCCTGCTATATATAAAGTTATATCCCCACTCATGGAAGAGCTAGAAATGGTAGAAGTTACATTGGATTTTGATGAGTTTTTTGATAGCTTAGAAAACCTTATGAAGGTAAATTTTATATAGGCTTTAACCCCTGAAGAAAGAAATGTTGTTTTATCTAGAGGAAAAAGAGAAAACTCAGCCAGAAATACCCCACAAAAATCAAGATCGTCGTCAGTTAAAACTATACACAAATTTTATGAGAGGAGCTTGGAATTTAAACAAAAAGTTGATAGAAAATTAGAAGAAGAGAGGAAAAGGAAAGAACTGGAAGAGCTTAATGGCTGTACTTTTCATCCAAGAATTATCCCGTATAAAAGCGAGTTTGAAAATGAAGAGTCCTATGAGAATTTCCAAGAAAATTTTCCAGCGATTTCTTATTGTTATGTCTAAATTATGCCCCCAATTTATTATTAAAAATTTATTTAGCCTAGAAAAAAAATAAACCATATACAGATAGAAAAATATATGAAGGTAATTTGCATATATTCTAAATTAATTGTAAGGAATTCTCTCACACATTCAGTGCCTTTTAAGTCTTCTTTACTTGAGGTTCAGCGACGATAACATCTCTGAGCAACGGTAGGTCAGCCAAACCGTTAAAGTTATCAAGACTTTTCAGACTTCTCTGGTCAGTGCCAGCCTCAGCACTAACTACTCTTTTCAAGCCGATACTCTCAAGAAGCTTTACTTCTCTCACTGAGCTCGGTATATGGGTCTGGTAGATCAGGATATGGGCCCATCCCTATACAATTTTAAATATGTGTATTCTAAATTAACTGAAAAAACAATTCAATCATATTTTATTTTAAATCTTATTTCTAAGGATTTAGTATTAAATTTGGCTCCATATTACGTAAATCTATAAGGCTAATTAAAAACTTTCTCCAAGCCTATCAAGATTCAAATTACTCTAAATTTCACCTTTGCTAATTTTATTAAAAATAATTATTATTCTGAATTTATCATAAAAACTATATAGAAAGAGTAAGATTAAAGAAAATTTTGAGTAAATAATAACCTTACTTAAAATTTAGGCTAAATTACCAATCAATCTTCTTATGGGTGCCATCACAGTAAGGCGCATTTTTAGTCTGCTTGCAGCCGCAGATATAATAAGTTTTGGTTTCATTTACGGTAAAAGCAATTGGAGTGAAAGGCGTCCCAGTATGGCTTCCATCACAGAAAGGCTGATTCTTGGATCTTCCGCAATCACAGTAATAATAGTTCTTTCCTGCCTCTAGATCTGAATGGTATGGGAATTTTTGAACAGCTACCTTTTGGTTAGCAGGAACCTTAGTAGGATCCTGACCAGCTGGAGCTTTTGACTCTTCTTTTTTACCTTCTTTATGACCTTCTTCCTTCTTTTTCGAACTAAAACAGCCCATGGTTATTTAATATTGGGTTAATGAATGCGATATGAATTAATGGAAAATAATGAGTTTTAAAATTAAGGAATAAAATCAAATTGGAAAATAGAGATATTTATTTTAAGAGGCTTATAGAGACTTATCATAGCACTCGAAATCAATTTAATTTAATAATTTAAAATTGATGAAAGCTAATAAATTGATAATAATATTTAACTACTATTTTATTATTCTTATTTTCAGGCTATTTAAATCTATAAACAAATAATTGTGAACTAAGCTTTTACCATAGTCAGAAAAATATTTAAAAAGTATTGATTAAACTTTTGAACTATGCATTATGCTTTCGAAATTTTGCTTAATTAATTTCCATAATTTTCATATTTATCAAGACAGAATTTCTTTTTTTTTGCAACAATTTGTTATTAAAACATTCCAATAATATCATCAATATTATTTTCTCCGCCTCTTTATAAGAAGTATTATTTGTAAATTGTCTATTAATTGATCCAAATTAGAAAATTCTTTATTTTTCCGATTTTATCTGAAACCAAGATTTTCTTCACAACTCTTCTTTTTATAAGCCAAAATAATTTTTCATGGCAGAAATTATTATTACCAGAGCCGAGCTTCAAGATCACCAAACCATTGTGAACTTTAACATTGAAATGGCTTTGGAAACTGAAGGAAAAAATTTAGATCCTGCAAAAGCTAACCCAGGCGTTTTAGAAGTCCTAACAAATCCTTCAAGAGGATTTTACTTAATTGCGAAAATTGGCGACGAATTAGTCGGATGCTTAATGGTTACTTATGAATGAAGTGACTGGAGAAATGGCAATTTTTATTGGATTCAGTCTGTATATGTAAAGCCACAATATAGGCGACGAGGCGTCTTTAGGCAACTTTATCAAGCAGTTTATACAATGGCTAGAGAAAATAATGGAGCTGGGGTAAGGCTATATGTGGATAAAGAAAACGACATAGCTCAATCAGTGTATACGGCGTTAGGCATGAGCCTATCACATTACGACACTTATGAAGTAGATTTTCATTTTTCTCATTAAGTTAATTGATTAATAGGTTCATAATAAAAATCCGAAATATTAAAATCAGGCATTTTATCAAAAAATCTTGATAAAATTGGCAATTTCGGCTCATTTTTTTTAACTTCGGCATGGACCCTTATTCTCTCTTTTAAATTTATCCCAGCAAGCTTCGGGCTGCATTGAGTTTTCAATTTTTCAATAAAAATCTTCTCCTGGTCCTCATAGTTTAAAAGTTTTGGATTTTTTGAATAATTATTCACAAATTCATTAGAAATTTTCACGTAATTTGAAAGCAGCCTTAACACCTCTCGTAATTTTTTCCTGAGTTCTTCATTTCAATTAAAATCAAATTTTCTGCATTCAGACCTCATAAGGCTGCTAAATGCTGATCTTTGTGTTTTATAAGCTTTTTTGGCTTTATTTTTTTCTGTTTTAAATTTGATTTTTTCCATAGCATGCTTTATGCTGACGTATTTTACTTTACAAATTTTTGATAAAATTTTGTTGATAGTCCGAATTCTGATATTATGAATTTCTGCAAGTTTTTCTATTTGTGTCATAATAAAGAGCGTCCCTTTCGGGAATACAGCTTTAGCCCCAGTTCTTCTGGTTTCATAAAAAACGCTTTTTAGCTTTATAACTGCTTCTTTTAAGTCGTCAGGAAGGTTCTCGAAATCTTTAGTTTCATCTCTTTCATAGCTGATTTCCTTTTTTTCCTTGCTTTTTTTGCTTACTTTTACGATTTCTGCCTTGATTTTTGTAGTGTCATGCTCCACATAAAATTTTTCTTTTTTTGCTTCTTCATATAAATAGTCGCTTTCCTGATAATCATTAAGAATTTCTGTGTCATCTATAAACTTATCGTCTAAATCATAATACTCCAGTGAAGGATCTACACAAGAGTCATCATTTTCTGCGATTTTCATTTTTTTTCTGGCCGCTGAGTGCAAGCCAATATCATCTTGTAAAGCCAATTGGCCATATTTTTCTAACCTTTCTATTATGCTTTGCATAAAAACTGGATAAATATAGCTATTTTCATTGGTGAAACCCATTGATTCTGTTTCTTCAAGGAAACCTTTAGACTCTGCTATTTCTTCATATAAATCATAATACGAAAATTCTTTGCTTTCTTTAAGTGATAACTGTATTTTTATCGACCTCTTACAGGATCTTTTAGTATCCCGAGGTTTATCAAGGCTCTCACTTAAATTCATATATAAATTTGGGGGGTTATTTTTTGATAATAATTATCTATTTACATTTACTGAATTTAACGATCATTAAGCGATTTATTAAACAATATGAAATCTCGAACAAATGAAAAGGAAAAAAAATAACTTGTAGGTGTAGATTTAAGAGAAGATTAAATTATTTAAGTCTTCGTGATATGTAAATTCGATATCCGAGTTACTATGAACAATTTAATACAATAATATCAAGTTCCTAGATGGGTCAGCAACTAACTTTATGCTTTTTTATAAAAAAAAATTTTGAAAAATAAAAAAAAACAGATAATTTTTTAGAGAAAATAGGGAAAAGATAGACAGTCTACAAGCTTTATGCTGGAATAATAGAATATTTCGAAATAGGGTCATTTAATCTAAACAGCTTGACATCTCTTTTCATAACCCTTAGGTCTCCAACCAATGCTCCAGGCTGGATTCGTCAAAAGCCTCAGAGACATCGTTTAAAGGGCTATTTTCTTCTTTCTCATTGCTATCTTTAGGGGTTTCAGGGACTTTCAGCAACTCTTCAATGCTCAATTGTTCAATCTTCCTTCTTTTTTGAGGAAGTTCTGGCTGAATGCTTTTCAATTGTGGCTCTTTGAAGATTGCTTTAATATGCATTGGGAACTCTTTCCCGGCTTTTTTCATGAGGGAGGCAGTGATATAAATCGCCTGCTCAATTTCTCTGACCCTTTCTTGAGTTTTCCAAAGCTGGGTATCTAAAATAGTCCTTTCCTGGGTTAGCTCAACAACTTTTTCTTCGAGTGACCGAACGAGTTCTTCAGTGGCTGTATTTTTCTTGTGAAGTTCGATCATTTTTTGGATAATTGGAGCCATTTCTGACTTTGTAAGGTTGTTTATGACTGTTATTATTGAATTCGGCTATTTTTTTTTTTTTTTTTTAAATAAATAAATTCAAATTGTAAGGGTATACTGGAGTTACAGCCCAGTTTGGCTCGGTAGATTTTCTTTTGATTTCTTTCAGGAGATCAATTCTGTCTCTAATAAAGTGCGAATGTTTAAAAGTGTTGTCGTTGCCAGTGCTTCTGATTTTGTGGAAGTCGTACATGTTGAGCTGTCTTACGAAGCTTGCAAAATTGCAATGTTTGAAATATCGTGGCAAGACTTGAGATGAAAACTCTTTTATGTTTTTGATTGTAAAGGCGTCACCTTCTTCACTTCATGAAATAATCTGTGGGGATAAGGCATGATTTTTGTTTTTAATAAAAAGTTTTGGATTTCTATATAAAATAGGGAGGCTATAATAATTTTTAGGAGAATTCAGTTAAATGCTATATAATTTTCTGATAATTCGGAATTATTAACTTCCTGCTCGGTTAGAGAGGAAAAATTTTGTTCGTTACCCAAGATTAATTTATATTTAATTCCAAATTTGTAATAATGAAAAAAAAAATATATTATAGAGCGTAAGATGTCTAAATTCAATATAATTTACTTGAGATTTCATCATTATGATCATTAATAAATTATGAATCTTCATCTTCATCATTATAATCATAAATATATTTTAAAATTTTATTTTATATTAAAATTTGCTCTCGCTAACCAGAGAGAGTAAGCATATCATAAGTTTTTTGAAGGAATGATGGAGCTTCGCTGGTATTGGATTTGGTGCGCATCTATAATTATTATATAAAAAATGTTGTTGCCGTAGATATTTAAACCAGTGAACCTAAAGTTTTTCTAATTATGAATAAATTTTTCTAATTATTAAATATGCCTATTCGCACAGCTATACCAACCAGTAAAAATAAGTATTTTTTAATTTTCTATAAAAAATATAATAAAGCTTACTATTTTTCTTCACCTGGCTCTTATAACACTAATACATTATTTTTCAGTTTCTTTAACCTCAATTAAGTTCTTTTTTATGGTGGGTTAATTTGGTGAAACAGTAGCATATGTCACCACCAGAAATTTTCAAGTTTAAGAAATTTTATTCCAAAAGATTAAAAGCAAAATTAAATAAAAATCTTTGTTTCTTTTCTTTATTGTGCAAGTGGAATCATAACGTGAAATTTATTTAAATTTCAAAGCGACATTTTTAAACCTATTTTTTAATATCCATCTTGAAAAAATTTACAGTAGAAAATCGACTTTAGGACAAAATATAATATTTTAAACACATTACTTAAAGCATAGTAAGTTATTTTGAATTAACTAACAATTTCATCAGTTGTTTCTTCTTCTTTTGAAGCTTCATCATTATTTTTCTTCTTTTTCACAGTGATTTTTACACTTTTTTCCTTCTGCGGCTCGTATTTCCAGCTGCTATAATACCCATAGTTGCTTTTACTCGCGAATTTTCTCTTTTCTTCTGCTGTCATATCTCTAACTTCTTCAGCTGAATCTTTTACACTAAATAAAAATTACATAAACAGCATCCCATCAGCAGATAAATATCAAGGCTGGCTTGACAAATAATGGTAATTATTGTGAGATTTTGTGAAAATTTCAGTTTTTAGGTCACTTCTGACGAAATTTGCAGTGTAAGAAATTCTGGCGATTTCGACATTGGCGACAGGGATATCGTAATGTTTGCTTAATTTTGAACCGAGGTCTTGGATTTTTCACAGCTTATTGGCAACAATTTCTTCAGGTGGTGATAATTCCCATGTGCTTGGGGTCCATTTTCTTACAGCTACAATTAGGTCATGCATGTTGAATTCTGGGTCTGGGGTAGTCAATAGTTGTACGCCGATGCTTTTCTTTTCGAAAATATGGTATATCTTATGTATATAAATAGTCCGCCAATAATCTTCTCTCCCTAGCTCTTAAAGTTAGAACAAAAACCCTGTCCTAATTAAAAGGGGGTTCAATTTGTTTTTAAAAATTAATAAAATATAATTGAGCACAATATCTTTTAATTTTACTTTATTTTTACTGAGAATTAATTCAAAAAAATTATCAATTTAGCGTGAAAATTGTTTAAATAATATTCTTCTTTTATTTTTCCATAAAATTATGTCGAAACTAATTTATTAAAACTAGAATTTTTACCTGTAAAATTTTCCTAAATTTTGTTCATATCTAAAAGGAGTTTAAAGTACCCAAAATTGGAAATTTTACCAACATTTTGCCAAATTTAAAAAGGAGTCAAAGAAAAATAATAACGCAGGCAGACTAATCATATAAAAACTATATAAGATTTTAATGACTCATTATCATAAAAAACTGTTGATAGCTTATCATAATGTTTATCACGAAGTCTCATAAGTTTAGGCTGGATTTCCATTGATGGATACATAGTATTCATCTCCTGGCAAACCAATGATTTCAATTCAGATATTTTTGTATCAACTTGTACAGGAAGCTCAAAAAGCTCAATATAAGAAAATATCGCCCCATCTCCATCTTTTTCTTTAGGAGGTATTGCAAGATTAAACACAAGCCTCAGTTCGTCTTGTTTACTGGGAACGCCACGCTCTATAAATACCAAGCTATTTTGTACTAAATTTGCTTGTGATAGTTTAATAGACAAATCCTTCATTTCTGAGCCATATTTGCTGCTACGTTTCATTATAAACTGTGATTCAGGGATCCCAAGCTTGCTAGAAATCAGCGCTTTAAGCTCCCCAACAGTTTTATTTGAGTGCAGAACCACATAATCCTTAAATTCGTATTGCCCATATGAATTCGCAGCTAAATCTGGGTTGTTAAACTTGATCATAAACTTGCTGGCCTCCTCGTCAAGCAGAAGCTGCCATTTGCCTTTATTTGCAGGATTTTCCATGTCTTCTAGATACATAACAGTCCCTTCAAAAATCCTTGCATATGTCAAAGACTGGTCCATAAAGGCTCTTTGGGACAGAATTTCTGGCATTGTTGACGACCCAATATAGCCTTTTTTTAATAATTTTTGCCTGTCTACAGGGATATTAAATTTTTTTTCGAACGTCTCCATCATTTTTCTGACAGTGTCTCGCTTGTCAATTTGGATTTTTACTGGGTTATTGGTCTTGTCTTCAAAAGAAATTTCTGGATCAGCACAGGTCTCTTTTCATAGGTTTATTTTGACTGTAAGCTTAAATGGGTCATAAGCTTCAAATTCTTCCCCATGGTTTTTTATTTCTAAAGCAAGGACTCTTTGACTGTAAAGTCCTAGGACTTCTAAAGTTTTTGTCTCATTGAACAATTCTTGAAAAGTGTCATAATATTGGCTATACCCTCTGATTCTCACGTCTTCTGGCTCATCTTTTATCCCAAATTCTTCCATCGCTTTTAGCTTTAATTCAAGCATAGTTGCATCTTTTTTGACTTCTACGCATTTTTCGGAATTTTTGTGAAAAATGCGTAAGCGCATGCTTTTTAATTTTTCAGCCCTGTCCATGGATTCTTGAAGTTCACGCTCTTTTTCTTTTTCAAGCTCTTCTAGCACATAAGAAGGAACCTCTGCGTCTTCTACTTTAATGACATTTCTGGCTTCATCGACCCTTCTATACATAAGTAAATAAGCAGTCGACGAATAAGTCCCTCCGAAATACCCAATTTTACTGATACCACCAAATACTTTTTCTATGTCTTTTTCATCAATTTCTTTTACATTGGAGTCGTTGAAATTGTACCAGCGATCATTTTCAAAGGATCTTATATAAGCGTAGTAGTGGCCGCCTAAGGCAGACCCAGAATGAATCATAATTGAATATATGCTTTTTCAGCATATTTATATGTATTTTTAATATAAATAATAGTATTTCTAGGCCGATTTGCCAAGGTATAATTCATATACGTTTTCGCCTTCTTGACGATACTGATGTATTAGCTTGGCCCTTTCCTGTTTTTTTATTTCAGCTCTTTTTTCTATGTGTTTTCTTTTAGCAACATGGTCAAGCTTCAATGAGTTTTTATCGTCGTCTTCGCTGATGATATCGTAAGTTGTGTTTTTTATATGCTGGAGCTTTAGCTTGTCAATGTTTTCTGGCTTAATTTCGACGTATTGTGGCTCTTCTTCAGGCTTTTCTTGGACTTTTTCAGTGAAAGTGGTAGGGACGTGGACGTTGGAGCCTCGGACGAAGGGGTTCATATTTAAAACTTGGGGAAATTTGACCTCGTCGTTCAATTTGATTCTTTGCATTGTGTCTAGATCTAAATCAAAGCGCTTTAACTGTAAAAGTAAAATATAAGGCAACTCTTTGAATTTTAATCCTTTTAAGGCATCTTGCTTATGCCCACAATGCTCACAAAAATACTGATTATCTCCTGACAGTTCTTCAGGCCTAATATAATTTCCTAGCATTCCCTCTTGAGCGGTTAAAAAATTTTGCTTGCTTTAGAGAGGAGTTATTTTTTTTGAAATTCTATCCCAAAAAATGAAAGTATAACCTGAAATTTATGCTGTTTAAAATTCCTCAGATTAGGTAGAGATTTCATTATACTAATTATCACTTATATATTTATTTAAATAAATTCTCGATTGAAGTTTTTTTCCAAAAAATTAGGGATTTTTCCAATGTTTTTAATTTTCCATGGAGGGAAATAAAGCTTTTTCTACAGAATCGTTATAAATTTTGTCAAATTCGTTACGCACAGTCAAACTTAGGTCTAAAAATTTGTCTTCTCTTGAGCTTTCTCGTAAACATTTTAAGCACTTTACATAATCAACATAAGTCCCTTCATAAAGCTGCTTAATCACGTTTGCTTGTTCAGTGTTTTCAACGCTTTGCTCAATTGCGTCAAAAAGAACACGGCAAAATTCGGTAAAAATTTTTTTTTTATATTTTTATTTTTTAAAATAATTCAAATAATTTTTCTAAAAAAATAAAAATTCTTGTACATCATGCTGTTGAAAACTCTCCCTGATATCCCATTGGAAACTTTTTGTAAGCCCAGTAGTGTCAACATAGCTTTGGTCTGACAGCTGTAGCTTTCCAAATAAAATTTGCAGCTGGATTGGAATGCAGTCTTGTTCTTCGCCATGCTTTTGAAGGTCGTATCTCCATCGATAAATTTCTCGACGAAACTCAGGAGTCATGTAGAGAGTTTGCAATAGAGAATTCATATAGCAAGTTGCACCTTGATTAGAAAGCCCTACATACTCTTGTTTTTCATATGCAGAGTATGCGCTGGTGGAGTAGCTGGATGTGCCAACTGAAATGGCTGGATAAGAAGACATTAGTATTATTTAACTCCACCGAGGTGAAACACCTATTTTTGGGGAGAGAATTCTATGAGAACAAAAATCTTTTAATATAAATAGCGAACTGAGATTTTTTAAATCTAAAAGTTTTAAAAAAAAAAACGACCCCCTCTTTGTGAGTGATCAAAATTTTTTTGCTTATCTGCAGAGGAGGGTAGGTAATAATCAGCATAACTTCAAAAAATACAAAATTTTTAGTAATCATAAATAGTTTGGAAATTATGAAAATAAGTAGATAAAGAGGAGGATACTGAATGTTAAATTCTCTCAAAAATAAAATATTATTTTTCACAATTAGGCATATGGGATATCTTAAAGATTATGACTGCATATCCATTATATTAATAAAATTCAAAAAAGCCAAAAGAATAATAAGGTTAAATTGATGTTCAGCAACTTATAATCAAACTAATCACTTCCTATCACAAAATAAATGGAAAAGGTTAGAAAACTATCCACTTCTCAGTCAGCAAGAAATCAGTTCTCAGTTTCTCAAACTGGTGGGCCTTCAGCCGTCAATCGTAAAGCCAGGAAAATCCTAGGGTCGAACTTCTTACTTGACAGCCGCTATGAAATTCGTGACACTGTTGGCAGTGGCGCTTATGGCGTTGTAGTTTCAGCCCGAGACACAATATCAGGTGAACTTGTCGCAATAAAAAAGATTGAAAAATCTTTTGAACACTCTACCTTCACAAAGCGAACACTGCGAGAACTAATAATTCTCCGCTTGCTAGAACACGAAAACGTGTGTCGAATCAAAACAATCCAATTGCCTTTGTCAAGGGATGAGTTTGATGAAATATATGTAGTGAGCGAACTAATGGAGACTGATTTGAGCTCTATAATCAAGTCTCCACAGGTTTTATCTGATGAGCATTGCCAATTTTTTTTATAAGAAAATATGGGATTTGGGATTTTTTTTAAAAATATTTTTTTAATTTTTGTGATAATATAAGGAAATAGGGGAAAAAATGAGTGATAAATGATATTGGATAGGTTATATCAAATCTTAAGAGGAGTAAAGTATATTCACTCAGCACACATATTGCACAGAGACTTAAAGCCTAGGAATTTATTAGTAAATTCGAACTGTGACTTGAAAATTTGCGATTTTGGATTAGCTCGGCCGTTTATAGATGATATGAAAATAAGAGGTTCGCAAATGACAGATTATGTAGCTACTAGGTGGTACCGAGCTCCTGAGGTGCTGTTAGGATACAAAAAATACACAACTGCTATTGACATCTGGTCAATTGGATGCATTTTTGCAGAATTACTACTAACTCCTATACTTGATCGAATGATTTTAATGAGCTATTCTCTCACCCGCCATCAAACCTAAAGATCTATCTTTGACAGTAACGAATATAAGATATTATATCATATAATCACTCTTTCAAATTCTAATGTAATTTATATTATGCGTTGCATAAATTTCTTATGGACGTTATACGCGCCATTTTCATTTGAAATTTCAAATTATGAATTTGCCGCACTAAAATCTGCGTTTTGAAACGCATATTTGGTTTTCACATACCAAATTCAAATTGACATGCATATGCATGATAAGAAATTATTGCAATACATAATAGCATATTTGCTAATATTTTGCAATTCTTTGATTTTGCATAATTTAAAAAATAATTATTATATAAAAAATTTTATTAATAAAATAGTTTTAAAAATTTTTCAATGATCACGATCTGTACAATCATGGATGGTGGAGTAAGAAAGCCACTTTTGCCAGGAAATGACTCAAATCATCAGTTAGAGCTGATATTTGATATAATAGGCAGCCCTACAGACGAGGACATCTCCTGCATTCCTCATGTCAGAGGAAGAGACAAAGTATCAAGAATGCCAAAAAGGCCAAAAAAACCCTTTGAAACTGTTTTCCAAGGCTGCAATCCAGATGCTATCAATTTAATGAAAAAATTCCTCGCATTTAACCCAGCCAAAAGAATTACAATAAATGAAGCATTAGAGCACCCTTATTTAGAAACTTTACATTATCCTGAGGATGAGCCTGTGAGGAGTCCTGTTTCTGGCTTTGATTTTGAGTTTGAAAGAAGAGTTTTGAATATCAGAGAACTAAAAGACTTAATTTATGATGAAATTCTGCTTTATCATTTTCCTCAGAAAAGACAAGAATATGAGAGTGCAAAATTGGAATATTCCTTAAAACTTACCCTTTTTAAATATATTTCATCTGGATGTTTATGAAATTATTTATTAAAGTAAAATGAAATAATTTAAATTATAAAAGAAAATATGAAGATCAATATGAAAATTTTGTAGCGGAGAAAATGGTGAAAACTTAGAAGATAGGTGCTATTATCGTTTTTATAATTTTAATAATAATATTTCGTTAAAATATTTATTAAAAAATTAAAAAATAGGCAGTCTAATATAGGGAGTTAGAGTACCTAATCATAGGGCTTCTTCCAGTGGTCCAAACGATGACAGCGAAGGCGATGAAGAAGATTTTTAGTTTAAAATAAGAATGTATCATGTAATTATTAATTATTATTCAATTCGATGATCTTCCAAAATAGCTGTATCCAGTGGATGCTCATATAGCCTTGGATCCACTTTAATCAGAATTTTTTCTTCTTCCTCCTCTTTGTAGCTCTTTGATCTTCCTTTCCCAGCCAGCGAGTAAAACACAAAGGCTAAGGCTATAAATAGAACAACTGTGAAACAATTCATAAAAGCGTTAAAAATCAAATACCCGTCTTTATTATTTTTATACATTGTGCTTGCTGTCGAAATCTGCATAAAATATGCAGAAATTGATAGTCCAACTAGTACCAAAAATAGCACAGAAATCGCTGATGAGCTTTTATTGACAAAAAATACGCATAATAAATTATGCTTATGGAGAATGTATAAATTAAAATGGAGCGGCGGACCAATTGTAGCTGGTCCTATGTTTAATAGGGGCAGGGACCTTGATGGCATCCGGGAATATTGGGTAGCCAGCCGCATGCTTTCTTCAAGATAAAGGTTTTGTCCGAGAGGGAAATGGAGCTGAACGTTACAAAAGTAATCAGTGAGGCCAGCATCTAATTGCCAGAACAATCAGGACTTTTCCCTAGCGAGAACCAGAATTTACACCGTGGGCTTCGGATTTCTATTAACCCAGAGTCAACCAGAAGATAGGGGACCTTTGCTTTGTGCATTGCGGCAATACGACTCATCCAACTACTGGCAATAATTGTAGGCCTTCGTCCAGTAGGAGCAACCTTTACGATGTCACAAAAGAAATTGGCAAGCAGGCGGGGAAGTGTTATGGGCAGAGGTAGTCATTCAGGAGATACAGTAGACTTTTCTATAAGCCTAACTAATGTTTATGCTTATGGACAATATACTAAGTAACAATTACCCTCATAAAGAAAAACAGTGCTGCTGGGAGCAAAATAAAAGGATACACAATAGAAAGAGTGGCAGCGATTATATAAGTATTCAATGTTACAGCGAACTCAAAAGGAAACCTGAAATCGTCAGCTTGATATGCCAGGGCACTTTCAATAGATGTGGTAGCTAAGATCATCCTTGCTTTTACTTTAGCATACTTCGCAAGGACTAATAAATCAAGCCCATTTTTAATAAACGCTTGGTGGACCATAAAAATAATAAAAAATTCTCCTGCATCTAAAATCCCATCAGCAAACACGTCATTTCAGTTTTTGTCAACATCAAAAATGACTTCAAAAATTTCCCAAATTTCAAGTCCTAAAAGTGGGTAAAAGAAAACGTAAAAAATTAAATAAAATAAATATACGGATACTAATTGAATATAATTATAATAATTAAAAATAAATAGATTTAATTGTGATAGGAATATTTTCTGAACGCACTTGAAGTGGCTTCAGCGTTATTGTCATGTTTTTCAAGATAAATCAAAAAATCCACAATTTCAGGTAAAATGACCTGCTGATAGAAAAGTAATAAAAGGGAAGGGATATAAAGGATCAAAATATCGTTCAGCCAGTCTGGAGCACTAAAAGACTCAAGTAATGCGTCTGTATATCTTTCAATAGCAGTTTCTGTAAAAATGCCAAGGAATAAAACAATAAATAAAGTATTATAAAATAGTCGCTGTAAAAAAGTGTCAGCAGCTGTTAAACCAATGTTTTCCCATTTAATGTCAGAAGGAGCTGGGGCCATTCTTTTTTTCCATTTTTCGCTGTGCAGTTCTTCATTTCTGGCAATATAAGGCTCTGACAATTCTCTTGCTAAAGCTTTATTTCCACAGACTACAAAGCATGCTCCACAGTTGATCCCTTTTCCCTTTGCTTTGGCGTCTTCTATTCCTTCATATAGTTTTGTCATTCTGTCTCTTGTGTAATCAATAGCATCTATACCATTTTGCCTTGATTTTCTATCAGAAATTTAAAAAATATGTCCCAGGACAAAACAAAGGAAAAAGCATATAGAAGTTTCCTATGTTTGGCGCTGTAAGGCCGATAAATTCTGATCGGAATTTATCGGTAGGTTGCACCAAATCAATGCCTTGGTCGGACCAAAAAGCGATTTGGTCCGACGAACTTGGAAAGCTCCTGGGAAAATGTCTGCGCTTTTAGCGCTATATAGAGGAAACCTCTATACTTTTTTGGGGCATTTATCAAAAACCCATATTCTTGGTCGAATTTGTTTGGTTTCCAGCTCATGAAGGTAAAATTTCAAATTTTTAGCTAATTCATCATATTCTAAAAACAGCTCGTAAGCATTAAAATAATTAGGGACAACATATACATGTCTAACCCCTTTTCCATAATTTTCTCGAAACCATACAAAAAGTTTTTCCGATAATTGGTCAGGCGGGTAGTCTTTCGGAATATTTGTCATATAAACAGTGTATTCTTGTGGCAAATTTGCGATAGTTGAAAAATCTGACTTAAGGGTCTGTTGGTAAAAGCTATAAATGTAATATACTCCACAAGCTATATTTCTCATAAAATTAAAATTTTTCAATTTATTTAATAATTTATTATTATTTGTATAATAAATCACAAATGAGAAAATAAATATACAAAACGCAGGAGCAATGAGCATATAATCGTCATCAATAACATGCTCAATGCTTACATAATCTAACCCTCCATCTACTTCAGAAGTCCCACATGCATAAATAATTCCCAAGACTCCAACGCCTATAATCAAATTTGAATAAAAAATTTGCTGCATATACCGATGGAGGACTAAGTAAAGATATCCTCACTCTCCTAGGCTTTTGAAAAAGTCCATATCTTGCATGTTCTTAACAATCCGAAAAATATCTAAAACATCATATCGAGATTCGTTTATATAAGGCTCTTTTATTTCGATGTCTTCGATATCAACTTCAAGAGGGCGACTTCTGAGTCTTCGATACACTACAAAGAAACCAAAGAAAATAGAGAAAAGGATTGTGTCGATAAAAATTGCTAACAAAAGAGCATATAAGCTGGATTCCATTATTATTGCGAAGTAGGCGTTTTTTAAGAGAGCTGGGTGGGGGTTTGGAAGGAAGAAAGTGAATTATAGGTAAAAAGAATTAAATATAAAAATGATTTAAGTATTTAGATTTAGAGAGTTGTTTTAAGAAAAATATAAAGGTATAATAGTTAAGAATGTTTTGGTTTAAGTATTTAGACAGAAAAATATATTTATATAAACTTAATAATCATTTTACTTTAGAGATAAAATATATTTTTATAGATTCATAATTTCAAAAATATAAATTTTCTCCACGATAATATTTCTTTAGATTAAAATATATTTGACCTCCCATATAAATCCTATTGAATACAAACAGACTGTGTTATAAATTAGCTTCATTATTATTTTCTTTATTATGCTATCTCTTCAACTTGCTCATTATACTTTTTCTTATCTTTTACTGCTTCGTTATTATCATCAATTTCCTGATCTTCCATTTCATGCTTTCTTTCAAAATATTTTCTAAGTTTCTCAGGAAGTGAAGCCAACCAAGCCACAAGATCATTTTCAAAAAAAGAAAAAATACAGATCTTAATTGCATAGCTTATAAGTGTGCTGGTCAGCCACACCATGCTTATACTTTTTTCATAATCATTACAGAGCTGTATAATAACCCAGCAAAATAAGCCGATTAATCCTCAGCAAATTACTAAACCAGCAATTCTTCATCTAAAATTTGTTTTTCTAATTTTATTAGAATAATCTGCGCTCATATTTTCTTTAATTTCTCTTTCTAGACACATCAAGTCAATAATAATCATAATAACAAGCATCACAAAAACGCAAAAAAGCATTATGAAAAAGTCATCAGCTCCATAATCGAGGGTTTTAGGCTTCTTTTTTTGATCAGAAGTGTTAGTATCTTTGACAGTTTTTACAGTGGAAGTGTGAGTGTTCAGATAGAATAAACCTATAAAAAGCATTTGTCCTATCAGAACTAAAGTGTATAGGGTAACAAAAAACAGCCTTGTTCTTCTAGGATTTTTATAATAAAAAATAGATAAAAGACTATGATGTTTTTTTACTTTGACTTTTCATGAAGTTTTAGGCTTATCTTCAGACTTTTTGGTAAGAAAAAGAGAATATGTAAGCTTTTCATCCTTTTTGGTTTCTTGCTTGTAAATATAAACTTCATCAGGCGCTAGAAAAGAAAGGCTAACATTGCCTTCTATGTCTTCATTCATTTCATTTTGATTTTGAGTGTCAAGATTTCTTCCTAAGTTTTCTTTATTTTGAGGATCATTTAAGTTTTCATTGCTTTTTTCTTCAATATTTTCGTTTTCATAAATTATTTCTTGATCATTTTCCTTGTAATCAGACTTGTCAACCTTTATATTAGAATTATTCGATGCATTCTCTATTTTTCTCTCGTAATTTGTTTCACTCTCTTTATTTTCATTTTCTTGGCTATTCTCTCTTTCTGTTTCTCCTAAATCGAATATTTTTTTTTCCATAAGTTTATTCTTGTCTTCAAAAATTATAGAAAAGCTCCTAAACTCTTTAGTATTTTCTATATATTTTTTGGTTACTTCCAGCTTAATTGGGGTTCCTTTCTTTTTAATTATGAGTTCACTTTCTTCCTTTGCTTCTTTTTTATCTTTTTTTCAACTAAGAATTAATAAAAACCCGTAAATAATGAGAGTTGCAATACATATATACGCTTGAGCAGGGCTGGTACCTTTTGTATCAATTCATTTAGGAGAGTCTGTAGTATTTGTGACATTTAAGTTTCTGCTTGATTTTTCAAAATCAATTTGCTCAAAAATTAGTTTTTCGTAGTTTTGCACTAAGCTTGAAGACTTTGAGAGAAAGCCTGAAGCCTCAGAAGAATTTTTAAAAATGTTTTTGTTCTCATCAAATTGTGTTGATGCACAAGCTGAAATTAAAACAGAAAAATAAAAAATCAAATAAATAATTCCCATTTTTATTGAATTAAAGTAAGACTTAAAAATTTATTAATGAAAAATTTTCAATTCTCTTTTTTGTATATGGAAAATTATGCATGTCTATTATAGTGAAATTATATCTTATTGATAGTAAAATAAATTCTTTAAAAGCAATTATTCCATACAGAAATTAAAATAAATAATAAATAACATAATAAAATGCAAATTTTTATAAATTTATTAATTATTGTCTTTTATTTATACATTTGACTGTATTAAAATGCTATTTTTCATGGTTCTATATTGGTTTTAAGCTTTATTTCTTCTAATAATTAATTAGATTAGATCAGATTATTAGATGGATATTTATTCCTCTCCCCTTTATTTTGAAACAAAATCTTGTGCAAACTTATTTTTTTTTAAAAATATAAAAATTTCTCTAAATCCACTCTAAGAAACAAAAATATTTAAGAAAAATTATTTTAATATATAAGTAATAATAATTATTATAATGAAATCTCGAGCCAATTCTGTTTAATTTTAAACAACTTGCATTTTAACACATATAAATTTTACAAATTAAATTAATATTAGTTTAAAATTATTTCGAACATAGATTTTTTAAACTTCGAAAAAAAATTTACAATAATTTTAAAAAAAAAAAATAATCCCCCTGATTAAACAAAATTTTTTCTCCGATCACTCACGGAGGGATAAAAGAAAATTTTTAAGATTTAAAAATTAATAATTGAACACAATACTTTTGATTTTAATTTAATTTTATGGAGAAATATTAAATAATTATTCGATTCAGTGTGAAAGCCGCTTAAATATCATTTTAATTGCTCTTTTTCCATTGCATTAAGTAAAATTAATTTTATATAAAAAATTAGTATTTTCGCCTTTAATATGTTTTTAAAAAGTGTTTAAAAAATATAATTTGAGCACAATAATTTTAATTTTATTTTTACTAACTCCCCCCCCCCATCCTTGATCGAACGATTGACTGTAAAAATTCCTAAAAATTGGGAAAATTAATCCCCATCCTTGATCGAACGATTTTCATATCATGCAAATTTTAACATATAAAAATATATTAGTTATCAAAAGCTTGGGAAGATGTACATAATGAAGTTGTTTTCAGAGCTTTGAGACGACAGAAAGCTACGAAATCAACCATCCAAAGTGATTTAGCCATCAACCCAATAATCTAAAAATAGAGATTCTTTAAAATTTAAAAAAAAAAATTTTAATTCAATAAGGAAACAAATTAAAATTTTATAAGGGTAACTAATAAATCAAAATATTAAAAATTGGTATTTTTATGAAATTAATACAATTTTTGCTGTAAAAATAATTATTAAATACTCTTAACCCTCTTATTTAAAAGTAAATAAAAAATATATTTTTTATTTTATATATAAATTTTTTTCCCAAAAAAACATTTTTTTAACCTCCATCCTTGATCGAACGATGGCGAGTCGTTCGATCAAGGATGGGGGGGGAGTAAGAAATAATTAAAAAAGATTAATCGAATTAGTGTCAAAACTGTTAAATGAATTCTATTTGCAATTTTTCCCAAAAAATTCGTATTTTCACCCCTATATATTTTAAAAACATTTTTTTTAACTTGATCACAATACTTTGAATTATTATTTATTTTTATGAAGTATTAATTAAAATAATTAATCCATTCTACTTGCATTTTGTCCTTAAAATTAGACCAAAACTAATTTTAAAAAAATTAGTATTTTCATAGATAAAATTTCATTATTATCTCGCGCACATAATGGCGTTCGCGCCAAAGTTAAGAGGTGGTAATCCCATGTGAGTTTGCAGTTGTGGAAGCACATGGTGAGCACCAGGGTGGTGCTTGAGATCCTGAAGAGTTCGCTGAAGAGGAAATAGAGGAACTGAAGATGTATGGGCTGAGGGAGCATGCACTCTGAGGGGTACAGGCAAAAATTCCAATGACTTGCATTGGAGGCGCAACCAGGTGATGCATTGGAGTTTTTGTGAAACTACTTTTTACTTTTTACTTTTACTTTTTAGAAATTTTTGGGAATTTTTACAAATTTCTGGAACTTTTTTGAAAGATCTTTTAATTGGTCCACTTAGTTGGGCGATAACCATTAATTCATTCATTCATAGATAAAATTTCCTAAGAAGCGGCTTGAATCCAAAAAAATGGGAAATTTAACGTTGTTTTCCAACTTAAAAAAGGGTGAGGTTAGAATCCCACATAATCAATTAATGGCGAAGATCAGTAATTGGTTGATTTTCCTGATTCTGATCAGTACAAGCACTCAAACATATATAAACGAAGATATCCTTAAAGAGTGCCAAGTCCCATACACAGTTAAGAATATAACAAGAACTTCTCAAGGGATAGTAGCTTATGCTTCTTTCAACCCTTCCTCAAAACTTATTTCTGATCAAAATAAGAGCCATACAATTCAAAAGCTTACAATTAATATTACTTATGAAACATCAGAAAGAGTCAGAATCCAAATAAAAGACACAGAACATAGCAGATGAGAAGTCCCAAAAGTAGTCGTCCCTTATAACCAGACCTAATTAAAATATGGCATCTCAGTCAAGGCCTGGCCTCCCCAAGCAGCTTCGAGCATATTTTTAATTAGATCTGAAAGGCTTAGCCTGCCCAGGAAATGCTAGAAAGCTATATTGGTTGTATTTAGAACCTCGCCCAAGCTTTCTCCTAAAGGTTGGATTTCACCTCATGGAACAATACCGACAAGATAGCTGAGGACGAAGCAAAGAGGGTGAAGCTGCAGCTCACGGTGTGGGGTTGGGAGCTACTCAATAACTTTAACTAACCTAACATTGCAATCAGACTACATTTGAGCCAAAATACGATGTCATGATAGACGAAGATCCTTTGGGAATCCTCATCATTAGGAAATCTGACGGAAAAGTCATTTTTAACCTTGACCCAAACAGCTTGTTTTCTTACATAGCCCAAGCCTCTATTAAGCCTCGGGCTTTCCTGACATATCCCTTGATCAATTTGAGGTTGGATTACCAGCATTTGTTGGCAAGACCAACTCCTCAGATGGCAAGTCCGCTCCTTATTGGAGATTTGCCATCCGAAGATTTGGTTTTACCTACAAATCTTGGTAACCTAACTTCCTATTGATGTCGGGATATCCAAGCCAAAAGGAGTCTCGGGCTATAATGACCAAGATATCGCTTTTTTTAATATCCTTGACTATGATATTAAAATTATGGGATTTGGGGAAAGGGTATCAAATTTAACCTTAAATAGAGGAGAATATACTATGTGGTCTAGAGATAGATGCTCTCCTATTGATGATGGAAATAACCCTAATGGAAATATGTATTCTGTTCACCCATTTTATGTGGCAATTGATGAAGATTTTAAGTGCTTTGGAGGCTTTCTGTTAAATTCTAATGCAATGACAGGATTTGTAGGGAATAGTTATGTTGGATATAGGACGACTGGAGGAATAATTGATTTTTATGTTTTTGTAGGCCCGACTGCTGCAGATGTGGTCAGGCAGTATCAAGAAGTTATAGGTTTCCCAGCACTTGCCCCATATTGGTCTTTAGGATGGCACCAATCGCATTGAGGCTATAACAATTTGACTATAATAGAAAAAATAGTGGATTTATATAAGCTATACCTGTTTGCCAAGAATAGCCCACTGAGGAGCATTTTTTGGTTCGCATTTCTTAAAAATGGTTAGCCAGAAAATATGGCATGCCAACGAATTTGGCAAGCCAGCTATTGTTCGGCTAACCAAAAAATTCTCCTTAGTGGGCTATTCTTGGTAAATAAGTATATAAATTCCTACTACTGAAGATTATAAATTAAGCTTGGATTATAGCCATTTATATACAATAAGTATATGAGATATAAACTCCCGTTGGATTCTATATGAAATGACATCGACTACATGACAAAATTCGAAGATTTTACTCTAGATCCTGACAGATACCCTCACGAAGAATTTTTAGCATGAATTGACCATCTCATAGTCTGCATACAAAAATAAAATGGTGACCTATCCTGCCATACTTCTCCCATAACCTCGATGGTTTTAGAGCTAAGAGAGACAGGCCTAGAACTTGTCTCCGGGGTGGTTTGTTACCCGTACCATAGGCAAGGAAACTAGAGTCCATGTGACAAACTCAGGTAAAGTGACCAAGAGGAGGATTCGGATAGGTCATCCCAACAGTTAGGAGTTGTCCAAAGAATTACTTGGGTGCGTCATCCAAGAGATGGCGACGCAACCATTTTTTAGTGACGTCGAGAGAAAAGGGCGTAAGTGCAAACCGATGCTTAGGGGGAAGAATCTGGAATCAGCAAAGGCGTAGATGGGCTGAAATAAACCCCGAAGACATACTCTACTATAATTAACCTATTCATAGCTTGCATAAGCATTATGTCCCTATAATAGACGCTGGCATTGCTAAACAAAACTATTCTGCCTATAACGAAATGATCCAAAAAGAGCTATACATAAAAGATCCTTACAACTCAAACCCTGCTGATGGTGTAGTATGACCTGGAGACGCCGTATTTTTAGACTGGTTTCATCCAAATACTTCAGATTTTTGGGTCGACCAGCTAATTGGCTTCTATAATTTGACTGAATTTTCTGGTATATGAATCGATATGAACGAAGCAAGCAATTTTATTAATGGAGATTTCGGCCATCCAGCAACAATCATTAATAGCACCACAATGCCATATACTCCTGGAGAAGATATACCTAATAAAGCTTAATAAATAAACAAATTTTATAGTAAAAATCATAATTTAGTCTATTAAAATAAGAATATTAATACAAATTCTTTAGACGTCGCATCAATCCATTATGGAGGAATATTGGAATATAATGTCCATTCATTATATGGATTCATGGAAACAATTGCTACCAATAGATTTTTCACTGAAAATTTAAATAAGCGAGCTTTTGTCTTAACAAGAAGCAGTTTCCCTGGACATGGGAGATTTGGCTCTAAATGGACCGGGGATAATTATGCTAAATGGGAGTATATGAGATACTCAATAATAGGAATTTTCAATTTTGGGATGTTTGGGATTCCTCATGTAGGTGCTGATATTTGTGGATTTATTGGAGATACCACTGAAGAATTATGTACAAGGTGGATGCAGCTGGGGTCACTTTATCCATTCGCAAGAAACCATAATGATAATCAAGCTCTTCCTCAAGAACCTTGGGCTTTTGGAACAAATATGCTTGAGACTTCTAATATGGCTATAAGAAATCGATATTTTCTTATGCTTTATATCTATACTGAAATGTTTTTTACCAGTTTTTCAGGAGAAATGTTTTTTAAGCCTACATTTTTTAGTTATCCATATGATAGAATATTGTATGAAAATGTGATTAACCATTTTATGCTAGGAAAATCATTAATAGTTCACCCATGCTTGTGGAAAGGGGTAAGCAGGGCAGATTCTTATTTTCCAGGTGATATTTGATATAATTTTTATAGTGGAGCTCGCATAAAGCTAGATAAAACTTATATGCCTCTAAATCTTATTTGGCGCGTTTAGACTGAACAAATGGCTCTGATAATGATTAGTCTTTTGAATAATGAAAAAACAAAACTAAGTCTTCTTTTTGGTAATCGCCAAAAACCATTTTTATTTGGCTACTTATTGATTTAGGTTTTAATGTGTTTCTTCTCCTCAACAAATAATTTAGACATGCCTAGGCCATCCTTTTAACCCTAAATTAATAAGTCATGAGCCATCTCCTTCGCTATCTTTACATCTGGCTAAGCCATGGAACTCTTTATCAAATGACTCTAGAGAGTCTTCATAAGGATTACCCTCACTGATTCTGTCTCCTCTCAGTAATCTGCCTAAATGTCTCCTTCCTCTGGAGTAGTAAGTAGGTTAAACCCTATATCTCCTAAAATCCAAGGATTTGAGTTCTAGCCTATGGACTAGAGCTTTCCCAATTCGCTGAATAACCCACTGAGAAAACTCAGCCTCATAATAAAAAATGCCATTTTAATCTTCAAATAAAAGTCTATATTAAGCTAAAATGGCTTCTAGGATATGTTATATCTTTAGAAATGCCTTTGCATGGGCTTATAAATATTCATGTGAGAGGTGGATCTATAATTCCTCTACTAGACTCTGCAGACACTGCTTTAAGTGTAGAAGAACTCAGAAACTCTAATATAACTCTACTGGTTGCATTAAATTCTAATCTGGAAGCAGCAGGAAGAGCTGTTTTTGATGATGGGATTTCATCTGGAACAATTAATGAGGGAAACTATACTAGAATGGATTACCACTGGAGGTTTATGAATTACTCGACTGATATATTGGATATTCAGCCTATAAATAGTAAATATGAGTCTGAAAATGAGTTTCCGCATATTTCGAATATAAAAATATATGGCTGTTCAAGCCTTCCTAAACAAGTAGAGATATTGATTGATAATAGAGTTATTCAAGGATCTATTATAAATGACCCAGGATTAATTCCAGATGTTTGCAAAATCGAAATTTCAAATTCTAATGGAAATTTCTCACCAAATCGGCCAAGTCAAGTCATTTTTCGATACTAACAATCTTCTTATATAACAATAAATATTCTAATTGCGAAAGAGTTTCTTTGTTTTCAAATTGCTTCTCATATACTAGCTTAAGCCTTAATCGAATAATTAGTAAAAATATATGCTTAAGTAAATATAGCATAAATAATCTAAATATTATTTAATGCTTAACTAAATTAATAGACAAATAAGCATTAAGAAGCCTCAAAATGCCATATAATAAACTTTTAATCGGATAGATTGCTTTCTAAATTAAAACCAGATGGATTGCTTCATTTTTGTAAGGCCTCTAATGACTAGGCAATAAAGAGTTGAACGAAAGTAAATTAAAAGTATACCTCAAATGCCATTAAAAGAAAAAAATTAAACAAAGCAGCTTCAAGATAAAAGACAAGTCAAAATGATTAAAAAGTTATACAATATTTTAGCTACCCATCTTTGATTAAACCGATTTTCTTCGTTTTAAAGGATCTGGATCTAAAAATTTTTGTAAAAAATTAGTTATTAACAGTAGATTTTGATTTAAAAATTTATCGTAATATTTCTAAAATCCACAATTATTTAAATTTTCTTAAGATGTTCTATTTTTATTTTTATTTTGAATTTTTATTTTTTAATAGATTAATACAAAAGTGCTGGAAGATTTTATATAGCCTGGCGAAATAGGTCAATTCATTTTAATTAATTTTTTGCTTAATTTTAAGTTAGAGAAGAGCACTGCTTTAAAAAACACCTATATAAATTCTATTTAACTTAAAATTATTAGGCTGAACGACGATAATACATAAAATCCCATTTATTTTAATTTTTTATCATTTTTATTTAATCTAGTTCTTTAACTAAAATGAGATCAGTAAAATTAAAAATAGCCGATTTAAAAACTAGTCAAAGCCTTCCATACAAATTTTTAAGGATTATAAAACTCTTTCAATAATTAATTCTAATGGCTTCTTCAGACTTAGGCATAAGCGAAATATCATTATTTCTTGAAACTAAGTTCTAAGTTTCATATTTAACCGCATATTTAAGCTTATCACCGTTTTTATAATAAATGATAACCAAATTTTTTACTTTAAGCTTACTCGCAATTTTCTTTAAAATTTGAAATTCTGAAGCAGTCAATCCTCAAGCAGGTATATCAGAAACTCTAAATTCCATTTTTAAGCCTCCCTCAAAAAGCATAGATATAATTCCAAAAGCTGATGAAGAGCTTGAAAACCTATCAGAAAAAACGCAGCGCGATCTATTGGGCGTGACCACATGCCCTTCAGGCTGTCTTCAATGCTCAAGCACAAGCTATAATGGCTGCGATGAGTGCAAAAGTTGATACTTTCTTTTAGCGGGTGAATGCTTAACTGTATGTCCAGATGGCTTTAGCTATACGGGAGCCTGAACTTGTGAAAAGGGAACTTCTTCGCCAGTGTTTGATATTAGTTTTGATAAAATCAAAGGATTCCTCGAAATTAACAGCGATAGTGGGGACTGCTTAGTCTGTGGAAACGATCCATACAGATTTTACCCAGACTATGATAGTAATGATCCTTTCCCCACCAAAGACAGGGGATATTACTTTGATTCATCAAGCTCCTACATGCAGATGCCACCAAATAGCATCTCAAAAGTTGGGTTTAGACTGAATGTAGACCATACTTTTTCAATTTGGGCCTACCAGATTAGCGATGCTGACCAGTGCTTATTCATAATTTAAATATGGCATCGATCGAATTTTTTGGTCTCTGACCGAAAACCATCTCTTGCATATTTTAATTATGAGGTTGGGCTTCTCTTGGTGAAATTATCCCAGCTATGCCAGGAAAGCAAGAGTCAGGTGGTTTTCCAACCGAACTCCTGACCCTGACCTTAAGGAATCGAATTTTCCAGAATACGTATCGTTTACCCCAAATGGAGACTGGGACCTTTAGGGTGCTGTTGGACCCAAAGAAATGCCTGAACTTAAAGAAGAGTCGTTGAAGCCCAAATTCCAAGACTGGCGTCTTCACTGATGAACAAAGTTGAGGTCGCCACACCTTTGACAGCCCCTAAGCACCCTCTCTTGAGCAAACAAAACCCATTAGAAAAATGCACAAAAGCCTACCCTCCATGAGCGAACAAAAATTTTTTTAATAGAAAATTTTTTTATGGAAATAAAATATGAATATATAAGTGATAATTATATAATGAAATCTCGAGCTAATTCTATTTAATTTTAAACAAATTTTGTTTAAAAACATAAATTTTACAAATTAATTAATATTGCTTTCCAATTTTTGCGAATAAGGATTTTTTTCAATTTCGAAAAAAAAATTCACCCCCTCCGTGAGTGAAAAAATATTTTTGTTCGCTCACAGAGGAGGGGAGTAAGGAAAATGGCGTAAAATTCTCCTCAGAGTGATTCTGGAGTAGCTGTGGTTGAGAAACCTGGTAATGGGTGTATAGATTAAATAATGATTAATACCAGAGCTTATTCATAATTAAAATATGGCATCGATCGAAATTTTTTGGTCTCTGACCGAAAACCATCTCTTGCATATTTTAATTATGAGGTTGGGCTTTCTCTTGGTGAAATTATCCCAGCTATGCCAGGAAAGCAAGAGTCAGGTGGTTTTCCAACCGAACTCCTGACCCTGACCTTAAGGAATCGAATTTTCCAGAATACGTATCGTTTACCCCAAATGGAGACTGGGACCTTTAGGGTGCTGTTGGACCCAAAGAAATGCCTGAACTTAAAGAAGAGTCGTTGAAGCCCAATTTCCAAGACTGGCGTCTTCACTGATGAACAAAGTTGAGGTCGCCACACCTTTGACAGCCCCTAAGCACCCCTCTTGAGCAAACAAAACCATTAGAAAAATGCACAAAAGCCTACCCTCCATGAGCGAACAAAAATTTTTTTTAATAGAAAATTTTTTTATGGAAATAAAATATGATATATAAGTGATAATTATATAATGAAATCTCGAGCTAATTCTATTTAATTTTAAACAAATTTTGTTTAAAAACATAAATTTTACAAATTAATTAATATTGCTTTCCAATTTTGCGAATAAGGATTTTTTTCAATTTCGAAAAAAAAAATTCACCCCCTCCGTGAGTGAAAAAAATATTTTTGTTCGCTCACAGAGGAGGGGAGTAAGGAAAAATGGCGTAAAATTCTCCTCAGAGTGATTCTGGAGTAGCTGTGGGTTGAGAAACCTGGTAATGGGTGTATAGATTAATAATGATTAATACCAGAGCTTATTCAAAAAGTTTGATAGCCAAGGCAACAAGATATGGGGAATAAGAACCGTTGCTGGCTATATTTATTATGAATGAACCCACCTAAAAAACGGCGCAAACGATTTTTCAGCTTATTCTTATGCTACAGGAGGGGTTCAAGTTTGGAATAATTATGTATTTACATTTTCAAAAGCCAATGGAGCTTTCGAGTCAAAATTTTATATGAATAACGCCTTTGTTGACACAAATTCTTACGATGGAGACGAAAAGCTTATATGGGACGATGAAGGACCATTTTATATTGGCTATTCACAAGACCCGAATACAGGAAGCGGGGTAGGGTGGACTGGGTTTATTGCAAAGATTTCTTATTATATAGATGCTTTATCCGTAACAGACATTTCAGCATTCTATGGAACTTGTACCAATTCTTGTAACAGCCTGTGCATACCTTCAGGAGATTGCTTTTCCGAATGTGACATTTATCATTATGCAGAGACTACAGGAACTTGTGATGGGGCCTGTGGCTCAAGCTGCACAAATCCTTGTGTGTTTTCAGATAGATGCACCCTCTGCTATAGCTCAAGCGTTACTAAATGTTCTGGATTCGGTGATGGCGACAAGCTAGATTACAGCTGCTATGGGAATTGTGAAACTTGTGGAGATTCTTATTATTATACTTGTTTATCATGCAGCACCGGATTTTATTTGCATCATGATACTTGTATAACAGCTTGCCCGACTTCGTATCATGAAGCTACTGATGGCTGCATGGTTAGGTTAGGCTATTAAAGACAGGCGTTAGCCATGCTATGGGAGATTGGAAGTAGCTTGATTTCAAGAATCATTGGAGTCTGTTGGGTGCTAAAGTTCCTTCTACAGCTACAGGAAAAAGACTTTCCTCTGTGGCCTGGGCCGATACCCCAGTTCTTGGTAGAGAAATGCTAACTCCCCCCCTCCGTGAGTGAACAAACCATTAGAAAAATCGCTATTTTTTGCCCAAAAACCCACCCTCCGTGAGTGAACAAAAATTTTTTAACTCCCCCCCTCCGTGAGTGAACAAAATTTTGTTCACTCACGGAGGGGGGGAGAGTAAGATCCTCAGATCCAAAAAGACGTTGTTGAGCAACTCTATTTCCAACAGCATTGAAAGCAGCCAAAGCCTACCCAAATACACATCGCCTGCACTTGATTCTTGACTCGAACTCCGTCCCAATTAACCATAGCCACAAGGTCTGGACTTTACCCAAGAGGGTAGGTTACCACGTGCCACCATAAATTTATGATTGTTGCACAGGTAGCGGAGGCTATGTATATGACTTTATCCTATCAGAAATTTCTGGAACCATTACAGACACATATGGGTATTTTTCATTAAACTCCGGTAGCGATTCTACAAAGTTTTACCCAAACGCAGACTCCTCAGATGCCATTCCAGCTTATCAAAGAGGATATTACTTTAACGGAGAGAGCTCATATATGGCCCTAGATAATAAAATCATGTTTAACTATTATCAAACTCATGGGTTTTGGCTCAGAAATGAAGGTGGGACTAACACCCAATCCATTCTAAGCGCTGTCGATGATCATAGCAACTCCGTACTTAAAATTGAGATCACTGATACTTCACTAGTCTTGGCAATTATGATAAATCCAGACCCTAAGAAGGATTACGTCTATATTTTGGAACCAACCATGAGCTTTTTTGATATTCCAAAGCACTCCTGAGTCTATCTTACAGTTTTAATAACTTTTATACGTGGAACTACATATTGGAAAGCCTATAACTTCAATGATAGGACTTTTATATTTAATATATATGATGGAGTAATGGAGCCAGCTCTTCCCAGTTATGTCACTTTTGGAGCTACAAGGAAGAACTCTGCGGTTTCTAATTATTTTAAAGGCTTCATCTATGAAATGGTGTACATGTCAGAAGCTGCGTCCTCATACAAGATTTCTCAGCTTTTTTCAACGAGTTGTTCTGGATGTACATACTGCACTGCATCAAATTTGATATGCTTAGATAAATGTGGGATACATTATTACGGCTACTATGGATCATGCTTGCCTTGCATGAGCACATGCAAATATGGATGCATAAGTGCCACTACTTGTAATCTTTGTAATGATCCGGGCTGCTATACGTGCTCTGTCTATGAGACAGAGACGTGCACCCAATGCTATACTGATGCTACGGTTGGTACTGACTTATGTGGATGCAACAGTGGATCTGCAAATTTTGATGATGTATCAGGAACATGTGTTGAATGTAGCAGTTACTGCAGTAAATGCAACTGGCCATATATGCTTGAATGCAGCTCATGCCCTACTGGACGGTACTTGACCTCAGAAGGAATTTGCACACCTTACTGTCCTTATGGTTGTGGAGACGCAAGTCGCACGTCAATAATTGTAGACTATGTCTTTACAAGTATATCAAACAGCCAAACTGACAGTGCAAATCAGCTTATAATGTACTTGGGCAGCAAGGATGACTACTATTCTACTTATGATGATAATGATCCTAAGATATTGCCTTACAGAGGTTTATACTTCACTGGTAGTTCATATGCTCAATTTCCTCCAACCCAATATAATGACAGTCAGCTCTACCTTGGATACTCTCATTCAGTTGACTTCTGGCTGTTTCCTCTGCAATATTCAGGGTCGATAATGTCTAAATTTTTTGGCTCGAGCGACTTAATGTATGCGGAAATAGTAGGTGGTTCTGATACTCTATATAAAATTTGCTATCATCTGTACTCTGTTGACAATAGCAACTCAGATAATTTATGTTCTTCAGCAACTATAACTTCTTCTAATTCCTGGGGAAGATTGACATGAACCTTTGGATTTTCTTCAGGAGTAACAACCCTTAGCACTTATCTTGATGGCACCCATCAAGACACCCAAACGTTTACAGATAATTTCATTTTTGATGAAGACCTCTATTTGAATTTTGTTCTCGGGTATAGTAGCTCCCTCTCTTACTATGTAGGCTATATTTACTCCATCAAGATCTATAACTACATTCTAGGCTCAATTAGTGCTGGAAACTCAAACTGTGGCTGCCAGTGGTGTACTGAATTAGGAGCATGCTTATCAACTTGTGCGTACAATGAAGCTTATAATAAAGAAAGCAACAGTTGTGAATCATGCCCTCAGGACTGTAAAAACGGCTGCAAAACTTCTTCAGCTTGCAGTATATGCAATAACTACCTGTGCTCTTCCTGTTCTAACGTTGAGGCTGACGGATGTCGAGTCTGCACAACGAATGCAGAAGGTTACATTACTGATGATAATAATTCTGACTGTAGATGTTATAATGGATACTATGGAAACCCAAGCTCATTGATATGTGAGTCCTGCTTTTCAAAATGCACCACGTGTACTGGAGCTTACGCAAATGCATGCACTGCCTGCAAAGATAACTGGTATACTAATTGACCAAGAATAGCCCACTATGGAGCCATTCTTGGTCTGCCAGAAAAAATTTTGACAAAAAGATCCTAATCTGCCATTACCACTGAGTTTTGGTGTTTCCAAATTTTTTGGGCAAGCCAAATGCAATAAAAAAAATTGTTCTTTTGCGATGATGCATTTGGCTTGTCAAAAAAAATTTGGCAACATCAAAACTCAGTGGTAATGGCCAAAAAGATCCTAATCTGCCATTACCACTGAGTTTTGGTGTTTCCAAATTTTTTTGACAAGCCAAATGCATCATCGCAAAAGAACAATTTTTTTTATTGCATTTGGCTTGCCCAAAAAATTTGGAAACACCAAAACTCAGTGGTAATGGCAGATTAGGATCTTTTTATCAAAATTTTTTTCTGGCAGACCAAGAATGGCTCCTTAGTGGGTTATTCTTGGTCAATTAGTATATCTGCTTCCTGAAGGAATTTGTGTAAAGACGTGTCCTCCAGGATATTCCAGTGATGATAATTTTATCTGCTCTGTGGCAATCTCCACATTTTTGATTGCTTTTCAGTTTGACGCCCTTAAAAATACCCAAAGTGATATAGGCTATAAGTCATTAGAAATCTACTGTGGCAACTCTGATGATTTTTATCCAAATTATGACTCTAATGACCCATGGGTGCTTAAAGACAGAGGACTTTATTTTTCTGGAAATTCATACGCCACATATTTAAAGGCGAATAATCTTTATCCGTTTTACTTTGGTATTAAACATACTTTTGATATTTGGGCGATGCCGCGATATTATGAGGGAGACAGTATGATATATTCAAAATACAGCTCGGATAGGGATCTGATAACCCTGCAAGTTTCTGGGACATCAAGTAGCTACTTCTTAAAAATTTGCTACAATTTTATAAGTGTAGTAGATGGATCGACTGCCACTTTACAATGTATTACAAGTGGGAAGTATGACTACTCTGTGTGGAAAAGAATTTCGTGAACAATTGGCTATAGCTCTACTGATGGCTCCAAAATTTCTGTCTATGTTGATTCAACCTTATTAGAATCTGCTACAGTTCCAGATACATATTTTGATGAAAATGTTGATTTTACGATAAATCTTGGCAGCAAATCAACGGCTTCATACTTTACAGGGTACATTTATTCAATTTATTGGTATAATTATGTCATTACGGACTTTAGCCAAGGCGACAATACTTGTGGATGCATGGCTTGTGATAATCAGAATAACTGCTTAATCTCTATTAAAAAAATCATTTCAAAAGTTTCAATTATATTTTTTTTGTTTAGAGAGGAGCTCTGATTGTTTGGCAAAATAGAATTTAAGTAAAACAGCAAGAAGGAGCATTCAGAATTTGTTTGGAAACCTTATATAGTGATGCTATATTTTATTAAACCTCTTGAGTCTAATTAAAGTTTGCATAAATTTTCACATAGGCCCATCAGAATAAAAAAAATTATAGCAATTGTTAAACCCGAAAATAAAAATTTTTATATTCAGAGAATTAGTGACTTGTACAGAAAACGAATATTATTCTGAAGGCAGCTGCGTATCATGCAAAAGTGGCTGCAGTGGGTGTATAAACGGTGATAGCTGCAACATGTGCGATGATCAGCTTTGCTCAACTTGTTCATCATTGAAGGCCAAAAGCTGTACAGAATGCACAACTAACTCTGAATTTGATAGCTCAAATATATGTGTGTGCAAAGACAAATATGGTAAAGATATTGATGCTTGCTCTCCTTGCGATTCTTCTTGTGAAACCTGCAGTGGAATTAGCATGTATCAATGCAAAAGCTGTGCTTCCAGTAGTTATTTGACTTCAGAAGGAATATGCTCAAGTATCTGTGCATTTGGATGTGGCGACTCCACCCGAAACTCTCTCATTGTTGATTTTCTCTTTACAGCAATTTCTAATGACCAGAAAGACAGCATCAACTCTATTGAGCTCTTTTTAGGCAGCTCAACTGACTATTATCCGAATTATGACTCAGAAGATCCAAAAATTCTTGAGTACAGAGGACTGTACTTTAGTGGGAGCTCAAATGCTAAATTACACCCAAACTCTTACAACTCAAGCCAATTATACCTTGGGTTTTCACATTCTGTTGATACTTGGGCATTTTTAAGCACTGATCAAACGGGCCAAGGCTGCTTAATTACAAAATCTACTTCTTCTCTAGGCCCTATTATGACTTTAGCCTTTATTTATTCAAACGGCTCTCCACTGATAAGCATTTGCTATGTATTGCAAGCCCTAGATTCTTCAACGACCTCCAATACTTGTGCATTTCTGCCAACAACTCTCGGAGAGTGACATAGAATCAGCCTAAGTTTAGCATTTAAAGATGGAGAATCTACACTATATATCTACTTAGACGGCGTAGCTAGTGATCCACAAGTTATAGCTGGATTTTTTTATGAAGATTACAATGATGGAATTTTTGAGTTAGGAAGTTATGGTTCTACAAACTTCATCATCGGATACATATATTCATTAAAAATCTACAACTACCCAAAAACAGATTTTTCTTCATCAAGCAGCGGCTGTGGTTGCCAAGCTTGCACCGATTCTGACCAATGTTTGTCAACTTGCACTGTTTCAGAATCTTATAACAAAGACCAAAGGATATGTGAATCTTGTCTAGCCGGTTGCCAAGCTAATGGATGTGTAGCTGCTGATCGATGCAATATATGTTTTGACCCCATCTGTGCAGCCTGCACTACCTTTGAATATGGTTCTTGCAAAAGATGTAGAGACCATGCAGCTTATGACAGTGATGGGATATGCAAGTGCAATAGCCAATTTTATTGGGACAAGGATGCTGAAGCTTGCAAGGCTTGTGGCACTTTATGCAGCTCTTGCTCTGATAAAGAAAACTGCGATAAGTGTTTAGATGACAATACAATGTCGATTGATTCAGAAAACGTAGGAAACTGCAAATGTAATGGGTATGCCTATTACAATGGAAACGAGTGTGAAGCATGTGGCGATTTATGTGTATCCTGTGATTCTACAGGATGTCTTAAGTGCGCTGATACGACCAACATGCACACCAACTCTGCTGACTCAGATCACAGTTGTATCTGCAATGACGGCCTATATTACGACACCACATCGGCTGAGTGCAAGTCATGCATAAACCAATGCAAAACTTGCGACTCTGAAACTTCATGCACCTCATGTGTCGACAACGCAGATCTCAACACTGGATCGTGCACCTGCCAAACTGGCTATTGGGCATCATCAGATACATGGAATTGTGAAGCCTGCTTTAAAGAATGCGAGAAATGCACAGGATCTTCTACAAATAAATGCACTAGCTGTCTTAATAGTTGGCTTTTGCTCTCTGAAGGATTTTGCGCAAAGGATTGTCCTGTAAACTATGAGAAATCCCAAACTGCGGACTCATGCACTTTAGTGCAATCATTACTATCTATTACTTACAAATTCAATTTCTTGACAAATACTCAGGTTGACAAAGATGTGGGTACTTTTGAGCTTTACTATGGCAGCTCTGATGACTTTTATCCAAATTATGACTCTAATGATCCATGGGTACTGCAAGACAGAGGTCTTTATTTTTCTGGGAGCTCATATGCGACATTTCTGCAGAATAGTGGAGCAACTCCATTTGTGTTTGGGTTCTATCATACCTTCGACCTCTGGGCAATGCCGAGATATTATGAGGGAGACGGTGTGATAATGGCAAAGTACAGTTCGAGTAGAGATCTTATTACACTTAAAGTTCATGGCTCATCGACTGACTACTATTTAGAAATTTGTTATGATTTTATAAGTATTTCTGATGGAATAACCTCAAATTTTAAATGCGTGCAGAGCGGATCTTATAGCTTTTCTGAGTGGAAACGGATTTCATGGTCAGCAGACATGTCTTCGAGCTATACTTCTAGCTTAAATTTATATGTCGATTCTACCTTACTGAACTCAGCTTTAGTTCCAGAGTCATTTTTCGATGAAAGTGTAGATTTTACAACGAGACTTGGAAGCAAATCAACGAATTCGTATTTCACTGGCTATCTTTATTCTTTTTCGTATAGCAGTTATGTAATCTCAAGCTTTGACCAAGGCACCAATTCTTGCGGATGCTCTATTTGTGATAATCAAAATAACTGTTTGGGGACTTGCTCAGAAAGCGAATATTATTCTGGTACTAGCTGTATGTCATGCAAAAGCGATTGCAGCTGGTGTATAAATGGTAACAGCTGCAATATGTGCAATGATCAGCTTTGCTCACAGTGCGCTTCATTGCAAGCCAATGACTGCAGAGAATGCACAAATAATGCTAAATTTGACGATTCAGATTTATGCATATGCAATGATGGATATACCCCAAATATTGATACATGCGCTTTGTGTGATTCTTCTTGTGCAACCTGCAGTGGAACTAACATGTACCAATGCAAAAGCTGCTATTCCGCTCATTATTTGACTTCAGAAGGAATATGCTCGGGCTACTGCGCTTTTGGGTGCGGCGACTCCACCCGAAACTCCCTCATTGTTGATTTTCTCTTTACAAAGATTTTGAATGACCAGCAAGAGTCTGAAAACCTTATCGAAATCTATCTAGGCAGTTCGAATGACTATTATCCGGATTATGATTCATCAGACCCGAAAATACTAAAGTATAGAGGACTGTATTTTAGTGGAAGCTCAAGTGCTAAATTGCCACCAAACCCTTACAACTCAAGTCAATTCTACCTCGGGTTCTCACATGCTATTGATACATGGGTTTATATAAGTCCTGATCAAACTAATAAAGGATATGCAATAGCTAACTATTTTGTGATGAAAAAAAAATCATTGGAAAATCAATATTTTTGGAAAAAATCTACAATTGTGTTGAAAAAAAAATCATTGGAAAATAAATATTTTTTGGGAAAAAAACCCACAAATTATTTAATATATTATTTTTATAAAATTAATATATAAGTGATGATTATCGTAATGAATATCTCAATTTTATCTTGAAAAAGATTTTCAGTAACATTATATATTAAAAATTAAAAAAAATAATAAACTCTCTCTTTTCCAAAGAGAAAAATTTGCTAATTGAAGGAGGAGGGTAAGTGGTCTTCTTCGAGTAATATAATGGGTGCTGGGATTGACTTTCAAGGAAGTACCCCAATGATAGTTGTTTGCTATGGATTACCTTCTCTTGATCTTTCAACAAGCTCTAACACTTGTGCAAATTTCAAAACAACAACGGGGGAATGGCATAGATATAGTTGAAGTCTAGAATTTAATGATGGAGAGTCTACTATAGCCATTTATGTAGATGGCTCATTTTCCGCAGCACAAACTGCTAATGGCTACAATTACGAAGGCTATACTGATGCAGCTTTTGAATTAGGAAATTAATTACACCCCACTCTGTAAGCGAATAAAAAAGTTTATTCGCTCATAGAGGGGTTGATTTTTTTTTAAAAAAATTCCAATTGTAAAAATTTAAAACAAAAACTAATTTTTTTTTTTAAAACGCAATTTGTTTAAAGTAAAAAGAATTAGCCAGAGATTTCATTATATTAACAGCACTTATATATCAATTTTTTTTCATAAAAATTTTTGTTCGCTCACAGAGAGGGGGTTTTTGGGTAAAAAAATAGGGATTTTCCCAATGGTTTTGTTCGCTTACGGAGAGGGGAGTTAGATTATTATTTATATCTTTCATCATTTAGCGACAGCTACTATATCGCCCATACCTGCTTTAGAGTAATCCGTCGACCCTGTGCCATAGATGGCCTGGTCTTGATCTGTATTGTCGGATCTGGCTGTTCGAATTTAGACGGCTAAATCACTTATGTCCGCCACGAACACTAAAGGTTGCAATCTTCATTTCCTGAGGTTAATGACACTCTTGCAGTGATTATCTGCTCGGGAAAACATAAAAACTAGATAACCTCATATTTTGATTATGTGAATTAAGAAATTTTAATTCCCAAGATTTCTTCATCGGATACATTTACTCATTGAAAATCTATAACTACCCAAGATCTGATTTCTCTGGTACGGCACATAAATAATGTATCTTTAATAAAAGAAAATTTTCGAAAATTTTCATATAGTCCATTAATCAAAAAGTTCCAACCGAATTTCCATTAAAATATCACAAATACACGAACATTTGAAAGCCGATTTCTCATCATCTAGCAGCGGTTGTGGCTGCCAAGCTTGCACCGATTCTGACCAATGCTTGTCATCTTGTGCTGTTTCGGAATCTTACAATAAAGACCAAAATGTATGTGAGTCTTGCCTGAGCAGTTGTCAAAATATTGGATGTGTTGCTGCTGATCGATGCAATGTATGTTTTGACCCTATTTGTAATACCTGCATTACCTTCGAAAAGGGCTCTTGCACAGGCTGTAAAGTCAATGCAGATTATGACAGTAATAGGATGTGTAAATGTAATAGTGAATTTTATTGGGACAAAAGCTCTGAAACTTGCAAGGCTTGCGGCACTTTATGCAGCTCTTGCTCTGATAAAGAAAACTGCGATAAGTGTTTAGATGACAATACAATGTCGATTGACCCAGAAAGCCTAGGAAATTGTAAATGTAATGGGTATGCCTATTACAATGGAAACGAGTGTGAAGAATGTGGTGATTTATGTGTATCCTGTGATTCCACTGGATGTCTTAAGTGTGCTGACACAACCAACATGCACATCAACTCCGCTGATTCAGATCACAGTTGTATCTGTAATGATGGACTATATTACGACACCACATCGACTGAGTGCAAAAAATGTAAATCTCCTTGCAGCTTATGCAAAAATGAGAATTTCTGCTTATCATGCATTGACAGCTCGATGAGCTTAAATGACGGAATCTGCACTTGCCCGTCTGATCAATATTTCAACGATGCAGAGTCATTATGCAAGTCATGCATAAATCAGTGCTTAGCGTGCGAATCTAGCTCTTCCCCATTTAATAACGAGCACCATTTTTATCCCTTTATGAGTTATTAATTAAAAACAGTAAAGATATTTTAAAAAAAAGTTTAAAATAAGGCAAAGTAAATGATAAGAATTTCTCTAAGATTTTATTTAAACAGACTAAAATGATTCTGAAGCATTAGCTAAAGTATAGATAATCTCTAAAACTTTTAAATAGTTTTTAATTAAATCATTTTATACTTTTTTTTAATATTTAGAAAATTAGTTTTATAAAGTTAATTAATTCATAATATTTACTAGAAAAAATAAAACCAAGATTGATAGAGAATATGCACTTGAAAAGACCAAAAGCCATTATAATCTACAAAATTTTTCTATTTTTATTTTTGGTCTTATAAGTAGTTGTACATCTAATATTAAAAAGTAAATTTATAAAAAATGCGAAAAGATACTTAGCCATTATAATTTTACAATTCTTTTATATTATATTTTATATATATTAAAAAAGCAAAGGTGCAAACCAAATGATCATGAGCTTTTGATAATACATAGAAAATTAGTTGATAAAAGCTACTTTTGATCTCAATTTAACAATTTTTCAATCAAATGTCTTACTATTAAAATTTCCCCGAGAAAATGCTGCACTATCAGAAATGCACAACCATTTTATATGGAGCCAAAAAACTATATTAAAACACCTTGATGGGATTTGTTTATTATTAAATTATGGATTGAGACTTCCTGCACTTCTTGTGTTGACCATGCAGATCTCGTCGATAAATCATGCAATTGCCAAGATGGCTACACTCCTTATAATAATATATGCTCATTATGCTCTAGCTGTTTGACATGCAATGGAAATGAAATTTATAACTGTCTTAGTTGTGCTACAGATCAATATTTGACAGCTGAAGGTATTTGCTCTAGCTATTGCGCTCATGGTTGCAGTGACACAATAAGGAACTCTTTAATAGTGAATTATATTTTTTCAAGCATTTCCAATGCCCAGCATGACTTAGCTAACTCTATTGAGATGGTTCTGGGAGATAGCAGCAGCTATTATCCCAACTATGATTATTATGATCCCAAAATTCTGCCATATAGAGGTTTGTATTTCGATGGAAGCTCTTATGCTCAAGTTTCTCCTGCTTCAAGCCAATTTTACCTTGGATACTCACACACTGTTGACTTGTGGGTCTATGCACTTTCAGGAATCACTGATACTCACGCTGTTCTTGCGAGCTTAAAAAGTGATAGCAGTACCAATGAATTGGCTGCAGTTCAATTGTCAGGCTCAGATACGCTTTTCACCTCTTGCTATCTGCTAAGCGACTTCACAAAGTCAGCTACATCGAATTTGTGCTTGAGCAGCGCTGTGACTGAGAATTCGTGATTCAGATTTACTTGGACTCTAAAATTTAGCAGCGGAGAAAACACACTAGTTTTCTATTCTAATAGTGAATATAAAGACCAAAAAACACTTCTCTCCTATTTCTATGATGAGAGCGACAACTCTGGCTTCTTTTTGGGTGGATATTCATCTCAATATTTCTTCAGTGGGTATATTTACATTGCATTAATTAGAGTTTTAAGGATTTAAATACTAAAACCAAAATGGTGACGCCACAGCATTTCCGATCCAAAAGGTCAGGTCATATCATCAGCCACTTCTCATCCGGCAGGATGCCATCACCCTTGCCTGACTTAGCTCCTATGAGTGTTTCACCAAATGTCACCCTCTCGTTTATGCTAACTCCCCCCCTCCGTGAGTGAACAAAACCATTAGAAAAATCGCTAGTTTTTGCCCAAAAAACCCACCCTCTGTAAGTGAACAAAAATTGATATATAAATGATAATTAGTATAATGAAACCTCAAGCTAATTCTGTTTAATCTTAAACAAATTGCGTTTTAAAAACATAAATTTTATAAATTAAATTAATATTTCTTCCCAATTGTTGTAAATTAGAAAAAAAAAATTCTATAAAATTTATATATAAATTTTTTTAAAAAACAAATTAATCCCCCTCCGTGAGTAGACAACATTTTTTTGTTCACTCACGGAGGCTGGGGGAGTAAGTGATAAAACTCTGAGCCTCTTGATGCATTGCGGATTATTTCTTCTGGTTATCCCAAAATTTAACAGCTGTAGCTGTGCAGAATAACTCAAGAGAAAAACCAAACCTCATAAATAAAATTTAACCCAATGCTATTTTCTTTATCTAGGGGTATATTTACTCTTTTACAATTTACAATTATGTATTGACAACACTAGAAGCAGGAAACAACAATTGTGGTTGCCAGGCTTGCAGTGACCTTAATCAATGCCTATCTACTTGCAGCTCATCCGAGGCCTACAAGCTTGAATCAAATTCATGCGAATCTTGTCCTAATAATTGCCAAAATGGATGTCTGACTTCTTCTTACTGTGGAATATGTGAAGACAGTCTTTGTTCTACGTGTGATGATTCCTGGGGCTCATGCTCAACCTGTGTAAGCAATGCTGATTTTAACAGTAACCATGTGTGTGAATGCGGAAGTAACTATGTTATATCAGCTGACTTGATTTCATGCAACCCTTGCAATAGCATGTGTGCTGAATGCAGTGGGCGCGAAGCTAATAAATGCAAAGGATGCGTAGGTGGATCTTACATGACTACTGATGGCTACTGCGTATTCAATTGCCAATTAGGCTACTCATCTCAGGATGGCACTACTTGCTCTGCTGTCAACTCTGACTCGCTTATGGTGAATTTCATATTTAACCAGCTATCAAATACTCAGCTTGACACAGTAAGCTCTCTTCCTATCTTCTTTGGTACTAATAGTTCCTTTTATCCTAATTACGATGAAAATGATCCCAAGGTACTCAAAAACCGCGGACTTTATTTTAACGGGAAATCATATGGAACTCTTTTCAATGATGGCTCGAGTACAGCTCAGGTTTCCTTTGGGCACGTCCATACTTTTGAAATCTGACTATTGGTCATGGCTTCTACTGAAGATATGATTGTGATTTCTAAATCCTCGTCTGACTCTGCTCTGTTTCTTTTAAAAATTCAAGCCAGTTCCCAAACTTATTCCATATCACTCTGCTATGATTTCATAAATCTCAGTGATGAAACAATAAAGAACAATGAATGTGTATCAAGCCAAAGTAGCAGCTACAATAAATGGACAAAGATATCGTGAATTCTGGAAAAATGAAACGACAATGACTTCCTGCTAAAGCTTTACTTGCTTTCAAACCTAGAAAACTCTGTGGTTGCTTCTAGCTCCTACTTCAATGAAAATAGTGCAGCTGAGGTAAAGATTGGGAGCATGAGAGCTGCCTCCTTTTTCAAAGGGTACATTTATTCACTCAGGATTCATAACTATGCTATTGGACACATAAATGGAGACTCAGTCGGCTGTGGATGCTCAAAATGTACAGAGTATGGAGACTGCTTAGCTGACTGTTTGCCGTCCGAATACTACTCGTCTAACCAATGTTCATCTTGCTTAAGCAGCTGCACCAATGGCTGCGTTTCAGGAAATACCTGCAATCTTTGTAGTGACCCTATTTGTTCAAAATGCACTTCTTTAGAAAGCGGGACTTGCACCACTTGTAAATCAGACTCTACCCTTGATTCTAATGATAAATGCGTTTGCGACAAGTACCACTATTGGAGCTCTACGTTGGAATCTTGTGAAACTTGTAGCAAATTCTGCGGATCTTGCACATCAGCTGAACTTTGCCAATATTGCATGGATAATGACACAATGGTGCTTGACAATCAAAATCCTGGAAGCTGCAAGTGTAGTGATTCAGCATATTCCAGCCCAACAGGATGCTTTAAGTGTGGCACTCTATGCAGCTCTTGCTCTGATCAAGACAACTGCAATAAGTGCTTAGATGAAAATACAATGTCGATTGACCCTGAAAATCTAGGAAGCTGCAAATGTAATGGTTATGCCTATTACAATGGAAACGAGTGTGAAGAATGTGGTGATTTGTGTGTATCCTGTGATTCCACTGGATGTCTTAAATGTGCTGACACAACCAACATGCACACCAATTCCGCTGATTCAGATCATAGTTGTATCTGTAATGACGGCCTATATTACGACACCACATTGACTGAGTGCAGGTCATGCATAAACCAATGCAAAACTTGCGAATCTGAAACTTCATGCACCTCTTGTGTCGACAATGCAGATTTCAACACTGGATCATGCATCTGCCAGGATGGCTACTGGGCATCGTCAGATACATGGAAATGTGAAGCCTGTTTTAAAGAATGCGAGAAATGCACAGGATCTTCTACAAATAAATGCACAGGCTGTCTTAATAGTTTGCTTTTGCTCTCTGAAGGATTTTGCGTAAAGGAGTTGTATTCCGAAGCCCAGGTGTTAGGGTGTTAGGGTGTTAGGGGTGTTAGGGTGTTAGGGTGTTAGGGTGTTAGGGTGTTAGGGTGTTAGGGTGTTAGGGTGTTAGGGTTGTTAGGGTGTTAGGGTGTTAGGGTGTTAGGGTGTTAGGGTGTTAGGGTGTTAGGGTGTTAGGGTGTTAGGGTGTTAGGGTGTTAGGGGTGTTAGGGTGTTTAGGGTGTTAGGGTGTTAGGGTGTTAGGGTGTTAGGGTGTTAGGGTGTTAGGGTGTTAGGGTGTTAGGGTGTTAGGGTGTTAGGGTGTTAGGGTGTTAGGGTGTTAGGGGTGTTAGGGTGTTAGGGTGTTAGGGTGTTAGGGTGTTAGGGTGTTAGGGTGTTAGGGGTGTTAGGGTGTTAGGGGTGTTAGGGTGTTAGGGTGTTAGGGTGTTAGGGTGTTAGGGTGTTAGGGGTGTTAGGGTGTTAGGGTGTTAGGGTGTTAGGGTGTTAGGGTGTTAGGGGTGTTAGGGTGTTAGGGGTGTTAGGGTGTTAGGGTGTTAGGGTGTTAGGGTGTTAGGGTGTTAGGGGTGTTAGGGTGTTAGGGTGTTAGGGTGTTAGGGTGTTTAGGGTGTTAGGGTGTTAGGGTGTTAGGGTGTTAGGGTGTTAGGGTGTTAGGGTGTTAGGGTGTTAGGGTGTTAGGGTGTTAGGGTGTGTTAGGGTGTTAGGGTGTTAGGGTGTTAGGGTGTTAGGGTGTTAGGGTGTTAGGGTGTTAGGGTGTTAGGGTGTTAGGGTGTTAGGGTGTTAGGGTGTAGGTGTTAGGGTGTTAGGGTGTTAGGGTGTTAGGGTGTTAGGGTGTTAGGGTGTTAGGGTGTTAGGGTGTTAGGGTGTTAGGGTGTTAGGGTGTTAGGGTGTTAGGGTGTTAGGTGTTAAGGGTGTTAGGGGTGTTAGGGTGTTAGGGTGTTAGGGTGTTAGGGTGTTAGGGTGGGTGTTAGGGTGTTAGGGTGTTAGGGTGTTAGGGTGTTAGGGTGTTAGGGTGTTAGGGTGTTAGGGTGTTAGGGTGTTAGGGTGTTAGGGTGTTAGGGTGTTAGGGTGTTTAGGGTGTTAGGGTGTTAGGGTGTTAGGGTGTTAGGGTGTTAGGGTGTTAGGGTGTTAGGGTGTTAGGGTGTTAGGGTGTTAGGGTGTAGGGTGTTAGGGTGTTAGGGTGTTAGGGTGTTTAGGGTGTTAGGGGTGTTAGTGGTGTTAGGGTGTTAGGGTGTTAGGGTGTTAGGGTGTTAGGGTGTTAGGGTGTTAGGGTGTTAGGGTGTTAGGGGTGTTAGGGGTGTTAGGGTGTTAGGGTGTTAGGGTGTTAGGGTGTTAGGGTGTTAGGGTGTTAGGGTGTTAGGGTGTTAGGGTGTTAGGGTGTTAGGGTTGTTAGGGTGTTAGGGTGTTAGGGTGTTAGGGTGTTAGGGTGTTAGGGTGTTAGGGGTGTTAGGGTGTTAGGGTGTTAGGGTGTTAGGGTGTTAGGGGTTGTTAGGGTGTTAGGGTGTTAGGGGTGTTAGGGTGTTAGGGTGTTAGGGTGTTAGGGTGTTAGGGTGTTAGGGTGTTAGGGTGTTAGGGTGTTAGGGTGTTAGGGTGTTAGGGGTGTTAGGGTGTTAGGGTGTTAGGGTGTTAGGGTGTTAGGGGTGTTAGGGTGTTAGGGTGTTAGGGTGTTTAGGGTGTTAGGGTGTTTAGGGTGTTAGGGTGTTAGGGTGTTAGGGTGTTAGGGTGTTAGGGTGTTAGGGTGCTGTTAGGGTGTTAGGGGTGTTAGGGTGTTAGGGTGTTGAGGGTGTTAGGGTGTTAGGGTGTTAGGGTGTTAGGGTGTTAGGGGTTAGGGTGTTAGGGTGTTAGGGTGTTAGGGTGTTAGGGGTGTTAGGGTGTTAGGGTGTTAGGGTGTTAGGGTGTTAGGGTGTTAGGGTGTTAGGGTGTTAGTGGTGTTAGGGTGTTAGGGTGGTTAGGGTGTTTAGGGTGTTAGGGTGTTAGGGTGTTAGGGTGTTAGGGTGTTAGGGTGTTAGGGTGTTAGGGTGTTAGGGTGTTAGGGTGTTAGGGTGTTAGGGTGTTAGGGTGTTAGGGTGTTAGGGTGTTAGGGTGTGTAGGGTGTTAGGGTGTTAGGGTGTTAGGGTGTTAGGGTGTTAGGGTGTTAGGGTGTTAGGGTGTTAGGGTGTTAGGGTGTTAGGGTGTTAGGGTGTTAGGGTGTTAGGGTGTTAGGGTAGTTAGGGTGTTAGGGTGTTAGGGTGTTAGGGTGTGTTAGGGTGTTAGGGTGTTAGGGTGTTAGGTGTTAGGGTGTTAGGGGTGTTTAGGGTGTTAGGGTGTTAGGGTGTTAGGGTGTTAGGGTGTTAAGGGTGTTAGGGTTGTTAGGGTGTTAGGGTGTTAGGGTTGTTAGGGTGTTAGGGTGTTAGGGTGTTTAGGGTGTTAGGGTGTTAGGGTGTTAGGGTGTTAGGGTGTTAGGGTGTTAGGGTGTTAGGGTGTTTGAGGTGTTAGGTAGGGTGTTAGGGGTGTTAGGTGTTAGGGTGTTAGGGTGTTAGGGTGTTAGGGTGTTAGGGTGTTAGGGTGTTAGGGTGTTAGGGTGTTAGGGTGTTAGGGTGTTAGGGTGTTAGGGGTCGTTAGTGGTCGTTAGAGGTGTTAGGGTGTTTAGGGTGTTAGGGTAGGTTAGGGTGTTAGGGTGTTAGGAGGTGTTAGGGGTGTTAGGGTGTTAGGGTGTTAGGGGTGTTAGGGTGTTAGGGTGTTAGGGTGTTAGGGTGGTTAGGGTGTTAGGGTGTTAGGGTGTTAGGGTGTTAGCGGTGTTAGGGTGTTAGGGTGTTAGGGTGTTAGGGTGTTAGTGGTGTTAGGGTGTTAGGGTGTTAGGGTGTTAGGGTGTTAGGGTCGTTAGGGGTGTTAGGGTGTTAGGGGTAGGGTTAGGGTGTTAGGGTGTTAGGGGTGTTAGGGTGTTAGGGTGTCGTTAGGGTGTTAGGTGTTAGGGTGTTAGGGTGTTAGGGTGTTAGGGTGTTAGGTGTTAGGGTGTTAGGGTGTTAGGGTGTTAGGGTTGCTTAGGGCTGTTAGGGTGTTAGGGTGTTAGGGTG